GCGCTGCTGAGCAATGGTGGTTGACTTGATCGTAGCTAAGATAGCTTCACTCAAAGGTACTTTATTGAATGAGATACTTTGAATACTGGAGAGCTATCTAGGGTAGGTATCTAAGGGTAGACATACGTCCGTATATATAGACAATGGATCACAATGGATCACCGTGATCCGTGGTGACTGGATCACTCACGATCACTCGTCCTGCGGTGATCGTGTGGTCCGTGCGTTTCTGCCTATCTTATCGTGCTGACCGCCCTTGGGGCAGTGCACTGCGGTAACGGCGGTTGATTCTGTGACATATAGTTTTAACTTAATTATATAATCAGTCAGTTAGTACTATTAAGTCTTCCTTACTATATTAATAGTAGTCTCTATCTAGGCTATAATAGCTACTAAGAACTCTCTAGCTAATAACATCCTAATCATTACAGCCTGTTACTCTAAATTAAATTTATAATTAAATTAGCGATTTCCTGATATCTCAGATAGAAAACCACGTTGAGATACCACCATTTTTGCTATTGAAATGGCGATTACAAAAATGGCTGGTGTTTTGGTGTTGACGCGAAAGTTGGTGTGGATGCGTGGGGCGGTCCAGACTTTTGGCGCGTTATTGTACCTAGGCTCCTAGGTAGGTACGACTTAGCGGAATAGACCACTGAATAGAACCCTGCTCCACAACGAGGTACTACTCCGCAACAGCGTGTGGGTGGAGGAATTCGGCAACAACCTTATTTCATCAGTGGCTACTCCGTATGTGATGCGACTCCCTTTCTTTATACGCTGCTTGCGGGATGGAGCTAAACTGCAGACAAGCAGGGAGGGTTCAGGAAACGGCCGAAACAGGATGCAAGTCCGGACTGGCTTGGACGGGAAAATGCGAACCAAAGAGGTAGCAGATTGCGGGGGGGGATTTATCTGAAATGAGGCCGGCTGATTGCCTCCTGTAGTGCTACGTGAATCCTCGGTCTAGATACATTAGGTAAATTACTCCTATCCATCGGTTGAAACAGGGCTCGCCGCTGTTCCCTGGCAGTCCTGGCGATTCGTCCGCGCGCCTACCCGGAATCTCGTGTATGGCCCTGCACCTCCACTGTGATGGCCGCGGACCAGCTTCAACTAACTGTCTTTCTTAGGTCTTCCCCGTCGCCTGGGACCACCCCGCGCACCTTTGCTCGCCGCCCTGGGGATGTTGGTCCTCCGGGTCTTGGTGTCTGCGAACGCAGGCTCTTTCTTCCCGGCCGCCGTGGAGTGCATATTTGGTCCCTTCTCCTTCTTCGGGCGGCTCCGTCCCTTGCCTGGGCGAGCCCTCACCCTGCCATTCAACGGCCTCCCTGCGGAATCTGGCCTGGTCTTTTGGCTTTTGTGGCTACGAGATGGGGTGGATGTCGCGGTGGCGGCGGGGGTGGTGGCAGGTTGTGCAGCTCTGTGTGCCACCCTCCGAGGTCTCTTGTTTGGCTCTGCTTGCGATGGCAGAGGCTCCCCGGCACGCTTTGCGGCGATTCTAGCGCTTCGTCGGGGTGGCGGTGTCGGTGTCGGTAAGAGGTCTCGGCCCTGGACGTTGTCTACCCGGTCTTGTGGCTGGCGCAAGCGTCCTTGGGTCGACGGCGGAGAACGATTGGTGTCTTCCTTTGGGTCCGGGGACGACTCTCTCGAAAGAGCATCGAGCACCCCTGCCTGCCGTGACTCGTCTGACTTGTCACATTCGAACGCAAACGCTCCGAAAATATTCCTGACATCAGGGCTTTTTGGTGGCGGTGCGATGTACAGTCCCGCGGCCTTCAATTTCTCGATTCGCTCGTCGTCCCGTCGTTGCCTCTTAGCGCTCTCTGCCGCGGCATCGACGTGCACTCCGGGAAATAACATTGTGATGTAGTCGCTACCGCGTCTGACCCAGGACCCCTTGGGCCGCTCGGATCTCGGGAGATCGATCGTCTCCAGCTCGTCGATTTCGGAAGGAGTAAACTCCATCTCCTCCGCCACGTCGAGCGGGCTGTCCTTCATCGCCTCCGCAGGAGCGAGATCCTCGGGCTCTGGGGAAGGAGACTCATGAGGCCATTTCCAAGACTTGTCTAGGCCATCTCTCCAGTCACCGCGCTCTGTCCACCACTTGACGACCTGATTCGTTGCGGAGGGTAGTTGACCCCTTTCGTGTTCGGGCAGTCGGTCGAGTCTCACGCACTCTTCAGCGACCTCGACGGCAAACACAAACCATGGCCTAGAGAAGAAGAATGCCTCGGCCTCGGCAGCAGTCGCCTCTAGCGTGAGACTGGACCTGGGTGTGAGGGGGGCGCGCTCGCCGCGGCGCAGATTCTGGCGGAGTTGTACTGCCCGCGCAACCAGGGTCCGCCAAGGGCTTGTAGCAAAGTCATCGCCCGTGTGATCCGCCCATCCTTCAGGCTGCCACCACCACGTCCAACTCTCGAAGTCGTCGGACGGGTGCATATTGCGGCCAGCGAAACCCCACTTGGGATTCCAGACACCCAGTTTCTCCCACCGCCGCTTGACAAGATGGCGAGCGATGACCCCTTCGCGCATGATGCCATCTAATCGTCTGAACATCTCGGGCCTCGGACCGCCGCGATCCCAGTACCAATCCTGGAACCGAGCGTGTTCGCGATACACCTCATCATGGTAAACATGGTCGGGGCGGGCGAGACTGCGTATCAAATACGATACTGAGCGCAGCTCTTGCTGACTGAAAGGGCGATCTAGGAGAGCTTTCAGCTCTTGTGGCTGAAGCGGGGTCGGCGGTGATGGTGGGATGACGTGAATGTCAAGATATTCATCATCGGTGGACGATGCGTACTCAGGCGGTTCATCTCGCTCAAAACGACGAAGCGAACGCAGGTTCTCGTTCTCTGCCATGGCCTGGAGTCGAGGAATCACGTCGTCGACAACAGTCCTGTAAAGATGGGCAACATAGTCCCACGAGGGCAGCCGCGGCATGTTGACTTGAGAGCAACTGATAAAGAGTGACAAGGGGCTGTGGACAGAAGATGGTAGAGAAATGATACGGGAGAGAGGGAGAGAGAGAAAGGGAGAGACGTCGCGGCAGCAAGAAATCCAGAAAGGAGGGCGGTCAGTATCCTTTCCAGCAGATGGATGAGCCTACAACGACGGCTTCGCCGGGCGGATTGCTGCCTATGACGCCTCCGCGACAGGCCTGGAACGCCATCAACCTCCACAACCACCAATGAAACCAATGAAACCAATGAAGCCTGGGGGACACTCGACAAAGGGAGCGTATTCGCTTGTTTCACCCGCGTGCCAATTATTCTCAGCGAAAGCGGTAGGACTCTGTCATTCAAAACAAAGCCAAAGACTGCTTTCGGCGGGACCAGCAGCAGAATGGGGAGCTAATTGGCAGATGGGAAATGTTTGCTTTTGGGAAGCAGTTGGCCAGTCTGCTAGCCTCGCCCTGCCGCCGCCACTCCAGTCTAGCTCTGGCTGCGATAGGTTCAATCTCGCTTGGTGATACACTCTCCGCCCGCCGATCTAATTGCCTACTGCGTAATGTAGGTAGGTAGTTCGTCGGGGCTCGCCGCATCTGTGATAAGATGAAGCATCCGGCTCGCTCTCCTCCGTCCGGGCTCCTGCACACCTTCTTTTCCCGTTCCCACCATTCCCACCACTCCAACCGCTCCAACCATGACCCAGAAACCCGACTCGCACACTCTCTTCCATCTCGTACCCACCAATCAGTTAGCACATGATGCCCTTCTTCACCCCGACAATCAAAAGTTTGTATCGAGAAATGCACACGGCAACCTCGGCCTTGAGATTGGCTTCCATGTCTCGTCCATGCAGCACGGACATGTCATCACCAGGCTCGGCCGAGATGCCGATCTGATTCTTTCCCCGCGTCAGCCACAGGAGACCATGTCCCGAGTTCACGTCGCCTTTGAGGTCAACCCCACCATAAACATGGTCGTTCTATCTGTCCGATCGAAAAAGACCTCCACCGTCAAGTTCAAGGTGCACCCACCGAAAGAGAATGGAGCCAACGCCACACACGACAGCCCCGAAGGACGGGACATGGGCCTCGTTCCGAACAAGGTCTCGGAACAGGCCGAAGCCCAGGAAATCATTGGCGACGGCGTTCTTCTCTATGTACATGAGTATGATATCTCGATTGCATCCTACAGCTTTCATTTATGCTGGTGGCAGAGCCCGAGGGCTTGCGAGACACTTGTTCGTGAAGACTACGACACAGCGAGGCTACTGTTGCAGGAATGCCAATCGCGTGGTAGAGCAACTGAATTCGATGAAGCGGAGGCTCGATCATGGTACCTTACGAGGCAGCAAACGGCGGCAAAGACCCATCGCTTCAAAGATATACCACACCTTCGCAAATCTAAAGGAAGCGGTGCGTTCGGCGAAGTCTTCGAGGCCGTCGACTGGGTCTCAGGCAATAGGTTCGCCATCAAAGTGGTCAAACTCAAGAAAGGCAACCACGGTGATGAGGCACGGGCGACACTCTACCGAGAGATCGAGATCTTGAAGCGTTTGAAACATGTCAGTCACGCTCTCTATGGCACCTCCTGTATTATTCCTGCTGACACTGCCCACAGCCCCATATCATTGAATGCCTAGGCGTAGATCACTTCGATTCTCTCCGCCCAGAGATCTTCATGCCGCTCCAAGAAGGTTCGCTGACCGACCTGATCATCGCAAAGAAGGCTCCTGATCATGCAGCGCTCTGCAAGGAGGTGTTGAAACAGTGCCTCAGCGCTCTCGCCTTTTTGTCAAGCGAGAAGGTGATCCACCGGGATGTGAAGCCCGACAACATTCTCTACAACCCTTTGCCTGAAGATCAAGGCTTCCTCTTCCAGCTTGCCGATTTTGGACTCGCCCAGAGCCAGATGGCAGCCAGGACAGTCTGCGGCACGCCGTGCTATCAGGCCCCAGAGCTCTGGCCCTCTGATAGCAAGATCAAGGCTGGTCAGAGTCCCAAAATGGACGTTTTCTCTCTTCTCGCCACCATGCTTGCGATACATTGCGAGTTCCGAGGATTTCCTCCGCCCCACTGCCAGTTCTACGGCGATGTTCTGCGCGAAATAGAACGCAGGGTCTCACTAAGTGAGTATGCGTCTCTTGCGCCCATGGCAAGGAGGAATCCACGAGAGAGGGCATCGGCTGCGCAGATACTTCAGATGCTATTTGACGGCTGGGGACTGCCGTCGGGTCCTCTGAAGACCGGAGACGTCGGCATCACTGCTCCTCGCCAAGGCCGCGTGAAAGCCGACAGCCGATTGATTGTGATCCCGCCTCCCATCCCAACCCTACCTCGCAACACGGCCCCACGTCGCACTTTGAAGCGCGGTACAACGGCACCGCCTAGTAAGCCTGTGCAGCCAAATCGCACCCAGATCCCACCTCGCAACCCCGCCTCGCTTCTCAACCTCGCTCCGCGTCGCAATGTGAGGCGCAGCACAACGACACCAACTAAGCCTGTGCAGCCAATTCGCAACCGGATCCCGCCACTTCGCAACCGAATCCCGCCATTTCGCAACCGGGTCCCGCCTCCTAACCCGGCCCCGCCTCCCAACGTCCCGTCTTCGAATCCCGTCCCACGTTCCCACCCGGCGCTACGTCCCATCCCGAGGCGCAGGTCGACGGCAGAGCCTGAGCCTGTACAGCCAATTCGCAAACACCAAGGTGGCATTGCAAAGCGCCGCGCCGCGAGCAGCAAGCTCAGGGCTGATACCCTTGCTGGCCTGCTTCTGGAGCCAGCCAAGCCACATGCAGGTTCCGACTCAATAAGTGCTAAGATTCGCATGATGCCTGGCGCATATGTCGACTCAGACTGATTATCAGTTCACCGCCCAGCCTCTCCCAATGTCATCTTCTCCCTTGCCAATGGCACGCCTTCGAGTGCGGCAAGCTCGACATTTGGGGAGCATCAGTCTCAATTGCCAACTATTCATTCGCCTTTGCCTGGCGAGGTGTCAAGATTGTCAAGCAACACCCCTCCTGGACGTAGCGATCTATGCTTGGATGCTCAAGCAGAATTTGTGAGACAGTGCATATGCTTTCAGCGAAAGCGAGCGAAATGGCTGTCCGATTACACTCTGGGCTCCAATGTGGGAGTAGTTTCATTTGTGTCAATGATCTGTTCATTCTGCTTTTTGGCAGTCGTCTAATAAGTAATGGTTCAAAGGGTTTTAGGAATTGGATTTCATATGACTTGCAATAGATTTCATAGAGCTTGCATCAGAAACATAGCTGTGGGCGTTACATCTGGATCAATAAAGAAGGGAGCCTATTTGGTCAAACTCCACAGAACTGATGCCTGAAAACTCTCGTGATAGTTGAATCGCAGCTAGAGGATTATTTTTCAGTATATAACTGTACTAAAAGTAGTTATCTATACGCCTAGGATACTATCACGACGACCACATGCCACATGCCGCTGGAGCTTGGTCGTTCAATCATTGGTGCTCGGCAAGGCGGCTTATTCGTTTGACACCAACTCACTGATGAGACTCGCCCCATGTGCAGTCGCCCCCACCATGCCGCCGTTCTTCTCGCAGCCAAGGAGAGAAGCAGACTTTTGAGCCTCAGTGGTATTCACACAGCCGTCGCTCGCGTCGGTGAGATCTGTGTAGAGGATGGAAGAGGTGAAACGGGGATTGATGTGTCCAGTCTGGCGAGGGACATGACGGTCCCGCGGAATTCGACAGGGAGCTGCCTCGAGTGCTCCTCACAGTCGGTCCCGGACGGCGGTCCACTTGATGATTTGATCGGGATGTGGCAGACTGATTCAGCTAACTTGGTTGACAATGTGACCCCTGCGCGAAGCGATTCGCGATACTGCTGGGTTGGGTCCGACATGTCATCATCATGACACCGTCCCAGGTCATACTGCGGATCGAATTAGGCCAGCTGGCCGCTGCCGTACCTGTGATGTACAAACTATTTCTGATTTATGAGTTGCTACTCTCTTGTGCAGACTTCCCCAAAGGTTGTGTCCGGTGTGGAGTAGATACCCTCCGCATCCGGTACTGCATCTTGTTGCGAAGAGATGTCCGGACGAGTTGATTGACCGTGCCCCAGGCCAAACCATGGTCGGGAGGCGGAAAGGTCCCGGACGGATCCCAGGCTTCAGGCCTGTATTAGAGGCGCCAGCAGTCGGACTTGACGGCCTTGTGATCACGAGAGTAGATCAAATCGCGGTGACTAATGTGTGCTTACTATCACGAACTGTTAGAGTGTCTCTATAATACAGGTATTCGATTTATTATATGTCTTATATTACTCTGGATCTCTAGTGTAATATGGTATATATCTGATATTTAATTTGAGTACTGACTGTATTATGACATATCTGATAGATACATTAAGAATAGTCCTCTTTCCCAATACCAACCCTGTCTGCAAAATGCAGTCCCTAATTCACCCACTCCATTCTATATTTTAGGCAACCTCCTCTGCCGTCTCTCCACGGACACCGCTTTTAGCATCGTGGCCAAGGTCTAAGCCTGTCACAGCCGCTTTCTCACCGTCAAAGATGACGGCCATCTCCTCGAGCGAGTGACCCCTTGTTTCTGGGTAGAAGAACCAGATGGTGCAGATTATGAAGAGAAGAATTACCACAAAGACAATGTAGTACTTCCAACCAATGGCAGCCAGGGCGATCGGGTTGACGAAGATGTTGAAGAACACGGCAAGACTGGTCGAGACCTGGAGTAGTGCCATTCCGCGAGCGCGCAGCTCATAAGGCCAGATCTCCGCGGTGTAGGAGATGAGAAGAGGCGTGCTGTTAGTAGCAGAAGCGTTGTAAGCATATTTCCATCCTGGGTGAAGAGTGTATTTTCGGGTTGGAGCGTGACTTACAAGGCGATGTCATAGAATCCGTAGTACAGGTATAGGAATGGAACTACCGCGATGCCGATTGCATGGCTTCCAGTGTTGGCAAAGCTCCCTGAGAGTCCGGTAATCAGAATGAAGCTGATGAGCATCCCGATGGAGCTGATCAGGAACAGCGGCCGACGGCCGACGAGATCGACACTCATGGCAGAGCCAACAGCACAGAAAAGATTCCACACCTGCAGGCAACCGCTGATCAAAGTCTGCTGTGTCACAGACGTGATCCCGACGGTCTTAAGCACCATTGCCAGATAGTAGGACACCTGAGGACTCGATTAGTGGCTATTTAGCACGCGGTAAGGACATATCCGAGCAAGCTTACTACACCGACCCCGTTCCATTGCGCAAAGATACCCAGGGTAATCGATATGAAGGCCCGATGGCGGTTACCTTTGGTCGAGAATAGATCGGCCCAGGAAGTTGAAGACATGGCCATCTTATCTGCTTCGATGGCTCTCTGAATCTCGGTCATTTCGAACTCGACAAGAAGTGAATGCTCGTCGCTACCAGCATGAAACTTCGTCAAGATGGCTCGGGCCTTGTCCAGCTGGCCTGTTGAAACCAGGAAACGTGGTGATTCCGGTACCAAAATGGCCGCTGGCAAGATGAGAATAGGGACAGCGAGCTGTAGCAGAGAGGGTATCCTCCAGGTCCAGTCATTTCCATAGTTGCGCGTTCCATAAGTCGCCCATGCAGCCACGGTTGAGCCGACATACCAGCCACAATTGTACAGCGCTGTCAGGACAGCGCGATGCGTAGGGAAGGCCAGTTCGGTAATGAGCAACGGTGCGAGGCTGCCCCACCAGGCGGACGGCTGGCCGATGAAGAATCGGCCGAGGACGAAGGTAGCTTTGTTGTGGCCGAGCGCTTGGAGTAGGGCACCTAGAAGGAGGAACACATAACCTATCAGAAGGCCCTTCTTTCGGCCCCAGCGGTTGGCAAAGTAAGCAACGGCAGGCAGTGCTATGGCGGCGGAGAGGGCCTGGACGGCGTTTATGAATCCAAGCCAGGATCCAGAAGGGTCACCCATGAAGGCAAACCACTCTGGAAGGGCCATGAGGCCATTCATCATACTTCCTGTGACTCATTATTTTAGTTACACCTCTTACTTTGTGGACCGTGGTGGACTGTGCCATACCATCATATCCATTGGCGGCAGAAAAAAGGGTCATGGAGACAGCATAGAAGTTAAGCACTAGCAAATGCTTCTTCTTGTACCAAGGGATGCCATCTTGGGGAAGCACCTGAGCAAGGTCTTTGCCGACGGCGGAGTTGTTATCCGTTGGCTTCGCTCTTGCAAACATGGCGAGTATTTAAAACGCAGACTCGAGGATGAAGAATGGCATCAGGCCCCTATCATAGAAGATATTTAAGGTCAGGTGTAGGAGAACGCTCAGAGGGTAGCGGCAAAATAAAGTGTAAGTTAAGAAACCCGCATGCATATCATTGCGGACGGCATCAGACCTATCAATTAAATAAATCAGGGCGTCGCTGCGGGTCAGTGTTTTGGGGCGAGCATCTGGACTGGGGAAAAGTTTGGGGCTCTGCTAGCTCTCGCGGAATTCCGGACTTAAACGTTTCACTCGAGTTGTGTGGGCAGGTTAAGCATACCCGGACGGCCGCAAATCCAGGATTGGTTGGTTCGCTAAATGACCAGGAAATCCTCCAGATCTCTGTTCATGGCTGTCTGCTCCCGCTCGAGCAGAACCACGTAGTTACGTGCCATAATTTGCAGACACAGTCTCCATAAAGTCTTACCAGGCATGAACTGCTATACCCCTTCGTGAAGAAGTTGGTCACTACTAGAAAGACCATCGTCAAACGCTCGACTGATAATATAATGGTTTTATAGCCGGGCAAAGACGCTGAAATCGTTTAGAGTCAAAGGAGGTCAATTTGCTTCTAACACGCAAAAGCTTTGGCCGAGCTCTCAAAGCCGAGTATAACCACTGGCAATAGTGGTCCTTCGTGAAACTTGAGGTGTCAAAGCTTTGATTTCGGTGTGTTGTCTGTCTCATGGATCCTGGCCATGACCAATTGCCGGCACTCCCCGAGATCCGGGACCCTTGCTCAGCAGACCTCAAATCTCAAATCTCAGGGTCTAGGCTGTATTCTCGCAAAAGGTGCCTGGCTCCGACCCCTACAGGGCACAGGTAGATCTCTGTTCCTGTTCTAAGCTCTTATTGGAATGGCGTTTTAGACCAGTGGTCAACGTTTAGCGAGACGAGGCCAGCATGCCCGAAAATCCGCGAAAATGTAATTCTCGTTCCCCAGATTTTCCTCATTTTGAAGAGGGGGATCCCTCGACCCCAACATTCTGGTGGATTCTTCCACTGCATCTGTCAGTGTTGGTTGAGCGATGCAATCTGGATTGAAAGCTCACTATGTCCGCTCACTTCCACGATGTATCAAAGGGAATCTGGAGCAAATGAACAGTTCATAATAGCATCTAATTCACCGTGAGTAGGAAGCAGGGTATCTTAGGAATATCAACAAGGATAATAAAACATGTCACCTCACTTTTGAAAAATCAAGACTGATATATACGCACTAAATATCTGCCTAGACAAAATATTACGATTACTGACTTGAAGAATTAGATCAGTTGTCCCATCGCTTTAATTCAATTTGAAGTGGGTTTTCCACTACTGCCGAGACACTGTCGTCAAAGTGCATCGTCTGTCTCTGTTCCTCCTCGTACCTTGGCCAGGCGGGTTCCCCTGACATGGCAAACGCAACCCAAGCTCGATGCATGACATCTGCAAGTCCTTGGGGGGGCGTAGGCCCGAGTAGTGTCTCTGTGTTGAGGCCGAGGGTATCGAAAACGAAGGGAATCTCCACTGAGTGCGCAGCGCCGAGACGCCCGCCCATCTGGGGCGAGCGCCAAGCGAATTCGTACATGTAGGTGCCGGCACCAGGGCTGGCTGCCTTGGAATGGGCGTCTGCGAAGCGCAGAGCCGGAATCCTCCAGTACCAGTCGGTCTGGATGGCTGACAACAGCTCACCAGCACTGAACTTTGGGTGAGACTTTCGGTAAGCTTCAAGACCCTGTGTTGTCAGACCATATGCGCCTGCCATGGCGGACACGGCGCCTTCAGTCATGCGGTCGATGGAGCCGTCTGAGAGGAAAAACAGCCGCGTCTCCTCGGTGTTGGAACCCACGAGCAGGTCGATGTCTGCCGCACTGCCCGCGCCCACGAGAGTGGCAGGATGATCTGGGATGATGTCGCTGTCGATGGTCGGTGCCCATGGTAGGAAAGTGAGCGCAACCTCGCCCCAGATTGCCGGATCGGGCTGCATCTGGAGCTGCATCCGCAGCTTGCCCTGCGCCTCAAGTATCTGCTCGTAGGGCATTGAAGCCAGCGCATCCCGTGTCGCCTCAACTCCCAACATCTCCGCAACGCGCTGACCAATCCGTGCTGCAGTGCCCGGTGTGTTCAACCGCGGCGCGTTGCCACTCTGCACGATGGCGCGGCGAAAAAGTCCCCTGGCTCGCGGGACGGCCAGGAGCGTGGCCACGCTCATCCCCCCGGCCGACTCGCCAAATATGGTGACTCTGCTCGGGTCGCCGCCGAACGCAGCCACATTCTCCCGCACCCACTCGAGTGCGGCGATCTGGTCAAGAAGGCCCAGATTAGCTATTCCATCATCCGCCAGGTATAGAAAGCCCTCGAGGCCGACGCGGTAGCTGATGGTCACGCACACAACACCATCACGGGCAAATCTGCTACCGTCATAGTAGGCCGAGCCGCCCGTGGCGTGGAACTCGAACATGCCACCAGGAATCCACACCATGACCGGCATTCCTTCCCCAGTGGTCGTCGGTGCTCCGATACTGGGGGTCCATATATTGAGCGTTAGGCAGTCCTCCCCGGTGGTAACAACCTCGGCGAGTGCCTCACCCACTCCGGGTGGGTAGGGTACCTGAGGGCACTTCGGCCCAAAGGTGAGGGCATCACGCACGCCGTCCCAAGATGTGACGGGCTGGGGCGGGCGCAAGTGATTGGGTCCGAATGGCGATGCTGCGAATGGGACGCCTTTGAATACATGAATGCCGTCAGATATCTGACCCCGGATATCGCCCGATTGTGTTCGTACAATGGGGCTACCGGCGTTGGCCATGCGGCTATTCATGAAAGTGCTGTCCATGAGGGTGCTTTAGAGGTCAGAGCGATATCACCAAGCCGTCGTCTAAGGCCTTGACTTCAATGAAGATGATTGTTGTTGATATGTTTGAACGTTTGTAAGTTCGAAAGAAACGATGTGATCAATGAAAGTGAACACTGTACAGTACAGGGTCAAGGTGTCCGTCCAGATTATTTAGTTATTATGATTCTAAAACAATCACCTGTCTTTCCGCTATTGCAACATCATGATTTACTGCTGACTTCAGGTGGCGTGGGGTGATGTGGCGTCCAATCAGGTTACGACGGCAGCACCCTATGCCTATTGCGATCGCATAGATGGTGGATGCGAAGGATGCGCATCGTGGTTGACTCGTAGCTTTTGCTTGCCAAGCAACGATTCCCTTTTGCCGAGGTTACGTGTGATATTATCACCAGTCCGCTATGTTAGACCGTCGCTTGTACTTGTCCCGGAGGCTGCAGGAGTCTCGACGCACATCCAGACAGACCTGGCACACAGAGTCAAGCAGCGCTGGCCCACATTGCATGGAGACTCAACGACGTGATTGCACAGGCCCTTGCCAACCACAATGATAATCTCCTCATCAATAACAAGGATAGGAAGAAGGCGTGGCAGCTGGCTGCAGTTCGGGGTATCACCAAGTCGTGTGGCCGCTCCTGAAGAATGATGTACAGGATAAGACAACACAAGATAACCCTGAAGTTAGACAAAAAAACAAGCTGGGGCGGATAGCGCTTCTCATTCGTGGCGGAACAGGACCACAATGAGGTGATAAAGACCTTGCTTACATATTTGGGCGATTATGCCAAGGTTAAGCAACAGTGAAGCACACCGTTGCCGGCTGCAATAGACCAGGGCAACAGGGCCGCGGCGGCTGTGGCTGTGCTGCTGGACACACACATCAATACGGACGCACACTACTTACGCTGCTACCAGAGGATGTGGACGCCCACAAGGGTATTGTTGGCAAGAAACAATATAGCGTTGTGTATGAATCATAGGTATATTAGTTTGATGTCGATTGCTAGAGTGATCAGGACTACATGTTAGAAGAGAAAGCCCCATTAAGAATCAGAAACAGACCACGCACTATCACAGTCAATCTCATCCATCTCCATCTCCACGGTCCAGTCCTTGGGCTCAGACCAAGATTCAGCCTTATCGCCGGCTGCCTCATCACCGTGCAGAGCCGTCTCCCAGGTCGAAATGTCAAGCACAGCCTCAGGCTGGAGGCCATTATTGCGGTCTCCCATCAATTTTCTCACCGCTTTGAGGATCTCACTCAGGGTCTCCTTGCTCTGCTCCAGATGGTGGGTTGCATATCCATCGTCCTCCTGTCTCTCGGTGAGCATAGCATAGTCGTACCTCAAAGAGCGCAGTTGGCGCATGTAAATGGTGATGTTGTCGTCGAGCAGACCACCGGCTTGCACCTGCCTCAGCTGTTCTACCTGTTGTCCGAACAGCGCATCTCTGAGCATGGCGAAGCGGATGTCGATTGCAGCGTTGCAGTGGCCGAGGCTCTCGTGCATCGCCGCTAGCAACGCCTGGCAAGACAGTGATTCGGGATGGTTGACGCCATAGACGTCCTTTAGGTTATACGAGATGTCCTCGAGCAGACTGAATGCCGTGCTGTATTCGCCGCACACGAAGTCGACCTCTGCCAGGCGCTTGCCGATGGCGATCGTGGCGGCGGCACTAAATCGGAACTCATGACCGTTGCGGGATGTCCATAACAGGTTTAGGATTCTCTGTAAGCAGTCGATATTAGCGACTTCTCTTCTCGGACATACAGTTTGTTCCCTGAACTGAGACTTTGAGCTTACCTTGAGAGTCCTGTAGTCTTTCTGCCTGCCAGCGATATTCAGTACGAGGGAGACGTGGTTGATGCTGACGACGCTGAGGTCCTCGGTGTACGTGATCGCTGAGACGCCAAGCATTGTAGCAAGCTCCTCGACGCTGGCGCTTAGGTCCTTGGATGTCTCTACTTCAACGCAAGTGTACAGGAGCGTAGAAAGCTTGAAGAGAACCAGTGCAAGAGCACTGTCACCGCCGCGCTTACAGAAGCTCTGCGTATTCTTATGAATCCATCGACATAAGACAATACAGGCATTGTGGTTGCGAGAGGCTGCTAGCTCCTCCACGATGACCAAGATAGATTCGAGGAGCGAGAGAGGCGCTATCTGCGTCTTGCAGGTATCGAAAATGGCCTGAAATAATTTGTACATGGAGCCACTCTCCTGGTTTGGCTTGCCGAGGAGCTTGCAGAACAAAGTCCAGGCTTCGCTCTCGACCTTGATGGCCTCGGTATGCTGGCCGTGGCACTCGAGATGCTCCATCAGGCGGGTACCAGAAGTGAGCAGATCGTCGAGACCCACAGACCCGAGGCAAGCCCGGAGCCACGCCTCGTAGAGCGCCGTTTCGGTGAGGACTCGCGTGAGGACTTCTTCGAAGAGGCCACCATCGTGGTCACCTCGGAAAAGTGCTTCCATGGCATATACCATGACGAGGCCGCGACGATCACAGAGTGCTTGAACTCTGGTCTCCTCGGCCTCTGACCCGTAAATTCCTGTGCGGACAGGCAGTAGGAAGGTCAACTCGCGGTAAGTGAGGCCGACCGACTGGTACATGGACACAAAAGCATAGGAGAGCCTGAAGAGCTTCTGCGGACCATTTCCCTCCCCAAGGACGCCGAGCACCGCCTCCTGTAGGGCGTCCGTAGCGACGGTGAGAGAGTTGGCAGTCTTCAAGGAGATACAGAAGTCGAGAAGCTTCTGAATGCCGGTCATCGACTGCTCGTGCGAGTATCCGTACCTCTCGTGAGCCTGACTCCACCCCTTCACCAGAATCTGCTCGGCCCGGTCGTGCATCGCAGGTTCAGTAGATACCAATACACTGAGCCGCTCCTGGGCAACAGTGAGGATCAACAGGATGGCCTCGGCGGGCTCCGAAATACCGAGGCATGTTTCCTTGGTCTCGTCGTACAGTTTTGCTGCTTCCCTGATGGTGGACTTGTCCGTCTCGAGGAGCGCTGCCAACTCGAGGGAAACTTTGAGAGTCCAGATGTCCTCCCGCCCAAAGTCAGTCAGGTAGGCTGCCCTTAGCTTCCTGGCCAGCCGCACGGCCACGGAGAGGTTCTTCATGGCGATCAGAGTGGAGCAGTAACCCTGGAAGATCTCGAAGCCGCGAGTCGTGTCCAGGGTCAGCTCGTTGCGGAGGTCAAAGTAATATGACCACAGGCGCTCGTACCACTTCAACACATCTGCTTGGCGATCCTTCTCACCATGACGCTTGCAGAGCGCAAACAGGGCCTCGATGAGTATAAGGATGGAGTGTAGATCATTCTCATCCGGCTCCAGTTCCAGGACGTCCTCGTAAAGGTGATCGTCGCAATCATCATAGCCATCTTCCTCAGCAAGCAGTAGACTGAGTCGTGCGATGACACTGGCCACCCGGATGGTGAAGCGGTGAGAGCGTCCCAGGCTTTCCCAGCATTCTGAAAGCAGGGATCTCCAGAACAGTAGAGCTTCCGAGTGCATCCCAGCTTCTTCCAGTGCGGACGAGAGGGAGGCAGCAATGGTTTCACTCACTGTGTCGGGTGGGAGAACGCGGCGCCTGCAGCAACCGACAACTAAGTTGACCAGCTCTTTGGACCGCTTTTCATCGCCAGTCAGCTTGTACATCTGGGCCGTGATGACCACCATTCGCACGCATTCGCCACAAAAACTGTCAGGAAGACGCAAGTCCTCGTTGCCAGTCTTTTGGCCTTTCAGAACTGCCGGCCAGAGCTTAGTAAGAACCTTGTGGCAGATCTTGATAGCAGCAGTATGCTGAGATCTGGAGCGGTGCAGGGTGGCGAGGTCTGTGCAAACCAGGACAGTCTCGGCGGTGATCCCTTGTTTGGCGGCTAAGATGCTATCCAGGATGTTGAGCCACCGGAAGTCTTCAAGTGGGTTATCTATGCCTTTGTAGCAGCCGATAAGTGTGGTGTACACTGCAAGCATCTCTTCGTGAGAGTGGTCACGGACAGTATGTGTCTGATGGATATCGTACAGCACGCGGAGAATGGCAAGTGCCTCCTTGTGCTTGTCGAACCTCAGCAGGATTTGAGACATCTCGCGGAGCTGCATCAGTACTCTTGCGCTGGTTTTCCTGTCCGATGCAAGGTACTTGGCAGCCAGGACCCAGTATTCTGGAATCACCTCGGTGAGCTCGGCGTCCAGAGCCAGGTCTCGAAGCTGGAGGGAGAGTTTCAGGGTGGTAGACGTCAAAGATTCAAACAGATCGCTCTGAGCACTACTGTAGCCGCTGATGCCGTGCTTCTTGAATTGTCCCAAGAGTAGGCGCCACAGCTGCCTGAGCTTCGCCGTGGAGATGTCAGACATGCCCCTCTCCTGATAGTGAGGGACGATGCGCATGACCGCTTCCAAAACAGTCTCATTCCAAGTCTCCAGCGCCTGAGCCGTGTCGAAGAGGTCCTGACAAACCTGCTGGGCATCGGTCATCCTGTCGGACTGTTCGAGGCTGTCGATGAGAAGCTGGAAGATCTCGAGCGTCCTGGCCGCAAACAGCCCCTTGGTGCGGGAGCAGGCCTTGTAGCTATCGAGCAGAACTTCCGAAGCTTCTGTGATTGCCAGCTCCGTCTTGTACAGGGAAGCCAACGCTAGTGCCACATTCAAGGTCTCTTCATGGCTCTCGCCGAGCTCGAGGCGATAGACTCCCCAGAGGTACTTGAGGACTCTGGATTCCCGATGAGGGGTGACTTTGTGAAGCTTGACCAGAGTGAAGATGTACTTGGCTCCAGACGTGGCCTGGGGACTGGGCTCGCCGTAGGTGGCAATAACCCCCTCAAAGGCTTCCATGAGCCTCTCCATGACGACAGAATTGTCACAGTGCGCCAGGAGAATATTAGTCTGGATCACAGACGGACTCTTGGGTCCGAAGACAGACTTGCGCAGAGCAAGCAGTTGCAAAATAGCCATCTCTAGCGCAACGGCATCGGTGTATTCTACCCGCAGGAAGTTCCACTCTGCGAACGTCATGAGAACAGAGTCGGGCAGGAGCGAAGCAACGTCAGGCGGGACACAGCCAGTGATCTTCTCCGAGGACGTCAATGACTTCTCATAGTGTTCATGCCAGTACCTGACAGCATACACAAACATGGAATCGAAGTCTGCGTACGCCGATATCGATGCCCACTTTGTTCGTGCGGGATCCTGGAAATGAACATCGACGACCTTGGTCTTCGCAAGGGTGTCGCGAGCGTGTCGCAGACAAGCTAGCGCCACCTGACGGTGGCATTCGTGCAGAGAGAGAGGGATCTTCCCGTGGAGCGACAAGTACTGCATCCTGGCTTTGACTTGTGAGTCGACGAACTCAAGACATCCATTGCGAATGGTCAGGACGCCGGACAAGTACGAATTAGAGCTGACAGCGCGACCGGACCTGATGCGACGCAGCCAGTTGCTTAGCGAGAGGGAGGACTGCTTCTCGAACTCCAACACGTCCACAGGTCGCTTGCCCACTAGCAGCCATGAGAGCAGCGTTTGCATCTCCCGGTCCTTGTAGTCGATCTTGAGGATCAGATAGTCAAGCATGCCTTGGGACGTCTTGGGCGTCTCGCGAATGATGTCGGGCATGTGGGTGACGTCCTTCTGCGACTCAAGGAGGCGTAGCGTCAACTTGGCCTCGACCAGCGAGGTCCACTGCTTGTCCGCGATGTACTGTAGAAGGTCTTTTCGGATGCGTGTCGAGAGGATAGAGAGGCTGGCCGACCCTTCGATGGCGTTCACCAGAAACTGACGGGCGTTGCGGCAGACGACGTCATGGGTAATAGTGTAGATCTCGACGCCAGTCAAGGCGTGTGCCGCGGTGGGGGTGGCCAGAGCCAAAACCCGAACATGGCGGCATTTGGAAGTGAGTTCTTGGAGCTTGGTGAGCAGGGAAACGCCGGAGTTGGTACTCTCAGAGGCAGCTACTCCGTCGACGACAAGAACTACGTCACCCTTCGCCTTGGAACACTCCTCAGTGAGCAGCTCCCAGAGACGGTCCTCCGTACGAACGCCCATAAGGTCGCCCACGGTCTTCTTTGCAAGCTGGTATATGGCGGATACAAAGCTAGTATTACCGACTGACTGGTCAAGCAGCTGTCGTAGCAACGACTTGAGGAAGGCCACTGTTCCTGATGTGGGGCCTTGAGAAGATCCTGTTATTTTCGCGTCAATGTTGTCCGTTTGCAAGTAGTTAGTTATGAAGGGCAAGGAATGACCCACCAAATGTTCCACGCAGAAGCTTCGAGTCCACTGCGAGAGTCAGTTGCAGGCGCTCGAGAAGATTGGCGGTCAACTCCTGCTCTCCGTATCCAAGCTCGCCCGTGACGATGAGTATTCTCTTGGGGGTTTTGAAGAACTTGAGAACCAGGGACTCGACGAAATCAAAGACGAACGGGGTTGCACTATCACCGACCGGGAGGTCTCGGGAGAAGCCATAGCGGTTCCCAGGCCGACCGTGGGCGGCGACGTAGTCAATCTGATCATCTAGCCAGTCCACAACACGGCCATGGGAATACTCCACGGTGGAGTCCTTGTAGGTAAGCTGCCACACCTGCTGACAGACTTCGCCAGAAGCTTCATTCAGACTGGAAATGTCGGCTTCGAAGTATTTGTTGACCTGGTAAGTGAACACAGCGAGACTTAAGGACTTGCCAGTCTCCCTGAGTTGATCGAGCATCTCGACAAAGGAGGCACAGATGCGCTGCAGAGCCTGCGTCATCTTGGCCAAGGCTGTATACAGCTTCTGAGAGGACAAAGACGAGAACTTGTCGGACTCTGTCGGCACAGACAGCTTGACATGTTGTAAAATAGCACCAACTCTGTGGAGGATGGACAGCAGCGGGTCAAGCAACAACGGGGACAGAACCGGCTCTCCCTGCAGCGCCACCTCGCAGCACGAGACGAGCATGGCGGCCACTCCCTCAGAATCGGAGGCTCCATGATTCCTGACCAGGGCTGCGAAGCCTGCGATGCGCTCAGCCGAGGACTGGATAAGCTTGAGCTTCCGATCCAGTGGGCTCCATTGTCGAGGTACCTGGCGCATGCGTATCTTGTCGATCAAGTCTAAGACGCGCTGCACGTCTGCCCGATCGGAGTGTACATGTAGTCCACAGGCGCACTGCAACTCTTTGAGGCAAGAGCGCGCCTTATTCAGACGCTCCTCGAGGGGAAGAGCGCGGAGTGCCGTGATATTGGTGCTGGTGGCCATGCGGCCGACAATGGTGGTCGCGCTGGTCTCGGTGGACAGGGATCGCAGTCCGAGAATACTGGACGAGGTGGAGCTCATACGCATGATCCCGCGTTGCTTGGGAAGCTGCCTAGAGATTTGTCCGGTAGTAGCCGTGATAGGCGAATCAGGGACAACATCCTCACCGCCATGCTTGCTTCCGTTGCCATTTTCGAGGTGCTGCCTGGCAGGATCGGCAAGAGGCACTGGAGGTTGCGGGGATGAACCCGATGTGCTTCTGAGAGACATGGTCTTTCCATGCAAAGCGGCGTCGAGTGAGATGTCAGGATCTGCATCTGGGGCAGCTTTCTTGCTGTCAGAGGCAAGAGGGCCCGGCGAGCGCCGTTGAGTCTGGCCTGGTGTTTTCCCAGCTTGGTCCCCAGATATGTCCGATGAAGAATGGGTAGTCAGCTCGGAAACTTGGACAACTGGGGACTCGGTCATGGCCGGAAGCTTGTTCACGACCGGAACCTCCTTCACGGCTGGAGACTTGTCTGAGACTGGAGGCTTGTTCACATCATCTCCAGCCGCCCCGGGGTGGGCTTTACTATGTAGACTCTTAGCTGTGGAAGTAATCGCTGCAACTCCGCCACGAATCATTTTGCTGGTGCTATTGCAATGAGATCAGATAGAATAATTTGAAAAGGGATGAGGAAGAAAGACTAAGTGATATGAAAACTTCACAGAATGCCTCTGTCGGTTGAGGAGTGAGAAACCAGGGGGATATATGTCGACGCGGGAGGCCTGGGGTTCTGGCTCTCCCGGCCCCGAGGCAGCCACAGGGTGCCAATTGACGGCATGCTCTTCAATTTCTTGGAATGCCTTTCCTCTGCGATTGATCAATCAGAACCTTGATTGACAAGAGAAAAGGACAAAGACCCGTCTCGGTGAAAGTGTGGCGTTCGTGTCCCAAGCTGAAAGCTTATACCGTATATGATCGCCAGTCCCCAAATTGCACATGTAGACAGTGCACAAGGTGTCCCGTCGAGGATGAAGTAGATGCATTTCAGCTTGATAGCTGCGTGCACCCTGCAACCCTCTGTTACCTGTGCAGTTGCGGGACTAGTGAACCGGGGGGTTTGACGCCACGCCGGCACGAACCGAGCGGTGAGGGCGGGGTGGCTTTTATAAAATGGCCGCCTCTTGCACGGAAACGGTAATCGAGGGGTTGCACCGTGGCCGGCTGAAGATTAGTGCATGGCCACATTCGGAAAGAGGCTGGAACGACGACAAGCTGATCGGGTGATAGCTTCACGTGCATGATGCGTCTGGACAAGCCGCGAGACGGGAACGAAGTATGTGAACCCTATGCCATACACCCAATGTGGAAAGAGAAACAGCATAGGGTTACCCGTGTATTTAACCGCACCCCACTGTATCTCTATCAACTAGCAACATTAGCACCGCTGAGCTTGAGCTATGAAGAGTGTTCTCTGAAATTGTGAAAGTGTTCCAGGTACTGTCAGCTGTACAGGGTGATAAGCCGTCTAAAGGGAAGGGTGTGAAAATAGCGCCCTGAGTGAAATTCCATAGTAACGACTATGAGGTCTCCATCTCAGTGAAGGAAATATCCCGCATTTGACTCAGGAGATGGCCTTGGATGACGAATGTCCCAACGTTGCTGGATGCCTCGTTCTTCCCCACACGTCGGAGCCCATTGAAGCTGGCCAGCGTCAGGTCTTTGAGGGATAGTAACCAGCGTGCAGCAGACCTGTATGACTGGGGTTTCAAGGAAAACCTTGCCAGCATTGAATGACACTTGGCGTAATCGCGTAGCATGGAGAACTTCACAGCCCAAGTTTCTCAAATCTCACCCACGTTTGCGGACTTGCGGTGTTAAGTCAATACTTTCACAATCGCACGATCCAGAGATGGCGTCTGCTCTTCATGTTTGTCGTATCAGTCATGGCAGTCGCTGCTATGCTACTTTCGTTTTCCTTCAATTGAGTATTAAAGAAGAGCGCACCGCAGGCCTGCCTGGAACGAATGCTGCGTGTTTATTTAACGTCGCTCGAGCCGTTAAATGGCATTATCCGTCTATACATACGAGAAGAGTGCCAAGCACATCGGCATTGTTCTCATCCTGATTCTTAATCTTGTGTGACCTCTAGATTAAGACTGAAGATGGACACATTATAGAATTCCAGTGACCCCCTGGTTAAAATTCGCGTGGTAGGTAGGTTCAAATAGCACTACCCGATGACATAATACTATATTGCACTAGCTGCAGGCACCTGTGATCTTGCTTACGGGGGATCTGCTATGAAGCAGCTGCATTCAAAGCAAAATCGGGCGCGTATCGGGGCCGTGACCGGAGCTGCGGTGACGGAGTGGACGGGGATGCTCAACTTCGCGCTAATTAACGGCTCGACCCATCCCAATATGGTAACTCCTCGGTAGTACATTTGTCGCCCGTGCGTCCTGCGGAAACCTCCCCTCTCCCAGCCCCAACGCGATCGATATGATATTCACGGTCCTTGTTTTCGGCCCGAAATTATTACTCCTTTCAGAGTCATGTCGCAACAACATGCCCTTCGGCTTAAGGAGACACGCAACCCCATTCACGGCAATAGGCGGCTCAAAGATGCATCCATGGATGATGGTGTAGGGGCTCATTGGGCCTGGCTGCAGTTTGAAAGCCATGTTGCTTGGTGGCACTGCAAGAAACCAGTGATCGAGTGATTGGTATCAGAAGACCTCCTTCTTGTTCTTGAAGTGTTGCCTCAATTAGTCGTGATTGGCAGGGCGTGGTCAACACATGTCGAAATGCTTCCCAAGCAGCAGATCCGATGCTACGCATCCCACGCCGTGGCTGCCGCCAAAAGACGGCTCAATGTCCCCATCGACTTTGCAAAGACGCCGCTTCTTCACCACAAGAGGGAAACACTGTCAAACACACCAGGGCTTCCACACAACTGCGAGACGAGCCGATTGAACCTCTTTCAAGCTGTCAATTCCGGCTTGCGGACGGCTCTCAATGAGTCGAATCGAGTCTTGTGCTTTGGTGAAGATGTCGCCTTCGGCGGCGTCTTCAGGTGCACTTCGGGTCTGCAAGAGGAGTTCGGGCCTCAGAGAGTCTTCAATACGCCGATTACGGAGCAGGGCATTGTCGGCGCTGCAATCGGTGCCGCTGCTGAAGGAATGAAGCCCGTCGTCGAAATCCAGTTCGCGGACTACGTCTTCCCAGCCTTCGACCAGATCGTGAACGAGGCAGCCAAGTTCCGATACCGAGAAGGAACAACAGGTGCCAACGTCGGGGGGCTTGTGATTCGTATGCCCTGCGGAGGTGTAGGCCATGGAGCTCTGTAAGTCGCGTGAAGCCCGCCAATGAGGGCAGCTCAGACCGATCTAGGCTGAAGCTAACAACCTTCTTCAGATATCATACGCAGTCTCCTGAGTCGCTGTTTTGCCACGTACCCGGATTCCGAGTTGTAGTCCCTCGCTCGCCCTCGCAGGCAAAGGGCCTCTTGCTTTCTGCAATCCTCGAGTCCAAGGATCCGGTCATCTTCATGGAGCCCAAGATATTGTACCGTGCAGCAGTTGAAGAGGTCCCAGAAGATTTGTATACTCTTCCTCTGAGCAAAGCAGAGGTGGTAAAGCCTGGAAAGGATCTCACCATCATCTCGTACGGCCGACCGCTGTATACCTGTGCTGCAGCAATTGAGGCGGCCGAGAAGGAACGTCCCGGACTGAATGTCGAATTGATCGACCTCCGAACTATCTATCCCTGGGACCGTCCGACTATCCTGGAAAGCGTTGCCAGGACTGGACGGGCGATCGTCGTGCACGAGAGCATGGTCAACTACGGAGTTGGGGCGGAGATTTCAGCGACAATCCAGGAGCATAACTTCCTCAAGCTCCATGCACCTGTCAAGAGAATTGCGGGTTGGACGACCCACACAGGCTTAGCATGGGAGAAATACATCTTCCCTGATGTTGCGCGTGAGTTATCTCAAGCTTGTCCCGCTATGTCCATTCCAACTTTGATCACTGACGCCAGAGTTCGTTACAGGAGTCTATGATGCAATTATGGAGAGCATCGAGTACTAGCTTGTGTTAGGATTCATTAGATGATATTTGCCCATGGGTAGAAGTCGAGACGGCAATACAGGATCTACTTGTAGGGCTGTGAGGGCTACCCTAGAACAGTTACGCGGCTACACCAAAACAGCCTTAGCCTGTTCTATGTTGATATTCTCGATATGTACTTGTAATTAAACTGATCCAGCATCTCCAAAGTGAACTATATTACAACGATGTTGAATGATGACTAGCTCCATCAGTTTAGGGTGGTCACAGGGCACAAAATAGTAAGACCATAGCAGCTTGGCAGTCCAACCAGGGAACATCAACAACGCAATCCGTAAAACTTGTACCGTGTGTCGTTCGCAATTCAAATAATATGTGCTGGAAATGTTCACAGGCCGCTGATGCCTCCCTCGTGCTGGTCGCAATCATACTCCTCCGGATACTTGAGCATGATTCTCTTCAGCTCCTCTCTCTGCGCCTCGGCTTCTTCGGTTAGTTCGGCATATACGTCAGAGAAGACACCTCTCAGCACAGGTTTCTTCACTTTCTCCGCCTCTGTCAGCTCCGTAATGATGGTCTTGCGGATCTCCGCCCTAGCCTGTCTATCCTGCTCCTCAGTCCAAACACCCTTGCTCTGGAGCCAGCGGGACGTGCGCGCGATGGGGTTGTGACGCGTCGACTTCCAAACGTCCACCTCTTTGCCACTGCGATATGCGGAGCTGTCATCGCTGGTACTGTGATGCGAGATGCGGTAGCTCATCAGCTCGAGCAAGATCGGCCTGCCGCCGTCCTCGAGCGCACGCCGTCGCGCTTCCTTTGTCGCCTCGTACACCGCAAGGACGTCTGTTCCGTCAACACGCAGCGCCTCGATGCCGTAGCCAATAGCGCGGCTGGCGATGCCGTCGCCTCGGTATTGTTGGGAAGCGGGGGTTGATATGGCAAACCCGTTGTTTCGGCACATGAAGATCACAGGGCAGTCCCTGGTGGCGGCAACGTTCAATGCGCCATGGAAGTCGCCTTCGCTCGCCGCGCCTTCTCCAAAGTAGGCCACCGCCACCGCCGGTGCTTTCCCGGCGTCTTCAAGCGCCAGCATCTTCAAAGCATAGGCCGCGCCCGTGGCATGCGGGATTTGGGTTCCCAAGGTACTGGCCACAGCATGCTTTCAGTGATTTGTTAGCCTGTCGACTCGCTTCGGGCCATATCCCAAGAGCTTGGGGGAGCAGACTCACAATGTTGACCTTGCTCTTGCCGCTGTAATGTACTGGCATATTGCGACCCTTGCCGGGGTCGTTCTTGTTTGCTGTCAGCTGGCTCATAAAGTCCTTCACCTCGAAGCCTCTCTGTAGAAAGACACCGTGCTCGCGGTACTGAGTCGTAATGACATCCTCGGGAGCCAGGGCAGCTGCCGACCCGACCATTACTGCTTCTTCTCCGTGGGACACCTTTGATTTGTGGTCAGCTTTCTACCGTGCGTGTAAATTTATGTAACAGTGCCTACCATGTAGAAGCTAACGCGTCCATGTCGCTGAGCCTCGAACATAATACCGTCCATGATGTGGACTAAGCGAAGACTGGTCAGAGCTGTCCTGGCCGATCCCAAGTAAAGTTCTCCAACCGACTCACCAGTGAGCATGTTCTTGTACCATCCCAAGACTTTCTCAGGCGTGACCTCCGGGGAGACCATGCTTTCGTCCTCCACGACGCATTCTTCATTCATGATGCGGAATGTTGGGATCAGTGGCATTGTAGATGGTTCGATCCATTGCATCTTTGGCGCAAGAGGGCTCTGCATCGCGCCCGGAAATCCGGATCTGTATGTCGGTTAGAGCGAGCGAATGTTGGACCAAAAGCGCCAGGTATCTCACTGTTGTGTAGCATAAGCTGCTGTTCCCCTGGCTGATGCCCACTGTACCGCCTGGGGGCACTGGTAGGAGGGGGAACATCCTCTCAGTGCCCTCACAGCCGAGTGCAATTGCTTGACTCTCAACGCACGCGTATGTCCCATCATGACGACCTCCAAAAGTCACGATCAGATTATTAGAGAAGAAAGGATTGGCCAATCGTCGTTTCTCTGGAGTCGATTAGCATAATAACCCCCCCTTGTCTTTGAATGGTATGTGGATAGCGGCTACCGTCGGCCAACTTCGTTAAGCCGGCCGGGTCCTCCGGGTATCGGCCGGCCGGGGACAATCTCAGCAGGTATGTCCCCAATTGAAGTTGCGGCTTACAGCTAAGAACAAATCGCGGTAGGTACTAACCAGGGGTTTGCCAAGTCATCCTCCATTTCGGTCCGGCTACGGCATCGGTTCCAAATCAAGCACCCTTGGCCTCCTTCCTCAAAACAATCTCTCGGCTTCGGCCTTAAAACTTTACTGGGGGATGATAAGACCTCTCGGGTTCTATCTCAAGAGGAGAAGACGTACTGCGAGCTGTCGACGTGTCACTCCTTCTGCACCCAAACTTCTGTTTCCTGTTGGCCTTCTATAGCGTCGTCATGCGTTCCTCGTTTCGGAACTTACCGTTGCGATATGGACTTGGAGCAGCGGTGCGCAGCTCCCCAAGCAGCAAGCTCTTCGGTTTTGCTACAGCTCGCGGCACGCGATGGAGCGGGTTTCACAGCGCAAGGGCACTTGGTGCTGTTCAGCCATATTTGCTAGCGGATATAGGCGAAGGTATTGCACATTGTATCGAGTTGTTTGATATCGCGTGCGTTTCTGACACTCGCCAGGTATCACCGAGTGCCAAATTATGAGCTGGGCAGTGAAGCCTGGAGACCGTGTTGCACAATTCGAAGCTATATGCGAGGTCCAGTCAGATAAAGCAGCTGTTGAGGTAAGACACAAGGAAATACCATACAAACAGGACATCCGGAGATTTCGACCGACTTCAAACTGACATAGTACTGTGCAGATTACATCTCGCTACGAGGGTATCGTCAGAAAACTGCATTATGAAGTTGATGATATGGCACGCGTCGGTTCGGTATGTGACATAGTGATGTGGTTTTATGTTTGAAAGTTTATTCACACCGCTCCAGCCTTTGATAGACATCGAGATGGATGACGACGCCGAAGCCGAGCTTACGACATCGATCGAGCCGGCACAAGACATGGAGTCATCAAGGGAAGATACCCAACAGAACCTCGGCTCTGTGCAAGCGGAGGAGACTGTCCCAATGGTGACAGCAGAAATACTGGCCGAAAACATTTCTCTAGAAGAAGAGAAGCCGGGCAATCCCGGCATCACCACACCAGCAGTCAGGCGGATGCTCAAGGAACATGCAATCGATATCCTGAGTATTTCGGGTACAGGAAAGGACGGTCGTGTACTTAAGGAAGACGTGCAAAAACACTTGTCCGCCAGACAGGGCAGCGAACAAAAAAAGCCCGCGCCTGGCGGAGTTCAGCAAGACCAGGTCGTTCCGCTCAGCCCCATCCAAACCCAGATGTTCCAATCAATGACGAGGTCTCTGGCTATCCCGCATTTCCTTTTCACACAGATTATCAACATGACGCCCCTGAGCGGGCTGCGGAGGAGGCTCACGACAAATCGGGCTATGTTGTCGCGTCTACAGGCCGCGGGCTCCACGACTGGAAAGGTGACAGCTCTTCCATTTATCCTCAAGGCTCTCTCGGAGGCAATCAAAGAGATGCCAATGGTGAACTCCAGCATTGATCTAGAAAGGGACCCGAAGCGTCCTCACCTGGTCATCAAGTCTTCGCACAACATCGGCGTCGCGATGGATACCCCCAAGGGATTGCTGGTTCCTGTCATACATGATGTTCAAAGCCACTCAATCGTCTCGCTACAACAGGAGCTCCATCGCCTGGGTAACCTAGCCAGAGAAGGCCGTCTGAGTCCCGCAGACATGAAGGGAGCCACGATAGTAGTGAGCAACATTGGCAGTCTTGGAGGCCACGTGGTCGCACCGATAATCCTAGACCCAACGGTTATGATAATAGGCGTGGGCCGGTCACGAATTGTACCTGCTTTTGAAGAGGATGAGGCTGGGCAGGAACGCATTGTCAAACGGGAAGAAGTCGTGCTGAGTTGGAGCGCAGACCATCGTGTACTTGATGGCGCTACCGTGGCGAAATGTGCTGACAAGGTGGGCTCCCACCTAGAGAACCCCGAAGCTCTCGGCATGACTTTGGTGTAATATAGAAAAGTCTGTTTGGTTATACTTGGAGTTTATGTTCGGCAACATACTTTATCGCGAGGATAAAACAACTAGTTACCGTGAAACGGTTCCCACATCTCATGTGACTTCCTATCAGGATTTACAGAATCAACACAATGTACTGAGAACAGAGCAAGATGCTGTATTTGTTGTCTCTCTTGAACTGTGTCCAGATTACAGTGTAGCTCGGGTTGTATGAGACGGATAGACCGAGCAACAAGTTGAACATTGAATATACATGAAGCTTCTTCATCCTCTGTTCTGTCGATACGCTGAGAGACCAGCGCAGACACAAGCAATTAAAACGGATTTAGTAATGGCATGTGCAGTAACTCTTCTGTCAATGGTACCCTTTCATGTTGGGAGGACTTTTGTGATGTGAATGGGTCAGCTTGGGCTAGAGGATTCATGCATAACCCTCGGACGACCGAATGCGAAGCCACGAAAGCGAAAGCGATCTCGAGCCGCGCTGCTGTCATTGCGTAAGCGGATCGCCGGCCGAGCCACAAATAGCACAGCACGCGCACGTTGAGGGTGGTCAGAAACTTACCACAGCGGGTAGTAATGTGCAGGGGTGGATGCGGCTTGGCCTTGGCAATTGCTACTATGTGGGTTACCTCAGTGAGCGATGACGCGTGCCCCGCAAAGCTTGGTTGCTTTAGCAAAAGCTTACTTCTGTGGTGCCTGACAGAAGTAGTATAACCAGTGTAGATCCATCAGCTTTCCGCCGTCGTGGGCTTCGTGTCAAGACCCGAGTGGGCTCCCGAGTCCACCCTCCTTCGAGCTGGGAAGATACTGAAAGTGCTTTTAAAAGCACTGCCATCTGCACCGCGAGAAATTTCCTGGACCGCAGTCAAGCACCTTGCACAACGATTAGCATACTTCATCATGGCTTCGACTGAGAGTCAAATGACCGTTCCTGTCTCCTACGACAGTGACCCCGAGGAGATACAGGATGCCGGAATGTTACAGCAAAATGCGGACTCGGCCCTGGAGGACTTCATCCATGACTACCCCCGAACGAACGTCGCCTTTGGGGCAGAATCGCCACCCCGGTTGCGCAACCCGGTCGTGATTCCCCAGCGGCGGCCAGGAAACAAAGAACGCGGATTCATCAAGGCGTATGCGCCGGATCTCGAGGAGTTCGGCATTGACGAGGAGTCGTTCCTGGCATTTATCCGAGCGACCAACAAAGCGGCCCAAGCATCCAAATGGCTTTATGCCATTCAGGTGGCGGCAATGGGAACTGGCTTCATTCCCAATCACATTGCTCTGGGTGTCTCGGCGGCGGTGCAGATCATCGCTGGCATCGTCGCCAAAGCGGAGACAAGGTGGAAGTGAGTCATACTGTACGATGGCTGCCCTGCTAGACTCTGACTGACACGGCTGTCGCTGCCCACAGAACAAACTCGTTCATGGACCGTATGAATGACGAGTTCTTTCGGCCTAGGGGACTCTACTGCCTCATCATGTCATACAATCCCATCGCAATGGACAAGAAGGAAAAGATCGATCCCTCCCAAGCTATATCAGATCATGGAAGCTCGTCGTCCCAGTCGGGACTTCTCGACACAGCCAAGCGGAAACTGCGCAGTCCTGCGGCGGGTGTGTCCCAAGGCCAAGAGAGCCTTCCAGAATCTGTGGCAACGTTGGTATATCCGGACGTATCCAAGCCAACGACATCGCCGTCCTCTGGGGCAAACAAGAAGAAAAAGGCATTCGCCCGATTGAACGACTATTTTGATAGGCGAGCACAGGCGCGCTACGTATGTTGAGAGCCCTAAATTTCAATTCGCGATGACCATTTCCTGTTGTGCACAGATTGACAGGTGGGAGCAGGCTGCCGAGAGCAAAGGCGACGTCCTCTCTGCACCGCAGAGGCTCTTTTCGAATCGATTCCTGGATCCAAACCACCCCGCCAGCAATGGAGGACTGCTTGGCCTTTTATCCGGAGGAAAGTTGACGCCCAATATGGAGAAGCAAAAAGAGAGTATGCGGTCGGCCATGGCCGCCCAGGAGCAGGCTATCCGAGACCAGCAGTCTCTCCAAATGGCCAACCTCAACCAAGTGCTGCAGGGCATGGGCCTGACCCCCGAGCAGCAGCGGGACTACGTGAAGCAGTATGAACAGGCTTACGAGATGCAACTGCAGCAGTTTCAACAGCAGTCTGAGCTTCTTGAACACGGTCAGCGCCGCATAAATCGGGTATGTTACTCGGATTACAAGTATTACCATGGCAAGATATGGGCCTCTGGCTAACAGTGGAAATTAGAACATACTTTACCTTCTTATCGTCAACATGCCAACAGGGGCCGAGTTGGAAGCCGCGCAAAATCAAGAGTTGCCGTCAAACAATCAACAGATCACAACGAACAATGTCGTTATCACGGACGTAAATGTAGAGTAGTTACAGTGCTGCTGTAGTAAGAACTAAGAAGAGTTTCGCCTGCCATATTTACCATTAAGAGAGGCTGCTTTTCCACTCAAACAGAGGGAAGCCAGTCAGGTAACAAAGTGTCTTGGCTACCATCTTAATTCACTTCTTGAGACAAGGGAGAGACAGTCGACCGTGACAAAGAAACAGATACCTGCTACATGGATTCAAAAATGGGGCTTCAACCGTTTCCAAATTCATAATTGCGATTCCTAAATAACTATGCAGAGTGTCTTCCTAACCCCCCCGCCCCGTGTACTCAGCTTTATACAGAAGGGCTGAACTAGCGAGAAGCCGGCATGCCAATGCCTGAAGGTCGTCCGCCCAGGTGCCAGCACAACTCGCCAGCTTACTGAGCAACCTCGTCTTTGGTAATCACCCAAAGCTTCTTAGAAAATGGGCCTTTAGAGGTCCAGGTGATGTGCATCCCTGATGTCAGTCCGATAGCATCTCCTGCCTTGAAACTATGCTTCTTTCCAGACTCGGTCTCCACAACATCAACCTCTCCCTCTAAAAGAAGAATCGTCTCATCACCAAGCACTCCGGTGTAGGGTGTTGTCAATGTGCCTTTGTCATCCACATCCGACCCAGCAATCCCTTTGCCAGATCGCCAAACGCCGCTGAGAAAAGTTCCGGTCGAGCCGCCGGTGCTGATAAAGTACAGCTCTCCAGCCACCAAGGCGCCTTCCTTAGGCTCTGTAAAGTGGTAGTCTGTCCATTCTTCGGGGTTATCACTGACGTGGTTGATTTGGAGCGTAGTTGCAGGGTTCGGGGCTGCTTTCGTTCCGTTCCAGATACACCAGTACTTCTTGAAGAAGGGAGCATCGATTTCCCACTGGACCTCCAGTCCTTTGGGGGAGCTGACGATAGTTCCAGGAGTGATGTGAAACTTTTCTCCAGTCGATACAACGGTGAGGGTGGCCGAGCCATCGATGACGCAGGCCAACTCATCACCTAGTGGTGCAGAGTAAACAAGTGTGTGAGAACCGTCAGAGCTGGCGCCGGGGGAAGTAGGGCCAGTTCTCCAGAATCCCGACGATAGATTTCCAGAAGCACCGAAGGCTCGGGCAATTGTCACTTCACCGTGGACCTGCTTGCCCAGCTTCGGCTCCTCCCATTCGAATGGCGTCCATTGGCTCGCTGGCGGTGTCTGCTTACCACCATGAACGACGTGAGTAGAGGGTTGAGCCATGACGAAGCGTGGAATAGTATGTTATAGAGCAAGAGTGTCTTTAGTTGCTTAGAATTATTCTTAAGGTGATTGAAAGGCAGGTTACCTACTAGATGCATTCTGATTATATACACATGATGTTATACGATAGGGTCTCTGTGAGGTTTCTTGAAGTCACACGACCTACCCGATGTCCTTGTTTCGCGTCGCGTGTCGTGTCGGATGCCGGCTGGAAGACTCCAAGACACACAGGCATTGGCCAGCTTTCCGAGATAGGAAATACTTACTAGTTCGGACTTAGTGTAGGTAGAGTCGGGAAATATTGAACTTATCATCGCTCCACTTGGAGGCGAGAAGCCAATGATACAACACTGATTACTCGCCGAACACCCTTTGCTAGGACCTCTCCACAAATCGTGTCCGGCAAAGCATCTATATCATAATCGATTGACAATATAATATGATATGTATAAATACGAATGGCACCTCTAGAACAAGTCTACCATGTGTTAGATGCAAGTTCTATAGCATTGTCTTCACCAAAGATCTGATCACATCTCCTATTTCCCAGTTTAACTTTTGTCTTTCCAACATTATGCCTATATACTTGAGCATGCAGCGGGTGCGCTTCTCCAGCCCCGACGCATACGAGAAGTTCAAGGTGCTCTTCGCCGACACGCGGCGCCACCTCATGACGCTGCCAGGCTTCCTCCACCTGACGTGGTGGGAGCACCCCGACGACCGGAGCTGGTACAACGAGTGCAGCTTCTGGACCAGTCGTGGTGCGCTGTACGACTGGCACAAGAACACGTACCACAAGTACTGCAAGACGTGGGCGGCCAACGGCGCCATCATGGAAGACATCATCACCAATTTCGAGCTTGTGGGCACGCGCCTGCTCCGCGTCTGCCCGGTATGCAACCACACTGAGGACAAGAAGTACGACTTGGCGAGGGAGCAGGAGGTCCTCCACCAGCAATGCCCTCAGTGCGGGTTCCACTTCCCCGTAATGGAGGAGACCCCATCGAGCTTCGCGGTTTTTAAGGATGTTCCGGGGTTGAACGGGGACTCGGTGGCGACGAGCGCCCAGGAAGAAACTGGATGTCCAGCGTCCGCGGCTGGAGGGAAGGGGGACCAAGGAAGCAAGGGTGCTTGAGGTGCTTTACATAGGCATGGTGATAGGAGGTATAGAATTGAAGACACGAGCTGAGTATTTAACCATAGCCAATCTAAGATATGTGTTTGCTGCATAACATACTGAAGCCAAACGTCTGCCGTCACGATGTAATTGTATCCCTTCGAATGGGCCATGAGACGCCTCTCCCTGCAAATGAAATTGGGCCGGGGTTACGTTTCCGATCACATGGCTGAACCCCTCACAGATCGGCAGTCTACCCCAACGCCGGCGCGGTCGTGGAAAGGGGGTCGGGAAACTGGCCAATAGTATGGGATTGCGAGCTGTGTCGTCATTTCTAAACCCCAGATTGTGGAGTGCCCAGATAACCCCAGATAACAGTAGGTAGCAAAAAGATATGCTCCGGTAGATGCCCAGACATTCCATTCCAGCCTTGGCAGATGATCCCTTCGAATAGTCGCCTCGAAACGCGGCCAGCCCTTTCAAAATGACCTGATGTCGCCGACTAGGTTCCAGCTCCATCAGCTAGAGGCTAAGGCTAAAATTGCAAAATGCGGGGTTGACAGGTCCAGAGATATGGCTCGGACCCAGGTTGTAGTTAGATCGATGTTTCCGGGGAACGGGGTTGACATCACTTCTCAATCTGTGATAATACTTTGACGACTCTGCCGAGACGTCTACCCTCTTGCCCAAGGCTTGAATAATGTTCGCAAGAGATGTAACTACCTGCGGCACTCAATCGACGAACGGCCATGCCTGAGTCTACTGCCCGAGCACCGAATCCTCCCAAGCGTGGACGAGCGGCAGCACGATCACGACTAGGTTGCGTAACCTGCAAGCAAAGACACGTAAGATGCGACGAGGTTCACCCGGCGTGCGGGCACTGCTCTCATCTGCAACTTCAATGCCATTACCTACGACAACACCGAAGCAGCAACAGCACCATGCGATCTGATAATCCTAGGAAGATCTTACCCTTGCCCACGCCAGCCAACTCGACTCCTACTGTTGAGAAAAGTCCGCCGCCATCGGCTTCACGGCATGGAAGTCATGGTAGCGATGATATCCGGCCCCTGGTTCTCTCGACGAGCCACATGGATCAGGACACGTCCCTACCTTGGTTTAGTGACGACTCGATCAATAGCATGCCCGGCCTGTGCCTCGACTGGGCTGCCGAGTTCGGCAATATCATGCAGTTTGATACGGCGGCATCTCTGGACTCTATGAGCCAGGGCGAGGCAGTCTCGATATCTCCGCTCGGACATGACGGTGGCTCAATCGACATGGCGATGCAGATCCCATCCGCTCCAGTCAATGCACTGATGTTTGACTCAGGAACTGCTGGAAACGCTGGAAACGCTGCAGATACAGAGGCCGGAGCGTATTCAGCAGGTTATACGCCTGCACCTCAATCAGGCCAGGACATGGACCAACTGGCCATGTTCAAGCAGATCATGCAACCGCCGGCAGCTATGTTAATGGGTGGGATCCGGAGGTGGCGACACCTGCAGGAATATCTCCTCGGCCTCGGATCGAAGAACAGCGCCATTATGAATGCCCTGCTTTGCCTTGAGGCAGTATTGGCTCAAGATGACGAGGATCAGGCTCCGGCTTCTCCGCGTACCAGGGAGCGAATCGCAGACCGGTACGAAACTGCGAGGATGTACGTGATAAAGAAGACATCCTTGGCCGCGGGGATCAGCGGCCAAGAGTCTGATGAACTCCTTGCTCTGGTTTACCTCTTGGCCTGGATCCGAGTCATTTATGACAGAGGGACAGAGCTCAACGAGTACTCGTTTCCTAGCGAGCATGCAGAAATCATCATCACAAGCAACTGCAAGTGGAACTGGTACTCTCGACAACTCCTTTCGGCTTTCAACTCCCTCGACAGCAAGGCGACGCATCTGGGCGGGCCACCACTGCTCTCGCCCAAGGCCCTGGCCGTTGTCTCCTGCTATCCCATCCAAATTGTCAGCTGCGAGTATGGGGAAGGGAAGGACAAGCCCCTCAAGGCCGAGACGGATTGGAGGAAGGCCTCTTCAGTGTCGGACCTCTCGGATCACGGCGACAGTGCAACCCTGGTCCCTTCACTCACTACAGCTGACGTCAAGGAAATCATCCTCCGGGCCATATTACAGCCAGCTTCAGAGTGGTATTTACAAACACAATCCTACTTCCGCCACATAGGATCGCTCGACAAACACCACCGCTCGAGATTCACGCCCGATGACGAACTAGAGGTAGCTGTACTTGGGAAGCAATATCAAAGCGAGCTCTTGGATTTGTGGGCGCAGAGACCGTCGGCCATATCCCTCACCGCGGTGGATATCTCAAAGACATTGGCAAAGGATGTGGCGGTCCGCCTCGAGGAGGTTTTCAGCGTGTATCTCGCAAGCTATTGGGTTCTCTTTCTCTATCTGCACCGGGTCTGCTGGTGGCACCTGGAACCCACTGCGACAGTCCAAATGGCAGCAGATAAGACGTGGGACCTCTTGCAGCAATCATATAGCGAGCTTGACCGCTGCAAAACTGTTCACCCGGCTCTCATGTGGCCGGTCTTCATCTTTGGCGCAGAGTGCTCCGATGAACAGAGACGGAAGTGGGCAGTGGAGCAAATCAAAGGCTTAGCCAGGCCTCGACCTGTACTTGAGCTGGAGGCCGGCAACCCGGAGACGTTACCTGCCTTTCGCTTAAGCCGCGGAGCAACAAAGAATTCCAAGAGGGCTGCGCTCCTCCTGGAAGCTCTGATCAAGAGGCAGGAAGCCATCGGGACGCGTGTCGATGAGCGAGACTTGGCCATGGAGATGTTTGGATGTCATTTCTCAATAGTTTAGCGAGACTGAAATATATGGTCGATGGTGGCTCATTGATCAGCAATAAGACCATACTCTGTAACGCACAAAGTAAGCATGTAGACAACTGCCGAACCCGTGTGGGGAAGCTCAATTTGAACTGCCATTGACCGTCTTGGCAACCCGTGCTGCCGCGCCCATTGAGTTGGCATCTAGTACGTAATTCTGTAATTCTGGAGTGATTACTCTGTCCAGTGCGGACACTAGCGGCTAATCTTCGGCTCGCGATCTTGGAGCTGGTCGAGTGCAGGGTGCATTCGAGCCATAAATGCTGTTGATCATCTTTGCAACGCGAGATTGCTGGTTGATATGCACCTGAAGCGCACCTATCGGTTCTACCTCGGCTTCAAACCAGTCTCCATCTGGAAGCCGGATCAGGAACGCATCGTGTGAAAGTTGGAGAGGCCCAAAGTCGGTGTGCATTGTGTGTGTTCCGCGGACCAGAACAATCAATGGGTTAGGTGATATGGCCGGCATTCGGACATATCACTCCGACTTCCACCAGTGTTCGCATCAGGGCAGGTCAATCGCAATCATTGGCACACTGCCACTTCCACTGGTGGGCCTTTCTCCGGCGTACCCCAACTCCGGGCTTGGGTCTGTTCGGTAGTACCTGTATCTATCCCAGCACTCAGCGGAAATTAATCCGAATTAACCTTTTTAAGAGTCTCGATGACGGACGCAGTTCTCTCTCCGACCGTTAACGCACTTGAGAAGGCCCGAATATCATCACTGTGATGATCTTTTGCATCTTCTGTCGACCCAGCACACACGCGACTTCCCCGCACCATGGCGAGCTTGAGCCCAGAGAAACCCTGGTAGCAGGGTTACATCGCATCCTGAAATCACAGGACTGGCCGAGGTTGCAGTCACGATGGCTGGAAAAGTCTACCGCAAGATCGCGGCAGCGCGGCACTGCAAGATGAGTGGGACACGGGCCGCTGTTTAATGAGTCGACATATACATGCCTTAATGAAAGCCCCCATGTTGGAGCGTTGATCAGCATATTGTATAAGAACCCCGGCTGGGTATCAATCCTTGAGTGTTGTTTCCTGAGCGAATCCGCGTGTAATTGGTCAGCCCAGCGCGTTCCCGGCCCTGTCATCATGGTCCCAAAGGCTTTTGCTGTCGGCGTAGCCATCTTTGCGAGCCTTCCTTGTTGTCTTGCACAAGATGTCATCACGGAAGATACTTACTTCTATGGAGAGTCTCCCCCTGTGTATCCGTCACGTACGTAACGATACTGTCAGAGGTCTTCACCCATGAATTGGTGATACTGAACTTCTTTTTAGCGCAAATCACTGGGCTCGGCGACTGGGCCGATGCTTATTCCAAAGCTAAGGCTCAAGTAGCCCAGCTGACGCTGGATGAAAAGGTTGGCAATCATCACTCATAGGTACTGCGGGATGACGTATTCACTGACCTGATATTGTAGATCAATTTGACCGTTGGATACGCGCCGACCAGCGGTTGCAGTGGAGCGATTGCTCCTATCCCACACATCGGCTTTAAAGGTCTCTGCCTGAGCGATGCTGGCAACGGTGTGCGAAATACCGACTTTGTGAGCTCGTGGCCCAGCGGCATTCACGTCGGCGCCTCGTAAGAAGCTTTGACCAACTCCTTCTAGGCCATATCTTCCCTGTTGGCTGACCCGCCCCGGAACTAGATGGAACAAGAACCTGGCACATCGACGCGGCATGGCAATGGGCAAGGAAGCGAAAAAGAAGGGAGTCAACGTCCTTCTTGGCCCCGTCGTCGGCCCCGTTGGAAGAGTTGTCCTCGGTGGGAGGAACTGGGAAGGTTAGTCCACCCACAGTTCACAGTTCAGTCGTGTAAGCTGATACTGAATGACACTAGGCTTCTCTCCTGACCCATATCTTGCCGGTCAACTGGTCGCTGAATCTGTCTCTGGGGTTCAAGGCGCAGGTGTTCAGACGAGCACCAAGGTATGGTTACCCAGTTGTCGCCATTCGTCCGGATGGAGCCCTGCTGAACAAGACCCTCTAGCATTACATTGGCAATGAGCAGGAGTTGGACCGAAATCCCAACTCTGATCATAGCATAGAGTCCGTATCCTCAAATATTGACGACGTCACAATGCATGAACTCTACCTATGGTAAGTACACAGAGATATGACCAGTCACTCGAGTCTACTCACACAACTCTCCAAGGCCCTTTCAAGATGCAGTACGAGCTGGCACTGCAAACATCATGTGTTCATACCAGCGAGTCAATAACTCGTACGGGTGTCAAAACAGCAAGCTTCTCAACGGCGCTCTGAAGGAAGAACTGGGTTTTCAGGTGAGATTGGCATACAAGTCCTTTCTTCTAACGACTACATTACCTAACGACGGTAGGGCTATGTTGTGACGGATTGGACTGCCCTTCGCAGCGGTGTGGGTGCAGCCCTCGCTGGGCTAGACATGGCCATGCCAAACGGGGGCGCTTTCTGGGGCGCCAACTTGACCAAGGCTGTCTTGAATGGCACTGTCGAAGAGACCAGGATCGATGACATGGCCACTCGGTGAGTTATTCCAAGGTGGTGCTCATTTCAGGATGACGATTAGACTAATCACGTCCAGAATTTTGGCGGCATGGTACTATCTCAAACAGGACCAAGACTTTCCCCCGAGTGGATACGGCATGCCAAAGGACCTGACGGCTCCCCACGAGAAGGTGGAAGCACGAGATGTGGCAGACAAGCCCATCTTGTCCGCCGGTGCTGTGGAGGGACATGTCTTGCTCAAGAACATCGACAACACGTTACCGTTGAAGAATCCCAAGACGCTCTCTATTTTTGGCTACTCGGCCGAGGCGCCGCCAGCCAACGCTCCCAACGCCACCGGCTTTTCTCCTTGGGTGCTTGGTTTCGAATCGGCTTTGAACTCACTGCAGGCCGTGTTGGGGGCGTTCCTCGGGTTGCCCAGCACGAAACCGCCACCCGCCATCGCGAGTAATGGCACGCTGCTTGCAGGCGGTGGCTCGGGGGCTGTCTCCCAATCAACCTTCATGTCGCCCTTTGCGGCACTGATGAACCGTGCAGATGCGGACAACACGCAAGTCTGGTGGGACTTGGTGTCGGGGACACCGAGCGTCATGCAAGACAGCGATGCCTGCCTCGTCTTTGGCAATGCCTGGGCGTCCGAGTCATTCGACCGGCCGGGACTGAGAGACGACTTTACCGACGGCCTCATCCTCCACGTGGCGAGCCAGTGCCGGCGCACTGTTGTCGTTCTGCACAACGCTGGCGTGCGGCTTGTGGATCAGTGGATCGAGCATCCGAATGTGACGGCCGTGATTTTTGCACATCTACCGGGGCAGGAGACAGGTAAAGCATTGGTGTCGCTGCTTTATGGAGAGAGCCACTTCTCCGGAAAGCTGCCCTACACGGTCGCGAAGAACGAGTCCGACTACGGCGACCTCTTGAAGCCTACTGTTGGGGAAGGTCGGTTCAAGAAATTCCCGCAGAGCAACTTTACGGAAGGCGTGTATATCGACTACAAGCATTTTGATCGGGAGGGCATTGAGCCACGATTTGAATTTGGCTTCGGCCTTGGCTACACCACCTTTGCTTTCAGCAACCTCAGAGTCGAGCCCGTTGCCGGCAGGAATGGAACCGCACCCTATCCGACAGGAGAGATCATTCAAGGCGGAAGCGTTGACCTTTGGGACGTGGTCGCTCGTGTGTCTGTGGACGTCACCAACACAGGGGCCGTTGACGGTGCAGAAGTTGCTCAGCTCTATGTCGCCATCCCAGGTGGACCAGAGAAGCAGCTCCGAGGTTTTGAAAAACTGCCGCTCAAGCCCGGACAGGCGGCCACTGCAAAGTTTGAACTCACCCGGAGAGATTTGAGCGCATGGGATGTCGTGGCTCAAAAGTGGAAGCTCCAGAGCGCCGAGTATGGCATTTTTGTGGGATCAAGTAGCCGACAGCTACCACTTCAGGGCAAGCTACAGCTCGGATGTAAGAAGCGTCGAGTATAATATCTGTTGGAGATACAAGGCTCTTCGGCGCATAATCATCAGGCTTCAGCATGGCTATTTGGATAAGTATTATCAAAGTATCAGCAACGCCTAGCTCCTGCGATATCATACAAGCTACCAAGATCCTGGAGACAACATCACGCGGATCCTATGCATTGTGGGGATGTCGTCTTTCTTCAACGTCTACACTGAATACACTAGCAAAGAAGTTCTTCAAGGCCACGAATGCGCCCGGATCCCCTTCTTCCTGAGATCTCTGAAGAGATTGTAACTGGTCAACAGATCGCCACTCTCCTTCGAAGTCGGTGATAATCCCCACGGGCTATTCATTGGGTAGAAATTGACGTGATGCTCGAACATCAGCTCGTCAATAAGCGCGCTGCCATTCTCGGGATCGTCTGCTAGTAGACTCTGGACGATGGGCTCCTCTATGGGCGCCGAGTCTATATCGAGCTTGAAGACCAGAAAGTCTTCTGGGTGGACAAGCCGCTTAATCATGTTGAGAGTATTCAGCTTGTCTCCTCCCATGGTCAAACCAACATTCATTAGCGTGTAGATACCGATCAAATCCTCTGGAACTTGTTCGTAGACCTGGGTATCGTTCAAGATCTCGACTTCCACGGCGATGAATCGGTCGAATTTCTGGCCGCGTGCATGGTACTTGTCATAGAACCACTGACCAGATGCTGCAGTTGCCCCACGGGTCCAACCACCAAAGTAGGAGGAACCCAGATCCAAGTGGATATTTTGGGGTGATAACCAAGCCGTTCCGAGCTGCTCATCGTATACAGGTCGTAATGATGAATACCACGGCGGAACCCCATGAGTATACCATTTCCTAAGCTCAATGTCGTCATTCTTGGTCGTGTACGTAAACGGAGCATAGCCTTGAGGCAGAATGTGAAGCTTAGATTGTCCTGGATGCTCGTCGGGATAGTTATCCATGATAAGCTTATCCTTGCCGCAATATCCATCAAAGGGATCACGGAGCATCCCGAATAGCGGTTCGATCAATTGTATCCCACTCCCGGATGCAGGTTGAAAGATCTGTTTATGCTCATCATAGCATACACGTCGGTAATGCATACGACTCATATATTCGTCTTCCGGGGCGAGAGGGCCTGGAGAGGCGTCGAGTGTTGTCCATTTGACTTTGGAGTCAACGGATGCTAGAGTGATGGTTCGCCTGATGATGGACTTGGCTGCTTCGACATGCTTCTGAATAGCCTTGCAGATATTGGCACCGTCGGCAGTGGTGGACTGAACGTGTGGCACCTCTCGGAACCATTGCTCCTCATACTCGCTGGATTCGTACCGGTCAAAGACCCACTTGCAGTAAGGTGAGGTGGCAGAGTCGGTGGGTATGTATTCTGTCTTGGGTGGGCTCGCTTGGCTAGGGGCCGTATCCGTTTGAGTGCTCTCCTTTTCCTGCCCGATTTGTGTAATCCTGGCCGACAGTAAATCGTACTGACGGTTAATCCCAAACAATATCAGACAGGTCACAGCGACAAAGATAAAGAAGTGAAATCTGGGTACCATGATGGCTGCGATGTGCCGGAGGGAGGAAGGCCCTGGCAAGAGGAGGTGATATGGGCTTGGATTGAGGTTGATTAGGTTGGACAGATCAACAACTGGCCACAGGACACCTATAAGGGCCAGATCACTGAAATTCCTTTACCGTGGGCTTGAAGAGTTCCTTTATTTAATACCGAAGCCAGGAGGCTTCAACTATGCTTGATTGACTTTAACCACACTGAGTAAGCCATGTAACAGAACCCAAAGCTCCAGTCCTTTCATAGGGGGAGAACACGCGAAACGCGCGGTCATCGCAGCAAGGGATGGAGTATCTCTGTCTCAACATGGCTGCTGGCATTGTGAGTCCGGCTATGGGATGTCTCGATTCCTTTGCATCTTAGTGGCCTGATGATTATAGAATGTGAATTTCTGATTGAGGAAAGTTCCATAAATACGCCTAACATGCAGGGAGCAAGGAACGCTGTCTAGCATCACGCTAATCCCCACATTTCAGCTGTCAAAAAATATACGAGCAAGATGTAGTGCGCTAGGTTCGAGTGGCGTGATAAAGATCAGGCACCTACGAGACCCCGAAGCCGTACCTACTCCAGAACCCGCTGAGATGATGGGCAGCATGCGTTCGGATCAAACATGCAATCTACCACGGACTAGTCTCAACTGGCTTTCAAGTCTTCATATCCCAACGCATGGATGGCATGCCGTAGCTACTCCTCAAATCAAAGCTTTGTCAGGAAAGACTGCTAAATTGACAATACAAGTCGGATCATTACATCGCACGTGCCAATCTGTATAGATTGAGTGGATGGTCTTCCTGTCTTGGGCTTGATGGACTGGTGATCCTTTCCCTTTCTTGAGTTGCAACCCTCGCCGTCGATTATTAGATGGAGACTTGGTGTCTAGAAAGAATGATAAGTTCCTTCTGGATGTATCTTTGTATTGAAGCACGATGCTTTGGCCACTGTCAGTATCAGAATATGAGACAATCCATTGCTTGATTCGGTAAAGAGCTATCATGAGCCCGATCATTCCGGGGCCAAGTTTCACTCAATACACTTGCCTCCTGCCATGTTAGCTCACAAGACAGCATGTGTGATCGTTTAGTAGCGTGCTTTCAAAGCCCCTGAAAGTTCTGCCGACCGTATCGGGCGTGGTGGCAACAGTACTATACAGAGACCAAGGCAGTGGCGTGGCACCTTGATGGATTGCTACCTTGGCTTTGCCCTCGGAAAAGTTTTCCCTTCTGTCGCGGGATCCAGAAGATTACCACCCGTTTTCATTCCTGTTCATTACCTCCAGCGCCTCATGACTATGATAAATATCTTCTCGTCCAGATTGTTGACGAGAACGCGGCACTGAGCGCATAGCTGCTAGGATTCTAACCATTACCAGAACGGCATTTAGCTAGATATATTGTGACGGCGTTTGGCTAGGTTCACTGTAACACTGATAGGTGGAGAAGCCATGGTGCAAACACCATCTTGCCTTTCGTGAAGCCAACAATACGTAAACATTGTTGCGGCCCTTCAGGCTGGTAACACCGGCAGAATCGTGGTGCAGCTGAGACAATATCGAGTCTATCAAGGAGAATGACGAGGTCGTGTGTGAACAACAATACATTCTTGTGCCATCGCTACCGCGCTTTCGTGACATAATCTCGGTACGGGCTTTGAAACTTCACCTTCGTGAAGCGAACCACTCGATGGCAGCCCTGGATGGGACACTTTTGGACTAGTCAAGTTTATTAGCTTTGCAATGGTGATAATGGCTTGCCTCGATACGACATCATGCCGCGTTTCGTGGACAAGGAATCTTCTTAGGTACTCCGTAGGCCCAACCGCATTCGGAGATGGCTCATTCCGAAGACGATCTTGCTGCCATAACCCGAAGAAACTGCAACACTCGAGTAGGATTCCGGACAATTTCTGCTAGCATATTTATAAAGAAGGCCCCAATACTAAGACTGTTCTTACAGTGTTCATCTAGTTTGTTGGGTCGAGGGAGGTTGACCTGAAATGTGGGAGGTTCTGGGGTGGATGATAGGTACATCCCTATGCGGGGAGCTACCATTGGTGCGAAACCACCCTGCAGATCTCTAGGATTCCCTCCGTTGAGGGAAATGTCGGCTGAACCTGCAGCAACGCAATTGGTGCGGATTACAGTAGGTCCACCTTAAAACAGCGAAAGAGATTCAAGCATGCAGGATGTCGTGGCCCAAAAGGGGACGCTTTTGGATCAAGCAGCGGATAGTTGCCATTCCAAGGATCTACTACTCGGATGCAAATGATGTTGAGCAGAATATCGGCACGGAGATTGCAAAGACCTTCAGCACATAATCATGATGGGAATTTAGGTACGGCTACGAAGAAATAGTATCAAGTTGTCCGCCTATCCTAGCTCTTGTTATGGCATGCAACCTGCTAACATATTTCAATTTCCTCTTCTGCCAGATTCATATGCCGGAGCATTTCCGTCGCCATGATGGAGATGTTTGCTCACGATGCATTCATTTTTCTCAACAAGCTGGCCAGCAGAGAAACAGGCGAGAGGCCATCTGGCGGAACAGATGAATGTGGCAATATATGCGCTCTTTAAAATCTACAAGGAATAAACTAGCTTTTGTCCAGAAACTTTGCCGCTTCTCAACAGGTCAATACCATCAAGCACATTTTCAAGTCCATTGCCAACCTTCATGGGGTGTGTTCTCAACAGACCTTGATCTAGACATGGTTGGACCACGTGATCGATCCAGTCCTTTGCAAATTTCGAAGACACCCTGAGCCAATCCGTTTCAAGGGTTAAGCACGGTCAGAGGCGAGTCGTTCTTGAAGGCTGGCCAAGGCGAACCACTCCTTCTTGGAAACATGTAGCGATTAAAACACCACCCGAGCTCCAAATCCGTTGTACAACAAGTCCTCGCTCGTTCCCTGCCCATGGAGTCTCCATTTCCGCCATCATCCACTCGCCAGCACTGAACATCCGAGGATTATGGAAGAATATCGTGTGGTTGAGTGTCGCCATCATTCTGACCACCTTGCTGTGCACTCCTACTTCTCCGTTCTCAGTGGCCTCTTCCAGAGCCAAACTTGTGAGATATTGCTGACACTCTTGCGATTCCTCTCGAGAGCCTCGGAACCGGGATAAGATACCATGGATAATGTCATCGTTTGTAAATCGTGGAAGTCTGTGGACACGAGATACCGTGCCGATGAAATAGTTATCACTCATGTATGCTACGGCCGCAAGATGAGCCCCATGACCAGTAGGTGACGGCCACCGGCCTGGCTTCCGAGATGTCGAACTGGGAAACTCGGGACTTGGGTGCGACAACCCTCGCGCTCGTATCCAGTGAGACAACTTCACATCCGACCGAGGACAACCCTTCTCAATACCACAGCGTATAACATCGCAAGGACGGTGGATACCTTGCTCCGTGGATGCAGAAAGCTTGCTTTCATCCCTCAATACAACAGGTGGTGCCTGCAGATCTGCCGGTCTGTAGTTGGCGTGCTCAATTACTGATTTGTTGCTTTTGAGCTGTCTCATGAAGCTGATGGTTGCAGTAAATAAGCAACCTACACTCTGTACGGCCTCGACGGTTCTTGTCACGTAGTTGTGGCCATCTCGGACGCGGCGGACGTGGTACGTAATCGGTTCAACTGGGCTTGCTGGCCGCACGAAATGGCTATGGAGGCTGTGGGCGTCGAAGTCCGGATGCACAGTCGACTGTGCTGCTACTAGGCTTTGAGCGATGAGCACACCTCCATAGAGACCACGACCCCACGCTGGAGTCCAGGGAGCGTGAACATTGGAGAAACTGTCGCCCTCCACGGCGCTCAGGCGATCGAGACATAAGATTCTATCCATGGCTGAACTCACTTAGGAGTAAACAGAATGATGATATTCAAGCTGGACGCAAAGCACGAACAATTCACTGAGAACTGCAGGAGCAGAGTAACTTTCACGGCAGTTGCTTGCATACTCGGCCTCGGTTATTTAAATGTCTCCACCTAGGATGCCGGCTATGGACAAGGGAGATAATTCCTCCAGGGAGGGAGACCGCAGAAGAGGTCATACGGCAAGTGTCAAATAGTTAAATAGTTCTTCGGCTCAGAGGCCATGCTGCCCTCTTTAATCCATTGCTACATCAGAGACTACTGCATCCTCCCATGACCACCTCCTTGGCTGTACACTGTTTACAGTTGTTCTCTGATGATGGTCTTCATAGGGAAGATTTTCGCGTTGTCAACATCCCAGATCCCGTTTTTGGGGTAGACATCTCGGCGAACATGGTTGAGAGCTTCTTCCTTGGTGTCGGCGTATATGGTCATGACTGAGACGGTGAATGGATCAGCCAAGCCGGAACAGGTTTGGATGTGCACCGTGAAGGACTGCCCCTCCACGATATTGAGACCAGAAGGACTCGAATCGACAATTTGTTCCTCAGCACCGGCTACACACTATCTGACGACATAGCGGTAACTATGTATCACGCTCCTGCATCTGACGGTCACTCGGTTGCAATATACCACGTATGCAAAAAGGGATTGGCGTCCTCTCCAGATCCTGGACCAGCGCTGGTGCACATTCATGACGGAGGTTACTTCTCCGTGAGTGCACAAAAGGCATTGGCATCTGTTGTGCCGTATGTGGCCAACTCGGGTGTTCCAGTGTTTTCGATCGACTATCGACTCTCTCCCGAGAACCCTTTCCCAACGCCACCTGAAGACTGCTGGACCGCTCTGCTTTACGTCCAATCGCAAGCAAAAAAGCTCAATATCAATCCCCACCGGATCGCCATCATTGGCGAGAGCGCGGGTGGAGGGCTCGCCGCTGGTCTGGCTATTCTAAGCAGATCTTTAGCGAAACAGATCCTCTTGTACCCCATGCTTGATGACCGGATTGTAGCGGACCACACCGAGGGACTAGGTGTTTTCAGCATAAACGATCACGGGCTGGGCAGCCTACCTCGGTGACTCATACGGCACCGAATAGTGCCCACGTCGCCCAGGAATACCTCCATGGAGGGTTTGCCGGCATGACAACCCTGAACGGGAAGAAGCCTATCATTGTTGCCTGCAATGGACTCGCACACGGTGAGAACGAAAAAGGACAGAATCTCCACGGAATTCTGCTAACCTTGAAGCAGGAGGCGGTATGGAGGTTGCACTGAAGCCGACGTCGTATTTGCGTCGCCGTCTGTTACTTTCAGACTGCCCGAGGTCCTCCTGGGGATCTCTGCACTGGCAGGTGCTCTTCCACGAGCCATGATGTTGTTCGGTAACCAAAGGACCATGGACCTCGCCCTGACAGCGAGGGAACTGACGGCTGAGGAGGCACTGCAATGGGGTCTGGTGAGAGAAATCGTGCCGCAAGAAAAGCTCCTGGACATAGCACTTGACTACGCCCAGGAGATTGCCAACATGAGCCCCGACGGGGTCATCATCACGCGGCTGGCGGCTAGGGAGGCCTGGGTCACTGGCATCAGCCGAGCAACAGTGTGAGGCCAAGAACTCTGGTTGGAACGCATGCAGCGGAGCCCTAACGCCCGAGAAGGCTTGGCTTCGTTCAAGGAGAAGAGACCGCCAAAGTGGCATGCCTCGCAGCTGTGAAATCAGACTCCTCACTCGGTCATGGCCTGCGGGCTGGCGCAGAGAGCAGCACTGACTCAACTCAACTCTGTTGACAAGCAAAGAGACTAGGGAGCCACCATTGATGTCCCAATGCCTCGGGAGACGCACGGTCCCCACCTCGGCAATTCGGGCAACCCTTGTATCTTAACTAGCTTTTTCCTATTCTTAGTTTGACCACCGTACCGAGGCGTTGAGAAAGAGTCTCGCCATACCCCCATATCCACAATCCAATCCATGCTGTGCCCTCTTTCTTATAGTCAGGGAAACGCCATCAAACTGCGAGGGCCGCTCGTCGTCGTTGCGACACGCTTTGACAAACCTGGCCTCGTGACAAGCTTCTAGATCGTCTCGACATGGCCTCGCCGAGCGAACAGGAACAGTCCGACTCCTATCAGTCGGTGGGTTCCAACGGAAGGCCACTGATACGCAGCCCGAAAGCAGCCATGTGAAGCGGAGGGCGGCCAAGGCCTGCCTCTCGTGTCGCAACAGAAAAGTGCGGTGCGATGTGACGAGCGGCGGTGTTCTTTGCACCAACTGCCGCCTGGATGATGTTGCCTGCGTCGTGACCGACACGAATCGCGGCAAAGGGCGATCCTCGAGCTCATGGGGGCCGATTAACAATCCCACGCCCATGAACGACGAAGTCGCCGAGGAGCTCCCGGTCTCGCTTACCTTTGAAGGTGGGCACCCTCCGTAGCCCTATGTTGCGACGCAACAGTCGGCCTGTAAGGCACAAGCGCGAGCTTCTTTGTTGACTAGGTATGCGCCAGGTTCGCGTGGGCTGGTAGACTCTGGCCAGTATGACGGCATGGAGATCCGCGTCGCCGCGCCGTCCAGAGACACCCTGCCAAGTCCCATCACCACCACTACCGATGCTACCTTCGCCCCAGCCGACCGGTAGTCGCCACTGCCAGCGTATATCCGGCCCCTGCCCCCGCACATTGATGCTGGCGACATCGAGTACTTGACCAAGAAGGAGGCCCTGACGCTCCCAGACGAGGAGCTGCAGTGCGCCCTTCTCCGTGCTTATATCCAATATGCTCACGCGTTCATGCCGATTCTGGATCTCCCGCCGATCTACACAGCCATTGCACTGCGCGGGGAAGGCGAGGAACCCCTGAGCCTGATTGTCGTCCAAGCCATCATGTTTGCCAGCATTGCCTATGTGGACATCGACTACTTGACCTCCAGGGGCTTCCGGACGCGAAAGGCAGCTCGCCGGGTGTTCTTCAACCGTGTACGGCTGCTTTACGGGCTGGAGTGCGAGACTGACCGTCTTGCGCTCCTTCAGGCTCTCATGCTCATGACGTACTGGTACGAGAACCCGGACGACGAGAAGGAAACTTAGTATTGGCTCGGCATCGCCCTTTCGTTGGCCCAGGTTCTTGGCCTCCACCGGGACCCGGAGAGCTTGAACCTGAGTCCGGAGAAGCGGAAGCAACGCAAGAGGATGTGGTGGGCCTGCTACATTCGAGATCGTCGCTTGCTGGCGCTTGGCCTGCGCCGCCCTATCCGCCTCCGCCCAGAAGGCTTTAACGTGCCTATGCTCACTCTAAGTGACTTTGAAATCTCTCCGCTCAATGACGACGTCGTGCGGTGGCTGGGCCCTCTGCCAATCATGGATGATACACCGGCCAAGGAGACGCTTTACATAACTATCATTGAGCTGGCTAAGCTGTGCTTGAACATCGGGGATATCCTCTCCAGTCAATACTCGGTCCTCAATAGCCCCGGGATGAGCGCAGATAGGACTGTAAGTGTTATGGTGGTACCGAAGAAGAACATCGAGGCGGCTCAGAGCCTGGCCAAGTGCGACGCCGCGTTAAAGGACTGGTTCCAGGGTCTGGAAGAGTGCTGCCGCTACAAAGCAGGACAGTGGTCGTCTGCCGATGATCAGGACGGAAGCCGAAGGATCGTGTATCTGCATCTGGCCATGCTGCTGCACATGATCTACTTCACCTCAATTACCGTTCTGCATCGCCCACGAGCCTTCCAACCGGGGACGGACCCTTCCGATTCGTCGGCCACGCGGCTCTCTCGAGACAGGGTCACAAACGCCGCCGTTCGCACCACCGAAATGATCTACGACCTAAGCACACACGACTCGCTGCGGTTCGCCTCCACCAGCAGCATCACTGCGATCCTTTCCGCTACCCTGATGCACCTCGTCAACCTGCGCTCGGCGCAGGAGGACGTGCGAAGCATCTCGATTGGCCGCTTTTACCAGCCCTGATTTTCAAGTGTTGCCAACCTATGGAGTCATCGTGGTGTCCAGTGCGCCGAGGCCCTTCGACCTGGCACAACTTGTGCCGAGGTTCTCTTACAAGATGCTTTTGCATGGAGAGCAGTATCTAGAGATTCGCAAGTGGCCAATACCGACTGCCGCGACTGTTGTCTCTAAGCAGAAGTTGGTGGACGTCATCGACAAAGGGAAGTCGGCGGTGTTATCACAGGAATCACAAGCCGCGACGCCAAGACGGGAGAAGATCTGTTCTATAATGAGACCACCTTGTTCATCAGAGGGTCCGGCTCCTTCGGCGGTCCACGCCAGAGCATGGAGAACAGCAGGCGGCCGAAGGCAGTCAGTGGGATGCCCAGCCGAGCTCCGGATGTGGTGGCGGAGGTGACATCCCCAGACCAGGCAGCACTGTACATGTTGAACGGCGATCGCAATCCGCTACACATCGACCCAAAGACTGCAAGAGCAGCAGGGTTTGACAGCGGACCCATAACTTCACGGGCTGTGCACGTTTGGTCTAACGGGCAAACACATTCTCGCGCACTATGGCCGTTTCAAAAGCATCAACGTCGGATTTGTCGGCACGGTCCTCCCTGGCCAAACGTTGCAGATAAGGATGTGGTTAGAGTCTTCGGCAGTCTTGTTCCAGGTTGCCGTCAAAGAGTCGGGGAGGTTGTGCATCGATGGAGGTGTTGCGGAGCTCTGTTCTACAAGCAGCAATCTGTAGTCTAGAGGAGTAGAAGGTGTCTCGGATGGCCTCATCTCTGCCAGTGAAGTCCCCCGCTTGTATGTAGCCCTAGAATCAAGACAATCAACGGGCAGATAAGACCAGTGATATCGCCTGCGTCTGAGACAATTTCATCTTCCCAGAGCATCGATCCCGCCTCCGGCTCGGACGCATGGCAAATCACCAGATCAGAGATGTGGGCGGCCGACGAAACCTAGGTCCACCTTGGGCGTGCGTGTCGACCACGATGAATCGAAGGGCCGGAACGTCGCCATGTGAGTGTACCCTTTGTGCGATATTCCGGTAGGAACTGAACTGCAGCAATGACCCTGTTTTGCACGTCTTGGCATCAATATCCATCGAGATCTGCCAGCACTAAATGGGTTCAACTGGAGCCAACTATGCACATTCGGATATCTAAAGCGGAAGATGCTATCTGTTTCTCTCTGGATTTTCCATGTCTGATACGTACAGCATTACGGTTACCCATTGTGTAATGCTTCTATCCGGCAAAGGCTGACTGTCTCGCCATGGCTTCATTCATGGCCCCCGCGCCTCGCGCCTTCTTTTGCTTCTTTGAACCCGCCATAGTCACTCTCGGGGGCCTTCAGATCGTGCTCGACCCGGCAAGCTACTCACCCGGACTGCTCTCGTACGTGCCAGCCCACGAGGTGGCGGCGACGGAGCAGCTGGCCATCGCGTCGTTGTGCAATTTTGTGCTTCTCGTGGGTGCCATGATAGCGGTGGTCATGTGGAGGTGCCGGGACCCGGAGGTCGTGCGGTCCGTCGTCGTGGCGCTGATCTTGACCGACGTTGGAATCTGGATGTCAGCCGTGCGGATCATGGGTTGGGAGCGCTTTGTGGATGCCGGGAGCTGGAGTGGGAAGCTCACGCAGCTGTTCTCGGGCATGCTGGCCACGGTGCTTATCAAGTGCGCGTACCTGATGGGTTGGCTCGGCGCGGACAGGAGGCCAGGTGATGCGAAGACGAATAGGTCATGATGACCTCCTTTACGAGATAGCTGCTGGTGAGGCTGAAAGGAAGAGGGCTATGAATCTCACACGGAGCGCATAGACTACCTAGGTAGTTCATGCAGCTCGATAAGGCTTGATCACACGACAACCCCCTTCTGGCAGGCATTTTGAGGGAAGAGGAATGAACATGGGGTGTGATTGGCGGAGGGCCTGGTTGCTGATAAGAAGAAACCTTTGTTGAGGATGGTGACCTCAGCAACTGGCGGAAGCAGGGAGGGGTGGACGGGAATGCCTGGGGGAGTGCCGAGGGGACTTCTGCCGGCACATTGGAGAGGCTGCCTTGGTTCATGCTGGCACGACCTGACGCCGGCAGTGGCCCAGAGATCTGCGCTTGTTTCTGGCCATTGCCGCGGGCGTATTGGTGCCTCGAGGTCGAGGAGGAGCGTGGCACCCTGGGTGTGGGTATTCGGTCGACAGAGGTGACGAGTGAGGGGATGGCATGTGAAAACTGGTGCATGTCATCACGTCATGCAGGTTTATGCCGGGCAGTGCGCGTCGTTGCGACACGAGACGAGGGAGGAAACATGCAATCCGCGAGCAAGGAGGATTCGGTTGTCGAGGCCGAAATTACAAAGTTGGACAGAGACAACAACCAATCTCCCAGAGGGCCGTGACGTGGGAGGACAGCAATGGATAGAGAGACAGGAGAGGGCGCGTTCTGCTGACCCGAACTTTGTGCATTTTGTGGTTGATGTACGGAGTAAGCATTAGAATAAGAGTGTATCGAATTGACTGCAGTCAGAGACTTATTGTGTGTGTTGTTGCTGATAAGAACCCTGTCAACGATCAGCTTCTTCCCAGAACAAGAGCTGACCAACACACGCACGCATACATATGAATGCATTGAACAGGCAGCCTCCCACAGATCTCGTATATACGAGAGCCGTGAACTGAGCAATAACGGCGCAGTATTGTTCATGGCTTTTCTTCTCTTTCTCGAAGACAATCGGGTGATTCTGGGGAAATTTGATGGCCCCCCCGCTTGGTGCTGGGTCCTTAGTCAGGCTGGGCACCAGAGGGCATGAGGTACTTCTCCGTTACTTCCGCGGGAGTCAAAGCCACCCAGAAACTTGGTAATTGGGCTGACCTGCAGGCAGTTGAGTGGACACAAGACAGACGTGGACGTGAAAGAGGCGATCCCAGTAGAGAGTCGAGGCCGTTCCAAGGTTCCAGCCCGCCACCTGCTGTGTCGTGGTGGTCGCGGAGCTGGGCGACACCTCGAGTCGTGATGTATCGATGCGCGAGCTCACGCGTGGCCACGGTCACCGAGTCGTGGCATTGGTACCCGTCGTCATCACGTCGTATGTGAGCTGTCATTGGCCCGGGGCACCAGGGAACGAGGTGAATCAGGACTTGGCTTTCCTGTTTGCACAGAATAACAGCCATCGGAGACTTGGGTATATTGACTCTTGGTCAAATCCATGCGTGGCGCACCATCGAGGCACCCCATCCTTGGATCTGCATTGACAGAGGAGCAGGCACACGAGCTTGACGAGCTGTCTCACCTCTGGCGTGGACTGAACCATTGGGCTGCCAGCGTCAGTGCTAGCAGTGCGTTTCTTGCAAATTTGATTGTTTGCTTGGCTGCCGGTTCAGAGCTGGCCATGTTTCGGAACTGCTCGGCATGAGGTACCAGGCAGGTATCTTTTCCAAAGTTCTAGGCTCGGTGACGACGGCTTCAGAGGGGCTGTTCGCAGGCGCTAGGCCCTGTTGCTGGGACTCGTGCACGCGCGCATCCACCGGCACCGCCAAACCAACACACCCAGAAACCGCCCTGGGCGTCTCCCCGGGCTGTGAGAACAGCGAGTTGAGCCACCGCGAGCCGGCCCTACCGGCGGCCGACGAGTCAAATCCAGGATCTCTAAACAATGGAAGCTAATGCCACTGCCAGATCCTCCGCTGCCTGCATCCTTTCCTTTCTTATTTTCTCTCCCCTCCAACATTCCGACAATTCGGCACGACCTCTGGGCTCGAGCGAAGAGGAGCCAGAGAGAGAGAAGCAAGAGAGAGAGAGAGACTTCCAATTCCTTGTCGACGAGCAGCGCGGGGTTCTGGCGCCCTCCCACCATCCACCGACTCTCTCCACCCGGTCACTGCCCGTGGCGTCACACGCACAATCCATCAGCGATCATCCACCCATCCACATCCATCCCCCGGTCATTGTCCGTTCACTGGAGGTGGTTAGCTGGAACAATCAATCACTGACCTACTTGAAGCTCCCCGGCCATTCGAGTGCTACCTAGGTACCTACCTTGCGCTACACCTTATCCGCACCATCATCATTCCCTATCGTATTTCCCGTCCCCGCCCTGCGCCAATTTCCCCGGCACAGCCGTCTCGACCGCATCATCGCTCCAGAGAGGAGAGAAACATTTGGACGCCTATCCTTGCGTCGGCGTTTCATCATTTCTTCGGGTCCTCGTCGAAACAACCAAAGGACCCGCCGTTTCTTTGATTTCCGGCGCCCTCCAAGACTTCTCTCCATGCCCATTGCCTGGGCCAGGCCAGCGATTTCAACCCGCCAACCTCCACCCATGAGGCTCTGCTGGTGATCAAGCCTCATCACCATGGGAAACACCAACACCAAAGAGTCCGGCTCCGGCTCCGCCACCGGCTCGCGCGGTCACCGTCCCTCCCTCGCGCCCGAGGCATCCTCCTCCTCCCATCGATCCGGCCGTCCCTCCTCCCGCTCCGGCCGCACCAGCAGGGCAGACCTCGGCGGCCTGCTCGGCCTCACGCACAGCGGTTCCAGCACCCAACCCGCGCAAGAGCAGCAGCGGAGGGAGACGAAACAGGAACGGGAGGCCAGGCGTCTCGAGAAGGAGCGGCAGGCCAGGATCGCCGAGCGCGAGAGGAGTCTCAAGGAGGAAAATGTCGATGGAGGATACCTCGTGACCCTCGGCACCTATGTCGGGCCAGAGGACTTTAGCAAGCAGGTCGTGCGCCAGCTGCAGGTGCGTTGTTTGGCTCCCCCAAGTCCTAACCTATCCTTGCCCGAGTTCGCGATGCAATATTGATCCCTATTGCCCTACAGATCGAGCGGAGACTCGCTCCTTTCTGGCGTGGCCTGCAGGACTTTGACGACAATTGGACGGAGCCCCAGATCATCGCCGCCGCACGCGGCGTGGACATCCCCCCTGCCGGCGCGACTCCCCCCGACGAACTCGTCCCCAAACCCCTCGCCGTCGAATCGCCCTCCAACTCGACCCAGAATCTCAACAGCCTGACCGTGCCCTTGGGCGCTCGGTCGCTCTCCGCCGCCTCCGACAGGAGCGTCTCTAACCTTGGCTCGACCATCCCCTCGCCTACGACCGCTGCTCCGGCCCGCGGCAGCTCACCTTTCAAGCCGCGCGCCAAGGCTCTTGCCGCTGCCCTCAGTGTGGGTTCCCGCAACGGTTCGCAGACCGAGATCGCCCCTCGCGAGATCAATCTCCCGGCCGACCCCTTCGTCAACGGCCAGCCCACCGAAGTCTTTCTCTACAAGTCCGGCTCCGAATGCCCCATTTGCTTCCTCTACTACCCGCCCTACCTCAACCACACCAGGTGTTGTGACCAGCCCATCTGCAGCGAGTGCTTCGTCCAGATCAAGCGGCCCGACCCGCACTATCCCGAGGGACACGGCGACAATGCGGACAACGAGAACGCCAACCCGGAGGAGCAGGCCGGCCAGCTCATCTCGGAGCCCGCGTGCTGCCCTTACTGTCAGCAACCAGAATTCGGCGTCACTTATGAGGCGCCTCCCTTCCGACGTGGGCTTACTTATTCTGCGGGGTCCCTGACGGTCGGCTTGCACAGTACTGCCATGTCATCGAGCAGCTCGGTCAACTCCAACACATTGTCCCCGTCATCACTCGGGTCGCCGACGGGCGGCAACAGAAGAAGAACGCAGTCGCTGTCGGCAACCGCGCCCAACGTCATCACTACGGATCGAGTTCGCCCCGACTGGTCGACCAAGCTGGCCAACCAGCGCGCTCATATCGCACGACGCGCCGCGGCTGCTACCGCGCTACACACTGCTGCCTTCCTCATCGGGAACAACTCGGACAGTCGCTCTGGATTCAGGATGTCGAGCCGCTTCGGGAGGAGAACGGGCCATTCGGCTTCTCCAGGAGGGCGTGTCGACGAAGGCAGTCCTCAAGGCAATACCAGCGAAGGCGGCGAAGGCGACGGGAGCAGCGGCGCCGATACCGCCCGACCTCTGGGCGCACGACGGAATCGCATGGAGGACCTCGAGGAGCTCATGTTCAGGGAAGCACTCAGGCAGTCCCTGGCCAGCGAGGAGGAGCGGCAACGCAAGTGGGAGAAGGAGGTCCGTAAGGAGGCCAAGAAGCGGGAGAAGGAGGAGCGCAAGGCGGCCAAGGCCGCCATGAAGCACGGCTCCGGGCCGTACTCGCAGGGTGGAAGCGGCGCGAGCTCGGCCACGGCGAGCTCGCTGAGCCTGTCGGGCCTGGTGCACGGGAGGAGGAGAGGTAATAGTGGCGCCTCCAACCTACGTGTCGAGGCCAGCGTGGCCAGCGCCGTCGCCGCGGATGGCAATGGGAACCGCAGCGGCAGCGCAAGCCCCGTCAACACGACTGACAAGGGCAAGGCGATTGAACGCCCGCCGACGGTGCCCGAAGCGCGGACCAGCGAGGAGGCAGGCGAGTCGTCAGCCACCGCAGGGGCGTCGTCAAACCCGGCGGCGTCCAGCAGTGCCAGACCCATGCCCACGCCGCACCAGCCCGCGGGCCCGTCCCACCTCCGGCAGATGAGCAGTGCTTCCTCGGTCACGTCCTCTCAGCCAGACTCGACGCCCAACAGCTACACGCCGCAGTCGCACCTACACGATCCCAGGTCCAGCGGCCTGACCCTCGGCGGTGCCAGCGACGACGGCGAGGCCGCCGACGACAAGGATCCGAGCAACAGCGCCGAGCCCATGTTCAACTTTTCGAGCCTGGCCGAGATGGTCGGCGTGCAGCTCGAGGGCGAACATGCCGGACGCAGGCTGTCGGCGATTGGCAGAGACAGCCTGACGAAAGACAACGCCGCCGAGGCGGATATTGCCAAGGGCAATGCGGCAAGCCCGAGCCAGCATGCCGACAAGGACGACGAGGTCGCCGCTACGGAACACGACGAGCACGTCGGAGATGCCGGATCCGACGAGATCGACCAGAGCATCGCGACGCTCAAGGCCAGCGACGTGAAGAAGTTCAGGGCCGAGTGTGAGAAGCAGCAGGAGTCGACAAGTACCTCGTCAGCACTGGCTCCGCCTCAGCTGATGATCACGCCCGAGACGCCGGCGCCTGTGGACGACGATAGAGACGAGTCCAAGAGGCTTGGCTTCGCGACAACCATTGAGAGCTCGCGTACCGTCACTCAGTAAACTCAGGGGTTCCACAAAGGCATCTTGTACGAGGAGGACATGGGTTGATCGACATGGGTTGATCGACATGGTTCGGTAGGGGGAGGATCATTCGACAAGACAGAGACATATTCATGAGTGCGCAACAAATCACGAATGGGGCATTGGGAAAGGAGGGGGGCACGGCACGTTTAGCATTCTTGTATAGAGCATTTTTGACACACGAGTGGTCACCCTTTTTTTTATTATTCTTGCTTACAACATGTTGTTTGTCCCCTTTGGTCAAGCGGTGCATTTACAACTGTTTTTTTTTCTTATGTTGTTAGGAGAGGAGGATACTAGCAACATCACTTGAGCAGACAAGCAGTGGACGATTTGGTCGGTGGCAGGAACTGTGCAGGTGGTCTTGTGGGTGGACGGGGAGGGCTGAGATGGCCCTTTACTCCGGGACAGCTCCACGAGTTTGGCCAGGGGTGCTATTTTCCTGCCGGCGATAGATCGTAATACACGTCAGTGAGGTACGCGGGCCTTGCAGTGCATGCAACTGATCTATCAAAGCATGATTTGTTCGCTGTACGACTTGATTATGACTCTGTTTGAAACCTGCACCATAAACGCCTCGGCTAACCGTGCTATGGTGATGATGCCTTCGATTTTGTCCCTTGCCCTGCGCTATGCCTGTAAACATTTGAACACGATATTGACTGATTTCATCCACCCCTTCCAGCATGCCGCCACGGTGACTGAACTACTTCCTCTCCGCCGCCACGGGGCCGTCGGGATGCAGCTCGACGTTGACCCACCCCGCGGGCGGGCTGGTCCAGCTGTAGTCCCTCCACTCGTCGCCCAGAGCGGGCCACAGCTTGTCAGCAACCAGCTTCCGGACCTGCTCTCTCCGCGCCAGGCTCGCGACCGGCTTCTCCTGGTCTCCCTCGCCGGCGTCCTCTCCTCCCAGCCCGTCCACGACGCCCTGCCACTCCCGCACCGTCTCCTCGAGCTCCGGGACCGTCGTGACGCCGATCACCGAGCTGCCGACCGACTGCGGCGCGCCTCCGGTCTTGCCCTGCCCCTGCGACCAAGGGACCCGCGTGCCCAGGCCGACCTCGCCCGCCCGGCGCGCCCACTCGTCCAGGCTCCACCGTATCGCGACGCCCTCGAAGTGCTCGCCCGACTCGGCGGCGCAGACCTTGGCCGCGCGGGCGCAGGCGTCGCGCAGGCCGGCAGGGCTCGGGTGCCAGGCCGCCTGGGGCCCGGCGTCGACGCCCCGCGTGGTCAGGAGGCCCATGTTGAGCATGCTCGCGTTGAGGACGGTGCCCACACGCGCGTCGGTCCTGAGCCGCGCGAGCACGGCGTCCGAGGTCAGGGTCGCGTTCTGGACCGTGCAGTGCCCGTAGCTGAGGACGGCGTCGAGCGGCTCGCCCGTCTTGGCGAGGACGTACTCGGCGAGGGAGCAGAGCGTCGGCAGCGGGAAGCCCGAGATGCCGACGTAGCGCACTATACCGTGATTGTCGCGGAGCTCGCGGAGGGTGGTGACGGCGGCGAGGACCTGCTCGGGCGACTGGAACTCGACGTCGTGGGCGTAGACGAGGTCGACGTACGAGGTGCCGAGGCGGGCGAGGGAGCGGCGGACCGAGGCGCGCACGGCGGCGGGGGAGTAGTCGAACGTGGAGGAGGCGACACGGCCGACCTTGGTGACGAGGAACAGGTCCTCCCGCGTCAGGGCGGGCTGCGCGGGCAGGGCGCTGGTGGCGGCGGCGGCGCCCGAGGGCGGGACGAGGGACGCGAGGGCGACGTAGAGGGCGTAGCCGAGCAGCTGCTCCGAGGGCCCGTAGTAGGGGCTCGTGTCGAAGGCGCGGATGCCGAGCTGCAGCGCGCGGGCGACGATCGAGGTGTAGGGCAGCGCCGAGATGTGGCTGACGTACTGCGTGTTGAAGGTCGCGGTGCCGAGGACGAGCGGCGGCAGGGCGTCGCTGACGGGCGGGAACGGCGGCCGGGCCGGCGGCGCGGTCTCGGGCGCCGAGGTGGGCAGCTTGTGCTCGGTTCGCCAGGGCATCGTGGCGCTGCTCCTGCTCTGCCTTACTTCTTCGCCCTGGCCGGCGGAGGGACAGGTATCTGTGGTGTTGGCGGAGGGGAGGGGAGAAGAAGGGCGAGCGCGATAAAGCGGTGGTGAGAGTAAGGGAGGGAGGGAAAGGATAGAGGAGAGAGAGGGAGGGAGGTGTATGGGAACGAACGAGGTGAGGCTTCAGGGTCCTGGTCCCCCACCTCGGGTACCCGAGCACGATACCTATCGAGAACGGCTTCGGCGGGTTTACTTTATTTTTCTCTTCCTTCTCGCCTTGCTGGTCGCACCCGAGGCCCTGGAAATTGCGCACAATCCATGAGCTGGGTGGATGCGCTAAATCAATGGCGTAATCCGGGTGTGCCCGATCTAAGATTAGCGTGTGTTTCTCTCCGATCGCTCTGTTTGGTCGGGGATCCTGCAGTGCATTCTCGTGCGGAAAAGTGGTGATGTTGTGATCTGCGGCTTGCCCTCCCCCTCACTTCACTGGATATTTATAAGAACCACGGCCGTAACAGACGTCACACAGGCTACTAGGACGTATTCAACTCGTATCGGTCAGTCTAGAGGTCATCCGAGTCGGCCGACGATGATGGAGCGGCAGAATGCATGTCCTTCAGACACTGGCAGGGTCCGGATCCCACAAACGGCGATCACTTCTCCAGTGGATGCTGTTCCCACCACTGCTTTTAGTTTAGGGCCAGGTACAGACATGGTTAGCTGGCTGAATACAGCAAGGTTCATGCGAGTTAGAACGGATGACAGCTGTCAATCCGGTCCAGTACCGTCGACATGGCTGAGCCACAAGAGATTGACTACATGTGAAGACTCGCCGCAAACCACGTGAGTCTAGATGCATTATTATTATTCACATCGGTCTCCTGCACAACGAAGATATGCTGCTCGTGTGCTATTCGGTGGAAGCAAGGGCACACAAGAAATGGATGAGAAGATGACCAATGTCACATCCGCCGCGTGGACTCCAGATCAAATCTCCGGAAAAAAAACAACACCCAGCATTGACGACACCTCGCATCACGCATCCATCTCGTGCAGCAAGTAGGTTCTCGGCCGTTTGTTCGCCGCAAGTGTCCGACATTCCCCTGGCCTGAACATCAAAAGGGAGATGGTCCTAGGTCATCATAAGTACTCATCTAGATTGCCTTCTGATATAGCCTAATCATCCTTCTTCCGCTGATCAGCATCGCCCGTTGATCTTCTGCCCATGCCTTCTATCCTACCGTCGCATTAGGACGAAGCTATAATGCTCAAATTTATCAGAACCATGCAGGTGCTCCATTCCTTTGGGCTGGGCCTGATGTTTTAGCCTCCCAATCAGCATTCGTGTATTACCGTTCACCACGGTGTCAAAGTATCGGAGGTATTGTTTGGCCAGGTTACCCCAACTCCACTCGAAGGGTGATCTTCCGAGGGACGATGAAACATCTCATCAACTAGGTACTTTTTTCTCCATATATCAGGATGGAGACTATCTCGCATTGCGTCTCTATCGCGAGTTCCTGGTGAGTTGACAACTTCGCAATTGACTACCCTGAGCTTTTTGAGCTTCTATCACATCAACAAACTCTTCGCACCATGCCGCCCAGTTGATACTGTCAAGAAAAAAAACGTTGCTTATCGACCGAATACACGGCAATATGCAGGTCCAGTACCTCGACAATATCCCAATATCCGGATCCGTATAGTGTTACCGCACCACCGCTTGCCTCCGACTTGGCACCCGCCTTCTTTGAGATTGATTGAACATGGCGGGCTGTAGCCTCTTGGCATGCTAAATGTCACACTGCTCATTATCCGTGCCAGCGATGAGCCTCTTGCGTTTAGCCCTATCTCTTCAGCAATATGAATATGCATCTGCTTGGCACCTCCCACCTAAACCCCCTGATCCTCGAGTCTTCTTCAATTTTCTTCCTTTGCCTTCTGCATCATTGGCTATAACCACTCTGCAGGAGGAGGACCCGGGTTGCGGCTTGAGCCAAGATCAGCCGCGCTCCCAGACATATATATAGGGTTGATATCCTGCAATTTGGCCGTAGGCGTGCTACCGTCCACGCACCTTTTCTTGCTTAGGTACACGCCAAGATGCGCCCGTCACTAGCAACAGCCGGAGCCGCGGCTCTCGTGGGAACAGGTGAGCCCAAGATGTGAACAAACTTCAGACTATGTCTAAGAGCCCGCAGCCCTCGCCCAGTCCGACTCGGTCTCCATCAAGGACGCCGACACTGGCTTCACATGGTCCAGCTTCACCATCGACGAGGGCCTGACCTTCCGCATTGCCGTACCCAGCCCGGCCCCTGCCAACGCCTCCTTTGATGCGGTCTTCCAGCTCATCGCGCCCAAGACCATCGGCTGGGCGGGTCTCGCTTGGGGTGGCGGCATGACCTACAACCCGCTCGCCATCATGTGGCCCAACGGCAACGACGTCGTCCTGACGTCCCGCATGGCATAGTAAGTCCGCTTCTCTCACGCCTTTTCAGCTGGACGACTGACCTGATTCCCTTCAGCGGCTACTACACGCCTCCTCCCTACCCGGATGCGACCTACACCCTGCTCAAGAAGGCGTCCCACGTCAACGCCACCCACATGCAGGTCACGGCCAAGTGCACAGGGTGCACCCGCTGGGGCGACGATGACATCGGCATCACGCAGATGGACCCCACCAACCAGAACTTCATGGCCTTTGCCTACTCCAACGTCCCCGTCGACGAACCCGCCAACCCAGACAGCACCTTTGGTATCCATGACCTGATCGGCCACTGGGTCGAGGATCTGAGCCAGGGCGCGAACCCAGACTTTGCCGCCCTCGTGGCCAAGAACCTCGGGGACAGTGCCGGAACCCCGGCCCCAACAAGCTCTCCCGCTCCTGCCCCCACTGCTAGCAGCAGCAGCTCCGCGCCGACGACCTCGACGACCTCGACGACCTCGACGACCTCGACTGCTTCGGGGACTACGAAGCCGACTGGCGAGGCATGCCCGGCCAAGAAGACCAAGAAGAGAAAGGTTCAGCGTCAGTTCTAGACGTGCAGAAAGTTGGAATTTTTTGCTGGAAGCCAAGTCGTTCTACCTCTTCCATCCTCAACCAGCAAGACCTCAATAGTTTCCGGATCGATAGACTACTAATGCATACGTACTCTAATCACCCTGTCTCCAAGCCTCTGTTTGAACATTTATCTGACTCAGATCCCCGTTTCAAAAGAGGCAACAGTCCACCGCCAGCATGGATCAGATGCCGTATGTTCTTCCTGGGATTGAAGTTGAGCCGAATTTCACAGACCAACTGCTCTACTCCCCATCCCGAGTCGAAGAACAGATCATAGCTTCCTTTTGAGGTATAGATGCTGCAAAGCTGTTGTCCTGCGCCCTTGAGTCTGATCATTTCATAAGCCCTAACAGACTCAGTTCCTGTTCTGGCGGCTTCTCTAAGCTGTTCTAGGGAGAACTAGATGGCGGAAAAGTCTGACCACTTCATCAAGCAGCAGACGGGTATATCTTCAGGTGAAGTTGGTTTCATATAGCCCCTTTTCTGCTGGTTGTTCTTCGCATACCACAGGTTAGTACTCAGGTTTGCCACTTCCCTCGGCGCCTGCAGGGCCCACTGTATCAAGAATGGCTGGTCCTCGATATCTTTATAAAAGGCAAGGAGGCCACCTACGCTGCGGTATTGCGGTGGCGAGTGCGTCGCACTGAAGGCTGGGAAATGAATAGATGTGCTTCCACCCATCCCACCCCTGAACGTCCTGAACACCGCTTGCTCCAAAGGGATAGTATCCTAGAAACTTGCAAGGCGCGCCAATCTGTGCCATTAGGAGAGGTCCAAGATCTGGGGTCATGGTCATCGTCGCTGTGGGCTGGCTATTGCTATGAGGATTGACCATGACATCGATAGTCCTTAGAACCATATGATCGAGGTTGTAACGCAGTTCTCCTAGATGAAGAATATGTGAGCATGCGAAGGCACCATCCAGAGTCCATTGAGTTGATGGCCTCGGAGAGCTCGGCGCTGCTACTCTTGTCGATGCAACAGGTATCGATCCAAACGTAGTCCATCTGGTCTTTGATGGCTTGCAGGCAGCTGTACTTGATTTTCAGGAAACCTTTCTTGTTCTCGTACTGGGAGCAGTCCCTGATAATGTCGCTGAAGAGCACCTCTTCAGCTTCCCAGATATGGGAGAGAATAGCATAGGCCGGTGGTCTGCCCATGAAGTCTTCAAGTCGGTGGCTGCGTACATTTAAAAGTCGCATCTTCGCTGCCAAGGCTGGACTCGAACAGGAATATCGAGACTCGCGACGGGTTCAGACGGGAGGATGCTGAACGCTAAGCAGGGTGAGATCAAGTACCTAGCACATCTGGTGTTTGTCAAAAGAGAACAGATATCTGATGCGCTTCCTCTCTCAGGTCAGCGTGGCTCATCCTGTTGTGCGACATGGAACTGAGCCCCTGTGGCTAGAATGAGCCGGCCGTGATAGGTCGAGAGATGCGATGACCTAGAAGGCGGATGGGCCCGTACAATGTAAGCTCACCTCGATACTTGGCTTGCAAAAGACGGATAGAAGCGGCACTGCAGCTGCACAAGCGCTTGACTTGGTCTTTTTTGAAATTCAGGTAGCTGTCATTGTTTCACGCCTGCCAATCTGCTCATCAAAAAATATTAAGGCAGTCTGGTATTTGAAAGATTGGATGGTGTATCTGGTATGACAACCAATGCGACATTGCCATCAAGGGCCGACCCTACGCTGATTCTACATGCCCTGCCTTCAGCATGTTCTCCAGATGACTCCGAGGTGTATGCACGAGATTGTGAGGATGGACTCCGCATCACGTATCTCCCGCCAGCGCCAGGGTCTAAAGCCGGTATCATTAGGTTGCTAGACGGCGGTGCGAACCCGATTTCCAGGGCCCCTAAGTGCCCCCATCTTCTCAGAGACCGCGTCGCTCGAGATGTTCCGGCCAAGAACAAAATAGCAGAGATTCTGATTAGACAGTCGAGACCCTACGCTCTCTCCTCCCCGTGGTTTTTACAAATCAAGAAGCATCATTGAGTGTCCTTCAAAGACCGCCGTCCCTCCGCTTGTTCTTCAGCAGCGGGGATCATGTCAAGTTGGACCCGGAGGAAAATAAGAGCCTTGGCCTGCTTGAGGCAGTGGACAGTGAAGGTTACAAGCTCGCTTTTGGACTAGGCCTCGCAAGCTAAACCCAGCCAAATCTGATGAGATCTTGGCGGACTTTAGGCCAGGCCCGAGGGTTCGGTCCCAAGCGTTGTGGATCAGCCACAAATGAATGCCTGGAACGCACCAAGACTTGTCAAATGGGCTAGGGGCATCTGTACAAAAGAAAACAGGGCTTGGAGTATGAGATGATGCGGATTAACATACCATCCGGTTAGGGCCAGTTCATTGCCAGCTGAGTCGCAAATTCTTTGCCTCGAGACGCGTTGAAACCTTACTCCCCAGTGCCTGTGGAATGTTGGACTGTGAGAGGATGGAGTGCCTGACTCGAGCATCACGACATGGTCTGTGCAACCCACGAGTCAATCCTGACCCGTCTTACAATGTGGCGCAGCCAGTAACCGCAGTACTGGGGCCAAGTGGTTCTGTGCCCATGCCGTGAATTCGATCTGGAATCATGATATCGATCATATTCCCCATGCAACAAATCACTTAATGTATAAGCCGTCCCGGGTTCCATATCTTCGGCCATCGGAACCTGCATCAGCGGCATCCCCGTCCAGCGTCATGCAATCACTTGCCGATACCGCCGTAAGATCGGAGGCAGGGATGTCACTGCCGAAGTTGATAGGTCTTGGCCCTGCACTAAGAAAACGCCATGGCATGATAATGCCATCCAGAGGTTCGGAACATCGGGCACACAGGCAATGCAGTTGAGCTTCAATATTCAAGCCGGGTGTACAATGATAAACCCGACACATGGGAATCCTGGTGAGTGGTCGATCAGGGCCGTCCTGCAAGAGGCACTAGATGCACGCATGGTGTATATCTGCCTTGATCTTACATGCATCAGGTCAAAGTCCCAGAAAAGTTTTCTCGTTCGGGGCAACCTTAAGTTGCGGGCTAGAGCTGTGCTAAGCCCATGCTGGAAATGCTGCCGCCCCAACGCCTCTCCCACACTAGGAGGTAATGACGCCGTGGCGCCACACTTGACTTCCACCCTCTGGTAATAAACAGCGACGCTGCCCTTGCATGATTGCCACTTGAGGGTACCGTGAGCGTAGTTCCCGATGCATATCGTCGACACAACATGGCGATGGAGGATCGCGGTCCCGAGCTAGCTGCGGTTTGCTGGACGTTTGTGACTACAGCCTTTGTTGCCACGGCGTTAAGATGCTATGTGCGGACACGCATCGTCAAGAGGTTTGGTCTCGACGACTGGACGATGCTCGCTGCTCTCGTAAGTATCACGCACAGCCACATAGAGTCTTCCGGTTTCGAAACGAGCCAGACTGACGTCGTTCCTCATACCAGGTTTCCTTCATCATCTTTATTGCGTGTACCTTGTGCGGCATCCACTACGGCACAGGCCGACATTTCTGGGATCTAGAGGAACAGGACATCGAAATGGCGCTTAAAGTGAGACGATTACGGGACGCGTGAAGTGTCGGGGCTGGGAAGCTGACAAGATCTAGTTCTGGTGGCATTGCTACTACTGGTACTGCGTCACAATAATCCTAAGCAAGGTCTCCATCGCGGCCTTCCTGCTGCGAATTGCCGTCAGCCGTGTCGGCCGAGCCATCATCTACATTGTCGCAATTGCCACAGTCGTTAGTGGCGTCGTCTTCTTCTTTGTTAATATTTTCCAATGCCGTCCGGTTTCGTTCTACTGGAACCAGCACCAGCCCGGCACTTGCCTTGATAACGATGTCATCATCGGCATTACCTATGCATACAGCTCGTTCAGCGTCGTTTGCGACTTTACTTTGACGCTCCTACCGATCGGGTTTATCTTCACGCTCCACATGGATACGCGGAGCAAGATTGCTCTGATTCCCATCATGGCCATGGGCTGTGTGTATATGCCGTTGGCTGTTGGATTTGCGAGGTCCACTCACTGCTAACGTTTCCCAGAGCCAGCGCTGCTGTGGTCATTCGTTTTTTCTATATTCATGACTTTAACAATCCGGACTTTCTATGTGAGTGAACAAAGGAAATCGCCCAAGATTAGCCTGGATTTCTAACATCTCAAGATGCCACACTCGATATCGCGATCTGGTCGATAGCAGAATGCGGTCTTGCCATAATTGCCGGCTGTCTCGCCACCCTCCGCCCGCTGTTCCGTATTGTTGGGCAGAAGTTCGGGCTCGCGATCCCTGGGCCTACCATTCTGTATGTTTCAAGCCGGCAGCTTCCGAGTCCCAGGGGTCGAGACTATCTCACAACGCTAACACCCTGCGAAGAAACCGAGGCGCCATGTTTAGTCTCCCTACGATCAAGAACGAGGATGTCGAAGACAATCGAACGGCCAATGGCAGTAATCTGGACAGTAATACAACGGGGGAGCGCGCGTCTATGTGGCTCCCTCAGGACCAGGAGCAGGACCAGGAGCAGGACCAGCCCGATAAGAGCAGGGAGGAGCTTACAGTGGGACATTGACGGCTCATCGACTCGAATACTGGCGAGAAGTTGGCGCCATACTATCACCCGGGAAATAAACGACTACGTCTCTGGGTCTCAGATGACGAGATCAGCGAGGCCCCGAAGAGATTAGCGCAAGAGAACGTCATCGTCCTGCGTCTCGGCTGACGAGACGTTCTGTATGCGACTGCGCTCAGAGATCGCAAGGTTACCATGACGCGAAACGGCAGCTGCAGGTCAGCGATCCAGCGCATCTGAAGCCTATGCTGCTTCTTCACGCATCACAATAGGCTCAAGCCGTACTCCGGCTACGAGACCCTGGGTCTCACCGCTCGCTCTTCTCTACATACGCACATTCAAGAATTGCTGACGTGGTGGAGCAAATGCTAGCCGACCACCCGACTTCAGTGGTCTCCAGAATACGAAGGATGCCTATAAAAGAGTGGAGGAACATGGCGTCACGACAGAGGTTGGACAGAGCTAGTGATCCGCTTGAGAACTTGGGGGTTGGCCTATGATCCAGACGATAAATTCGTGGTGTACTCTTGTCATTACACTTTCACTATTGGTTTCACCACCTCTCATGCCGCAATGCCGAAGCAGCAAGTTCTCGATCTGCACCCGGCAGGGTGGGAGTCTGATCCGGCAGATGAATACTTCCGGGTCTCGACGCTTGACTACTGCGTCCCCCAGGTCTACATGGCCTGCGCGCTGCTATTTCGTCTGCCAGATGACCGGAAGGCTGATGTCGTGGCCGTACTCAAACGTGGCCTGGAAATTACCCTGAGACAATGCCGCCCGCTCTGTGGGTATCTCGAGAAGCATCCGGACGGAGGCGGATCGCTTTGTTTCCACAAGACGAAAGAAAGCACCGTCGAGTTCCACGTCCAGTGGCTTGACGGGCCAGAGGACGATTCTCCATCGTTTGAAGAACTTGAAAGCCGCTACTTCACAACGCAGGCTCTGGGCGATGTCAACCGATGGTGTGTTGCGCCTATGACGTACGGGGAGAAACCCGAGGCCGAGCCGCGGAACAGGCCGAAAGCAGCTGCCTTCAAGGCCACCTTCATCAAGGGCGGTCTAGTATTTGTCACACACCATCACCACTACGCAAACGACGTTATGGGCTTTTCGGGAGAGCTACACCAACTCGCTGATAACTGCTCAGCAGTCTGGAACTCTCGAGACCTGCCGCCCTGGAACCCTGCATGTCTGGATTTGTCAAGGGCCACAAAGGAAGATCTGCCTAAAGACCAGCTCATCGACGGCCCCAGCACTCCGCTCAAGCATCCGGATCATAAGCCGAGCCAGTTTGTTATCTTCCATCTGCCCAAGAGCAAGGCGGCCAAGCTGAGGGCTCTGGCGACTCCCGCAGATGGAAGCTACTGGGTCTCGACTTACGATGCTTGCACGGCGTACATCTGGCGCGTTCTGACAAAGCACCGGGCGCGACTACATGAGTCGGACCTTTCGCAAGCCCTGATCTGGAGCGAGGCAGTCGACATGCGCCGCCGTTTCCACGACCCTCCACTGCCAGCGCGCTTGCAGGGCAACTTCTTGTGTGGTCTGTTTGGCACGGAGATCCCTGGACTGCCGGCCATCACCGCTGCCCAGGTCATATCCGAAGAACCTCTCACAAAGCTCGCATGGTATATCCGCCAAGTTACCAATCACGCCACCCAGGAGACAATGGAAGCAATGCTCACAGCCATCGCGCCGATCCGCGACAAGACGGCGCTCGCGCTGCGAACCGACAGCCTGCCACCGCTTAGCAACTTTACGACGGATTGGCGCGGCAGCAACCCATACGAAGCAGACTTTGGGTTTGGGAAACCCCAGGCCATGCGTTCGCCAGCCGAAATAGTCTCGACGGGCATGACTATTGTGTACCCGCCCCGGATTCACAACCCACCGGCCGGGAACGATGAGGGCAGCGAACTCAATATCTGCCTCGAGACAGCCATTCTAGAGGACTTGCTTGCGGACCCCGAGTGGACGGAATTCTTCGATTACAGGGGAGTAGATATCGGATAGTCGACGACCTGCATGGATAGACTAGATTGGGGGTAGACAACAATGGATAGACGTGCAAACCTCAGGTTGACTAACCAGGGAGAGCGTCAGCTAGGGCTACCTGGATCCAAAACCAGAAAGCTGAGCTTGATTATCGCCCCTCGAGCTTAATCCAACTGCCAAGTTCTCATAGTGATCGGTGGGATCAGGGAATTCGGGACCTTTTCAGAGCATTGAGCCCAGACTAGTGAAGGCACCTAGCTGGAGAGCTCATCGATCACGCCGTTGCCCACAGCTCTGATTGAACATGGGGAGTTGAGCTGACGCTGGGCACAATTCCGACGTCATCCTTGCCTATTCCAAAGCGAGGGTACTGCTTTAGGTCAGCAAGCCTGAAGTGATGCAAGGTACTCAGACAAATTTCATCAACTATACTGAAGTTGCAGCACTGGCGACCGGGCTGCGAGCTCCATGTCGAGTGACGGCCTGTGGACGGGGATAGTCGCACCAATGAGATGCGGGAGCTGGTTCAGACCCTTCGCTGGCTGAGTATGCCTTGGCTTGGGCCGCATCGCCGAGCTCGAATGCCTTGTTACCACCCCACAAAGCACTCAGCGGAAAATACGGCATTGAATGCTAGTACCGATACATCTTTTCTCCTTGGAGCGTCGGCTCCTTGGGATGTACTGTCACGCCAATGCACTACGATCGAACCTTGGAAGGATTCTGACCCCTGTCTCTGAGCGTCGCGTCCACGCCCGCCGATCCTTGCCTGGATCATTGCTGTGCCGCGGTACCAGCCGTATCATCTTTGCGGCTTGGGTCTCTTCGATTTATTAATGCTGCAGACCGACACAGATGACGCTTCCAAGAAACAACTAGCCTCCCCAAAAACCACAGCCATGAAAGAATCCAGCTGAACCTGGATAGATAGGTCGTGAACGATAATGACAAGAGAACCAAACCAGGAAGATAGATCTCACTCGACTCAGTTACTGACGATGGACGAAAGGGCGAGCCCAGTGGCCCCAGGAGGTGCACGCGAGCAACCGACGATACCCTCGAGCAGACTCCGTCGCGCGCCGCACGTCGTAATCCTCACGCTCGGCTACGCAGCGATCGCGCTCTTTGCCTGGGTCGTCTTGTGTGTTCTGAGTTACAGGCCAATCGGCGCCCAGAGCTATGCCATCGAATGGCAGGACTACGACTACATGTATAAACCCAACACATCAGACTTGATGACGCTAAGCAACCGCTATCTGAGAGCCGCTCGGGTTTCCCAGACAGTAACATCCGTGCTCACGATCCCGCTGACCTCGATGGTCTGCTCTTATGCCGCTGTAACCTTTCTTCAAAGACGAAGGACGCGACATGGGCAAGGCACGACGCTGCGACAAAGCATGGCCCTAGCAGACAAAGGCTGGACTGACCCCGTAATCATCGCGAAGCTCGTCATGGGGGGCTGGAAACGCTATGGCTCAACTTTTCTCGTTGCTGCTATGGTCTTGAATTTGATTGGTGAGCGCCACCTCGAGCTGATAACTCCCTCAATGGTTTGTTGATCACTAACAGCGGACAGGTGCCTCTATAACGCCTCTCCAAGGTCTCTTCGTATCGTACAAGTCGATCAAGGTTCCGTCCGGGCCAGACCGTATGTATGGCTTGATGGATATAGAGGACACGGTTGTAAAGTACAATGAAAGGACGAGCCCAAATGACGCCGATAAGCTCTTGCTACTGAGATCTAGGCTGATGGTGGTCGACAACTCGGACCCGCAGTTCAGGCTGTGGTCAAGTGAGCCCGGATGCGGCGATCAAACCAGAAGGAACGAGTCCTCCCAGGGCTGCACCAGATCCGGTCAATACTCGTTCGAAAGTTTGCCCAACCTACCCGATCCGTTCTGGGCCCAGCCAGTATCCGGCTTCAACACGGGACTCTGGCGTCAGGTGGCACCCCGAGTCAATTTTAGTACCAAGTACGAGAACATCACCATCGACGACTTCCCCAGTAACTGCAGCAAGATTCCGGACGCTCTCTATCTCCACTACGAGAACACGACCAAGCGCGGGGGATATAACGTCGATATTTGCATGCCGGCCAACGTGACCGAGTCTCCGTGGAAGGCCACCCGTGCACGGCAGGACTTTAGCGAGGAACTATATGTCAAGATGACGGTGGACTGGAGTATCAGGAATGATGAGATGTCGTTTGTTCCCGGCAATTATTCCTTCAAGGTCACACTAGACACCACGGCAGGATATTTCGAGCTCCCTAACTATGAGAACGGGCAACTCCCGGGCCCGCTTCTTACGAACACTCCGGACTTTGCTTCCAGCCCTCTGGGCATGAACCAAGCCTATCCCCATCATAGTAACTTGATTAACTGGCCTCGCAGTGCGCCGAACAGCTCAGAGGAAGCCGTCGCTAACATGACCTATTACGCGATGAGGGACATGAGCAAGGGCCCGCTCCTGAGTACGGCATTGGCGCTCTTCGGTGCGGGCTCCTACCTCGATATCCACCGCACCGTGGCCGAGGGCTACACCGGCGGCTCCCTGAGCGCCTGGGGAAGCTGCATCGACGTCGTGCCCTTCATCAAGCTCCTTCGCAGCCCTGACCCCAACGGCCGAGGTGGCGGCCGTTCCGTCTCAAAGGGGCTGGACCCCTGCGTCAGCGCCTGGGACTCCGAGTACTACCAGCCCAAGATCGTCGCTTCGTACATCTGGCTATTCGCGCCCTTTGAGCGGGAGAAATCTCTGGCCCACCCTCCCTCGAAGCGCATACAGGACGCCTTCACGGCCGCCGCCTTCATTGCCGTCGACGTCTGGGCGCAGCAACCCGCCTCGGAATCATTTGTAGCGCTGTGGTGGGATCTGGGCGTTGATCAGCAGGTACCCGACATGTCGCACGCCGGCATGATCGTCGTCTCCCTGCTGATGGGGCTCTACCTGTCGTGCCTGCTGGCGCTGGCCGTGTACGGCGCGTGGACGCCGCGGTGGACCAACCAGCTCGACGCGTTTTCCATGATGCGAGTCAGCTCGGCGGTGCCGGGCCTATTCCCGCTGCGGCTGGCGCACGACCCGGACGATGTGCGGGCCCTCGACGAGCTACCTGGCTGGATCGGGGGTGTGGATGGCGTGCAAGGGGGTGGTGGTGTGGGTGAGCTGGGGCTCGGCGGGGAGTTGCCGCTTAGCAGGAAGGAAAAGTATCATTGCTATGCGTTTGATAGGGATTTCGATGCTTTGTCAAAGCAGGGACGGAGGACAGAATACTCCAGAGTTTCCAGCGGGGCCGGGGGGAATGAAAGCGAGTGAAGGTGTCCTTTCACAGTTGGTCCACAGCATATATCTGAGAGTCTCCAAGCCCTCATTATCCGCTTGCCCGCATCAGCCTCCTCGCTCCAGTCGAATGTGATATCTTCCATGGGTCGAAACAACGGTGGATGTCACTTCTTAGAGTACACTTCTCTGATTAACCTGTCATATGCGCCAACCAACTACATATCAGGTTTGCGACTGGTACCAAGTAACAAGGATAGATGGAGCATGAGAACTGCTCCCGAATGCTCGGCGAGGAGCACCCGTCGGGTCTTTGACGTCTGACTCGGGCCGGCTCCTTGACCTCGAGAGTCATGAATGAACATCAACCAGAATGGGTTAAGACTCAGAATGTATTTGTATTTGTATTGATGCGGCAGATTTGGGAACGAAGAGAGATAGGTATTGAGTTAGATAGGTATGGAATTACTGCCCATCCATGCCAGCGTCACTACATGCGTTATTGAAATTTCTGCTCGTCATCGAACGCCGAAGCTCGGGTTTCCGATGAAAACAGCGGCTCCAGAGCGGATAAAGATGGAGACCTCCAGGGCTGGTTCAAGTGCGATCCACCGTCGGACCCCTTCGGAGGACCGTATTTTAACGCCGGAGCCTCGGACGTATTCTGCTGTTCGCCGAGCTGCGTCATTCGGTATATCCTTAATTATATCAACCGCCGCCCTCACGGAGCTTCTGACGGTCGGCGTTCTGTTCTGATAGACATTCCTACACGGGTTTGAATGCAGCAATACTGCTGAAATGACGAACATGGACCCTGCTCAGTCTTGGTTCTCGCGCCTGGTAGCAGAGATCGGCATCTCTGCCATCACAGGGTCATGCCGCGACACAAAACTATTATGCGCACAACGGATGGTCCGACTCTTTGCATACGGAGCATCATTCCTGATCCTCGTCCAGTTTCTCTCTAGCCTGGACATTCCCGACGATCGCATCGGCCTCTTCATGACCCTGACCTTGCTCGGAGATGTCGCCATCAGCTTCGTCCTGACCGCCATCACCGACGCCGTCGGCCGCCGGAAGATCCTCGCGATCGGATCCTTCCTGATGATCGTCAGCGGCGTCGTGTTCTTTATCGCCGATAACTACTGGATCCTCCTCTTCGTCAGCGTGCTGGGCGTCATCAGCCCCAGCGGCAACGAGATTGGACCCTTTCGCGCTGTAGAGGAGTCCGTTCTCGCCCAGCTCACACGCAAGGAGCATCGAAGCGACATCTTTGCCTGGTACACGCTACTAGGCAATGCTGGTGCAGCCTTGGGCACGCTCACTAGCGGCTGGCTGGTCCAGGTACTCACGCGCACCAAGTCCTGGGAGAATATCAGGGCCTACCGTGCTGTCTTTCTTCTCTATGCCGTTTTAGGCTTGGTCAAACTGACCCTGACTCTTGCCCTCTCGCCCGAAGTTGAGGCCTCGCGATGGGCTAGTGTTAAAGGAGGTGACGACGATCAGGAAGCGGAAAGAGGCCTGCTTGCTGATGGAGCTGCTCAGCAAGATGGGACCCAAGACATGGGCACCTTGACCCAACCAGAGACGCCCACGAAGCGAGGATCTGCGGTTGGCAAACAAATTCGCAGCCTGCTCCCGGAGATCTCACCTGAGTCGCGCTCCATTCTCTGGAGGCTCCTTCTGCTCTTCTCTGTCGACTCTTTTGCCTCCGGTATGGCCGCGCCGTCTTGGCTCACCTACTTCTTCACCAAGGTGCACTCGTTGCAGCCCTCCACGCTCGGCACCCTCTTCCTGGTCACCAACATCTTGGCAACGGTCTCGAACCTCGCCGCACTGCCGCTAGCCCGCAAGATCGGCCCACTCAAGACCATGGTCTTCACACACCTGCCGTCGTCGCTGTGCCTCGCCGCCATCCCTCTGCCACCAGCCTCAGCTGGCGGCACTTGGGCCGCCATGGGATTGCTCGCGCTGCGGGCAACTACAAACAGCATGGACCAGGCCCCGCGACAGGCCTTCCTCTCCGCTGCGGTGTTGCCTGCCGAGAGGACGGCTGTGCTGGGCGTAGTCAATATCGTCAAGACACTGGCACAGGCCGGGGGGATAGGCTCCACGGGGATTCTCGCCAAGGCATCCTTGTGGATCGCCGTCCTCGGCGGCGCGGGACTTCTGAAAGGTCTCTATGACTTGATGATGCTCTGGATGTTCCTTCATCTCAAGGATAGGGATGAGGAAGAGGTTGTGTCTACATGATTGGTCATCAAAGCTCGACCAGGTTCGGCAGATCTGAGCGGTACGAATCATGACTGATAGCTTAAGATTCAGCCAAGGCAATGGCTGACTTTCAGCTGTTGCAGCTAGCCTCGCCTTCCCGTGTCGCACAAACTAGATAGCCTACGACTCGCGCTCGGATCTGACCGCACATGGCGAGTTCAACATCGAGATGGATCCCACCCTAGATTTGGGGCTGAAGTTGAAGGCGGGACATCATAGACTTAAGGTTCCTAGGCCCAAGACAGGCTGAAACCTGTATCACTGGTCACACGAAAAGGTTTCATACAGACCGACGATCACGGTTGATAATACTGTATTTAATCCAAACTGAGTGAAATAAATTAAAGTACGATTCAGAATAACGCCTCCCCAAAGGGGGAACAAATCCCAGATAAGCCAATTTGATCCAAAACACCCCAGCCTTGCTGCTACCCGTAGACCTCTCGTGCAGCGGACGATTCATGAGAGGACTTCCTTTATGCGAAGATGTTCTTCACCCAGGCGGCAAACCGCTTGTAGGTGCCGTAGGTTGCGTAGTGATCGGGATACTTGTCGTAAGAGGTGTACTTGTCAGGGTAGCTGCCGTAGTCGGCGTAGGCCGCCGGGGCGGGCGCCACACCGTCCTCTTTGTATTTATCGTAGGTACCATAGTTGGTGTAGGAGTCCGGGCCATAGTCGTCGTACTTGCCGTAGTTGGAGTAGTCGCGGCTCTCAACGTCCCCGGCCGCAGCGTCAGCGACGGGGGCAGCGAGAGTGTGAGTGGCAAAAGCCATGACGAAGAGCGCGGCGGGCTTCATGTTTGGAGATGTATGATGGGACTTGGCTGAGTAGGACTTGAAGCGAAATGATGCTTGGAGAAGTAGGCGACTGAGAACTTGCGTTTCACAATGTGGGAATGAGAAGTGTTTAAGATTGTGAGGAGCTGGTGTTATGAACCTCGAGGGTGTTAGCATCAACAGGGATCTCTTTATAGACGATGGGAGACAAATACCATCTGTGTTGGATTCTTCGACATGTTACCACCGGAGCGATGGCAGTACACTCTTACGGAGTAAACTACTTCAGCTAGACAGCTCTCAGATAGCCTCCTACGTCAAGAAGGACGGTCTATCAAGCCTAGCCCGGTCCCATGGCAAACAAAGGCAGACGCCAATGCAGCTTTTCGGAGGAGGCGATAATGCTCCTGGTGTTAGCTCGGCACTTGCCTTTGAGCTTAATCGCTGGGAATGACTCGATAATTCTGCCCTGCATGGGGTAACAAGAGCTCGGTGAGCTCGATCAGATCGATTTGACAGCTTTGCCCATGGAACTGCTTGGGAAAAGGTCCTATTGCGTGCCCGTAATTTGAGTTTCGACCACGTTTTGACACATCCGTTTGAATGACGAGCGCGATTCATATTGACCGAGCAGGAGCCGAACACGGCTTCTTCCATGCTGAAAGGCAGCCTTTCTCAACGTGATCAGGTTTCGTATTGTGATAGATCTGGGGTCATGCACCCCTCGTGTTTGGCTCTTTCGTGCTCGGTGACGAAATACGGGAAAGGAAATGGTCGTTGATTGTAGTCCTGAAGCTATTCTCGTCGCTTATGGCCACCAATCATACGCGGTACCAAATCCGACAATATGCATGCGACTAGCATAGCCGACTCCAGAGAGTGGTGTGTAGGGCTGCAGAGGGCGACCTTTGATCTAGTGTCTAGCAACTTACAGCCATGGAGTCAAGGCTTGGCGATCTTTGATCAGCCGTTGTTAGGCAGGCAATCTGGAAGAATGAACCTAACTAACCCGACTCTGAGTAGTAGTCATATGAATGAGCCCAAATCTCTTGTTCTTTCCAGTGTCTGTACGGAGCGGCTTGAGCAGAGCAACCCAAGAGTGTGTCAGTACGGCAAACCCAACTGTAAGGGACGTTTCCACCTAGTCCCTCCATTTCCCCAGGAATGGGGTGGATGCGGTTTCTGGCGAGTTAGATTCGAGGCGTGTTGACATTAAGGTTGGAATGCCCAAAGTCAATTCTGGTGGTGGGAAAGGCTAATCCGTGGGCTTGGGCTAAATATGACTTTGTGGCGTTTCCTAGCCAAGGGCTTCTGGTCTCGCCCCCAGAATCTCATCAGCCTTACAAACCTGGTGAGAGGCTCTAGTGTACACTAGGGTCCCTCGTAATAGCAATCCGGGGACACCGTATTTCTCGATTTACCATGAGACGTTACACTGCCGGCAAGGCTAATGACCATTACTCGAGCTTCACCACTACCTAGTATTCAGGTGAGCTCACGTGAAACAAACGCCTTCTTCTTTTCCATTGATTCTATACAGCATTCCATTCTTCTTCTCTTTGATCCACAATCGAGAAGAACAAAGTGGAAGACGGCCACTAATCTACTCTCACTTCGGTTTCGGCAACATGGCAGCTTTCAGGGACAAGAACGCTGAATACGCACCGCTTCACCGAGAGTCTGACCACTTCGAGGACGTGGATGAAGCGCTTGGCCCTTCCCACATTGAGGTCCCGCTGAGCAAGCCTCGGAGGAGATCATTCGTCTTGATATCCCTTGCATGGGTCTTCTCATCCATACTCTTTGCATTCCTGGGTGGCATTGCTGGACGCAAGCTTCTCGATATGGATAAGCGATGCGCAGCTTACACCACGCAATATTGTCAGTACCGTAACCTCCCTACGGTTCTCATCGATGCTAATCTTGCGGTATAGCGCCTGTCCTCGATAATGTCGACGTGCACTACTCCGTCACGCGGTTCAATGGGTCCTTCATGCAGGAGAATATTTACCGTCGAAAAGGAAGCCCAGAGGTTGATGCTGCGTGGGAGGCTCTTGGAGTGAACTGTAAGGACTGTGACTTTGGCTCTTTCTAGATTGTATTCTAACAACCGCAAAGATAGGCCCGGCATCATCCCGACCGACGTTGGCTTGAAGAGCGGTCTCACACCGGCGCATGTGCAACGTGCGGACAAGTACGGCGGCGGGTTCTTTATAAATGTCGAAGGAATGCACCACTTGCACTGCCTGGTTCGTGTCAATCCATATCCTGTGGGGTATCTCGCATACTAACACCCGGAAGAACCTCGTTCGGAAGTCACTGTATTACAACTATGAGTATTACAAAGATCTCGGCACGCACGCGTTCAAGAACGAAGAAAGAATACTCCAACTTCATATCAGTAAGCTGCGGATTGTTCCAGATAATGATGTGTACTAACGGAACCTCAGGCCACTGTGTCGATAATCTTCGTCAAGTTCTTATGTGCAATGTCGATACCGGTGTCCTTGGCCAGGTCTGGGCCCACCCCGACAACCCTTCAGCCTTCCCTGATTTCAACACCGACCACAAGTGCAAGAACTATGATGCAGTGAGGTTGTATGCGGAGAAGATACAGGTCAGTTACTAGACGTCCAAAACATGTTGCAGCATCTAATTTTACTAGGCACCGCCCGATGAGAAGCTGCCACCGGGGTATCTCAAGCACCCGAGCGATGGAGATGTCCTCCCGTCGACACCTTGAATCCTCGTGCAGTGTTTACTGCCTGTAATTTCGCCATTGATTCTGCATTCGTTAATCACTAATACAGTGCCGAAGCGGTCACTCAATTTATTAGTTGGCGCAATATTCTGAGAGCAGCATAGACAAAGGTATTCAAAACACAACCTCCACCCTATCTGTGAATGCGCTAGGTCTTCCGAATGTAATGAGTGCCCTCTTTGCAGCAAGATTCATCAGGATGGTGAATAGTGTTTGTGTTGCGCATCCATCCTGCTGACACCGGTTGATGGACCCGGGAAACCCATCTTCGTCCTTGAACAGTTCGAAGAACGAATCAAAGTCGAGTCCAGAGAGATCGGTCTGTTTTAACAGAGCCTGTAAGCGAGTGACCCTATACGACGAGTCCGGCAGCCATCCCGGTTCGTCCACTCCAGGATGATCCAGGAGCAAGTGATTCGCATGCACAACGACGCCATCGGCGTCCATCTGAAGCTCCTTGATGCCAATGCTCGTGCATTCTAGCCCCGTTGAGCCAGTCGCATCGGATACAAGGATGTGAGCGCTCCCAGCCACGCCGAGAGACTTGAGGGTCTGTATGGCCTCCGCCCTGGATGATGACTCGAGCACTTTCCGGAGCGCAAAATGAACAGGGAGTTTGGACCGGTCCAAACCCCGAGCGCGGATGGCGTTTAGGCAGACTCCTACGCCGTTCGCGTTCATACCAATCTTTCCAATGAGGCCTCCTTCCGTCACCATGGCGAAATCGGGAAGGCCAGTGCCCGGCTGCGACACGCGACAGAGAAAGATGTTGGGGCTCTGCTCGACTTGCCAATCCCAGTTCTGGCACAAGTATGATTCACCGGTCGACTTCTTGAAGCCTAGACTCGTGCATCCATCGAGCTTGACGTCTGCCTTGGCATTCTCGGTGAACAACCCAAAAGTGATCTCGGTCCGCACGTTCAAGGCTAGGATGTCGAGGAATGGTGCTTCTGCACCAGCAGCCAGGCCGCGAAGCTCATCGAGGTACTGTGGGCACGTACTCTCCAACGAGTTCACATAGGTGGCCGCCTCCCTAGTCACGTCGTCCCACTCCATGGAGCATGTGGACTTGAACAGCTGCCGGTAGAACGCCAGGGATCCATGGACTTGTTTTTTGGCTGACGCCCCGTGCTGGTGCCCAATCTATGGGTGTTGACATTAGTTAGCTCCGCTCTTTATCTGAATGAAAACAAACGCCATGGACAGACCTCGTAGGGTGTTCCAGAGCACCGAACCTCGAGCATCGTGAAGAATTGTTAGCGACTAGGAGACACAGAAGGGACTTCAGTGATGCAAGTAGTGCGGAGGAAGTTGGTAACTAGAGTCCCTCGATTGAAATGGTCGTCTGCTTTATGCAAGAATGACTGTTGGACTGGGTGCTACTGTGCGTGGAATATCTTGATCTACCTCCCGGGCAGCCCCCGCACGGAGTTGCTGTCTCCACTGAAAGAGAGGAGTCAGAGAAGCGAGGTCCCCGGTCCTACTGGACAGACCGGCGTCACTCAATCAGAGGGTTGCCCCTTGTGGAAAGACGGGCGGCAAAAGCGGACTAGTGCACGGAGCTGCGCGCACAGTGGGGGCTCCGATATCCTCACTGCTTACGGAGTAGGGCCACAAGGGGAAACACATCGATTGTCTTTCCCAATGCATGGTTGATCAGCTCGAAGACGCATTTCGATTTGTCATTCGCTGCTCTAAGCTTAGGCGCACCCCTCCAAGTCTCCTGGGCCTTCCTGCTTCACTGCCTCTTTGCTGTGTCCCAAACACGAACTCGTGGCAAATCACTCATGGAGTCATGAGTAACAAGCTCGCTCTCCACTGTGCAGTACTACGCATGCTCTCGCCTATTGATGGAGTCTACGAAGACCAACTACAGCCTGTACCGGAAGTTCCGGTTCTCCTTGTCCGTCATGTCGTGGAAACCAGTCTCAGTCTCCTCAGACTCGTCCGTCACAGGCGAGTCCAGCCCAGCCGAGCGGGCCTCGGCATCGCGCTTCCTGTTCTGCCACCACATCCAGACGCCGATCAGGGCGGTGAAGGCGATGGAGGCGGCATAGAGGCCGCAGAGGGCCTTGATGGCGGACATGTACCTCGGAGCCTCGGATGGCGTGAACATGAACGGCCCGATGACGTTTCCGGCGGCGAAGCACACAAAGTTGAGGCCGTTGATCGTCATGCGCTTGGTGTGGCCCGCGAAGTTGGCGCCGATGATGGACCAGTTCAGGATGATGGCAGCGCCAATGAAACCGAGCAACCAGGTGCAGGCGGTGAGGGCCAGCCGGTGCTGGATGGGGATGAGGGCAATGCCAAGGATGCCAGCGAAGGAAGGCAGATGCACAAGGACGCAGATGATGACGGAGGTGTTGCGGAAACTCGACGCCATGTAGCCGGCAACGATGGTACCCACCAGCTGGAACGCACCGATGGGGAGCTGCCAGAGGACCGTGTCCAGCGGGGCGTACCCGAAACCGACCATGAGGGCACTCATAAAATTGGTGAGCGAGGCATTGATGATGCCGATGGCCAACTGCTGTCCGGCAACGAGCCAGACGCGAGTATCGAGGAATGCCTCCTTGATCTGGTAGGTGAGAACCTTGTGGTGCTTGATGCCAGTCTGGTTCTTGGAGACACGCCACACCGAGACGATCTTCTCCTCTTCGGTGAACAGCTTGAAGTCAAGAGGGGACGATGGGAAGAAGAACAGCGCGACGAGCCCAGTAGCAAAAGTCACGACGCCGATAGTCTGCAATTTCTCGCAAGTCAGTATACCAGCCTTGCCTCATAGACTCCAGCACGAGGCTCGCTCACCAAAAACACCAGCTGCCAGGAAGCCAGGGCCGTATTGTGGGTGTGGCCCAAGCCCCAGGAGATTCCGGCACCCAGAATCGATGCGATGCCGTTACACCCGAGCCAGAAGCACATCCGGAGCGGTTGCTCTTCTCTGGTCCAGAACATGCAGGTGATCAGCATCCAGGCGGGGCCGATGCCAGCCTCGAGGGCGCCCAGGAGGAAGCGGAGGGCCATAAGGCCGGCGAAGTTCTTGGCGCCGACCGTCGCAACCAGCAGTCCGCCCCAGCACAGGAGCATGACCGAGATGAACTTGCCAATGGGGAGTTTCTGCAGGCAAATGTTGGACGGATACGAACCGATCAGGTAGCCGATGTTTGTCACGGAGGCCACCCAGGAGTACTGGTTGCCAACCAGGCCGAGGTCTTTCTTGAGGCCATAGGCGCTCGCGTAGTTGAGTGTCTGTTTGTCGAGGAAAGACAAGAGGTAGATTGTGCACATCTAACAGCGGGCCCATGTGTCAGTTGGACATCCAGGTCAACTCCGGATATAGGTCTAACTCGGTTCACTGGTATGGAACGGACGTACTGCAGGCAGAAGGCAAAGGTCGATCTTGCGCAAGACTCTTTTGGCAATCACGTCGCGCTCGGCCGGGTCCATCTGCTGAGACTGAAGGAAATACCCCAGCCCGATGTCTGTGTGGACAGGGTCGACATCGCCAGCCTTCTCAGGCATCGGCTCGGCGGCATCGCTGACTGTAGGACGGAGTTCGGCCATGTCTTTTTTTAACGTTGAGACTCACTCGCGGTAAATGACTCGTGGTGGATGGATGTGATCCAGCTGCGATCCCAGGTTCCAAGGCGCGGGGGAGACTGCATATTTAACAACGTCAGGTATATCAGTCTCTGCAATTAATATGAGATGTATCTATCTCACCAAATCTCACCAATCAACGCCAATCAACACATTTGGTGTGTCTAGTTCGGCAATCAGTGCGAGCAATTAGGATAAGTTGCCGAGCCGAGGCTGGCTACTCCGCCGCACCCCCTGAGTCGGGATTCCTGGAGACAAGATAAGCCTGTTCATACAGACCAGTCAATTGGCTGTCGCTTGGCGGGGAAAGACGGGGGGTGGGTACGCGGAGGAGGTCGTATCTTGGCCAGACTCACTTTCGAGCTCAAAATTGCACTGCGTACTGCATCGTCGTGTGTGTCAGTCCCATCTAGTGCACCCTGGATCCTAATCTATGGGTCTCGTGTGGAGATGATCCTGGGCGAGGAGGCTCCTAAGCTGGGGGAAATGGATACAGAGCTAGACTGATTAGGAAACACGTTCCCAAGAGCCTCGTTCGGGCTAACAGATTGCACCCATATCGCTCAAATTCTCCACTGATTAGCGTTCCTTGACCAGGCTATCTCGCCTGGAGATGGCAACCAATGGCCACAGTTTCCGCTGCCCCAGCCAAGGTATCAAAATCTCGTCTATCAACTCTGGGGTACTGCAGCATAGCCTGCCTATTGGTACACCAGTATGGGACGAGAACGAGATCATGATGACAAGATCCTGACGTGGGCAGCGCCGAGACTGTACGAGCGGGCCATTCTGCGCTCTCTTGGGCTCTTAGCCTAGTCGTTTTCACCTTTTCAGCTTGATGGCACGGACCAAAGGATCTGGGCCTGGCTGATATAGAGTTCGCCCAAGAATAGTTACTGCAATCAATTAGTCTAGATACCAACTAGCTAAGAACTTTTGTAAGGACTTTTGAAGGTGGTGAAGGCTTGGACACGATACCAAGTACACAGCTAGCCTCGAGGCTGAAGCACTAAGCTAAAAAAAAAAACGTACTGTCATGAACGAGAATCGGGTGAGATAACCCAGTGGAGTTCTAAGACTTGGAATGCAATGCCGTTTCGCAGTACCGAGTCTTGACTTACGGAGTAGGAGCGCGGGGGTATCGAACCGCTGAAGGGATTTCTCCTCCCGCGGGCCAAAGCCAGGGATGGCCTAAGGGTGTCCAGGGAACCAAGGCATAATGATTGGTTTCTTGCCACTTGGAACAATCAAGGTCCAGGCCGAGCACAGTGTCAGAAACAGTGGAATGGAATACTTGATTGAGGCAGGAGAGAGAGACAGTCTGCAGAGGCTCAGAGTCTCTCCACTAAATGGTAGCGCCTCCCAGCCTCCTGGCATTCGGCTGGAAGTCGAATTCCAGCACACAGAATGGTCGCCCCAACCCTGTGCAGAAACCAAACACAGAGCGAAAGTGGACGAGTACGTACACCCATTGAGACTTGAAATCTGTCAGGTTCAGGTGGAAACACATCTCACAACACTCGGAACTGAATCAAGCATGCTAATTAGGTCTTTAGGATAGGATATTCTAGCTCTATCGCACACCACCCGACATCCAGCCTCAGAAGCTCCCGCACCTCCCGAAGCAGCCCGCTCAGTTCACAACAGGAGCTGGCATCAAAGAGACGTTGTCAAAGAAGTACTCGCCCGACGTATAAAAGACCTGGAGCGAGCCGATGCCGACCGTGGTCGTCTCCGTCGTGGCCGTGAAGTCGGCATAATACGTGGTGTACGCCGAAAGGGGGCCGCGGACGGTGGAGATGACATTGCCGTTGATATAGATGTACGAGTACCCGTCCGAGGAGTCGCCCACGTTGCGAGCGCTGTACTGCACGCGGTACTTTGTTCCTACACAGGTGCCGACGGCCTGCTGGAAGACCTGGCCCGTGTACGGGCCGGCGTTGGCGGGGTGCCGCAGGACAGAGTGGAAGACGTGCGTCGCGTCGCCGCCAGCCGCGTCGGTGATGACCTCGTGCGAGGCGCCGTCGGAGGCGCCGACGACCTGCCAGGGGGCGCCGGTGGCGGTGTCCTGCTCGAAGTCGCCGTTGCGCAGCGCGTTGGTCTGGGCCGGGATGCAGATGCTGGTGGTGGCGCTCGCGGTCTCCTGGACGGTGGTGGTCGTGGCGGTCGTGGTCTGAACATTGGTGCAGAAGAGGATCAGTATGGGCTGCGTCTTCCTCTGGATGTGCAGGATGGCACAACATGGTATCACTTACCGTGATTGTCGCCTCCGTGAAAGTGGCCGAGACGGTGGTGTAGACCGTCAGGGTCGAAGTCGTGCCGTTGGCCAGGTAGCAGCTGCAGGCGCTGGAGAGCTTAGCAGTCGAGTAAGAGCACTGCGAGCTGAAGTGGCTGGTGTAGTCCGAGTATGCGCTGGTCTTGCGCTTCTGGACGTTGCCGGCATTCGGGCTGAGGATCGTGTTAGCAGAGGAAGTACAGCAAGCTTCATATGAGTATGACAACATACGCTCCAGTGATAGTCGCTGTTGTCGTGGTAGTGATGTGCTCGGTCGAGACGGAGGTCGCAGTCTCCAAAGCGGTGACCGTGGACGTCGCCGTCACGGTGATATCACTCGTGGCAGGGCTCTTGCCGAGGGCGGCCGTGCAGAACATGTTGGCATAATCGGCAGGGGCTCCGCGGACAGCGCGCAGGCAGTTGTTGGCATTGCAACCGGTGTCTAGGACAAGTTGAGACTTCCTGTTAGCGTCCGCTTCACTGGCTGGCAGAACGGCGGCTTGCTGGGGTCTTACCACGCTCGATCAAGGCAGCGAGGGGGCTGGCGTTCGCCAGAGTCACGCCCGTGACAAGAACAGGGAACCACTTCATCATTTTGGAGGCTTGGCTGAGGCTGCTGGACAAAGACGTGAGGAGAGGTGTGGGTGATACGGCAGGAGAACGGACAGCGCCATTCTCGGAGAGACTCAGAGGTCTTTATACAAAAACACCAAGGTTTTCACTTCAAGCTAATTCACGATAGTAGAGTTGAGGGCGTCTTGTTGACTGGGGAGAAACGACTAGCCCACCCTCAGCTGGATGGGAATCGCCAGGGCCTGACCGGATCGGGAACAGATCGCGTCCTCCATCATTGGTCCAGCTACGTGATGACGCCGCCTTTGTTCTGGGTGGCATAGGGTTGGCTTGTCCCGGCGCGCGGTATTCAATCCATTTCCTCGGGATCACAGGGGTCCAGACACGCTATTGCCTGCAATGTGCAGAGACTATCGAGGCCAGGCAAGCTTTTGACAGATTATGGCTAGTGGACTGCCGCTTTGGGAAGACGAGCATCGCTGTTCTGGGCTGAATCAGGCTCATCGTTCTAGACCACGGCAGATTGTTTGCTGTGCACCACTCGACACCCCGGCTTTTTCAAACTCAGCTCTGTCCACATCCCCTGCCGGCACTAAAAAGATCATCTAGCGCCCCGTGCCGTGCGCGCTTGACTGTCCTAAGTCGTTGGGCCAGGCCACTCCACCCAGCTTGGAGAGATTGGGCCTGGTCCAGGCTGGCTGGACTGATTTTGGTGCCATGCCCTGCTGGCACGCGTCCCCGGCGGTCCAGATTGCAATAGAAGATTCGTCATTCAGCTTTCCCATGGGCAGCTCCGGACTCTGAAAAGGAAATCCTTTCGTCTCCAAAGCTAATGAATGCCTCTTCTGTCGCTCCAAGTGTGTGCTCGCCGCATTAATGCGAGGAATAACAGCCCTGCTTGTAAAGAGCTGGGACTAATTTGACTAAATCCATTAGTCCCGGTGCCCACAGCCGGTTCGCGCCGTCCGACAAAGAGACGGGCTGCAATAAGCTTATTCTCAGCAAGGTGAGACTTTTTTGACTTCGGTCTGGACTTTCTTGACACGCACGACTCTCTTTATCTTCCGGACCAACGGCCATGTCAAGGACTCGCTCAACCCGCGAGACACTGAGAATTCTGTGTGGAGGAATACTTTTAGACGCCAATGGCATACTCCCCCGAACGTTTAATTGGAATGGACGCAGTCTGGAACTCCGTATGTGTTGGTGCCTGTGAGCTGAATGGTTTTGAAGCCATGCCGTTTGCGGCGATAGCTTGCATAGATATGCAAATAGAACAACACAAACAGTCCAAAACGTAGATAGAGTTTTCCCATCTGGTCCTTTCCACTACTTCAGCCATCACAAAGAGTGGGCATCATCTAATTTCCAGCTAGTCCGGTGAGCCAGGTCTCGAAAAAGCACTCAGGAGTAGTAAACTGGCGGCTTCATACCCCTGTTCGCTAGCCCTGGAGGTAATTAGGTCGGGGCTCCGGGGACTTGGAAAAGTCGGTCACGACTGATCGTCTGGCCCCTGGGACTGGCGCCCAATCTGTGTCCCTTGCTCCATTTCCCATCCTTGACTCGGTATTGAACCAATTCCTTGCCAATAAACGATTCTTTTGTTTGTGGTCCACTTTGCTCAATTAACAGTTTCTATCTCATCCAATCAAGGTGAGAATTAAATCGGTTTTATGAATACTGTCTCTTGATGGTGCGCCCCTCTATCTCGCTTCTCGCATTCAACTGCAACTGGACCTACACTTGTGCTGGTACTCTTAAATAGCCACACCATCATCGTTCAATCTCAAGCATAGATGCCCTCACTATTGCACCATAGAAAACCGGACACAATGTATTGACTAGTTTCTGCAAAACGCCATATTGGACGACATTCGTATTTGTTCAAACGGAAGCGACATAATTGAAATTGCAACCAACTCTGCCCAGCTCAGACACGGGAGATGTCTTCCTGCCACTGCCTTCCAGGAAGTAGAGTCTAGAGCTTCGCACGCCCAGTGCTACCGCCAGCAGTGGCAATCCTCATAGATCCAGTCATGGTGTTACTCACTTCAGGGCCCTTCGTTGGTGCAGAAGCGGTCCCATTCCATCCACCAGAAGTGGGCATTGCGGTTGAGTTGCCGCCGCACGAGGTCACGGTGGTGAACGTAAAGGTGACGCTCTGCGGAACCGTCTCGGTCACCCATTCTTTCATCCAGATGGTGGTTGGTGGTGGGCACGTAGTGTTGGTGGCTCCACAACCACTTGTAGTGAGTGTGATGGGAAAGCACTTGGACTGGTTGAAGTTGGGAGCCACGTAGATGTTGTACTCTGTGTCTGTTGCGGGGCAGGCGAAGAAGCTGGGCGAGCCCTTATACAACAGTGTGTTGTTTGAGCTGACAGAGAAGTCTTTATCAGGACTCTTGCCCTGGTCACACTGGATCTGAGTTTCAGGTGGTCCTAGTCGAGTGTTAGCTACACTCATGAAGAAGAAAGTTGGACTACAGCGTAGAGAATACCTGTTACAATACAGCCGAAGCCGTTGCCGTCCACAAATCCGCCATCTTTCTTGAGGCAGAAGGTTGACTGCGGGTAAGAGCCATTGAAACGGATCTGCCCATCTTGAAGTTCACCGGCAGGCTGTGGAAACGAAGGGGAAGCAGAAAGAGTAAACTTGCAGCAATCTGTTTGTGCAAGGACAGCTGAAGCGAAGAGAAGCAGCAACAGACGGGTAGGCATTGGAAGACCCATGATCAGTGTCGAGGGGATGAACAAGAGGAAGGCCGATACTGACCTATTCCCCACGGGCGTCTGCTCTCGTCTCACGGACTCGTTCGCATATATACCGTAGCCCACATTCAACTAGCTCGAAACATTGATCCGTCTGATTGCCGAACCCCCCGGCTCCTCATCCTCGATTTTCATGACACGATGCTGACGAGAATAAATCATCTGAGCTGGTGATCGGCGATCATCTGCGTCTGAATACTCGAGAATTGTTCTCCGAGCTTCGCCGAATCCGATATCGCGGTCCGCGATACGCGACGCATTCCTTCGAGATTCTGCAAGGAAATCAAGTTTACAAACGCATCACATGCCAAGCTTATGTGAGCGGGAGAGAATGAAGGCATTCAAAATCCTCTTGGCCGACGCCGGTTGGTCGATGATTATCGTCTGTGTAGTAGTAAAAGAGTGACTTTGAAGATACTTGAGATAAGCTGAGTGAGCCCCCGCTCTGTCCTTGCATGTTTCTTAGATTGACTACACACCATTAATGGCGAGGGGTAACGCAACCTGCCGTTGAAGTGCCTCGGGTGAATGGCTCTGGATTTGGAGAAAATTTGGAGTAGCTTGGAAGGATCCTGGGAAGCTGTGAACTTGCTCAAGAAACCGAACAAGACATCTATTCAGGGTGAAAGCTGCCCCCCCTCGAAAATTTCGACGAGATCCTCAACTTCTTTCTTCTCCTTCTCCTCCTGTTTCTACACACAACTGGTTATTTCTTGAGAATGTCAATGCATCACGCCGCGATGTCTGCAGAAGCTTCTCAGCAACTGACGAACCCCGAGATTCTGCTCGGCATCCTCTCCACCCTGCAACGTCTCGAGGCACATTTCGCGAATCAAGATGAATCCCCTGCCACGAAGCTGCCCATGGAGTACTGCAAAGAAGCAGAGTATCAATCGTGCGTGAACCAGCTGCGAAACCGCTTCGAGTTCGACAGTCGCATCGACCTTGAGCCGTGCGACCAAGCACCACCCCGAGAGGATACGCAAGACTCGGTCTACTCCATGTCTGTCTACTCCTCACGACCACTGTCTCGGTTCGAATTGGATACGATGCTGGCGCCCCAGCCCTTGAACATCATCCCAGTTGAGATGTATGAGCCCATCTATCACCCCGAAACAGACGTCGAATCTTGTGCTAGCGGGCTGCCTGGAAGATACTCTCTGTCTGGTAGCTCTGCTGCAGAGTCGAAATCAAGCAGCCAGCATTCGGCAGAGTCAACTGCCACCACCATGACCACACCCACTTCCATTGGAAGCAAGCACTCGCTTGAGCCCTTGGAGTTGCCTGCTCGTGCCTATCACGGACTCAAGACGACATGGAAGCGCTCTCTATCACTGAGATCAAAGCTCGCACGGCAGCCGGAAGCCGAAAGACGGTCCATCGAAAGCATTGTGGAGGTCGCTGAGCCGTCTAATGACTCAGCTCAGGTGCCCCGGGCATGGACGATGGTCAAGACAAAAGCAGAGGGCCTGTCCATCATGACGACAAAGTTTATCACGCATGCAGGCCGGCTCATGATGGAGCAACAATTGAAGAAGCTTGATAATTAGTGTGGACTGGGAAGAGCCGGGAGGTCTTCTGAGATGTCTGAACCTTGAGAATACGCAGCTGCGACTTCTAGCAGAGTTTTCCTTTGTCAACAGCAGTTTCGTACATCAAATTACCAGCCCGAACTTTTTGCAACACTTGTGTCTCCAATATCAGAAATGCCAATAGATTGTGATACTGCCCAAGGGAGGAAAAAAAAAAGCATACTCAGAGCTGTAGCAAAAGCTCTCCGGTACGGATACCCTTCCCCAACAGTTCTCCAACCGTTCTCCAACATCACGTCAGCGACTGCGTTGTCAGGTCTCCACTATGGTGCGGTTGTCGCTCCCGCCTCTCGCTAGAACCTGGCTGCACTCGCTAGAACCCGGGCTGCATATTGTGGCGCAAGGCGCAACCCTACGGCGCAGCCTTCGAGCAAGGTCAAAATGGAAGGGCATGTGATGAAACCCGGTCAAGATACCTTCTGACGCGCATATTAAGCCCACTGTAGTGCGGTCTTATTGGTGCAACGCCCTTGCCAAGAGTCGTTGCTAATGGAGCTCAACATTCTGAAACACCCTCCGACTGGCTACTCTTCATAGGATGTGGCTCGTTGATATTGCTCTGGGTGCATAGAAGACGGTGTGCCTCGACACAGTCAGCAACATGAAGCCACTCCAGAGAGAAAAACAGGTTCTATGCTTCATCCGTCTTGGCTCCTACCGAAGCAAGTTGTAAGGTGGCGTCCTCCTGCAAGGTCATGACGTAGACGGTTCAGCTACAGAACGGAACTGGATCAGCATCTGCAAAAAGTGCGAATCTCAGCTGGCTCAAGTCATTATTCCAGGAACCAGGGGAGCCCAATCTCATCGATGAAGTTATTGCTACTATCCAGAAGAACTAAGAAACAAGTGAACTCAGGAAGAAGTCCAAGGTCTACTAAAATATAGCCAACATCCAGGCCAAGTAGCACATAGCAGACTACAAAGCTAGTGCATCTAGGAACCGGAAGGCCCACCAGGGTTGGAAGGATCAGAGGGCCTCCCCCCGATCCTAGTGGCTCTCACAGTTCCGCACAACTCAATTTGATCGTATGAATCGCGACCGCCAGCAATGGAGCTCAAGTCGTAATCCTCTGGCTGTATGTCTTTGGATATCACAGTCAAGTCCTGTGACTTGGTGAAAACATTGCAGCCCCAAATATCGCGCTGGACCCTCAAGGTCAGAAGTCCGCCTCTTATTGTTGTAGAGGAAGAAGGGTGCCAATACTTACGGTCTGCTGGTCCGGATCCACACATGGATCCTGTTGCTCTACAACTCCCTGGCTATTTTCGACGACTGACGCGATCCTAGCCTGCTGTTTCTCCAGATGAGCATCCGGATTCAGAGTGTAATACACATGGCATGCCATCGGCTCGGCGCATTTTCCACGGGTGCGGTGCTCCTTGTCCTCGTTTGTAGCATCTTTCCAGACTTGTTGACAGAGCTGGAGGTCCTTGAGCACCGGCGAGTTCACGTTGTACTCGTAGGTAAACGAACCAAGACCTTTCTGCGTCGAAGAGATGATAAGTTCGTTACCCCAAGCGAGAGTTGCGAGGGCCTTCGGCCGTGACGATAATTTGATGGCATATTGCTGGGCATCAACGTTCACTGCAGTGCGCGCTTCTTAGCTACTAGACTTTTTTCCTTTTGGTTTTAGTTCTCGAAAGGTGCACTCACTCTCATCGTACGCGTCGCGTGTTATTTTCCACAGCTGTCCATTGGTGATAGCAGCGACGGGTTGTCTGAACTTCATATGGCTAGTCCAGACCCAGTTGCGCGGCGACTTCTTGTCCTTAACTGGCGGCGCATCATGAGGGAATGAGAGCGCTACCGAAAGATCCAGAGTCACAGCGAGTTGTCCCTTGGGTTCTCGAACCTTTGTCAAATCGTACGCACTGGTAGCCGAGCAGCACACCAGAGCTACAAGCCAAGAGAGTCTTGGGGCGACCATCTCTCTTGCAATACCAGGAGATGATGAGGGAATGAATTGCTTCGAGCTTCAAACAATGGCAACACACAGAGTATTGCGGTGCAAGATATCCTCCTCAGGAAAGGCGTGAATTTGTGCGGTCAGGGCATTATGGATACCCTTATACGTAACTGCATATGTTCGCGATGAATAAGAGTATAGACCGATAGTACGAAGTCTACCGCATCCAAATCCTCAATACTCCCAGCAGCCAATCACACTCGAATTTGGCTAATCCTTGCCATGCAGTGAGAATTTTAATACCTAAAATCGCTTACGTTGGGGGCGATCGGGATCGTTTGTCAGACCAAAGGTACTTGAGAAGTACCTCCGCCGGATTCGCAGGCTTGCGATGTGGCTCAGCCTATCGGTCTTCAACTTCCTCATTTGGAATTTTATATGCCTGCCTCAACTGGGGTATTGAATGTTTCAACAGGCACGCGTGACGTGAGAATGCCAAGTGGTTTGCAGAGTAAGCGGGCAGACTAACACGGGCTGCATATGATCGACATGGACAGGCCTGTCGCTCTCCCCGTGGGTGATGATAGCTTCACATTGTATATGCGCATTAGCCGATAGAATATGTCTAACTCTTGGTCTTGTGCTTGGAATTAATATCCGTCTGACCACAACCTCTCACCGCCGCGGCAGCTCTCGGAAGCACTGCCCAATAATGCATCTCGGTCGACAGGCACAGCGCGATCATGGTATGATCCTACGATGCTGGAAACCTGTTTACCTGCTCACGATGTCTGACAGGTGCATCACATGCCATTAATCGGGATCGGGCATCGGCAGATGAGAGGTCAGGCACATCTGTACCCTCGATGGTTTGAGACAGCTACGCGGATGTGCCATGTCCAGAACAAGTGAACAAGCAGCCTTCATGTTGCAGTGTCATATAACTCAAATTGTCTCTACTCTACTCCCATTTCTTGACTTCAAAGGCTCCTAGGTCTATGGTCCTTGGGGCGAGATTGCCAACATCCTGACATCAACTCGTTACCATTACGATGCATCATCTTTACACTCTTCTTCTTCTGGCTCTGTTCGGTCGTGTGCTTTCCGTACCCGCTGGGACGAGTCAAGTACACTCGGTACCCGTTCTGGTGTCGCCAATAGACGTGATAGCTCCCCTTGAGGAACGTCAACAAAGCAATGATGATGTTGACGACGAAGAAGATGATACTCCTCTCTCCTTTATCACCAAGCTCGCAGCCATCGGTGACTCATACTCAGCCGGTATTGGAGCTGGCGACCGGCTTGGGGACATTGGAGGTATCTTTGATACCCAAAGCGGCAAGTTCAGCTCCCTATGTTGAGAGCCGCGAAAGGTTATGCTGATAGAACCACATAGACTGGGCCTGTAGTCGCTATGACCACTCGTATCCTTACTTAGTCAACAATGACTTGCGTCTGGGCGATGCGTCTAAGCGGACGTTTCAGTTCAAGTCCTGCTCGGGCGCCGTAGCACAGGATGTCCTCGACAAGCAGATTCCCGCAATCAGCTCGGGACAGCAGGTGATATTGCTGTCTGTTGGTATGGCAGACCCATTCTCTGATACTTTAACATACACAGGAGCACAAACTCACTTTCACTACAGGTGGTAACGATGCTGAGCTGTCCAACATCTTGAACCAATGCATCTATCAATGGGCAGTCCTTAATTCGTTCCAGGTCGGGGTGGCCAAGATTGCTGCTCTGGACAAGAAATTCGAGTGGGCGGCCGGTTATGACTGGGATTCTCTCGGCCGCGGCTGTACAGGGCAGCTCTCCCGGAGTGCCGACATTATTGCTAGCGACGATTTCAGTAAGAAGATCGATAACGTGATCGATGCTGCCAAGAAGAAGCTGGCAGATGAGTATGTTGAACTCTCCTGTCTGTGCAGCTTACATTCTATTGAATGCAAGGGCTAACCTCTAGAATCAGTGGTATGATTTACTTCACGGGTTACGCCAAATTCTTCGACGAAGACTACACCAGTGACTGTGACAAAGTCTCTTGGTCGACCTGGCTATATGTAAGCACCTGGATCACGCAGAAGATTAACATAGCAGAGAATTGACATGTTCAACCATTAGAAAGCAGAGAACGTCTTCCAACCTGAGGCCAAACTAGGATCTCTCCAACGCAGAGCCATGAACGATCTCGTGAACAAAGCGAATGACCAACTGGTAAGTTTCGTTACAACCCCAACCGAAGGAGTCATGTCTACTAACACCTCATAGAAAGCCGCAGTCAAACGAGCCGGCGACAAAGTCCAGTTCGTTGACTACGATGCGTTTGTCGGTAAATGGGGCGGTAGATACTGCGAGCCTGGCGTCGACGAGGCCACAAAAGAGAGCAACACCAGGTAAGTGATCCAGATCTGGAGCCACAATATTCGTTCCGTTACTCATCTTGCATACCACAATAGGGCTCAACTCATGTTCTACGAACTGAACAGTCTGGACCCTGCCGGTACCAATCCCTGGAAACGCTCCACCAACGGAGAGCTCCAAGGGACATTCCTGGGCGATCTGGACATTTATGCACAAATCACACAGCTTATGGACCCTCAAGTACAGTTTAAGGAACCGGCAGTAGACACAAACAACCCACCAGGTGCTACCTTCCTCGAAATGGATAACGGAACGAAATCGGCACTTCTCGACATCGAGATCCCGAATCTCTTGCCTGATGGCTACGGACGCGTGTTCCATCCACAGATCCTCCTGCACCGCATTATCTCCAACATGGTCATCTGGCAGATGCTCAATGTGTTGCAGAAGAAGAACGGCGCCCAAGGGTTCCCCCAGACCTTGAGCATCGACTCGTGCCCGCTTGTCATACGGCCTGACGAGCCGCTGACCAACTATGGCAAGTGTGAGACGCCTTTGGAAAACTTTGAGAAGAATACATTCGACGAGTAAGTCATCACTTTCTCCTCTCTCTTAACTATCCCCCATACAACAAGTGTCCCATCAGAGCTAATCTTTACCATGAAAATAGGATAGCCAACACGTTTTGTGACGACCACAGCGACATCTCCAAGAGCGCAAAGGCCCAATACGGCCAAGATGACAACGATGCCCCTGAGCTGCAGAAATGGAACGTCTACATGGAATGGGATCCGAACGACAAGACAGATAAGTGCGCTCATAGCTGCAAGACAATATTCAAGTCGGGCTTTGGCACGCCGACCGAATGTAAGCATTACCCCTGTGAGGAATTCGATGCAGACCAAGCCCACTGATACGCCGATTTCTAGGTCGGTATGACTCTCACACCATGGCACATAAAGGATCCTTCAAGGTAGATGACTGCGGCACTGCTTCCTTCGAGCTGAAAGGTAAGGGGCCCAAAGCCACGGAAGAGAAAATCTTCGACACAGTGTGCGCCGGTCGCGACGACTTTGGCAAGCACGACGACCTCCACGAGAACTTTGTCGACTTTGTCGCCAACGCCATGTGCGACACCTTCTCCAAGAAGACGATCAAGAAGGACGACTCCTCGACCTATCCCTTCTGGGAGACGACCGAGTATTTTGGCAACCACATGTCCTACTCGATGCGCGCTGTGTGGAAGGACGGCTGTGTGCTGCCAAACGATAAGACCGAGGTTAGCGCGCAGAACCCGCTGCCTAAAGGGGCCCCAGGAGCCGATGTGAGTTGCTATGACTTGTTCTTCAACAATTGGAGAAATTGCAACAATGGCGGTGTTGGCGGGAGTACCCAGGTTGGCTGTATAGTGTATGACTTCCAACCAAAGTGGAGAGACTATGACTTTTGCTGTAGATAGAAGGGAACTTTTGCGAGTTCGTTGAATCAATCATATCAAAATCTATATTGCCGTCGAATTGACTGGATGACAATCAAGTGTCAGAGCTCCGGGAGTTGAGGCTTGCAACTCTCTGATCAAGGTGTACGACTACAGAGACATTGCGTAGAAGTTGTCTTGTATCAATCTTGTTCTGTTCTGCAAATCCCCTACATATCCCCGGCCAACTTGGTAATCTCCACCGAGACTCCCACTCGCGCACCCAGATCTCTCAACTCCTGTCGTGCCTCTGGGCCCCAATCGTCGTAGTCCATCAATCTCAGAAGCAAGTGAAACTTTCGAATGCGGGGCGTGAATCTTTTCCAGTCCTCCATCCACGCCCGGATTGCCGCCGGGAACTCGTCTTCGCCCCACCCGTAATTCTCCTGCAGATACAAGTCGTCTGTGATGGTAAGCTCCTCCAGATTCCTAGGCAAAGAGCTGCCAAGCTCTCGAGCACCGTCCGGTGACATGCTTGCCATCAAGAATGGCAGCGGGGCTTCTAACCGCTTGAGGGCCTCAAACTTGGCAAGTGCCTCGAAAGAACCCTGGACTGTGACAGGAGGATAGTCGATGTCACCACTGCTCATGCTTGCCACGGCGGTAATTGCCAAGTCTGTGAGTGTCGCTCGAACACGAGACAGATCTGCAGCGATGTTGTCCAGGTTGATAACGTCCGTTACGAACCGATCCCGAATGCCCGCGCAATAGAACCAGCTCCATTTCAGACGCGTGAGTCCTGTCGTGGTGGACAGAATCTGGCCAAGATGGCCCTCACGTAGCATTGTCAGCTCCAAGGATCTGAGATTTGATGGGCTGGGAGGATGTTCCGCTGGCCATGCGAATCCAGCGGGCGGGTTGTCGATGGAGACAGAGATGTTCTCCGCTGCTGGTAGATAGAAGAGCGACAGCATGTCTGCCGTGTTTCGAGATGTCTTGCGGGCGCGCATGTCAAGTGCGAGCTTGAAATTGACACCGGCCAGGTTTTGGAGAGGTCGAGGTTTGCCTTTTGATCCGCAGAGAGCCCAGCGAAAGAGCAAGCCGGTGAAACAGGAGTCTCTAACAAAGTTCTCGTCCAGACTAAGGCGCCGGAGGTTTGGTAGTTGCGACAAAAGCAGAGCAACCCACGCGTCCACTTTCCCTTGCGCCAGCGCGTTGCGCCACAAGTCTCTATCACCTTGTGGCATGTCCATATTGTCAACAGCGGCCAGCGACAGGTTCTGGAGGGTGTCCTCAGGGCTGGGCAAAGCGGGCGGTTCGCCTCGGTAATAGTGCGATATACGACTCAAGCTATCCCCTCCCAAGACGACTTCGTTCACCATAGAGGCAACTTGCGGTTTCTCGAGACAGGTCCGTGTGAACCCCATAATGCGCGGGGTCTTAGAAGAAGTCGGGCCTTCCTCGACCGGGGTCTTTGGCGGTACGGCGAATGTCCATGTCCATTCGAAGTTGGAGTAGAGGAGGCTTTCTGCCAGCACGTGCATCGCTCGGCAGATGAGAGAGAGAGTAGATAGATCAACGCTGGGTAGCAGGTCAAGAATCTGCCTCAACACCTCCTGCGGGAGGCCCAGTAAAGAAGCTGACATTCCTGTTGTTTTGATGGGGAGCACCTCGACTCAAAACTTGATGCCAGAGAACACGGCTAGGAATACCTTCGAGCCCAGAGCGCGAGATGAGTGGAAGACGGTCATTAGGGGGTTATATGGATATGCCAGCCAGCACAGAGACGTCATCTGTCATCCGTCATCCGTCAACGCGACCTGAAACGCTGTGCTGACTGAAGGGTCACGTGTCCGTTGCGCGAAGACCTCCAGAAAAATCTGACTGATGATGTTTGTTTACCCGCAGGGTGGTCGATCTGAGCGGTTGACCTATCACTTTGGTGGCCATATGAATGCCTAGCAGGCAATCCCGACATTTTGGATGCGATTCGCACTCAACTTCTTCAGATCCATTGCTTGGGCGGGCTTTTTGCCTTACCTAAGCCGAAGCCGAGTTGAAGCATGCCCCGCTTTGATCACTGCAATCTCAATCCCGACATGCACAGTTCAAGACATCACATTGGTTGATGCATCGCATGCACAACTCGGATCGCTCGACCTCAACGCCGCGCCCTTCAGGCTTTCAGAAGCGCCTAGCTCAGCGGCGCGTCAAAGCACGGCGGAAAACACCGAGATGACCAAGGCAATAGACTCGCGGCAGGTGGCCGAGAGGATGCTCTCCTGGGTCGATCTCGAGCTGGTGTCCTGCACCGAGCTTCAGGCTCTCTGGGCTGGCTACGGGCATGTTTGTGCTATAGAGGCGCGCGGGAAGTCAGCAGAAACTACGGAACGGTGGTGCAAGGAGCTGGGCGATGACGTTTACTGTGCGGACCGGGACACTTTCAGGCTGATCCTCAAGTTCGTCTCCCCGCCGCCTGCCGTCGACTCGCAGGACGAAGGCCATTTGCGCAAGATTATGAGCTACCAGGTTGAGCAGGCCTTCTACGAAGAAGTTGCCGGTGGCTTGGATGAAAGTACCGTCGTGCCTGTATGTCTCGTATCGACACGCTCATCCCCCGCACTGGAGGGCGTGGCCGAGTTGCGGCATGTGACCGCGACTCTATTGACAGATCTGCGGCCCAAATTCCCTATTGCTGGGGAGAAGCGGGCTGCTCTCAACGAAAGGCAGGTCTCTGCTGCTCTGAACTGGCTGGCTAGATTTCACGGCAACTACTGGAAGGGGCCGGTCTCCCACTTTGATCGTCTCGTCTTGCCTCCGCTCGAGGAATACAGAAGGAGGAATCCTGGTGGTAATAGGGAGCATGGATGGGTGGGAGATGCACTCTGGTTGAATGGAGGGTACACATACCTTGCCACAAGACGGACAGAGTACAGCTACCTTGCGGAGGACGAGTCATCCGAATGGTCAACTGCATTTTGCGACCCTGTTGCAGAGGGCCAGGCGGCATCCACGGCGGAGACGGTGGCCGAGTTCCTCACCCCAAAAGGCAGACCCTTTGAGACTTATATCCACGGGGATGTCAAGTCGGAGAACCTCTTCTCAACTGAAGACGGCCAGCAGGTGGCCTTCTACGACTTCCAGTACGTGGGCATGGGCTTGGGTGTCTGCGATCTGGCAAAGCTGTTCACTTGCTCTGTGCCCCTGAGTATGCTGGTCGACAGCGCAGTGACGGAGCACTCTCTCCCCATGGGCAAGGGTGAGAAGCAACTACTCGAGCAGTACCGGGAGACACTTCTTGAGAACAGGCATGCTAGAGGGAATTTCCAATACGATTGGGATGTCTTTGTACGACATTGGGAGTGTGCACTGGTCGACTGGTGCCGGTTTCAGGCGTCGTGGGGCTTCTGGGGCAATACGGCGTGGCTTGAGGCGAGGACGAGATCAATCCTCGCAGACGAGGGTTGGAGACAATGGCTTCTTCAGAATACAGAGTAGAAAGGCTCACTGAGCAGAAGGATAGAATATAGAACGATCAAGAGCCAATAGAGAACCCGTCGCGTTCCATTCAACACTGCTACAGACTGGTGAACCAAGACTTAGCATAGCTGCTTACGCTCGCCCAGGTCATAGTCTGGTTGTGGAGAAGCCTTCGGCAGCTCTAACCGTGGCATGAGGGGAAGCCGCACTAATAGGGCTGAGCATATCCGGTAGCGTCCCAGTTGCATGTAGTTCACGTCTCGTGGCGTCGTAGCAGGAGCACACACTCACTTTCTTCTTGCAACCCTTGGCATATATTGGATAACAACTGGAGGCCGGACATCTTATTGATTGCAAACATGGGTGGCAAACACGCTCTCGTCCTTGGGGCGTCTGGTATCACCGGATGGGCTATAGTTTCCGAACTCCTCAGCGGCGGTCCCGACGTGCAACAGTTCTCCCGAGTCACTGCACTGACCAACCGACCCTTGTCACCTGAGATCGCGCGCTGGCCATCCAGTCCAAAGCTGAATGTCGTCAGTGGCATCAATCTCTTGAAGGGAACGCAAGATGAGCTTCAAGCAGAGTTCCAGGCCAAAGTGCCAAACATCGAGACAGTAACACAGCTTTTCTTCAACTGTAAGCATACCTTGGAGGTGGGCTCATTTTCCCATACACTGAATGAAACGCAGCATACAAATTCTCGACCGATAAGAAGAAGGAGTCGCAAGAAAATGCAGAGATGCTGGCTCGCTGCGTTGCCATGGCCGAAGCACTCAGTCCAAGCTTTGAGTTCATCGTTCTTCCAACAGGGGGAAAGGTGTGTAGACTTTGAGAACTTAGACGATCCATCTCAAGTAGTAGTGGCTGACTTATTTGCATGTAGGCTTACGGCTATCACCTCTTGGACAAGTTCCCCTTTGGCGACCAGATGCCGCTCAAGGAGAGCTTGCCGCGCATCCCCGAACCGTATGCTTCAGATCTGTTCTACTACTGGCAAGTCGACCGACTCAAATCGCTTTCCAAAGGAAAGAGTTGGACATACTGCGAAATCCGCCCCGACATGGTGGTAGGCTTCGTGCCCAACAACAATGCTCACTGCTTGGCTCAGATTCTCGCTATTTATCTTTCCCTCTACGCCCACGTCAACGGTACTGGCAGTGAGGTTCCTTTCCCAGGCAACGAGAAGTCGTGGGTGATTCACTCAAACGACTCGTCTCAAGACATTGTAGCCCGCTTCAGTATCTACGCCTCTCTGCGACCCGATCGGGCGGGAGGCGGCAGGGCCTTCAACGTCTGTGATAGGTCCAGGCCATCTTCTTGGTCGGTCAAGTGGCCAGTTTTATGCTCCTACTTTGGCCTCAAGGGCACCGGACCCTGTGAGGGCTCGCAGCAGCCTGGACCTTATATCCAGGAGCACCGTGACAGATGGATCGAGCTCGCGCAAGAGAATCGGCTTCGACTCGAGCAGCTCGACAACGATCTCGCCAATCCCGGGTTTCAGAAGTACATCATGTCGTTGTTTGTCTTCGAGAGGGTCATGTCGCTTGAGGCTATGCGTGAGGCTGGCTTTTCGGAAGAGGTGGATGAGAAGACAGCGTGGTATACGGCTTTTGACAGATTCAGGGCTGCAAAGATCATTCCATGAGGCAGTAGTCACGAGTTGCCACATAGCACATAAGTTGGATGTGTTAAGGCATGGGTACCACTTGAATCTCAAAAGGATACGATGAGACTGTTCGACTAGGTGTTACACTCCACGCTCGTGCTTGGCAGCCGAATCGACGGTGTGATAATCCAAGCGGCTGTACAAACTTGCTAGCTCTTGGTGGTTGGAAGCTGACCCAGGATGGATGGTGAATGCATATAGCCTCTCGCATGCTGTGACAAAAGGCCCATGCATCTGTAGGTGATAGCGAGGGTGACTGAGGCACATATTGCAGCCAGTGTCAAGCCAAAAACTGCAGCTCACACGGCAGGCAGATTCGCAGGAACGGCCCCAAAGCAATCACCCTGTCTGGTTCGTTTACACTTCCAGCCAACAGCTCATAATGGCCTTGCAAACGGATAGTAGTATAGGTGAGACTTACAGCCGAATCTACATAGTATCAAACACTGCTTGCCCAGACCACAATGTTAAAGGGGTCGTGGAGAATAGAGTACCAGGCAATGAATTGTCGTTTGCTTCTACAAGGCTATTCTTACACGCAATGCTTGTGTGCTCAGACATGCCTGTTAGCACTACTAATGTGTAGTACCTTCCTATTCTTCTCAACAGACCGGTGCTTATTTTCTTAGTCCCATGTTGCAGGTATGGAGTGTAGTTAATTCGGCCGGCTCCGCCCTCCGGGTCACCACCATTACTGATCTAGTTGACTTCCGAGCATGAGAGCTCTGACCGCCACTCGGGGCATCCTCGGAAAGAACGCTCCGCAATGCCTCCCCGGATCTTGGCCATTCTTTGGTTTGGGATTGCTTAGCACAGTCACGATCGCGTTCCTGATAGAAACAAGGCACGGGCGGCTGCAGAGTAACCGCCAGCTGCAAGTAAGCCACGAGCTGAGGAAATCCATAGCCTTGACCATTTGTCCAATTTCGGCTATATCATCCAAAGTGATCAAGCTATTCCGGGACTTTGGGGTGCCATTTGTCCTACGGACGAATCCTTAGATGCTACAGCACGATGACACCCTTAGTCATACCCACTCAATTACCTTGACAAGAAATGGCTCTGATTGCCACAAATGCATTTTCCTTTGTATGACCCCAGGCTGCAAGATGCTGGAAAGAGTCGGTGATAGGGTCACCGACAATCACCATACCACATACTTCAGGATTGTTTTGTGCCCCGGGTCGGAGCGGATCGATTGCCCGAGATGCATCTCCGGGGCGTTGCATCCACATTACCTGGCAGTCTAGTTGCATACCATAGACCACCTGCCGCATTCAGATGATTAACCGTAACTTGTTTCTATCCTAGATAGCTGCCGGCGGCGCCCTCCGATTAAGATGCTCCTTGAACCCGCTGAAGATGCCTCGATGTTGTCGCACCTCATGACCCGAAATACCACTAAGACACGGCCTCCAACGAATAGTGACATGTTTGAGGGTCGCACGGCAGCCCAATACGATAGGCTATTGCGGAAACGGCTAACCTTACGTAAGGACTCTTCCAGCTGCGTGGTCAGCGTCCGCTCGTTCGCAACCAACACTACCGCTTGTTGCAACCATCAGCTAGATTTGCAAGGCAACAACCACCGATATGCGCAGTTCACCTCAGAGAATCCAATGGGGTCATATCGAGGCTCTCTCACACACAACCTAGTGGTTAGGATTCAATTTAGTGGTGTGTCGGAGCTCGCCGAAGAGTTACGTGCCGAAATGCCGCACGATGCATTCAAGGTTGGGTTAATAGCCTATATTGGCGCTCGTAGCTGTTTGACAGTACAGGAATGCTGCTTGTAACTAGTTAGTGTTTTCTAGTAAAGAAACTACAGAATCAAGAGCATATGGCCTTCTCGCTCATGGTGATGGCTACCTATCGATTACATGTATTCATGCCTCAAGTGTTATTCTTTCGAAGCTGTCAGGGCTAGCTATATAAGAAACGAGACCAACCTGTGATCCAGATTCAACAGGATTTCACAATCTCAATAGTCATCCAACAAAAGGAACTACCGCAAATTGAATTCAAGGCTTTTAACCAAGATGCTATTCTCAAAGATCTTCACCCTCACCGCACTCGCCGCTTCGTACACCCTAGCTGAAGAGGTCTTCCTCTCCAACTGCCACCGTGGCTCGCAAGCCCGTTCCGCAATGTTTGTATGTTGCCGTGCGTGCCCCTCCGTCGTCGTATTCCCTGATGCTGAATCTCAGGACCTTAGTACTACCCGGGCACATATGATGGCACCATCCCACCCAACAATAACCAGTGCTTTCTCTCGTCTTATAACGACGGACCCATCCACTGGGAAGGGACCAAGCGCAGTTGCAAGTTTCCCACTGGCGTGACCTTTACATCGAATCTCATTGCCACTGCCCACGAGCAGTCGTACAATACCCTAGTCGGGTATGTAGAACAATGCTGTCCTGTGAGGAAGAATTGAACATAGCTCACTCAACTCTATTATCCTTCTAGCACGGGCGACAATGGCAAACCTTGGGACTGCTACCGGGACAACGATGTCGCTCTGTTTACCTTGCCGGACGGCGGAACGTGCTTCACCATCTACAGATGCTTCCCTGTCTAGAGGAAACATTACCCCACATCCGAGCGACACCTTCGAGCAGACACTAGTTGCGATATGGCAACTGCAGCCACGAACTACATCGAAGCGAATTGCCGAGTTAAGCTAGGCAAAAGGATAGTGCTGACGGATGCTTCCGCGTGCGGTGTTTGGAGGAGATTGCTACGTAGCGCTCTGAACAGCGATTTTACGTTTCAAACAGAGACTATTATTCACAGTTTTGTCTACTGCCGGCGTGGTTAAAGCCGTGATCTACTTGCTCCATGATTCCTGCCCGCGATCAAACTAGCTCAGATATTTCTTATTGCCGAGACCATAGAAGTACGCCGCCCAGCCACCGAGGATCAGAAAGACGACAGCGACAAAGTTGACGAGACTGAGCCTGCGGTTGAACTGCGCGTAGCTGTTTGTCTCGAACTCCTCCTTCTTCGCGTTGATGATGTGGCCCTTCTGAATCCTCTTCTTCCGGCCCCACTGCAAGAAGCCGATCATGTCCGTCCAAAAGGCGAGGCAGACCATGATGGCGCCAACAACGACGGCACCGGAGGCAAGAGCCACATAGAGGACGACGACATTGTTATAACTGTTGTTGTCGCGATCTTGTATGACGCCAGCAACGATGCCGACGATGAGGGTCATGCTGTTGTTGATGGCGATCTTAATGGCGTATCCCGAGCCAAAGACCTCCTGGTACCACATGCTCGTGCGGATGCTGTCGATGATGACGGTGGGCCCAAGAGAGGAAGCGACCGCATAGATACCAAAACTAGCGGCGGTGCCGGCCACCGTCGGACCCCAAGCCGCCAGCGACATGGCGAGCAACATACCCATCCCGCAGACGAGCATGACGGTCAGACGTTGGCCGACCACGTCGATGAAGATGCCCACGAGCGGCACGAAGAAGAAGCCGAGATACTGAGACATGGACGAGTACCAGCCGGCCTTGACCGCGTCGATCTTGAAGCGCTGCTGGGCCAGCTCCGTACTGTTGGTCGAGAAGATGCCGGCCGTGGAGGTCTGGAACAGCGAGAACAGACACACGAGCCAGAACGTCCAGGGGAGGCGCAGCATCTTGCGGATCTCCAGCTTCTTGTTGCTCTCCGTCAGCTTCTCTCCCGTAGCGGGGTCCCGGGTCCCGCTGTAGCGCTTCTCGCACCAACGGGTGAACCACCAGAAGAACAGGGTCGCCACGTTGGTAAAGAGATTCATAAAGACGGCCATCCAGTAAGCCCAGCTGAAGTTGCCCAAGTTCTTGGCGATGATGTTGGCCGTGGACTTGCCGACGAAGGAGCCGATCTTGCCGATGCCTAGCTCAAAGGCCAGCGTCGACGCGAAGCCGGACGAGGGCGGGAACCACGAAGAGAAGATCTTGTACTGGGCGACTTGCGTTGCGACGTCCCCGAACGCCTGGATGACAATCCCGCCAATCATGAACTTGTAGCTTCGAACTTGAGTTGCTGCAGCAATAAGGATGGCTCCGAGACTGAAGATGGCGTTGCCCCAGAGCATGGTACCTTGAAGAGAGTCTGGTGTTAGTGATTGCCTGCGAGGGACACCGGTGAAGCTGTACGTACTTGCTCCTCCATAGCGATCCGTCAAGATCCCACTGAGCAGGATCAAGGCTGTCTTGATGAAGTTTTCGCTAGAGTCAAGGACCGCGAATTGGGTGTTGTTGATCTTGAGCTCCTGCAGCCGCAATGGTAGTCAGCACTCGAGCCAAGGGATCCGCTTCCGAAGCCATGGCGACACTTGCCTTCTTCAGGGTGGACTTGAGAGCTCCAGTCACTCCACTGCTCCAGTGGCCTCCAAACCCAATCATGCTCACAACGACCACAGAGAGAATCTTCATCTTGAGAGGCACGGGCCTCTTTCCGTTCTCGTCCGCGCCATCGTCGCTCGAGTCGACGGCAACGGACACATCCGCGAGCCCATGTTCAGGGTGCTTCTCGTTGGACAGGGGGTTCATCTTGGGCGAAAACAAAGGCCAAACCCTATTCCCAACGGGAGCTGATGACCAAGAGCACAATGATACAGGAGAACAAGTCTGCCCATCTTCTTTCCATGAGATGAAGGGCTGAAACGTCGACCTTTATCAGATCCAAACACGTGGGCCAGACTCTTCCCACTCCACTTGATTAGATTTTTCACACCATCACGGTGATTATCGGATCAGATAAGATGCTCAGTGGACCCGGAGTCGCCGCGAGGGCCAATGGATCTAGGCCTCTCACTGTGAAAACTCTGACGATCCACTCGGCGTCAGGCTCGGCGCTAGTCTCTCACTGTGAAAACACCAAAACCCTGGATGGCGCAGCGATCCGAAGTCGGCTCCATCCGCAACAGCTCACTTGCGTGCGCCCTCCTGCCTGCACCGCCGATCGATCCATGGCGCAAAGCATGTGTCTGTGTAGCACGGTTCGCGACCTCGCTACCACAGGTGTCGACGAGAGGAGGGCCATGCTCCTCGCGTCCGACCTGAACAAGCACCTCGCCGCGATCCACACCATTCTCGCCAAGTCGAAGCCGCTCAATCGCAATGTCCACTGGCAGCTGATACCAAGCAATCAACGCACGAGAAAAATCTTCTCGGTCCAGAGTCTGGATGCGACGGGTTTGGACCGGTTACGCGACAGCCTCGGGGACAACACCGATGCCTTCTGGTCACGCGATGACAGCTCGGCTCTGGCGGAAGTGCGACGGCGTTTCGCCTGCGCCGCCGTCTTCCTGCGGTCTGTCTTGGATCCGGACAAGTGGGTTTCGCCGGCCGTCGCCAGGCTCGTGCAGGGATCCAAGCTGTCTGAGCTTCGGTTTGCAGGCAAGAAGTACCTCAAGATTGCACGCAGGCTCGGGGGCATTGGGTCGCTGTTCTGGCTCCCGACCGAGGTCCCGTCGTCCACGTGAGTACAGATGCGGTTAGCTGTGAGGCCTGTGGTAGCTAATATCAAACTTGACAGGTACGAGAGATACTTGAACATGGATGATGATGAGGCATTCGCACATCTCGCATCACTCGGCACTAGCCTTCCGAGCCACGACGACTTGGCCCAGCGGTTGATATTTGGCCAGGTCAATGGTGAGTCCTATGCTGAATGAGTGACGAATCCCTCCTTCGCTAAATGATTTAATGATCACAGATCCCTCGCTGAGACTTTCATATCACAACCTGTTTGTCGAGTATGGCGACATCCTCCCAATTTCCGACCACTTGACTCTACTCACTGCCGGCTTTGGCGGTGTCAATGTTCCATGCATGCTGTTTGAAAGTGTGCGTGGAACCAAGGGTCGCTGGACAGATGAGGGAGAGGCCCAAAGCACAACAGCAACCGAGTTCGGGCTTCCATCCCGACTCGTCGAATCGCTGTCGGGAAGCCAGGCTGATGCCGCACAATGCCCGGACATTGAGACCAGCAATCTCGAGGATGGTACTCCGTGCTGGTCCATCAATTCTAAATCCCAAGAAGAGTTGGCGGCGGCCTTGTCGCCACAGACCCAGGAGGCTCTTGCCAGTACAGCCTTGAGATTGATATGCTTTGCCACACCCCCGTGCTACGAGGGCAAGTCTGTTTGGTATTGTTGCTTCCATCCCCCGGATGTTCAAAGCGTAATCTAACAAACTCACAGGTCTCGACAACTCAACAGCTGCATCTGGAGCCTATTACAAAAGGCCATGAGCCAGCATCAGTGCATCCCAATGTCTCTCAGACGTCAGGTCATTGAAGCGTTACTGTTCTTCTCAGAACGAGGTCTGATGGAGACTCGCTATCCAGCCATCGAACGGGCCAGGGCTCTGTTGCACAAGTCTCTACCATACTACTACCAGGCCTCGGTAACACTATTCGAGAGCAATATTCTGCGTGTCAACGGCGATCTGGGCAAATCGGACGCCGTCATACAGGACTTTCTCGGTCGCGAGCACCAGCCGAGCAATCGTTGCGAAAATGCTCTCTTGGGAAGACTCCACGTTTCCCTCCTTGAGAATAAGATCGCTCGCTACGACAAAGACGTGGCCCTGCATATGTACAACTGGAAGGGCATACAGCCGCTGTCGACGTTTGAGATTGAGGTCACGCGCAGGCTCCAAGGCGTCGCCGCCAAGTTCTTCTCCACCATTGGAGACTTTCAGACGGCCCGAGCCTCGATGGAGCAGCACCTCACGTTGAACACAACCATACCCATTCGACCCAACACTCGTTACCTCATCACCTGCAAGCTATCAGAAGTTCATTGTGAGCTCGGCGAATTCGACGAGGCCGTCCAGTTGATCCAGCCCGAGATGGAGACTATACCCGAGGCAAGGTGGACAGAGCGCCCGTTCCGGCGCTTTGCACTCGCTCTGTCCGAGGCCCGGTTGGGGCTTGGTCAGCTGGACAAAGCTGACCAGACCCTGAGCCTCCTTGCAAAGGTAGAGCCTCCAGAGCTGGATGACATCAACGCCCAGACCCTACATATGCGCCGACTTATCAACACAGCCCGCATGACGCACGAGAAGCTCGACTTTACTGAAGCTATCGAGAAGTGGGAGCTCCTCTTGAAGGAATTCAACGAGCTGACCATTTTTCAGTCAAGGCACAAGTGGATTCAGGCAATCTTCTATTTATCAATAGCCCACGCTCGCCTCCAGCTTGGGGACCAGCAAGCAGCCCGAGAAGCCTGGGATCTCGCTGTGGGGATCTTGCGGAGCGAGACCGTAGAGTACGTTCTGCCTACGCTGGCCACGAGATGGCTGAAGAAGATTGTCGATGATGTACATCAGGCGCAGCAATGGCCGTTCCGGGTAATGCTCCCTGGTGGGAAGCCTGACGTTACCTGGCCATCGCATTCATGATTGCTGAGAAGTACGTATTTACTTTGGTGACTCTGTCGTGTATTTTCCTATGTACTTTAGATGAAATCCACAATACCCAGCACGTTCACTATCACAGATCCAATTTCCCTTATCTAGTGACTGGGTGGATGTCCGGGGGAGGCTTCGGGATAGCATCGCGGGGCGGAAATTTCTCCCCACAACTAATTTCGGGAGCGTTCCTTACCAAAGCCGAGTGGGTAGATGGCGTCGCCACGAATAACGGCGGCCGATCTACCCCAATGAGCAGGTCAGACCCGTGGCACAAGGTTCTCACCCGGGACCGGCTCCTTGAACGGATCACTTCCCGGACCATGGACCCGGCCCGGAGTTAGGCCAGCTCTGCACCTCAAACACAGACCACTACGAATATTCAACGGCTGTCTCGTCCTCCAACAACCAAATGTCTTTAGTCTGGGAAGGATCTACCAAGCGACTGGGCTAAGAAAGCGAGTCTCAACTTCCACAAGCTTGACACTACCTACAAGCCCTTGCTGCAGCGCAAACGCACCACCTAGGCCAAAGCCCCAAGAGCATGACTTGGTTGGACTCGGCGTGGCTGGTTGCCGGCCAGATCGGGTGGGTTGTCTACTCGGCTTATCCTTCCCCCTCTTCACCACGGGTGAAAGGCGACAAGAATTTGACTCAGGCATACTTTAGGGGACTGTCTCGGACTGCCATTGACGGTGATATGATACCCTTTATCATGCCATGCACCTCGTATCGAGTATGTTACCACCAACGGAGGCCTTAGTCATCAGATGGAACAATGTCTCTCCTCCCCTCCCAGGCCTCCCTACCCCACAGGACCCCTCTCCACTGGAGGTGTCTCAGTCAAGCACCACTGAAAGCAGGGACTCCGTATAACCACTGGTGAGCTGGCAGCTGGTGGGGAGTGGCCATTACGCGCATTCTCCCATCCAAACTGCATGCCAACCCGGATTTTCTACTCTACCGATGCACAGAATTGGCTGATCGTTAACGACTGCCGCGGAGAGATGTTGAAGTCTTGCCCAACACGAGTGGGGAAGGATTGGGGCCCACAGGGAACATGGGAATCTATGTTCTGGCACTCAAATCCCTCACTCGCCACAAAAGGACCAGCACCGGGGAAACATTCGTCGCTTTGGGAAAGGGACTATGAAGTAAGGGGTGGTTCTTCCCTGAATGGCTTTGTCAGTTATCATCTTAGCTCTCATCCGAGCTTGATATGCTCGCTTAAAAGCTTTCAGGGCAGAGGCCTTTTTTGCCTAGCCGGGATTGGTCAGGTTGGGGAGAGGAACACTTTATGCAGTAACCAGAAAGTTAGTTTTGGTCTGCCAGGAGGTTCATCCTTGCAGTTCATGTGTGTAGCCCTGTCAAGCGTGAGGAGCCTGCCTGGGATGGTCGAGTAGTCGCCAGCTAAGCTGAGTAGAGTCTAGTTGCTGTATGCCTACTTTAGTCACAACCATCTCATCAAGATCTTGACTCTGGGACTTTACGGAGTACAGGTTTGTGCTCCCCGAGGCCTCCTCTCGATTGTCACACAACACAAGAGAGGGGTCTTGCTCACAATGTTAGAATGATGCGATGCCAGACACGAAGAATGGAATGTGTGCATGTCAGTTCGCTAAATATAGACAGCATACTAATTAGTGGTGGGAACATAAGCAGATAAGTTTGAAAGTGATCTTTCAATGAGACGCAAACCACAACTCGCGTCTCATTTCTCGGTCTGGGCACCCGAGACAATCCAACATCATACTCTGTGAGCACTGGAAACGGAGAGATAACAATTCCAGGTCAGAAATAGCCGGCCGAGACGTACAGCTACCCACTGGTGTAGGATCCAAGATGCTTCCAGTGTGGTACCTGCAGCCGACTGTGGATCCCATGTTAGTGGTGGTCAGGATTTTCTAGTCGTGTGGAGGTGGTGTGACTTTTCGGTCCAGGTACCAAGAGGTGAAAAACACTGTCTACCCCTCCTTCAGGCATCACAAGCTTCGGTGGCACAAGTTACTTTGTGCGATATCCAATCAGGCGTGGGATGATGAGCCGTCCTACGGGGGCAGTGGGAGGTGGGAGGGAAGCTTAACAACACTGCAAGATGCGATACGAAGTTAGCGTTGACACGGGCTGGGCTGGGCATCCCGAATCGAGAACTCGGGAAATGGCAATTCCTCTCGCGAGCCAACAAGAGTTTAAATCGTTTTAAAATGCCCGATCCGATCCAGGCACCGATGGTCCATGAATCCAGCGATTAGAGCACGATGCTGCCAATATTTGCACAGTCTCGATGCTGGTTATATCCTGAGAGGCACAGTGTATGCTGGTCGGCTCGTATCCGTCAAGCCGCGGCGGCCACTAGGTAAAATGTCTCATGGCGCCGGTTCTGACTTAGGCTTTTCACCGGGGCTAAATCATGCTGTTATCATCACCATCGCCTAGTGAATCAAGGCACTTTTGACGCTTTATCACGTGCCGCACGTCAAGAAAACCGGATTTCTCGCTGGGCCAATGGGTAGTCTCTGGTTCCTGTTGTGTGTGTGCCTCCACATGTCATCAATAGTCTCATGTTAGCGCTTATGGAAGACTGTGTGCTTGGTTGACGGCAAGGCACTACTGTCCAGCCCCAGGCGCCACACTGTGCTGCCGATGACATAATGCGGGAGAGCGGCACTGCCACAGAAACCTTGCTGGATGTTGCTGAACTTTGCTGAAGATCGTCCAGGTTGGAATGTCGTTGTCGGCGAAACCACCACAAGAGCATCCCCAGGAAGCTGAGAGTCGCCGGCTCTGTTCCTGGATGCTCGGTGACACCGGATCCAAGGTCCAATCAGAGAGCCCTGGTTGTGTCGTAAACTGTTGGGGTGGACTGACAACTCCTCCTTGAGCGGGGCGGTCTGTCTTAGCATGACTGCCCCGAGCCTGTAGGAAGCGGTCGCCTCGGTGGAGGATCTACACCAGGATTCGACGTGTGGGGAATCCTGGCCAACTAGAACCGCGCAGGCGTCGTTGATAGGCTTCCGCCCAGGCTAGAATCCCGATGTCTTAGTTGGGTGAGCTGAAGAGCTAGCTTGGTAGCTTGGCAGACGACGACCTTGGATGCCACCCTTGATGCCCCGGTGAGGGTGTGTAGATGCCCACACTGCGCATGTGCGGCATATGCACCTGGCCGCAGTCGCCAACGGTCCCACGCCCTCTCGCAGCTTCATCGCATTGCTCTTGTTGAGCTTGAGCCCCGAGGCGGACTCGCTGTGGGTTCGGACGCATTCTACGACTAATGCAAGGTGCTCCGCATTCTCAGGCACCGCAACCTCGATCCGCCTCGATCCCTCCTCTCGACCTATGATCGTGTCCATGACGGCCTTTTTTTTACTTTCAGCTTACACCTCGGATGGGCCCATCCATGTGGAACTGCTGTAGCTAAACCAGCTCGTAAACAGATCTAGCATTAGCCCACCGGCCATCAGCCAGTCTTGTTGATGGTAATCCCAAGCTTTATAAGCCCGCCTGCTCGACAGGAACTGCTCTTTCTCTTCTTCCTTCCTCAGTAAACTCTCGCTCGCTTTATCCCGTCTGACGTATCACACGACACTCGCTCGTTCTCAGTAATCATCATCACTCTCGCTCACTCTTAGAGTTATCACAACAAACACATCAAAGTCAAGATGAAGTTCTCCGTCTTCACCACCCTCGCGGCTCTGGCTGCTACCGCCACCGCCTACGCTCCCATGCACGGTCGTCAGATCCTCAACACGACCAGCGCCTCTACCACCTCCGCCCCCCCGACCACTCTGCCCCCGACCACCACCGCCGCTCCCAGCGGCACCGGCGCCGTCACCGTCACCGACGTCTTCACCGTCACCTATACCGAGCTCTGCCCCACCGGCCTGCGCCCCGTCGTCTACACCATCTACAACGAGTGCAAGTGCTGGAGCCCCGCCAAGCCCACGCCCCCTCCCGCCTTCACCTGCGTCGAGGTCTCCTGCACTGCCTGCGGCGCCGGCGGCAAGCCCCTCACGGCCACCGTCACCTGCCCCGTCACCTCCATCACTGCCTACAAGCAGTCCGGCTACGTCGTCGTCCCGACCACCCCGGCCGGCAACAAGCCCCCCGTCGTTGTCTCCACGACCCCGGCCGGTGCTCAGCCCACCAAGCCGGCTGTCGTCACTGCCGGTGCCGCTGCTGTCGGCGTCCCTGCTGCCGCCGGAGCTGTTGCTCTCGTCGCTGCCATCCTGGCTTAAATGGAGCCGGCTTGATAGGCTCGCTGCATAGCTTGCCTGGTCCCTATGCATAAGATGTTAGGTCGACCCATGTACAACTTCACTTCTTGACGGAGACACTGAACTCTCCATTTTTATTTATCATAATTTGATCAGCGATTCTCCCATATCTCTTGGGTGTATGATAAGGAGTTCCTGGTCTGTTTTAGTATGGATACTGGGATATAGATTCCGTCAACCAAGACGTTGGCGAGGAACATAATCAATACTTTCTTAAGTTGACACACGATCACCTGATGAATTCTGTGAAATGCAATGGTGATTGAACTCCGTCTCAGTGACAACCCCAGCCATACATGCTTCACAAGGACGATCACAAATATCCTGTTGTGCTCTGCTGGCTAGTGACCCATTGTTTCTTAGGCATGCCCTAGGGTTGAGATGTTGGTCCCTGACATGTTATCCACTCTGGTGGGCCTGTCGTTTGCCTGCCGAGCACCCGCGATGGTCGTGCATATGGCTTGCCGGCATCTTGGCTTCATTATCATGCGTTGCCAGCCAGACGACCAGAGAGTGGCATGCATTTCATAGACAGATAGCTCAACCAATGATTGGACCCGTGGATGAAACCCTTTCGGGTGTCTCTCCACCATACTCTAAGCTCTTCCTGACCATCATGCTCTCTGTGGCGTCTCTACCCAACACCAGCCACCCGGTTTCTATTATGCTTCAAGCTGTCTAAAAATAAGCTCCTGATATGCAGAGGTCAATCATTGACAGGTGTGGGGCGTTGCAAGGCGGGACCCTTGAAACCTTGTGTGGAGAGTCAGGAGTCAGTGCGGAATGCCAGGCTCGGCCGTATTGCGCGACAATTGTCTCATTGGATTGATGTGGGCGACGATCACATGCTCATGTCAGACTCAATACCGCTTGCCAGTCCGCTGGGCCTTGTCTGCGGTTGGCCGGACAGATGTGCAAGAATAGTGGTCTTGAATGACAGGAACGCGGGTAGTCACCGCATGGACAATCCACATATGAACTCCGGGCAAAGTCCAACAGACAGTGCGAGCTACCGCCAAGATAAAGTCAGGAGTTTTATGTGAATGAAGTGGTTGTTGCATAGTGCTGTCCGTATGATGAGCGGGTTTGAGTTGTCGAATCAAGTTGGTACACTTGTGTCCGTTCAGATCATTCATCTGTTCTGGGACAGCCTATTTTACTCCTAATCAAGGGAACCAGTTCCTATTTTTATCGACGCTCTTCCTACAGCCACTACAATCCTACGTTTTGGTTGCCAATCGTAATGCTCTTAATGTTCTGGTACTCGGCCAGGCCGTACAAGCTCCCCTCCTTGCCGTAGCCACTCTCCTTGATACCGCCGAACGGCGCCTCGGCAGCGCTGATCTTGCCCGTGTTGACGCCGACCATGCCGACCTGGAGCTTCTGCGCCACCCGCATCACCCGCGCTACGTCCTGAGAGAAGAAGTAGCCAGCAAGTCCGAACTCGGTGTCGTTGGCGAGCTGCAGGACCTCCTGCTCCGTCTCGAACTCGAAGACGGGCGCTAGGGGCCCGAAGGTCTCCTCGCGGCTCACGAGCATCTGGGGCGTGACGCCCGAGAGCACCGTAGGATCGTAGAAGAAGCCCGTCTCCCGGCTTGCCTTGCCGCCCGTCTCGACCTTGGCGCCCTTGGAGACTGCCTCCTCGACGTGCTCGCGGACCTTGTCGGTGGCCGACTTGTTGACGAGGGGGCCCTGCGTCGTCGTTGGGTCCATGCCGGGGCCGACCTTGAGTGCCTCGACGGCCTTGACCAGCTTCGCGGTGAACTCCTTGGCGACGCCCTTCTGCACATACAGCCGGTTGGCGCTGTTTTAGGTTTACTATCAGCACTGCTATATTGCCCTACAATACAAGCAAGTGTTGGGAGAGATCTTACCAGACGCAGGTCTGCCCGGAGCATCGGAACTTGCAAAACATGGCACCCTCCACAGCCAGGTCGAGGTTGGCATCGTTGAAGACGATGAAAGGAGCGTTTCCGCCCAGCTCGAGGCTGACCTTCTTCAGGGTGCCGGTCGCCAGCTCCGCCAGCTTCTTGCCGACGCCGGTGGACCCGGTGAAGCTGAGCTTCTTGACGATGGGGTTCGTCGCCAGCTCCTCGGCCGCCTTGCGGTTCTTGGTCGGGCACACCTGGATGACGGCCGGGGGCAGCCCGGCCTCGACGGCCAGCTTGGTCAGGGCGATGCACGAGTAGGGCGTCTCGCTGGGCGGCTTGATCACGACGGAGCAGCCGGCAGCCAGGGCCGGGCCGACCTTCCTGGTGATCATGGCGGCGGGGAAGTTCCACGGCGTGATGATGGCGCAGACGCCGACGGGCTCGCGCATAGTCATCAGCGTGGTGTGAGGGGTCGAGGAAGGGATAGTCACGCCATAGCTCCGGGTCGCTTCTTCGGCGAACCACGAGATGAAGCTCGCGGCGTAGGTGATCTCACCCTTGGCCTCGCTGATGGTCTTGCCGTTCTCCAGGGACAGTATCGTTCCCACTTTGGTTTCACCAGGTTAATGGATGGGATGATAATTGTCACGATGCAATCGTACTTACAGTCTTCCAGGTTGCTCAGGATGAGATCGTTCCATTTTCGCAGCAGTGCCCCCCTCTGTGCCCCCGTTGTGCTCTCGAAGAAGCTGCGCTGCGCTGCATCTGCACTCTTGATGGCGTTCTGGAAGTCTGCCAGGTCGCAGTTGGACACTTGTCCGAGGACCTCGCCCGACGAAGGCTCTGCCAGTACGCGGTGAGAAGATGCACAGATGGCTTGTCGGGTACTCGAAGACGCTCACCATAGACGGGGAACTCCTCCTTCTTGGAGACCCATTGCCCGTCGACAAAGGCCTCTCCCGAGAACAGGGACCTGTTCTTGAGCTATAGATATCCAGTCAGCCTGAGCTCCTTCTCTAGGTATTCGGCCGACTTGCGTTCGCCAAGTGCTGCGTGTGGTAGGCCATGATTATGATGGGTTTGCTGAGCACTCTGGATATATTTTGCGGCAGTTCCTCGAAAACAATAGTCTGTACAATCCCGAATCGAAGTCGCGATCAAAGAGGCAGAGAGGGCATGAACTGATCTAAAATGGCATCAATGCCATCTCGAGCGCACCCCGAGGAATATATCTGGCCAGCCAACCCCGTCCGTCCGGGATCGGTCGGGAATCGGACCATGTGGGCGGGATCTGTTAGCCCGAATGAGGCACCTGGGAACGCGCTGCCTATTCGGGATCTAGCATCCAACCCTTCCCCCACATTCCGCCACATCTTGGTTGGAGATGAAGGGCTTGGAAGACCTCCTCACCCCCACATGACACCCCGAATGCAGTGTGAGTGTGCACGACGATGCGGAAAGGACTGCAATTTCGAGCTCGAAAGTTGAATCTCGACAAGGGACGAACCCTCCCGTGGCCCCGGGTTTCCCCGCTCGGCCACTAATTGACTCCATAAATATCTGAGCCACGATCTCAATACCGGGACCGCACCAAAGTCAACTTGCGGTATTATGTTTGATTGGTTGCCACTCCGAGACACGGGGTTGGGCGTCAACAAACGCCTCGCTAGGTCCAGCGTACTAGTCAGAGGACCATCATGGGTGCAAGGCAAGGTGTGAATCAGTAGAAGAGCATGGTACATATGCCACTAGACGGATGCAAGTGCGCAGGAAAGGGCTTCTCGCTCCAGGCGAAAGCCTTTGGTGGCTAATTCTCTAACCATCCATCTTTTCAAGGGCACTAACTTTCTATCTCATAGAGAGTTGCTGTGTCTAAGATATGTATCATATCCTAGTCAAGAAATAATAATGTCTACGGTACCTGATAAACTAGGCGAGACACTGACGATTCACAGCTTCCGTGACTTTGAGCCCTCGAGAAATAGAGTACTTCCTTCGGACCCCGGAACTGATTATCAAAGCAATCCGATACCAAAGGGTATGCAAACTAACAGCACACCTGACAGCCACTGGCCCTGATCTATTCTGTTGTCATGATCATAAGGGTAGATACTAGCACCAAACACTCTGGATTCTTAACATTAATACCACTCTCGGAACTTAGCCATTGTTATTCAGACAGGTTGAAAACCTGGACTGATGCGAAGGTGATCAGGACAAGTATTGCTCAGCTCTCAGAGTTGATAATGCAGGCGGGAAGCCAAAGGTAACATCGATGAAGCCTCTCTAGCCTTGCTCTCTGCTCTTCCAGTCTACAAGCCTCAATGGTCCGCGTCTAGTAAGCATGCTAATTTTAGGCAACACTAGCCTCAATAGTTACAAAGGACGCGGGTGATCCCGAAATGTGTATAAGTGCAGCATAAGCGAAGCATTCCAATTTGTTCTTGTGATTTGGCTGTCTTGGCAACATAGTGTCTTGTAACACAACTTTACATGTCCTCGAGATTTCCTCACGGTATTTTTCCACATCTAGCAAACTGAAGCTTAAGAGAACTGTGAGAAGAACTCCCATGTGTTTGCTGGTGCAAAAGGCGTCGACGATCCGCTGTTGACCTGAGACGGGTTGTGATCGCCGTTGTGAATGACCCACGTAACAGGGTACCCTTCCTTGCAGCCCTTGTACACGGTCTTGACGGACTGGCCGCCGTTGGGCTGAGGCTCCGGCGATACAGGCGTGCACCCGTTGTTCTTGACGAACCGATCGCGCATCTGCCGGCCGCCGTTGACATTGAGCACAGAGTCGGACGTTCCATGCTGGCCATAGTACGCCACGGGGTCGTTGCCGCCGGCGCAGCCGCTGAGCATGCCGCCCGAGAGCACGGCGACGGCGCGGATGTCCTTGGGCCGCGCACAGGCCAGGGCGAAGGACATGGCGCCTCCGTAGCTGAAGCCCGTCGAGAAGCGCAGCTTGGTGTCGACGCAGAGGTCGGCCTCGATGGTCTTGACCAGCTGGTCGAAGAACATGACGTCCTCGCCGCCCTGGTTGCCCCAGCCCGCGTTGAGCCCGTTGGGCACCACAAAGATGGCGCTGTTGTTGGACAGCGGCGGGAGACCGTAGTATGCCAGTGCACCGCCGCGGTTGGGGTCCTCGCCATTCACAATCTTCTGGGCGCTGCCGTTGAGCTGGTGCCACAGGAAGACGAGGCGATACGCGCGGTCCTTGTCGTAGCGGTCAGGAAGCTTCATGAAGTACTGGCGCTGCTTGCCGTTGACCTGAATCGTGTACTGCTGAGATTTGATCGTCGGGTTCTTGCCGCACCCGGCTGACTTGTCTGCAGCAACGAGGCTGATGCATGCCAGCACGAGGAGGCCCACGGCCGCAATGAGATTAAGTCGACGGGCCATCTTGGACGCTCCGGGCCTAGACAGAGTGTGACAGGAACGAGGTGAAGTGCTTGCTCTGAGTTATTGAGGAGATGCAGAGGACTCTACACGGTAGTCACTGGTCGGCATTTATTCACGTTGTTACTGGATCATACACCGGTCTTATATAGGCATCCTATCATCGTATTCGGATGATATTCCATTTGAAAAGGGCGTCTCGAGGGCATACCCAGCGATTTGATTAGCCGAATACTGTAAAAACTCCTGGATTCGCCATCTTGGCGATGTTTGGGTGTAGTATGCATGTTACGCACTGATGGCACGCAAACCGAGATCTTGAGTCTTTCCGGGGTAGGACGCCTGGCCTATAGGGGATTTCTCAATCTACACACCTCGATCTAGATACCCGGGCCTTCCATTCCGAGGCTTTGCCATGCCGAGGTGGAGACCGCATTCGAAGCCCGGTTCACTTATCCGGCCAACGGCAGTACCATCTCCGCCTCGAATGCAACATATCTCTGTTGATCCGGACTGCGGGGTCCGGCTGAATTGTCAAGCGCGCCAATCCGGGGACCCCAGTATCCCCTCAGTCGTTGCCAAAGCTGTTGCCGTTTTGAGTAATCGAACCCCTGCAGCTTTTCCCCGTCTGAGATAGTGGCATTTGATGAACGAAAACCGGAGATTTCTCTCAAGAGAGTACAGGTTGCCAAAGGGCTGGGTATTGGTGGGTGCAGTAAATACCGGATTAATTAATCGGCAAAGTTGCAATGCCAAGGGGATAACTATTCGAATCATCTACCACCGAGACTTTCGCCGCTTATTTGGTAGCAGACCACACACTCCCATAGCCTGGACATACGTCATAGCCTGATGAGACCACCAAGAGTCCTTCAGCTCTCGTGGAAGGGGACTCGGGTCGTTGCGTCGCTCCCTGTCGCGATCATCTGAGGGCAGCCATCCTCCTGCTGTCGGGAATAAGTAACGAAGACTTGGCCTTGACTATCATCTCGTCACCAAACTTACCCTCAAGTCCTTCCCCGCAAAGTCAGTAACTAGGACTGAGGCTATTCTATCCCGGGCTTAGCTGGCAGTGCGAGTTTTGCCTGATTGTTGGCGCTGCGGCGCATGCTGCCCATTTCCGCCTCAACTTAAAGACTGAGCTGTTTCCCCTGAAGAACGGAAAACACAATCCACTTTAATGGTCCAATAATAGCAAGGAATTAGGGAGAAGGAACGGACATGCATTCGTACATCTTGCTTGTATTCTCCGCAGCAAAGGGGATATAAACCCTTCTGAGCACCGCTGCTTTTCGTCAGCACTTTTACGAAGACTTACAGGTGGTGGACTAGGTTTCTCCTTTTCCTTTATATTGTCAATATAATTACGCAGTCGCATCAGACTTGCGATATCGACATGCATATATTCAAGCTTCTTCCCATTGGAGCGCTAGTGGCCTTGGCCTTGGCATCGCCAGAGCAGCGGAAGTGCCGCCCGCGCCCCTGGGGCTTCTTCACCAACAACACCATCTATCAGCCCACGGGCCGCGAGAGTCTAACCTATCCGCGCTACACACAGCTCGAAGATGGTACCATCCTCGCCACGGCGTCGCTGAGCGGCCATACTCCCGCCTACTTCCCCATCTTTTCCAGCCAGGACGGCGGCGCCAGCTGGGAACATGTGTCCGATCTGCACGACACAGTCAATGGATGGGGCCTTGGTGCTCAGCCTGCGCTGGCGGAACTTAGGGAGCCCATGGGTGGGTTCGAGGCTGGTACCGTACTCGCGTCGGGCAATAGCTGGAGCCGGAACGGAACCCATATCGACCTCTATGCCAGCACGGACAAGGCGAAGACGTGGACGTTCGTGAGCAACGTTGCTAAAGGCGGCGCCCCAAACACCACGAACGGAGCAGACCCTATCTGGGAGCCATACCTTTTGTCAGCCCCCCAAAACTCTCAGCGTCGCGTCGCATCCACTGACAGCTTTTCAGGGTCTATAACCACTCCCTGGTATGCTACTACTCGGACCAACGCGACCCGAAGCACGGCCAAAAGCTGGCACACCAGGTTTCCACGGACCTCAAGACATGGGAGCCCCCCGTCGACGACGTCGCCTACGACGAGTACATTCAGCGCCCCGGGATGACGGTGGTGGCCTACATCGAGCCTGTCAAGAAGTGGATCCTGGTACACGAGAACCCCAAGGGCAACTCTAGCTCTCACGGATCCCACTATCCCGTCTACTACGTTCTCGCCGACAACCCGCTCGACTTCCGCCTGAGCGAGGGCCAGCCCATTGTGGTCACCAATGCTGAAGGCGAGCAGTACGTGCCCAATGCGAGTCCCTACGTCGTGTGGAGCCCCGTGGGCGGGCCGAACGGCACGATTGTTGTCTCGGATGCGGACCGCAGCCAGGTGTATACCAACCGTGCGGGCGGTGCGATCGACAAGTGGGAGGCGCACCAGACGCGCGCCGGAGCGACGTACAGCAGGGCCATCGCCATCCTGGAGAAGCACCCCGACCACTTGATGATCTTCGGCGGCGAGACCTTCGACGACATGGGCAAGGGGCTGCTTACGCCGTTCACGGCAACCGTGACCAATCTGACCAGACTTCTGGACTCTCCTCTATGCTGTTAATTTGGTGGAATGTTTGGGCTATGGAGAAACGCCGAGGCCATGAGATCGAAAATAATCAAGTGCAGTAGCCTTGAAGCTAGTTCAATTCTCTCAAGTCTAGATATTAGATAATACATTCGCAGCCATATACTCCTACGCTGATGTGCGGCGCATGAATTTGTAAGCTCAGCAAAGCCGGGCTTAGTCAAGTGGGATACCCGTCAGCGCAACTCCGCCATCCCTTTGCATATCTCGGTACTGGTCTTGGCATATCTGTTGAAAGCGGCCGATTGACCAACCCCTTTGATTGTTTGTTGAAGCTGACTCAATTTGAATCACCCTGAGAAAGTTCCCTGCCCACACTGAATACCTACTGGACTACCGCACAGCAACAGATCTCAGCTCACATTCTCTTGAACTACCAGATTGTCCACTCCTTCCACAGACCAGTGTTCTTTCATTAGCTTCGAGAACGACTCGCTCCTTGACTCATCATGGCGCCCGAACTTACCCTGTACCATGCCACTCACGCATGCTCTACCGTTGTTCACTGTCTTCTCGAAGACCTCGGGCTTCCATTCAAAGAGATCAAGATGAAGATGGGCCCCAATGGCATCCAGTCGGTGGACGGTACCATCAACCGCGACGAGTACCTCAAGATCCACCACATGGGGTACGTACCAGCCCTGGTGGCCGATGGCGAGAGCATCACCGAGATGCCAGCTATTCTTTCCTACATCGCCAACCTCCGTCCCGAGAAGTGCCTCCTGGGTGACGACAGCTTGCAGCAAGCGCGGGTCCTCGAGTGGCTTTCTTGGCTCTCGGGAGCGCTCCACGGCCACGGTTTTGCAATGGCATTCCAACCTGGTCGATTCACGGACGACAAGTCGCAAGGACCGCATCTGAGGGCCAAGGGGTTGGATTTTGTCAGGAAATGCTACGCAAGAATCGACGAGCGACTGGAGGGCAGGGAGTACCCCGTCGGCAACCGCGAGACGGTTGTCGATTTCAACCTAATCATCTTCTGGCTGTGGGGACTCGAGCAGGAGATCGACATGCCGGGGCTGTATCCCGAGTACGGCAGGCTCATCACGCGCATGGCGAGGAAAGAGACGGTCAAGAAGGTGGACATCTACGCCCAGCCTGCACTGAAATACATCCCGAAAGAGGAAGAGACCAAGCTATAGTACGCTCCAAACACATGCCAAGTGAGGGTTTGGCTTCGGGCTAGACCTTTGTCTACGGCAGAGAACCATGATTTACATCTAGAATACATAACGGAAGCCACGGTGCTCCTTGTCAGTCTGGTCATCGTCCATAATTTCCTCGCCGTTGATTTGATGAACACCGTCCATTCCCGCACCCTCGGCATTGCGGCTCCTGTTCTGCAAGAGGTAGTAGACCGCAAGCAAGATGAGCATGAGAGCGGCAATGGCAAAGCCACACACTCCCGCAATGAGCCCAGACTAGACATATGTTAGCTTCGGAGACACTTCGCGTGACAGAGACATAGACATACGCGGTAGCCGGGAGCCTCGTTCGAGATGAAGAACTGCGGACCAGCGATGTTGCCCACGCAGTATGCGATGAAGGTGAGGGACAGCACGACAGTGCGCTTGGTGTAGCCGGCGACATTGGCAGTGACGACGGACATGGTCAGGGGCAGGTTGGCGACGTAGGCGACGGTGAGGCAGAAGCCGGCGAGGCGAGCCTCCTTTTGAGACTTGTTGATGGCGAACATCATGACGGTGCCAACAACACTAGTGAGAAGCAATTGGTAAGTCAAGGCAGCACTGGGCGGGACGAGTGACGGAACGCGGAGGGTTTGTACCTAATGAGGACCATAAAGATCATTGTCGGCAGCCGCGCATTCTTCAAATACGTAGCGAGGCCGGCACTGAGCAAGATCCAGAAGATCTGGGCGCACGCTACGGGGATCTGCAGGATGAGAGTCCGGAAAGTGCTGTAGCCGAACCCGCTGATGATGAGCGAGCCAAAGCTGGTCAGGCCGCCGTTGGGGATGTTCATGCAGAACTGGTAGACGACAAGGATCCAAGTCTGGGGATCCAGCAACGCTTCCTTGACCTGGTACATCTTGTAGTTGGTCGTCTGCTTGGCCGCGCTCGTCTGCAGGCGGCGGACGGCGACGTCGCGTTCCTCAGGAGTCAGGAATCGGCATGTTCCAGGAGAGTTTGGCAGGAAGAGGACCATGACGACGCCCCAGACGATGGTGCAGCCGCCAAAGAGGAGGAAGAGCACCTATCAACGTTACTGTCAGTCGCAGCCCTCACTACTGTCATGGAATCGCACTCCAAACTCGCCTTCCACTGGGCAAAGCCACTGTTGATGTGCGCGATGCCGTAGGCAATCAGACCACCAATGATTCCAGCGAATGCATTACCGACAAACCAGAAGCATTGCCGCAACGGCTGTTCCGAGCGCTTGTAGAAGCTGCCGACCAGGATGGCAAACGCCGGGGCGACCGTGGCCTCGGTGACGCCCAGGAAGAAGCGCACCGTCGCGATTCCGGCAAAGTCGTGGCACGCAGCGTGCACCATAATGATAGCCGCCCATAGAATGCTACATGCGTACGCGTGTCAGCCACGTTGCTGCCACTTCTTGTCGGCAGTAGAGGCTGGCAACACTTACACCGCACTGGACACATAGTAACCGATGGGGAACTTGACGATGAAGTACGAAGTCGGATAGGACATCAGAAGGTACCCGAAGTAGAAGATCGACGAGGCCCATGAGTATTGAGAGCCTACGAGGTTCTGTTCGGGATGTCAGTGTGGTTCGCTGACTTCTCAGGAGGAGAGGTTGCACACCAGGTCTTGGCGGATGTTCATCAGAGTCGCGTAGTTGAGGGACGACTTGTCGAGGAACTGTAGCATGTAGCAGATACATAGCAGAGGCAACAACCTGAATATGATCAATAAAGATCCCTGGAACGAGATGATGCTATTAGCAGCAGCACAACTCACAGGAGATCCAGCTTTCTCAGGACGCGACGCTCAACCGCAGGGTCGATGGGCTCAAAGACTGCAGGTTCGGGCTTCTGGGGCCCGTCGGCCTGCTCATTGGCTGCTGGTGTCTTCTCCATGGTGTCAGACATCTTCAAGATTGGCAATCAACGCGGCTGATTTAGTTCGTCTTCTCGAATGGAAGTGCCCGAACCTAAGCACAAGCCAGACATCAATGGAGCGGATCGGCACAGTTATACATTAGAATACCACGCGAGGTTGAAGGGAAGTGTTGCAAGTGAGGCTTGGCAATTCTATCTAGTGGCGGCGCCTGGATAACGAATTCCCTTCGAGCCTCCCCGCGTTATCAGTGGTGATCGTGGGTCTGGGGAAATGTCTGCCAAGAACAGGCGATACTCGGCTCTTTGCCGACTTCCGACTTCCGAGATACAGGGGCAAGAACCTATCTCACGAGCGAAGGGAAAGGTTCAAATGATATGAGAGTATCAAATGCCTCTCAAGAACGTGTAGTTGCAGGATAGAGTCTGAAGAAAAGTGTCGGCCTTTCGTTCTGTCTGGCCGAGATCAGAATTTGACCACCCCTCTCTAAACACCACCACTCCTCTTCTTCTCAAGCGTGTCAAGCATGTCCAAGAGATAAGGGACGAATGCCTCAGTCTCGACCTCGAAGCCTTGATGATGACCCGGAACCACAGCATGCGGACAGTCGAGGATCTTGGCCTGCTCCACTGTTGTCCTCGCAAAGAATGCCTCCTTACAGCGAACAGCCCTCATGACCCCAATGCTCACTCTGTTCTCTTTGAGACGCCACAGGTTGGGTGTAAAGCCTATGAGGATCGGAAACTCGTTATCCCAGAAGTTCCTAGGATTCTCCGGCTCGGGTGGCGCCGTCTTGGGGACTCCTTCGTCGTCATACCCGATAAGCTCCGCGCGAAATTCACGAGCTGCCTGATCTAGTCCCTGCGTCTCGTACACCTCCATCAGATGCAGCATCCACTCAAAGACCTCGGAAGCGTCCGGCAGGAGGGTCGCAGTAGGCGCCTCGTGGGAGATCAAGTGGTCCACCATGTTGGGAAAGTCGTGCGCGAACTGAAGGGCAAAGATCCCTCCGCTGCTGCTGCCAAAGATGATGGACTTGCCGAACCCCAGCGCTTGGATGACAGCGCGCACGTCGCGTGCCTGCTGTGGTGGGCTGAGCTTTTTGTTGACTTCTACCTTGCTCGCAGACATCTGGCGTCGGTCAAAGGTGACGCAGGTGAACCTGTCCGACAGCGCAGCGATGATGGGGTTGAATTGCCGCCCGTGGCCGTTTCCGCCGGGGATAAAGGTGACCAGGGGACCGTTACCCTGATACCAGTAATGCAAGTCGCAGCCTTCATTCTGAACGATGGCTCTAGTGGGGTTGAAAGCCATTTTGGGATCTTTTTCTTTTTGTTTCCAGCTCTAGCGTAGTGATGAAGTCTGCCGAGAAGCACAGGAATGCGGACCAGCAGACTGCGCGGCGAGTGTTTAGGCAGTCAAGCATCCACATGACCGGATGTCTATGCATCTCGTAAGCCATTTGCGTGCGTACGGAAGACGCCCGTAGCTCAGATACTCCGATCGATGCAAGTGATAATTAGGCTGCAAAAGCACCGCCTGGAGGCAACCATGCGTGAGAGCCGGATCAAGTTCCCGTCTTTCCGAAAGATAAGCGGAGTGACTCATTTCAAGCAACGTATTCCAGAATTGTGCCACGGGTGTAAGCTTTCTGGAAGGGTTGATTGGTTTCATTTGTTATGTTCGTTTGGCCAACAAAGCAGCAGAAAGCTTTGAAGAGTCGAGTACAAAGAGGAATGAAAAGGGGTATCTACGAAACAACAATACTCAACAAGCCGACTAAGAGCACTCACAGCACAAGCTGCCACTAATGAATCATAAACGGCTCCAGTTCTGACCGGGATCTGACCCAGGAGCGATAGTCAACAGCCTCTCCTGTCAGGCGTTGATGCTTTACTACGGCCTGGAGGAGAGTATGGGCTCGAGATAGCGCAACGCCAAAGTCAGACAACGCAGCATATCTCTCGAGTATCCAGTTCTGCAGAACCAACTCGCGCGTCTCGACACACGCCACAAAAAGTGCCCACGCTAGACGAGTCAGAGAGTTGGAGCTCTCGTTCTCATGAACGATTGTCGCAATGTTAAGGATGGAGGATATGCACTGTGCAGCCTCAGGGGTTGTTAGGGCACCATTCGGGTCCGGGCTTGCGGCTCGGTAAAAGTCCAGCTGCACGGCGTAGAAGAACGGTACGATAAACCGTAGGTTCAGGACTATTCGTGAGGTATACGCTGCAGGATCTGTCCAGTTGACGGCCACAGCGAACAGAGTGCTAAACTTCTATGTTACTGTTAGTAAAACATGCAAATGAATATGACTACTCGCTGAGTCTTACCTCTGTGACCTGCTGGAAACCACTCGTAATAGCGAGCCGTAGCTCTGAGGCTTCTTGTCCGGACTTATCGGACCACCGGTACCGGGAGACCTGGTACCGAAGGATGTGCGCCTCGTGATACAGATCGAATGCGGGTCTGTTCTGGAGATCATCCAGGGCCTCGGTAACCGGATACTTCGCACCCCAGATCTCCTTGCCCACTTCTCTCGATCCGCAAAAGATAGAGTTAAGCGACCCGGGAAACCGGTCGAGGAATGTGGACATGACCGAGCCGCCCAGGTCCCATGTCGACGCTAGCGCGTCCATGTAGGCCATCCACAGACCTAGCCGATTCAGCACGTTAGTATAACGCGTCTTGACCTCCCCCGCAGAGTCCGGAGTCGAGACCGTCTGTGGAGTGTCGGGCACGCTGAAGTAGTTCTGCAGTCCCGGCACCAGCTGATCTCCGTAAGTGAGGACAGCCGAGTTGAACCCGTCGAGGTGGTTGCGGACAGCCTCGGCGTGCTCTCCGTGGTGGATCTCGAACTGCACCAAGAGGAAAAGCGTGCCAAGCATCGTCAAGGGATCGTACTGATCCGAGCTGACCAGACTAACAAAGTCTTGTAGCCCGGTCTGGTAGTGTTCGAGGGCTTGGAATCTATCGGCTGCTCTTTTCTCTCTGCTCGAAACCTGGTATTGTACGTTGGCCATGAGCAGATTCATCAGCGCAGAGTTGGTCCGACCTAGGTCCAGAACGCCTGCGATGAAGGACCATTGAGGCGCCTTGGTCGTCAGGAACGTGAGGTACTGGTCCTGGTAGTAGCGCAGGATCCTCGTCACCTCATCCTGTTCCTCGACCGGCGCGTTACTGCCACCCACGCCGCCATCTTCATCCCTTGACCGAGTTGACGGTGAAGGGTAAGCTATACCGCCTGGTGGAGATAATGGCGCTGGCACATTGGCTGATGCGCCACTCTGGGCTGGAGATGAGGCAGATATCGCCCGGCTCTGCAGGGATGGCTTCAACCCTCTCGGGTATGCACACTGTCGCCCAGCCCGCAGGCATCTCTGGCACTCGGGACGCACCTCGTCGCACTTGACCTTGCGTTCGCGGCAAGTGGAACAGCCTTGCACGAACCTGCTCAGTAAAACGCATCCAGTAGCTCGCCCTCGTTAATCATCAGCGACTTACCATTCCGGGAACGTGGGGCACCGCGGCCCCTGTGCATCGCAAGACTGGGTAATAGCAGGTGGATCTCCCCGAATCCTTGCTTGCCGATATCTGTGGGTACTCGAATGAAGAAAGGAAGAGGAGAAGATTGGGATGGTTTGCGAGATCCGAGGCGAGAGCAGCTCTTAACGAAGTAGTCAAGGTGTCATGGACCAAACTGAGAAGCGGGGGCAGCTCGGAAATCGGCTGTTTCTTAGCGTTGAACCTCTTAGCGGAGTCTCGGTGGTATCTAAACCTCCTGGCACTACTCAAGAGCTCCCGTGAGGCATGCATCTCATTGATCGATATCTCCGGGTATTGACCACCGATATCGATAGCTTGACACCTATCCTACAGACCCCTTTCGGAACAAGACCTTTATCCCGTGAAGTCTTGACAACTTATCTCTGCTCTATCCAACACTCCGCTGGGAGCAAGTTGCCAAGATGACCGCCGTGGAAGTGATCGAGGCCAGCATCAATGGAATCAAGAATGCGGTTGTGGAAGGTGTTGAATCCCAACCGGACGAGACTGTCAAGTCTGCGATAGACGAGGCTGTTGCCAACTGCCTGGAGGACATCCGAGCCGTGAACAAGAGGGCAAGTGCTCACGCACAGCCACTGCTTAGACTTACCGCTAACCTTGAGCTCTAGATATACGACAACCCGGAGCTCTGCTATGAAGAGGTGATCGCGCATGATACAATAGTCGCATTTCTCAAGTCACAGGGGCACGAGGTCGTTGAGCACGCATACGGTATCAGTACCAGTTTCGAGAGCTCATTTTCCCATGGGACCGGCGGACGCGAAGTCGTTTTCAACGCCGAGTACGATGCGCTCCCCGACATCGGCCATGCCTGTGGGCACAACCTCATCGCCGTAAGCGCAATCGTCGCCTATGTGTCTCTGTGTGCGGCGCTGAAAGCTACCGGCGCGGCAGGCCGGGCTCGTCTTCTCGGCACGCCAGCCGAGGAGGGCGGCGCGGGCAAGACCAAGCTCCTAAACGCGGGCGCTTACAAAGGGGCGGATGTATGCTTGATGGCGCATCCGGGACCGGAGAAGTCGCACGGGGCCGGGAATACGGGTACAGCTGGATGGCCAACTATTTCTCGCGTAGCAGTCGTGGCAAAGTTCTACGGGAAGCCGGCGCACGCAGGAGGCAACCCCTGGGATGGGATCAACGCGCTCGACGCCGTCGTGTCTGCGTATAACAACGTCTCTATGTTGAGGCAGCAAATACGCCCCGAACAGAGGATCCATATCTGTCTGCAAGACGTTCCAGTGAGTATCATGTTCTGCACTTGGTCCAGCGGAATGCTAATGCATCTTGAACTTCCAGAAAGTCGGAAACGTGATTCCGCCTTACACCCAGGTTCAGTTCAGCGTTCGAAGCCCGACTTTCAATGGCGCAAAATTCCTCCTGGAACGCGTCATTGATTGCGCAAAGGGCGGCGCTCTGGCGACGGGATGCAAGGTTGAGTTTGAAGAGTACGTAGCACCCTTTGTACTTTCGAGACATATGGCAGGAGATAACATAGTGCACATCATCACAGAGAGCTGCCGTATCTTGATACCCGGCTCAACCACACTCTCGACAGGAGATACACAAAAATCATGTCGTACTACGGCGAGTCGATCCGGTATGAAACGCCAGAGCCCATGAGCGCAAGTACAGACATGGGCAATGTTACCTATCAGCTTCCCGGTATTCACGCCTTCTTCGGGATTCCTTGTCCCGACAATGTAAGCGGACACCACCCAAGCTTCACGGCGGCAGCAGGAACAAAGGAAGCATTTGACAGCGCAGTAAGATGTGGCAAGGGTCTTGCATTGACGGGCTGGGAAGTTATCACAGACCACAAGATCCATGAAGCTGTGCTTGCAGACTTTGAGGAAGACAGAAAGGCGAGGTGAGATGGAAAATCGCCAAAGTAGATCAGAGGAATGTAGCTGCAGCACTTATGTTGGGACAATGCAGACATGCATTGGTAGCACTGATTCACGTTGCCCGTTTAATATCTAAGTCAAAGTATAGTGACTGTCTGGGCCTCAACAAACCTTTCCGGAGAGAGTAACTTCCATCCGATGTACTCTTCTGGCGGCCTTGCACCATGCAGGCATTCCTCTCAGCTTGACACTACATATAGTACCTAGGTCGTTGCTTATGACGTTTGGGGGGCAGTCTATCCAACGTTCGCTCCACCATTTCATTCTTCACATCCACCTCGACTGATCATTGGCGCCTGTGCCTGTCGTTTGCTCGAGTGCTTCGGGGTTTACTGACCCGCTGCTTTGAGAACCGAAGAAGGCTCAGCTCTGAAAAGGCAGCTGATCAAAAAGCTGGCCAGCCACCCACATTATTTTTACCAGAGATTTGCCGGATGCGACTCATCCCAGCCTCACCTTTCCATCACCACAATCGGCTGGAGGAGACGGATATCAGTCACGTCAGCACTATCAGGCAGCCAAGTCGGCTCTCTCATTTTTCCCATAGTCATTTTATTCGAGCCTCTGTTCACGTCCCTTACTTTGATGCTGACAGATTCAGGGTCAAGCCCTTGCACGGATACAAGATGGCTTCCGACGGTCGCAAACAGCCACCATGGACACCCCCAACGGCCCAGCCAGACACCCAACTGCCCCAGCTGAAGATCTACAACAGTCTCACCAGAACCAAGAATGACTTCGTCCCAGTCGATCCGGCGGGGAAAGTGGTGACGTGGTACGCCTGCGGGCCGACAGTGTACGAGGATGCCCACCTGGGCCACGCGAAGAACTACGTCTCGACCGACATCATCCGCCGCATCATGAAGGACTACTTTGGCTTTCGTGTCAAACTTGTCATGAACACGACCGACATTGACGACAAGATCATCCTTCGGGCCCGCCAGCAGCACCTTCTTCACCTCTTCAAACAGGAGCACGCTACCGAGGACGACTCGGTGAGCGATGCGGTTCTAGCACAAGCCAAAGCCGCTTTTCAGCACTACATCGGCAAGAATCTTCCGTCTCTGCCTCCGGGTACGAGCCCAGAGGGTTTCTCCGAAGCGGTGAACAAAGCATACAAGGATGTGGCCGAGCCGCCTCCTCCTCTGACGGAGGGCGAGACCGAAAAACACGACCAAGGTCACAGTCAACCTCCCACCATCACCGAGCTGCTATTGAGAGCGCATATTGGGACGGCACAGCTGGCTGTCGAGGCCCTTCAAGCCCCAGGAAACCTGTCCTCATTCTTCGCCAAGACGGACGATATTGTGCTCCCATATCTCGATCTTCTGCACGGCGCAGAGATGGACCCCAGCTACCACGAGATTTACATGAAACTCTCGCAGAAGTTCGAACGCCGTTTCTTCGAGGACATGGATGCGCTGAATGTCCTGCATCCGGACCAACTGACGAGGGTGACTGAATACGTCCCTCAGATCATACGCTTCATCCGCAAGATCATCGCCAACGGCTTCGGCTATGCGACCCCGGATGGCTCTGTGTATTTTGATATCGACTCGTTTGAGAAAGCCGGGCATCAGTATTCTCGCCTGGAACCATGGAACAAGAATGACCGTATCCTTCAGGCGGACGGCGAGGGTTCTTTGTCCAAAGGACAGTCCATGAAGCGCAGCGAGAATCATTTTGCGCTTTGGAAAGCAAGCAAGCCAGGCGAGCCGGCTTGGCCGAGCCCGTGGGGTCATGGGCGACCAGGATGGCACATTGAATGCTCGGCCATGGCCTCCGAAGTGATCGGAGAGACAATGGACATCCACTCTGGAGGCATCGATCTTCGCTTTCCCCATCATGATAACGAGCTTGCACAATCAGAGGCGTACTGGTCTACTCCGGGCTGCCCAGTGCAGTGGACAAATTACTTCATTCACATGGGCCAACTGAGGTAATAGAATGCTTGTAATTTCGACTTCTTTGCTTTAGAGTTGCTAACGTAACCATAGAATCCGAGGATTGAAAATGAGCAAGAGTCTGAAGAACTACACAACTGTTCGAGATGTGCTCTCCGGGAAGGAGTGGAGTGCACGATCTCTCCGGATCTGCTTCCTCCTCATGCCTTGGCAAGATGGTATCGAGGTCACAGACGAGCTGATGAAGTCCGTGACCAGCTGGGAAGACAAGCTTAATAACTTCTTTCTCAAGAGCCTCGACGTTTGGAAACACTACAAGCCTGAGACTGCTGCAAACGCTCTTGGAGCGGCAGACCAGGATTTACAATCCTCCCTGGAAGAGGCGAAAGCCGGTGTCGATGCAGCACTCTGCGATTCCTTCAATACCTCGGCCGTCATGAGAATCATCTCTGGTCTTGTCACCGAGACCAACTCCGCAGAGACACTGTCAGATCGCACCCTTATCATGATTTCCCGCTGGGTTACGCGGATTGTCACAATCTTTGGTCTGGACGCCGAAGGAGATCTCGGCAACCAGGATCGCATAGCATGGTCGGGTCTTGACATCCCCGCGCCGGCAAAGCCCTACATCTACCCTGCATCTAGGCTGCGCGACCAAGTGCGGACATTGGCTTGCTCTGAGTTGGTAGACCATGACACTCTATCGAAGCTCGCCGACGAAGTCACGACTGGCGCCTCAACAGCAGCTCGTGAGACTGCGAAGCCGTACAACGAGGTACTGCAGCAGTTCCGCACCGACATCAAGGCTCTCGCAGCACAGCAAGCATCGGCAAAAGACCTGCTCGCCTTGTGCGACCAGCTCCGCGATGTACACCTTTGGAACCTCGGCATCTGTCTTGAGGACCGCACCAATCCTCACGACCCCAGCCCGCAGCCTGCTTTAGTGCGGCCACTAGACGCGTCTCTCATAGAGGCACGCGCGGAACGGGAGTCGGCAAGTACCGCGAAGGCAAAGGCCAAGCTAGAACAGGCAGCCAGAGAAGCGGAGAGGGAGCGAGAGCAGCTTGAGCGCTCTAAGGTCGATCCGAAGATGCTGTTCAGAACTAATGGTGAGTACTCGGAGTGGGACGAAGATGGCATACCCACCGTAGACGCGGCAGGGAATGAGATATCCAAGAGCAAGCGCAAGAAGCTGGTCAAAGAGTGGGAAAAGCACAAGCAGGGGCACGAGAAATGGCTCGCAACGCAGCGGGACACTTAGCGGAGATACCATTGGGGACGTGAAGGCCTCTTGCAGGATTACGAGGTTACATCAGATAGACTAAAACTGCAATAAAGGGAGAATGACTGCTTATAAACTCGGCGAGTGCTTTATCATCAGGAAAGCCGACTCCTTCTCAGGCTCTTGGAGTTCCGATCCTGTACCTGTAATGAAGCAATTAGTATCACAGCCCCGGCAAATTGCTTTTCAGTAGCATTGTAACATACCACCTCGCCATCCTGCCGCGCGGAATGTGCTTCGGCAATGGCGTCAAACAGCCCGGCTTCGCTGCTGCCCAATGGAGCCGACACTTGCATCGAGCCCCCTCCGCGGCTGACCTTGTAAGCGGTGCGGTCTTCGGTCCTGTGGCGGGTCACACGGGGGATCTCCTTGTCGGAAGCATCCCGGCTACGCTGAACGACAACACCAACTGCAGTGGCGTCCGTGTCCGGCCCTCGATGAGCTATGTAGTCAGTTTCCTGGTGTGTATAGCCTGTGTGGCTATGGTTCGGATAGTATGTTTGCTGATGATAGCTCTGAGCAGTGGCATACTGCTGCGTCTGCTGCGGAGTCCACTGTTGATGGCGCTGCTGATCGACTGGTTGGCGCTCATGGCGAGGCATGGAGGGCATCTGAGCCCTTCTGTGATGCGGGCCTGCTTCAGGAAAGTCGGCCTGCTGGCCATCCGAACTCTGATATGACAGGTATTGCTGCGTCGCCACAGTGTGCCTTGGGGCGGGTTGAGAGCTCGCCTCTTCATGGCCATCGCCGAGCAAGAGGCGCGACACCGGCTGGGGCAGATATCTGGACCACTTATTCGGTCTCGGCTCTGGCTTCTCTTTGCTCTGAATGGCAATGGCAAGTTGGGCGAGCTTGGCCGCGTGCTGACTGTTGGGCGGGGAAACAGCCTTGAACGACCGATTCTCAGCCTCGTTGACGCTGGAGTAGGTAACAACATCACTCCGGTTCTCCAGGTCTTCCTGGAACAGAGGGACGAGCTTCGCTTCTTGTCGCCGTGACAGAGACATGACTTCTTTCCGTGGCAGGATTACACTATTGTGTGGATAGGGAGCTGCTCGGCTTTTCGTGGGCGGTGGCTAGGAGCAGAGCATGCGGGGTGTAATATGTCGGTTGCGGTTGCGATTGAAGCCTAGCTCCCTGAGGCACCTCTTCGGGTATCAATGATAGCCATCTCCGTTCGCCGAACAAGTCTTGGGCAGCTGGCTTGGACAAGGCCAATATGGAAATGCACTTTGCCTCAGTGCAGATCTGATGTGTCACTCACTTAGGAGACCCACACCACGACGCCCGGCTTTGGTGAAGCCTTGTGCAGGCGGGTTGAGTCATGTCGATATGCGGGCTGTTCTGCGTGGTGGTGATCTCTGCATGAACTGGAGCTCGGGGAAGCCAGTGAACTATCGTAGCTTCGCAAGGGTACCTCTTGTGCTTTTTCAAAGTCTGCCTCGCAAAAGCAACCGTTGATTACTGAATTAGTACAAAGATTGCTGGAGTCTCCGTCTCGAGGAGAGCATCGACCCCAGGTGTTGCCTGCCTTTTGTGCCCGTCAGAATTGCCCAGGGCGAGACACATTCCTTTGTTTGAACTGCTCTGGAATCGGCTGTCCCATTCCCTGCAACAGCCCAACGCTATCGAAAGCCCTACCAGCCCTCGGTTCCTTACTAGAATCCCTGGTCAGTGGACGCCATCTTTGTAGCGCTCAACTCTTCTGACTTCCTATCAAGCAGTCCTCTCGCATCTCATCTTCAATATTCGCGATGGGCTTGCGCGATTGGTTTCGGCGGTTCGTCAGCAAGGTCAAGGACCTGTTCGGGATGTATAACAAGTATGATGATTTCGTGGCAACGGCGTACTTTTCGGACGGCGGGGTCATGACATATAGTGGCAGGCCTTGGGGTGGGGGATTTGAGGAGTTCAAAGCAGTTGCACGGGATTACGCGTCTCATGTGACCATGAACATGACGGGCAGTTTCTGGAGGTTTGACTGATGATGCAAATTGTAATTCAATCTTTGGTGCACTAGGAGTTATCACGTTTCAAGGGAGAGTCATACTATGAGAGGGGTCAAATGTTTGCGATCTGCTATCTAACGTAGGTAGCTAGGTACATTGAAGATTCTAATGTTAATTCCGGCCACTCGACTCCTATCTCCCTCATGAACCCCCTCCAAGTCTTCAAGACTCAGTCGTGATACCACACTCTACGACTTGTCAACAGGACCCAATAACAAAGGTTCGGCAAAGAAGCACTCACACTTGGACATTGCAACCCTAGTAGCAAGGTCAAGAGCGCGGTCGGTGGTCCGACTTCCGTCAGGTCCGTGATACTCGAAGGTTGAGTGCCTGCCTGTGGCTCGAAATTTGACTTCTCGGTTGAACCCCATTGGAGCCACGGCTCCGGCCGTTGGATTGTAGTAGGTGGTTGTGCCGTTCTGATCACGCTTTACCAGCCATCCTTGCTGCTCAGGCATCTTGATGGTGAGATCGTAGTCCGTAGGATGAAGAAACGCAGAGTGCTATCGTCAAAAATCTCAAGAGGTGTTCGGGGACAAACGATATGAAGATTGGAATGAAGTGTGGGAATGTTCTGTAGTGAGAGTGACTTATGAAGGAGGATTGGGACTCTGATGGAGCACCGGGTGAGGCCTGAGTCGTCGGTCCGTCCCCGTAGAGCGTGAGATGCAGAATTGCACTTTCCTGCATCCCGAAATCTGCCTTGTGGGCAGGTTCAGGTCTAGCCTTGAGGCCCCGGACGAGATCCCCGAAAGACCTAGAGGAAACCGCCACGCCATCTCATCACTCCAATTAACCCCAGATACGTGTTATGTGACGCGCAATAGTTCACATCATACTCCTCCTTGGCTGTTCTTACCTGGTGCGCGGACGAGGCTGCCGCAGAACTCCTCCAAACATGTCCCTGACTTGCTGGCATCATTAGTGCCCAGATCCGCCACAGACCCGTTCTCCGGGGAGAAATGCCTATTGATTCGCCACTTGCCCGCCTTTTTTGAACCTGTTTGTCACATATGTTTGGGAAAACTGACATGGACACGTCGCAAGTTGTGATGATATTCAGAAGCGGGCACAAATCGGGCGCGCAAGAGACTGTATGTGTGATGTGGCAACTCTGCAGCTTTGTCTCTGTCAGCTCCATCAAGCTGCTCACTGGTTATTTCAACTGCTGGTACGATGCAGGCTCACATGCCTTGACGATCACCGTTCTGAGCGGCTCCGGATCATCAACGTGGCATCATGGGAGACAGAGCTTCTGCCCAGAACGAAAAGAAAATGCCGCAGACAGCCTTGAGGCTCCTGCGAGTGTGATTTTCTGGCTGCCCAAGGCAGTCTTGCGACCCCATCCAGCCCCATGCCCTGCAATCCCACCCTCCCCGACACACAATCCATGTCGGCAGACAAGATGCACATTTCCCTTTCGTAACATGACGTGACACGACGTGACGTGATGACACCCAGTCCAAGCCAATCCAATACCGTCATCCCGGAAGAGCGTCGGTTCGCTAAACCATGCAATCGCTGGCACAAATCGAAAAGCACGAGAAGAAACAGCACAAGAACGGAATCCCACTAGATCCCTGAGCACCACCGCCAGCTCTCAATCGCCCGGCCGCTGCGCGATCCAAAAGTAGTAGTTAAAGTACCGGTGCACGCTCACGTCGTTGAGCGCCCTCCGGGCGTGCGCCAGCAGGACCTGGCTCTCGACCTGCGTCATGCCGAGCCCCTCGAAGGGCCGGCCGGCGAGCGCGGGCATGAGGTCGAGCACGGCCGTGCGCTGGTAGAGGCCGATGAGGCGCAGGGTCTTGTCGCGGGCCCAGGTGCCGATGGGCACCTTCTTGACGACGCGCTGGACGTTGACGAAGCCGGCCTCGCGCAGGGGCCGCTCGAGGTCCTTGGCCATGAGCACGTTGGCGCCGAAGCGGGCGAAGGCGCGGATGGCCGTGTCGTACATGAGCTTGACTGGGTCGTTGGGGGGCATGGTGTCGTCGTCGCAGAGGGGCTCGGCGCAGAGCTCCTGGAACTCGATGTAGCCGCCTGGCCGGAGGGACCTTTTTGGGGGGCGTGCCTGTCAGGCCAGAGAGCAGAGAACGAAAGGCATGGGGCGAGAGTGCCGGCGGTGAGGCGATTGAGACGAAGAAGAAGGAGAGACCAGGGGAGGTTTGAATGAAAGGGTAAAGGTGGTTGAGAAAAAGCAGCCTCACCTGTATGCATTCTCCAGTATGACGGCGGGCCGCTTCATGATGATACCCATGAAGCGGAAATGGACGAGGTCGCAGTCCTCTGTGAGAAAGTCCTTCTCGCAGTCGTCGACGAGAAAGTCGACGTTCGGAGGCAGCCAGCCGGGCTGGATGGGCGCGAGATCTATGCCGCGCACGCGGGCGCTGGGATACCTGTCGCCGACTGTTGAGTTGAGTCAAGCGGCCGCAGGTTAGCAGACGGTCATGCCAATGAGCAATCCCTTGCGCGGAGCGAGAGAAGATGGGTGCGCATGAGGAAGTCAAACCATACCATCAATCGCCCAGATACCTATTTCGCAGGAGATTCGTTCATCAGCGGGCTCCAGTCCGAAAAATGCGACGGACAGACAGAAAAACTCACCGGTCCCCGTGCCGATGTCGAGAATCATCTGCGGGGTGTCGCCGATGGGCGCGTAGAACAGCTTGCCGTCCATGAGCTCGAGCATCATGGCGTGCTTCATGTCCTCGCGGCTCTGCTCGTCGTTGTCGTTGGGGATCGGGTAGCGCCCGTTCTTGAAGTGGTGGTACCGCCGGCCGTGCTCGTAGGTGTGGGCGAAGACGCTCGAACAGGCGCTCGTCGAGCCCGTCGAGCGCGTCTCGAAGCCCTCTTGCGGGTCGAACTCGTCCGAGTCGCCCTCCTCGCTGGCGGCCTCGATGGGCAGCTCGTCCGTCTGCTGGTGCTGCAGCGCGGGAATGCTGTCGCCGGCCGCGGCGCCGGGCAAGGTGCCAGCTGCTGAGGGCGCGGTGTCGGCCATGGCCTGTGTGTCTTTGTCTCTGGCCTCTGTCCTCTGCTGTGCTTTGGGGGGATCGCGAATCGCACTTGGCCTTCGTAGAGGAGCTTCGTCTCAGTAGTACGGATGGGATGGGAGTGAGTGAGGGTTGCGATACGATGAAGCAGCCTCAGATGAATGGATGCGTCCAAGTATCTAGCCGAGCTTCCGAATGGCCATTAGCACGGGACGAACCGAGCACCTGGGAATTTTCACACTTCCGCTGTCACTCAAGTCGAAGCATGTGCATCCGTGGGTACAGCAGATTTAGTTACAGTGGAGATAGGGATCGTAAGATGGCAATCTACAGGAGGGAATACGTCGAGCAATGGCAGGGTGTGGGAACACTTGGTGGGCCGGGCGAGATGAAAGAGACAGGGGTGAAGGCGAAGCGGGCAGAGAGAAGAGAAGACGGAACTCAAGAGACGACACCACACACTCGCTCGCGTTGGCTAGCCGGACAGACAGCCAGAGAGACAGACAGGCAGAGAGACAGACGAACAGAGCAGAGGCACACACCTCCTGAAGCTGATTGAGGCAATGCAAAAGCAACCATCGGTCACACCAGTCACAGCCCTCACCCACACCACCTCGAGCCCAGCTCCGGCGCCAAGTCACTGCTGGCTTTACCAATGATGTCTCTCCACCAGCTGGGGATCCGGGCCATCCAGCGGCGGCCTTGTAACCCCCGCTCCAAATGCTTGATTGGGCCCGCCGCATGGGCCTGATGGCAGGGGAGAAACGTGTTTTCCACGATCGGAAGGACAGGGTTCCAGATCGGTCGGGCGCGTCGTCAATCGGAGACATCAGTGCTTCTCTTGAAGAAAATGCCCATGTCGTCGCAGGCGTCGCTGATTGCCTGGGCATTGGCACACGCAAAAGACAAAGCAGATAATTCCGGGTCACTGACGATCCCTCTCCGCCGCATTAAGAAAAGCCGGATGAGGGGAAGACTACCCCAATTCAGGTTGAGAATGCAGGTTCTAGTGCCTCTCTGATCGCAGGTCAAGTATTGCCCAAGCAAACACCACCATCACAGCTGAGACAGGGGTCGAGCAAACAAATCCGCCTGCGGGCACTTCTCAACAGCGCTGACCGGAGCAGTCGTCACCCATCGACCGGGAAAAGATGAATATCACCACCACGGATTGGGTTGCGCGTGCATAAACAAATCACTGGAGAGAGAGAGAGTGAGCATTTACTCGCCGCTCAATGCAGGCACTGGTCTTAAAAATCCTTGAATGACTTAACTTGTCCTCCTCCTCCTCCTACTTCCACACGCAACAAAATGACTAGGCAGACCTGCCGTGCCCCTTATTGACCATGAGCATCTTGCCTAGCGTCTCGAGGTCGATCGAGTGCTTTGCCTCCTGGACCGACTGGTTGACCGCGTTGGCACCCCGCTCGACCATCTCGGCATCGTAGGCCGCGACCGCCTCCCTGCGGACCTTGGCGTCGCCCTTTGCGTCCCTGGCCTTGATCAGCGCGTCGACGTAGTTGTTTGCGTCGGTGATGGCGTGCTGGAAGCCCTGTCCGCGGTCTGCATCATCGTGTTTTGGAATTTAGCACACACGCCCTCCCCTCTACGACCAGCGTGCGGTCCTTCTACTCACAGATCAACATGGGGTGCACGGCGTCGCCGGCCAGCGTGACGCGCCCGCCGCGGTTGTCGTACGGCACGGGCACCCAGTACTTCATCTCGTCGACGTAGCAGGTGCTCCCGTCGGGCGTCCAGTCGATCAGCGACTGGAAGGGCTCGCACAGGCCCCTGGTGTTGTCGCGGAGGTAGCTCAGCGCGTCCTGGCCGTCGAGGTTGACCGGCGCGCCGGGCCAGAACTTGACCCAGAAGGTCGTCCACGAGGCCTTGTCGTCCGGGTCGTCGACGTACATGACTAGACACGGTGGTTTTTAGCTACACTTTTTTTTTTCGACAACGGAAAAGATGGAGCACAGCGAGGAAAGTCGAAAGAAAGAAAAACGTACTCCCGCAGCCGGCGCCGGCGTTCGACCCCAGCGTGATGGCGGCCACGGGGTGCGCCTTGACCACGGCGTCGACCTTGTCCGCGTCGTTGTACTTGACGATGCACGTCGCAAACATGAACCCGGAGCCCCGGATCCTGGCCGCCTCGGCGCCGACAAGGTACTCGCGGACCCCGGACGACGCCCCGTCGGCGCCGAGCACAAAGTCGGCCTCGTGCGCGCTCCCGTCCGCAAAGGTCAGACGCACCGGCGCATCTTCTTGGTCGTCGTCGCCGACCTCGATCCCGGCCAGCGCCTTGCCCCACTGCACGTCGACGCCCCGCGACAGCACCCTGCGCAGGCGCTGCCGCGAGACGCGCCGGGACCCGGGCAGCGGGCTCTTGAAGAGCAGCTCGCCGGTGACGCCGTTGTAGCACGGCAGGCTCTCGGCGTGGTCGTCGAACGCGAGGAAGCGGTTCGTGATGGCGCCGGGCAGGGCGCGCACGACCTCGTCGGGCAGGAGCCTGGCCATGGTGGGCATGGCCCAGTGCAGCACGATGGTCCAGTCGCGGCGGCGGGCGTCGAGGCCGGCGTCCCGGTCGAAGACGGCGACGTCGAAGCCATTCTTTTTGGGGGGGGCGGCTTGGTTAGCGGGGTGCACGATGAGAGTTGGGGGCGGGGACAGAAGAACACGGATAACGCGGGATCGCCCGGATGTGTGGGCGGGCGGGTGGGCTTTGCTGGGGCGAGGAGGAGCAAGGAAAGCAAGAAAGCAAAGCAGGGAAAGCAAGGAAGTGGTAGGTAGCACAGCACAGCACAGCACAGCAGCGAATACGTACCTTCTGTAAGCCGTGGGCGACGAGGAGACCGGTGAGGCCGGCGCCGATGATGGCCACCTTGGGCGGCTTGCTGGGATCGCCGGATCCCATTGCCATTGCGGTGGTCAAGGGTGTATGTCAGCGTTTCTTTTTGGTGCCGGCGGCCTGGTCACCCCGATGGAAGAGAAGCAAAAGAAGTATGGCATGACACGGGGAGAGGAGAGGGGAAGAGAATGAACAGCAGCATGGCGGCGGCAGTCAAGTGGTGGGCCAAAATCACATCACCTCGTTTGCCAATTCTCTCAGATCTCCTCTGCCTGTACAGGGAACGTGGGCCAGACTCGAGGACCGCCTGCTCTAGTGGCGGCCGTGCGATTAATAGCGTGGGGAGCCAAGCCAGAAGCCCCTCACAGGCAGGAGAGCGGAGGAGGGTCTCGCCAATGCTACCATCTACAAGTCCATACATCTCCATCACGGGTTGGGCGTGAGGTGTGCGCACGGTGGCGCGGGGGCGCGGTGAAGGAACCGCGAAGTTCTGCGGACTGTTGGATGGGAGCAAACAAGATCTAGTACTACACCTGCCCACCCATGCATAGGTACGGTCCAGACGGCCGGGACTGGGAGACGGACAGGCAGCCCGGGAGCCAAGGAAGAAGGCTGGAGCACAGGGGATGCGGGCTGGCTGCTGGCTGCTGACTGGACTCGATGCATCATCCATCGGGCCGCTCTCTAGGCTTTCCGGGTTCCAATCGAGTCAGTATCCTGGCCCGTGTGTAAGATCAACAGTAGCAGGCTCTGTCCCAAGAGTGCTTGACACACAAGACGAGGTCGAATCAAGACTGGCTGGCCGGGTCGTAAGCCGATTGCATTTATCAACCGACTACCCGTGTGGCGTTGCACCCGGAGACGTGGCTCGGCTCACTGTTGGTCTAATTATCTTGCAAGCCATGCCGTCGCTCATCACACTCCTGCAGCCACCGTCTCCGGCCACAGTTCAGCTCTGACGCCAAGCTGTGTCTCATACATCCACCTCCCCGGGATTGCTCCTCGTGGAGCAGGTCATCCCACCACCCCAGATCGAGCAGCCGATCCTCAAGCTTGGTGGTGTGGATGTGTGATGGTGATCTTCCACCTCCGAAGGAAGATTGGCTCATCCGCTCCTGTCTGTGCATTCACAGCACACCCACCCCAAACTGCACCCCGGCCTTGGCCCTCAACGCCTCCCAGATCCCCCTCACCGCCTCCCACCGCCTGCCCTCCTCCCCCAGCGCCGCAGCGAACACGCCCATCCAGCCCGCCGCGCAAGCGTCGCACCCGCACAGCGGCCTCCCGTCCACGTTCGCCGTCCCGCCGACCCCGGTCCACCCGACAGCCTGCGCGGAGCCGCTCGCGAGCCGGCCGAGGTCCAGCCCCGTGATGCCCTGCGCGCACGGGCACGCCTGCCCGCCCGCCACGAGCCACACCCAGACCACGGCGGCCGACACGCTGAGCGCCAGGTGCGCCAGGGGGTCGACGGCGCGGCGGGGGCCGACGCCGGCCAGGAGCTCGCGGTAGCTGCGCAGCGCGTGCAGCGCGTGCAGCACGGCGGTCCGGCCGTCGGGCGAGTTGGCCCACTGCCAGACCTGGGCCTCCCTGCGGCGCGCGTGCGACGAAGACGACGGCGTCGAGGACGGAGGCGGTTCGTCGGATGTCAAGACGAGGAGGAGCGTCTCGGCGTCGGCGTGGGCGTGCAGGGCGACGAGGTGGTACAGCAGGGCGGCGTGGAGGATGTACGACCGCAGGCGGGCGAGGATCCCGTCTCGGTCCTCGGGTTTGTCTTCTTCTTCCCTGCCGGCGTAGGCGCGCATGTACGCCTCCAGGAGCGCCGGGTCGCTCGTCGTGCGGATCGTGTCGAGCTGCACCTCCCAGAAGCTCAGCATCTGGTCGAGGAGCTTCTGGTGCTCGATGTCGCACGACGACGGCTCGGACGCGAATCGCCTGCGTCGCCACTGCGCGTGTTGCCAGGTCAAGTGCACGCTGCCTAACAAGCCGGCCTCGACGTCCTCGAGCAGGACGAGGCTGGCCTCGCCGTTGGGCCCTGCGACAGCGGGCGTAGTGTTGCTGCTGAAGGTCAGCAGGTCGCACATGCGCCGGCTGCCGCGCTCGTGCGGCTCGACGCGGAACCGCCTCGGGAACACGTCGAGGCCGTGGGCGTTCCACATGGCGAATGTAGAGGTCAGGGGCAGGTCGAGCTCCTCGCACTGGATCAGCGGCGGGAGGCCGGTGAGCAGGCTGAGGTGGGCGTCGATCTTGAAGATAGAGACCACGACTCTCCTCCAGCGCTGCAGGCCGGAGTGGACCCACGGCGTGAATGTCCCCGGATAGTGTGTGTTCTGTTGGCGCTCGATTGCTTCTGCGCTGAAGACGCCGTTGTCTCTGAGGACGGTGACGAGGAGGCTGTGCAGGAGCCGGGCTTTGGAGATGAGCTCTGGTTTCTGGGCGGAGGCTGTTAACTCGCCGGATTATGCCACGATGTAACAGGATGCCAGAGTACTTACACCGGTCTCACAAGCGAAAATCACATTGAGCAACGCCGCTTTCCATGTCTCTGTGGGCCAGGGCCTGCCGTTCAATATGCTCGAAGTAGTTTCCATCTGGCCGGAAGCGTCAGCGCAGGCGTAGAAGACGGCGGCGGCGGCTGATACTCACCACTTCCCGCAGCATATGGCCTACCAGTATGCCGTGGAGTTCGACAGCTAACAGTCTGGTTATCTCGTCATTTTCATACCACGAGCCTATCATCAGAGTAGATGCGGATGCAGCCAACGAGTCCGTGCTAGGGTCAAATGTCGGAGCGTGCACGATCGGCCACCGTTCGTGGAACGACTCAAAGAATGACTCGAGACATGAGTTACACCAGCTGTTCTCTTCGAGGGTCTCCTGGTAAGCGACCACCGAGTTTCCGAGCACGTCGAGTGATGCTACAGCGTCAGTCAATGAACGCATGCCAGCACGGACCGCGTTGGTCCGCTCTGGACTTCGAGGGCTGGATCGAATCTGCGGTGCCGCAGAGAGTGTGCCAGAGGGAGGAACTGCGTTGACGACTGTCGGTAGCGGGAACTGCGAGCCCATGTCCAACACAGTCGACGTCTCAAAAGGAGGAGACTGGTGATGGTGGAGGCGCGTGGTGTCGGGAATAGTGACACCCGCTCCTCCACCATTCACTTGTCCATCATTCTTCTGGCCGTTCTGCGCTTCACTGGCCGGCAACTTCTCGGATTCTCTGCCCCTCGAGTAGGTGCAGGCGATGCCTCTCTTGGAGCAGAGAGTGCAGGTATCCCCGCCATCGCACTTGGTCTTGTTTGCATGGCAGGCATCGCAGGCGCGACTTCGGCGCGGGTCCGGAACGGTGGCAGACTCGTGGAGAGCCACGTGCCGGCGGAGGAGGTCACTGGTGCAGGGCAGCAGGAGCCGCGCGGTTAGCAACGTGTACCTTGGTCTAAGCATGCATCTACCTCATGTGCTCCCACCGGGCTGTCAGAGCGCCAGGATCGTGGGTGTGGAGTAAAGGAGAGATCGGCTCCTGTCCCGGGACGGACTGGGTAGAGTGGGATGTACCCGAGTTCCAACTACCAGGGTGGTAAGGGAATAAGCGGAGAGCGTTGTGGACTTACTTGCGGGTAAAGGATCGCTGGCAGACATCGCAGACATAGGCTCGCTCGCCATGGGTGGCCTGGTGACGCCGGAGGTGCTCCTTGCGCAGGAAGCTCTTCCCGCAGAAGCACTTGTGGCGCTCCGGGGCTGTTGTGTTGCTCATTGGCGCGTGTCGATCCTTGAGATGTAATTACCAGAGGCTCTCAGAACCCAGACCCCGGTGTGTACAGGGTGGATGATGCCGAGCGGGCGCTCGAGAGAACAGCCCATCCCCGGCATTTAGATCAGCCCCGAGCAAAACATCAGCATGAAAAATGCTCGCAAACACAGCCGTTGTCGTATGCAGTTCTGGCTGGTTCCAACACGACGTATTGACTCTGAGACATGCAGCAACCGGCCGGGGAGTGGGAGGAGTGGAGATTTGGAGATGGCACGATGTACAGAGGTGGAGAAAGAAAGGCCAAGCAAGTCACCGGTGGGATGCTGACAAAATGGCAAATTCACTGCCGAGCCAGGCTTAACTTGGTAACTACTTGTACATCTCCAAAGATCGGCCATCCCTCTCGGCCAGCCCACTGTCTCCGTGGCTCCACCGCTCCCTCTCCTCTCCCCAAATGCCACTCGGCCTGAGCCTAAAGTCCCAGCTAGTCATGCATTTACGGCCAGGCTTAGCTAATTCAGGGCCACGGCATTTCTGGCCCAGATGGTATCATGCGGCGGCAATTATGGGGGCCGAACGTGTGATGCCCCGGTGCCGAAAGTGCACACCATGGGCTGGGATATATAATGGGCGAGACTCCATCGTCTCCGGAACACATGATATTGACAAGTCAGAGATACCGAGATCACAACTAAGAACATACATTTGAATCACCATCCACACACCTTATCCGTCCAAAGAGCATAGCACTACCACCGCCATGTCCGCTATCAAGAACGTCGCCATTGCTGGTGCCGCCGGCTCCCTAGGCACTGTCGTCCTCAAGCACCTCATCGCCTCCAACAAGTTCAACATCACCATCCTCCGCCGCGTCGGCTCATCTTCCACATACGACTCCAGCCTCAAGGTTGTAGATGTCGACTTCGCCTCCGTACCCTCACTCACAGACGCCCTCAAGGGCCAGGACGCCGTAATCTCCACCTTTGGCACCACCGGCTTCAGTCTGCAGACGACGCTCATTGACGCTGCCGCCGCCGCGGGCGTCAAGCGCTTCATCCCCTCGGAGTTCGGCTCCAACCTGGACAATCCCAAGACGCGCGCCCTGCCCGTCTTTGCCGAGAAGGTCAAAACCCAGGAGGCGCTCAAGGAGAAGGCCAAGACGACGGGCCTGACCTACACCGTCATCTACAACTCGGCCTTCCTCGACTGGGGCTTGAAGGTCGGCTTCACGCTCCGCTGGTCCGAGTACAAGCCCGCGCTCTACAACGGCGGCGACGTCACCTTCTCCGCCACCACGCTGGACTCGGTCGCCGACGCCGTCGTCGGCGTCCTGAGCCACCCCGAGGAGACCAGGAACCGCGCCGTCTACGTCGAGGACGTCAAGATCACGCAGAGCCAGCTGCTCGACATCGCCAAGAAGATCGCACCCGGCAAGCCCTGGGAGGTGCAGCACGTCAAGACCGACGACCTCGTGGCCCAGTCCAACGACAACCTGGCCAAGGGCCAGATCGACGCCATGACCTTTGTCAACTACATCTTTGCTGCCATCTTTGATCCCTCGTATGGCGGCAACTTTGAGAAGACGGACAATGAGCTGCTTGGTCTCAAGGGCAAGACCCTGGCCGATGTCGAGGAGATTGCCAAGAAGATTATCAGCTAGATCGGGATTCGGCGGGAGTAGAATAGCTTAGATCGAGTACCTAGAATCTCTGGTTGAATAATGAGTTAGCCAATGACTGTCTTGTTCAAACTCAAGTGTTGTTCCTTGTGGTGCCTGTAAATGGTGAATACGTACAGGGAAACTCAATGTGTTGTGTCCTCCATCCTGAATGCGAAAGAGCTGAAGTGCAGGTGTGCAGTTCTCCTTGTCAACTCCTTCAAGGTATCCTGTTCGCAACTCAGCTTGCACAACCATTCACTGGGGTGTAGCGTGCCTTTGTTGCAAGTTGCTAATGTCAAAGGAACTTGCGGTCGGGAAGGGAAGTCTTTGGTGCAGTTCCTCCCTCTCCTTGAAAGTGTTTGCAACTTTTCCATTTCAAAGGCAGCGCCTCAGGCAAGCCGGAATGCAGGCTGGTCCGAGTTCCAGAGTTGGAGCTGGCTCCTCGCTTCCAGATCTACTGACTTCAGCTTTCATTAGGGTTATCAAAGCCCTAAATCCCAAGGCAGATGCAGCCCAAGAGGCCCAAAGGGGTTGAAAGTAAACAAAGGGGGGTGCGGCACGTGACACCCTTCACGCTGTTCACTCCGTGTAAGTCAACTCGCATACCGCGTTCAGCAGCTCGTCACTTTCTCATGACGCGAATTATGGAATAGACAGACTTCTCCTAGGTGAGGCCGCCCTTTTCCCACTTTCTTGCCTCCACCACCCTCCTTTTCGCTCCCACCACGCAGTTCCAATCATCACCAATCTCCGCCCGGCTGCGCTTTTCATCCCCGGGCATCGCCAAAGGAGCTTCCACGTCTTTCTCTATCCCATCCCGAGATATCTTCTTTCATCGCAAGACTTCCCCTTCCATCTCAAGGCGTTTCCCCCTGCTCGCTTCTGCCAAGATGGCTTCCAAGGACGGCGCTGAGCAGACCAAGCCCGCTGATCAGGAGCCCAAGAAAAGTGACTGGGACTTGGCCATGGAGGTTGCCGAGTCGGAGAACCCCTTCCACACCCCAGCACCGCCTGGAGCTTCCCAGAGTCCCATCAACCCCTACGACGGCCACATCGACAACGAGGAGAAGGAGAAGGCCCAGGCCTCCCGTCCGTCCCGCGCAGCATCGCAGAGATCGCTGACTGCCAGAACCGCGCCCCTCCCCTATCCTAACTTCAGCTTCCCCAAGCGAGCTGACAGCCGCCACCGTGCGTACTCGGAGCAGCACATCGGCCAAGCCAGCAGCAGCAGGCTCATGCCCATCCTCGCCTCCTCCAGAGAGGCCCTGGGTTCGCCGAGTGCTCCCACCCTCCAGCGAGTGACCTTCAACGAGGAGCCCAGAATCCCCAGCCCGGACGCAATCCTCGACATCTCCATGGACTCCCTCGAGGAGATCCGCCGCAGCGACATGGCGCGTGACAACAACCCCTTCGACTCGGACAGCGAGAAGAGTCTGCCTACCTCGATCCACATCCGCTCCAAGGAGCGTGACGAGGAGGATGCACTCGCCAGCCGTCCTCGCCGCCATCGCCCTCCCACTCCGATGCCGATACTGTTCGGCGGCGGCGCGTCGCCAGCTTCATCCCCTACCATCGAGCTCGATAGGAGCCCAGACAGGGGCAGAGTGAGCAGTGGAGTCCACCCAGTCCGTCCCGACACGCCCATCCCGGGCTCGTCGCCCGCGGTTCGCGACTTCGTGTACGAAGAGCCTTACCTGGCCCAGACCGTCGACCTCACTCCGCCTCCGCGCTCTCTGCAGCGACCGTACAACCCCCGCGGCGGCATCGAAGTCAGCCTCAGCCGCGGCCAGTCACTCAACTTCGCCTCCTCCAGCCGCCGCACCCGCGGCCGCGGCCCGGGCGACGACAGCCAGCTCACCATGGCCGAGGCCCTGCGCCAGTTCTCCTCCCCGCCGCCCTCCGCCCAGGCCCTGTCCGTCCGCCGCGGCCCAGAGATCCACCGCTTCGGCACGATGGAGTCCGTCAGCGCGCCCACCGTCTCCATCGCCCGCGAGGACACCGGCCCGGGCATCCTGGGCGAGCACCCGCTGGCCCGCGTCGGCCCGCGCGTCGTCGCCCGCCGCCGCGAGCGGCGCATCCTCTGGACGCTCGGCGTCGGCACCCAGCTCGGCGTCATCTCCTTCTCGTGCTCGCTGGCCGTCATCATCACCGAGGCCGCCATCGCGGGTAGGTTTTACGCCGGCGTCGCCGTCTGGGCCAGCGTCAGCTTCGTCTGGTGCCTCGTCACCATCATCTGGCTCGTAATCCGCATCGACAAGTGCGGCGGTGCTCGCCGCCGCCGCCGTCGTCGCGGTCGGACTACGGCCGCAGCTCTCCAGGGCGATGACGACCTTGATCTGGAGCAGGGCCGCGACGGCGAAGAGTGGCACGAACTGCAGGAAGTTGTCGGCCACAACCGCCTCGTCAACAAGCAGCTCCCCGTCGCCAACGCGCAGAACGTCGCGACTGCCACCATGGCTGACGAGCAGCAGCGCCGCCAAGACGAGCACTGGACTCGCTTCGCCCAGGACGAGGGCCAGCTGCGCCGCCACGTCGAGAACCTCGAGGACAAGCTCCGCGCCGCGGAGGAGGAGCTCACGCAGTACCGCGGCGCCGTCCAGGTTGTCCCCGAATCGCGCACTGTCAGCCTTGCCCAGGCCAGCACCGTCGGCGGCACCCCGTCGAGCTACCAGAGCAAGCGGAACAAGGGTAAGGGAAAAGAGCGGGATCTCCGCACCGCCGTCTCGCAGCGCGCTCTGCTCCGCAACACCACGTTCGAGAACAACGACAACAACACCATGATGCCCGCCTCCGGCACCGATGGTAGCATCATCACTGCTCTCTGCGCTGGCGTGGGTGCGGGAGCAGCCTCGGAGCCGTACAGCCCGCTCGACAACAGGTCCTCGCGTGCCACTCCCGGCCGCTCGACGGGCGACGGCGGCGACTTCAGCAGCCTCGCCGGAACCAGCATCACCATGCGCGAGGCGCGAGTCCGTGCTGCTGAGCAGAACGAGCCGATCCACCTCAGTGTCATGCCCAACGGCCACATCCGCATGTCGTCCTACGATATCATGGGCGGCCGCATCCCCGAATTCAACTGAAGGGTCACTGGCTGTTTCAATCTCGTATGGTGGGTATCATTGCTTCCGAGAGAGGGAAATCATACAAAAGAGCTGTGATCAAATGAGACCTGTCCCGTGAAATCCTGCGTGACATGCTAACATGCAAATGCTATGCTATGTATGCCGTGCCCGAGTCCCCCAATCTAAATCGCCCGTCCTGCCCTGGCCCTGTTCTCCCGGTACCGCTTCTCCTTGGAGGCCGCCTTTCTGCGCTTCTTCCACGAGCGATTGAGGTCGCCACGGTGTTCCCAGAACCACTTCTGGAAGTCGCCTGTGGCCGTAGGCTTGTCGCCATCCTCATCCTGCTCCTCCTCATCACCGCGTTGGCCGGCATCGGCCATCAGCGTGTCCTCCTCTAGTTCCTCGTCCTCGTCCTGATCCTCCTCGCCCTGCGGCCAGAAGTTGAACTTGCGGTTAGCAAACGCAGTATCCGGCGTCGGCGCCGCGCTGCGGACGAGGCGCGTGTCAAAGTCCATCTTGGTGAAGGGCGTCATGGGCGGCTGGCTCGGCGGGAGCTCGTCGTCCTCCTCGATGTCGTCCGTGTCTCCCGCGCCGAAGAAGCTGAAGCCCTCTCCTGCGGGAGGTTTCTCCTGTCCCGGCGCGGCGGCTTGCCGCTTGTAGAGAGCCTCGAGGGGGTGGACGGTCTTGGGGACGAGCGGCGTGGCGGGCGGGATCTTGATTGTCAAACTCCGGGCCGAGCCAGAAGACTTTGGCCGCGGGGACTCGAGCGGTAGCGTCTTGTCCTCGGGTATATCTTGTAGAGAGTGAGCCTTGTCCTCTTCCTCCGCGTCGACCCTGGTATCTTCATCCTCCTCATCGTCGTCTTCTTCATCCTCCTCCTCCTCACTGCTCGTGTCGTCTGAGGACGTGCCGCTACTGCTCGTCGAGTCATCATCGTCAGCGGTGGCTGTGGCAACAACTGATTTCTTTGGTGCTGCTTGTTTGGCAGCCGGCTTTGGGCGGGTTGACTTGACAGACTCGACTACGTCACCGTCCGCATTGACCCAGCCTTGGCCCTCGATGTACTCGAGATTCGGGCCGCCTTTGCCGTTGTCTTTCTGGCTCTTGAGGAATGTCGGAAACTTGGTAGTGTGCTCGAACTCGTGTACGGTAACCTCGCGCGATCTCTCTTTCTTTCCCTTGCGCTTGGTAGGCTCGGACGCACCCTCGCCCTCCGCTGGTACCCTGTTCGGTGGCAGGACGGTCTTGACGAGGCACTCTGGGTGGTCGGTGAACTTGGATCTTGTCTCTCTCTTCTTCTGCTTCTTGTCTTTGTCTTTGCTCTTGTCCTTTTCCTTCTTGCTCCTGTCCTTGTCCTTCTTGCTCCTCTCCTTCTGTATCTTCTCGCTCTCGGAGACAGTCCAGCCACGCTTGACCTTGCGGCCCTCCTCCAGTTCGACGCCGACCAGCTCCTCGCCGTCTCTCTTGCGCTTCTTCTTCTTGTGCTCGCCGTCCTTCTTCTTCGACCTCTTCTCCTTCTTGGCGTCCGTGCTGGCCAGAGCCTCCGCGCCCGCGGGCTGGAGGATGTCGTCCTTCCTCGCCATCTCCACTCGTATCTTGACGCCTCTGAGCACCGCTCCGCTGAGCTTCTTCTTCAGCTTGTCGGCATCGGCCGCGGGGAGGTCGACGAAGCCGAATCGCTTCTCGGGGAAGGTCTCGAGGGTGTGGAAGGAGATGTTCTGAGCTTGGGGGAGCGCAGCAGCAGGGACGACGACGGGCAGGAGCTCCGAGTCGAGCGGGGTGATGTGCAGGCGCGTGTATCCTGCTGCTGTCGCAGGCTGGTCTTGGGAGGCGACAGGTTTCATGGATGGGTCTGAAAGCAAGGCTGTCGGGGTCCTGCGTATCCAAGGCTTAGTCGGAGAAGAGCCTGCCTTTGTTGTCGTACAGACAAAGTGGGCGAGGATCCCGGGCGAGGCCCCTGCTAAATTTAGGCGGTCAAGATATTTTTTGCCGGCTGCGCTAAATTTTCCGCATGTTGATCTTTGCTGCACTGTGGAACCAGAAGACCGAGATTCAGCCTCAGACACATGCCTGCAAACTTTAATAAGCATTCACACTTCATCACTGTAAGTGAATATTGTTTCAAGCCCGGATGTCTGTGATGTGAAGTAAGGTAGGTATCTTAGTTATCTTCCCTGGAGGACAGCATCAACAGATCCTGACAACTATGTCCAAGCCAGTGACGATAGTGTAATGTGTTGTCTAACTTGTGCTGTTTCAAGTGATCCATGACCACATTCTTTGACCTTGAACGGGTGGAACCGAGCTAGAATGTGCTTGCAGATCGGAAAATCAAGGATATCTTGAGATTGTGAATGCAAAGTTCTGTCGGCGGCAACTTCCTTGACACATCGCATCCTAGCAGCTGCGAAGGTTGTGACGCAATGGCAACTAGTGCACTGTGCCAGCTTTTCCCTTGTCCTGCCATTCATTCACTCCCTGCCTACTCTCAGAGTTGACCTGCTTTGATCACCTCCATCCCTATTCTTTCTAGATACTGTTTCTCTGCACATCCTCAGGCCCTCATTGTATCATTTCACTCCGTTCAATATGTCCGACTTCTCTGACGACGAGAACTTTGTCACTGCCTGTACCACTCCTACCTCTGATCTCTATACTGCCACCCCGGAACCCCTCTCGAGGAACAATACCTCCTCCTTCGACGGCGAGGATGCCGAGACCTCATTCCCGTGGATGTCACCGTTTACAAAGGCGCTGAAGGCCTCGCCGGGCGGACTGCAAGACACCCACAGGCTCAGCTCCGACGGAAGCAACCCCTGGGGCTTGCCGACTGACACGATCAAGACACTGCTGGAGTCGGTTAGAGAGCGAACAGAGGCGTGGAGGAAAGCTGTCGAGGACGGCCTGGGCAGACTACCGCCGGCTAGAGCCACAGGCGCTGGCCCTGCCACTCCTGGCAACTTGACCTCCGCCCTGACCCAGTACATGGCCCATCTCGAGCAGACTCGCAAGTTCCTCGTTAGCCTTGTCGACCTCGTTGGCGCGGAGCTGCAGGAGGCTGCCGCTCTGGGCGTGGAGTCGGTCGTCGCCCTTCAGAACAAACGCCAACTCGCGAAGCTATCCTTGACCCGGGACTCGCTCGAAGACGATGGCCTCGGTATTCCAGGGATGGTGGCCTGTCCAGCCTCAGCCGTCACCGCAGATCCGACGGTCACTTTTACCGAGCCCACGCCTCAGTTTGCAGAGATCTGCTATGCCGAGCCCCCGAACAACACGCAGCATCCAAAGCCTACGACCACAACACTCCTGCCAGAGCAGGGAGTCACCGAGATTACCTGGATGAATGCACCCGTTGTGGCAGCTTCGCCATTTGGCGCGATACTCGAGGAGCGACCCCCAACCCCAGGGGCTACACCCCCGAAGACTCCGCCGCAGACGCCATCGAGTGCATTCGGGGCTCACCCAAGCCCCGGCCGTCCCAAATCCGAGTCCGCCCTCGCCTCGCGCGAACCCGGCCACCTACCCAGCTGCATGAAGCTCGAGAACCAGTCCGAGGCGTCGTCTCCGCGGCCCCTAAGACGCCCGCGATTCATCCTGCCCGATCAGGACGACGAGGTCACGCCCGACACAAGCGCCCCCGAGCAGAGGCGATCCAGCCTCTACCACCTCGGCATCGACGCGCACACTTGTGCCGAGGACCCCAGCTGCGAACAGCAAGAGCCCACCATCTACACCACCACCTCCGCGCCGGAAGTGCTCAAGGCCAGGCGCACAAACTCCTCGCCCTTCCAGTCCCGCATGGGCTCCATGATCGGCGCGTCCTCGGGCCGCAAACGCAGCGCCGTGCGCAAGGCGTCGCAGGCGCCGCCTTCCATCCTGGACAAGGTCCAGCGCGCAGACTCGCAGACGGGCTTCGCGGCGGACGTCGTCGCCGTGGCGTACAGGAGCTCGGCTGGCGGCGAGCCCAGCGAGGGTGGGGCGGCGATGCGGTACGAGCGGCCGCGGACCAAGTCGAGCGTGGACCGGATGAGGGCCATCCTGGCACAGTACCCGCCCCTGCCGCGGCCGGACGACACGGGGATCTACTCGGCCATGACGGGGGCGCGGAGGCCGTCGTCTCGCGGCAGCCTCGTGTCGAGGGGGCAGCGTAGCGGCAGGGGAGTTGCGACGAGGGAGGTGAGCGTCTGCTCCGAGGATGGGGAGCCGCACGTCTGCGCCGACGAGAACTAGGTGTCGTCTGGGATGTCGACGCCGGCGAGCGTGGGCTCGGTTTTGAACTAAATTGTGCTGTGTCCTGGGTCTAACGACGAGGGCGAGGCGAGGGAATACATAGATCGTCCGACGACTCTCGAGTCGAGGCGCTCCCCGCGCTTTATTACATTCTAAGAATAATGACGATCACGGTTGACGTGAGGTCCCCGGCGGACCTGCTTGAATGAGGCTCGTCTAAAGTTGTGGTCGAACCCCCTTGAAACTCGATGTCTGTGGGGGGTCGCAACCCGCAACCCCGTAACCTGGAACGCCATGGACGGCGCCCTGTCAAACACCCCTGCTCGCTGTTCCAAGTTCGGATCGTCCCCCTTGCATCTCGCGATAACCTAATCCAGGGATAGCCGAGCCATCTCAACCTGGTTGACATGCGAAACCGTAGTTGTTCGAGGTCCGCCGGCGGGTACCTCGTGTCGCACTGCAGTCCGCTCACAGCCCTGCCAGGCCTCCGCCCGCGTTCGCTTAGACGTATCGAGATAGATAGATCGTATGTCTCGCAGTCCGCACCGGGTTGCGCTTCATGCTTTGGCTTGAATATAAGCTTGTGCTGTCCCTGCTTGCAGCGGCGATCATCTCGTCTTTTCTGCCTTCTTGTTTGTCTTTGTTGCCATTCCTTTCCCTTCTTCCTGGTCGGCTCCATTCTTCGTTTCTCCTCCCGCCGTAGATCGGTGTCGTGTTTCATATCTTCTTCTCTCCTTTTCGGGCTGTTCACTCCGTCACTCTTTTGCTTCGCTCGTTTGACAGCATTCATACATAACCGCAAGCCTCATCATGAAGACTTCTGTCATCCTCGCTGCCCTGGCCTGCGCCGGCACTGGCCTCGCTGGTACGTACACCACCCTCCTGCATCACACAACTCATCATCGAGCTTCCCCATGCTGACGCGCCCTCAAACAAACAGCCCCCGCCGTCGCCGAGCGCCAGGCCGCCAAACCCTGCTTCGTCATCGGCAGCACAACCCTCCCCAAGGAGGTCTCGGCCGCCGGCGCCGCCCTCGCCAACACCGTGACCTGCTCCCGCACCGCAAAGACCCTATCCGGCGTCCCGGACGTCACGGCGGGCACCACCTCCTTCTCGGCCATCGACTTCTCCAAGTCGAAGCAGTCGACCCTGGCCTTCGCCCTCGACAAGTTCGCCACCGCCAGCCCGCTGGCCGGCAACGACCTGAAGAAGTTCCAGAACGAGCTCGACGTGTACGTCGCCACCGAGGTGGGGATCCGCAGCGTCGGCGGCAACCTGGCCATCAAGGTGCCCAAGTTCTTCCTCGAGTTCCAGGTGTCGCGCATCCGCGTCGCGCAGGGCGACACGCCCAAGGAGCCCGGCCTGCAGGTCGACCACCTGCGGGACAAGGTGCTCAAGAACGCGGCGAACCAGGACAAGGCGCTGCTGGACCAGGTCAGGCAGCTAGCTACCGTTCTGGCCTGATGGTCTTTTCCTCTGCTTTCGATTCGACTCTAGGAGCGTTTGTTTTCTTGGATGTGGTTGTGCGAGCAGGCTGTGACGTTGCTCGAACAAGGGAGAGGTGAGATAATAACACATAAATGTTGGTTGAAATAGTTGAATGGAGTTGATCATGAAATGTAACTGAACTAGCGATGTACATGGTGTTTTGTGAAATCGTGAATTATGTCCTATCGTGAGAATAAGAGAGGAGAAAAGAGGAGCCTCAGCTATTCAGAGAGCCGCTGAAGACAGGGGGAAGGGATTCGAAAAGGACGGTCCAAACGCCAATGTCAAAACTCCCAGGCAAGTTTCTCCCAGATCATAAATGCGCCAGTCCCAATGATATACATGCATACCGAAAATAATACATCTCAACTCATACACGAAAACCTCCACTTTTTGATCCTCTTCAGTTGCCGCCCTTGCTGGCCCGCCACTTGGCAAACTCCTCCGAGGGGTTCTCGCGCGCGGCACCGCCCGACGCTCTCCACCAGACGTCGCCTCCCCAGCGCATCAGGCGCTCGGCAGCGCCCGTGACGGTCATGGCGGGGCGGACGTCGAGGTAGAAGACGGGCTCGCCGTGGGCGTCGGCCTCGCCGCTGTAAAAGTCGATCACGTAGCGGACCTGCTTCTGCTGGCCGTTGTAGTTGCGGGTGACGTACCAGTCGTGCCGGTCGAAGGGAGGCGGAGTGCTGGCGGTCGCCCAAGGTTAGTTTCGCAAGCACACTGCAAGAAGGGGTCGGAATCCAATACTCACCCGTACTTGGCGGGATACAGCCGGGCCAGCAGCTGCACAAACGCCGCCTTGGGCGTCATGTCGCCCGGCCTGCCCTGGAACCGCTCCAGCGTGGGCGCCACCTCGCTGCCCTCACGCAGCTCCATCCTGGCCGCCAGCAGGTCGGCGTTCTCCTCGCCCTTCTTGGAGATCTCCCAGCCGCGGGCCAGGCCGCGCCCGAACCGCTTCTCCCAGTCGACGATCTCGTTCCAGGCGCCCTCGTTGAGGAAGTTGTGCACGGCGACCATGCTCTCGACGGCCGTGGCGTCGGTGTCGGTGTGGCCCTTGCGCAGCAGCGCGTTGTACATCTGCTGCGGCGAGGGGTACTCCCAGGTGCCGTCGCCGTCGCCGCGCGGGATCGTCGAGCAGTCGCGGTCCGTGGGCAGGGCGACCTGCTGGCCGGCCGCGGGCTTCTGGGACAGGTCGCGGAACATGAAGTTGAGCGGGTTGAGGCTGGCGACCGAGTTTCGCTCGGCTTCCGTGGGTGCGCTGCCACTGCTGTTCCCGTGGGCGACGGGGCAGGCGGACGGAGGTTTTGATGACTTGTGGTTTACGGGGCATGATGACGGAGGAGAGGAGGCGGCGGAGTCGGTCGGGCGCTTCATGAAGCCCTTGAAGGAGGAAGGGTCGGCATTGTGCATGGGACAGCCGGCCTGGAATTGTTGTTAGTGGCACTCGGAGTGGTCAAGGGCAGGGAGAGACAAACAGGAGGCTTTGCGCCAGAGTCGCCATGGCCGACAGCAGGATGTGAAGGGGGGAGCTGGGTCGCGGGAGCGTCTGCCCAGAACCAGCCCATGGTGAGTGTGTGAATGAAGGAGAGGAAGAAGTAGTTGGGAACTGTCGCTGTACGGTAGAGAACCCAAACTTTCTGATGTATTGTGGTTATGCCGGGGTTGTAAGTATCGCAGGCGTGGTAATGAGGATTGCAGAGTCTACCAGTCGTCGATTGTCTCCAACGGCAGAGATTAGAATTTAGGTGCTGGCCGATAAGAAATCTTTTATAGGCCGACTCAGTAGTAGAACCTGGCGGGTGTAGGTTACGGTTGATCAAGCGCTAACAGCCTGTTCAGGGCTCACCACCTATAAATCGTACGTCAATCATTCACCCCCCGTGAACGCTTCATTGTTGTTATGGTTGACAAAGGCCACTAGGGCCAACAAAAAAGGAGCAAGTTTCAACTTTTTTTATTGAACTCTCGACCTCAATCTTTATTTATTCTACAGATCTATCCCTTTGACGGCCGCAACAACTGCAGTCATGTGGATACCGGTGATCTTCAGCTAATCAGAGTAGCAGACACAGGTGACTGCAGTTGAGGCCATCAAAGGGATAATTCTACAAACATTCACTTTGACTACGAGGGTATTCACAGGAGGTTGATTTGGGGAGCTTGCAGGAGCTGTTAATGCTGTTAATGCTGTTAATATTGTAATGTTGTTACGAGTTGGGCTCTGTCAAGGGTGAACAGGCTGTTAATGGTTGATCAAGGGTAACCACCATCCGTGGGGTCCTACTATGGCTGTCTTCGGAGGATCACGGATTGCGTTTTCAGTGGATCTGTGTCCCGGACCCGCCCGGGAGGCACGCCGCCACTGGTTACAGTGTACTGGTTCCCCTAATTTGCCCCCCTGAGAGTTCCTAAGGTGCCCTGGAGACAGGCGCTGGCGGATTACCTAATTGCGCATGTGTCGCGTTTTCATGTGTCAATTCGACGACGTCACCTCCCGCCTCAGCCCGATCCCCACGCGCGACAGAGCAACAGTGGCCTCGCCAGACCTCCTCCAAGCTGCCCACTCGGCGATGAGGGACCAATTCCATGCTGAAATCCATCTGGACGATGCATAGTCAAAGCAGCACCTTCCCCTATCTTGTCTGACCCTCTCTCACCCTGCCGGCGCAATGAGCACGGCCACTTTCACCGGCCGTTGCCTCCGGACTGCCTTCCCCCGATCGGCTCCGATACCGCGGCACACCACGTCTGGCCTCCGCTGGACTTCCTTTCGCTACTTCTCGTTTACCTATAGACCGAAGCCCTCCTTCCGATCAATACCTAGACCGAATCGTGGCGGCAGACGGACACTGCTGGCTGCGGCGCAAGTCTCCGCGCTGGGGACTGCTGCCTTTGTGGAATTGTCAGAAGACAATGGCGATGGAGGAGATGCTACTGGAGAGCAGCGCATGCTGCATGCGTCGAGGAAGGAGATTGCCAAGGAGGTGAAAGACGAGGATACGGGGCTGACGAGACTGAGGCGCAAGCTGGTCCTGTTCCTGGACCTCTACATCTGGGAGCCCATCTGCACTGGGGTGCGCTTCCTGCAGCTGGTGGTCATTTTCGTGCCAGTACTTGCCACAGTGCCAGCAATATGGTTCGGGAGGAGGAGGCCTGATCGCGACAATGAGAGGACAGGCACATTGTGGTGGTATGGCTTCTTGGTCAAGAGCATGGAAAGAGCCGGCCCGGCTTTCATCAAGGTGAGTCTCAATAATGCTGTACACACGAATGCATCTACTGTTTTCTAACATCACTCTCTACTACAGCTAGGGCAATGGGCTGCCTCAAGATCCGACATCTTCCCCAACGAGATGTGCGACATCATGTCCAAGCTGCACTCCAACGCCCCTGCTCACTCCCTACACGCAACAAAGCGCATTGTCCGGGCTGCCTTTGACGGCCGCAAATTCGAGGACATCTTCGAGGAGTTTGATGAAACGCCCTTGGGCGTCGGCGCCATAGCACAAGTGTACAAGGCAAAGCTGAAGCCCGATCTCGCGGCGCCAGGCGACGTCGACGTCCTCGATATGCCGCCATCGCCCCTGAGGAAGAATGTTAGGAAGAACGTCGAATCGGTCCTCAAGAGCACCCCCAAGCGCGTCCCCTCCAACTACGTCGCCGTCAAGGTGCTCCACCCGGGCGTCGAGCGCACCGTCCGCCGAGACCTGCGCATCATGTGGTTCTTCGCCTCGGTTCTCAACGCCATCCCGAGCATCGAGTGGCTGTCGCTGCCAGACGAGGTGACCCAGTTCGGCCAGATGATGAAGCTGCAGCTGGACCTCCGCATCGAGGCCGCGAACCTCACCATCTTCCGCAAGAACTTCAAGGACCGTACGACGGCCTGGTTCCCCTTCCCCTACACCGAGTTCACCACGCGCAACGTCCTCGTCGAGGAGTTCGCGCAGGGCATCCCCCTGGCGGACTTTATGGAGAACGGCGGCGGCGTCTTCCAGCACGACATCTCCAAGGAGGGCCTCGATGCCTTCCTGCGCATGCTGCTGCTCGACAACTTTGTCCACGCCGACCTGCACCCCGGCAACATCATGGTGCGCTTCTACCAGGCCGAGCAGCCCAACATCCCCAGCCTGCCCCTGCGCAAGCCGTCCGAGAAGCCGCACCCGCAGCACCAGCCCGACGTCACCGAGCAGGTCCTGGCCCGCCTGCGGCCCATCCGCAACAAGCAGGACACCAAGGCCTGGGAGGCCGAGCTCAAGAAGATCGACGAGGAGGGCTTCCGCCCGCAGCTCATCTTTATCGACACGGGGCTCGTGACCGAGCTCAACGGCGCCAACCGCCGCAACTTCCTCGATCTCTTCCGCGCCGTCGCCGAGTTCGACGGCTACAAGGCCGGCCACCTCATGTGCGAGCGCTGCCGGCAGCCCGAGGCCGTGCTCGACGAGGAGGTCTTCGCGCTCAAGATGCAGCACCTCGTGCTCTCGGTCAAGAGCAGCACCCTCGCGCTCGGCAACGTCAAGATTGGCGACATCCTGCAGCAGGTGCTGGCCATGGTGCGCCACCACCACGTCCGCCTCGAGGGCGACTTTGTCAACGTCGTCATCAGCATCCTGCTGCTCGAGGGCATCGGCCGCAGCCTCGACCCGGACGTCGACCTGCTGAGCTCGTCGCTGCCCATCCTCCGGCAGCTGAGCGCGCAGAGCGGCGCCGAGATGGCCAAGGCGGGCGACTTCTCGATGGTGATGGTGTGGATGGGCTTGGAGGCGAGGAGGTTCATGCAGGCTAGCATTGAGGATGTGAGTCTTCTCTCCCCGATTTCCTTGAGATGATATGTGCTAACCTTTTGTGTGACACAACCAGGTTGAGAGATGCGTCAAGTATGATTTGCTGTCGCCGAATGTGTAATTGTACGAGTACGAGTGGCTGTGGGATCAAAAGCATGGTTAGAATAGAGGGTGTATGTGCATATGATAGGCTGGTGGTGGCGTTCATCGGACGTGGTTTCGTAGCATGTAATGATAGACAGACAACTGTTCTTGACGCCGGGGAGTGGACTTCTCCGCACTGATGCTCGATTCGTTGGTTACTGTGCGGTCATGCACAGCCCTCGCTGCCTGATGTTGATTGGATTCGGCTGTCTCGACCGGTGCGTGGCCCGTCAACTTCCACCCTACATCCTCCACCCTGCCAATAGGCATCGCTACCTTATGTGCCAACAGGCAGCTCAATGTGCAGAAAGCTGCATATCTGCTGCAGGCTGGCAACTCCCACCCTATACGCCCTGTTTGTACGACATGTAGCTTCACGGTATCTCTAGCCTCGGTGGTACTTGCGACTTGCTGCGGTTCTCACTCCTGGTTCGAGTCAAGCAGAAATGTAGCCAAAGCCCTTTGGTCATTTCCACTCAACTTCCAAACCATTCTGCAACCATATTCCTGGCCCTCCTCTTTGAGTTACCGTTCCCCACCAAAGTACTAGACAATGGCACAGTACACACCACAGTACCTCAACAACATCCAGCTATATAGTCATGTGAATCATGATGGGGATCAGGTCCTCGACCCTCATCTGTTCATTGGTCAAGGCGATTACCTACAGGCTACAGTCTCACCTGCTTTTGGGCAAACCTCCGACCTCGGCAACCTGCCTTTGGTTGCCTCCCCTCAACGGTAATCGCGGCTCCTTTTTTTTTTTTTCCACTGACAGCCTTCGAGTGACTTACTCCCAACGGGATCCCACCTTCTTTCCTCCTTTCGCAAAGTTAATTCCCATGAGTCTCTTGTTCTGTGCCAAGCCTGCGGGTATGGTTGCAAAGGACATTCGCAACTCGCTGCGCATGGAAAAGCCACGCGGCATGAACCATATGTCTGCGACATTCCAGGTTGTGGGAAAGTTCTGTCCCGCCGAGACGCGCTCACTCGCCACGTGAAAAGCCACTCCAATGACGGGGAGCATGTCTGCTATATCTGTGAGAAGCACCGAGCCTTCTACCGACACGATCACCTCACCCAGCACTTTCGACACTTTCACAAGTTTGAGGACCAGAACTTGGCCCCGTTCAGAAAGCGACGCGGTGGCCAGGCTAGCAGCTCGGCTCGCGCTGTAGACCTCGCTCCTTTCTTCGAGGCTGCATCCTCCGATACTCCACGACGACAGGTGAATATCAATGCGTTCAACCAACCCATGGACTGGCCCCACGTTCTTGACGACGATGCCACTCCACTTCATATCAAGTACCCGGAGTTCTACTGACTCCGGTATCCCCAATGAACAGGGCATTTCCGTGGACAATACTATACTCTGTTTGGTTTGGTTAAATTTTACGAAGTTTGAACTCAGATTGACAAATACTATTTTCTTATCCTCCAATTCCTCTGTGCAATTGTGAAGGCTCCATGTTCGCTTGGTCAGTAATACCAACATTCAATCTTTATGATAGCTCAGAGGTAGCACTTGAGGATTGGGACTCTCCTTGCGCTTAATTGCTATATTTGCTGAGCTGCAACTGGCCATCCCCCAAGAGAGAGCAGCTGACTATCCGCGATTATAATAGTGGAGAGTCTTGATTTCCTGCATCAGATCTCTCCTCTTTGCCTCGCAGCAATACTCGTCGGGTGGTTTACCCGCGCCCTCAGCAATCTCTCCAACTGCCAATCTCCAGCCTTCACGTCCTCATACTTGGCCGTCTCTCCAGGTGCGAGACAAGTGGAGACCGTCTTGATCATCACGTCTTGGCTCGGAGAAAAGAAATACGCAAGACTGTACCGCTCCCTGCCGCTGATGTTGCGTACCCGGTGGACAGTGCTCACGAACTTGTCGTTTGTCGCCCGCTCCAAGAAGTCGCCCACGTTCACTACCAGGCTGCCTTCCACCGGCGGCGCTGGCACCCAGTGCCCGTTTGCATTCAGGACCTCGAGCGCTGGCGTGTCGGTCAGCTGGTTGACTAGCGTGATCCACGAATAATCTGCGTGCGCGCCGATGCCGATGGCGTCGTCGGCGGCAGTAGGTTGGGGCGGGTAGTGCAGGGCGCGAAGGCCGGCCATCGGGAAGGAAGTCATGTGGTCGAAGTAGTCCTCGGGCAAGTCGAGCGCAAGCGCGATGATGCGGAGCAGGGTGGAAGCAAAGTTCTGAGCGGCAGCACGATACTCGTAGATGGTGCTGCGGAACGTCGCCGGGTTCTCGGGCCATTGGTTCAGGGGCGGAGGCGGATATGTGGACAGGTCTAGGTCTGGCGGCGCGTTCTGCTCGGGGTCATACGGGTCATCGGCGATATTGAATGCTTCTTTCAGATCGCCAGGAGTTCGTTCATCGAGCCGGGTCTCGAGATAGCCTTCGTATCCCTTGATCACAGGCGACTTGTTTATGTGGATCTTCATCTTCTCCTCGTGCGGCAGCCCAAAGAACTCCTTGATGACGCTCGTTGTCCGATCCTGCAGATCCTTGTTGATTCCATGGTTAATGGCATACAGAAAGCCGACTTTGGTAAACGCTTCATAGACTTCTCTGGCGACTGCGCGTCGCTCGTCAATATCCAATGAGGTTGCGTTCTGAAAGTCCACGGTTGGGATGCTTTCGAAAGTCGGCTTGAGGTCACTTCCACTGAGAACGTAACGCTTCTGTGCTCCCTTGCCAGCGTGGAAGATAACTTCCTTTGGCTCGCTTTCAACGAGTGCTCCTGGAGCCATCTTGGGTTGAATACTGTCAATAGGTTAATACGTTGATGCTCAACTTCACAATTCAACTCGCCGATCAAGGTGTCCACGTCTGTGATGACCCCGGTTTTGACAGCCACCGGATATTTGAAGGGAATACCTCGTCGGGTGTAGGATTCCGGCCATTTGCGGGGACATGACTAGACCGGATGGTATCGACCCCCGAGATAACCACCAGGCCTCCAAGATAAGACGCCTCAGATTACCAGATAGTCTAGATAACAGGGGTAGATAGGTTGTCGGAAATGATAAGCTACGCCGGGACGGCCAAGCATGCGGCGTATACCGATCCTGGTCGGTGGTTTGCCGACAGACATAAGCGGCTACTCGATAAAGGATGGCATGGCCCCGGGCCCCGTTCACGTCGGAGTTCATATCTCAGCTCGACTGACCTCTCTAGAGTCTACTTTGCCAGGTCCAATTCAGACAGAAGATCATGGAACAGAGGCTCAAGTCCATCAAAGCGGCCTTTGCAAGCAAAGAGGCATTCTTGGCCGCGATCGAGACCAAGGAGTCTGCTGAAGGGAGGCTCTCGAATCGAAATCCATGGACAAATGAAGATCTGGATATCAGTCCGAGAAGCCACTGGACGTGGGCTTGGTGGGACTATGCTGCATTCTGGTGGTCCTATGGTGAGAGCGGCGTTGCCACATCATGAAGACGGGAATACTAATATGATCAAGGCTTCTCAACCGGTGTATGGACAGCCGGTTCGTCGCTTGTCTCTCTGGGATTGACCTGGTGGCAAGCCATCATTTGCATCTTTGTGTCTCACTTCCTCGGGGCCGTGGGCATGGTGATGCACTCGCGATCCTCGGCGACGTATCATTTTGGCTTTCCGGTTGCTTGCAGAATTCCCTGGGGATTGTATGGCGGCTACTTCCCGGTGTTTACACGAGTGCTCGTCGGAACTATCTGGGTCGGCGTACAGCTGATTCAAGGTGGCTACTTCACCGCTGTTCTACTCAGTGCGATCTTTGGGACGTCGTTCTCCCATATGAAGAACTCTATCCCCGCCAGTCAATACATCACAACCCAGCAAGTGATTGGTTTGATCATCTTCTGGTAAGCACTGGATTGCTACGGACTCAACCCTTCCGAGCCCAACTGACCAGGTCTCCGATAGGATCACGACACTGCCACTACTAAGCGTACCGATCCCCAAAGTGAGGGTGCTTTTCACCATCAAGTCAATCGTCTTGCCGCCGATCGTCATTGGTTTATTCGTATTCTGCATGCTGCAGGCGAAGAACTCTGGGAGCTCCGCTGGCGCCTTTGACAAGTCCGGCACCCTTTCGGGATCGACGCTGGCATGGGCCATGCTGGGCGGCATCAACTCCGTCATGGGCAAGACGAGCACGAGTATTGTGAACCAGCCCGACTTGGCTCGCTATGCCCGCAACAAGACTGCTCCCTCGTGGTCGCAGCTGATTGCCCTTCCAATCGGCAATACCCTGTGTGCAACTCTCGGCATCTTTGGAGCCAGTGCGATTCGCGCCGGCTGGGGCCAACTGATCTGGAACCCTTGGGATCTTTGCCTAGCTATTCTGGAGCGTTATCCCACCCATGGCGCCAGAGCAGGAGTTGCGGTCGTATCTCTTGGATTCATCTTCTCAATCATTGGGTCCAACCTCGGGTGAGTCTCGTGAACGGTTGATACTTTGGAGCGATTCACGCTGACAGATAGCAGTGCGAACGTCATTCCATGGGGTGCCGATACTACGGTCTTGCTTCCGCGGTTCATCAACATCAAGCGGGGAATGTACATCTCGTACATCTTGGGCATCATCATCTGTCCCTGGAGGATTCTCAAGAGTGCCACAAGCTTTCTCCAGTTTCTTGGCGGCTATTCCATCTTCCTGGGCCCTTTTGTCGGCATCTTCTTGACGGATTACCTGGTCTGCCGCAAGGGAAACATCTTCATCCCCGATCTGTACAGCCCCGAGGGTAGGTACTGGTACAGGCTGGGCATCAACTGGAGAGCTGCTGTCGCTTATGTTGTTGCTGTCGTACTGCCAATCCCTGGCTTCATGCGGACTTTCGGAGGGAACGTTCCGGTGGAATGGCTGCACATTTACCAGGTTGGGTGGCTCCTTACATGCATTTTGAGCAGTGTGGTGTACTGGTTACTCTGCTTTGTTGGAAACTTTGCAGTACAGGAAAAGAGCATGGGATTCGAGGCTATCAGCCAGGAGCAGGTGGACCGATGGCTGGATACCCCAGCCGCCGAGGAGGTGTTGGTGAAGCCCGAGGAGAAAGTCTAGACGGTCATAGCTATCATTCAGATTTGTTTGCCAATTTATGGCTAACCCCTTCATCTACCGTTTCGGGCCTCCTCTCCACAGCTGTTTCTCAGATCTATGGTTGAATCACGCAGCCATCTTGTCTTTCAGCACACGTAGGGCCTGCAAAAACAGTGTCAATGTTAACATTTGGCGACGTGGCCGTCATGGTCAAGCTGCAGGCTGCACTGTGATCCGCTGTTCCGATGCTATCGCGCACGAAGCCAGCATTGAGAGCGAGCTCTTTGGTGGCGCGGGAGACACTGGAAGCCGAAGCCAATGCGCTGGCAACATGACTGTACGTTTAATTCACAATTCGCCCAGTAGAAAGCCGATGCAGGGATGAACTGCTTGTCTCCATCTCTGATAGGCTACCTGCCATGCATCACCCCTTCCACCTTACACCCTATGCACCGCTCGGCTTGGCACCTAATATGCACATTTGGGCTTCCTCAGTGGCGGTATCAGAAAGTATTGCCAAAGTACATCCGTAGCTATTGTCCAAGTACGTTGGAGAGATCCCCCCAGCTCATCGACGGCGAACATGAAATGTATGGCCTAAGCCCACCCCTGGAAAGCACATGCGACCTCACGCATTGCACGCAATCAGCCTACCTTTATCGCTTCGCACAACTCAAGGATTCAGCCTGATGACAAGTCGAATGATGGCGGGATACCTCCAGCAGCCCGAGCAGTACATCGGCTTTGTGCCGACTGTCAACAATGCTGCCACGAACGCTACCCTCCCGGCACCTTCTGGCCTTGCCAACCCGCTTGGCGAGGTGTATCCGGAGCTGGTCAATGATCCACCTGGGCACATGCAGGCATTCCATGACCTGCACGCCCGGTAAGTTTTTTTTTTTTTCCCGGTCGCTAATAGTCAAGGTAGATCTAAGTGCATTGCGTGCGGGGCTGGATTTGACAACAACCACCAACTGGCCCAGCACGGCACGGCGGAGGGCCACCATCCTTACGCCTGCATCTGCAGACGCACCTTCGGCCGCCTGGACTCTCTTCGACGGCATGTCAATAGCCTCAGCTCGAATTCTGGCTATGAATGCGACTATTGCTCGAAGCACGACGGCAACAATGCTTTCGCTCGACTGGACAATCTCAAGCAGCACCTCAAGGCCTATCACCGATTCGAAGACAAATTCCTGGATACCATTCGCCAGCGCGGTGCCCGCCAGATCTCGGTCCAGGCTGAGACCCCCTCTCAGGCCTCTGCTGCTTGGCCCATGGTTTCCCCGAACCCCCCTGTTGTATTCGGACAGAGCTTCATGCCCGGTATGAGTTTCAATGCTGGTCAGGATGTCATGTACGTCGCTGGAACAGGTCAGGACTTCAACCCTGTCCAGGGCGTTGGCCCTTTCCTTGACTTTGGCAATGGGCAGGTAGATGCAGTTCTTCCGGCTGAACTTGATCCTCAGCTTGGCTCGGCTACTGGGTGCACCTTTGATCTGCTCAATTTCAACAACTAGTTCTAGATAGTTGCATGGCTCCTGATTAGGGTATCACGAAGTTTCGTCGATTGGCTTGAACGATCTGGAGGTATGATTTATTTCGAAGTCTAGCTTTTCCTATACCAAATGTCCGTTCTTTATCAGATAGTTTCTCGTCCTCGTTATGATTTATGTATCGTCCCTCACACTGGGTCAGTCCTAAGATTGTTCTGTTGGTGACTTGCCTTTTGGCAGTGATGTGACATGAATCATGCCGTGTATTGACAAACTACGAATGCAATCAATGAACGCTGATCAGGCTAGATGTGACGTAGATACGCGCGCACATCTCCCCTAAACGTGTGCTGACCCCATGCCAATTACTCAAATGGCCAGGGTACGTATCAAATATCCTTTCTGTTCATACCGTGATTGACACGTAAATGTGGAATTGTGGTCACCACACTTCAGGGGATATAAATAAGACGGCTGAACCCAGCTTCGTATGGCACATGTGAGGGCCGCCTGGGGCAGTGATCAGTACCTGCCCTGGGTCCCTCTCTCGGCCCGGCCCACGAACGGAGCCACATGGAGGACCGAAGCGTATTATGGACTCTGGTATTGGTCCGTCCAGAAAGTGACAGCCAACGCCAAGGAGGGCAGTGTTGCAAGAAAGGTATGCTGGCTGTGGCATTGGCGCCATAATAATTGGGGGCGAAATTGCGACCTCAGAGCCTCAGCCTTATGAAGCACTTTCAGCTTGGTTTGTACACATATCGCTGTAAATCGCCGCCTGGTCATGGCAACGTGCCTCGCTCACAGTCCTAAGTTTCTTAAGCAGCAACTCCTGCGGCTTCTCTTTGGCTGCCAGGTCCTTTCCGTTCTGCAAGAAGGCCATGGAGTACAGAAGAGATGATTCATACTATCAACATCGCCCAAGAGAGCATCGCCCAAGACAGCATCGCCATAAGAACCGGCGCAAGTACCGCTACGACAATGAGGAATCCAGTTGCGAGTTCCCCCGTTTTCCCAACCAGCGGTGGGGCAACTCTATCTGGATCGGCATCACAGTGTCTGCTACACTTTTTTTCTGGCAGCCTTTGGAGAATGCTTACGAATCTGATCCTGACCCTCAAATTCATCAAGATGGACAACACGGGTTTCGCACCCGGGGATCTCAACTTCAGCCTATTCAAGAACAGCCGATTTGCAAACTGCTCGTCTCTGGTTCCCGATCTGGCCAACTGTACTACCATAATGGAAATCATAAATCTCACAGTTTATGACTATGCTTGGTGTACAATCGCGAGCTGTTTCAACGGATATCAGGTCATCCTTACATCTGCAAGGTCAGATGACAGTACCCCTCTTGCAACGCGATTCATGTTGGCCTGAGCACGTGGAGGTTCTATCTGGATGTAGATTCAGGCTCTACGGTGTTGTGGGTGGTAAAATCATGGTTCAATGCTTAGGCACTGGAATATTGAGCATTGTATTGAAGGAGCCTCAATAACATAGCCTACATCACACAGTACATCCGTACGTAGAACACCAAGTGTACCCTAGATTCTCTGTACGGCTTATCTTGTTAGACCTCTGTTTGAGACCCAGAGAAGCTCTTCAGTACAAATTAGAATCACCCTCGCAGAACAGCTTTGCCATCATGATCAACTTTACCCATTAAACTCCTTAGCTTTTATGCTGACCGTACACAAAAAGTTCCTACAGGCCAAGCTCTAGTGCAGGGCGTGATCTAGCTTACTTAAAGTCCAGGGATAGAGATCGTATCATATGTAACCAGACCATGCATGAGTAGTTTTGTGTCAGACGTGGAACGCTAAGCTCTGGAGGCCGTTCGCAGACTTGCCTGCATAGTCGTCATTTCATCTGTTTGATGGACTCGCGGTATGACCTAAATCAGCCACTATCAGGCTTGAGATTTAAAGACCAAGAACTCCGGGATGCTGTGAGGCTCGGCCCACTCCCTATCCTTCCCCTGCAGCTCCTTCATCGCCTCAAGGGACTTCTCCACCGTCTCACAGCCGCCTACATCTTTGATCGCCCCCAACAGAGTCCTGCCCATGCGGAACGCTCCGGTGTTCCAGATCTCCCCCGTAATCGTGTTCTGCTCGCTCGCCAGCGCCATGATGGCCGGTACGTTCGACTCGCCCGTGTACGTCGCCTTGAACCACGCGAGCTGCTCCGGCGGCAGGTCCTTCGACACGTCGGCCACCATGCGCGAGTACGCCGACGGCCCTACGGTGTTGACGAGGATGCCGTGCGCGGCGCCCTCGAGGGCGAGCGTGCGCGTCACGCCGAGCATGGCCCCGCGCGCCATGACGTACCCGGCGCTCGCGGGCATGCCGAACACCGAGTCGGACGTGAAGTTGACGACGCGCCCGTACCCCTGCCGCTGCATGTGCGGCCACGCCGCGTGGCACAGGGCGTAGGCGCCGAGCGCGTTGACCTCGAACAGCGCCCGCACTTGCTCGGGCGTCTGCGTCTCAACGGGCCCGTAGCAGATGATGCCGGCGTTGTTGATGATGGCGTCGACGCGGCCGAAGCGCGAGACGGCGGCGTCGACGATCTTGGCGGCATCGGTACCGACGTTGTGCGTGTCCGCAATGGCCGACAGGCCTTCGCCCGTGATCTTGGCCACGAGCTCCTCAACCGGTGCAGCGGAGGCGCCCTCGCCGCCTGGGGAGCAGCCCAGGTCGTTGGCGACGACGTTGGCCCCGGCGCGGGCGAGGGCAAGGCAAAGCGGCGCGCCGATGCTGCCTGCCGCACCGGTGACGATGACCGTTCTGTTGGCGAAGGAGCGAGGAGCTGCTGCTGGGGTTGCGGTCATGTTGGGAGGACCAGCGCTTGCTGAGAGGTGGATATGTAGTGGAAATGAAAGACTCTTTTGGTTTATGCTGGCTGGTGTGATCACACAAAGTTGGGTTACAACCCATTTATCCCTGCCCATTATTGGTTAGGGAGCAATGCCACGCTGCATCGCCTCTGGGTCCTTGGTGGCTTCCGGGTCCGGGTCCGGCCCCGTACGTTCGGACCGAATGTCTCTACCCCGCGATTTCTTTTAACATCTCGACCCAACTGTAAAACGGGGACTCGTAGCTGCTTCACTGCGTTCGTGAAACGTCTCAAAAGGTAGAGAAATGGATGGTTTGGGAAGAGAAGACACTGAAGGGATAGGGAGAATCAGAACCACAATCGATTTGATACCGGGGTAGTCTGCAAGTCAACAATACAACTGCTGGACTACCCCTAGTTGCCTCGCTACTGTATGGAAAGACCATCGATGTGTTATCGCAGTCTAGGAATAATCATAGGCTCGCTACCTCTTGGCACCAGGTCTGTCTTCAACATTGACATTCCACGCTTTTCAAGTGCTCGCCCCAATTCAATTCCCATCCCCTGTTCCGCCTACTTTTCAGAGTCCTTTGGCTGTCCATCTAGCACAGCTCGCAAACCAGTGATCGAACTCTTGATGAAGTCGTCCATAACAGGCCGGACAATGGCCATTCCATCGTCGTCGATGTCCTCGGCATCGGCCGTCCACACCAGGCGCGTTTTCCCGCCCTGTCCATCCAGCCGAATCGTGCCGAAGAACCCCTTCATTGGAAACGGCGTCGGATCCAGGATGCGGTAGCTGATCGTGTGCGTTGCGTTGTCGAGTATGGCCAGCTTTTCTTGAATCGACATGCCTGATCTGATGACGGTCCTGACGGTCCCTATTCCCTTGCCTTCGACTGTGCAAGTCGAGACCGAGGGTATCCAAGTTGCCACGCCGCCGAAGTCCGATACGGTGGACCAGACCTTGTCCACGTCATGGTCAAGGACTTGGGTTTCTCTGTGAACCAGCGTTCGGGACATTGTAGCAGTTTACGCAGTTTGTGCTTGGAGGCTCCAGATTCTGTTTCGATGCTCGACACTGAGACGACTTTTATACTGCGGTATTATGTGGCTGTAAATCTCCGAAGTCAACCCCGGATCTCCACCTCCATCTTCTCCATCTTGAGTGGGGGGTCCGAAGAGTGCCCACATGCCATACTCCGGGGTTGGAGGCTCGGGCCGAAATGAAGAACCAGTAGTGTATTCTTAATTAGTCGTTCAATATCTCCCCAGGACTAGAGACAAGTAAACCGTCAACGCAGGAGCAGACAAGGTAATCAACATAGAATCCGGATAGCCTGTACCTCTGTCCTCTTCATTGAAACCACCACTTTGTCTGTTGCATTTGTTGCCAAGTTCAGAATGGGTTTCATGCGAGCAGTCGGCCTCGCCGTTGGAGCCCTGCTGCTTGCGATCGCAGTCGCTTACTTCCGTGGCTATGGCATGCGGCCAAAGGACTATCCTCCAGGTAGCTGCATGATGTTGAAGAAGATGTATGATGTCATGCTAACATTGGAATGGATTGAAAGGACCGCCCACATTGCCCATCATTGGCAACCTCCACCAGATGCCAATGACAGACCTCCATCTGAAACTGCAAGAGTGGTCCAAGAAATGTATGATTTCAACGACGTGTCCAAGCCTCTGCTGGATCTGGCCGCTGACAGGTTTGTCTAGATGGACCGATCATGTCGATTAAGCTCGGGACTCAAGACATGATCGTGCTCAGCTCGGATCAAATCGTTCGGGAACTTATTGACAAGCGTAGTGGCATCTACTCGGGCCGCATGGATGTCTTTATCCGAGAGTTTGGCGAAGACCTCAATATCTTGATGAAAGAGTATGTCCAGAGCAATTCGGGGAATGACGACACATGACTCTGCTAATGAGAAGCTAGCAATGACGAGGTCTGGCGAAGACAGCGCAAGATGTACCACTTGAGACTCAACGTCAACGTGGCCAATCGGTACATCCCATATCAGGTGAGTAACGTAGCTAGTTCAGTAATTACCCCCAGAGCTAATCGCTGCTCTAGGAGTTCGAGACCACACAGTTACTGCACGACATTCTCAACTTCCCCGAGAACTACCAATTCCACACGAAGCGGTTCACCACCAGCATTGCCTCAACGATCATCTACGGCTGGAGGACAACATCCGTCGATCTTCCTCATGTGAAGAAGATGTCTGAGGTAGACGGCTACCATCACTCACCTAACAAGTTTAGATTATGTAGATTAACAAAATCTAGTGGATCGAAGGGTATGCCGTTGCTGCCGGCCGTCTGCAGCTTATGGACTGGTGGCCAGAGCTCCGCACCATTTTCAGGCACGCACCGTCCTGGATCACGGGTATCAGCAAAGAGATGGAGCGGCTGAGGAACCTTGAAGACGAGCTGTGGATGAGCTTGCTGAACGAGACCAAAGCAAGCATCGAGCATGGATCCCAGAAAGCTAGTAAGATCATCCCGAACCCAAGTGCATCCATCGCAAGATATGGCCTCTGACCCTTCTGGCTGAGTCAGGCTTCTGTACGGATATGGTTCTACACAATGATGTCAAGGCCGACAGTTACCTGAGTGACAAGCAGATGGCCGCTAATGCGGGACATGCCTTTGCTGGTACCACGTAAGTTAATCTGGCTCCGGAAACCGACATCTCATCTGATCGCATGTTAGGGACACAACACTGAACACAACTCTTGCTTTTATCAAGGTAAGATTGTCGGCTTTCCAGACCCACAGTTGAATATCCACGTATTCATGCTTCTCTAGGCTATGATGCTATATCCTCGTATCCAAGCCAAAGCACAAGAAGAAATTGATAGGGTTGTTGGGCCGGAGAGAATGCCGAGCTGGGAAGACTGGGACAACTTGCCTTATATCCGGGCCGTCATGAAGGAAACCCTCCGGTGTCAGTTTATCCCAGACTGTAACTCCATCTTGAAGATTAGGCTGACACTCGTTCAGGGATGCCAACCACGATTCTTGGAGGAATGCCGCATCGGTTGTCCAAGACCGATAATTACGAGGGGTACACCATCCCCTCCAACGCCGGTGTGATGATCAATGTAAGAGTGGCCTATTAATGTGGGAGGTACATGGATTCTAACGACTAGGTGACTGTGGAACTAGGTCTGGGCCATCAACAATGACGAAAGGCGGGCAATAAACCCTCGAGAGTTCGATCCCTCAAGATATGAGGGCGATGACCTCGCAACGGGGGAGTCTGCTGCGCTGGGCGATGCCACAAAGAGAGACCATTTCACATTCGGCGCTGGTAGACGCATCTGCCCTGGGCTGCATGTTGCTGAGCGGTCAATGTTCATCACCATGGCCCGACTTCTGTGGTCCTTCAACATCACCAGGCCCACTGACAGTGAGGGGAACTTTCTGCCGGTGGATCGAGACGCAATCACGCCGGGCTTCATTGTCTCCCCGGTTCCGTTCAAGTAAGATGCCTCGTCAACCCTTCCGGGGATGTTGAATGATCATTTCCGCTGACGGTCCATCCTGCACAGATGCAACTTTGCTCCGCGAGACACAAAGAGGGCGATGATGATCCAGCAGTCGTGGCAAGACTGCCAGCACTTCCTGGACAAGGAGGGCAACTACACAGAGGAGTTCTTTGCCAAAAGCTTTGGGTCGGAGTAGCGAGAGAAGTGTCACCATGTATGGTTGTGCCGTAGCTAGGTTTGTGATGATCTGGCCGGAGTATTGAGAAATCTGTTCAGTCTCAGTAGCATATCTCTTTTTGACACTCTGAGGTTATTTCTCGATACATGTCTGGATAAAACCACGGTTTGAAGTGAAAAAGACGTATCCCATATTGAAGATGTTTAGTCCGCATTCCTGCTAATGGTCACAACATTCACTGATTGCTCATGCAAGCATAACCGGTTTCCACGGATGCTTTTTACATGGTTTTGTGGAGTAATAATCGCATCCTGTCATTTTGAATTGCAGAGACGTCTCTCCGGCCAGAACAGCAGATTATGGTGCCTAACATCGTTTCATAAACGAGTTTCCGCTATACGGTATACGATATACGCGTACAGGTGGGGACGAGATGCAACGCCGAGTGGGACTGAAGGTGCGGGAGTCCAATCAAAACGTTGGCATTCACACAGGCGATTCCATGCTTGTTTTGTCAGGCCTTGTATCGTCAATGACCTCGACAACTTCAGACCACCCTCCCAGTTTGTGTCGTCATGTCATCGTACGGATCTCTGCCAAACTGCTGACTTTCGTCCTGTTATTATTCGCCTCATACGAAACGCCAGTCACTTCCGCGTACGTGACTGAACGCCAGCGATCGTCTTCTCGCAGCTGTTACGTCGCGTCAATGCTGACCGGTGCGTCTCGGAACCATCGGCCGGCAGTCCGTAGGATCCGTGGCGCATGCTTCAATGGAGAACCGTGTCGGGAAGCCGCGCAAGTTTCACAAGAAGTCACGGAACGGGTGCGCAGAGTGCAAGCGGCGGCACGTGAAGTGTGACGAGTGCAAGGTACATAGCGGTTCTCGACAGCCAGCCTCTCACCAACTGACAATCTGATCGTAGCCCCTTTGCGGAGGCTGCCGGATCACGCAGCGCCCATGTTCGTTTGCAACTGGACCGGGACGCTCTACTCCCTACACTTCACCCTCCGTCACATCTCCAGAGCTCCCCAGACCGGATGAAACTCCTTCCACGTCAACGTCTCCAACCTACGATGCCGCCGTCGCAACGAACTACTCCAATGAGCTCTTCACCCTGGAACACCTCGCCGTCTTCCACCATGTCGAACAGAACATGACGGAATGGCTGCGCATCACCAAGAAGATGAAGCCCTTTGCCACCGCATGCATCAACTCGTCGCTGACATGCGCGTACGTCATGAACCAGCTGCTCTCCGTAGGGGCGTTGCACCTGAGCACCACCACCTCCGGAGCGCGCTCCGAGTCTTACAGAGCACTCGCAGCCCAGTTACAGACCCGGGGCCTGGTGCTGTTCAACAACCAGACCAACCCGAGCGAAACCGGCGGCGACGTCGTCTCGAGGTACATCTTCCCCGCGCTGCTCGATGTCGCGGTCCTGATCACGACGCTCCGGGGCCCGCGCGACGAGCCCGGCGTCTTCCTGGACTCGCTGGTCGAGTACTTCCGCCTCCACCGCGGCAGCCGCGTCCTCGGCGACGTCCTGTGGGACGCGCTGCAGGAGTCGGAGCTGCTGCGCGAGTTCCTCGACACGACCAACGAGGACGACGTCGACGAGGAAGGCCAGCCGAGCGAGTGGTGCGCCATCGCGGCCCTGGTCGAGTCCTCGGAGGGACTCAGCGAGAGGGACATCGCCACGTGCAAGGAGACGATGGGCACGCTCGAGTACATCCGCTGCTGGATCCGGAACCCGCAGTCCTGGGGCCTGCACGCGCTGGCCGGCTGGACGGGCATGATGCCGCTCGAGTTCGTCCACCTGCTCCAGCGGCGGACGCCGGAGGCGCTGATCATACTGGCGTACTACGGCGTCATGGTGCACCAGCACCGCGACTGGTGGGTGTTTGGCGACGCGGGCGCGCACATAGTCCGGAGCATCTCGAGCGTCCTGGGCACGTCTTGGAAGAAGTGGCTGGTGCAGCCGCTGGAACTGGTTTCGCTGTCGTAGGTTTTAGGAAGGCCAGGCGTGTGTAGGTGTACTTCATGATCTGAAATGTATCCATATCCTGTTCTTTGCATGTATCTAATAAGCGAGTCTCCTGCGTGCTTTAGCCCTCCGCGTTGGTAACAGAGTTCAAGATGTTTCTAAAGTCTTCAACCACAGACCTTATGTAGTCCAGGTTGATGCGAGCAAGATTGGGACGGCAATACGCCTCAAAGTTGACAGACATTCTCTCACGCGAATCGTCAATTGAGTTCAACAGAGCACAAGCTTGTCTGACCAAGTCGGCGACACGGATGTCTCGCGGTCCGGTTCGACCGAAAGCAGAAGTCTCATGATTGCCAAGGGCCATTCCACTGCCATCCTCAAGATCGGCTCGAGCAACAAGCTCGAAGCAGCCATCTGTGTGCCGAAGAACGCTCAGGATACAGATCAGGTCGGTGCACTTGACTTGGGACACGGGGCACTGCATAATCTTCTGGCATCCCTTGATGATGTCTTCTGTGACTTTGAATACACGATCGGCCTTCTGCTCGGCCAGCGCATCCCTGATCCGGGGGACCAGGAGCACCACGCCAGCCCGGCAGAGACAACTGTCCGTTGGTGTACGCTGGTGTGGTAAGGAGGGCAATGATATATTGGGGGAATCGGGAGACAGCGTCGAGCTTCCAGATGAGCCAATCTCCGGGCTGATACTAGGAGTCGCTGACCGAGCAGACGAATGAAGCGGCTGCTGCTTTGCCGAGTCCGGATGGACCGAGGTTTGTGTATGGCTAATGCTCTTATCCAGTAGAGTCGAGTTTGCACCTAAGGCCTCTGGACTTGAGGCCATGGAGGACTAGGGTTTGGGCTCATTTATCAGCTTGTGCACAGAGAGGGATCGAAATAGAAACGAACCTTGGAATTCTCCACACTTGCTGGTAGGAAGTCGAACCCGCCCGGACCCGACAGGGAAATGCCATTCACCCATTCGGACCATGTCTCGTAAGCCTGTTCGAAATCGACAGAGCTGAAGCCTAGATCGTCTACAACGGCTGTGTCGATGTTCATCGAGAGATCTCCCGCCATGGCCGGAGTCGGAGCACTCCCTATGTCGGTCGGCGTGGACACCGGGATCGCTAGTGTATGTGTGAGTTTCGACGAATGACCAGAGGCAGCTGGACTGCGGTCGGCGAGACTAGATGGTGCGGTGTACCTGCAGTCGATCCCGCGACTCACACAGCGGCCACACTCCGGCATGGCTGCGTTACATTTGACTTTCGCCGTGCGGCAGGCTTGACAGGCTGTTGCCGGACGCCGCATCTGTCGCTTTGCGCTCCCAGACCGCCAATTGAGGAGGTATGTACTGGGGACATCTCGCCTGCGGAACTGGTGTGATCTGCGTGAAGTTGACATACTGATGGATGAGCTGCTGTCGTTAGGTGGTTCAATGTGTCGACGTCCGCATTGAGCAGGTGATACTGTTAGCTAGCACAATCGTAGGTACAGAGTAGAGCGCAGGGTTATCACAGCCGCAAATTACAACCAGGGTTCAGCCTGTTGAAGGCTTAGTTCGGCATGAGAAGAAGGACGATGCAGTTCAACATCACCGCTTTGGAGCGAGCTGTGGGGCTACTGTTGATGGATTTGTCATCAGCGTCATGACCATATCAACTCGATGCCAGCAAAGATCGATCTCAAGTTCAAACCCACACCAAGCTTGTTGGCTTTGTTTGGCAGAGACTTTCCCAAATAAGTGATTTCGTTTACGACCGTGCCATCATGTTGGCTGGTCTGATTGCATTTGATGTGGGGATTTAATACATGCAGGATAGTCAGCTCGAGGTTGGTGATGGTGGTGTTTCGGAAAATTAGTTGCCTATTTAGGAAATAATTCACCGTGGAAGGATATGACCAAGCCGCGTACTCTGCTTGAAACTTGAGGCCGCTGAGCAATCAAAATATGTTAAATCAAGGCCTGTATAAAATGTGATTGAGTCTTTTAGATGGCCGGTCTATGCTGTTCTTCTTTCTTGTCTTGCATTCTCGGACTTCCAAAGCCCTTGACGCTGATGAGGTCCCCAACGTTCTTCTCCACGCCACTGCTCTGACGTCTATAGACTGTCAAACCTCTATTCTCTCTCAAAAATACGTGTCGAACCCCCAAACTGCCCTCAATATGCCACCGATCGAAGACAGGAGTGACGACAGGCCCACTCTGGCAGAACACAGTGTCGTTGTGGATGCTACTCCAGCCCAACCCGCGTCTTCGGCTGGGCATGCTCCAAGAGAGGCAAGGGAGAAGCAAGACATTGCAGATAAAGAGGTTTCCCCTCGAGAAATTCATGGATGGAAATGGGTTTTGGCTACCGTATCGTACGTCCGCTAATCTGCCCAGCTCCAGCGTTCTCATCTGCCAGCAACACTGCACTGCCTTACTCCAGTTCCTTCACATTTAATGCGTTGCCCTGGCTGACTCTTGTCCTACAGTATCTTATCTTCGATCTTTCTCTACGCTCTCGACGCCACAGTGGTTGCCGACATTCAACCAGTCATCGTCAAGGAGTTCAACAGCATCGCCGACCTTTCTTGGCTTAGCAACGCATTCCTACTCACTGCCACTGCCACGAATATGGTATGGGGCCGCATCTACGGCCAGTTCAACTCCAAGTGGTTCTACATCTTCAATGTTGCGCTGTTCGAAGTCGGCTCGGCTCTATGCGGTGCCGCGCCCAACATGTCCGCAATGATCGTCGGGCGTGCGATTTGTGGCATTGGCGGCGCTGGTCTCTATGTCGGCTGCATGACACTCATCGCGGCCACTACAAGCATGCGCGAGCGGCCCCTCTATGTGTCGGGAACTGGCTTCACATGGGGGTTGGGTATCGTCCTAGGCCCAATCATCGGGGGAGCCTTTGACCGCTCCTCGGTCGGCTGGCGGTGGGCGTTCTACATCAACCTCTTCGTCGGAGGGGTCTTTGCGCCGGCCTACGTATTCCTCCTCCCCAGCATCGATCCTCGGCCTGGTGTGCCCTTCAAGAATCGCGCCAGCGAGATGGACTACGTCGGCATCGTGCTGCAGACGGGAGCTTTGACAACCTTCTTTCTGGCCTTGAACTGGGGAGGTATCACGTATCCGTGGAGCTCAGGAACCATCATAGGCCTCTTTGCCGCCTGTGGTGTCCTCTTCCTCCTTTTGGGTATCCAACAAGGCTGGGCTATCTTCGCAACTGTTCAACGTCGCATAATTCCGGTTCACTTCTTTCGTTCTCGTACCATCCTCATTCTCTTCAGCGTTACGGCGGCCTCGGGTGCATCGGCGTTCATCCCGATCTACTTTGTCCCCATATTCTTCCAGTTCACGCGAGGCGACAGTGCCCTCATGGCTGGAGTGCGACTGTTGCCGCTCATCATGGTGATGGTATTCTGTGTATTCGTCAATGGGGTACGTTTCGCCTTGCTTCAGTGTCTTCTGCCGCGGCAGTGCTTCTAATTCATAACGTGGAATAGGCACTTCTCACCAAGCTTGGCTACTACATGCCATGGTACACGCTGGGTGGCTCACTGACTCTGGTGGGGGCAGCGCTCATGTACACCGTCGACCAGGACACTTCAGAGGCTCGGATATACGGATACCTCGTCATCATGGGCGCCGGCACCGGCCTATGGCTACAGGCATCCTTTGCGGTCGCCCAAGCCGTCGTTGAACCTCAAGACATCCCGCTCGCTGTGGGCTTCTGCACTCTGGCTCAGTTCTTGGGTATCACCATCGCGCTTGCGATAGCCAACTCAATCTACCTCAACTACAGCGAGACCAAGATTGCCGAGGTCCTGACCAATGTCCCCAGCTCCGAGATCAAGGCTCTCATGGAGGGCGTGTCAGGTAGCTTTCTGGACACGCTCACTGCCAGCCAGAAAGCTCAGGTCCTGGCTGTCATCGTCAAGGCAATCTCCAACACCTACCTTCTTGTAGTTGCAGGTGCATCTCTTGTGGTTGTTCTGAGCTTCTTCATGAAGAGAGAAAGGCTGTTCGCAAGCACCGGTATTGGGGCAACTTGATCGCTTTGGGGAAGTCACTAGCCAGCCGATGTTGCATCCCGCGACCTGTCACCATGCTTGTATGCTTAAATGGCTGCAGTGTGTTTCTTCTACTCTCTATTCAAGCACCGCTTTCTGAGTGTTATCCACGAAGGGTCTGATACGGGACGGATTTCGGTACTCAAGGAATATTTTGTAGTCCTCCAGAGGCTCAGAGCTACACTCCTTGTTTGTACCATGCTCGAAACAAATTGATCTCATATAGATTATATGTTGGTGTTAGATTAATAGTGCATATATTTATCTACTTCTTTCGTGTTCGAATTGCCATAAAGTCCACAAGATCAAAGAAACTCCGCTTGTATCTCCGCTCCTGGGTCGTTCTGTTGACGAACTGAATGCCAAACTGCGATTCATAAGATCCAAACTCCCAATTGTCGGCAAAGCTCCACGCAAACGCCCCCATCACATGGACGTGATCCTCCCAGATGGCCTTGAGCACCTCACTCATGAATGATAGATAGTACTCGCTTCGCGGTGAGTCATACAGCTGGTCGATCACCGCTCGCTTCGATTCGTCGAACACGGGGAAGCCAAACTCGGTGATCATGACGGGCGTCTTGAAGGTGTTCCACAGGTAGGATAGGTAAGTACGCAGGTACTTCGGCGTGATGTACACGTAGCTCTCGGATCGGTAGCCAATATCCCTAGAAGTCGAGTGTTAGCCTTTCGTCAGAGTGAACAAGGAAGTAATCAATTCCTTACCATCCTGTACTCGTGTTGGTGAACTGCTTGACACAGTAGGGGAACAGTGGATCAGATGAATTGACAGCGCAGGCAGCGATCCCCTGGGGAGGTGGTTCCACAACAGTCGCCGTGTAGGGATCGATACCAAGGAAGTCTGCCGTCCCATTGATGTACTTGAGATCCTCCTCTGTCAACGGGACGTAGTCGGGGATGGTCATCTTGAACGCCTCGGGATAGTCCTTGCCCAGGAAGATGGGGTTGCAGAACGTGGCAAGCTGAAAGTCATTGAAGTGATTCGTGGCGTTGAGGTGGTCGGTATTGTTGGGGTCGCGAGGCACGCCAAAGTTGTCGTTGAACTTGAGGCTGATCTTGCCAGTGCCCTTGATCTCTTCGCGGTAGAAGTGGTACAGGCGGGCGTGGGCCTTAACCACGGCGTCGACGCTCTTGCCGTTTGTGCTGTAGAGCAGCGGCTCATTGAAGGTGTACCATACGGGCACGCGGTCCGCATAGTGCGTCATGACGATCTTGCCGTAGTTGACAAAGGCGTCCTCGAAACCGTCCATCTGGTACCCGCCGTTCACGTAGCCGATGAGCGGACGCTCCTTCAGACTAGTGAGGTTGTTCTTGAATATGGCAAATGGCGTGTCGAAATGGAACAGGGTCACACTGGGGATCATGCCCTTCTGCAAGACGAAGTTGATCAGGTCGTCGTAGTGGTCGAGACCTTGCTTGTTCACAGGCGTCCCCGGGAAAGTGAATGGAAGGATTCGCGTCCAGGCAATGGAAAAGGAATAGTGCTTCACTCCCATCGATGCCAGACGCTCGATGTCCTGCTTGTAGAGATAGTAGTTCTCGTTGGTGACGTAGTCGTTGGCCATCACTCCGGACTGGAACCCGACTTCCATGAGCGTCGGAGCTCTGCCCTCATCGGCGATAGCGCCCTCGATCTGAGATGCCGAACCAGCGACGCCAAACATAAAGTCTTCGGGAAAATTGTAGCAATCCTGAGGCCCGAAATAGTTGGGCGGCGGGAGCACCAGATCGCTCGAAGGTACCGGCGTCGGCTGCACCGTCGTCGAGTAGAGGCCTCTGGTGGTGAAATTGGCAATCTTGGCTACCTCCCACAGAGACGACCAAGCTGCCGGCCCGTATGGGTCGCTGTTGTTTGCAGCCCGTTGCGTCTGGTTGGGATACCAGTTGCCCCAAGTGGTCGTCGTCAAGGACGGGACCAAATGGCTGAGAGACTCGTAGGGAGGCGCGTACGTGGTGGTGCACTCTGGTTGGACTGATGTCGCTGTGCGTACGGTCTCTGTCTGGGTGTAGGAGAACTGGCTGAAGGCGTACGATGGAGACGCGGTTTGTTCCGAACACTGCGATCGCGTGACTGGGCCGTTGGCGGAGATGTAGACCTGCTGAGCCAGCGCGGTGGCGCCGCAGCCTATCAAGACGAGAGCCAACATCGTGACCAAGCTGTCGATGCTATATGGAGGATGCGGTAGTTAGTCCTGGGAAGAAGACGACTCGATCGTGGTCGCTCCAAGAGCTGTCTATCATTCAAGGCATGATCGTCTCTTTTTAAGTGCTTTTCTGGATGGCGTCACAACTCCCCGACAACGATGCACCTTGCTTGATCACGCCTAGCCTCGGCACTTATCAAGCCATCGGCTGAATTCTCGAAGAAGCCGGTGCTCTAGCTTGTAAGCACCTTGATTTCACATCGTGGAGAAAAGCGAGCTAGGAACAATACCACGGAGAATTATGCGGCAGGCGGGGAAGGTTTGCGGGGAACCGGTCGAGAACTAGCCGCCTTCAAAGCCTGGACCGGAGTACAGCCGACGTCATGGCAGAAGTTTACACCCGCTTTTGGTGCGGGAAGCAGACGCGGTGAATCGGACAAAGTGGGAGTTGAGCGGGGGAGCCAATCGGCCCTACAAAACGAACGAGGGGGTCCTGGTAGAAGTGATCGACACCCGCGCCAGGTATTCTCGTGGAAGCGACGAGCTTGTCCTATTAGAGATTAGAAATCGACTGGCCGGACCTACTCCACTGCCTCCTCGCCTTGGGAGCCCGAGAGAGCTACATATGGAGCCAGGAAACCCGAGTGGTGTACGAATTCGGGACATTTGCCTCTGTCGGGTGACTCGGGTGTTTCTTGATCATCAGTTGATGGCCTTTTCGTAACGAATGTTCCGTCGGGTTCCGTGCTGGGAATCTTCTTTTGGAGCCTCACTCGCCTCAGGTCGAAGGTGTGCTAATGGGCTTCTACCTCCGGGAGATGTCTCTGTGAGAATGGGTCGAAAGATAATAGAGCCATATTCCACTGATATGAGTACAGGCCTTCAAGGCCTTTGATACAACAAGAGGTAGGAGAACTTGGCGTGTTTGATTCACAAACTGTACTACGGTCTAAACTCCTAAAGCCACGGCGTTGTATCCGCCGCGAGGTAACTTCAGCACTTTGCGAGTATGCATCTCTCATCCCCCCATCAATCTCTGACAATCAAGTTTGAGGGCAACCTCACCATCGTCCTCAACTTGCCACACAGCGCTCACACCCTCTTTACACATCAGCCTCAACCTTCGCAACCCTACCGACACCAAACCTCCTCTTCCCAGCCTTCCAGATCTCGATGAGCGCAATGTACACCACCAGACACCCGACCACGACGCCCCACTCCCAGGTGATGCTCTCGTGCTTGAAAACGGCCCTGTTGACGACGGGGAGGTAGACGACGGGGAAGGTGATGACGAAGCCGGCGGCCACGGCCCAGAAGAGGAAGCGGTTGCGCCAGACGGTGCGGAACACGGAGAAGGGGCCCTTGTAGATCTCCGGGTGCATGTTGAACAGCGAGCGGGTCAGGTGCTTGACCTCCCACGCCGTGGCGAGCAGCAGGAAGCTCAGCGTCGCGTACGTCGTGGCGCGCGCGCGGAACACGGCGTCGCAGCTCCCGTTCCAGCCAGAGTTGCACCCGCCGCCGAGGTTGCCCGCGAGCGAGCCGCTGCGAAAGGACCGGGGCCCGACGCCGTACGCGACCGAGGTGAAGGACGCGAGGCACAGGGCGCCCATGAAGAAGCCGTAGGCCATCTTGTCCATGATGATCTCGCGCGTGAAGACGCCGACGCGCAGGTCGTGCGGCGGGCGGAGCATGATGTCCGGCTGGGCCTCCTCGAGGCCCAGGCCGAGGGCGAGGAAGGACGAGGTGATCAGGTTGACCCAGAGGATCTCGAGCGGGGACAGGGGGAAGGCGGAGTCGTTCTCCGTGTCCTTGAAGGCGAGGCCGATGAGCAGGAGGACGACCTGGGCGATGTTGGAGACGAGCAGATGGAGAAGGAACTGTGGGATATTTGTGTTAGCGATGAACTGGTAGATGGAACCATTCACGGCGTGTTCACTCACCTTCTGGATATTGTCGAACAAGCGTCTCCCTTCCTCGACAGCCTTGACGATGGAAGCAAAGTTGTCATCAGTAAGGACCATATCGGCAGCCTCCTTGGCGACATCGCTGCCGCCGAGACCCATTGCGATACCGACATCCGACTTCTTCAGCGCGGGGGAGTCATTGACACCATCGCCCGTCATGACGCAGAAGGCGCCGCGGCGGTGCATGGCCTCGACGACGCGGACCTTGGTGGAGGGGCTGCAGCGAGCAATGACCAGCGGTAGACGTTCCATCGAGTCAATGTCGGCGTCGGACAGGATGTCAAAGGCGGAGGCGGGCATAATGGCAACGGCGGCCTCGGCGGTCGACATGTCGCGGTTCAGGATGCCGACCTCATGAGCGATCGCCGTGGCCGTCTTGATGTGGTCGCCAGTCAGCATGTGGACTTGGATGCCGGCTCTCTGGCACTTGCGCACGGCGTCGGCCGTCTCGATACGGGGAGGGTCGTAGAGGCCGGCCAGACCGAGAAGAGTGAGCTTCGACTCGGCCGCTTCGCGCTTCTCCGTCAACGTCTGCGTCAGAGGCACGGTCTTGGATGCGATGCAGAGCACACGAAGACCTTCGGCGGCGAGAACCTCGGCCTGGGCAGCGCACATGGCTTTGTCGGCCTCGGACGCGTCGAGCAAAGGGAGGACAACCTCGACGGCACCCTTGGTGAAGACGGTGGCGGCGGAGGCCCCGGGCTTGCCGTAGACGACCGACATGCGCTTGCAAGACGAGTCGAAGGGGAATTCAGCGAGGAGTCGGGTGCCCTCCGAGATCGTGACAGCCTGCTTGCCCATGTTGAAGCGCATGGCGAAGACTTCGAGGGCAATCTCGGTGGGCTCACCGACGGCGGTCCATTCCGGGGTGGGGACGGTCGAGGTAGTCGATGTCTCGACAAGGTCGAGATCGGATGCAGAGGGCTTGCCGTCTGATACCGTCGCGTTGTTACACAGGGAGATACAATGGAGGAAGCTCTCGGCAAGGGACGACAGCGCGGCCTTGGGATGGATGCCATCCATGCTGGCCTTCTTCTCGTCGTTGCGGTCTTTGCTCGCCCAGACGACGCTGCCGCTGCCAGGATCAACCGGGTTGGTGCTGCCTTCGACGACCGCGAGCGAGCCGTCGCGGAGCCAGACCTTTCGAGTGATCATCTTGCCCTGGGTCAACGTGCCAGTCTTGTCGGAGCAGATGTTGGTCACTCCGCCGACGGCCTCGAGAGCCGAGAGCTTGCGGACAATGACGTTGCCGCTGGCCATGGCTTTGGTGCCGACGGCCATGGTGATGGTCAGGACAGCGATCAGAGACTCCGGGATGACGGCGACACCGACGCAGATACCGTAGATAAGGACTTCGTCGTCGATATCCCATTTACTAACGGAGAAGACAATAACGGCGAGAAGGATGGCCAGGCCGAAGAGCAGCAGAGCGAATTTGCTCAGCTTGGTCTGCAAAGGCGTGCCGTCCAGACCCAGGATGCTCTTGACGGCCTGTTTGAGGCGAGAGAAGAGCAGGCCGAGGGGAGTCTGGTCACTGGACTTGCCGGAGGTGGAGCGGAGGAGCTGAGCAATCTTGCCAACCTCGGTGGCCATGGCGGTGGCGGTGACAATACCAGTGCCGCGGCCACGAGTGACCGTGCTAGCAGAGTAGACCATGTTGTTGCGGTCGCCGAGGGGCACATCGGCACGGTCAAGGGTTCGTTCAGGGTGCTTGCTCACGGGTAGGGACTCTCCAGTCAAGAGCGCCTCGTCGGTGGAGAGATTGAGGCCGTTTACGAGGCGCAGATCCGCGGGCACGATGTCACCGACGTTGAGGGAGACGAGGTCACCGACGACGAGCTCCTCGGCCTTGATGGTGTCGAGCTGTCCGTCGCGGATGACCTTGCAGGTGGGAGCCGAGAGGGCATAGAGGGACATGATGGTCTGTTCAGCGCGATAGTCTTGGATGAGTCTGGGACGGGGCGGTTAGTTGATTCATAAAGTGTCACGATGATCGCCGGATAGAGAAAGTCACTGGAGAGAGGAAGAATGAAGGGCTCGTTTGGACTGACCCGACAACGATGTTGAGCACGATGACAGCACAAATCACACCGCCTTCGATGTAGTCGTCGATGGCAAATGAGAGCACCATGGTGATGAGTAGGACAATGGTCAGACTATTGGAGATCTGCCTCATGAAAATCTTCCACACGGAAAGCCCTTGAGCTCCCTCAACCTTGTTAGGCCCATCCTGCTCCAGGCGTCGAGCCGCCTCGGCCTGAGCGAGTCCATCTTCGAGGTCGGTGCGGGCGCGTTCAGCAAGCTGGGCGACCTGTAGGATGTGGGCGCGGGCGGTCCATTCGTCGTCGGGATTGACTAGATCTGGGTTTGGCTTTGGGTGTCGATTGTCGACCAGGGAGCGAGAGGTGTCGCTTTGGAGACGATGATGTTGTCGTCGGTCCTCCTGCTTAGTGGCAGCAGGCAAGTGTTTGTTTGGAGCATTCGTTTGGCCACATAAAGGAGGCTCCGTCGGCTCCTCGACAGTCGCTTGGTCTTCAATACCCATTCAGTTAACGATAGCGTAGGTTCGGTCAAACCTGGTGCTGGTGCAAGAGGGAAAGGCCCGGGAGTCACGGGGCGATTCGTGTGAAGGAGGGAACCCCCAAGATATACCCACGCCTACGCCGCCCAGTGGACAGCCAGACAGCCAAGGGATGTGTGTGCACGGCAGGAGGGTGGCCAAGCGGATTTGCAATGCTGTGATCATGTCCGCCAAGAGCGGGGAAAGATGCATCACCGGCGCGCGGAGCGAATGGCGTTGCCGTCCGCAGTTCTCGGCGGCGTCATCTTCCAGACAGTGCCGAGCCAGGACGGGCTCCATGCTCCGTAGCCAGCGCTCAACAAGCACAGGGAGGACGCCCACTCGACCTGTCTAGGCAGAGTGGATGACGGGTGGTGACGGTTGGTCTCGGCGGCGACATCATGGATGATCCGGTGACCTGGAAATCAAGAGATGGAAGCGCAAAAGAGAGGGCGAGTCACGCTAGCAGATCGCCAAGACAAGGCGGCTCACCGGTCCTGGAAGGTCAGACACGGTCAGAGCTGTCCCCAAGCACGCCCAAGAGAGGCTGTGCACCACTCTTCTGCGCTGCCAAGCGTCGCGGCGACCATTGGCAATGCGGGGCGTCATGAGATGCGCGCAGCTTCGCCTGCCACGTAAGTGAGCTCAGGGCGCGCACGTGTCTCCTTGTCCGATCCGACGGTTGCACAGCAGTAACCTTGTTTGCTGAGTGCCGTCCGTGCCGTCCCCGATTCACGGCGCGGCCTGCAGGCGACAGACAGCACTACCGGGCGGCAGCGGCGGCGGCTCTTCAAAAGCAACGGCCCGCAGACTACTTACGTTGTAAGATGGAGCCAAGTCGACTGGTTGGTCGCTTCACCGCTGCTTCGTTTCCGCATCCCCACGAGACCTGAATCGCCCTATCCCCTTAAGCCCTGACAGTCGGCTTTTTCGTACCAAAGTGGCACCTAGGATCCCATCAAACAGGAGCTTCTGAAATCCCCAGATCGACAAAATTATCACTTCGAGATACAGGAGTTTGTCAGCCCTGTCAAGGATCTCGGTATTATTACCAATGAGGCCTATGATCACAAAGATAAAGATTGATCAGGGTTTGTCCGGGATTTAGTCGGGGTTTAGCCAGGAATTTAAGATAATCGATGTTGATCTTTTTGTAGATGTCTTTACTGCAAAAGGTACCAAAAAGCCGACTTTCAGGGCCTATGGGGATACCTTAGCGGATGTCGACCAGGTTCATGGAAGCCAATGCAGACCGGGTTTTGGTTCAAGGAATGGCCAAGTCATTTAAAACTCCACGTCTGGTTCTAGACGTGAAGTCGTTGACAATGGAGTCCATCAAGGATATTGAAACGTGAAGATCTCCAGATCAATTATTCTAGCAAGATGAGCCGCTTCGTAGCCTTGGAATCTTCACGGGATATGCCCTAAAAGCTTGATTCCAACATAGCCCTGGAGCCGTATTCATCTAGCACGAGTCTGGTGGACCACAAGCGCGTCTATCGGTGTTGAATCCGAGGCGTCCGGGCCTCGTATGCGAAGGACCTCGCGACTTCTTTTTGCCCCAAACGGCAGCTCGCTAACCTGAAACGGTGTTTGGATCTTCACCAAATTACATTGAGCCATCCATGAATGCGAGAAAGTTCGGATCGAAAACACTACGCTGAATCCGACCTTAATTTCGACATTAAAATGTCTCATCTCAACATGCCATACCAAGTGGCTGCAAGAAAAGGAGACGGATTCCTATCACGGAGTACTTTATACCTAACATAGTAACCAAGGACCCTGGCTTTTAGGGACCCAAAGTAAACAATAGCCATTCAGTACATATCTATCAATACTCTAAGGGGAAATTTAGAAGATCACAGGATCAAAAATGCTAGGGTCCTTGGTTACTATGTTAGGATTTGATGTATTTCTGTTAGCAATCCGTCCCCTTTCCTTGTGGCCGCTTGCATACTTAACACCAAGTTGATCAGATCCTCTCTCCCGCTACCCCAGTCCCAGCTGACAATGTCACGACGACATCTATTGCAGTCACTGCCTGGCAGTCGACTCAGTCTTGTTCAGCTTCTTGTTCTTCTAAATCCCCAGTGTGCCCCAGCAACGAGCCATGACGCCATCAAAACACGGCGCGAAGATGAAGGTGGTTCGCAAGTTCGGAATCAAGTAAGCACACATCATCGCTTTGCCTGCCTAACTGGAATATCGAGACAGCTTGCCAACGACCAATCTTCATAGTGAAACATACCAACTAGCCATGTATCTCCTCGACCAGTACCGTGGCACGTGTCTCTCCTGCCGTTATACCATACCGACGCATCTCGCACCAGCCGATTCGCGAGCCCGTCTGCAGGAGGCGTTCAAGGGCGCTCTCGTGGACACCATCATGAGGCATCCCGCGCTGCAAGTCGGCATGGAGGATGTCAATGCCAAGGTCCCCTCATGGATCCAGCTCCAGAGCCTCGACTTGGCGCAACATATAACATGGGTCAGCATCGACGCGCACGACGACTTTGAGCAGACAGTGCAGCAGACCATCTGCACCCAGCTCGACGACCGCTTCCCGGATCCTGAAATCAAGCTACCCAATTGGAAGGTCACCATACTGCGGCAAGAAGATGATCCAGCCATGGAGGTACTCCTCACCTGGAACCATCCCCAATTCGACGGTGCTGGTGCCAGGGTGATCCACGAAGATCTTCTCCGGCTTCTCAATGCCCAGGATGGAGCACCCGTCGAGCGGACGAGCCTGGATGGCGACATCTTGACGCTACCTTCTACTCCCCTTTTGCTCCCAGCTCCACTCGAGGTTGTGAAGAGTATGCCAGTAGATATCAAGTTCCTCGCCAAGGCATTCTGGGAGGACATTCAGCCACAGTTCCTGAACCGGGATATCTCGCTCGCCACCTGGTGCCCGATACGCTCGACCCCATACAAGACCCAGTATCGGGCCTTTTTCGTGGACAGAACAGCTCTGGGTGCGATTCTCGCCCTCTGCCGACAGCATAAAACCACCATCACCGGGCTGATCAACGGGCTGGCACTCATCGCCTTCTCCTCTCGCCTCGACAGCAACGTCGCTCAGGCCTTTCAGAGCTCTACGTGTATCGACCACCGCCGCAACATGCCTCCGCCCCCGCCAGAAGCTTCCTGGGGTACGTCTGACAGAGCAGTGGGCAACTATGTGACGCAGCTGCCTCACGTATACGACACCAACCTTGTGGCGCTCATTCGCTCCATGCTGCCTGCTGATGCCGCCAGTACGGGAGGGCTGGACTTGTCTGCGGACCTACAACGCGAGCTCTGGGCCGTGTCGGCACAGAACCGGTTGGAGATCGTGCAGAAGCTGGAAGACGGCCTGCGGAACGACATCGTGGGGCTGTTCAAGTACGTCGGCGACTGGAAGCAGACGATGCGCGGCATGGCCAAGAAGAAGCGGCAGTTCACGTGGCTGGTGACCAACATCGGCGTGCTGGACGGCGGCGGCGGCAAGTCCGGGGATGCAGACCGTAGCCAGAGGTGGTCGATCGAGCGGGCGCAGTTTGGCCTGAGCGCCGAGATCCCTGCCGCCGCCATCGAGTTCGCGCCGGTCAGCGTCGCCGGCGGAGCAATGTGTGTCGGTGCACAGTGGCCGGACTGTGCTGTGGATGTGACGTTCGGGGACGCGATCATGGCCGACCTGGAGAGGTGGCTAGGCCAGCTTGCCCGAGAAGCATGAGGCGATATTTCAGGGGTGACTTGCATGTATTCCGTGTGTGATTCATGATAGTCAGGGGTTCGCACCTATGTAGATCACCCGTCTTTTGGTTGAAAAGTCTCTTCCATGTGCCTACTACCAAGATGATGGTTTTGCGTATATTTCCAGGACCAAGTTTACACGATTTCCAAGTTAGTTGAGCATGTCAGCTCCTTTCTTCTGCGTGGCTGATGTGACATGTCCAGGGGGTGGCTGATGCACTCTCATCACGGGGTCTCACCGTCCCCCACTTTTCGAAACACGCAATTTCAGGCCTGGCGGTGACCACAACAGAAGCTTTCAAACCAGCCATACTCAAAAGCGCCCAGTGCCAGACTCGCCTCCCAGACAGCGCCGAGACCTCAAAGTATGACATCCAGTAAGGCGACAGTTCCTGGCGTCACCGAACTCAAGGAGAGCGACTCGTCACTCACTGAGTCTCGGCTTCTCCAGCAGCACCAGGAGTCTGGCGAACTGCCTATCAATATCGACAAGAACGGTGATCTTGTTGTCGTTGTGGGCTCCGAAAAGATCAATGCTGCCTTCAAGGTCTGCTCGCGGGCTCTTTGCCGCGCCTCTTCCGTGTTTAGGGGCATGCTGATGGGCAACTTTCGTGAGGCGGCACGCCAGCACCAAGATGACTGGGCAGTAGAGCTGCCCGAGGAAGACCCAGCCAGCTTCGGGCTCCTGATGATGATCGTCCATGGCAGATATGATGCTGTGCCCGATACGCTGCGGCTTCAGGACCTCTATAAGATTACCATCCTAACCGACAAATACGACATGACTAGTTCCCTTCGCCCTTGGGCCCGAAAATGGTGCGACACTGTTCGAGGCTCCGAGGATGAAAGACTGATATGGGTCGGCTGGGAATTGGGAGACGAAGCCATGTTTTCAAAGGCAGCCAAATGGCTGTATCAAAGTTGGTCTATGGGTGATGACGGAAATATGCGAGTCGAAGATAGACCCTTACACGCCAAGACGTATCTCGAAGCAATAGGTATCCTAGGTGAGCGAACTACCCCTGGTCCTGGGATCGAAACCCGCTGGATCTAGAAAGCGCAGGGCAGAAATCTAAGAGCAGACAGATGACTTACGAACCCAACGGTATTCGACCATGAACATGCTGTCAGACAAGCTGTTGGCGCTTCACGAGAGACTACTGGACAGGCAACAAGTAACATGCCGCGCAAGCTCCCGAAATTATACTTGCGAGGATGCTTTACTTGGATCCTTGGTGCGCGGCCTGTCGGAGAGTTGCGTCTATCCGTTGCCACTGGATCCACAGGCGTGCGCACACAACCTCAAGATGATAACGAAGAAGCTCTCCGCCGTGGAAGTTACGACTGACCACAAGGACTGTAGCAGAACGGCTGACGTCAGAGACGTTATCAACTCTGCATTGCTTCGCGACTTGCCGTTGACCGGATATCATTCACATCTCCAAGCGCAAGCGATGAAATCAGGACTGGCGAAGGAAGGCTGTTGGGCAAGGGCTGATCTGTCTCATATTGCGTCGAGCTACGACGACTTTTACGATTAACCGATGGCCAGTTGCATGCCAGCCTCAACTTCAGCGGCAGTTGGGAATTATGCAGTTGTTTATTTTGTTGAAGCATTGGCTGAGTTCGCTTGAGGGTAGTTAATAGCAATGAGCAATGTGATCCATAAAGTGCCAGATTGATCAAGTCCAGTCGCTTCCGTCAAGCTCAATTCAATTCACAATCCCCTTGGACATCTAAATACACATAAGCCACCATGCAATACAGGACTATCATATGCCTCCTTCCTTCCCTGAAGAATCTTCCACACGCAGAGCTTCTGCTTTGTCGAGATACAATCCCCATCTTCACCACCAAAGACAGATCTCAATGCATTCCCTCAGTCGAACTCATATCCCCTAGGTGGGCAGAATATGAGACAAATCGGCATAAATTGCACAGCTGCCCCCTATCAGTCCTGTCTTCCGAGCCTGGTTGTCGAGGTGCTCCTTGTAGTAGGAATGCTGAGAGCATCGGAACTTTCGAGCAAGTACTGATTCACTAATCCCTCGGATCCCAGTGGAGCAAATGCACAGCTCATGTCCGCACATTGTGTCAATCCTGGACTTGCGTAATAGTTGTCGGAGCCGATCCAAGCTCAGGTTGATATCTTCCGCACTGGTATCCAAGGGGAAAGAATCGGCATGGATGGTGCTACTGACTACGGATCCCAAGCGATAGAAATATGTCTTGGAAAGACACCTTTTCTCATCTGAGAACCTATGATATAGATCCGACAGTTTCTGTAAGCACTCATTCAACAGCTCAGATCGATGACTGCGTAGTTCTGCTTTTGCAACCGTCAGCTTGATCTGATGCCTGAAGCAGAATATGTGGGAGAGCTCACACAAAAGTCCAATTGAATCCAGGTACTTTTCTGGAGAAACCCGATTGGCACCAACCATGACATTGCCCCTCTCATTGAGCTGGAATGTGTCGAGAAGTCTGTTCGCCATTTGCTCAAACAGAGTCATATCTCCTAACTCCCAAGCAATCCAAATCACCCGCTTGGCCCCTTCTCTGTTGATTGGGGGGAGGCAGGTCAAGCCCCGGGGATCGTCTCGTTCTCTGTTGATTGAAAGGAGCCAGGTCGATGCCCAGGGACGAAGAATAGCCGTCATGTCGTATTTGTCTGTCAGAATGGTGACATCGTAGAGGGCTTGAATATGTAGGGCCGAGGGGACTTTGTCGAAATGACTGTGGATAATCATCAAGAGTAGGCCAAAGGCCGTGGGGTCGTCGTCCGGAAGCTCGACAGTCCATTGCTCTGAGTCTGTGTATCTTCGTGCTTCCCGAAAGCTTCCCGTGAGCATGGCGCGGAAGACGGAGGACGCTCGACAGAGATTTCCGGAATGGATTCGAAAGGAAGCGACGACGCCAACGCCGACAACACCATCGACGCCGTTATAGAGACCGTCTGATCCGACAATCAGGACAAGGTCACCGTTCGGGTCAATGTCGTGGATGGTCTGGCTTGGCATGTTCCTGGTCTGTGTATCGTCCACAGACGGCATGGTGTCTGCTTCCTGTTCAAGAAGCTCTGGTGTGTATCTAAAGAAGAGAGACAGGAGGGGGGGAACTAGTCAGCTTGCCTCAAATTTTATATGAGACTGACAGACAAGTTCATGAAGATGATGCAAGCAAATGAGTCAAAGAACTACGCTTGCAAATGGTGACTGTAAACAAGCCAAAGACTTCTGTTTGCCAACCGTGGGAAAACAACTGATAAAGAATTGTGTTTACAAACACAAAAAGTGAAAGAGTCAAAGCATTGGATTGCCAAACACTGATCCTTGAAATTCTCCTCAGAAAATTCCTCTCCGAGAGCTTTGCCGTAATGCCGATCCATCTCACTGTCTATTACCTAGGGATATCAGGTTGGTCGAGACAATGTGATGAGGCCTGACTGTGGACTGTGGTGGTCTTGGAGGGGATTACGCCTTGACAAAACAGACACCCAGCACGTGGACAAAGGAGAAAACGGTTTATTGAACTTGCATACCAATGCTTCGGCATAATGCGTGATACTCTACACTCTGGAGAAAGTTCCATTCGCGAGTCTTGACTGTCCCTACCGCTATGCTGTCCCCCGCTTGTGAAATCATAACCGCAATGCATATCCCATTCCTCTAGCCTCGCTACTGTCGGGTGATGTGAGAGCAGACCATCCCACACGGTATGGCCTAAATGATGGTAGGCTTCACGTCCTCGTCCTCCGCCTTCACATCCTCCCTCGGCTTGCCCGGCTCGAAGTAGCTCCACTGGTAGTCCGTCAGTTCGATGGCGTGGGACTTGCGGAACTCGTCGAGCCGGGCCATGACGGCCGTCGTGGGGCTGCACTTGCCCACCAGCCGCCGGCTCCGGGAGTGGAAGGAGATCTCGGACGCGATGGCCCCGTGGACCTGGGTGCTGAGCTTCTGGTACAGGTCCTCGAGGGACGCGTGGTACGGGTAGGTCTCGGCGGGGGGCATGGGCCAGAGCATGCAGGCGTGGAGCCGCTGGGTGAGGAGGCCGAGGGTGTAGGCGCTGCACTGCTTCTGCTCGCTGTCGGCGACGCAGGTGTGCGGCAGGGTGGTTCGGCGCTTGCGCTTGGAGCCCGCCCGCCCCGTGGTCAGCTGGTTGACCACCTTGTGGAGCATGTTGATGATGGTGCGAAGGACGTAGGTGCGGTAAGCCTGGATCGCGTCTGGGTCAGGAAGTAGTCATCAGCATGGGGTCCTGAGCTCAGCCTTGGAGATAGTAGAGGAAAAGCCAGCGTACCTTCGATGTCGGTCATGCACACGAGGGCATTGTTGGAAACCCTGGCGCCCTGGTCACCGCACTTGAGATGGAGAATCGGGCCGTCGCCGCCTTGTCGTCGCTCGACTAGAGAGAACCTGGTGTGGCAATGCCAGGCGATGAACTTGGCGACGTGGGCGAAGTAGTTCCGGTCCTTGGCCTCCCACGCGCAGCGCAGGGCCGTGATGGCCGTCTCGGCGTCCCACGGATACGAGGCCTCCAGCTTCCTCTGGTGCCGCTCCCACCATCCCTTGTACATGTGATCCAGGCCCGTGACTCGGTACTCGTTGATGATGTCCAGCATGCGCGCAAGTCGCAGGAGGGGCGGCAGGAACTTGGGGCCCAGGGCGAACTTGGTGTGCGCAATCTCGAGGATCGTGTTGAGCGCCATGATGCGGTGGTCGCCGGGGATGTGCAGCAGGAAGCGGATGTTGCCGTTGGGGAGCTGGATCTGCAAGGCCATCGATCTCCACTCGGCGGAGGTCCTGAAAATGGCGCGTGAGTCGACGATGAAGATGGCGTCCGGCTTCTCGGGGTTGCCGATGCTCAAGTGCAGATCGCCACGCTCGTCGATCGCCACAGTCGAGCCTTGAATGATGATGGGTTCCTTTGCAAGTTCGGCCTCATCGTCAGTGTCGTACACCTGAACAATGTTTTGCGAAGGGGTGACTTGGCTTCCACTCAGCGCCGACATGGTGACGGAGAGGGTTGTTCGACTGCAGGAATATTCAGGTCAAGGCAACAAAGGAACGAGGCGGTGGAAATATCGGAACCAAATGGAGCGGGTTTGAGGAAGAGGTGATGGAGAGAAAGGTGGGAAATTGAACCAAGGAGAAATGCTGCTAAGATGCAGGAAAGAGGATAAGTGTGAGTGTCAGGTGTGGGATCAAAAGGGGTGGCAGGCCAGCAGGAAGTGTTGAGGCGTGAGTCAGAGAGTCGCCAGCAGCTGCTGCATCTTCTTCAGATTAAAGCCGCCTGCAGTGTTGAGATGTTTGTCCAGGCATGTGAGTAGTTCTATGGGGAAAGGAGCTACTGGGAATGAGCTGGACAAAGGGACAACACAGGCCAGAGCTGTGGTGACATTCTCAACAGGTGAGGGAGGATGGCCTTGGTGACTGATGTTGAAGTGAGTTCGTCCGGTATTCACTGCTGCCTGATCAAATCTCGGCCCTTTCCCAACCCTCCCTCACTATCGCATCACACATGCATTCATCCTGGGTAGTTGATCTCGGCCCAACCTCTGAGCAAGTTCTCCCAGTCAAGATCGTGCCAAACCTGCTCGTCTATCAAGCCCTCAAAACTCGGCTCGAATATGTTGTCTACGCCTTGCATGTCGAACAGCGTCATGTTCTCCGTTCCGACCTGAGCGGTCGCCCTTGATTCGGCCAAACACCGTGCCACCATGTCCTCCACGTCTGCGAGGAGGCTCATGTGGTCCTTGGCGGAGAGGTTGCCAACACGTGCCATTTCTTCCAACAAGGCACGGGCTCGCGTATATAGGTCGGGGTCGTCAAGATCCGTTGGGACTGCGGTCATGGATGAGAGCAGCATATCAGGCGTGATGACTGCACGTGACAGCGACAGAATGGCGAGGCTGGAGAACAGATGCAGTGATTCCCAGTATCCAAATTTAGCTACGCGCATCCTCATATCAGTTTCTGCCGACTATGAATGAGCACCACCATCCGCGACTTACCTATCTTGCCAATGGTCCAGAGGTCGATGAGTATCCTGGCGTTCTTGCGAGCCGCATCGAGACATTGCAACTTGAGGGGCATGGCACCAGCGTTCCACTCCGGCAGTAGAGATTCGGTTGGCTGCAGTATAGAAGGGGGGCAACGCGATGCCTTTTGTCGCAGAAACAAGGCTGAAATCTCCTGCAAGAAAAGGGGACGAAGAAGTAGTATGAAGCACTACATATGTGAGTCTCATACGGCCTCGCAACAAGGTTATCAGCTGACAGACTTACCTGGTGATGTCTCAGATACAGTGAGGCGAGGATCCTTGTGCAGGGCAGCTCGACCATCTTGGCAGGAATGCCTTCTTCAAAACTGAACGACATGTGGGTCGGTAGGCTCGCCTTCCAGTTTTGGAGCATCTCGATGCACGAGTTGAGAACGTCCAACGGGTGGTCGCTTTCCTTCAGACGGAGATGATGAGTAACGGTGTCGACCACTTTGTCTTTGAGAAGACACAACTGTGCATGGGCAGTGAGCAGCTGGTGGTCGAAGAACTCCTCTCGCTCGTGCGGCATCAACAACGCCGACTCTGAAGGCAGCGACAAGCCTTTGCCGACAGACTCGTGCAGCGGCGGCAGCCCGAGCTCCGTGCTCACCATCCGGTCCATGCAGAAGGACGTCCACCAGACCCGTTTTCGATGTTCAGCGTTGATCCTCGCTTCGCTGGCACGGGGAGTCTCCGCATAGGGTGATTCGAGAGGGGTGGCGGTCGGCTCGTCCAGAGACAGCAGCTTCGCTAGCCGAATGCTCTGGCCGGCATAAGAGTATGCCGTCTTTCGTCGGTTGAGTAAGTAACAGTACATTGCCTGATAGATTTGGTTAGCTGTCAGTAGGTCACCATGCTTCGGGAGAGACTAACGATGAGGTTGAGTGCCTCCACGTCCTCTACAGTAGGCTCCTCGAGCGAGATCTTGAGAAGCATCAGGGCCTGCTGGAAGAACCCAGATCCCGGAGGCAGAGGCGGGGCAGCCGAATCAGATAGCAAGGCCGCATCTGAAGGAGGAGACAGATCGTCGTGGCCGGATATCTGCGGTGGAAACGGCTGTGACGACCCTCCAAGACCATCGGTCTGTGCTGGATACCTCCCCCGATCCCACGACTCAGCAAGAGCGAGGACCACCGAGACTCTGCACAACCAATTCCGATCCCTCGCCTGTGATCCAGGATTGGCGTATGTCTCATGCAGCCGGTCTCGGAATATCCGCCGACGATAGAAGTGGTAGTCACAGAAACCTTCCTCGAAGACCTCCAAGAGGTGAAAGGCATATGGGCGAGGCGGCAATTTGAAAGAGACCTCAGGGTCTGCTGACAGTCAGCTCGCGAATATCAGGAACGTTCAACACCAGATACCATCACTTACGAAGAAAGTCAAAGTCTAGCCGCGAATAGGTGTACTTGGCTGCAGACAAGGACGTGATTGTATTTGGCGAGACGGGGTCGAACTCGTCATTGGCTGTTGAGGATGCCTCTTTCAACTTTTGGACGAAGCGTTCTGCGCTGCTATTCCCGAGCAGCGTCTCTTGGCTGTTGGTGCTCTCTGACTGAGCCATCTTTGCCACTATCTCGCGGTTCGGGGGAGATCCTGCGCTCGAGCTGGCCGGGTTGTTCCTCGCAAAAGCAGCCTGTCTCTCCAACTCGCGCAGGTAGCTCTCAGGCACAGCCAGCATCTGGTCCCTGACAGGGTACCGGCATTCTCGACCGCGTGCTCGGCACCTCTGGCAAGGCGTCTCTGTGGCGTGGTGAGGACATGCTCAATAATATTGAGAGGAGTGGGCCACGTACCACCGCTGCACTTGACCTTGTGGCCGTGACATGCCTGGCAGGCCACAGCCTTGCGTCCTCTGCCTTTCCCCATCGACATGGAGCTGAGTTCGTGGACCACAATAATAGTCTTGGCTGTGTTATCTGCTCGACACGAGCTGCATTATCGCACTACCGGACTCTTCTGCAGTCGGAGAATTGCTGAAGAGAAATGTCGAAAACCGGGGGTGGAAGTGCCAGAACAGAAGTGGACCGAAGATACGTCCCTCCAGTGGCGGCGGTCAAAGATCCGGTCCCTGGTGTGGGGAAGAGGCCTGCTAGTGTGACATTCTCCAGGAGATAACCCCGAAACACACAGGCGTGTAGGCGACTAATAGCCTCTTATCTGGAGTGGCAAGATGGGTCTGTTCTGGTGCGGGGATCTTACGTAAATCGGAATGAACAATGCAATGAAGAGTCCAGACACCGACTACTTCTAAGGCTAGATGAACTATGTACAAGTAACAATTTGCAAGTCTTGAGGCCTAAGAACAGGTTTCAAGGCCCGTGAACCTTAACCTGGAGTAAGCTCTCCCTTGTTGGTGTCCCCTGGATTTAGTTACTGGCACGCGCCAAAGTCAGAGTCATGCAATTACACCAGTCAGAGTCCGGCCGGGCCATGCTAGTCTAAGCCTGGGCGAGCAAGTTCAATACGTCTGCATCTTCAAGTCTCTTCTTTGTACACGCTTAGTCTAGAACTATTAAACTCTTCTACGCTCTTACAGACGACTCCACGTCCAAGGCAGCTTGCCCCTTCCGGGTGCATGCCTCTCGCGCCAGCCCGTGAGCTCGGACAAGTCCCGCGTAGGGTAGGGATGAGGGTCCTGGAAACCCTCGGGGATCTTGCCGTACTTCCACTGCCACAGGTCCAGCCACTCCTGGCCGAGCTTGCCATCCAGCATGTCAGCCACGTACTTGCCGATGACCGGCAGGAACTTGAACCCGTGGTTGGATCCGATCGTCGCCACGTAGAGGTTCTTCTTCTCGGGGTACGGGCACACTCTGAAGTTGAGATCGCCAGCCATGCCGTCCCTGTCGTGTCGGTCAGCGAGTCTATCGTTGCTGGACAGTTGCAAGGCATTGCAGGCTTCGACTTACCAGCACATCTTGGTCGAGACAAACGGCCTGTCCGCCAGCTCGGGGATCATCTCCCTGATAAAGACGCGCATCTCATCCTCAATCTCCTTGGGGCAACCGTCGTGCGGGTAGTCTCCCAGCGAGTGAAGAATCGATGATCCCGGGACAAACTTGTTCCTGTAGTTCGTAACACACCGGCAACTGCACAGCTTGATCATGCCGTTCTCATCGGGAGGGAAGATGATGCCTGAGACCAAGTTAGCTATTGAACTTCACTGGCTTGGCCGAGATCATTATCTTACCTTGCTCAAAGTCGTCAATGATCGGGATGTTCTTGTACTTCTCCACCTCGTGCGGCTCGAGCTGGATGACCATGATGGCCGAGCAATACGCAGAGACCTCCTGCTTGGCTAGCTCGACCAGCGTCGCCGTGTTCGCGCCGCTCGCCAGGAGCACAACGTCGGCCTTGTGGACAGTGCCGTCGGCAGCGACAGCGCCGGTGCAAGTGCCGTCCGCCTCGTAGATCAGCTTCCTCACGTATCCTGCGTCGCCGCAGATGTATCTGACGCCGTTGCTTCGGGCCGCATTCGCCATGCGGAGGACTGCCTGGCCAGAGGGGGCCTGCGGTCGTGTGAAGAGGTCGTCAGCATGGACCGCAAAAGCAAGATTAGGGTGCTGCGGTACTTACCCATCCTGCTGCCGGGCTCCAGAGGTTGGTCCAGTCCGGGAATTCGCCCGTCAGTGCCGGCCACGTCTTGCGCATCTCCTCGGCCGACATGTACTTGACGCCCTTGCGCCCGGTCTTCTCGGCCGTCTTGCGCGCGCTCTCGAGCCAGTCCCTGGTCATGCTGTGCGCCGACATGATCCAGCCGGTCTCCCGGTACAGGCCCTTGAAGATGGAGTTGGGGTCCTTCCACTCCTGCATGGCCTCGAGGCCGAGCTTGGTGTAGAGCGGGTTGGGGTAGTCGGCGCGCACGACCTTGTTCAGGTCGGTCGCCGCCGAGTCCTTGGACGGGGCATCGAAGCGGTCCAGGACGGTGACCTTCTTGTAGCCCCTCTGGGACAGGTGGTAGGCCGTCGAGGTGCCAAAGACACCGCCGCCCACGATGAGCACGGAACGATCTGACATGGTGGCTACTTTCTGCGGCTCAAACGAGATGTGATAGATCCCGGTTTGTCGATTCTCTCGATCGTAGGCAATGATAAGGCGCGGTGCTAAGGATCTATTGACATTAAATAGGTGAAGGAACTGGATCCGCAGGGTCGGCTTACTCGCCACGATGTTCTGCAAGAGCTCAGGAACCGGCCAACGAGAACTCTCTATCCCGAAGTCTTCCTGCATATGCAAGAACATGCATAGAAAAAGTCACAAAATCATCCCACGCTGACCGACTTCGGCTCGACCTGTCGCGACCATCCTCACCAGCAATGAGCGCCCCGCATGTCAGCTCTGGGCGAGGCATCAGTACGTCGGCCTCTAAGGCGATAGCTGCCGATGTGGCGCGCAGGCTGTCGGCAAAGAGCCCGCTTGTGCAGGCCCCCTGGCACGCCACTGACAACGCCCTCTTGGCTGCGAGTCAGGGCGACGGGTCGCCTGTCGCGTGGCCTCCGTCCAAGATCGGTGCCGTTATCACCAGTGATTGGATGATTAGCATCGGCTTTTGTGCGTTAGCGGCCGACCCGGATCCATAGATATCCAGGATTATCTTGCCCCAGACCCAAGCCCTTCTCTACCCCGCGAACCCAGGTTTTGGGACGTCGGCCTTTGGGCATTAGAGGCCGATGGATAGCAAGAGGAGGGCGTGCCGGACTGTGTTGCTGATTTCTTAAGCTCTCGGCGGTGGCCTTTGTACACACATACTTCGGAAGCCGGCCTTGCCTGGGGACAACGACGCTTGGCGAGCGCGACTGACAAGGAGATCATTTCGGGTATGGCCTTATCCCCCTGACGACTTGAACCCTGCATATAAGGAGGCATGGGTTGGCAGTTGCTGATCGTCTTTCGTGTTAGAAACTGGCATTTCATCCCCGTCACCAGACTCTTCTTCGTTCTGTCTTGACTTGAAGACGGCTCGGCACAGTTCAACCTTCATTGCTCTCCTGCAACGTGCGATCACCATGGGCAATTCGACTGAGTTGGCCAAGCCGCCCATGGACGAGGGCCCCAACGGGCAAAAGACAGTCGCGCTGGGACGCGTCGACGCAACTCTGCTCACGCGGGAGATGCCTGAGCTGCTACGCGACAAGTCGCCGGAGGAGCTGCAGGCCATGGAGAAGAAGCTCGTGCGCAAGATCGATATCAGACTGCTGCCCATGCTGATTCTCATCTACATCATGAACTACCTCGACAGGTGCGTCTATCTGCCGCGAGGCTTGGCGCTCCGTGGAAACAAAAGCTGACTGCCTCTGAATAGAAACGCCATCGGTGCTGCTCGGCTGGGCGGTCTCGAGAAGGAGCTCAACATGGGACCGAACCAGTTCCAGGTCTGCGTCTCCATTCTGTTCGTCGGCTACATCCTGATGCAGGTTCCCTCGAACCTGTTCCTCAACAAGATCGGCCGTCCGTCCATCTACCTGCCGGTCTGCATGGCCATCTGGGGCGTCCTCTGCGCCTGCAGCGGCGTGGCCCAGAGCTACGCCGGCCTCGTCGCCACCCGCTTTCTCCTCGGCTTCGTCGAGGCCGCATACTACCCCGGCTCCCTCGCGACCCTCAGCGCTTGGTACGTCCGCAAGGAGCTCGGAGTCCGCACCGGTATCTTCTACTGCGGCTCTATGCTTTCCGGTGCCTTCTCGGGCCTCATCGCCGCCGGCATCACCAGCAACATGGACGGCGTCCGAGGCCTCCTCGCCTGGCGCTGGGTCTTCATCATCGAGGGCGCCATCACCGTCGCCATCGCCCTCAGCGCACTCTTTGTCCTGCCCGACTTCCCCGCCAACGACAAGTGGCTCACCGAGGAGGAGCGCCAGCTCGCCATGTGGCGCCTCGAGGTCGATGCTGCCGGCGAAGAGGACTGGGTCTCCTCGTCGACCCAGCCTCTCCTCGCCGGCTTCAAGATGATCATGAAGGACCCCATCAACTGGATCCTCGTCGTCGTCGTGTACGGCGCCGCGAGCGCCATCGCCATCAACAGCTTCTTCCCCACCGTCGTCGCCACCCTCGGCAAGGGCCGCACCGAGACCCTCCTGCTCACCGCGCCGCCCTACCTGCTCGCCTGCATCGTCTGCGCCCTCGTCTCGTGGAACGCCGACCGCACGGGCGAGCGGTACTGGCACACCGTCGGGCCCCTGTCGTGCTCCCTCGCCGGCTTCATCATCGCCGCCGCCGCCACCAACACCGCCGCGCGGTACTTTGGCGCCATGATCATGCTCCCCGGCATCTACACCGGCTTCAACATGACCATGGTCTGGACCGCCAACACCATGCACCGCCCGCCCGCGAAGCGCGCCGCCGCCGTGGCCTTCAACAACGCCTTCTCCACCATCTGCTCCATCTACGGCTCCTTCCTGTACCCCAACAACGCCGCCCCTCGCTTCGTGCTGGCCTTCAGCGTCAACGCCGCCATGGCCCTCATGGCCATCCTGGCCAGCACCCTCCTGCACTTTGTGCTCAAGCGCGAGAACCGCAAGTTGGAGCTGGCCGAGCAGGAGGCCGAGGCCGCGGGCCGTCCGGATGCCGCCAACAAGGGCTTCCGGTACCTTACCTAAGCGCCGGTACGATGTTTTACTTGGTCGGTCTTCGGCTAGTTGGAATGGAAAAAGGGGGTAAACCTGGGAATTCTGTATATCAAGTACTTGAATCGATGCACGATTGTTGCGTAAAACACACACCTGCTCCTTTTCGCTTTAGTGGAATCGTAGTAGACCATAACCAGACATTGTCCATGTGAAGCACTGGATAGGAGACGAGTTATTCCACAGAACTACTTCAGTGAGGTCACACGAGACACTCCTAATCGTGGAATCAGTAACACAAAGCTGACATGGAATTCGTGAAGGCTGCGCCATTACAACTCTATTGGCGGGTAAACCTCTCTGGTTCCGACGTGATGTAATCCTCGAGGACGGCCTGTCGGGTGACGCCCAGCTCTGAGAACTTCGTGGCATTCAGCAATGCACTCCGATACTCCTTCACCTCCAATGCTTTCGGCACGCTCTCGGGAAGGTTTGGTCAGATCCTTCCTTGACTTTCTTCTTTTGCACGAGCTCCCATACCACATCCCAAGGGCTTGTTTCCCCTGCCATTATGCCGTCGCTTACCACCGTAGCAATCTGGGCTGGCACCTTTGGCCTTGCCTCGGGGGATTGGCAATTCCGCTCGCGGCCCGATCTGGCTCCACCACGACTGAACATCACCATCCCGGCTACGGATGAAGTGGCTCCCGGTTACATCTTCGTTGCTCCCTACTCTGGGATTCAAGGGCCTGGTGCTAGGCCGGAGCAGCCTGCCGGCTACATCTTCACCAACACCGGCGATCTGGTGTGGTCAAGCCTGGGTCATCTGGCCGGATGGGTTAATAATCTACGGCCAGTCACATACGAGGGGAGACCTGGCCTGCAGGCGTTTCACGGGAGTGTCGACCCAATTCATGGGCACGGCTATGGCATACCCGTGATCCTCGACCAGAGCTACAGGCAGATCGCTGCTGTCCAGAGCCGTTCGGAGAAGCTGCTCTCCATTCATGAATTCAGGATTGTCGGCCAGAAGACTGCGTTGGTTGAGGTGTATCAGCCAACACCGATGGACTTGACGCCGTACGGTGGGAGCCGTGGCGAGATGTGGATAGCTGATGAGATTTTCCAAGAGATCGACATTGCCACTGGGGAAGTCATCTTTGAGGGGCACAGTCTCGACTTTGCGAGCCCAGCAGGTATGATGAGTACACTTCTTGGTTCATCGGTTCGACGCTAACGCCATACACAGAGAGCGTAATATCTCTCCGTTCAGGTGTGGCCTCCACCGGCCAGAACTCGAGCGATGCCTGGGACTACTTTCACCTCAACAGCATTGACAAGGATGACGAAGGGAACTACCTAGTGTCAGGCTGTCATACAAGCACAATCTACAAGATCGATGGCCAGAGCGGCGACGTGATATGGCGGCTTGGCGGCCGCATGTCCAACTTCTCTCTCACCGGGGGCTGGACCTTTGGCTTCCAACACGATGCTCGCTTTCTGGGACGATCTACGGATGAAACACTTGAGACAATCTCGTTCTTTGACAATTCCGCACGGTCTAATGCGTCCAAGCCCGACGGGATCGAGCATCTGAATCCGTCCTCCAGCGGCCGTATTGTGCTTCTCAATCACGAGGACGGGACCGCCAAGGTTGTACAGACTTTCATCCCACCTGATAACCTCTCAGTGTCGTCCCAGGGAAATACACAGGCCCTTGACAATGGCAACGTCTTCATCAGCTGGGGTCAGAGAGGCGCCGTCACCGAGTTCAAGGCCGATGGCACTCCGATCTTCCATGCGAACTTGGATTCAGGGTTGGCCGCGGTCAGTGTGTGGAACTACCGCGGATTTAGACACGAATGGACAGGAGAGCCCTTTCAGAAACCGTCTATTGTCGCCTTGCGCGGACGATCTAATACGACGGTCTACGTCAGCTGGAATGGCGACACCAAGACGAAGATGTGGCGCTTCTTTGCATGCTTCGGCAGTCGGTCCAAAAATAAGTCAACATCTGTTAAGCTTGCGGGAGAAAGCACCAGGTCCTCGTTTGAGACCAGCTTCACCCTGCCGGACTGGTTGGACAAGTATCGCGGTCTCGGAATCGGGTTCTTTGCCGAGGCAGTCGACGCTAACGGCACGGTACTGACCACCACGGACGAGATCACCGTACAAGTGGATGTCAATCAAGAAATGGAGTAGCATATGATTGATCATTTAGGAAACTCTGAGAAGACCTTTGAAAATGAGCCCTCAAGAGCGGCAAAGACAGGAGGCTCGCCCAGTAATTGCTGTTCACATACAATCGCATTTATGGTGGAAAGTAGCTCTCCAGGAGTGTAGCATTGTTGTCAATGAATCATTGCTGTTGCTTGCAGACACCAATCCATGTCAATGATATATTTGAAAGTTCGAGCATCTCAGAACAGACGCCGTATTTCGCAAATAATAGATACATGTCTATCCATCTACACCAGGTAGTGTCTAGTTCTTGGGTCAAAGAATCCTTACATCCCTCTTCATTGGACTAAAAGAGCATAATGCTGGTCTCCAGTACCCGGATTCTTGAGTCGTCCAGCCCAGCTGCCACTCGTACCACCTACACACTCCCAGTACCGCATTACCACAACTCCTTTAAGATAAGTTTCTTTCGAAAGCCAAAGTCTGCGTTTCGGCTCAAACATGCCTCCAGGGCAGCTGCAACAAATTAGTTTACAGGGTGCCAACTCGGATGGCCCCAGAGGATCGGATTTCCTTACAGTGGCTGGTCAAGGCATGTTATGAGTCTCCGCCAACCGTGTAGCTGATGGCTAGCATTATTTCGAACCTGACGACGTCTGCGATGTCGATGTTGCTGCCGATGTCTCTGATGAGGACGTCGTGGGTGTACTCGTACTCTGACCCGACGCCACGTCGTCGGCAAAGATTAAAACACCGGAGGTAATAGGTAGCATTTTTGCAAACGGAAAAGTTGAGACTGTGTGATACTCTTGTTGGATGTCTTTGTCTATTCAAAAAGAGCCATCAACCTCGGAACTGGTCCCCTTTATACACATGCCAACGCTCGCCGCAGTATCATGGCTTCTGAACTCCTTCCTGTGTAAAACTACAAGTAAGTTCCGGATTGGGAACTACTCTCACGATGGCAGCTTGCCACCAGGGGAGGGTCACACCCAGAGTGAGTGATATCTATCTATATCAACATGTTGGTAGTCGGCTCATGAGAAAATCCAGTCTGACGCCTTGATAGGTCAGTTGGCAAGGCTACTCCCGATATCAAGTTGATGCGGCGCTCGTTTGCAAGTGCCTCAGCGGCCAATACTGTTCGACGCGTCAAGGTGGCTCCCCGCCCAGCCCCAGTCGTCCGCGCTGTGGCGCTGGGGTCGGCGTCGAAGTTGCAGAGCTAAATCTGAACCCCGATACTCTTGATTTCCAAATGCAGGCAAAAGGAACTGCCTTGCTGACGACTACCCTAAGGAGCAATGCCCCATCCTCTTGATTGGTTCACGTCGACTCTGCCATGTCTCATGTCAGACTGCGGTCTAGTTAGTGCGCGTGCTGGACAGCCAGGCCTAACTGGATATGGAGAATGCCTGTATATTTCTCCACCTTTCAGATTCCTGGGAAGTTCATGCAACCTTAAACGAGAGGCTGAACTGGTGAGCAGCCGGCGGTATGATGACTTGAGGTTTGCGTTCCTTCACGACATTGATACCTGTATCTCTCCCTTGGAATACGCTGGCCCATGCATTCATTGGATAGCTGCGCAATTTGGTTGCAGCTTCACAATTATGGATGCCTGTGCATCATGTACAAACCAGGCTAGATCAACTGCACTTTACTTCAGGAGGGCTATACGTAAAGTTAAACTTCCCGAAGAAAGCCCTCGACAGGGGCGACCATTCACGCGTGATTAACCCATGCAAAGCACCCCATGTCGCCCTGGGACTATCTGTCTATCGTCATATAATGGTGTGCGTCGTCGTACACAGATGTCGCATGTGAGCTCTTGAGAACACTCACCACAGAGCCAGATGAATGTGGGGAGTACGCTCTGACATACAGATTGCTGGTCACGTGTTTGGTAGGTGTGCCCCACACCACCTCTGGAACCAGGAGACATTCTCCTGCCCGCCAACCGCCGCGTCGCTCGCGAATCTAGAAACTGCTATCAACGAGGCAGTTGACCACACAAGCGACCTGCTCGACACGCAAAAGGCCAACCTGAGGGTGACCCAATTGTGGCTGCGTATCATTCTGTGGCAGATACGATTGCACCTGGGCCACCTTGTGGAGGACGCGCACCCGATCAGCCTCACCTACCACTACCCGCTCGAATTCGCCAAGGATCTCGTCTTGTCGACGCAAGATCTCTCAGTCGACAGCATCAAGGTCCACGGCGTGGGGATTACTGAAAAGCTCCTGGATATCGCCTGTGCTGTGGTTGACGTCTTGGCCTGCATCCCACTGACGGCCTCAAAAAACTTGACAACACAGTCTGGCTCCAAGCAGATGGAAACAATCACTTTCTCCAGTTCTCACGAATCTTTCATCAGACCTAGAATGTCCCTTTTATCGCTTCCTGCAGAGATTCAGCTTTGTGTGCTGGGTTTTTTAGGGTCTGGCTTTTTCCAAGAAGATTCGCGTCGCCTTACAGTCTCCGCACAATGGCATGCAGTCGCCATCCAGGTCATGTTCTGGAACCTGCAGCTGACAGTTAACTCTCTCAAAAGGTTAACAGAGAATGAGGCAGCTCTTGGGCGATGTAGAGTTCATACCCGAACTGTCAGGCTCCTATTTGAGACCTTCAAGGGTCTCTCGGCTCCAGTCGCTTCCAACCCAGATCTCGTGGCCACTCAGATAAGCAGATCATTGCTAAAGCTGGCGCCGACGTTGCAGCAATGCAGAGGCTTGAACAGACTCGAACTAAAGGCACTGCACTATGAGTTTCAAGATCTTGAGCCTCAATCTAGGCTACATTACCAATACTTGATGCCTAAGCCTCTATCCCAGCTCCTTACCGTTCAAAATTTGACCAGCCTTCGACTCGACATTGCGGGCTCACAAATTTCGAAGGCCGTTCCCGACATCCATCTATGCGCCTCCATTCAAGCTCTAATGCCATCGTTACGATGTCTTCATTGCCGGATGGAGACCATTTGTACAAGCCTCTTGGATATATCCAGCATCGACCAGAGTATTGGCTTGGAAGAACTCATCATCAACTTGAGCCTGTCAAATTTGACCGATACATGGACAGCATACCGTTTTCCAAAGTGGTGTCAGTCCGACCGACTAGAAGGTGTTTCGGTGCTTCGAAACGAGTTAGAGGACCAAGCAGCTGAGCTTGCATCGCATTTGGACACCGCACGCTGTATACGAGTCATCTCGCACACATTTCCATCTTTGGATTGGGTAGCCTTCGATGCTGTGCAAGGACGGCGCGTTCGACTAGAGGCTGGCTCAGAATGGGACGCACAGGGCGAAACGCTGGAGGACACAAGCAGTGAGGATGAGACAGATCTCTTCGAGAGCGAGCCGGATTCCCCAGCGCAGATCACTCTCTAAGTCTTCAATCCCAAGTGTTTCACATCCCTACACAAAGGGGCACTCAAATAAGGAGCTGCACATGGTAACTTTTGCCAACCCGATGTCAATGATCATACAAGGATTTGACACTCCCATGACCGACATGGTTAGATTTGACCTTTGTTACAGATGTGATTTCTAGTCGAGTTGTAGCTTGCCATGCACCCCTACCAGCTGCTCCCAAGACACGACGTCCCCAAAAATGTGACGGGCAACTATACGTCCATCCCAAAGTGCTCGGTGAGGGAACGAGTAGGTGCACTTGTGAGTGATCTCTGCCCGCTTCGTCCCAAATAACTGTGAAAGCGGCATGGGGGGACGACCGTCTCTAGTTCCGTCAATCCTTTCCAGCTCCTCAAAATGTTCGCGAACCAGCAGCCTCAGATCTAGGATCTTCTGATTTAGCTCGGCAGATCCTGCAGGAAAGGTGACGAACTCTGGGGAAACAACGAAGCGCTCCATAGGAACTGTCTGCGCTTGGGTCCAGTCAATGACCCCTACCAGGTTGTAATCATCATCAAAGAGAAGATTCCCATGGTGGAAGTCGAGGTGGCACAGGGGAAATGGACCATGTAGCCCTTGTTCGACCACGATATAGGATATGGCGGTTTTGAGTATCCAGCATGCTGTTCTCCAGTCTGTATCATCAGGATGGGCCTTGAGAGCAGCTCTGTTTTCTGCTTCTCGCTGGATGAAGAACCACTCAAGGGATGTTGCAACAGGCAAGTGGGATGGCCTACCCACGCTGACGATGCGGACAGGGTCGTCCTCTTTTTCGCCGCCCCAGATCTGACCCAGAGTTGAGAAGGTCAACCCGTAGAGTTTATGTAGAACCTCAGCTAGTTGCCTTGCAACCTTTGGAAGATGGTGGGTTGGGACCTGAGATGCGATGGTCCCTCCCAGCGTCCGGCCGGGGATGTATTCCATCAAGACGTAGGGATATCCGACTTTGTTCAACGACGAGTCATCGTAAGCAAAGACTTGTGGTACAGGCACATTTGTACGTGCTTTGACCTCTCTCATGGTTGCGATCTCGCTAGCCATGTCTTCCGACTTGTCTTGGCCGTCTTCCAGGCTGTGCTGGACTCTTGTGACCCAGTACACCCCATCCGAGAAGGCAACTTCCAGCACAACATTGTTGAACCCATAGGCGAACGACGACGACGAGATGCTGCATGATATGTTTTCTTGCAGATTCTCATTCGCATGGCGACGTGCTCGAAGTGCTGCTTCCTCAAGCGGCGCATAGTTGATAGTAGAAAGGACGGTTTTGATTCGATCGTGGATGCTCCCTGGCCCAGGCTCAAGCCCATCAAGACCAGTCCAGTTCACACTTGGGCGCTGAATTGACATTTCTTTTGGCATATCAAGAGACAAAACAGAATACTGGAATGGTGCTGATCAGTTCGCATCAGTATCGCAGTCTTGGTTGAATGAATGGATGGAGAAGATATGAGGAGATGAGAGAAACCTCAGCGAGAACACCTCGATTAAGTTCTGATTTCGAACCAAGAATGGAGCTGAAGAGTTGATAGAATAAGAAATAGTATATCCGAAGCGGGACACGAGACATAATCGATTTCGAAACTCGAAAGTGCCTTCAAGGAGTTCGGTGTAAATAATATCAGCAGAGGTGCTAGAACGTACAGGGATCCGTGTTGACCAAAGGGGAGAGGGCATCCAGGGCCACAGAGCAATTATCTCCTTAGTCATTGAGTCCCGATAAGATAGTGTACCTGACTTGTGAATCAATAAATTTCCTACCCTAATAAGCCTCATCGCCAAAACCGCTGCTCTCATATCCAACACAAACCCGTCCTCCTCACCACCCCTACCATCACTGTCATTTCAACACCTCACCATCACCTCACCATCATCATCAGGACAGTAAGCTTGCCTTCAATTCCATTTACATCGCGCAGTGAGGACATTCCAAAGTACATAGCTGATCTGAATTGCCGGAATTGGACAAATTGAGCAAACATGTCCCAAAACCGCAGACCCCCCGGTTCACCCGGCACCAGCAACACCAACAGCATCAGCAGCCAGAAAGCCCTCTACGGGATAAAATATTCCGATGAAGAGGAGATCGAACAACGGTTTGCTGAGCATCCCAAGCCGGCGGCGAGTCAGGCTCATCAGGCACCAGCTCAGCCTCTTGTTCCACCACACGACAACGCATCAGCTAGCAGGGCCCCGAGTGGTCTGCGACCTTTTGCTTTTCCCATGATAGGGACTTCAGGAGTCAACACTATGGGCACCCAACGGAGTGGGGATGCATATGATGTCTTCATGTTTGCCATTCCAGGCGGTGGGCATGCCTTCGTTCTGCCGAGCAACAATCCATCTGCGACGTACGAACCCGGTAGACATATAGCCATGGGAGAATTGATTGCACCAAAAGGAATGATCAAGATTTCGTGGCGACCTTTGGCCAACCGATTCAACACGGCTTATCGCCGCAGAAAGCATAGACATCTTCTCCGGGAGCCTGTCCCCGTAAATGTCCCGGATCCAGTCCGGACATGTGCCAACTGTGGCCAAGAAGGCCATACGTTGCAGATCTGCGTCAAGCCAGGTCCCGACGGCGATTTGAGAGGTTGCCCGAGATGCAATACCCTGGACCATGTCTACGACTTTTGCAAGAACAACAAGCACAAACATGACGAGGACGTTTTCTACCTCATCACCAGCCGTGGCAACCGTCCCCAGATCCGGACCGTGCTCAAGTGGATCGACATAGCGGCACGAATGAACACTGAGCCACTCCACAGGCCATGGTCCAAGGCATATGCCACTGTACTGTACCACGCTCCAGGTCGCAAGTACTGGGACAAAGGTAACTACGACTACCGCTCAGATGACGCCAGATTCCTCCCAGAGGATCCTGATACAGGTACGACGGACGGTTTTGCCACCGCATGCATGGAAGGACGGCTTAACCAGGAGTTCTTTGTCAAGCCCACCGAGCAACTGATCAACTCGCACAAGAACACAAAGCTGGCTGCCGCTGAGCGGGAGGTCGAGGAGCTGAAAGCGAAGATAGCCAGAGCCGAAGCAGCTTTGAAGGAGGCATGAGAGGAGGAGGCCGCTTCACCCCAACCGAAATATATGCCTCGGCCGACGCCAGAGGAGCTAGTCACACGAACTGGTCCCGAACGACCTGCTGAGAGACTCGACTCTCTGAGAATTAGGACTCCGTACCCAAGCGACCGGAACTATGGCGACAATCCCCGACACTCTGAGAGCCGGCGCTCAAGAGATGAATCAATGGCCAAGGAGAGCCAATACAGCCCATTTTCCCGACGTTATGGAACTGGTACCCGTCAAGAGATTTCCTACGATGGAGACAGCTATAGCTAGCCCTCTCGTAGCGACAACAACCTACCGTATCATAACCATGCCCATGACCGACAACCCATTTACGACGGCCGCTATACGGCTCGGGACCACTACCATGACGACCGACAGCCCAGCTATGGCATCCGCCGCAGCTCGGAGGGGTATTACCATCGTGACGGCCGACAACCCAGTCTGGAGAGGATCTACTATTATGAGGGCCGAGTCCCTTGCTATGTTGGCGGTCGCGATACTGAGCTCGACTACTACCAGTATGGTGACCATGATCATCCCCATGACGGAGGGTACTATGGCGATGGCCATTGGGCACACAACTCCTATGACCATGCCGACCAGCGCGAGCACTCACCCATTTCTCCGCACGGAGATCGCCGTCGCCTCCGACTCCGCGATCGTCCCTAAGGAGTTGCAACACCACCTAGGCTAGAATGTCTTGGTAGTGTTTGAACGCAGTTCTCGTGGTGGTTCATTTATCGTTTGCGATGCATGACTTTGTGGTAACTGCAGTGAATGCCCAGGTGCTCTGTGTACCAGGTTCCAGTGTAGGGCTGTAGCGCAAACGGCCCATCCTTTCAGCTGGGTTTTAGCGGCCAGTCCCACAATTAGCCTAGCGCGTAGGGCACCAGTGACCTTCGTAAGCTCCACTAGGCCCAATGGGTCTGGGCCTCTTAAATCAACATCCATCCATTGGATCGTGGTCATTTGTCGCAAGGATCTGTGCCAAAGCGCGCCAGAAACGCGCCAGCTCTGCAACCTCCCACTCATCTCTCTCATTCGCGCACATCACTTGTAGACTTGCTTCATACACCGGACTCCTCTCCCCTTCAGGCTTTCATACAGGTCACCTAGTGCCTCTCACTATGACTGCTCCGATCACGCCAAGTCCGCATTCGTCGGCCCTCTCTGAAGTCTGCACCCGCGGCTACAACAACACTCTCTTCAACCGCTGGAAAACCCTCTTCCTGCTTGCTGTTTCGAGACATATCCCTTCCCGCCGGCACTCTAACTGCTCAATCGTGTATCTCTCTCCAAGTACACTCGTGAAGTATGGTCGGACAGTCCACCTCTCCGAAGCTGCAGCCCTGCTTTTCCTCGCTTCCTCTGCGCCTACTATCCCGGTCCCGAAACTGCACCACGCATTCCGAGATGACAAAAGCGGGATGACGTATATTGTCATGGAGAAGATTGACGGTCGGCCTTTGGACGATGCGTGGCAGGGCAACTCACCAGAGGAGAACGAAAGGCTACTGTCACAGCTGAAGCGCATCTTTCGAGAGCTGAGGGCACTCAAGAAGCCAGCCGAGACAGGGATCGGGGCTGGTGCCGTGTGTGCCGCTGACGGCGGGAAGTTGCATGACCATCGGATATGGAATGCAGCTGGAGAGAAAGGACTGGGTCCTTTCACGAGCGAGGCGGACTTCAACCTATTCCTTCGGAACGGAGTCTCCAACACAGACTCTATCACAGACCCGCAGAGGAAAGAAGACATTCAAAGATTAATTGAGTTGCATCGGGAATCGGAGCAAAAGGATACTGAGACTGTGTTCACGCATGGGGATATGAATCTGAGCAACATCCTAGTGAAGGAAGGCAAAGTAGTTGGGATTGTGGATTGGGAGATGGCTGGCTGGTACCCGAGGTACTGGGAGTACACGACAGCGATGAATACGCATTACATCAGAGGGTGGAGAGAGCAGATTGGGAAGTTTCTTGATGAGTGGCCGCAAGAAAAAGAAATGGATGATCTGTGGCGGAAGCTGTATTGTGATGGGCCTTGAGGGCCGATGTGAATGAGAGCGATGAGTGTACAATGCAATACAATAACAGGACCTTAACCTCTTCCTGACATAATGTACCAAGTAGTATCAAAGCACTGAAGCCTTCAAACAGTCTCCAATACAATTCCTCGCGCTTCAGTTCCTCTTGAAGAAAAACATACCATTCGCCCTCGCCCTTCCCTGGTCTCCATCCCAGCCCAACACCCCTGGCTAGCTCCATTTTACGATGGAAGGAGATTTTGCATCGGTCTAGGAGACGGTAGTGTTTCCCCTTGAACTCGCATCTGCCGAATCGGATCCGAGAATGATGTGCATTGCTGATGAAGTACGGTCCAATCCGCCGGAATTGCATTCGTACCCACGCATCTGCCATCTCCCATGACGGCAGCCAATGCCTGCTCAACCCAGATCTGGCAATTGAAGACATCCCAAGCAGCAGCCGTATTGATTGGAACATCCCTCAGGACCTGCTCCAGGCGCTCAAGGTCCTCGATCTTGGCGACTGCGGTGAAGGTGAGCATGGCAGGGGTAGGGCCGGAAGAGAGGTTGCGCGGTGGATCTTCGAACTGCCATTGCACTCCTTGAGCGGTTGGGATGTTGCGAACATGGTAAAGGAGCATGCCGTCCATTCCGCCACCCTTGGGCCCGCTGGCGAGTCCCCAGTGGTAGGGATCGGGGTTTCCGCCCTGTTGAGGTGTACGGAAGAAGCAGACAACATATAATCTAGGCTTGTTTCGAGTCATAGTTACGACTGAAGGAGAGGGCTTGTATTCCTGGTTGGATTTGAACTCGCTAGGAAATTTGGACCTAAAGGTCAACTAATTTACTTGTTTCAATCCAGACTTTATGCTCCTTTTATTCCTCACAGCCTTCAGTCCCGATTGCAGGGTGTTTCAGGATTGAGCATCACTGGTGTCTATCTTCTCGAACGTTTGAAGACAGGGCGCTGCTTGAAACAGCAGTCAGCCCAATGATGAGACGCGGACTACGAACAAGTCTGACATGCGGTCAGTGATTTGTTGGCCGTGGAACAAGCTGAATCCCGTCCTGTCAGAGTTTGACAGTGCCACAAGCGAAACGCTGGTCTTGATAGGCTGCGGGTAGCCCATTGCACACTGCCAGCGTAAGATACCAAGTCCGGGAAACGCCTTGTCAGCGACAGCCTTTGGGGGCCCGCGCTTAACGAGTACTTCTCAGTTGTTGCCGCTTCGGCTTTGTAAATCTCCCAAGCATGGCTATTTTCGGCGCAGAAGCAGGTCTTAGAGAGAATCCCATGGTATTCTAATAATACCAATATGTGTTGTAGGAAGAGATGGGAGATTGCGTGGGTAGAACAGTCTTCTATTCCCTCCCACGCCACGTTGTCCACATCCTACAGCACCATCTGCCAAATTCGCCGCCGGCATTGAATTCAGTTACGCAAACGCTGGAGGCTAGTAGGTAGTGTTTCCTTAAGAAACTTGTGGTTGAAGACAGGTATACCACCCTCGTTGTATCATTCCCTGTAAAGTTCGGTCAGTACTCCACTCACGAGGGACAGGAGAACCAGTGACTGTATAGATTGATATTATGGCTCTCTTGGAGTAGATGTTGAAATGAATAATACCGATGGACTGGTGTTTGAATATGACTCCTGCGCCCACATAGTTTGAGTTGGCCATGGATCTCCATCAATCCTGCAAGAAGGCCGTATGGGCATACTAAGTCACAGCATGATTAGCCGGTCTTTTCAGCTTGAGCGAGCATCAACGGGCATAGCCAGTAGTGGTGGCATTCGCTACCCCTATCCACACAATCAAATGCGCTACTCCTTTTCGAGAGTAGAGCACAATCATGCGCAGGTTGACAATATTGCACCCAGCTTGGCCGAACAGGGGAAAGTGGTGTTATCAATGCGTGGTGAAGCTACATCTGATTGCTCAGAACGAGCTGGTGGCGCTCGAGCTGAACCTCGACACCAGTATCGGCAGCAGGCTGCTGTGCTTGCCGAGGTGGGAGGGCCGTACGCCAAATACAGATAAATATCGCAGTACTGTCCCCTGCGTCAGTTCATTGAGTCTTCTCGAAGCTCATCATAGAGCTCGCAACCATGTCTGCCTCCCCGTACAGACCGATCGACTCTGCGCACGGCGAAATCCGCCGCCTGGTCCTGCACCCGGCCTCAAAACGCGATGCGGAAATCGTCTGCGAGCTGGAGCCTGTGCGCCTCTCTGCCAACCCAGAGTTCGAGGCGCTGTCCTACAGCTGGGGCTCCGTCGGGCAGGCTACCGACATACGGCTGAGCGGCCACAAGATGCAGGCCTGGGAGAACTGCGCCGCGGCACTCCGATGCCTCCGCCTGCCCAAGAAGAAGCGGCTCCTCTGGATCGACGCCCTCTGCATCAACCAGGACGACCTGGGCGAGCGCTCGGAGCAGGTCCTGCTGATGCAGCAGATCTACAGCCAGGCGCAGCAGGTGTGCGTGTGGCTGGGCGAGCTGACCGAGGGCGGCGCGATCGGCATGATGCAGCTGCAGGACCGCCTGCTCGCCGTCGGCTGGGAGCAGCTCAAGCTGGACAGGAAGTACGGGCGGCCGCTGCTGTCGTTCAAGGAGAACATCGGCAGCGCCGCGGGCATCATGAACAGGTCCAACCTCGTCCAGGAGCAGATGAACGGCGAGGTGCGCGAGATCCTCGACAGGCCCTGGTGGCGCCGCACCTGGATCATCCAGGAGGCCGTCCTCGCGGGCAGGATCGTGCTCATGTGCGGGCCCGAGACGGTGAGCTGGGAGAGCGTCGACGAGCTTAAGAGCAGGCAGTTCTGGACGCAGGCCCGCGTCGAGGTGTTTGGCGTCCCGGCCAACCCCAAGGACTTCTTCCCCGACCAGATCTACCGCATCATATCCGACTATCGAGAGAAGTGGCGGAGGTCGCCGACCGAGATCAACCTGTTTGACGTCATGTACCGGTTCCGCCTCCTCGAGTGCACGGATCCGAGGGACAGGATCTATGGGTTTCTGGGCATTGTCCCTTCGGTGGTCAAGCTGGGAATCGTTCCTGATTACAGGAGCACGACGAGAAAAGTGTACCTAGACTTTGCGCGGAAGGCTATCCAGGGCACGAGGACTCTAGATGTGCTCAACTGCAAGAGGGAGTGGCAAGGATGTGACACTCAGCCCGACTCCGGCCAGGCATACAGTGTCATTGATCAGTCGCGGTATTACGACGTCCACGCCCAGATTGTCGATGGCCCCGGAAAGAAGCCCAGACGGGGCTGGGCTCGGCTCCCCGATGGCTGGGAAAGGATCCCCAGTGGCAAGGTATCCTTCTTCCAAGACCATAACACAGGCGAGCTGCACGAGAAGAGCCCGTTAGAGGGACAGCCGCCTCGCCCAGCAGAGTATCATACGAAGCAAAGATTTATTCCTCCTGGATGGTCTAGAAAATGGAACAATGTCGGACGTGCTGTGGTCGCATATGGAGTTGAAGAGACGCAGAGGGAGGCCGAAATCAGGCAGAAGACCGCCGAGCTGCGTCGGGAAATGGCCCAGATGCCGTCGTGGGTTCCGATCTGGGCCTTCTCCGTCCCGTGGGATCCTATGCCATTGATCGATTGGACCCAGGCTACCCGCCAATACTGGGCGGCCGGGGACACAGTGCCGTACCTGCACTCGACTCCCAACTCCTACATCCTGTCGTTGGATGGGAAACTGTGCGACGAGATCCAGTATCTGGCTCCGGCCTGGCACCCTGCGCCCGACAAGATCCCGCCTTCGAGGCAAGGAATCGACAGCTTGATAAGCTGGGAGGCGCTCGGATCTGTCGAGGTCGAGAGCTGTCCCTACGCAGCCGACGGTGGTCGCAAGAACGCTCTTTGGCGAACCATGATCGCCGACTTCGCCGGTGAACAGGCCGCACCGGCGGAGGACTGGGCATTTGTCGAGGCATGGTACGACCGGGTTGGCTGGGCCAAGGAGCTCCCCAACCTGACCTCTCTGGGGCCATGGGACAACGGATTGCAAGAGGGCACATTGAACTCGGTCGAGAACGACATGGTGGAGCACTTTTTCACGCTTCGGCCCCTGGCTTTCGAGGGTGTTCGCGATGCGCTCAAGCAGTCGTTCACGGAACCGCGGCGCATCATCAAGTCCTACGGCGAGTACATGCGGCGTATCTACAGAGCGTGTGCTCACCGGGCGCTGTTCGTGACCAGGAGGGGATACATCGGCCTGGCGCCGTGGAACTCCCGGGAGGGCGACAGGGTGGCGGTGCTCTACGGAGGTGCGACGCCGTATGTGTTCCGCCAGTCTCCGGTGACTGGGCGGTTTGCGCTGGTGGGCGAGGCGTACGTGTATGGGATGATGGCTGGGGAGGCTCTGGACGGGAAATTGGCGGACGAGCTCCCCACGATGGCAATCCATCTCGAATGATGGCGGAATGGTTTGCAGGCTCCTAGGTGTGGTGGAGCGTTCAACCTGGCTTGATAGCAACACTCGATGACATCCCAGTCCCCATGCGTTTTTACTTCATTTCAAGGGCAGACGGCCGCGAATTCAACAAAATAATCAAGCAGATGATGACCAGAGAGCATCCGGCTCGGTGCAGGACGCGCGCAGAGATAGAGCCCATGATGAAGTGCGCGCTTTATCCGTGCCGAGTGAACGGTCGACAGGCACGTTCAACCTATTCGAGCACATGCGCCGCACGATGTACGAGATAGCAGCGTGGATTCCCTGTCCCCATGATATCGTTGAGGATGAGATGATGCTCCAACTATACGTCTCATAGAGGCATGCCCAGCAGCGGCTCGCCCCTTCACTTGATCTTCCCACAGCTACTCATATCTGACGCCTATTCTATAGGATGATCGATGGGCTCGTCTAGATGCGCAAGCTGTCGGCAACCGGAGGGACGACACGATGCAGATTCTCGTCGATGGTGGTTGTGACACGTTGAAGATAGTTACACTGTGCAACACTTTCCTACCGAGTTCTTCTCTGTCTTGTCAATATTGACTAAGAGCATTAGAGTTCAGGCTAACCTGAGAAACACCACCGTTTCCCTTGGGCGTTGATCACTCTCCCACAATCGGCGCTGCCGAGGTCCATAGGGAGGTCGATGGGGCCATCGCCAGCCACAGGCCGTTGTCCTTGCAGGAGCCGGGCTATGGCATCGACACCTTGACGATAGACGAGTGGGAGTCCGAGTTCCCGATGTCTATCTTGATGTTTGAGGTCGAGTTGACGGATGCCGACGGGGCCAGGACGGACAAGTCGGTTGCGCAGGAGCCAGACGAGCCTGGTCATCTCAGATACACGGCGAGTCGATACCAAGGTTGTAAAGCAGAGGACACGAGTTGTAGAGATCCGGGCTGGTCATTGTAACCGTCCAAGTTGTCCTTTCCCTGTCTCCCATGGGAGCTCAATTCCTACACATGCCATGTTCCCGAGCATGAGTATCCATCCCGACGGTTCAGCTTAGAGTTGATATCGACGATCGACTAGCCATCCAATGCCTCCAATGCCAAGAAGTTTCGGATGCAACAGCTCGCGGTATCCGGGGCGAGTCTTGCACAATTCGACGAGGGCAGACTGGGTTGCGTGCTCCCTGGACATCTCTCTGGCGGGTGACCAGTCCACAGCCTGGGGTAACGGATTCGAGGGACATGCACGCTTATTTATAACTACGAAACCTAGATTCTCACCGGAACGGAATGGGTTCTTCATAAAGTCCGTTCTGATCTCCCTACGGGCCTCGGGCCATCGGCAAGTTGAGGTGGGATGATGCTTTCCGTGGGATCCTGCGTGCGTGCCTGCAGGCGCACAATTGCAGCAGGAGGATTTGGGTGCCCTGGCGGCTGTTTTTAGTGGCTGCCTGCTACGACCGTGTAAGCCTAGCGCGGCCCCCTGAGCACGCAGACAGCAGGCAAAGACAGGCAGGGACAGGGGTCGGCCGCGGGGGGGGGTGGTGGGGCCTCGCGGGTGCATCTCTACAGAAGGCGTTAGGGCGGTCCAGTGCACGCGCGGCCTCGCCAGAACCGCCTCGGGGCTGTGTGAGTGTGAGCCCAGGGGAGTGAAGGGAGTGGAGGACACTAGAACAAACCCAATTCACACGGGGGCGATTCAGGTTCTGGCATTCTGCAACTTGGAAAAAGGGACTCCCATTACAACTCTAAACCTTAAACACCATCGCCCTGCCGCCGCCTCTCTCTCTTTCGATTCCATCGAGCGGCGACAGACCTTTTTTTCGACACAGTCTCCTCTTCGGCTCGAGCTGACTGCCATCTTGCTCGCCCCAGCGGTCCTGCGCGGCGCGCTGTTGCCGCCTGCGGACTGGCTGCTCCCCACGCGACCATGCTCATGCTCACCTCCTACATCCGCATGCGATCCAGGCGGCTGCTCGTCCCCGTCATCATCTCCGTCATCGCCTGCTGGTCGGTCTGGGCCGTCTACGCACCGCGGACGGACCCTACCGCCAGTGTCGGCCCGAGCACGTACAAGTCGGCGTTCCCCCTGGCCTGGGAACATATCCACATGTTCAACGGGACGGGAGGCGGTGCGTGTTTCCTCCCTCTGGCTTGGTCCGAGACGGCTTACTGACTTCTCCCGCCTGCAGCATGGTACATCCCCGACGACTGGATCGACGACAAGCGTCGGCAGCCGACCAACATCCTCGAGGCAGCACGCCTCGCATCGCGGGCGGCCGAGGCGGACCACCTGCGGCAGGTCGACCAGTCCCTCATCCCCCTGATCGTCCACCAGACCTGGGCCGTCGCGCAGATCGACACGTGGGGCACCAACGTGCTGTCCTGCGTCGAGAAGTGGCTGCGGTATGCGGTGCTGGGCGAGTACGGGAGCCCGATGGCCTACCTGTTCTGGGACGACGACGGCATGCTGGCGTTTGTGGAGGAGTACGAGCCTGATTTTGTCGAGCCCTTCATAACTCTCTTTACGCCCGTCGAGCGGGCAGACATATTCCGCATACTGGTCTGCAAGTGGTTCGGCGGCATAGTGAGTGGCCCCCCTTTCAGACGAGCGACAGCCCTCGCGCTTCCCTTTCCCTGTTCCCTGACTGACCTATGCAATGCAGTACGGCGACGTCGATACGGAGCCTCTCCAGCACCCGGCCAAGTGGATCCGCCCTCTCGACGTGGCCCCCTGGACCGACCCGGAAACCGAGGCGTCCTGGGGCCAGAAGCCCGCCGACGGCGGCAGCAAGGACGTGCGGCGGCCGGTGCGGCTGCTCGTCGGGCTCGAGGCCGACACGGACCCGGCGCTCGACACGTACTGGCGCATGGGCTACTCGTACCCCGTGCAGCTGACGCAGTGGGCGCTGGCCTCGGCGCCGCAGCACCCGGCGCTGTCGCGGTTCATGGACGACGTGCAGAGCGAGGTCGACGTCATCGTCAACATGACGGTGCACTCGGGCGCCGGCAGCACCGAGATCGCGCAGATCCACGCCGACCCCCTCACGCGCACGGGGCCGGCCGCCATCACGGCCGCGGTCAGCCGGTGGCTCGAGGAGCACGTGGGCCTGCGCTGGAACGCGGTGACGGGGCTCAAGGACGGGGGCAAGTCGAAGCTGGTCGCCGACGTGCTGGTGCTTCCCATTACTGGATTCAGGTGAGTGGCGAAGGGGTCTCGACCTTCTCCAATTCCTTTGCTACTTGGAATTTGCACAAAATGCATCGAAAAACACTACTGACATTTGACTTCCTAGTCCCGGGCGCGGACAGTACGGCAACATGGGCTCGAAGCCGGCGAGCGACCCGGACGCGAGGCTGCTCCACCACGCCCAGGGTTCATGGAGGCACTTTGACCTCAAGGTCGAGCTCGGCAAGCTCTGCCGCACGATGTTTGGATTGTGTAGGGACTGGTCCAAGGTCCCGTCATGAGTTATGATACCCATTTTAAGAGACAATGACATTTTTGCAACGCTGCTCGGGCCCGTCCTCCAATGTTTTATTGACCGCATCAGATTCCACTGTCTTCAAGTGTTCCCCCGTGGGCGACGGCCTTGCATGATTTACCTGAAACTACACCATTGCACGAGCTCGAGATGGAACAGGAACAGCATCAATGGACGGACAGCAGACATGAGGGTCTGGAATTAGGGCTAGAATGCTCGCTCTCGAGGAGAGCTGGATGGAGGGGATATCTATACGCTTGAGGAAAAACAATACTCCAAAATCGTCCACCGCTTCGCATTCAGCGGCCATTATTTTATTACTTCCTCGTCCTTGCTCACGGGCAACAGGTGCTCCCTCGCGGGCCGCGACCCGCGACTCTGGTACAGATACGTCGCCAGGAGAACGGCAAAGATGCCAAAGGCAGACTGTGTGCAGCAAGACACCAACGGTTAGCGATATTGTCCCCTATCAAGTCGCAGGACCGGCTGGGAGAAGAAGAGTGACTCACGTGCGGCGTGACCGGCTCGGCAAACACGAGCGCCCCGATGGCGCAGCTCACGACGATGCTCAGGCTGGCGGCAAAGTTCTTGGCCACGTTGTCGGCGTAGGCGACGCACATGGCGACGAGCATCCCTCCCAGGGCCTGGAGGGCGATGACGGCCCAGACGAGCGGCGTATAGCCGGCGAAGAAGCCGTCGCGGGCCACGGCGGCGCCGTCCTGCCACAGGACGCCGACCAAGGCGGCGGGGAAGAGGCTGAAGAAGGCGAGCTGGGCGTTGCGGGTCCACAGCGAGACGGTGGGCAGGGAGTCCTTGACGAGCTTCTCGAAGTAGACGCTCGTGAGGCCCGAGATGACCGAGGCGCCCACGGCGGCGAGGACGCCCTTGGACGTGCCGGACAGGCCGTGCGGTGCTGTAGGGGCGACCATGACGTGGCCCCGGGCCTCGAGGGTGGTGGTCGTCGCCGTCGACGGGTGGCCCCCGAGGGCCGACGTAACCCACTCGCGCAGGCCCACGAGCGAGGGCCAGGCGGCGCCGGCGGCGGCACCGGCACTACCACCGCCGCCGCCGCTCCCGGGCTGCGAGACCTGGACGACGGCGACGCCGAGGGTGAGGAGCAGCATGGCGACCCACTGGCGGGCGGAGATGGACCTGCGCAGCAGCAGGATGCTGAAGAAGACGGTGGTCAGGATCTTGAGCTGGTAGGTGACCTGGAAGGCGACGGCCTGCATGTTGCTGATGGCGACGTAGATGAGGAAGTTCTGCAGGGTGTAGAGCGCGGCGGGGACGACGAGGAGGAGGGCGTCGTGCGTGCAGAGGGAGCGGGCGACGCGGCGGGCGAGGGAGGAGAATGACGGTTGTTGGTCTGTCGCCGTCGCTGTCGGGGTCTTGGCGGCGGTGGTGTAGGTGACGATGGCGAGGCTGACGAGCAGCTTTGTGATCTCGACGAGGAGGATGGCGGTCGAGGCGAGGTATCGGGGCTTGGAGGGGTCGGCCGGGAGGGCGCGGGAGCGGTGCATCACCTGTGGCCGGGGATCAGCATGCGAATGACGGAGGAGGGGGGGTGCGCCGGGACGCATCATTGGAGGAGGGGAGGCAGCATTACCGCGACGAGGACCGAGTTCTGGACGACGATCTGTGGCGAGGCGCGCGAGAGGTCAGCAAAAGAGAGGTTGCCATTGCACAGAGGCAGGCGGCCGTGGATGCTACTCACCAAGACCTGGGACATGGTCCGCTTCGACGTCGATGCCATGCGCAGCAGGTTGGAGAGGCCGCTGAAGGACGGGCCGTCCAGCGGCCGGGCACCTTGGAGGTGCACTCCCATGGCGGAGGGAGCTCTGCCGGGTCTCGGCTGCAACGGCGTCGTGTGTTGCGTGCGCGGTAAGGAAAGGGACCAAAAAGCCTGCAGTGCTCTCTACTGGACGTCCTGCGAACAGGCAAGCAAGCAGATCACGACCCAGTCGTGGGAAGATGACGCTGACCGTACAATGCGAGAATCCAAGAAAGACTGTTTCGAGTGAGGAAAAAGAAAGCATGCAGCGGCGGGATATGTATCTAGGTAAGAGTAGGGTAGGTCAAGTCAATGACATGCGCGGGTGCGTGCGCCGAGCCATGGATGGGCCGGGATCTGAATCATTTACCAACGGTGCATTACCACGCTCCAAAAGTGCACTATTACCAGGGCGGGAAAGACAGTCGCGAGCTCTCTCAAGCCAATCAGTGAGCCCGGGATCGGCCAATGGGGGAGCATCGGGAAGGGTGATGCAGAACAGAGCACAACGCCCTATCCTCTTTTCTCTCAGCACCGGTTTCACTCCCACCCAAAGAGAGAGACGATGGCCGACATCCATGGCCAAGCTAAAGGGGCCGGCCTAGAGGAGGCAAAGGTACTTCTCGCTCAATTGATCGAGTGGCCGCTGGCTGGCCGCCCCGCCTTGGAGGCCAGGGCCTGGAGCTGGGTTCGGACGGGACACACCGTTTCTTTTTGCAGCACCAGCACCCTCGTTCAATGCGATTAGTGCCCCTTCAGAAGCAAGTCTGCCCCCGTCGCCAGGGTCATTCGACCCCGTTCTTGCGCAGAGGAGGGAAGGGTGGTGAAAACAAGCGACAGGGAAGCAAGAGGAAATGATGATGCCCAGCCTCCGTCCGTCCATCTCCCCCCCCCCCCCCCCCACCCCCCCCCCCCCCCCCCCCCCCCCCCCCCCCCCCCCCCCCCCCCCCCCCCCCCCGTTGGGATCGCCGAGATGCCTGCAGGCGAACAGCCCTGCAGGATTACGGTTCTGCTAGTAATTCTATTTTTCTGCAGATTAATGTCAGCAGAATAAACTTCTGCCTGGTGTCAGCTAGGGCCGCGCCTCGATGGCCCCGTCTCCATCGCCCACCAACCCATCTGCCCATCCATCCACCCATCAATATCAATCTCGCAAGGACACTTCCCGTTAGAGTTAGGCGCGCTGCTCAGTGCTGACAGGGTCGAGAGCTCGAGAGGGCCAGGTACCGTTTCTTGCGCCATTCCTCTCCGTTTCACTGCCCTGCTCCATGCTCTGTCCTCCTGTGACTCGAGCTGCATTCCTTCGGATCTGCCGGGAAATGAGGGGGGCGCGCCTTAGCGCAGCGTTGGGGAATCCAGCAACCCAAGGTACGGAGTAGGTAAGATGAGCTAACGGGCTGCATTCGGTGCCCTGTATTTGTTTTTTTTTTCTTTTTCCGATCGGTCTCACCCGCTAGCTGCTCCTTTCTTGATCAGGGGGGAGCAGATTTGGCGGTCCTGATCGCCACCGAGAGACGCTGGCCTTTGGAGCGGAAAACAGTTAGTGAGATGCAAGGCTGTGCTTTAGTCCCAAAACAGCTTTGCTCGTCTCGTCTGGTCTGCCTTGTCACTTTGCCCATTCTGCTGACCCCATCCGAGCACATGCACGTTCGTCCATCAGGAGAAGTGGGAAGCATTCTTCTTATCAGCTCTATTCGGGGCGGTTGAACCTGACACTCTCGAAGCAAAGCAAACAGCAGCCAGTACAAGTACAGACACACAACTAGACTGATCACGCTAGGCGGGCGCCAACTCACCACCCCCAGACGCCTCTTTTTTCTTGGTCTTGGTCTTGTCACGTTTCCCCCGTCCAGTTCTGAACCGAATGCTCGTGGGCCGCAGAGCCCTGGCGTCGGCGGCGGCGGGCCTCTCCGCGGCGCTCTCCTCGCGCCGGGTCCGCCGCTGGCTCGTCCGGGTCGCCGTGCTCGCCGTCGCGCTCCCGCTCGCGCTGCAGTGGCTGCTGGCCTACGTCGTGGCCGGCGACGCGCGCCTGCTGCCGCGCCGGCTGCAGGGCGCGCGCAGCCTGCTCGTCGTCACGGCGCACCCGGACGACGAGTGCCTCTTCTTCGCGCCCAGCGTGCTCGGCGTGCTGGACCGCGGGCGGCGGCGCGACGGGGACGGCGGGAACGGCGGCGGCGGCATGAAGGGCGGCCTGCTGGTCATGTCGACGGGCAACAACTACGGCCTCGGGGAGCTGCGGACGCGGGAGCTCCGGGGGTCGTGCGCGGCGCTCGGCATCGACGAGGCGCGGTGCGTCGCGCTCGACCGGCCCGAGCTGCAGGACAACCCCAAGGTGTGGTGGGATACGGACCTGATCCAGAAGATTGTGCGCGAGTACGTCGCCAAGTGGGAGGTCGATGCTGTGAGTCTGGTTGCTGCCTTTTTGTCATGTGTATTTCTATTTCACGCTCGCTACTCGGGCACAGTTTGGCTGATCATTCTCCCGGCAGATCATCACGTTTGACTCCGGAGGCGTCTCGGGACACATCAACCACCGCGCCGTCAGCGCGGCCATCAGGTACGAGGAGTGTTTCCTCATCTCTTTTTTTTATTTTTTTAACTTTTTTCCCACCATTACCCGTTGAAAGCAGATACCCAGGACCCTGTTTTTCACTGATCCCTACCTGTCCCCTGCCCCACACGCGTGCTCCTTTTCCCTCTACGGGGCCCGCGGAGGGGGAGATTCAAGCTTTTTCGTCTGTCGGTTCTTGTCTTGTGGAGACAAGACACAGACATACCAAAGCAATGCTGTTCCGCATTCATCAAGTACCTTGTTCAACTTACCACAGAGACTGACTGCCATCGTGTAGCGAGTACGTCAACTCGGACGCCTCGGCCCCCGAGGCCTACATGGTGGTCACGACCTCGCTGCTGCGCAAGTACACGGTGCTGGGCGACCTGCCGCTGACGGCGCTGCGCTTCACCTGGCGCATAGTGGCGGCGCTGGTGTGGCCCTCGCCGGGCGGTGCTGCCGCCAGCAACAGCGGCATGAAAGGAGCGCACTCGCATGATAGCAGCAAGGGCGGCGGCGGCGCGCTGGTGGCCAACTCGTGGGGCCGGTACCTGGTGACGCGGGCGGCGTTCCGGCAGCACGGCAGCCAGTACTCGTGGGACAGGCACCTGTACATGGTGCTGAGCCGGTACGTGTGGTTCAACGACCTGGTCAGGGCGCGGAAGGCGTAGGGCGTCTTCTGGCGGCGGGTGTTGTGTCCAGTGGTACTTGTATTTACGGTAGCATGACGGTAGGTAGTCAATAATGATAATGTTACGAGTGTGCCTGTGTGCCTACCTCCGTACAGCGGACAGCGTTCCCACCTGATCATCAGCCCAAAGCAAGCTTTTTGTCCTCCTCCGAGTCCGAAGTAAGCGAGATTTGTTTGGAGAGATTGGAGATTCGGGAGTGGGGAAAGAGAGAAGAGCTGTCGGGGAGCTTGATGCCAAGGAAAAGGGCTAGACCCCCCGGACAGCCTGCGGAGGAGAGAAAAAAAAGCGGACAATTCGAATGTCCGCTGTGGGTGAGATTCGGCGACCAGTCTGTCCGCGAGAGGATAAGCAACGTTTTGAGCATTGAGAGAAGAGCTGAGAGGCAGAAGGGCCTGAGAGATTCTCTCTTTTAAGCCCGAGATGAAGATCAAGGAGAGGAGATTTGGTCAGACTGACAGACAGATCTCGCAAGAGAATCACTGTATCAGGACAAAACGAAGCAAATTCGCCTTGGCAGTCCGTCTCGCAACGAATCTACCGTTTCCAGCAGGATTGACAAATGACAGGCATTCGACTACTGCTGACACTGCGGAGGGGACCTGAAAAAATGGCTGCTCCATGGCCCCGGGGAAATGCTACCTTTCCGGGCATGGCGTCCCCATCTTGACAGCAGAGCAGGTGGGCTCGCAAAATAGCTGTCGCATTTGGCAGAAGGAATCGAAAGGAAGGGAAGCCCACGATCGCTTCACCAGGTCGTCTCGTCGGTGATGTCGATGATGATCTGACCACCAGCACCAAGACAGCAAACGCACACGGAGGCGAGGGCGCTCGTACCTCGTAAGAGAACGGCGACAATCAAGAACTGTTCTGCCTGATTTGGAACTTGACACACGCGATGATGGATGATGGATGATGGACGATGATGTGGGATGACAGTGCAGGCAGCAGAATAAAACCGATGGTGAATGGCCCGTTCGTTTGGGTGGACATGCAGGCGTGATGGCCAGCAGCCGCGGTCAATCAATTCACGTCCATCAATTCAATTCAATTCAAATCAATCAATCAATTCATTCAAGCACCCGCCGCGGAGGCCGCTGAAAATAAAAACGACATGGCCCCTAATTATACGTCGCGGCCAATCACGAACTGTCGGGCGGTGGAGTTTGCTGAGAGGGTTGCTCCATAGGGCCAAAACATGAACATCATGGATGGATCAAATGCATGTGGATGATGATGGATCATGGAGGACACCCCTGCTAGCCCCCCTGGTGCCGGTCCCCTTCTGCGTGCCTCTCCACTGGGAGAGAGGAGGGAGATCCATCCGCTGATGGTGGTGGTGGTGGTGGTGGATTGCTACCCACCCACACAGACACCAGACAAGTCAGTTTCCCGTTTCCAATTTTGCAGTGCGATCGCGAGACAAGAACCGATGCACGTTCTGGAACCGAAGCTGCTCTCGCCCCCCTCCCCTCTCCTCCTACCTTCTCACGCGCGCTCGCGCCCTCGAACGGGTCGCGGGTTCTTCGGGAACCTCGCGCGTCCCGAGTGGGAGCAGAGAAACAGCAGCACGGAGCCATCCATGGCATGATGTGGTTGCAGTTCATGAGGCATTAAGGACTGGACTCCGAGAGAACAGCTTTTGATCTCCCGGCGATTGCCTGCTTACCCGCCAGACCCCCCCCTGAGAGATTCGCTGGGATTGGCCTGGGCGTATGTACGGAAGTAATGTGCATGGCAGCAGCTCATCTCTGCTTGGCACTGGGGGGGATTCGCTGCACCCACACAGACACAGGGTCAGATCATCATCACAGCGACAGGGGGGGAGGGAGGGCCCCCAACCGAAAAGGTGGCAGTACCTCGCCCAGGCCCAGCCCAGCCCAGCCCAGCTCCAGGCCCGGCACCCAGAAGTGAACATAAGCCTTTTGCCAAGCTTTTGTGCCAAGACTTGCTCCCTGGATCGCATTAGTGTCCATGTGTGCTTGCCCATTCTGCAACCTGTTTAGTTGACAGCAAGATATACAAGTAATGATATCCCCGATGTGTGGATGAAGTGGTGGCAGAGAGACCCGAGGAGATGAGAGATCGGTCGGTCCATTGATCGTCCTCCTCGGAAGTCCTTCTTCTTTCTCCCTTCTCCTTGCAGGGATATACGTGTTTGCCTTTTCTCCCTTTCCCTTCCACGCGAGGACCCGTTTCATCAGCTCAAGTTGCGCCCTTTTCCTTCAAACTTCGTGCAAGTACAAGAAAAGCCGATCAATACGAGAGCTTGTCTTATCCCGTCCGTTCCGGGAAATGCAGGTTAAGTTATCTGCATGTACCTACTGGCAGACTACCCAAGCAGAGACAGGAACCAACTGGGGCCAGAGGGGCAGAAGGGAGAGGGGGGGCTGCATTGGGGTGGTATCTGACCGCTTGTCGCGATGGCTAGTGCGGCGGCGGCGGCGGCGGCGCGGTTCGTGCTGGCTGTGTGTCGCCTCTTTTTGCTTGCTGCCTGCTTGCTTGCCCCCCGATGCTCAACGGACAAGAGCAGCCGATGGAGTGACAGGACAAGGGGTCCCTGCCTGGCGGTTTCTTGCATCTTTCCCCCCCCTCCTTTCTCCCCCGTAGCAGTCCTTCTTGTGCTATTCCACACATGGGCAAAATACAAGTACAAAGTTAGCGAGGTACATTGTGCATTGCAGATCCGTCAGAAGCCACACCCCCCTCGCAACTCTGTTCCCTCATCCAGTCAAGACACAACGCGAAAAGCGGGCTAAGGGGCTGAGCTATTCGTTTGATGAGGGTCTTCATTCCATTATGTCATTGTACTTGTCCTTGTAGAAGAGAGTAGTAGAGGTCTATATTTGTCACAGTAAAAGAGACAATTAAAAGTAGGTAAAAAAATACCTAGTGGAAATAATAATAATTCACAATGCGCAAGAAAGTAAGACCAATCAGTGGGCCCTCCCATCCTCATGCTGCGCGGCGATGGCACCGTTTCGCTTGCTGTGTACGATGTCTCTCCCCCATTCCAGATCCCTCCACCCCCAACTAACCCAGGTGGATGCCGCCCGCCATGCGCGCGTGCTGCTGGCGCACCCACGACACGGTCCGCGAGCACTCCTCGAGGTCGACCTCGCTGGCCTTGCGCGACCGGCCCCGCGGCGAGACGGCGCCGCCGTGGCCGCGGCAGTGGCTGCACCCGCCTCCTCTCCTCCGGGCCGTCCAGCGGCGCTCGGCGAGGTAGAGGGCGCCGCCGACGGCGACGAACAGCAGCACCGGCAGCAGCCAGCGCAGGGAGCGGCCGATGAAGACGATGGCCAGGCAGTCGAGGCTCGTGTGCCAGGCCGAGGAGCCGAGGTGCTCGAACAGAGGGGTCGACACGGCGCCGTTGAGCCGGTGCATCTTGGGGTCCGAGGGCGGGCCGCGGAGGACCTTGTAGTCCGACCTGTTCTCCTGGAGGGAGTGGACGGTTCTTTGTCGCCGCGCCGAGTTAGCTTCTAGGTAGTTGACACGAGTGACAGACGAAAACACAAAAAAAAACTCACGAGACAAAGTGGCAGCCCGTGCTGAACATGATGGTCGCGTAGGGCAGGCCGAGCCAGCGGTGGTTGTAGGTGGCCAGGCTGTCGACGACGGCGCCGACAAAGGGGTTGTGCCGCTCCGCCATGACGAAGCCGACCGACACGCCGACGGGGTGCGCCTCGGGCGCCACGAAGCCGAAGCGGCGCAGGGGCCCCAGCGACCGCCGGCAGCGCAGGTCCATGTCCAGCACGACGCCGCCGTACTCGTACAGCACCATGTGCCGCAGGGCGTCGACGCGCTGGATCGGGAACGGGTAGCTGTCCCACATGGGCTTGAGGTGCGGGAACTTGTCGGCCACGAAGGCGCTGGCCGTCTCGTCGGTCCACAGGTGGTGCTCCCAGCCCGGGTGCAGGTCGAGGCAGCTCTGCCGCGTCGCCTTCCACTTGTCCTCCGTGCCGGCGCCGGGCGCGTGGCCGAGCATGACGTGGTGCAGGATCGCCGGCACGCGGTCCTCGAAGCCCTTGCCCGCCGTCGTCTGCGCCGCGTCGTAGCTCTCGAAGGTCACGTCGAAGGCGTCGGCCTCGCGCGAGATGACAAACGACGAGGCGCCGCGGCCCCAGGTCAGAGGCAGGGCGGCGAGGGTCCAGGCCGTGTAGAGGGTGTGGCGGACGGAGAAGAGCAGCAGGAGCGCGAGGAGCAGGCCGACGAGGAAGACGGGCCGGCCGGGAGTTGCCCTCCGGGGCAGGCAGCACGTGAGCATGGCTGCTGTGCTGTGCTGTGCTGTGCTGTGAGGTAGAGCAAGAGTTGTGTGGTGTGGTGTGGTATGGTGTGGTGTTTCAAGACGCCAAGGAGATGAGATCTAGTGAGGTGCGCTGTCGTCGTCGAAGAGAGTTGTGTTGAGGAAAAAGATAGTTGTGAGACAGACAGACAGAGAGAGAGAGACAAGAGAATCCGAGGTCGTGAATGGTAGCTACCTAGCCTCGCATTATGGATGCAGGGTGAAGAGCTGCAGCTATTCCGGTATCATCGAAGAGTTTTGAAGAGGTTGTTCAGCTAGGATGGAAACAAAAAAAAAAAAAAAGACGTGTCGTGAGATGTGGAAAAGGAAGGTTTTGAGCCACGGGTTTGGAGAGTATGAGACGACTGGCGACGGAGGCGAGGTACCTGCCGGTGCTAAATACGGTAGCTAGTCAGCTGGGCAGGTCTGTTTTGGGAGGGAGGGCGAGGGTGAGCGCGGTACATTAAACGGGTAGAAAGTTTGCGAGACAGACAGGGAGACAGGGGCAGTGAGGGGATCGGTATGGAGTAAGGTAGGGTACTTGTAGGGAGAGGGCCTCGAGACTCGGAGACCCGAGACACGAGAGAGAAGGGTTCTTTCTTTACATGGGAATCAAAGCCACGGAGCCACCCACTCGAGTGCAGGTAACGGTACGGGGAGAAACGGCGGTAGGGATCAGATCTGTGCTGAGATTGGGGACGGGAACACCCACGGAGAAGGGAGCATACGGCGGTGGACCAGGAGTTGTGGCGGTCACTGTACCCAGAAGAGAGAAGAGCTAGGTAGCTGGAGAGAGGGATCGGCCAGAAGAAGAAGAATGAGAAAGAAAAAGCAACGAGCTGCAGGCGGCTGGGAGCTGTGTGTGTGTGTGTGTGTGTGCCTTGTCTCAGCGCGGGCTGGCCTGTCCGGGCAGAGAGGAATTAGGTTTGAGTCGTACGGGCTGGCATTTCGACTCGAGCACACTCACTCACTCGCCTGGGCCCAAACTAACTAACTAAAAGACCCTGACAGAACAGGAGAGGAGCGCGCTCTCGATTGGATGCCAAGAGGAATCCTGACTTGCGGACGAACTACCAGTTAGGCATCCAGATTGAACAAAGTCCGAGCAGAGCGCGTGAGCGAGGTAGCGCCCGTCAAAACGGTGCGAAAGAGGCTACCTAGGTAGGTACTCGACTCTGTCAGACTTGTCATGAGAGGTACTTACGGAGTAGGTTAGGTCTCTTCCCCTTCTGACTCCGTCTCCCCCATTGCCTCTTCCGTTCCCCCTCCCCCTCCCCCCCATTCCATCCGATTTTGCTCGAAAATGGGAGCACGAGGGCAACATGCGCTGCCGCCAGGGCAAAATGAAAAGAAAATGATGGCATGCATGGATGCAATGCAGGGGTGGGTGCCTCCAGGGCTGGGATGCCGGGGTGTGTGCTGGCAGTGCTGGCGTCGCTGGAGGCGCTGGAATATTGCCCCAAAGAGACTAGACTGCCTAGGGCTGGGTCTAGGGCACTTAGCCTGCTCTTAGTCCCGACACTAGCCCTGGTAGCGCGTCCTGCGCGAGTTGACTCGCTGTGAGTGTGCGCTGGAGGCTGCAGGCTGCAGGCCTGCGCTGGTTTTGGTCCCAGGGGTCTGTGTTTTGGGGTCTGGACCGGCCCATTTTGGTGAACCACTCAATCTCAATCAAGTCTCACCCATCCTCATCCTCACAGCGCCAGCACGCACTCTACTTGTACACTCCCTGCAGGCACGCACGTGCTTTGTCAGGTCCCTTGCTCTCCTCCTCATCTGCTGCATGCATCGCAACATTGCCTCTCAATGCCCACTAGACAAAAGCCAAGCCCGAGACGCTCATGTCCTCGGGGTCTTGTCCTCCCTTCTCATTCGACACTCGCCAACCACATGATGACACTCCGGTCCGACGAGCATCTCCGGCCTCGAGCTCCGGGCATCTCGACGTCCCCGTCCGCAGCCAACTAAATGCCCGATGAGTCCGCTGCACAAGAGAGAGAGACGCCGAGAAGAATGTCGACAATCACAGCCAGCTCCAGCAAGTTTACCAGTCACTGACACGTCCTCGCTCGTCGCCAATCACGCCCGGCAAGACACCCAAACCGTCTCCCAGATACTCTGCGGTATCCCCCTTCGGCAACTGGCCTCGGCTCTTCTCCTTTCATCCCGCTGTCATCGTATCTCGCAACATTATGTCCGCTTCGGGAACCCAAAGACCCTCGCAGAGGTGGAGGACTCGGCTGGCCTCCGCGCCTCGATGACGCTGCATACCACCACGCCCTTGACCGGGACCCGAACGTGGCTAGGGGTCCCTCAACAGACTCTGTCACCCTCGTCTTCTCTCCGCTCTTCATCAAGCTCGACCACCCCGTGTCCCTCTTCGCCATTCCAACCTCTACAGCTACGAGTGGCCTGACACTGCCCATCAGTTCAGGGATATCAACCACAGCCGTCACTACATCCTCATCCACGGCTGCACCGTCTCATTTCTCCTCCCCTTCGTCGTCATCATCCCTCTGGCCTTGTGATACGCTGTGTCGTATCGCGCCCGGCGCCCGCGGACAGAGACCTGGATCCACGATGCCAAGGAGGCGACCCGAGTCCACGGCAGGTCCATGACCGTCCCCTCCCTCCCCGTCTCATCGCCTCTCCACTGTCGTCGTCGAGCACTCATGTAGCTAGAGCATCAGGTGCTTGCAAGTGATCCAGATCCATGTGGTTTCTCGTAGTCGAGGCGCGTGGTCACGAAGTGTACACGACCCCGAGGCTGGTCACGCAAGTCTTTTGCGCCGCGTCATGCCAGCCCACACACGTGCACGTATGATGGACCAACACGAACGTAGAAGCAGCCATTGATGATGGTACTCGACTTCAATGTCATCTGCTGCCGACAGGTAAAGCGGCCGGGAATCTCCTTGCAAGTCAAGGCGTGAGTCGCATTGCTCCCTGACAAAACAGCGTTGCCACTGCAATCATCGATTCCTCAACCTGAGTCCCCTGAAGGATAGACAAGCAGGCTAATATTGACTGCTCGATCTGTTCAGCGCCATCACAACCTATAGACCACTCTACTCGTCACTCATGTTCGTAGATCCTGTTCACTGCCTGATTGATGCTTCGTCCTTCTAACGTCTGCATTATTGGCCAAGGCTCCATGCTCCCGTGCTCATCTTGCAACAGCCTTCGAGCCTGGCCGCCAGCCTTGCTCACGTGCTTTGCTCGCAAGACTTTAACCATCGCCGTAAACACGGCATTCATCACAAAGACGGTACGAGAGAAAGGCTACCAGTAATAGCCACATGCTTGAGGCCCCGAATACTGTCCCAGACACCTGTTTGGGGGAGCTGTGCAGGGGTCAGCAATTTGCACTTGCTTGTATTACATCTAAAGGCTCTATTCTATCGTGGTTTCTATCAAGTCAGTATTAACATCTCGCTTTCTACATGCTTGACTACACAGCACTGCAGCTCTGGTTCACCCGCGCGCATCCCTTGGGGCACGGATACTCCGGGTCGAACTGCCACAGGAAGTACGGGTCGGTCTCGTTCGTCAGCACCTCCCCCATCAGACGGCTCTGGTACGGCAGGTCGAAGCTCTGCCGGAAGACCTCGAGCGACGAGATGCGGATCTGGCCCCAGCCCTTCTCGACCAGGGTGTCGATGCTCGTGCCGTAGACGTACTCGCGGAACCCGGCCCACCGGATCGCCGAGGCGCACATGGGGCAGCTCTCGGCGTTGGTGTATAGCGACAGCTGCGCAAACGCCTTGAGCGCGCCCGCCGGCGAGAGCCTGTAGGGCCCGCTCGGGTCCGTGAGGATGGCGGTGCAGTTGTTTATCGCCGCCATCTCACCTTGTTCACACAGTCTAGTTAGCAACGCGAGGTCCTCCAAGAAGTTCAACGCCCACCTTCGATTTGCTCGGGAGAGGTGCGAGGTAAATACCGTGCAGGGTAGGGTTGCCTAGCTTGCTGTTGCTGTTGGCCCCGGTGCACACCAGCTTCCCGGGGCCGGATGCGTCCGTGTGGTTGACGATCACGGTGCCGAACGCGGCGAACGGACAGGGCGCCCCCAGAGCTTTGTTCGCCTCGCGCATCCAGTGTGCCCGGGTCGAGAACGGGACGCCGTTGATCATCAGCGTCGGACTGCCGATGGGCGCCTGCTGGGTCGCCGAGCGTCTCGACAGGCCATGGCCTTGTCCGCCGCAGGCTGCGACGAGCTCCGAGGCAAGCGCGCCGACGAGCAAGGTGGGAAGAAGCATGATGTTACCCTGGGGAGTTTGAGCGTGACCTGCAGGGCAGAGGATTGGTCAATGGGAGCATGCGTCTGCATTTTGGGGAATTCTCATGGGCCGCAGCTCTGCATGTTATCAAGTCTCGCACAAGCAGCGGTACGCTCGGCCGATGACGATATCCATCTCCTTGGCTGTCAGGTGGAGCTCGGCCGAGGGACCCCGTATCTGGCGTACACCAACCAGAGATGCTGCATTAGACTGCTGTCACTAAAATGACTTCAACACCTCCTCGATAGGCCCGGACGGTTATGATAAGACTTTCTCTCAGGCCCGAGACAGCGGCCACCCCCAGATAGACCCCGCACTTGCACATGGAGTCGTCGAGGAGATCACCAGGCAGGGACAAATAATACAGTTGTGCTGGACGTTTGACAGGGCCTGATAAATGCGAAGATCTGTCGTGTAGAGTCCATCAAGTAAAGACCCAGGAAGCTCCGGGCTCAAAGTCATACGTATTGTGCAACTACAAATCCTCGTGCCTCCATAAACAACCATGTCGCCAAGCACACTGCTGCCCGAGCCGAGCTTCACGCTTACTCCTATGGACAAGACGCCAAAGGAGAAACATGACTTTGGTGCAGTCGTCACTGACCTGGACCTCAATGAGATTTCAGGTAGGCCCAGCAGATGCGATACCACCGGGGAGCGTTGACTGATCAACGACAGATGAGGATGTCTCGGCTCTGCGAGAAGCCATCTGGAAGCACAAGGTCGTCGTAGTCAAGGGGCAAAAGGACCTGCTTCCTACAAAGCAGTGGGAACTTGTGACCCGGTTCGACCCTGATGCACCACAGGTGCACTCACACGGCAACCTGAAGGAGTTCAACAAGAAGGGCGGTGTCTTGTCGGTAGGTGATCCCGAGCCAGCCTTAACGTCGGTCTGCTGAACATATGACAGGCAAGTCGCGACGTCTACGCCATCCCCGGGGCCGAGAACGTCCGGCTCATCGGCAAGGGCTACCAGGGAGCCGACCACTTCGGCCTCAAAGACGTCACAGTCAAGCACGCCCTGTCCCACGACTGGCACGCGATCGAGCTGCCCCTGGACCAGTTCAACAGGGGCCACACGCGCTTCCAGCGGTGGCACATCGACGCCCCGCTCTACGCGCGGGATCCCGCCTGGTTCACCACCCTGCGGTGCGTGACGAAGCCCAGGCGACCCGACGGCGCGCACCTCACCATCCACTGGGACGACGGCTCGGGCACCACCATGCCGACCGAGCCGGGCCTCACGGCCTTCGTCAGCTGCGTGCAGATGTACGACCTGATGAGCGACGGGGAGAAGCAGGTGGCGGACCACTCCTGGGTCGAGTACGCGCCCCACCCCTACCAGTGGATCGCCGACTGCAAGGGCAACACCACCGGCCTCGGCCTCTACACGCAGGGCAAGGAGCGCAGGGTCGAGGACATCAGCGACTGGGACCCCAGGGAGGTCAAGCGGTACCCGATGGCGTGGGTGAACCCCGTCACCGGCGAGAAGGCGTTCATGGTGCACGGGATCTGCGCGCGCAGGCTGTTCCTCCGGTCGTCGCCCGGCGAGGAGCCCCGGGTCGTCGACGACGTCGTCGAGATCCGGGCCTTCCTCAAGGAGATCCAGTCGCGCGTCCTGAAGCCCGAGTACGTCATGCTGCCGCCCCTGGAGGAAGGCGACATCGTCATGTGGGCCAACTACCAGATGTTCCACACCGCCGTCGACTACCCGGACTCGTTTGGGCCGAGGTCGATGCACCAGGCGAACATCGGGGCCAGCACGGGGCCTGTTGGGCCGGTACCGATTCCCGCTACTGCTTGAGGTTGTTGGCGTGGGAGTGAGGGCGCATCTCTGAGGGGACAGGAATCCTGCTGTATGATCGTTACGATGAGTCTTGTTTCCACTATGATATTCTAATTGAATAATTTCTGTTTGTTCTTATTCAAGAACTGATTATCTTGATGATAAGAGACAAAATGCAATGATGAATGGAGTTTCTATAAACTCATCCTTTTACAGCCAAACACTATTTGGACTGCAGCTCTATGCTTTATACTATAGAGGCCTCTCCAGCTGCGGCAACTGGGCGATTTCCTGTACCCTCTTTCTCAGGGAACTGCTGCGATCCCTTCTCGACCGGCTCCGTGGTCTGACTCTCAGCATCATCCACAACACCAGGGGTGACATCGTACCCTTGCACTACGTGACTGATCAAAGTCTTCTCGTGCGGGAAGAAGAAGTTGAGCACCAAGTAGATGGACGCGGACACAAAGAAGCCGTACAGCCAGTTGAAGGTGAAGAGGTTCTGCAGGCCTTGATCGATGTCAACGTTGTTGGGCGCGACAGTCTTGGCCAGCGCCGGCAGAAGAGGAACGATCGTCAGGACCAGAACGACCAGGGCGCGCCAGTTGACGCCATAGTCGTACCGGTAGATGCCCCTCGGATCGTACAGCGCCGGCACGTCGTACCTGCGCTTCTTGACGATCCAGTAGTCCACGCACAGCACGGCGGCAATGGGCGCCATGAAGATGGCGTACGCCGACATGAAGTTCAGGAAGGCCTTTGCCGAGGCGACGATGATCCACGGGCAGAGCGCCCAGCCGCCGATCAGGGAGGCAAACACGACGCCGCGGCGGATGTTGAAGTACCTCGGCAGCAGCGTGGTGATGTCGTTGGCGAACGAGATGCTGTTGGCGCTGATGTTGACGCTGATCTGCGCGAGGAGCCAGATGCCTGCGCAGAAGAAGGCCGCGGCGCGGCCGCCGGAGGAGCCCTGCCACTGCCCGACGATGTCGAGCGGGTTCCAGGAGGTCTTGCCAAAGACTTCCTGAGAAGCAGAGGCCGCTATGATGCCAAAGACGCCGATGAGCACCTTGAAGATGGGGATGAAGGGCAGTTGCCAGACCTGGGCGCCGCGTGTTTGGGAGAAGCGGCTGAAGTCTGGGATGTTGCAGGCAAGCGTGCTGTAACCCCCGGTCACGCTGGTGAGATTCGCCAGCCAGAGCCAGGCCCGCTCCGAGCCGTGGACTGTGCTAGGAGCGTAGAAAAACGCCCCGTTGCCGCCTGCCTTCACGGTGATCCAGATCACCATGGCTACGGCCATGGGCGTAACAAGGGCCGTCTTTGCCCAGAACATGTACTGCAGCCTGTGAGTTGGGACGAGGAGGAGCGGGAACTGTATCACCCAGTAGATGAAGTAGGAGATGAGTCCCTGGCTTGTCGTTCCGGCTGAATCTGGCAGATGGTTTGGAAGACGCCCGAAGCTAGGCCAGATAGCGATGAGCATCTAAGGGTCGAACTGGTCAGTAACTTGAGCATGGATCAGTGATGGGATAATACTAACCTGTCTGACACATGTTCCGCCGCTTGCACTCTGAACACCGAACCAGAAGAGGGCCAGGATACCTCGGCTGATCACGACAAAATAGCTGAGCCAGTAGCCGAAGCTCGCACGGACTGCGATGGGAAACGGGATGTGCAGGTCAGATCCTATCGCGCCGTTCAACACGGTCGGGATGGCGTTGCAGATCGCTGCAACTAGGGTGATGAGAATCGCATCCGTGGCAGTCAGCCCGGTGGTCATTATGGAGCTGGCTGCTGTCCATGTCGAGATAGTGACCAGGTCGCTAAACCAATACGTGATGAAGGTCCAACTGGTCCAGGTCCGCTTCTCCACGGGGACGGGATCTTGATCTGTCGGGCGGGTCAGCTCGAGCCTTCAGCGACAAGTTGACCAGTCGCAAGACTTACCCGCGTTTGTCCAGACATCCGGCGGAGCGATGCTGCTCGACTGTTTCGGCAGCAACCAACTCTTTGGCTCAGTGAGGCGAGCATGGACCTTGTTCCTGATGCGTATTCCGCGAGATTGAACTCCAAGGGGATCCATATCTCACTGATCTAGCAATGGCGCAGAAGTTTGCACGTCGGTGTTCCAGCTAGCTGTTCGATCGTGATCAGCAGCCACAGGCAGTCGACCAGCTCACGACATCGTCGCTGGCCATCAACCCTTGCCCGTCGGGGTTTTGTACATTTTGACCTGCACACTCCTTGTACGACTCTGACTAAGAAAGAACTCCAGCGTAAATGCAATGCAGGCTGCATGCTTATCGCCACCTGTGCCACCCGGCATTTACGCCTGATTGCAGACGCATCAAGTCGAGCATCGCAGCTCGTAGCGCCAGATAAGCTGGCAGTCCAACCCTGGGGTGTAACTGCATATCAGTCTGGGGGTTGGAGAGATGATAACACGGCGCGACGTGATAGGAGGCTTTTGCGGCGGCAACCCCGTCTAGTGCCACCATCCATGATCGCCATGCCAGAAGCGGTGTTAGATGCCCCGCATCGTTACCGGACTAGGAAGATCATCAAGGACGGGCGGTGGCCTTTAATAACTGCAGTGCTGTTCTCGCCCTCGGCCGAAATTCATGGAGGCAAGTCTGGCGATTTCTGAACGACATCTTGGACATGTCAAGCCACCGCAGCAAACTGGCCTGTTCGGCCTGCACCCGGAGGAAGGTCAAGTGTTCGAAGACGGTACCCTGTACCAACTGTGTCCGAAGGTAATTGAGGTCTTCTTGTGCACCGAGATTCAGTCGGGACGCCCGGCGTTAATGCCTTGCTGTAGGGGAGAACAGGATATATGTTGTCAAGCAATCGGATCTCCCACAACCACTGAGCTTAAGAGCAGTCCTCTTCAGGACAACACGGTATCGCCTGGAGCAAATCTGCACGATGCCGATGCTCTAAGAGCACGGGTCGTGCAGCTCGAGACGGAGCTTCGCAGTTTCCGGGCGGCTTCGGCTCCCAAACGGCCACCATCGCGAACGAGGACCGAGCCCTCATACCATATCACCCTTTTGGACGAATCGAGGCCAGACGAGCCGACAGCAAGGCATGATATCGGAAACCCAGACGGGGCTGGCGAGCAGGCTCCTGAGCGTGACTCTGTGATCAACGATGCGGCATCGATCCTGGAGTTTCTGGCGTGGGGCAGGCGGAAGAACCCCGACTTTCACTCGGTCGCTTCGCCGGAGGCAGTAGTGAAAGGCCCCGGCGCTTCGGAAGACATCGGCGATGCGCCTTCACAGGACCACTTCCCGGACAATATCGACGATCCCTGCCCACTCGCCGTCCTCCAGATGCTGCTGCCCAGCAAGCGACAGGTTTGGCAACTCGTAGACTACCACGACGAGAGCCTGCTGTGGTACCACGGCAGCTACTACTCGCCCACGTTCAGGAAGCAGCTGCACGACTTTTACTCTCGGTTCAACGGCTCGATCGAGCACGCCGGCGTCAACCTGCAGTGGGTGGCACTGCTCTTCTCCATCTTGGCTGGCACCATCACCTGTGCGCCGGTGTACAGGGCGCATGTTTGGGGCTTTCGTGACCCCGAGCGCGAGACCCTCTCGAGGCGTTGGGCTCGTGCTTCTGTGACTTGTCTGAACCGCGCTGAATACACAGCCAACCACTCCATCCTCTCAGTCCAGGCCATAGCGACCCTGACCATCGCAGCGCACATGCTGGGTCTCTCAAACATGCAGTCAATCCACCTGGCGGCGGCCGTGCGCATTGCGCAGAGCCTTGGCCTCCACCGACTCACTGAAGACTCTCCGGGCACGCCAGTCGAAAAGGAGACGGGAAAGCGAGTCTGGTCCCAACTATGCAGCCAAGACTGGTTCAGCCTCCCGTTCTCGGAGACCTACCTTGTCAACCCCATCTACTCGCATTCGGACCCTCCCCTCAACTGCCATGACGAGGACTTGCTCCCTCTCCCCAACAGCGTCCCGACCATCACCAGTTACTGCCGGTTCCTGAACCGCGTTGCAAACATAATGCCGCAGCTGCAAGACGGCCTAATGTCGTGCAATACTGTCTTCACGAGGTATGAGCAAGTTCTGTTCTGGGACAAGCGCCTTCGAGCCTTGGCGACGGGAGAGCGGCCTGCGTTCCTGGGACACGTGCCTCTGGACCCCGTGTGGCCAGCCTATGTGCCGTGGGCGAGGCGGTCCCTGGCCATCTCGTCAGCCCATAAGATCATCATGATCCACAGGTCCTTCCTCTCGGAGAGCTTCAAGAACCCGGCCTTCGCGTTCACTCGGTGCACGTGTATCGCAGCATCAAAGACAATCATCAGGGAGTACAAGTTCGTCGTGGAGGAGGACGGGCCAGTCCTCTGGATTCACCAGGCATTCTCAGTGGCAGCCTCCATCATTCTCCTCCTTGATCTGCTGCACCGTGATCCGTCGGACAAGGAGTATGCTGAGCATAAACAACTAGCCGAAGGAACAGTGCACATCCTCCGGCGCTGCCAGAACAGCATGATAGCTGCTCGAGGAGTGAAGCTCCTCTCCGCGCTGTTGAAGGAGCTCCCATGCCCGTCCGATACGACCAAGCACTGGCGGAAGCGAGCAGCGGATGACGTCGACGCTGTACCACCGCAAGATGCCAAAGGGCATAAGCGGCAGCGGCGTTTTGACGTTTCGACATTTGTCAAGTCGTACTGCGGCGATGTCACCCAGTCATCCACGGGTAGAACAGGCCCGGAAAATGTCCTTGTGTCGAGTGACGAGACTTTGCCTCCGAGTTGCAATGCCGGTGATGCCGAGGAGCTCACTCTCGGTCCGCAGGAGGGGTTTCAAGACCTAGCAACACACGATCCATTCTACTCTGCGTTGGGGATCGAGGGCTCGACTGATTTTGAGAACTTGTTGTATTTGGCTAATCATGATTTTTCTATGCTATAAGCAGGCAGGGAGAAGCAAGAATCTAACTTGAACCTGACTCAGCCGCTGATCTTGGTAAAGAGGTGCTTGACTGCTCCGCCGACAGCCTCCGGATCTTCGAGAATCACCTGGTGGCCGCTCTTGACAATGAATACAGAACTGTCCCCAGCCACCAGCCTGTTCAGGTCCTCTGATCTTTCAGGAGGGCTGATGCCGTCCAAGTCTCCAGCAACAAATACGGCAGGGCATGTGATCTTTGAATAGTCTGGATCCGTGTGGCTGGGGTCGACCATCATCTCGCAAGTGCGCGCGTAACCCTCCGGATCGGATGCCGCGACAGCAGCATGAAGAGCCTCTCTGATTTTGGGTGGCACGTCTCGCATGTCTGCAGGTGGAAAGTTCGTCGTTGCCGCAAGATCCGCAGCAAACCCGATACCTTTCTCTCGAGTGTTCCTCGCCAGGTCGGTCATTCGTTGGCGGACGATCGGGATGTGGGCGGCTGATCGGCCAGCGGCAAGTAGCGCGAGACCGGCGACGTCTTGGGCGTGCTCTGCGGCGTAGTGCAGGGCGACGATGGCGCCGAGGGAGTGGCCGATGATGACGACCTAGGGAAAGAATGAGCCCCTATCCAACCGAAAACGCATGACAGGTGTATGCCTACCTTTTGCGCTCCCGACTCGCTGCCAGGAGCTGCTTGCAAAGATGTGATGAGATGGTGAATGTCGGAGACATGGCCGCCGACTGAAAAGGGGCCTTCTGTCGACACTGGCGATTTACCAAAGCCTTGGAAATCCACGAGAATGACGCTATAGGACGTGGGCAGGGATGGTAAGAGCGGCACAAACGTCTCTGTCGAACCACCGAGGCCGTGTAAGCATATTAGCAGAGGGCCACTGGAGTTCCCAGCTTGTAGATAATGTATGGCTGTGCCTCCGGGGGTACGGAATACAGAAGATTTCAGCTCAGAGGCAGTCATGGTGGTCAATTGATTCTGTAGAGAGTGCGGTACACCAATGGAAGAGTTCTGACACATGGGGCATTTTCATGGGATGAGTCCCTGAGCATTCGTTGTCTTCGCATTGATTTTCGTGAGTCTCGGCCGGGATCCTCCACAGTGGTTGTGTCCTCGGCCGAGCAAGATCAGTTCGCAGGAGCTGATCTTGCTCCCTCGGCCGAGGCTAAACTCCACCCACGAGTACTGAGGTCAAGCTGACAAGGCTGCTTACGGTCGTTATCTCCAATCTACTCGCGTGCAAGAGATGTGGCAATTTGGGTATAGCTTTTAATGAACTTCAATGTCGTCAGAATACATAGTCAATATCAAAGTGCTTTGTCAAGACAGAAGCAAGTAACGTCTTAACCAATCAGCGTACTCGAAGTCATTTCCACGATGGTTGTCACATCAGTGATCACGGAGGAGACCACAGACGTCCATATCGTCTCGGAAAAGGTCGTCTTCAATCTTCCACATGCTGAGAAGACCACCGGGCGAGTGGTCCCTATGGACCACGGTCCAAACAGCAAGGTTGATTTCGGTGCATCCGTCTACGGCATTGACCTCAACAACTTTACCGATGCCGACTTTGAACTCATCTCAGATGCGTTGCATAAACACAAGATGCTCGTGTTCAAGGAGCAGCCCAAGATGCTCGCTCCCCAGCAGCAGTATCGCTTGACGGCTAGGTAAGCCGGCAGAAGAGTCATTTGCCAAATCGAACGACACTAACGTCTGCAGCTTTGATCCCAACGAGACAACTGGCGGCTTTGCACACGGTGCTGACCCATACTTGACATCGCACAAGGGTCTCAAGATCTACGGCATCCCGAAAAGACCCGCAATCCCGGTCCAGCCCCAGGTGCACATCCTGGGTCGTGGTCCTCTTCCTAAGGAGCACTACGGCTTCCCTCCAGACTTTCAGGTGCAAGGCATTGACCACGAAGAGTTCCATCTCCCGCCTCACATCCCCGCCGAGGAGCGGGAGGCGGGAGCCAGCAGGTTCTACCAGTGGCACTTTGACGGCTCGCTCTACAGCATCCCTCCTCCTCGGGTCGGATGTCTCCTCGCGGTGCGCACTCCCAAGGGCCCAGACGTCACTGTGAGGTGGGACGACGGGACCGGTACCGAGATGAAGATCGCTCCGGGGTCCACCGCCATGGTCGCCGGTTCGCGAGCATTGGAACTGCTTGATGGTGAGACGCGAGAGATTGTGATGAACAGCCGGATCGAGTATGCGCCCCACGCGTTTGTGTGGATGTCAACGGCACACAGCGCGCGCTTGGGGCATCTCTTGGAGACCGAGGGCCTCGAGAAGCCTCTCGACCAACTCCCACCGTGGGACAAGGACAAGGTGTGCATCTACCCGATGGTGTGGACGAACCCCAAGACGGGCGAGAAGTCGCTTCAGGTCCACGGTCAAGGAGCATTCAAGCTGTACCTGAAAGACAGTCCCGATGGAGAGGAGAGAGTGGTTGACGATCTCAAAGAGGTGCGGGAGTTCATGAACAAGTAAGTGACGATCTGCTCTAGCGATTGCTCCTCAACCTCTGACACTGACATCTTCCAGGTTGATGCGGCCAGTGCTAGAGCCCGAAAACATCTACGCGCATCGCCACGAGGAACAAGACGTCATCCTGTGGTACAACCGGGCACTCTGGCACAGCATTGTGAGTTCATGTCATTTCCCTTCCAAGAGTCGCTTGCTCACATAGCAACGAACTAGACCGAGTTCCCCAAATCCTACGGCCCAAGAGTGATGCACCAATGCAATATAGCTGCAAGCGATCATCCATCAGGTTGAAGAGAACTCGCGTGTCAGGAGTATATGTAGCAGATATTGAAAGGACGGTGTGTTCCGGTAGTCCCTGTAATTCATCTCGTGGCACTGAGTCACCTACTGAAGTTCAGATGTAACAATGCGTCTCCGGCGCCAAGGTCATCCTGCTCAATCTAAATGCACTTGTCTCCCACCCTGCCTGCGTCAGGCTCAGCCGTTTACAGAGCATCGTCCTGCCACTCGGGGCGATGACATCTCTCTTGTTAAAACCCTTATGAACATAGCGGTAGTTCTTTCATCAGACGACAAAAAACTAAAAAGCTTTGTACTCTATGGCATCAAGTTTTCTTCCGGGGGTTGCAGTTCAGTCTTTACCATGGCAGCTACTGTGGCATCATACGTTGCCTTCTGATGCCTACGTTGAGCGTTTCTGGCAAAAGGAGGCCACTCGACCGAGGACCAGCCTTCCTGTCCCTGACGGATTTCCACGTCATCTTGACTCCCCGCTTACATGGACTGGCGCAGAAGTTGAAGCAAAACGTCTGCATGAACTTGTGATCTTAATCAAGAGCAACTTCCTTTTAGCAAATCATCATGATCTCTCAGTTCGTCAACCTTCGAACTGCCGCTACACTTTTCCCAGCGTCTGAGGAAGCTTTCTGACCAGATCTACAAGGGTGTTGGCTTCGAACTCATTCGGGGGCTGGAGCCGGCCAAGTATACTCCGAAGCAAAGTCTCATAGTTTACGCGGGTGTGAGTTCCCACGTTTATTCGCAACGAGGATTCGTTGATGTGACAGCCAAAGGCGTTGTTGGTAGGTCGGCCCTAATACACTGGTGGAGCTGTACGCTAATGCACTATCCACGAGAACAGCACATATTGTCAATGTGCAGGCCGGTGGCAAAGGGCCCGACACAACGGCGCCTGCTTTTACCCAGATCCCTCTGGTACGTCGTCCGTAGGACACGTTATGGTGAACAACAAGTCATCTGACAAACGCTCAAAAGTCATTCCACACGGACAACTGCGAGGTGATGGCTTTCTTCTATATGGAGTTGGCTGAAAGCGGCGGGGACACACTCCTCAGCAGTTTGTGGCAGACTTACAATGAGCTCGCAGCCCACCGGCCAGAGGTGCTACGCACGCTGGCAAGACCGTGGGTTTTCGACAGGTACAACTACGTTGCCCATTGCTCTAATCTCTAAACCATCTCAAACAAACGTCGCTATGAGTGGCGCTATGCAATGGAGTCGTTGGGGGCTAACACCATCACTCTCCAGTTTCAAATCCTACGACTTCCAGCCGCCTCGCCACGTCCGACCTCTTCAGAGGCTTGACTCCGACAAGGTGCCAATTCTGATCCGCTTCTCCCGCTATGGTATTCTGGGATGGCAGCGTCAGCGCAACCCAGATCTCCCCGCGCCGACTGAAGATCAGATCGAGGCGGCAGATGCCATACAGTTCATAGCAATGAAGAACGCTTTCAAACTGTCCCCAAAGAAGGGGGACTTGCTGTTCGCAAACGACATGGCTCTCGTCCATGCGCGGGAAGGGTTCGACGACGGTGGTGATGTGAGCAAGAGACATCTCATCAAGATGCACTTTAGGGATCCCGACCAGGGATGGGGCCTTCCCGAATCGGTGGAGAATGAGTGGAAGACTGTGTATCGCTCAAGCGAGCTAGGTGGGAGCCGACAGGAGATCTGGGACATCTTCCACCAGCCTGGGTTGGAAGAAATGTCGTCTGTGAATGGCTAGGTAGCCCGGCTACCGGTCAAACACCCAGTAGGAGGCGGTATTATTGCTATTTCTGGGTACATCTGCTCGTTTCATCCACCGTTCGCTACATGTAGCACGTTGCGATCGTGCCACCATGAGAAGCTTGGGCTTTGGTCAGCAGCAGAGGCCGCAGCGATTCTCTGTGATATTTGTCTTTCAACAAGACCTTTGTGAAATATACGGGCTCCATAGTTCATTATGTTTACATTCTTACCGTCACAAACCTCCCCTTTCAGTACTGAGATTCCTAGCCAACGTGTACCAACGTGGTAAGTTGCCGACGAGCATATCGATCTCAGAAACAAGATGGTTTAAGTGGCAGCTTGGACAGCTCAATCACATCGACTGTCTCCTTAATCGTTACACATCTTCGTCTCCAATAGTAATTCCAGAGGGGAGGAGAGAGGAACGTATATTTCTGCAGAGCTGTGCAGGCCGCTCTTCCAGCTTCCAGCTTATGATAGTATAATGCTGGCATCAGTCTTATGTACAAGCACCATGACCGCGCTCGAGAAGGATTCTTCTTCGCCCTCGGCCTGGATAACCTCGGTACCTATGTCGTCGAACCCGAGATGTGCATAGAGAAATGTGCCGAGGGGGCTGGCGCACACAGTCACCGGCCAGCCCTTCTCTGCAGCATCATCCATGCCCCACTTTGTCATCATGGTGCCGACTCCATGACGTCGGAACTTGGGAAGAACTGCCAGGACGGAGAGGTTGAGTTGCTTGTCAGACCATTTGTAAAAGAAACCGTCGGGCTTGTAGCGCTTCCCAGCCACGGCGACATATGTCTCGACGTGTTTCTTGATGGCATCGCGTCGTTCGTCTAGTCCGCGGTCTGCGGGAGTTTGTGATTTAGCGAGGGGTGCCCAATCACGAGGATTGGTGAAAACATGCCCATTGGTGGCGCGTCGGCCAGTACGGCAATGTTCCAAACTGCAATGCCGATGAGCTCGCGTCCCCTGTCTCCAGGCGGCTGGTCGGCAGCCTCAGCCACGTGGACCAGGTACTTGTGCGGATTGTCCAAGTAGTACTCGTATTCCCTTCTCAGCCACTTGAAATGATCGTCGGTGTATTGGAATCGGAGAGGGTAGCAGTAATTGTCCATAGGCTCCTCCACGAAGCTATCGATATGGATTTGGGTGACGGTACTGAGATCGGCGTGGGTCGCCTCCCTGAGGCCCTGTAGGGAGGCAGACGCGGGCGGGGAGTCCATCTTCATCTTCTGGGCAAAGTCTTTGGCCGAGTGACAGGCAGGTCCGTCAGGCAGAATGAGGCGACCGAGAGACTTTCACTTTCGTATTTGACCAACTCTTCCGTTCCTTATATCATCGGCCAGGGGGTGGTGCCACGTTTTCCACCAGCGTGAGGTGTGCTGACCAGCCAGAGCTACCGATTTCCTATCTGGAAACAGCTGCGCTCACCGTTTGCCTCTATCATCACGGCCGGGTTGGGGAGGCCCGCGTCTGGCAGGTACATTGCATGCAGGGAGGGGTAGCCACAGTCACCGATTTCCTTGTTGGGAAAGGCGGCGTCAACAGGCTCGGGCCAGAGGCGCAGAGAGGCCCACACATGCATGATGACAAAGATCACCAGGGCGGGCTTGAGACACGCCCAGTGATTCACCCGGTAATCACAAAACAGGTTCGATTTGAAGACATGATCTAGATTACAGCCGATCTCGCTCGTATTCTTTGCATATGCAGTGTGAGCTACAGAACACCTGTCTTCATTACTTCTAGGACAACGGGAGGTCTAATAATACATTCCAAAAAGGTTGGCAACCCCGGCCAAAAAGCTAGCCCGGGCACGCCGCTTCGGAACGAATGACTCACAAGCAAAGGAATCAGGGACTGAACATAAATCATAGATAGAAAAGGCTAGTTCACAAGCCGTTCAAAAGGGCCAGTCACGACAACAAGAAGTCCTGTTCACTGCATGCCAGAAACGGCCCTGCATGCGGGAACCCAGCTCTACAGTCGTCAGAGAGCAACTGGTGACACCAGTACATCTCAGTCTCGTACATGAACTCGTTCCTGAGGCTATGTAGCATTTCCTCTTTGGTCTCTCGTCAGTACTCGCCATAAACTTTGCGCTCTGCCATGATTGGACCTGTACTCACTTTGGCTCTGAATTTCGCCATTGATATCGGCCAAAAAGTCAATCTGGCCTTGGGACATGATTGACCCATCAAAGTCGAGCGCGCTCTTGGACAGAGAAAACGGAGCAGCGCCGCCGGAAGCAAAGTGGAAGTAAGAAAGTACAGTCCTGCAACCGTGGTAGTAGGCGTCGCTGAGAGAATCCCCATCATTCGATCTCGGCGCAAACTTGCAGCAAAGGGCCTATGTGAGCAAAGTGAATGACGCAGGGTCTTGGGCAAAGCTTACACTGTTGCCGTATCGTCTGGAGTAGTCAACGACTTGGCTGATGATCACTTCCGAGTTGTGAAGGATTATAAAGGTGGCAAGGTAGATCTCGTACCAGTTCTCCCTCTTCTTCTCCAAAATTTTCTTCTCGAGGAGATCCAAGAGTTTCTCTTTGAGAGGTTTCAGTACGTGCTTGATGGTGATTTCGTCGAGCTGAGTATCCATGATAGGTGTGACGGGGACTGCCTTGACGTATGGATTGAACCGGCATGGACCAATACGCTCTGTCATAGGCTCAAGTCCAAGCATATCGTCTCCGGTAATGAGCCAGAACCTCTCGATCATACGAGTCGCCGACCAGAACATCAAAGCACCAGTCACGAGAGCGCTCTGATATGGGCAGTATTTAGCAAAAGGGATGGGATGGGATGACAGAGAATGCGTACCTTGGATTCACGGATGAATCTTTCTGCCTCTTTGAAGGTCTTGAGAACGATGGGATTGCTGTTGACCAGAAGCCTTTGGGTGAATTCTCCTCTGGCTTTGGATGTATACTTGCGCAGATTCCGGCCGGCCTCTTCCAAGTCCGATATGTAGTATGGAGGCAGCTCATAAGTCTGCTTGCATCCCGCGGCATCAGTCCAAGAGTAGCTCGTCGTATCGCCCGGACCGGCCTCGTAGCGTGATAGGGTCACCTCAAAGGTGGTAGTGCAGACGTCATGGGTGAGCTGCACCTTGTGCGGGGGCTCGAAGACTGTTGTTCCATCTTGCAGGAATGAATTGTTCTTCCTCGGCTCTTTGGATCGCATCCACTTTTGAAGACTGCCAAGTTTGTCCAATGTTGTACCTAGACGACACAATCAGAAAAGGGCAGCACGGCAATCCAAGCGCAAGGGACGCGTTACCAAGTCGGAACAGCTTTATGTCAACGATGTCGACGCGACAGCAAGGCTTCTGGAGGAGGTAGAAAGGAATACCAGCGCATCGCCCACAAGGCGCAAAGTCGTCTTTGCCTCGTTCGCACTAGGTAGATAGCGTAGCGTTAGACCAGACAACTCCCCCGCATTAATCACATCACACTACACTGTATTGCACTTACCCGACTCTTCCTTCTTTGACAAGCCTTACATGCCCCGAGTTTCCTTGTGTGAGCCGTAGAGGTCCGAGACTGCTCATCGAATCTAGACCTTTTGTTGCCGTAAGCCCGGAAGACGATCTGGTTGGAGGTCGAACATCCTCGTTTCTTCGACACTGTGGGTGGCTGGGAAGAACTTGGGTCTGTCGTCGACCATGTTGCCAGAATGGTTGCCGTTTGCGACGTCTATCAGAGGTATAGGCCCCCATCCTTGGGCTTCGAGACCAGAAGTGGACTCCAATCGATCCTCCTGAGCAAGTGCTGGGCGGTAAGAAGCAAGAGTAGTCGATGCCAGGTTGGAATGCAGGATCGTGGGTTCCGAATGCTGTTGAGCCGGAGAAAGGTTCAGCAGCGGATCGAGCGACTGGAGCGACCCGCCGCTATTGACCAACGAAAGCGAACTATTTTCTAGGTGGAATGCACCGGTGTTGAAATCAATACTATGATGGGACTAGAACGGGTGAGGCAGTTCGCTCTCTATCGCCCAGGGGAAGTCTTGTGGGTGGGACTCGGGCGAAATCACGCTAGCAGTTTGGGGTAGGAGTGGGAAAGGGTTCAGCTCAGGTTGGGGCGAGTGGTTGCTCGGGAGAAGCGCATGTGCAAGCCCATGGACTGCTCCATCCGTCGCCGGCAAGGTCGTGCGAGTGGGAAATGCCTCCGCAACGGCGGCGGCGAAACCGTCCTAGTATCCTGCGATGTACCTGGGGTCGTCATCCCGCCCGCTTTCCGCGGGAGTTTGCTGGCTTCCGGCCTGTTGTGCATGCGTTTTCGGAGACCGTGGCATGGTGCTGGCGTGTTGTCGACCTTGCCCACCGGCTTGGGTCGCAAATCGCCATCATTTATAGACGCAGAGCGATCCGAGCTGGAGGTCCCTGGGGCATCAGGCATCAGATCGATGTGGTGGTTGGCAGGCCTGAGGGATCAGGGGTGAGCCAATAACCGTCGCCCAGCGAAAAGCAAGCAGCCGCCGCTAGGGCTAGCGTTCCCGTGACCTGCTGCGTGCTAACTCGAATTGGAAATCGGTAGGTGGAAGGCCCGCCTTGGCTGTCACGCACCTCCAGGGCTGTGGCTGTTACTGTTGCGCCCAGGTTCGAGGCTGAACCCAGACCAGACAGCTCGAATATTAATTCCCGCCGCCGTTTGGACTTCGCTTTTGCAACATCCGTCGGGCTTCCAGAACTCCTCCACACCTTGCAGCGCACTTTACACCCAGCTTGGGCGGCCATTCGCGCTGCCGCGACCATCTCAAGGACCTTCCCTCGCGTGCTGTTGGTCACTGGATCACCTGGCTTTCGTGATATCTGAGCGCTCCAACCCAGCCTGGCGAGCACTTGCATTCAGCGACGCCGCGCGGATCAAGTTGCCATTATTCTATCCTGTTCCCTATCCTGTTTCCTTTGTACTTTTCTTTGACAATAGCCTTTTCATCGCGCCCTTCACCTGTCAATGGCTCTGGCACAGGCGGAATTGAGCCTCCCGGGCTCGTTCGACCCAATGGTATCCCAGCAGCGATCGGGCATGTCTCGCGACTCCAACCCTGACCCGGCAGAGAGCCAAGGAGCCACCGGGGGAGACGAAGAGCCTCTTCTCGGGGAGCAATCTTCTCAGCCCAGAAAGAGCCCGCGCCTGCTGTTGTTCGCGGGCCCGGCTCTGCTTCTGAGGTGGGTCCCTCGCCTAGAATGGTCTCTCTCGCTCTGCGCTGACACGCATACGCGCATAAAGCTCCTTCGTCTCCGTGTTGGATCTCTCTTATTTTGCGGCCAACTACAGCCGCAGGATCGGTACGTCCTCGCGCGTCGACTCCCATCATTAGCAGCTCACCCTGACCGTACTAGCCGACAATCTACACCAAGTCGGGCATGCAAGCTGGTTGGTAACTGGCTACCTCATCACCGAGTCGGCTTTTCAGCCGATGGTCAGTCTTGTCTGCATTCCCCGTCTCTGTCACCGCCGCTCATGCCCAATCAGTATGCTCAACTTGGACTGTATAAAGGACACAAGATGTCTCTCATCGCTGCCGCCTCGGCCATGTCACTTGGACTGTTTCTGTGGTACGTTCCTGTGTCAAACCCTTCGCTTCCACCTACCCCATTAACAAGCTCCAGCTCGCTGAGTCAGAACATCTGGCAACTAACAATTTCACGAGCTGTTGTTGGAGTCGGTGCCGCCGGCTTGGAGCTACTCGTTCTTGTCATTATCAACGGTTTGTGACTGTCCACATCCAGCGTGATGAGCAGCCTCTCTAATCTAGTGTTAGATCATGTGGACTTGTACTCTCTTCCATTGTGAAGGACCATACTCACCGCGACCTCGACCATCGCAAGTTTCCTGGGACCCTTGGCCGGGGCGGCACTCACTGACTTGGGCGGCTTTCGTTCGTAGGTTTCCCTCCTCTATCCTGCGTGCCCAGCGTCGAGCAGGTCTCGAATAACACATGTCACAGGGTCTTTGGTCTGGAGTTCATTCTAATGCTGGTTGGGACCATTGGCATCAAAGCCACTCTTCGGATGCCGGGATCGAGCGGCCGAAGTGTCCGCCCCTTCGGCCAGTCTATTGACTATGTTGGTGCCGGACTTTTGCTACTTGCAGTGGCCACTTCCCTTGTCACCATCAACCTCGGCGGCCAAGTTCTGTCTTGGAGCCATCCTATCATGCTCTGTCTCTATGTTCTCACACTATTCCTCACTGGTTTCTTTTTCCGCTCGCAGACCTGTCGTGAAGGTCAGACGCTTGTGCCACTTCGATTCCTTCGCAAGAAGTCCGTGGTAGTCGTCTTTGCCTGCGGGCTTCCGGCTTGGCTTTCCTGGGATCAGGTGATGAATTATTCCTTGCTCCCCTGGATGTTTCTGACACTTGGCAGCTCAAATATGGGCTGGGCCAATATGTCCAAGCTCGGTCCATGAGGTCACCCCCCGAGTCAGCATTCTCAGACTGGGCTTTAAGCTGTGTCTTTCTGGGGATACCACTAGGAAGCTTCCTCAGCGGCGTCATCATTCGACGATATCGTGCACTCAGGATACTCCTTCGTGTTGTCGCCGTGCTCAACTTTATACTTTACGTCTGCTTTGCTGCAGGCTTGATACGTATGTCGCAGTACGTCACGTATTGGGGTAAATATACTGACCGCTTTGTCCATAGACCCGGAGAATGCGGCATTCGCTCCGGTTCTTATCCTACTAGGCCTCAACGTCGGCGTGCTCGACTGCTGCTGGATGGTGTCCATCTTTGCCCAGGCTGCTCCTCAAGGTAAGGCACAGACTCCTGCTGCCAGAAAGCATGCTCAAGCCTATCACGCAGACCAGCCTGCTCTTTACGCCTTTTTTGATCTGGGGCGTGCCAACACCGGCAATATCGGCATCGCAGTGGCTCTGGCTTCTACCAACTCGATGATTCGCTCGAATCTTGAGTCTGCGCTGGCCTCCTACCCCGACAAAGAAGAGGTAATCTGACGTCTATTTTCCAGCCTCAGTTTCCTGGGTACAATATGCTGACTTGGTTCCTTAGATCATTTCCAAGAGTCTAGAGAGTTTCAGCGCCATCCGCAATTTCCCAGAGGCTGTTCAGCACGTTGTCCTGGACGCCTTCATCTCATCGGGCGAGAAGGCCTTTGGTATTGAACCCCCTAACCTGGAGATCCTGGACAGGGCTAACTGCGCTACAGCAATTTCGTGCGCCGTCCTGGTCATTAGTGTCGTCGCTGCCTTTTACATCTCGGAGGCCGAGGAAGTACTGGTCAAGGATAGCAGAGAGGAGTAAAGCATCGCGGCTCAGTGGACTCTGGACATTTGTACGGAGTATGGGTCCAAGTGTGCCGTCTCACCGCAGGTTCCTGCGAGTCTACGTACTCTTCAGCGCAGGTGTTCTAACGCGTGGAAAGTCTATAGATTCTAGTAAACTTCAGAAGATCCGAGCCCATGTGTCAGGGTGCGTAGCTAGGTCTAGTTACCCTTCTCTGAAGGACTGTTTAGCTATGGCCAGCTAATTAAAAAGAGGTCTCAATGAACAAGAAAAGACAAAAACAACCTGTTTGTCCCCTTCCCTTGCCCTCTTTGTATTGTCCTACTGCACTATCCAAATCCTTTGCTGGAAGGCTCTTGAGCTTGATACGCAAGATGTTCCCAGACTTGCAGGTTGGATGATCCAGGGCTCCTCGCGCGAGGGCCGCCCCGGAGACGCCGTGCTGAGCTGATGGGCGGAGTCTCCCTGAGGTAAGTGAGCGCCTTGGTCTGCAACAGATAGCGTAGGGAGGATTAAGAGAGAGTAAAAGTATCCAGCTGCAGGCCAGGCAGGACAACTTGTCTCACCATGGCAACAAGCCTGACCAGGATTCATAAGCGGTTCGTATCTGACAGAGATTTCCAGGGGAGTCGCAACTTTGGATCCTAGCTGCGCGGAATCGGCTGGATCTGCACGCCGCTGGGAGGAGTAGGCGGCGTGGCCTGCCCATCAGACCCCTTGCCGATGGCGTCCTCGCGAGTAGACGGTGTCGCAATAGGGCCATCAGCGGCTTTGCGCCTCTTCTGCAGAACATCGTCCACCCAGCGCGCGATGGCCATGACGAGACCCGCGGCTAGTACGGCGATGGCTACACTGAAACCGCGTCGGTACAATGGCCTGTCGTCTCTCCGGAAGATCTGTGCGCCGTAGATCCCAGCGATATTGGCACCCATGATCACACTGTTGAAAAACGGAGAACGGTTAGCTGCTAGAAGAAAAGGACAGGGCAGGAGTTAGACTCAGCCTACCCAGCCATAGCGAGAGCGCGCTGCTCAGAGTCGTCGCAAGCGAGCGACAGCCACGCAATGTTGAGCGGATGCGAAAATGTGCCAAAGGTCTGCGTCCAGACCACGCCAAAGTAGCGCACACCGCGCTGAGGCACGCCGGTGAACGCACGGTTGAAGACGTATCCGAGGAGATGGCAGAAGAAGCCGAGCATGACGGTTTCGCCTCTCCGGTTTCTACAGAGGCATGTCATCAGTACGTGGTTCTTGTATGAAAAACCCCGATTCCCGGCATACGTACTTGTGATCAGAGACCCAACTAAAGGCAAAGGACACGGGGACCTGCAGGAAGAGACCAACAGAGGCCATGGCGTTGCTGACAAGGCTTCCAAAACCAAAGCTCGTGACGATGGACGGCGCGTAGGTGTCGAATGCGCGCTGGGGCCCGTTGTTCGTAAGGGTGATGAGGAAATGGAGCCAGAGGCGCCAGTTCGTGAACTACAGTGTCGCGAGAGATCTCATGTCAGCGGTGGAAGACATTTTGCAGAGATGAAGCATAACTCACCGCTCTCTTGAAAGCGTCGAGCCCGATCTTGCTCTTCTTCTTCCCCTTCATTGGGTCATCGATCAACACCCTGGTCTGTAGGATATGGAGTTCCCGCTCCGTGAAGACGTTCACCCTGGGAAGGAATGTGCTCTGGGGTCGCTTGAATGAATCAGGGAGGAAAAAGCCAAACACAAACCCTCCCAGCACGGTGAAGGCTCCCATCAGCGCGAACAGCCAGAACCAGCCGGGCTGCCCTCCGACGCCACGCATGTGCAGGATTCCGTACGCGAGCAGCTTCGCGGACGCTTGGCCGATCTGGTTACCGAAGTAGAATACCATGACTCGCTTGGCCGTCTCGTCACGGGTGTACCAGGTCGACAGGGTCCATAAGCCACCCGGTATGAATCCCGACTCCGTGATGCCGAGGAGGAAGCGGGTCGCGATGAAGGCGCCGTAGCCGCGTTGGAAGGCCTGGAAGGTGCTCACGACTCCGAACAGGAACAGCTGGAGGGTAAGCCACTTGCCGGGCCCGACTCGGTAAAGGATCATGTTGGACGGGATTTCGAAAAGCACAATGCCCAGTGATAGCATCTGCTGGCCGATGTTGAACTGGTCTTGGTTGATCCCGACATCTTCCATGAATTTGTCGGTAATCGCATTGGCCATGTTGCCACGGTCGAGTTCTGTTTAGTGACAGTCCATGTCAGTCACGTATGCACTCAAGAGTTTCGGAGGGTCTGCGTCAAGCAAGTACTCACGGAGGCAGAAGAAGCCAAGTGTAAGAATAGGCATAATAATCAGGTCCAACCTGTCACGGAGGCTTAATTAGTCTTCACTCTTCTTTATGGTGAGCGGAGCACCGGTGATCTTACTTTCTCTTTGCTTTGCGTTCTTCCTCACTACTCCAGTCCACCACTCGGGTAAGAGGCTCTTCATCATCCCCCACTGGGCCGTGGATGCCGGCGTTTTCGTTCTTGAAACCAGCCATCGACAGCCACCTCTGGCTTGGGATTGTCTCGTGTGAGTTGGTCAGTAGGCCTTGATAATAGCTCGGAACTGGGTTTCAAGCAGAGAGGAGTCTTTGGACTCAACCTCCATCTGCCGGAAGCGTTGAGTCTAGAGTTCTTATGGTCCATATCCGCCATCGGGGTTGCGGGTGTAGAGGCTGTGCAGGATCTGACAACAATTGCGAAACAGATCAACTCAAGCACGCAATTATGAGTTTTCTAAGAGCGGTCTTGCTTTATTGGAGTGTTGCTTTCTTGGTATTCTGGGCAGGCGCCCGCTTCGCGGCACGCTCCCGTTTTGGTGTCTTGGTATCGCGGCGGACTGCGAGCAAGGCGTGGCTTGGCCGCTGGGCAACCTCCAAACGCGACTTCGGCTTCCATGTCGTCATTGAGTGTATGTCGAATGTTATTTGCAAGATTTCGTGGGGGTTTCGCTTCTGGAAAGCTAGTAGACAGACGTGATGGATGTTATTCGTTGCCTATCGCCTCCTGACAAGGTTCTGCCCCGTCTACTCTTCCTTTCGATCTTGGCCCTGCAATTCGTGATCGGGCCAGTACGCCAAAATGAGATGTATTGGCTGACAATATTAATATCCCTTTCCATTAACGTAACATCGTCCGATAAATAATGGCACAAAAAGACAAAGAACACACAAGTACAACTGCAAGCGCAAGCAGACGCCTTTGGAGACCTCGCACCTGTACTGGCCCTCATCCCAGCGCTGGGTCCAGCCACCTCTGATCAGGGGTCGCTGCACCAGCCACCGTCGACGACATATGAGCTCCCAGTGACCGCACTGGCCTCGTCACTGGCCAAAAAGACAATGACCTTGGCCACCTCGACAGGCTCCAGGTCGCGCTGCAGACTCTGCCCACGCATGACCTCCGCACGGTACTCGGGCGTGAGGACCTCTTCCCTCTGTCTCTTCGTCGCAATTGCTCCCGGCATGACGCTGTTGATCCGGATGTTGTGCTGGCCAACTTCCTTGCTCTGCGTGCGGGTCAGGCCCATGATTGCTGCCTTGCAGGCACCGTAGACAGGCGTGCCGGCGGCCGGGATGCGCCAGGTAATCGAGCCCAGGTTCACGATGCTCCCGCCCCCGGCCTTCTTCATAGCAGGCAGCACAGCCTGCGTGAGGAAGAAGCAGTGCCTCAGGTTGACGTTGATGCTGAACTCCCAGTCCTCGGCTGTCACCTTGTCGGTGTTCTGTCGAGCTTTGCTGGCGCCTGTTGCCGCGTTGTTGACCAGGACGTGGATGGTGCCGTACTCCTCCAAGACCTTGGCGGCGGTGGCTTGTAGTTCCTCCAGGTTCGAGACGTCGCAGTAGAAGAACGCCGGCGTGCGAATGTCACTCCCGCCAGGAGCCTTGGGTTTACCGGACAGCGCGACGACGCGGGCGAGGGTCTGTTGCGCCGAAGCTCTAGCGATGTCGAGGAAGATGACCTGGCATCCCTGGAGCGAGAAGAGCTCAACCGTGGCTGCCCCGATGCCCTCGGCCCCGCCGGTGATGAGGACATTCTTGCCCCGAAGGCTGGGATAGATGGCGTGGCTGGCTGGCATTGTTTCTTGGTTGGTGTGTGAGGTCGATTCAGTCAGTCCTGTCCCGGGCGGTCCGCATAGTATATGTCTGTTTCAAAGGGCGAGTTCGGAATGTCACGTTTCATCAGAGGGATGCATCACTTGAGGGAGTCATCGGCCAGCCACCACCACACCTCTACCCCGCCTGCTGAGCAAGCCACTACCCCGCCTGCCTCCTCTAGAATCGGTGGGTCAGACAGTCCGCGGCAGGGTCTGATTACGGAGCTCCGATGCCGGGTGGGGCACTGAGCCCCGAAATCTCGGGCCCTGAGCACTTCTTGGAAGTGCATGGCCTACAATAGCCCCTTGCATGTGGGATAATAATGGAGTGAAAGACGTGTCTAATAACCCTAGTGATAAAACGGAGCACCGCAAAACTCATAGTGTATTTGGAGTCATGAGGAGACTTAGAAGTAGTCGTAATCAAAACTGAACTTCGTCCTCTGCAGGCATCTCATCCACAGGTTCTGACTCGGAGCTCGTTCCAGAGACAAACTTCCCATTCACCTCACTTGTTTCCGATGACACGCCCTCGCTCCCTAATGCAAGGAGTCAGTGATGTCAACGAGCTTTACATCAAAGGGTAGAATCAGGGCATTATGGCAATGGCAATTCTTGCGAATGTGACATACCTGGCTCCCTGGTGGAGTGATGCTGGTTCAGCCTTTTGAGATCGTGCAGGCCTTCCTCGAGGACATTGAGCTTTTCTTGATACTGCGCCCGCGTGCGAGTGGTCTCTTCGCTCTCAGCTGCGAGACTTCGGACATCGTCGTCTGTGAGATCGTAGACGGTTGCGGCATCAAATAGGGAGGGCAGCTTGCGTAGAAGACAAGCCTCGATAGCCAGAACGCCGATGTCGTCAATGAACCTTTTGATAGCAACCTGGGATTCAAGCCGTTAGGTTTTGCATTGAATTGAAATCGATATCATGGAGACCAGAATGCCCACAAGAAGACAGAGTTTCAAGAGCATCTCCGTTATGGCTGACAGAATGATTCAAGGTGAACAGACTGCTTGCTTACCTTATAGTAGGCCTGCATGTAGTCAATGGCAGACTCACACCCAGATCTCTCGGGATCAACCTCAATCCTCTTTGTAAATGCTGCCAGAATAGTGCGGGCGTCGATTTTGTCATCAAAATGATTGGTAAAGATTTGTTCAAATTGTCGTTGGATCCTGCGTGCTTGAGCCTTCTGCACATTGTCCGTCAAATAGTGGTTATACGTGATCGGATGAAAGCTCGAGTGCGGCTCGAGCAGTTCGTGGACTTTGTCGTCAAGTTCCTTTTCCACCCTGTGCAGCGTGCCACACACAAGGCGGATTAGATTGTCTGCGATCTCGTCGACGACGAGGTGTTCGAGTATGGTTTCGATCGCGCGGTGAACCGTCTCGAGGATCGAGTCCTTGACGGCCAAAGCGATCATCTTCCAGGGCTTGCATTGCTCCGCAAACAGCTGACCTACGAGCAAAGGATTGAAGGTTCCTGGGAGTTCCGTTCCTCGGTTCCGACGCATGAGATCCTTGACGTGTTCCAAGTAGTCCGAACGGCATATTTGACCTTTTTGAAGCGCAGATTTGTTGGGTTCCTCCAAGATGACACGGTTTTCCCCATGAAGCCGCATGTCTTCAGCAAACTGGGCCAGCCTGTTCTGAACCACTGCTCTGACGCGCTTTTGATATCCGTCCTCTTGTTCTGCGCTTCCGAAAAACGGATCATTGTAGCTGCCGTCGAGCGAAGCTCTGATGAGCATTGAGAACTGCTCGCCGATATGGTGGAGATACCTACGCTGCTCGGCCAGACTTCCTCTCGAAGCTCCGAGGCGTGCGAGATGGTGCTGACAGTCAAGTATGCGGGCTTCGACGTCCTCGACTAGGCTAGGAAGCTGCCGCAGAATCTGCTGTTTGAGGACCTCGCTGAGCCGCGGTCTGAGAGCGTGGATTCCAAGACATGCTGGATCAACGGACGCCCAAAGGCCCTCGGAGAGGTACTTTTCCTCGGCTCTGTCACGCTCGCTCGATGAGGCATCCCGCATCTCGAAGTTGCGGTTTTTCAGCACATGCCAGCCCAGTTTTAGCACAACGTTTTCGTTTCGAGCCATCTCCACATAGCTTGATTCGCTCTCTGACCCCCTCTCGAGAAGGTCCGGTTTGGTGATCAGGCCAAGGGTTCGCAGGCCTCGGGGATCGACTTCCCGAGCCAGTTCAGTCACATCCTGGAGGACGAACTCGCTCTTCGCCGAGACGACTGCGAGGATGATGCTCCTTGGGCGTTTCATGTAGCCCCGGACCATCTTCTTCACAATGGCGGCGCCACCGGCAGTCTGATCCTTGTCAGATGCTCGATAGAGCCCGGGGAGGTCGACCAAGGTTAGGTGCGGCTGATTCGGCCCGCTCAACTCGACGCGCAGAGTGTCGGTCGCAAAGTCGCTCTCAGAGAGGCCCATGGCGACCCTTGCTGCTTCGATCGCAAGTCGCAGGTCGGGATGCTTGATGTCGACATCGTAGTTGAATTGGGCAAGTCGTTTTTTCTCCTGAGCAGACCTGTCCGGGCCGGGCGTAATCGACACCTTGACGCCAGCCGTCGCATATCGGCGGAGGACAAGCTCAGTGGCGAACTGGGTGCAGAGAGTGCTTTTGGTGGGAAACGATATACCAGAGATGGCTTCCAGCACCGAGCTCTTCCCGGCACTCTGGTCACCGCAGACGATGATTTCCGGGAGGGCAATGTCTCTGCTGAGGCCCTTGGCACGGAGCCTGTCGATAATGTCGAGTAGGTCACGATGATCCTTCGACTGGAGGTTGACGGATACCATCTTGATTGTCGTTGTGACGTCTTTGAGAGATTTCTTTCTAATTTCGCAGGGCAGATTGTGAGTTTCCAGATACAGAATCTCTCATGGACCTCCGGAGCATGTCTGGTTCGTTATGTACCTGGGCGGTACAGAAGTGAGGCGGAAGCTTGCAGTTTGTTGAGAATGTCCACGACAAATAAACGTTCAACACATGCCCAACGAACGCGGGGTTGGCAGTATCGAGAGCAAGACGCATCATGCCACAGGTGAAAGCATGCGCTGCCACCAATGATCTCTCTCGGTTTGGGCACCTTGCATTCGCCGGCCTGCGGGAGGCCGACCAACTCCACAAGCCGACAGGGAGAAGTAAGGCGGCCCATGGCGAGCGTGCACGCATTCAATCCATTCGTGAAGAAGGTGCGCGACCTAGAAAAGAAAAGAAAAGATCAAACTAATGAAACGACTGCCTTCGCCGCTCTGCCATATGCGATCAACATCAAAGCCGTCAGATCCAAATTTTGCGCCAAGTCGGAGGAACCACGGCGGAATCTGCCAGGGCCGAAACATAGCATCGTGCCCGGCGTCTTCAAGAAACGAAGAGGGTTGGAATTGCACCAAGTGACTGAGAGTAAGACTGTGGCGATGCACAGCCTGTAGTAATATTAATGCGCGGCTGCAGACGATAGAGGTTGCAACGTGACTTGATTGGGGGCGTAATGTCACACCAAGGGTCGCATCTTGGTCATCTCTTCACACCAGCACAGCGCAGAACACTGCGCGGACACACAATTATAGAGGCGCCTGTGGCTTGACGGCGGCATAGCCGTTTCTATCTTGATACAGGGTAACTCTTGTGATGAGTCGCCTCAGAAGGCTGAATCTGACCGTAGTTGAAGGCCAAGTATGTTCAAGAACTATATATCTGGGACTTGGGGTCTCAATTTAATCGGCATGGTCAAAAGGTGCTCAAGCATTAGTTAGATTGAGACAACTATTATACTTCCACGCATTCAAACATCTAAAGCACTAAGTCTACCTACTTCTGAAGAACAGTATGCGCGCCGCACAACTCGCCGTCGCCTGCTTGGCGGCGTCTGTAGCCTGTGAAACACACCTCAACGTTACCGCGATCGGCGCCAGCGACGGTCTGTCAAGGTTCGAGTGCTGGCAGATGAATGCGCCGTTCTCGATATCAAACGACAAGGCCACCAAGGGAGCAGGCATAGCACAGCTCGGCAACGTCTCGAACCTCATCTGGTCGATTGGCTATCCTGGGCAAACCGTCGCAGCGCATACTGCGCCATTCAACCAGTGGGTCGATATCCATGCCATAACTTCTTACGCGAACTGACGCCTTTGGGTTAGATGGGTCGTACTACTAGAGGGCTTTGCCCACATCGCGCTCGCTCACAACAAGTCCGACGTCGTCTACATGACCGGCGGCAAGTTTGGCATTCTCTTCGCATCGGACACGGCTGATGTCAGCAAGGAGGGCCACATCAGCACATACCTTGGCACCTCGGAGAGTGTCTTTCTCCAGATACCGATCGCAGACGGGTTCCCTCCGGAGCACAAAACGCTTCACATGGGTCCTTGCAAGACGGAGGAGTTGACGGGCTCCTGATGACGCGGAGCGGTTGAGTCCGAGAGCGAAGTCCGATAATTAGTGGGGACTGACTCTTCTGCTAATGGGTGAACCCCAACACACGACGGTCCGTCGGCCTGATGTCTTAAAGCTATAAGATCCGTTTCTGGAGATAACCGGCCTTAGCCACCGGCCTTAGCGGACGCGAAGCTGGCCAGTATCGTGTAGCTAACATCGCGAAGAAAGTCGAATAAATGCCATATATAAACTACAGGTCTTGTGCAATGATGATGATGATGCTCAAGTCTTTTAAGAGTCGTCCTCATCCGCTTGTTCATTGCAGCTAAAGCGTTCAAACACTACAGCAGCCATTTCCGCATTCAAATCATCAAATTTAACCGCCGTCACCATGGCCGCCATTCCATCCCTTCCAGCTACCCTAAGCCCTCCTCTGAGCGGCCGTGATGCTGTAGCCGATGCCCTGTACCGACTCATCTTGGGCCTCGATTCCAATGACAAGGATCTCTTCGACTCGGCCATCACGGACGACATGGCGTTTACAGTCAACGGAAAGACTACGCAAGGCCGGGAGGCCATACACAGTGAACTCTTCGGCAGAATCGGCAAACTCGACACCACCCATCACATAACTAACCTGCGGATCAACATCTTGGACGGAGAGAAGAAGGCCTCTCTGACCGCAATCGCCCTGGCCCAGCATTACAACGAGGGCAAGGGGATGGCTCCGGAGCAGCCATACCTGCTCATTGGTAGTCTGTATCGCATCGAGCTCGTCAAGGGCGAATCAGATGGGCAGTGGAGGGTTGAGAAGTTTGACATGAAGACAAACTGGGCCCAGGGAGAATGGAGCATTCTGCTGGGTAACTGAGAGACGGTGTTTTGTATGGTACTTTAAGGCGTGATGGGCGAATAATAACTCAACTTCTCTGCTCTTTAACCAACGGTTCTCTACTGTAAATCACATCTCAAACAGGTTGCTATTGCTCTGTACCCTCACATGTGAGAGGAGCTGCGGTATCACGCGATGGCTATTATGCTGACGAGTGCCTAAAACGACTGACTTCGAAGAGTATTGTATACAAAGGGCCCACTATAGCTAGTGATGTTATCTAGGAGCTCGATCAACTTACCTCAGATGAGCCTATGAGAGGGAATTGGGTTGATGCAGGCTGGGCCGTACTTCCAGAACAGTGGCTCATCTGAGGCGATCTGTGAACAGAATCGCATCTTATCAAGGGTTCTTATGGGTCGGATTGGAAGTGTATATGAATGGTTCCATTGCAATACTTGTCGTAAAGCATGATATATGCAGCCCTCCTCCCAAACCGCCCAATGGCTTGACCGCTGAATCTTTCCCATCGGGCGCAGTGTGGTTACGGTGGAGCACGCAATCCAACAGCCGAATGTCTCAAGCGCGCACGTTATTATCTTGATGACACCACCTCAAGCTGTCGAACTCTCCAAGGCGGGGTAGGACGTATATATCAAGGTCAAATCCCTTGCTGGTGGCCAGGCAACATTTTCAATCAAGCAAATAGTAGCCATCTCCGAGTCAAGTCCCACGAGAGTTCTTCAGAATGGTACCGCCCTCAGCCATAGAAACCATCACGGAGCCCGTGACCCAGACCAATGCCTATCTCCGCCTCCATCCCGCAGGGACAGGCAACTACACTGACTTCAGCAGCGGCAACAATTACAAGCGGGAGAAGGAGGAGCAGGGCGGAGATGGCGTGAAGCCCGCCTCAGTAAGCCAGCATCTCCGTCTCTGTTGCACTCTCTGGCATCATTAACAAGAGTCAACAGTATCCCAACTACCTACCCACATGGGACCCCAAGCAGAAATACCCACCCCTGGAGCACTTTGAGCACTATGAGCACGGCAAGGAGGCCGATCCATCCTTCCCCAACCTCCTGCCGTCCGGCACCAGAATCACCGATCTCACGCCCACCACCGGCACAGAGGTCGACGGCATCCAGCTGAGCAGCCTGAGCGACGCTGGCAAGGACGAGCTCGCCCGCTTCGTCGCCGAGCGCAAGGTCGTCGCCTTCCGGAACCAGGACTTTGCCGGCCTACCCATCGACCAGGCCCTCGAGTACGGCGGCTACTTTGGCCGGCACCACGTCCACCCGACCTCGGGCTCGCCCGCGGACCACCCGGAGATCCACCTCGTCCACCGGGCCGCCGGCGACGAGCTGCTCAACACGCTGCTCGACACGCGGACCAGCTCTGTGGCATGGCACAGCGACGTCACGTACGAGCAGCAGCCGCCCGGCACCACCTTCCTGTACATCCTCGACAGCCCGGACACGGGCGGCGACACGCTCTTCGCCAACACGGCCGAGGCGTACAATCGTCTTTCGCCGGGTTTCCAGGAGAGACTGCACGGCCTCAAGGCCGTCCACTCTGGCGTCGAGCAGGTCAACAACAGCCTCAAGCGGGGTGGCGTGAACCGCCGGGACCCCGTCATCAACGAGCACCCCATCGTCCGGACGCACCCTGTCACGGGCGAGAAGGCGCTATTTGTCAACCCGAACTGTGAGTCCTAGCCTGGTCTGACGTGCCAAGTCCCAATCGGCTAATATAGAATGCGGCCTACTAGTCACTCGGGAGATCGTCGGATACAAGAAGGAGGAGTCGGACGCCATCTTGAAGTTCCTGTACGACCACATCGCCTACGGCGCCGACTTCCATGTGCGCATCAAGTGGGCCAAGGGCACTGTCGTCGTGTGGGACAACCGTGTCACGCAGCACACGGCGCTCTTGGACTGGAAGAACGGTCAGCGCCGCCATTTGGCCCGCATCACGCCTCAAGCGGAGCGGCCGTACGAGACGCCCTTCCGGGCTTGAGCTCCAAGTGTCCGGTCGTTGTGCATGATGAGAACACGTAGCGATTAGCATCAGGTCAATATATCATGGTGATGGTTTGGTTTGTGACTTTCACAATTTGGTATGCTCTCATCGTCCCTCGGTCGTGCATTGTCGCTGGCGCAGCCACGTCAGCGTGTCGTCGCGGCCGGCAGGTGTGCTGTTGGTTCGGCAAGTTCCATCGAGCCTTATCTATTGTGTTGGCTCGCTTATTAGTAAACTCTAGCTTGAGACATGACGGCCTGGGGAATGCTGGCGGAAATGAGGACTAGCTATGGGGGGAGCTAGGATCTGTCATGAGGCTTAACACCAATAGACTTAAACGTGCTGTTGGGAGCGCAATGGGGTTCAGGATGCGCGAGGTTATATACCTAGGCGACTCGTCCCCCGGCAAGCTGGAGGGCACTCAGTGTCTAGCGTTTGTTGAGGCAGCGGATCTTCATCCCGCATCTCTTAGTGGAGGATTTTGAAGATCGGCTCGAGTCCAACATCAGCTTCTGCCCTCTGGGAAGTCACCCAAGGCGTCAGGGATACGCTGTCCAAACCGAATCTAGACGCTCAGTTGACAAGGCACTGACTCGAGAGTTTGTTTACTTGTCGATTAGTAAGTTGCCGCAGTTCCAAAAGCACGACCTCCTGGTCTCCAAAGGCGTGCATCAGAACCGCGCCAGGGCTGCTAGTTCAGTCTAACACCCGCGGACGCGTCTACGGCGACCCCCAGAACGCTAATTGTTCCTAAACACAAAGCTTCAGTTGCGATAGGTCGGCTACAGCAGGGCTGGAATGGTGGCGCCTGTGCCTTGGTTGCAACAGCATTAAGCCTTGAGCCAGGCTCGCTAAAACTCGAGTTGTTCATTCCAGCCCCGGTTCAAGGGACCAAACTCTCTGGCAGGGCAGGTATTCGCCTAGCAAGAAGGTTCAGTATTGGTCCGTGACGTTCTGCTGAGACAGGCGGGAATGAGAGCTGCACTGGGCAATGCTCACACCTATTGGACATTGGTCGTTGGGCCAGAGCCAAGTTTCAGATATGCCGGCCATGCCATGGAAACAAAGCTCACCCGGCCCTTCAAATAGCGGACGTTTGCGTGGCCAGAGGTTGAGTCAACTCGACCCCGGATTCTGCGTGAAAAGATATTAGTCTTCTGCGGGATTGTCACTCGTTCACTGGCCCTTCTGTGGCCATTCACGCTCTCTTACAACCACCATCATGGTGCTTTCCACTTGTTTCAAGCTCCTGGCTGCTGGTTTGTTGGGGCTCGCCTGCGCCACGCCTCCTGTCATCGACAAGGAGCTCATGATCATCAGCGAGTTCGATGTTGGCTCGATACCGGGAGCTGAATATCAAGTTGCTCGAGATCTCGGCTACAATGGTGAAGATTTTAGACCCTACCCCATCCCGATGACCATGGAGACTGATGCAGGCTTGACAAACAGTCACGTCCAAGTCCAAGGCCCAGTTTCAGGCCATGACCGTCGACGAGCTTGGCTACTACAATGCAATCGTCATCTCAGACAATGGCAGCTGTGACGAGACAGACCTCGCCTTCCTCGACCCGGCAACTTCCACCAACCTGGCCGCCGCTGCCAAGGGCAACATCTTCATCATGGGCACCAGTCTGACTGCGGAGATGCGATTCATGATTGACTGTGACATCCCTGATCACACGCCCGTGACCTCGGTGGCACGAGACGCCCTGCACTGGGTGTCCAGCGGAACCTCGACCGGCTTCTATCTCTCATTCTCCTGCTATCGCCAACTGCAGGGCATCCCCGCGACTGCTGTCCCTGCGCTCGTTGGTTTTGGCAACTTCGCCTCTCGATCCGGAGACTATCCCACAGGAGGCAGCTGCCTTTACGATGTTGAGCTCCCAAACGCCGACGAGATCTTCCAGTCCGATGTGACCCCCGCCTCGACGTTCACTCAGTACCGTTGCGCCATTCCCGAGATCTTCACCGCCTGGCCTTCTGGCTTCGCCGTCAGCGGCAACTCTGCCAGTGCGCAAAACGACGCCGGAACTAACATGCATCTGCCTTTTATGCTGGACCGCGTGTCCATCTACAACAACTGCGGCAACGGGAGAATCGATGGCCCGAACTGGAAGGAGGACTGCGACGACGGCGAGGCCAACGTCGGCGGCACCTTGGCCACCCAGTTCTCCACCTGTTCGGCCCAGTGCACATGCGTCTACGGCGTGGCCGCAGGGGGGACTTGTAACCCTGTGCCCAATCTGTGCGGCAATGGGGTCTGGGAGTCCGGGAATGGCGAGCAGTGCGACGACGGTCCCACTGGCAGTAGGTCGTGCACCGCGACTTGTCAATGCATCTACGGCGTCGGCTCACAGCCTGGCACGTGCAAGAATGAGCCAGTATGTGGCAACGGGGTGGTCGATGACGGCGAGCAATGCGAGCCACAAAGAATTCCAGGCCGTCGTGGTGCATCGGGCCTATTGGCGCGCCGACCGGTGCCTGTCGCTGACGACATCTGCAATGCCCAGTGTCAGTGCATCTACGGGCTCAACGCGACGACAGCAGCGTGCAACCCGGTTCCTGTATGTGGCAATTACTGGACCCAGCAGGGCGAGGAATGCGACGCTGGACCTTCGGGCGACGAGGTGTGCTCGTCGACGTGCAGGTGCATCTACGGCGTGACCCAGGACGGCTGTGTGCCCGCGCCAGTGAACAGCACGACAACGACAACGTCTCCCACTAGCACAGCTTCAAGCTCCAGCTCAAGCACGACCTCCAGCAGTACAATTTCAGCTACATCAACTCCAGCCACTTCCAGTTCTGCCGTCAGTAGCAGCACGCCAGCGACTTCGCCAACTTCGGTGCCTTCCTCTACCGCCCCGACCTCGTCCGCCACTCCGACGCAGACTTCGAGCCCGTTCCCTCAAAGGCTCAGCACCAATTACGAGTTCGTGGGATGCACTGGCTCGGAACAGAACTATCCTTCCTTTACGCTACAGGTATCCAGTGACAACATGAACCTAGAATTGTGCACCGCCGCTTGCAACGGCCGTCTCTATGCCGGTGTCCATGTGAAGTAAGTTCTGTGTCCTTCACCAGTCTAGAGTTCGATCAATTCGTCTTGCTGACCTCGAAACTTAGCAACTGCTACTGTTCTGACGAGTTCAGCAACGTCGTGACCATCTCTCGCGACCTCTGCAACCTCCCTTGCCCGGGCAACCCGGCCGAGAACTGCGGCGGCTACCGCTCCGTCAACGGCACCACTACTTTCATCCGCCGTCAGAACCGCCGCCAGGCCGCGGGCCCCGTGCCGTCTAATGCCCTCCTGGCTGTCTACCAGTTCGCCCCACAGAGCCCGACCTCGGCCGTCCCACCGCCTACCTCCCCAGTCCCGGGTCCGTCTAGCGTCCTACCGGCCCCGCAGAGCCAGGGCCAGGGCCAGACGACTGCCATCGCAGTCGCTACGGCCGCTGCTACTGCCACGGCCACGACCACGGCCATGGTCACGAGCACCACGTGCTCTAGCGGCTACTGCAATGCCGCGGGCTACATCTTCGAGCAATGCCAGGGCTACCCGAACCCCGGCGAGGCTGTCTTTGTCCTTCAGGCTTGCAGCTGTCCCGGCGGTTGGCAATACGTCCCCGCCGGCTGCGATGGCACCTCGTGCGGCTCGCTGGTGGTGTATCGCGCTGTGGCCTGGACTACCGGCACCGCTCCCCCCTCTGGGGTGGTCGTGTACCAGCCACAGGCGTGCATTAGCTTCAACTGTGTTGGCAGTGTCATCTTTGCGCAGGGCAGCGGTGTCAGTGGTGGCAACGCAAACACTACCAGTCCGGTGCAGCCCTCGACTGTTGTCGTCGTTGCTGGGGCCGGCAAGATGGTTGGATACATGAGCTCTCTCATGGTTGCTGTTGGCGCCCTCGTCCTTCTTTTATAAATGATCCCAGGTTAGCCAGCTTCAAAGGCGTTAGGCTGGTGGCGTTCGGGGGCTGACGCGGCTAGAGCAGTCATCATCTAGCAGCGCTGAGCATCCCAAGGCGTAGACTTTGTGAAACTTGAGTCCTACGTCTGGAATAGCTAGACGCTCGAGCTAGAAATACCCAGTCCATATGAATATTGAACATATAGCATGCATGTTTAAAAGCTTGTGCTATTATGAGGCGTAGTGCTTAACAACCTACGCGATGCTAAACTCAAACCAAGCCTAGAGCTTTCTCAGGCGCAGTCCCATCCTCATCAGATTCAGAGCCACGCGCGTTGTCAGCCTCGGCTTTGGTAGCAAGGTTCGCGCCGTAACGGTGTTGTTGGAAGAATGTGCTGAAAATGTGGCATTAAAGCCGTGGAGTATTCCCTCGACAAAAGCCACGTTACCAAACATATCTCCGATAATAGTGAGTAGTCCTGGGTGATTTCCATCGTCGTCACCACTGAGGAGCCCTCCAAGGACCTGGCTCACTAGTTCCATCAAGGGTACCTCGGCACCCAGCTTCTTGCTGTTGAGTACGACTTCGGCGAAAGGGACATGCTCACCATTGACAGTCGTCGAGTTACCAGATGCCGTAAGCTTGAGGTTTCCCCGGCTCATGGGATCTGCCTGGCTGTCGAGCACGGCGCCAATGTTGGCCAGAGCTCCCTTGATATCGAGCTCGCCCGTGAAGGCAAAGGTGTTGTTGCCCGGCAAGAGGACAACGTTTGGGATCCGGAGAAGACCAAGCTTCAGGTTAGAGTCGCCTGAGAAAACATTGAAAGCGAGGTCCCCAAATCCTAGTGTCAAGATGCCCCAGTTGGGCATGGTGACGACGCCCTTGACGTTAGTACCGTCGTCCAACGGTGGCAGGACCAGCTGCATGTTGACTAGCCCAAACCCTTGAAGCTTTCTTAGTCCAGGGATAGCCAAGGTCTTATCAAGCTTGGCTCCCATATGTAGTGCACCCATTGACGCGCGGATTTCTCCCCTGGCAGAAAGGGATGACTGGTCGGCGTCGAACAGATTACTGAACCAGTTGCTCAGTTCCGTGTCGTTTGTGGGCGACACCGTGCGGTTCACAATGCTGAGTACTGTATCGCCATCCGCCTTGATCTGAGGGAAGGTAATGTTTGCAAACGGCAAGTATTGAGGGGTGTCTTTGTTGTAGAGGAACATGGTCATCGGATCGACGGTGGCCGGGAGCGGAGTCGAGAGAGAAGACGACAGCGAGACATTGAGCTTGTCAGATGCGACAACGAAGAAAGCACCCCCGAGTATGGGCATCTTCTGGTCATCAATGATCCTCTGGACAATAGCAGGAAAGATGACTTTGAACCTGCTTGTCGTCAGCGTATTCTTGCTTCGGCATTCTTCCGCAGAGAGGCAGTCCTTACAAGAGTGGCAGGAATATGGCGAGGAATATGATAGTGCCTATCAAGTACCACAGCCAGAAGCGCCCGCAGTGCTGCTTGAAACGGCCCTGCTTCTTCTTCGGTGCTGTGTCGACTTGCTTCACGAGTCTGTCATCATCTTGAGCGACATCAGCGGCTGAAGCGCCTGCTGATGATGTTCTTCTAGCAGGCCTTTCGAGGTTCGTCTCCTCTTTCGCCTCAGCAGGAGTCATGTGCGGCTCGTGGGGAGGACTATCACGGATGAAGAAACGCATATTGCGGGCCAAGTCTGTTTGAGGAGGAGGAAGAAGTTTGGAATTAGGAAAGATTTCCGAGCCAGTACCAATCCACCTTCCAGAAGGCAAGACTCGGTCAAGTAGATATCCATGAACCACATACTCCTGTTGGCTTCGCACTATCTCAAGAGATACTTGCTCATCACTCTGAACCCCGCGTCATCCTAGAGCCGGTTAGCCGAGATCTGTTCGTCAAAAGTTCGGACCGGATCATTGCCTGATGACCGGATTGTAGTGAATTCGGAGCGAAATTGCCAAGTCTATGCAGGTAAGACCCGAAGTTCTCGCTTACTGCGGCAGTGACAAATATCAGAGGTCTGTTGTCTCCAGCTTGTGCAAGATAAAAAGTGATGAGATCGACGACTGCTGCGCAGTGTAGTGTTATCTCCTTCCTAGCCCCTTGACGCTTTCCTCATTCTGTGCTCCTTAATGTCAAATGAACGTCAATTGGCGCGGTTGCCGCGGCTGCCTATGCCCAGAGGAGAGATTGAGTTAGGGTCCCGATCAGTTTAGGCAGACTTTCAGCTGATCATCGATGGGAGTTTCCTCAACCAGCAAAGAGGAGGTGCGATTTATCCCTCAAGGTCAGCTAGTCAAGGTGACGATAATTATTCTGATGAAGTCTGGAGCTTGTGGGCAAACCTGGGGTAAGCTGGGGTATGTTGGGGAAACCACAGTCGGATGGGGAAAGGTTGCGGGAAGAGTGTGGGGAGATATCCAAATTCAGCAACGCTGAACTCTGGACTGGGGCTATGATCGCCCATCCTCCTTTCCAATCTGGGGTTCAGGTACCGAGGTTGTTCGGGTTGGACGAACTGCTGTGCCTCACCCTTTCAGGGCTGGGGTGCCGTGACTTGCACCTAATGAAATTCACCGCTGCTTGGTCATGATTGATGTACGGCTTTCGGGGATTGGTAAGTTTTGAGAAGCTCTCTGGGGATTGAAAGCTCTTCGCGGGCAAAGTTATGTATATTAGAGGAGTATCGGATCCCAAGGAGTAATAATGACTGTTCATTGTCCTCAACCCGCCTGATCCGTCTCGTGTCTTGGCTCAAGTCTCTTAGCCTTCCCGATCTTTGGAAGGAGCCCCTTTTTCTGTATTTTGCCGGCTCAACAGTTGCCGCTGTCACAATGCGATTCTGTGGCTTCTTTGTAGCAGCGGTCGGCTATGCTGGCGCTGTGGTTTCAGCTTCCTCTCCCTTGGAGCTGGAGCTGGATTCCATTCTGGCGAGCCGCAACCTGGTGCTCTTGCCGCGGTCAGACATCACAGACACCTTGACGGATATCAAATCGCTCCTGAAAACCTCTCATGTTGTTCAGGCCCGGCCTCCACTTTACCCCCGCCAGAGCAACAACAGCCTCGGGGACCTACTTGGTGGCGAGGGTCTCGGTGATCTCGTGAAGACTCTGGGCAACCTGCCTAAGCTGATAGATACCATTCTCAAACTTGCCAGCGATGAGTTCCTCAGCACCTTGCACGACTCCGTCATCAACTTGGCACCGACGCTTGCACCTCCAGTCCCGCAGCAGGTCCGGAGTTTGCTCAGCGGCGCCCTCGACCTGATTGGCATGATTCAGAAGCTAGACCTCCGCAGCATCCTAGGCCTCTTCAAGGACATTGATATCAAGGGCCTGGTTAGCTCTGCCTTGCAGCTGTTGACACCGGACAGCATCGATGCCATCAAAGGGCTTGTGTCCAGTGCTCAGTCCTTGCTCACGTCGAGCTTCGTGAAGCAAGTACAGTCCCTCATCTCAGGGGTTGCTCCGCTTCTCGAGGGATTCAAAGATCTTGATCTCAAGGCTCTCATTGATCAGGTCACACCCCTGCTGAGCGAGCTCAGCGAGATCGACTTGAAAGGGCTTGTTAGCTCTGTCTCCTCCCTCCTCAAACCAGAGTCAATCAAGAGCATCATGGACTTGCTCGGAAATCTCCAAGGACTGTTGACCAAGGACTTCCTTGGCCAGGTCAAGGATTTGATCGGCGGCATCGGTCCACTACTCGAGGGTTTGAAAGACATCGACCTCAAGAAGCTTGTTGAGAAAATCATTCCATTATTGGACAACTTGAGTCAGCTCGACGTTGATGGGCTCCTGAAGTCCATCTCTCCTCTCCTGACCCCTGATTCGGTCAACGGTATTATCGGTCTGCTTGACAATGCGGAGGGGCTCCTGACCAAGGAATTCGTCACCCAGACTCAGAGTCTGATTGGTGGGGCTGCTCCGCTGCTGAGTGCATTGGGAGGCATTGACATCAAGGGCCTGCTGAGCACCTTGGAGCCCCTTCTCAATAGCCTCGGAAAGATTGATCTGGCAGGGTTACTCAAGAGTATCGAGCCACTGTTGGATTCCCTCAAGGACATTGACATTAAGAGCCTCGTCGAATCCATCACGCCCCTGCTAACTCCAGATGGTTTGCAAGGCATTGTCGGCCTCCTTGGCAATGCCGAGCGTCTGTTGACAACCAAGTTCATCAACGAAACGCAGTCCCTTATTGGTAATGCAGGGCCACTGCTAGATACCGTTGGCCAGATCGACCTCAAGGGCCTCATCAACGGAATCACCCCTCTTTTGGACGTTTTCAAGAAGATCGACTTCGAGTCGTTGCTCTCGTCTATCACGCCCCTTCTCGACGCCCTCAAGAACATCGACATCAAAGACCTGATCGAGAAGATCAAACCAGTTTTGGATATGCTGAGCAAGGTCGACCTCGAGACGCTACTGTCTTCCATCACACCGTTGCTTACACCAACCTCGATCAAAGGTCTCATGGGCCTGCTGGGCAATGCTCAGAGTCTGTTGACGGCAGATATCGTGTCATATGCCCGCACCCTGATTTCCGATGCGGCTCCTGTAAGTATTCTACCTGTTCCTCCACCTCTCGAATGTTAGAAGCTCATGACGATGCCAGCTCGTGTCCGCCTTGTCACAGTTCGTTGTGACACTTCTGAACGCGTTGCTAGGAAAGTAAGGGGCGTCTGCTTATTCTTCATAGCTGGAAGTCAACAAGGCAGCCGTGTTGATAGCCTCCGTGTCATACCCTTGCCAGAAGTAATTGATGTGATTTCGGATGACGTTTTGTGAGTTGTCAGTGAATGTATGCCCACAAATATGTAAAAGCCACTCAGCGCCAAGCATACCAAGCCACGGACATCGCGAAACATATTTCCACATATGGAGATAGCATGTATTGGTTAACGTCATTGTAATCTGTGCCAAGAGTTTGCGTTTTCACAAATTGATAATCTCGCAAAACCCTTGCTAATCAGCGACAAAAATGTATAAAACAAAGAGAAAGCCCTGATCATGGCATTCATGTCATTCCCTCAAAAGACACACTTTTCACCTGTACCAAGCTTGCGTTGTTAAACGTAGCGCTTTCAAATTCACCTCGAACAACTCCTCGATCGCAGAGGGGAAACATACGCAAGAGACTCGTGATGCGCTTCCACAGCATCTCTTCGGTTCTTTCCGTCATCCTATCCGCGAGATTTGCGGGGGCTTCCCCGGCCTCGACCAACACGACAGATATCGGTAGCGTCGAATGGGGTTCGTGCAACAGGAATCTCAGCGGACTTCCTAAGGTCCTATGTGGAAACCTTACCGTTCCCCTCGACTACACAAATCAGACCGACAGCCGCACCATCACACTGAGACTCATCAAATCTTCTGCCAAGAAGCAACCCGCCCCGAAAGGGAGCATTCTGCTCAATTATGGCGGCCCAGGGCAAGACGGCGTCAACAGCTTCTTGCACTACTTTACCAAGCAGAGAAAGTGCGCATATCTATGTCGCTTCTGTTCCATAGCGTAGCTGATATCTTTCCCAGGTACATCGGTGAAGATCACGACATGATCAGTTGGGACCCTCGGTATGCAAGACTCGCCCCTTGCAAACTTCGCGTGTTCTTGTCATGTACTGATTCGACTCACCAGAGCCACGCGCGATACCTTGCCGGCCAACTGCATCGATGCGACAGACCCGAACGCCGTGGGAATGGCGTCCTTCGGCAAGAAGTGGCACGACTCGTCCGACGTCAGCGGTGCCACGAACTGGGCCGAGGGCACGGTGCTGGCTGACGCCTGCTACAGTGCTCTTCGGGACGTTGGCCCTTACGTGGGCATGGCCGCCACTGCTCGTGATGCCATGGCGATAGTCGATGCTCTCAAGGAAGATGGGATGTTACGATACTGGGGTAGGTCGCTCAACGTACTACACTTTTATGAAACATCTGCTGAGACAAATTGCCTTGCAGGACTTTCCGGAGGTACTGCGCTCGGCGCAACTGTCGCCGCCATGTTTCCGAATCGCATGGACAGGATCATTCTCGACGGCGTGATGAATGCACACCAGTACTATCACGACCTTGCGTGAGCATTGCACCCTGTCTTATTTTTTGCTCCTTAGAAAACTAATCGATTGGCTGTAGTGAGACAGAGTGGTTCTCCAGCAGCGAGATGGCCTTCAGGATGGTCATGGACGCCTGCGTCGAAATCGGCCCCGAGAAGTGCCCTATTGCTCGCAGCAACAGTACCGGAGAGGAGCTCATCAGACACTTCGAGCAAGTCTTTGCACATATCAGGAAGAACCCAATCCCCGTATCATCTCCCGAACTAGCATACGGATCTCTCATCGACTATACCACCATCATGGACTACGTGTATACACGTCTCTATGCCCCTCCCAAGTTCCAATATCTCATAAAAGTCCTCGAGGCCCTCTCCGAGCGCAACGCCACCAAGTACCAGGAGGTCTACGCCCTGGATAAGCTGGCAAGCCCCAAGTTACCTTCCGAGGATGCGGTGCCCGCTGCCCAGTTTGCCCCCGTCGTGATTCGATGTGGCGACCGGTTCCCGCGGAAAAAGAATGCCGATGATGTCGACAAGGCCCTCGACCGGGCGCACGAGATCAGTCCCAACTTTGGCTACTACGGTGCGAACTTGAACGCGCAGCTCTGCGCACAGTGGAAGTTCGAGGCTGTCGAGCGATATGCAGGCGACTTCAGCGTGAGCACCAAGAACCCTGTTCTCTTCATCAGCAATAGTGTCGATCCCGCGACGCCCATTGTCTCGGCACGAAATATGAGCTCTTCGTTCCATGGCAGCGTTCTCTTGGAACAAGAATCTGTTGGTGTAAGTGAATGTCCTCTAATCGATGTGGTCCATGGGAGCTCGTTTACATTCTGACACGTATGTCTAGCACGTCACGTTTATGACCCAGGAGTCCAACTGCACCCGGGATGCTATTCTTGCATATCTAGCTGATGGAGAGCTCCCAGAGAAGGGCACCAAATGCAAGGCTAATCTTCCTATTGCCTCATATGTTTCTGGCGAGTTCGAGGGATTGGATCAAGTTTGATCGTTGATTAGAGCCAATATGAGCACTCTTAATCCTACATGAATTAGGTGTCGAGCACCTGACTTGTATGCCTGCGACCTACTCTGGCGTCTAGTGGTAGTATCTGTTGGAGATGGGACTGACTGGAACGAAATCCACCTTCCACTGCACACTGCACCACAACCCTGGTATCTTGTAGAGGCGGGTGGATTGAGAGAGCCGCAAATCATCCTGCTCTCAGACTTTCCATTCATTATCTGCTTTACCAAGTTTGCTGCTCATTGGACCGTGTGTTATGAGACCCATGTGCCCCCCTGCATGCTCACATCCCGTTGGGTCATCCCACCAACGGTGAGGAACAGGCACTTGAGGCGGCCAATCAAGCGATTAGACATGCAAGCAGCATGCATGGACGAGGTGGCGTGCTGCCACCACCTGGAAGCTAAGTACTTTTCTTTGCACGAGGGGCGCAGCATGACGCCCGATGCCTTAGCTGCTGCAGGACACCGTGATATTGCGTGAGGCGGCCAACAGTGCCCTGCCTTGCTCCCCAGCACCAATGTGCAAGTCCGAGACTCAAGAGGTCCTTAAATTGGAGGTCTATCAGTCTTCTCGCCCTCGATTTCGTTTTCACACAAAAATCAGTCCATAACTGGGCAGCTTAGTCCTTTCACGGACTCTCCTAGTCGTTCTTCCATGTCATATATTGAGTTCCAATATCAAAAGTCACGGCTGCTTTGCTGAGGTGTCTCTGAATCCAGCCAGCTGCGGGGCTGACCACCCCGCGGGGCTGCCATTCAGGAGAGCAACTATTATTATGATCATCACCTAACAGGTAGTGAGCATAGCTCACCTCCAGGACACAATGTCCTCGCCTTCCAGTCCGACTACAGGGGTCCTGATGTGCCGCTTGTCGGGATCGTGGTTGACTGCACTGCTCATGCCTGTCCAGCTTGCTGGGCGGGAGTGAAGTTGGATGCTATTGATCCTTCTCTTCTCCAGCGACAAGCTAATTAGTACTGCCGACGATCACGAGTCTGCTATCGACATTCCGATTACCGTCGTGAACGAAAGCCCCGGAGCCGCTCCTTCTTTTATCTCTCACGACGTTCCAAGTTTATCTCCTCAATTTGATTCCAGTTCTTCCATAGCAACATCCTCGTCGATCTTGCTCGCCTCAAGCGTCACATCTGATCCCGCCACAGCCAGCCCTAGCTCTACGACAGTGTCTCTGGCAGCAGCCAATCCCTCACGTGTTGTGAGGTTGGGATTGGCCCCATCTCCAACAATTACCTGCGAGTTCTGCTCCCAGGCCTTTGGCACTCGCGAGTCTTTTGAGTAAGCTTTCTTCCACATAATATTGATAATATCAAACCTGACCTGCGAACAGTCGTCACCAGCATGAAAGACATCGCTTTCGCTGCGAATTGGGCTGCCAGAACAAGGGCTATACCGATCAAAAGGACCTAGAGCGTCACCACAATAGCAAGCTACACAACCCAGATCAGTCTGACGGGTATCAGTGCGCTTGCTTTTACTCTACTACACGCAAGGACAACTACAGAAGACACCTTGAGAAGTGCAATGCTATTAGACAAGATTACGTCTGCATTTGTGGTCATTGTACTTCACAGGGAAAGGATGCACATATGGAACACATGAACAGCTGCCACTCTAGAAGGACTGGGCAGCTGCACACGAGATGAACTAGGTGATGCGAGTGGGAAACGTCTTTATCTGCTACTTGGATCACCTTTTCCGCCCATGTGTGATGACGCCTCGTAGACTCCTTTCTTTTCTTTTCTTTTCTTGTTCTTTTTTCCAGTACCTAAGCGGCACCATTCAGGACGAGAAGGCCAGCGATGTCAGATACGTGACTTGGGGGCTGAGGCTATGCGTCTCTTGGTTTTTGATGGTCTTGCCATCCTCGGGCAGGTGCTGGATGTTTGTGTTAATCTCTCGCTATGTTGAGAGCCGTGCACGTCATCCGTGGATGAGTTTCCTATTGGCTATTTGATTCGTAGTTTGTCACATAATAATTACACGCTCGTTCCTAGTCTTTTTACAGCTGGCTAAGTCCCATTGCTTTAGTTACAGCTTGTGATTTCACGAAAACTAAGACGCAAAGGTGTCTGGAACCGACATCAACTGGTGGATTTTACGGACGGTATGGTACTGCGGAAACTTCTTTTTTTTTTTTGGCGTTAGAGTAGAGTTGATCAGTAAGACATGACGGGACAAGGTCCTTCCAGTAAATGCATCGTCCCACCCCGGCTTTTGTTCGGAATGTCGATTGGATGTGCTGCTCTGGGCTGTGATCTCCGACTGGTTGTCGGACACGCCCACCCCTGGTCAGGGCCAACGCCACATAATGCGGGAGTCGCCGAGCAGACGAATCACTGTCTCCAGAAGGAGTCCCTGACGCCATCCCACTCGAGCGGGGGTGAGCGTGGCCAACTGGTTGATAATAGAAACACATGACATCCACACTTGGAAGCAACAGCCTCCTGACGAAAAGAGAACGTGGCGCTAACACCCCCGGGCCTCGATCGTGCATTGTCGAGCCAAGGGCATCGGCTGGAGAGCTTAATCGTCTTTCAGCAGTCAAAATGCGATGGAGGAAGATCGCCGCAGCGCTCCACTGCGGCCCCTCCTGCCAGTGCCCCCATCAGCAGCGTCTCCGTCGTGGTCGCCGGCCCAGAGCAGAATGCCCCTACTGTCGCGAGCCAGAGCTCTAATACCCCGGATACGAGGCCGCATGGCAAGAACAGCCTGTGTGCGATGTCGACGAATGAAACGCAAGGTAAGTGTGTCGACGGACTGGACGCAAGATTGCAGCCCAGTGAGAACTAACAACCGTCGCCGTCCCGTCAAAAAGTGCTCCACGCATAGGCCAGCCTGTACTGAGTGTACCAAACTCGGCAACGAGTGCAAGTACTACAACGTCAGCAACGAGACCCGCCCGCAGGCGATGCGGCGGCGGGCAGCCGAGCTCCATTCCCGGGCCGCTGACAATGAAGAGCTTCTGGAGATACTCCGGAGCTCGTCCGCAGAGACTGCCGTGGCGGTACTCGATCGGCTTCGATCCCGCACCGACAAGGACATTGCTTCCCTAGTCCGGTACGTCCGGCACGGCGACCTAATGCCCCAGGCCTCGATTGTGCCCGATGCCGCGCACGTCTACGTGTTCCCCATCCTCAGGCAGATGCCGAGCCACCTTGCCAACAACACCAACATCCCATACTTGACCTCCCGCCTCTATGCGACGACTTCCGCGACGAGGGATCAGGAGCCACAGGACGGCCCCTCTGCCGGGCAGCAGCATCAGGCGCAATCCGATCCGCAGCAGGCCTTTTCGGCGCCCTTCCACAGCGCGCAGCTCGCGGAGGCTCGCATCTCCGCCGTCAAGGCATCCGAGTGGACCTCTGCCAGCCACGATGACAGCCTGGTCCAGAAGCTTCTACGGACGTACTTTACGTACGACCACCCGTACTACCACATACTGCACATGGATTTGTTTCTGGACGACATGGTCAACGGGCAAAGGCACTATTCCTCGCCGTTACTTGTCAATGCCATTCTGGCACAGGCCTGCGTGAGTTAACCCTCCTGTACACCCTTCCCTCTCTCTTGACCAAGGGGAGAATTGAGGGTCGGGAATTCGTGGCTCACAAAAGCAAACCCCGTTCATAGCACGGCCATGACGACATCATAGATCGGTTCAAGTTCTGGGATCCCAATTCGCTGGGCTACCGCTTCCTCGCAGAGGCGAGAAGGCTGTGGGAGCTTGAAGCCGGCCTGCCGCCCAAGATCACCACGGTGCAGGCGGCGTTTCTGATCTGCACCAACTACTCTATCAACGGGCTGGACAGGATCGGCAACGAATACCTGAATCAGGCGTTCGCCATGGCCCACGAGATGGGCTTGTTCGGACCCCTGGCCGAGCCCATTGATCGAGATCAACGGAGGGTGTACAGTGTGACTGCTTGGGGCCTGTACACCATGTCCAGGTGAGAAGAGACCGAGGGCTCCAACAGTGGCACCCTGCGGATCATGACCCGAGGCATATGGAGCCGCATCACTGGCAATGAGCTGACTCCATACGCTAGCTTTACCTCGTTTCATTTCCTCCAGGAACCCAGGTTGCCTGGCCCGCCACAGATGGCTCTGCCCGCATGGCACGACACGGCCGACGAGTTCGGGGAGATCTGGATGCTGTACCCTCGAGCGCAGTCCCCGATCCGGACCTACCACGGCCACCTCGTCAGGGCACTCGCCGAGCTGTCCATGATCATGGCCGAGGTGGCCCACAGGTCGTTCGGCGAGGCCAGCAAAGACCAGGGCAAGATGAGGCTCGAGGAGGCCATGTGGTACAGATCGAAGCTGCTCGCGTGGTACCTCAGCCTGCCGCGGCCGCTCACCTCGGGTGAGATCGTCTTTCCCGCGCAGCTCAAGCTACAGTAAGACCGCAGGCACAAATCTACATATTGCTTGTCACTGTCTAACATGGGCACACACAACGTTCAAGCATGCACTATCAGAACGTCCTCATCGCCATCTTCGAGCCCTTCGGCGACATCCCGGCCGTCGCGCCGCCGCTCTCGACCCCGTTCCCGGAGGCGACGCCCACACTGCACCCGCCCACGCCGTCGCAGATCCTCGCCGACGCGCGGGCCTGCCTCGAGACGCTCGTGCGGCTGTTCTACTCGCGCCACGGGCTCGCCCTGCCCGACAGTACTGTGGCTCTCTTTCTTCTGCTCGCCGGCAACGGCGCCCTCTCCCGCCTCTCTTCCTCGTCTTCTTCGGATGAAGAGGACGGTCAAGACAGCGACGACGCGGCCGCGTCGACCATGGTCCTCTGCGTCAGGGGGTTCCTCACGCAGGGCCGCAACCGGTACCTCCACCAGGCCGTCTTCCACATGTTCTGCGGGCTCATGACGCCCGGGCAGCGCCGGATGGTGCGGCAGGAGGTCGCCGGCGAGGGCGAGGAGGGAGCCGAGGGCGGCGGGCTGGGCGGGGAGTTCGTCGCGCAGTACTTGCGGTCGCAGTGGCCGGTCAACATTGTCGGCGTGGACCGGGACCCGGCGGGCAAGGAGCTGGACCGGGTGATCCCTTCCCGTGGGGGAGATTCTGGGAGATGATTGAGCAGACGGGCCGGGGGAGTCTCGTTGGAGGAATCACTTTGTCTTTCCATATGGTTTTGGGGAACCGCTTGGGTTATGACATGAATTCGATGTTCTGGGTTTGACATGAATTCGAGATTCTGATTTTGGACGAATGGTATCCTTACAGTAAGTCTATAGTCTACCCTAACTATTCATCGTTACAGAGCCATACCCTTATGACGAGCGCTGTATCCTTTCCGCGTCTTGTCGTAGTCTCCGTGGTGGCTCAGACCCGGATTCGGGGCGCTTCCCGTTCATCATACTCCTCGTCTCTATGCGAACTCCATCGTCTTGGGAGTTCGGCTTGTGCTCCTGCTCTGCACTAGCAGTGTTGCTCATGAAGCGACGTGCCTCTGCTCTTGGCTCTTCTGCCACGCACACCGAATCGGCTTGGTTGAACTGACCGCTCACCCGCGCGACTGAGCCGGCCTTGGAGCATCTCTCACGGGTCAGCCTTGGAGCATCCCATGAGCATTCTGGCAGTTTATCCCTTTCATAACTTCTTCCCTTCTTCCCAAGCACTACTTCACTCCGCACCCAACCCAGCAGCAAACTTCCTCGCCACCCAACCCGCCCCATGCTCCTCGTACTCCTGCTTCGTGACGGCCACCTTCTTGACGTCGGGGTGCCTCGCAAAGTTGGCCGCGCCGGTCCAGGTCGTGACGACCGGGTCCTTGGGGCGGTAGACCCGGACGGTGCACTCGTCGGGCACGAGGGGCACGAGCTCGCGCTGCAGCCGCTGGATGAAGCCGGGGGTCTGCGTGACGCCGCCGACGGCGACGACGTTGGACAGCAGCGCGGGCCACAGGCCGACGGGCAGCGCGGAGAGCGACTGCATGATCAGCTCGGCGAGCCCCGGCTGGCGCAGGCCGACGTCGGCCGGGTGGAAGAGCAGCTCGGGCACGGCGAAGCGCTCGTTGCGCAGCGTCAGGACGTCCTCGTTGAGGGCCGAGGCGGCCATCTTTTTGGCGCGCGACGAGGCGGCCGGGTCGTAGTCGCGCACGACGCCCTGGCTGCGCGAGTGGAAGTCCGGCAGGACGTAGTCCTTGGCGATGCCCGCGCTGCCGGCGACGAACTCGGGCCGGCGCTCGCCCTTGGTGCCCTTCCAGCACTTGTCGAGGTCGGCGGCGAAGTCGAGCGAGAGGTAGCAGGCCTTCTCGCGGATCTCGTTGACGATGTAGGTGTCGTTGCGCATGTCGTAGTGGCGCAGGGACAGGAGGCGGGTGAGGTGGTTGGTCAGCAGCTTGCCGCCGACGTCGAGGCGGCGGACGGCGGGCTGCAGGGGCCGGCCGCGGAAGATCGGGGTCACGGTGGTCATGGAGTAGCCGGCGTCGACGAGGAGGATGACCTCGGCGGGCAGGCGGGTGATGGCGTCGGGCTCGGACTCGGTGCGGAAGCCGTTGGCCTCGATGGCAAGGTAGGCGTTGAAGGAGGGGCCTGGGGTAGAGAAGCAAGGGTTAGTACGCCAAGAGAGATAGGTGTTCGGTCTGATGTACACTCACCGATGCCGCGATAGTAGCTGGCAAACTGAAACTCCTCAAAGACCATCTGGTCGCAGTTGGTCTGCAGGGCGGGCAGCGAGTTGGGCTGCTCGGTCAGGACGAGGCGCGTCTCGGCCGGGTCGCAGCGCTGGGGCGCCTTGTCGTCGAAGAACTCGCGGTCCCAGATCTCGCGCTGGGCCTCCCAGTTGACGATGTAGCCCTTCTCGACGGGGCGGCGGAAGGCGATGTCGGCAAAGTCCTTGCAGCGGTCGAGCTCGGAGGCGACGTAGGTCTTGCGCAGGCGGTCGCGGGCGATGCAGTTGGGGATGACGCGCGGGCTCGTGTCGCTGGCCTTGGCGCTCGGGGGGTTGGCCTCGTCGTTGGCGACGAAGCCGGCCTTGATGGTGTAGGCGCCGTTGTCGAGGACGAGGGTCTGCCTCGGCGGCGGGATGGCCGGGGGCTTGTTCCTGCGGCCGCCGGCCATGGCTCCTGCTCGCGTGGGCCGGGAGAGAAGGCGACTTGACGCGCGCTCAGCTGGAGAGGCTCATCGAGGACCGACCGTTGGAGCTCCGGTCCGGCGAGGGGACGTGCACGTGCCGAAAGGGTCTGGCAGGGTGCGGAGTCTGGTGGACAGGGTCCGGTTGGTGATGCCGTGACGCGCGTGAGTTGGAATCAGCCCTGCGAGGACGCGGAGCCGGAAAAAAAAAAAAAGCGTCGGATGTCGCTGGTGACGGAGATGCAATCCATACTAGGTAGTTACTGGAGCTCCACTGTGAGATCAATTCAAGTGGGGATCCGTGGATCGCTGTGCTGGCGGGGGGTTTTGGGGGCGGGACTACCTAGGTAGGTCGCTGGAGGCCAGCACGGGTCTCACGCTAGGCCGTCTGACAGGGCGGTTTAGCGGTTAGGGGCCTGATTGATTCTCTCCAGTTGGCGATGAAGGATGCTGCAGGTGGGCAGTCAGCCCTGAAGAACGAGACAGCTGTAGGGCTAAATTTGATGAACTCCAGGGCTGGCAACCGTGGAGGGCTGAATAACTCTGCAGTGCTCAGATCTTGGAAGCCTAACATTAGAATCCTCGTGCGTCTACACTGTAATATCCAGCCATGGGATCATCTCTATCTTGGCTGCTTCATCAAAGTCATCCCCAGAAGCGGAGAGAGGATGACGGTCAGAAGCACTGTGCATAGGGGGCGGCCAAATGCTTTCTCGTCAGGTCAGTGTTACGAGCTTCGTCAATCAATCTGCTCGAAATGCTCACCCGGGGAGGATTTCTGCAATTTCAAATTCCGGGTCCCTTCATGCCCAGACCCGAGGGACCACGTCGGGATTTGCCTGGCGAGCCCATGCATGGCTGTCAGTCGTATCGATATTCCGACATTTCTGCACCCGGCATCCGGTGCTTGGTCGTCGATACAGGCACACAGAGCTTGTCAGGCAGACAGCGTGCTCCCCCTGAGACGCGAGCGCGGAGCGAGCGGGAATCACTCAAGAGGGCCAAAGCCCCGGGATCTCAGACTTGGCAGGGCTTGAAGCAAATGCATCCGGATGCCGTGATGCCGTGGTGAGTCGCTGGCCAGCGAGTTCTTGGACACGGACAGACACTTGATTGCTCACATAGGCGCAGGGCCCCGTCTGACCACCCTCCTCGTCCTCACAAGCGCTCGCTGCTGGCCAACGCGCCGAGAGACAGATTCAGCTACTTCTTCCTCTGTGTCTCGAGACCTGTCATCTATGTATCCGGTCTGCAAGACCAACAGACTGGCCTGTAGAGTGCGTGCTTGCTGGCTGGCTGGCTGGCTGGCTGGCTCTTCTGCTCCCTCCAGTCTCGTCGCAATTGGACGATATCCGCGGCCGCCAACCGCCGTCCCTGGCGCGCCAAGCTTCCTTCGCGGCCTCTGGAGATGCGATGCGCCAGGGGAATTCCGAGCCACGGTCCGCTTTTCTATGCGCAATGCCCCTCTGCCTGGTGAGATCAGCCTGTGGCTGCTCACTGGCTGCTCACTCTCTCGGTATCCTCCCGAGGTCGTCGTCTACAGTGGCACTGAGTGGTCGCACCCTTTTGCCAGCCTCCGAAAGGAGCAAAGCGATGTTCCCAATCACGCCAGTCCGAGAATAGAACGACTAAACACCGAGAGGAGATGGACGGGTACAACGGGTCTTCCCATCCACGCTGCAGTGGGGAGGACTGAAGACATTGTTGTCGGTGCGGAGCGACAACCTAATTCATCCCTCTCATGCCATCCACTGCTTAACCCCAGACGTCACCTCAAAGCCCGCGAGCATCCTCTACGCCGATGCATGTTCCCAACCATGGCTCACACACACACCATGGCCTCTTGCTCTCGTCCAGCCGCGATCATCGCCCGCCCCTTATTCCCGTTCTTCTCCTCGCCCCCAACCCTGCCTGCGTTTCCACTTCCCGCATCGTTGGGTGGGAGGATGAGCCAAGACTCTTCCAAGACAGCAAATGAATGCTCTCCATCGGTCTCTGCCTGTGCTTGTTGCCCTTCCTTTTTAGCGAGCTGCCTCCCTCCGGTCTTGCTTGTAGAACTCTTCTTCCTCTTGCCCTGATGCTCGCATGAATCTGCGGTCTGCCTCCCACTCGCTTGTTGTCTGCCCAGGCCCCGGCGTCTCGAGTCCAGCGCTCTCCAGGCCTGCTTGTACATCTTGGCTACCACATCAGCCAGCTTGGCCAAGCCTGCGATGCAACCGATGCAACCGCGCTTCTAATAAGACATCGCACTTCGCCCCCTCTCAGCGACACTCGCTTCTTCCGAGTGTGTAGAGAGGTCCGCATTAGTCCCAGCCCGCGCTTGTGCGTCTCGTGGTCCCAACGACTTGTTAAGAAGGAGATCAGCGCATCTTCGGACAGGGTCGCTTTCTACTTGCGGTTATCACCAAAACCCCCGATCTCGATACCAAAAATATCACCAATCATCACCCCTCTCGACGGCAACGTGCCCCTCAAGCTTTCTGTGCCGCACGATCAACACCAGCAAGGGCAAGGTTTGGCTTTTGGAATTGAACAGACTCTGCCTCGAACCAGCAGATTCGCCTTCAATTCGAGCAGACCCCCGGCGCCCATCCACATTTTCTCTCCTCTTTTTCCCTCTGCGCTGCCTCTCCACAATGAGCGCATTCAACCAAGAAGGCAAGGAAGCCTACCACGCCGGCCTCGAGGTGGCCACGACGCCCAACAAGCACTCGCCCTCCCCGCCGCTGGCCATGGCCACTTCACCAAACCACCACCAGCAGATGCCGGGACAGCAGCAACAACAACAACAATACCCCATGATGCAGGAGTCCGGCGTCGGGACGTTTCCGGGAGGCTCCCCGCCGCCCATGTCGGCGTATCCGTACGACCACCCGCCGTCGCACCCGGCGTACTCGACGATGGGGGACCAGCGCGCGCAGAACGGCGGCGCGTTCGCGGGCGCCGAGGGGCCGGCCAAGCGCGAGCCCACGATCATGGGGCTCCGGCCCGCGACGTTCTTCCTGAGCCTGGCGCTGCTGGTCGCCGTCGTTGTCGCGGCGGTGGGCGGCGGCGTGGGCGGGTCGGTCGCCGTGCAGAACGCGAGGAGGTGAGTGTCATTTTGTTCCCGGGGAAAAACTAGATCTCAAATTGGTTGCTAATGAGCAAAACAGAGACGGCATAGCAGAGGGTCTCGCCCAGGCCATGGCCAACGGCAGCGCGAGCGCCAGCGCCACCGTGACCCTGACGACGACCGTCTCGGCCGGGTCGACCTCGCAGCCGAGCTCGTCGTCGTCGAGCAACAACAATGCCGTCGTCGACCCGCCCACCAAGGGCAAGCTCAAGCTCGACTGCCCGGGCTTGGACGGCAGCAAGCAGATCATCAACATCAAGGAGCGCAGCTACACGTTCGACGTCATCTGCGGCGCCGACTACAACGGCAAGGCCATCGACATCGCCGCCATCACGACCTACTCGCTGCACGACTGCATGCAGGCCTGCGCCATGTACAACGTCAAGTACGGCTCCGAGAGCCCCTGCATCGCGGCGGCGTTCAACACGGACCTGACGGGCAGCGTGGCGGCGAATTTCGGCACGTGCTTCATCAAGAACGCCACGGGGACGCAGGTCAAGAAGGACGTGAGCAATAACGTCGGGGTGAGGCTGTCGGCGACGACGTGAGAGGGGATATTAGATGAGAGCGAGCGACGATGTGAGATGCGAGAGGACAGCGAGGGGGGAGGAGTTGGGACATCAAAAAGAGGGAAGCTATTCCCAGGGCCACCAGGCCGAAGGGCGGATTGAGCATCTCATCTAGCAATGAGCAGAGCGGACATGACTTTGTTCATTTCTTGGCCATAGTATTTTTAGCACGCAGATACCCTTCTACTGTACATACAGAATCCGTTTGTATTGGCATAATGAAATTAAAAAAAAAAATGAAGAACAAAAATCGAACAGAGACTGAGGATCTTTTCCGTCGTGATTGCTGTTACCTGATCTTACTCCCGCTCTGTGCGAGAATCTGAGCTTGGAAAATGTGAACATCTCATCTGGCCTGCCTGTTTGGCTCAACTGTAATTTGCCAAGCGCGGAATCTCGGCTGCAGTGGCAGACACGGGCCGGCGTATCACAGCACTCAATTCAATGATCACACGCGCTTCCTTGGAGACGTCATTTTGTCCGTCTAGCTCTCACATCTTTTGCTTCCTCTGTACCAAAACTCACGTCACAGACATCGCTGCCACAGATGTACGTGTGGTATTGTCATCTAAGCCTGTTGTGATCTCATCGGCCATCATAGTGAAATCATCCTCCCTGTCTCTGACCCCCTCCTCACCTTCGCTCAATCTCCCAGCAACGATGAAACCATCACCATTCGGCATCCTCTCCTTCGCCGCCCTCACCGCCTCCGCAGCCGCCAGAACGCCCATAACATCTGAGTCCCCAGAGCAGATCCTCTTCCCCACCGCCGCGCCCGCCGGCCCCGACGGCGCAGCGTGCTCGTCCGCCTCGGACTACACCTCTCTCTTCCGAGGCACGCCCGCGCCGACCCCCTCGGAGCTCTCCTCCGCCCTGCGCTCGTACGAGAACCGCCTCGTGGGCCGGTCGTGCCTCTTCCAGGGCCTCGTCACCAGCGGCGACTGCCGCTTCCCGCCCGCCTCGCGGTGGTGCGACTTCACGACCGCCGGCGGCGTGTCGGATCGGGCCGTCCTCAGCCAGTTCGGCGAGTACGTGTCCTCCGCGTCGAAGTGGTGGGCCGCGAGCAGTAGCTTGCTGGTCGACGTGGCGGCGGGGTGTCCCGCTGCGTGGTGGGAGGTCGGCTGGCAGGGGACGCAGCTGCAGGGGCTGAACAGGACGGTTGGGTTTGCGAGTTGCGGGAGGGTCGATGTCGATGCTGCTGTTACAGGTGGCGGTGGTAGTAGGACGATGGGGACGGCGGTGTGGGGGACGCCGACGACGGGTGGGAGTCCGGGAGGGGCTGGGACGCCGACGCCGACGGGTCAGACTAGCGGTGCTTCAACGAGGATGGGGATGGGATATTGGGGGGTTGTTGGAGTTGTGGCTGCTGTCTGGTTAGAGGTGATGTGAGGAGAGACATGGAGATTCTGTCAGCCATTGTTGCGCTATTGATACCAGTTGCCTCAGTGCAAGTCATGATGTCCATGATCTGTAAAGAATAGCCGTGTCTGCTGTTTGACTCCCGCTCCCGCTCCCCCTTGACCCAAGTTGGACGTCCTTCTCGTATATACATGCATTCACAACTCCAACCGCGTGACCATCTTCGTCATTGCCAGTTCCTAAACCAGGGATGCTGCAACGCATCAGCCGCACTGATCCTCGCCTCCGGCCGCAGCTGCAACATGCGCTGTAGCAGGTCCAACCCCAGCCCGTCGAGCTGCGGAATCACCACCCCGAGCTCCTGCGTAGCGTACACCGGCGACCTCAGCGCTGGCCCGTACCCCGGCAGCAGCGAGATGCCTGGCCAGGTCCTCTCCGACGGCGTGCCCAGCAGCCGAAAGATGCGCTGCAGCTGGTCGTCGTCCGTGCTCCCCGGGAACAGGGGCCGGCCGGTGAACATCTCGGCGATGATGCAGGCCGTGGACCAGACGTCGATGCTGGTGCTGTACGCGCGGTTGCCGAGCAGCACGTCCGGGGCGCGGTACCACAGCGTCACGACCTCGTTGGAGAAGGTGCTGACGGGGATGCCGAACGCGCGCGCGAGCCCAAAGTCGGCGAGCTTGAGCTGGCCCCTGCCGTTGACGAGCAGGTTCTGCGGCTTGAGGTCGCGGTGCAGCACGCGCTTGGCGTGGCAGAAGGCGATGCCGCGCAGCAGCTGGAGCGAGAAGGACTTGGCGACGGCCGGGTCCAGCGGCTGGCCCGCGCCGCGCGCGTCCATGTACTTCTTGAGGTCCTGGTCCATGAACTCGGACACGAGCAGCAGCTTGTTGTCGGTGTGGATGACGTCGTGCAGCGCCAGGATGTTCTCGTGCTGCAGCTCCTTCATGAGCGAGATCTCGCGGATCGCCGTCGAGGGCGTGCCCTCCTCCGAGTCGATGTAGATCTCCTTGAGGGCCACGAGCTCGCCCGTCTGGCGGTTGCGGCCTTTGAAGACCTGTGCGTGGCGCGGGTGGTCCGGGTCAGCCCGTCGTCATATGGATCGGCATTCACTAGATATGGAGGTTAGTAACGGAGCTAGCTCACCGTCGCATAGGTGCCCTCTCCAAGCTGAAGAGTTGGAAACAGTTAGCGACGGCGTTCCTTGTTGGATGAGGGGACATCTGGGACGGATATCACCTTTTCAAGCTGTTGAAACGAGCTCGCACTGTGGGAAGACGCCATCGCATCGACCTGGGCGGGTTCGCGCGGGGTCGAACTGAGCTCGCTCCTCAAGTATTCGGGTAAGAAACTTCAAATGTTCGATGTATACGGCTGTTATGATATCAACCAGGCATCAAGAATTCGCCTGGGCTGTCGCTGAGTGATGAAAAGATGCCCTGCATGAGATGAACAAGTGCATATATCTCTCACCGCGCAGAGATGCGAGTGGCAGCATATCAGGCAGGCATCGCTCACCGACCAATCGCAGACGGCTGCGCCTCTACCCAGCCATGGTAACCCGACGAGCTGTTTAATCGCCGCCGGACGTCCTGCATCCCATCGACAAATCCCACCACGGTTGTGTTGAAGGATTTCAGTGGTTGAGACAGCCGGTCACCATTGCTGTCTCGCCATCTCTGGGCGTAATTGCTGTCGCATGGGGATCTCGATGATCTAGCAGCCTTGCTAATCGCCGTTCTTGAGCTTCTGACTTCGATCGGACTCGTGAACGGCTGCAGGAAGAGGAGAAGCCATCTACTTCGGACTTCGGTGGATTCATGATAACATGAATCACCTCTGTGGGTGCCACTCGCGCTGTCTTGGCATCGATCGTATCGCCAAGCATCGCTCGCTACATCGGTCTTTGGTTCGGGAATATTCATCTGCGAAATAGACTGAAGACGAGATGTAGTCAAGTTACGACTATACATGGATCGCCGAGACGCTGTCCTTGATAGCTAGCTTCTGTACGATGATGTGCATTTGGGCGATGCTCCTAATCTCCAACAACCAGCCCCTGAGCGCCTGGAAACTCTTCGTCTCCCCAAACACCCTGCTCTCTGTCCTTGGGGCCCTGAGCCGAGCGCCGCTAGGCTTCTGCATTGAGTCCTGTCTGGCCCAAGGAACATGGATCTGGTTCAGGTCTCGCCCAGGGAGCATAAAGCTCTTTGAGAAAATCGGTGCGTACGCGCCCCTCTTAGCAAATACTCTGTATCAATCCAAGGATGTGGCGACAGTAATCGAAAGCGTCGCCGGCAGCTTGACGGCATGGATGCGCAGCTTTCCCGGCGAACACCCTGTAGAGAGGGCGGATGGAGTGCCTCTCGAGTGGGTTGTGTTTGCTCGCGTTCGGTGGCTGCCCGTGATCTTTCCGGCGGTTCTCTGGGCGGGATCTTTTGTCTTCACGATACTCACCATGCTGAAGACGTCAAGCCTGGGCCTCGAACCGTGGAAGAGCGATCTCGTTATCACGCTCACCCATTCCACGGACGCGGAGACGAGCGACAGGCTGCGGCTCGCGCACCGCGATGGTCGTTTGGGGCATGTGGCACGGAACACGGTTGTCAGTCTGGTTGATGACGAGTCAGGCATTGAGTTGAAGGCCGTGTCGGAGTAGTCGATATCCAGTGAAATCGAATTGCTGAACAGCATTACCGCAAGAGCCAGCAACACCACGTCGAAATATCCCGTAGCACACATGCCGTTTCAAAGAGATCAGAGCCAGGCACAGGCAGATCGAACTATTCTCGAAGTATTCACTTCCGGGTGTGCATGTGATATTCCTCCGTTTTCCTTTACGGAGGTCTGGCAGTCGGCAATGGGACCCGAATCAAGGCTAGGGCTCTGGTTAGGTAAGGAGTCGCCCGCGCCCCCTCGTCCTCTAAGCAACCAATACTCTCACCCTATACGGTCAAACTATGGTCTTTGGATTTGCTTTCCGTTGTCTTCTTGTCAAGACCCTTGGGTGGCTGGTGGATGTGGTGGCCAAGCTGCTCAAACTCACTCAGATCTCCGTGCTACAATTCACGGAATTGGATGGGCCGTGGGAGCTTACAGACGAAACTCTTATGCTCATGGCCAAGATGCTGGCGAGCGGGTCGCGGCACCTGCGCTACATCAACGTGTCACACCTCTTCTGGGAGGTCAACAGGGACCTCGACGGCATCGTCCAGCTCATCAAGCTCGGGCCGCGCTGGCAGCGCGGGATCGAGCTGTTTGACATGATGAGGAGCCGCAGGTTGTATTGGGATTAAGAGCGAAGGATCGCGCTCGCATTCGCATCGACCGCCCGGCCGATGGCTTCTCTGGTTGTCCGGCGGCGGCAGGGCGAGACATTTTCTTGGCAGCAGGAAAAGATAAGGAATATGGTACAAAACGTCGTTGTTTTAGAGTATCCAGGCCTAGTCAGCGTGCGTGTGCTTGACAAGTGGCATTCCAACGAGATCGTTGACGTAATGATGTCAGCCGGGCTAACAGAACCGCCAACAACTCCCACGTTCTGCCTCGAGCTGGATGAAACGGCTACTGCCACTTCTTGAGCTCGCATTCGTATCGCGTTATTAGTCTGTCCTGGGCAAAATGGAAGCATCATCGCTCGCAAAATACAGACCTACATCCCAGCCCATCAGGAGAATACCTGCCAGAGATATAATGACGCGGCTCAAGCTGCTTAGAACTGAACATGCCAGGATGAATTGGTCAGTGCAATCTGCATCATCTGGAGGCAATGAAGAAGCCCGCTGATATCCTCCTTCTTGCCATTGTGCTTGTAGTCTCAACCGGCCTCGTGCTGGGGCTAACCTATCTCCCATGCTACTCGTCACTCTGCTCTGAAGAGTTCCTCCCCTACGAGACGCGCCTTCACATCGCTACCTTCTATGCCATCCTCGCTACCACGGCCTGTGCCCTCCTCCTGCGGGCGTCGAGTGCAATGGCGCGTCGCCTCAGCCAATACCTCTTGGTCCGACGAGAGGTCCCCGTGCTCAAGAAACGCATCAGTGTCGGCGGAGTGGTCCTGTCGATATGGCTAGTCGGGCTTATCCTAGCTACGACGGGATTCTGGCTGCATCCGGAGTTGGAGTTCTGGCAGAGTAGGGTCGAGGTAGTTGGCTGGGCTGAGGCTAAAGTTAGACTTGCCGTCACGGCCATCATCGGGCACCACGCCGACATGCTGCTCGGGCTCGTCATCATCCCGGTCTCGAGGAACAGCATACTCGGGCGCGTATTTGAGTTGCACCAGAGCACGTTGCTGTACGCACACAAACTCATGGCCTACCTGCTGTTCGTTGCCGCCTTCGCGCACGGTGCGGCTTATTACGTGAGACTTTCTTACGAGATGGGCATAGAGTGCTAGACACTGATATCGAAGGCAGACCTTTGTCGGGGCTTTTGCTCACGGAACCGATGCTCAAAAGCTGCAGATCAACATCGACAACCCTACCTTGACGACAAAAGAGTCGCAAGCAAGAGGCTACTACTACTATACAAACCTAGCGTCCGGGATGGTGTCCTTCATCGCCATGGTCATCATCGGAATCACGGCTATCCCTGTTCTCCGTCGTCAAAGCTACCAGACCTTCTACTATTGCCACATCATTCTTAGCATCTTGATCTTCATCATTCTCTCCATCCATGCCAGCACCGACTTTTACTTCCTGCTGCCCGGCCTACTTCTCTGGGTCACGGATTGGGCGTGGCGGCTGGTCCGCGGGGAGACGGGTCTCAAGACCAAGGTCACCGGATCATTGGAAAACGCGGGAGTGGGGTGGTACCGGATTAGACTGCCCCTTGCCGTTGTGAAGCGAGGCAAACTCGGCCGAGGCCAAGACCCGGAGAAGCAGACCGCCGCCATCGACTACCCGATCCAGTGGTACTACCTCAACATCCCATCAGTCAGCAGGCTACAGGGCCACGCCTACACAGCAGCTGCAGTCCGGTCATCATCATCAGGGCCGGTCTTCCTGCTCCAGCGCTGCCAGGGTAAGAAGCTGTCCAAGCTGGAGAAGGAGTGGACGCACAAGCTCGCCAATACGCTCCCGGACCCGGGGACGCAGACCGAGCTCACCGTCCGTGTTGAGGGACCCTACATGGCTTCTGACACGGGGTTCGCTACGGCATCTCAGGTCGTGTGTGTGGTCGGTGGAACGGGCGTTACCGGTGCTCTGGGTTTGGCAAAATGGTGGCTTGCTCATCGGGCGGAGCAACCAGGGAGTTCCTTTGCCTTGGTATGGACCGTGCGGCATCGTGAGATGGCCGAGATTGGGGAGTGGAACGAGCTGGTAGAGAAGGCGGCTTCCCTTGACAACTTTGCTGTTCATCTGCATGTTAGTTCAGAGAACGGGAGGCTAGATCTCAAATCTGCACTTGCAGTTCATCTCGGTATTCAAGCGTCAGCTGGATCTCTTGTTGACGACGATGGGCGACAAGATGGGCTACAGGGCTGGGTGTATATGTCAGGGCCGGATGGGCTTCTAAGTGCCGCAGAGGATGCCTGTCTTGACCTGCAAGAGGAGATACGTCGAGATAGGAAGAGTTCGACCGCTCTGATGCCGCTGAAACAGCTCGACTGGTACGTCGCTCGATGGGAAGTTTAGTATTTCGAATGGGAACAGAATGGGCAGTATCTTAGTCTCACAAGACCTGATTGCAGTCATTCTATGAGAGCAGTTGTGTATTGCAAATCGGAAACTATCCTGGCGTGATTGTCTGAAATCAACATCTCTAAGTCTAGAGTTGTAACTCGGATATTCGCGATGGAGCTGTGCACGCATAGGGGCTGATCAGGGACAGGCCTTCGGCCACGTCCTTGCCCTTTTCGTACCACCACGGCATCCTCTTAGATCTCTAGTTGAGATCGTCTTCTTCCAGCTCGAAACCCTCATATCTGGCAAGGAGAGCGTCATCTTCCTCAAATTCGGTCTCCGGCAGCGCAAATCTTTCGACAAGGTACTTCTCCTCAGAGGACGGGGGTCCGTCAATCGACCGTGTCGGGAGGCCCGGAAGGTTGTTGATGGGGTTTCTGCCGGTGACCATAGTGCAAACGGTAGCAGTGCACTTAGCAACGAACGGCCCAACTTTGGCATAGACACCTCCAATGACCCTTGCAGCGTCTCCGAGCTTGTTAGCCGCCTTTACCCACGCTGCGACCCACCCCGGGGACTGAGAAGCAGTCACTGCAGCCGCGGCAGTGCTGCAGCAGAATGCACCGCTGCCAAGGGTGTAAGCTCCCACAGTGTAGCCCTGGGAGTTGCAAACAAGCGCTCCTGCTGCACAGGCTACCGCACCGAACTTGTAGCTGTGGGGTATTAGCATGGGGAGCTTTGTGCGCGGATTGGGACACCTACCCTGCTTCCGGGCCCTTGTCGTTCCACTTTGGCTCGGGCGCCGGCGCCGGCGCGGCGGTTGCCAGTTGAGTGGTGGCCACGAGGGCGAAGAGTGCGGCAATGTTGAAACGCATGGTGGTAGCCGATTTGTGTGTATGACAGTCAGGGTGCAGAAGAAGAGGCTGGGAAGTGATCAATAGGATATCTTGTGTTTGTCGAAGCTGTATGTTGTTGTAGATGCTGCATACACTCTCGGACTGGCTTGGCAGCCTCTTATATGTTGCTGGCTTTTAACGCTCACTCATCTCCCTCTGCCTTGACACTCCTGCGCCATTGCAACCAGCCCCTACTGCCCACTGTTCTTGCAAGGCATGGGCTGCATCTATTCTCGCAACTCACAATCCCAAAATAGTTCCGGACCACCCCGAAGGATTCAGTTCACATGGGAGAAGGGAGAAAAATAGGAGATCGGCCACTTACATGTACGACGCCTAACCCATAGCTAACAATTCCGTCATATGCTTCTATATAGAGAAGTCATGGACGACGATATGCATGCTGTGCCTTGGTCGGGGCCGATGATGAAGGAGGCGAGACAGTCATGATCGACCAAAAAAAGCCACTTCGACGAACGGGAGAGTCGACTAGCATGGTCAAGCGGAAGGCAAACGTTCCATTTTGTGTCCACTTGCGTTTCAAAGCCAGTTGGGGGCCGTCGATGTAAAGAAAGTTGATCATCAGATGACGATTCTTGGAGTTCAAAACCGGCCAGAATAGTAATTCCTACAGGGTATACGTTTCCTATGCAACTAACGGATCGACAAATGATCCTACGGGGTCTTCTTAATCATGTATGCCAGAGCTGCATTGCATTCAACCTTGTAGAATACCAGCATGATCAACAAGGCTGCAACCAACTCGTCGTACCAGGTCCAATTCTTGCACTATTTTGGTTACTCAGGAGGATTTCTTTTTCTTAATACCGAGTTGAATCCGTGGGGTTGAAACAATTGACGAATCATGTCTTATGGAACAAGAACGTGGAAAAGAATGAGCGTAAGCACATCATGCACCGGTTCGGAGTACCCCTGTCGGTGTACAAGGCAGAGTACATCCAACATGCAGACGATTGTGGCAAACAAGTCCCTTCGATAAAGCTTTCAGCGGATACTACTTATTTTCAGAGCTACAGCAGCTTCGGTAAAGCACTCAAACAGTGACGGAAAAGAATCAGCGGATCACTTACTGTGTTGCCTACTTGTTGATGTTAAGAGCAGCGCTCGGACAAGTTGATGCTCGTTCTTACAAATTTCACTCCTCACATCTCCTCTGACATATTTCGATTCCCAAAGCCATCATCATTATCTTCCTAGACCTGGAAGTTCTCAAACACTACCAACATGCAGTCCTTCATGGAGAAGCACCACACTTCCAAAGAAACGTCCGAGGGTGCATCCACTACCGCTAGCCGTATTGCTGGTAATGTGCAAACCTGCTCGATCCGAGACTTCCAAGTCGACTACCTCACCATCGTCCGCGATTCCGCGACAAGCTATCACCTCGCTCTGACAGTGGATCCTGCCCCTCTGTATCGCATTGAACTCGTCCCCGCATCTACCAAAATCGGCGACATTCAGATCTATTCGGCATCGGATAGCACACTCCCTGCCCTTGCTGCAGCACGCATTTCGGCCAATCCCAAAAACAAAAGCGAGCCTCTAGCCACTATATGCACTTCCTCTCCCACTCAGCCCGACGCGGTTTGGCGTCCCCTGACGCGAGCAGGCACGTTCTCCGCCGTGGATTATCGGAGCGAGATGCCGATTGTCACGGTGCCTGGCAGGCCAGCAACGCTTCACCAGTTCTCATGGAGAACAGGTGGCCTTTCAGACCCGTTCTGTCAAGTGTGGTGGGATGGCCCGCTTCCGCTCGTGCCGGTATCGATGTTTACACAGGATCAGAGAGGCTCAGAGTACGTGTTTGCGACAATCGCGAGGAAGACTGCCACTGCAGGGGACAATTTGGTGGAGATCAGAAGAGGAGGCGGCTTGGAGTTTGAACTGAGCGTGATTCTGGGCCTGTTTGCAATCCTACACTTCAAGAAGGAGCGGCTGTTGTGAGCACCGACGGGAGTAGACGTACACATGGATACAATTCTCCGGCTTGACTTGTTTTCTCGGAGGACTAGTGCTAGGTAAACACAGTGCAGAGCTATCAACCTGTACTAGTTGTCTGTACTCATGGCCCTTCCTCATGAAAATCCAAGGTTCTCTAAGATAGTCATCTCGGACGTGTTGGTGCCGGAATCCCTAGCCTTTCCGAGCTGGTCCGAGGCCCTCCACACCCAACTCCTGCTTTTGGTATGGCGGTGCATTTAGCCTGGTTATTCTTGGCTGTTGCCTGTTGTTGAAACAAGCTTTGTACCGAGAGGCGCAATCGTAGTTCCACCCCGGACGGGATCGCATTAGCGTAGGAGCTCACTGCGCCCCCTATACCGTCAAGAACCAGCACTACGCACCCAGGGCACGCTGCAGGGTTCTTTGGACCCCCGGTGGAAGGATTGACTTCCTTACGTTGATTTGCGCTGCGCTATGTCTACACGTGGTGCCATTTTCCCTGTTCATTTGTCTGCTAGAAACTGGATGACGCCACCGCTTCCTAAACATACGGCCAAGGTGATGTGAAGGCATGTCCCCCAAGTTAGACATGCTCGTAAGTCGTAAGTGCACGATAACTCTATTTTTGAAAGATGAGCCTTGCATATTCAGAGACTACTTTCACGAGACAAAGTGGGCGCACTGGGTGATTCCAAGGATCGCGCCATATCTGGATGTATGATCACCGGGGGCGGTCTGCAGAGTTGTTGAAGATGTCTCCTAATAGCTTTGGCAAACAACCAAGATCCATAAGATATCCCACGTTTCTTTCGAGAATAGGTGATCAACCTCATCGGTATGCTAAATAAATCTTCAATGCTGTAAATAGACCTTGAACGCCGTGAATCCTGACGCAACCTGGGCTCAGAGCTGTCGATGACCATACAGCGGAGCACTCTGATGCCGGCCAGCTCCAACTTGCGAGCCCAAGTCTGAATATTTTGAAATCGGACTGAAGAAACACAATGAAGATGCTCTTCGCGTTGAGGAAAGAAAACTATAAAGATGTCATGACTTCTTGACATCTACTCAGACTACTTTACACCATCACCGCACACTACCACTGCAAATCACCACTCCAAACTACCACTGCAAACTACCACTGAAAATCACTACGACAATCTACCGCGCGAAGCTCCCACAAGAAGCCTTCACAACATCCTGAAAAAATATCAACATGCATCTGAGTCAAGTCACCCTTCTCTTGCTCGCTGCCACCGGCGTGCTCGCCACACCCCTTGGACAGGATCTTGAAGCTCGAGACTCCGACGTTCTTCTCAGCTCCAAGAAGACCAATGAGGGAGAAGGCTTCGAGGTCTGGGGCCGGGCTGTCGACGCTCGGGACGAAGACACCCTCCTCAAGTCCGACACCACTCCCAATGGCGGAAGCTTCGAGGCTTGGGGCAAGCGACAGGCTCAGGCGCTCACCGAACGAAAGACCAAGTGTGCCTCCGGCGTCTCTCCAGTCTGCGACGACAAGAACGGGGGCCCGAACACGCTCTGCCTCAGTCTCATTTCGTACCTGAGTTCCTACAGCTCGCAGACTACCCCGAAAGGCTCCAAGGCGCTGTGCTACACCGGAGCTGATGGAAAGTGCTGCACGAAGTGGAACACCAAAATCAACTACCTGACCTACGGCGACCTGGTCCCCAATGCTCAGACGATGTACAGTTCTTGCAGCGGCAGCAGTGGCAACTCGGGCAAGATGAGCGGAGTGAGACTGCACGGCACCTGCGCCAACCAATGCCTCAACAACGGCCACTCGTGCAAATAAGTTGCGGTGCTGTGGCGGCCGTCTCTGCGCCGGCTGGCCCAGGCGTCTCCTCGGCATGTTCACTTCAGCCACCCCGGCGAAGACGCGCATCGCAAGTCCAACCACCACGACTTTCGTTATGTTTCTCTTTTCTTCATCTAGGATTATCACACTCGTTATGTAGACACAAATATACTGGAAATGGTTCCAAACGACTTCAAGTCAGGGAGGGGTCTCACAGTGCATTTTTCTGCCTCGTTCCTCTGCTAAGAATGAAATGGAAGCTCACCTTGCTGGCAAATATATTCCACGGCCGCCATTCATATCGGCGGTTGTACCCGCGTGATTTTCTACGACCAAAAGGCATAAAGCTGTTGCCGGCCTTCCGAGGAGAGAGGACATTATCAGTGACAGAATTCGTGGTTTGTTTTCTCTGTCCTCAGATACCATCCATCTGTACTCCTGCTTGTCAAATCCGAACTGGATATGACGAAACCCTTTGTTCTGGAACGGTCTGCTGTGGTGTTCTAGCGTTCATTCCAACCAACACCCCTCCACTGCAATGAAACAGCCGCCCAGGCACGCCACTGATGTGCGAGTATGGATGAGCTTTAGTCACCGCATCATGGCTATTGTGTATCGCCTCGGCCGGCTCACAACGCCACCCACTGATTCACCAATGGTGAGTCGACCTACTCATGCGATTCACCAGCTATAAGCATTCAGTGGTCCAGGCACGTACGACGATACGAGTCCAAGCCGGTTAATCACAGACTCTATGTTGCCGCTGCTGAACTCTGAATGGCTACTTAAGGCGGCCATGCCGTTGAGCTGTCACTGAATTTGGGCCAGGCTGCAGAATTCTCTTTGATATTTCCATAGTTCTTCACTCGCAGCTCGGCGCTGAATCTGACCAGCGAAAAGACAGCATCTAAGCCACCGTAATAAGCAGCATCGCGAGAGCAGGAGGTTTTACACGGCCAGCAAAGCAAATATGTGTACACTCATCTACACTTACTACACCTACTGCGGCCACACGTTCTGGAAAAGACGCAAATGTATCGGGGCATACAACATGTGGTATTTGTGTCCCGCAAGGCAATGCGCGGTGGTCAGTGGAGGGTTATACTTTGGATATCCATGCCCTGATTGTCGTCGCGCGCGTTCCTAACGTAAACCTGTGGCCAGGGATAGGTTCAGGGGGCACAATTCTGGGGCCATGGGTTCTGGGTACTGATCTCGTCCTTGGAGGACTTAGGCGGGTGTGGCGGCGGAGGAGGTGCGACCGATCTGTCTGGAACTGCCGATGAGCACACGTTATATGCTACAGGGATCAACACGATGATATTTGCTTGAACAACTCAGCTTTGGACTTGAATTTACATCTTTGGTCTTGCAAGACAGTATCCGTGGTCAAAGCGGTTGCTCAACGCCTGAGTCGTTGAAACGCAGGTGCATGTCCTTGTGGCTTGTGAAGTGGCTCCCTCGTGACCATCTTGTATACCTGGCCTCTCTACCCTCTTCAGTCGCTATGAGAGAGAGTTCTGGACCCGTATTCACACAGATGATGTTCCCCGAGGCACCAGAGCGCTTGGTCACTTGACCCCGCACGATGCTGAGGTGCCATCTAGATTCGTTTCGGGTCGGACGCGGTTCGTGTTGTGATTGGTCTGGAGCAGGGATGGCCATGCACGATCACCGCTCTGCAGGTCATACCGGAGCTCCGATTCGCCCAACCCTCGCTCAACCCTCGGGTGGGTGACACGACTGTTGCCAAGAGCTTCCAACTTTCGAGGCAGGGGCTTACTCTCTCCAGGGGCCGCAAGCAAAACGAATACACATAGCCGACGACAAGGCGAGGGCTCCTGCCCTCTTTCCAACTCACTGCGAGTCATGTCCTTTTCTACCACGACGCACCCATTCACGTTCAGAAAAGGCAACTGCATTCATTCAAAATCGCATCATGGGGATCTTCACCGCGCTCCCGAACGACCTGAAGGAAGTTGATGTTATCATTGCTGGAGGTATGGCTCAGTGCATGGACTCTCTAGCATAAGAGGAGTGACTGACCCATCTTTGCGCTCCAGGAGGCACGGCGGGATGCGTCGTTGCTGGAAGGTTGGCGGAGGCCGACCCCAAGCTCGCCATCCTGGTCATCGAAGCCGGACCCGACAACTACAATAGAACCGATGTCGTTAACCCCTTGCTCTGGCTCTCGCATATCACTCACCCTGAGCGGAACACTCACCATTACTACCCGGCAAGCAAATCGGTGCATCTCGGCGACCGCATCCCCGTGGTAAGCACTGGGGGGCTTCTCGGCGGCGGGTCTTCCATCAATGCTTGCATGTACACAAGAGCCCAGCGGTCTGATTTCGACGCCTGGAATACGCCAGGCTGGACTGCTGATGAGTTGCTCCCGTTTCTGCGCAAGGTGAGGCACCTTCCTCTCTCATGGATCGAACATCACTGACACTTCAGCCTCTCATAGCTCGAGACATATCACGGCCCTACCGACGCACCGGCTACCCACGGCACTAGCGGCCCTGTTCAGGTCTCGTCGGGCACCTTTGTCAACAGTGCCGTCGAGGAGGATTTTGTCGCTGCGGCATCGGCAACCGGATATCCCGAGATTGTCGACCTGCAGAACCTCAGCTCCAATAACGGCTTCCAGCGGCGGTGGCAGCGGTGGATCAACCAGTCTGGCAAACGCCAGGACGCGGCACATGTATACCTCCATCCGCGTCTCCAGGACGGCAAGCATCCGAATTTGCACGTCCTCGTCCAGACCCGTGTGGTACGCGTGCTGTTCTCCGAGTCTGGGGAGGGGAAGAAGGCGAGTGGCGTGGAGGTGGTGCCGGACGCGACCTGGCAGGCGGACCAGACCGATCGCGCTCCCAAGACTGTCACAGCCCGCAGGCTGGTCATCCTCTCAGCGGGCTCTTTCGGAAGCCCGACGATTCTCGAAAGGTCTGGCATCGGCTCCCGCGAAGTGCTACAGCGTGCAGGCGTCGAGGTCGTAGCGGAGGTTCCAGGCGTCGGGGAGGGCATGCAGGACCACGCCGCGGTATTGACGCACTACAAGACCAACTTGGCCCCGGGCCAGACCTGCGATGAGATCTACAGCAATCGAGTCTCTGTCGCAAGTGCGCTGGAGAGTGGCGATAAGAGGCTTGGATGGAACCTTGTCGACTTTTCCGGCAAGATCCGGCCTACTGACGAGGAAGTGACTGCTCTCGGAGCAGACTACAAGGCAGCATGGGACCGCGACTTCAAGGATAAGCCCGATCGGCCGCTCGCTCTCGCCATCTTTGTCTCCGGGTAAGCGATGTTGCTGTAGGCAGGCGACCCAGTTACTGACGTGACGCAGCTTCTTCGGCGATGTGACTGTCCATCCGGTGGGACAATATGCCGGCGTCGTTCTCAGCCTAATGTACCCCAACTCCAGAGGACACGTGCACATCACCGGACCTAACGTCGAGGACCCGTTGGATCATCAAGTGCCTTTTCTCGGTGACACCGGAGACATCGACCTCAAGTCGCACATCTGGGGCTACAAGAAGACGCGTGAGATCATGCGCCGGACAAACATGTATGCCGGGGAGGTGCCTCTGTGCCACCCAGTGTTTCCAGAGGGATCACGGGCTGGCCTCGCTGACGCCCCAATCCATGGCTCTGTCAAGGACGTGGAGTATACTGCGGAGGACGACGTGGCCATCGAGTCCTTCATCCGGGACAGGGTTGCCACACTGTGGCACTCGCTCGGCACGGCAAGGATGGCGCCGCGAGAGAAGATGGGTGTCGTCGACGGGTCGCTGGATGTCTACGGTGTGACGGGGCTCAAAGTCATGGATCTGAGCATCGTTCCGAGCAATGTCGGCGGAAACACAAACAGCACGGCTCTCTTGATAGGCGAGAAGGGGGCATCACTGGCTGCTGAGTATCTAGGCTTGGGGTCATTCAAGTGAGAAGGCTTTGGTGGTCTTTTTCTCATTTGTTGATGTGAATCATTGCTATTCGATGCCTGAATTCTATCCAAGAAACCAATGGTATTATCATTATATTAGTATCCCAGCCTACCAGTGGATCATGCTCGACGGTGTGTAATCGTAGACCACGGGTTAGTCCAGCTTTCTCGTCCGGTCCTCTCGCATCTTGCCTCCCTGGTCTGGCCGTTCCATATATCATTTATCACTTAGACTCGAATGTGTCCTCATCCCAGCCCAATTCTCTCCGCAGCTGCCTGCGGACTGCGGAGGCCTTGCTCCCTTCAATCTTCTTCGAGTTGCCAGGTTGGTGGGGTTTATGAACAACCATTGACGCCTTCAAGTCAGAACCTGGCGCCGGTACAAATTTGAACTCGGATCCGGTGCCGGGGATTACCGAAAATCCGGCTTCCACCATTGCCGACCCGAAGTTCTTCCATGATATTGCTCCCTGCGCCCTGCGGGACTTTGCAAATAGAGTATCAAAGACGTGCTTTGCAGATCGAGAGACTTTCAGCCGGGCCTCGGCCTTGCCATCAGCATCTTCTTCTGACGGGGGCTCTGTCTTCTTGTTGGAGGAATTATCGGACTGGGATGGGCTCGGCTTGAGATCTTTACTGGCATTTTCAACCGGTGTTCTCCGAGGATCGTGCTTCTTCCCTTTGGCGATGATCGGCTCCACCACTGGCTTTTTGACGATGGCCTGCTCCGCCACCAGTGGATAGACATTCTCCGTGCCGTGCTGTGACTTGTTGGCTTTGGATACTGCTTGAGGGTCAGTAGGCTGAGCAGAACTGGCCCGTGGCTTCGGCTGAGGTAGCTGCGCCGGTGCTGGGAGACGGTCTTGCCCTGGTGGTTGAGTGTTGGCAAGTTTCACCGGCTCCGGCAACGTTTCTGTGTCTCTGCTTCTCTCGTTTGCCTGGGCCTGGGCCTGCCGGACGGCCGAGAGACATTCCTCAACGATAGCGTCGTATGCGGTTTGGATAGTACTGCCAACCTTCACCACCATGAAATCGTCCAGAGCCTGCCTTGCCTCTTCTGCGACGCCCGGCTCACGCAAGTTCCCAGTAGGGGCCGCGAAATCCTGAAGATGAAGATCCACTTCACACTCGAGCGCATTGATCTCCGCCTCCAGTTTCCGGAACCGAGCGGCGAAAGAGTCTTCTCTCTTCAGGTGCGGGTTGGGAAGTGGCAGGAGTTGATGAAGGGAGTGACTGCAGACGACTGCAACGATCAAATCAAACAGCGCTTCAAACTCTTCATCATACAATCCACCATCCAAGCCAGGCAGTGTATCATCGTGTTCGTCCCAGTCCCGCAGCAGTTCTAGAGCCTTTGGAGCGGTCGTTTTAGATCGACACAGATCCACTAGGCATCGAAGGCGACGTGGGCATTCGGGTTCATCCTGAGGGTTGTGCTTCATAACGATCACAGGATTCCCCAGCTTATCGTATTGGCCATGCCGCCGGGTAAAGTATCCAGCGGCTTCATTGATTTGAATCATCTTCCGTAAGCGGCTCTGGTGGTAGACGTAGCTGTGCTGCAGGGCCGTGGACAAATCGGAAAGGAAACATTCTTGACGCCCATGACTGGCTGGCTGTGAGACGATCAATTCCAGAACCTCATGGATGTATCTCCAGATAGCAGTTATCTGTAGGGATTCGTGCCACAGCTGAAAAAGCGCCCTACTGAGGAAGCGGTCTGAAAGCACGGGCATGACACAACCATCCTCGTCCCAGATGAGGCCCGGGTGGTTGTTGAAGTACCTGCGAACAAAGAGCTCCAAGTAGCCGCCATGTTTTAAGTTGTCGAGATGCTGGTTTTGTAGTTCCAGGAACCCCCTTGAATATACGGCTACATTGGCAAAGGTCGTCAGACTGTGCGTGTGAAGGACTTCGGACATGCACTCTCGCCGAGTCTGATAGGGATATGGAGTCTTGGAGACTGTGGTACATCGGCTTTGTTCCCCTGCCTCGAGTAATATGTCCTCGACGATCGCTAAGAGAAATCGGAGTACGCTGCGTTGCCGTTCGAACACTAGATATCCGAAAGGCTCAGATACACATTCTCCACGATCCAGGAGGGGTTGAAGTTCGGGCTCGAGGTCGTCTGTCCCTTGCATCCGCTCCCGAGTCTCCCCAAAGTTCTCATCGTCGAAGAAGAACGTGTATGTGTCCCCCTTGTATTCTTTCTGGAAACAGTCTTGTAAATGTATCCCCATCTGGGGCGCTTTCAACACGAACTGAATTGCAAATTCCCGGTCGCCCGGATTGCCGTTGGGGCCCTCCAGATACTGATCTAGGAGTGTCGTGGAGGCGCGATGTTGCAAAATGTCCAGCAAACGCCTGGGACTTTCCTTGAGCGCTGAGACTTCCGCGGCAAATGAGCAGTATCTCAGCACACCGCCCAAGGTTCGACCACGGCAATTCTTAAGACCCGTCTTAAGACCCGGCAGCAATGAATCGAAACATTCCTTCTGCTTCCGTGGTGTTAAAGATCCCCAATATTTTTCGATGGCTGGCCAGTGTAGTCTTAGCCTCCGGGCAAGGTCCTTCTGTAGGGTTTTTACAGGACCCCAGCCCGAGTCGTCCTCTATCACCACCGGCTTCTTCTTTGGTGACACCATAATACCTATCCTGAAGTCTCTGGAGTTGACAACAAGAGAGATTCCGGCAAACTAAGATAATAGTTTGCAGGCGGCAGAGGAGCTTTTGCTAGTGGCAACTTCCAAGGCTTTTCACCCTGCCAAGAAGGTATACTGAGAAATGCAGAGTTGAGAAAATGAGATGATGTTGGTGCGCTGATCTGAAGTCAGAAAGGAGGGATGGCTTTCCGTCTTTTATAGCCATGTTCTTTGCGAGAAACAGCATCTATAGGTCTGAACAGGGAGCACCCCAAGGCCATGAACTTCTATGCATGTTGTGCGGTGACAAGGCTATGGATTGAAGATAGACCCAATTTAGTGACTTCTAGAGCTGCCTATTCTCAGTGGCCCCACTACGTTCAACTCCTCTGTCCTACCTTTGTTCCCTCAACAGAGAAGGGGAACAAAACCCAGTCCAGCCTGGAATTCTGAGCCATGACGCCGTTTTTCCAAGCCAGTCCTGATGCTTGATGGAGGACAATTTCAACCCTTGTATCTGTGTCAACATGCTGTTTGATAGCTGCACATTTCACCGATCCTGATAGTTTACAGGAAGAGCAGCTATCGTCTAGATGGTGAACTGTAGCGACATTCGGGCCAGCATCCTGCTCCTTAAGGTCCATGTAATTTCTCGTTGTTCCTATTGACCAGACTGTAAAAGACGAGGAGACATACCCTACAGTAGGTAGACTTGAAATAGGTCGCGGGTCGGGTCGCGGATCCTGACTGGTGGAGTTTGGACTTGCCTTCCTGACCGCACATACCCATGCCGACTTTGTCTCACACCGTAGTAACACCAGTTTTTCGAGCAAGGCACTCATGTTATCTTTGGCGATCTTGAGAACCCTGGGCGGGGTAAGAACAAGTTCTTTGTCTGAAACATTTCCAGTCCCGGCCCTATGCGTGATTGTGCTCGAACAAATGCTGGAGAGTCTTCAGAAGGAGGGGATTGAAGGGTTTGTCGCCTCTACGATCGTGAGGTGCAATTCATCAAGTCCGAATCTGGATCTCCATCATGATCATCCATCACGTCCGTTCAAGGCCAGTGATATATATCAACGGAACCCTCAAAAGTCCGGTGGCTTGTCTGGGAGCTCAATGATGATTGGGCTTGGGTAGATGGATCTGCAGTATTATGTATGAGCAAAACAAAGGGCACTTGCCATGTCCCAAACAAAGATGATATCCAGCAATACGCACAACATAAGTTCAACAAAATCCTTTCATGGCCCACCATGAGGGCCAAGCAAAGGTCAAGGGTACGTCTGCATGTTGCTCTTTATCTCATTATCGACAAGAACAAAGCGCAAAGAGCTTTAATTCTTTGTTCCAAACAACGACGAACAACACCAAAGAGTAGTACACAGAGCACTGGCCCATCTAAAACACGCTGTAACAAGCATAGAAAACAACAATGACGCCTCCCACTGGTCCATCATACAGACTGCAATGTCGCGTCGCTCCACCGTACACTCGCTTCAGTCTTTGCGCGTAGACGAGTATTATGTGCCCCTAGATTAGAGACCTGTGAGGGCGGTGCAGGGTGAGAGGCCTGCGGACTCGCATGTCCAGGTGAGGCAGGAAATTGTAGACGGATCCAAACTTCCACATGACGGAAAATCCCAGCTCGGCCATGGCGGCCTCAAACGAAGCACAGGAGACAGAGCCTCGTGACGGTGACCTTACAAATAGCGTTCTGAATACCTCCACAGTAGGCAAAGAAACCTGGAAACGCTAGAATCAACTCAGATCACCCTGCAATTGACTCCCTTGCTCTGACACAGAGGCTACCTGAGATTCCCACTTTGCCCGCCGAGTCAACTTGATCTACCCTAAGGCAGAGATCCGACCTAACCACCGCGCACATTGAAGTTCTTGTTTTGATGTGCATGCTTATATATAGAATGTGTGAATAATCATATGATCAAGGTTATCTTTGACAGTTTTTGAAATGTTGGAACGGCTGTTGATTGGGATCATCTGGATTCCTGTCAATTATATCGGCAGGGGAACCCTTTCATGAGCTAATATTTGAGACTAGGGTGGAAGGAGAATAACCCATGCCCAGCATGCATGTCCCGTGATTGACTACATTTCATTGAGTCCTGTGAACAGTCTGATAAACCTGTAGGCTCGCAACTCAAAACAACAAAGGCTAGTCTTTGCTAGAATCAATATGTCTCCTAGCTGCCTGTATTGCAACGGTCGTGGCTGTGGCAAAAGGATTCGACCTTTTGTCAAAATAAGATGATCGCAAGCTTTGACTACTGCAAAACAATCGAGACGGTGACGCCTTGGCTGGTCCAAGACTTCATGCGAAGTTCGGAGATGATATTGGTTGGTTCCTCGCCAGTATGTGTTTCTGTGGCTACAATAATGGGAAATCCTCATCTATATCTATGATTTAATGCTGAAAGACAAACCTCAAAACGAGTGCTACGCCTTCACCACCATGCCAGGGTACGCGGAGTCTGTCAACTAGTCCAATCTTTACACTCAACTCCTGGCAACATTTCCAAAGAAAGAACAACTCCTCAGACCTCGTCAAACGTGTCCTGTCCCCACCCGTACTGCGTCTTGAGCCGGGAAGCGACATGGATGACACGGGATCCTTCGAAGCTGGTGCTGTGCGGCCGGTGGATTGTAAACAATTTCGCAGGGCCCATGCTCCTCGGAGGTGTGAAGGTGAATGCCGATCCGCCAGCGGGCTTGACGCCAAAGCCCATATCGACCATAGCTGACTCGAACGATGTCCAGGAAAGAGACCCTCTTGGCCGGGAGGACTTCTCGAACAGGGTTTGGAACACCCGGGCTCCCGCGGACGAAACCTGTAGGCGCCGGGCTGGTGCGTCGCTCGGTCCGGCAGGCTCGCCGTGGGCGTCGGGTGCGTCGTGCTCATTCCCCAAGTCGAGATCGCCAAAAAGGTCGCCGATTTCGTCCATCCAGGTTGGGGTTGGCCGTGTCTTGTTCTTTTTCTTCTTCTTGTTCTTCTTTTTCTTCAATGGCTCCTGCGGCTCCGGGTGCGGCTCCTGAAAGCGGGGAGCGGACAAACCTCCCTGGGCAGCTTGTTTGGCCTTTTCATCAAGCTGCTTCTTGGTCTGCAATACGTCTTGCATCGCTTCCAGGAACACGTCCTTGTAAAGCTGCCGCATAGCCTTTCCGGTTCTGTCTTTGACGAAGTCGTTGACTTTCTCGACGACAGTCCTGGCTTTGTCGTTGGCTCGAAGCTCCTGAATGGGCCAGCAACGCTCCTCACTGAGGTCGAGATCAGCTTGGACTTCACACAGCTTTTTCTGGAGCACCTTCCACCTGCCTAGTAGCCTCTGACCTTTCCTCTGAGACACGGGAATATGCCGCACAGCCTCTCGGTACAGAGCGATCGCCTCTCCGAGCCCTTTCAGGGCGCTATACTCCTCCCAGCACATCCTCTCTTTTTCGGCCGGGTACTGGTCATGAAGAGTATTAAGCTTATGCAAAATGTCGTAAACATCGTCTGGATGTGTTTCCGGCTGGCAGAGGCGAAGAATATAGTGGAGTTGAGCATCTTTTCTGATCAGCTCTTCGGGATCTCCCCTTATCACGATGCGGTCCACCCCGCCCTTCACTGTGCTCTCGACTCGTGTGAAGTGGCCAGAAGCAATGTGGAACATAACTTGCCTCCTGAAATAGTCCCTGGCAGTAGAGAGATGCAGCCCCACGACGTTGGATAGCTCTTGGCAAAGTACCGCGTGAAAGGCCTTTGCGTCATCTCTTGATAGGAGTATCAGTACGAGCATCCTTTCCGTATAGGTCCATACCAGTTCCGCCGCAAGTGTTCGACAGAGCGTGTTCCAGATTGCAGTCCCGACCACAGAGGATCGGCTGAAAACGCTCATGCCATGCTTATCCGGAACAAGCACTGGATCGGTTGCAGCGGAGCCTTGCGCCTCCGAAAGCAGGAACTCCGGTTCAGTAAGGTGCTTCGTCCTGATGGTTTCCCAGTAATATCTTTGCATTGAAACTTGTTGGAGAAGGGCCAGCTCTGGGTCACTGGTGTCCTCTACGCGGAGCTGGGGTTGTCCTAAGACACAAAGCTTAATTCCTTTCCGGATTAGTTCCTCGTTATCGATGAGGACGCGAAGCATTGTGTAAAGGAACGACAGTATCACGTGCTGGCGGTACATGGCATATATGCCAACCCCCATAGGCAAGGAACATCGCCTAGTCGATTGACTGTCGAGTTGTGCGCTTGGCTCCTGGTCGCATATCTCCCCATAAGAGTCTTCCGTGAAGGAGAGGTATTGATCCTGGTCGTATGAGAGGGGTCCTTCATCATGCAGCCCCTCCATATCACAATCCATCCGCTCCATCCATTGTTCAATGAACAGGACGTCTCCCCCCGTTGTAGGTCCACAGCGGTCTTGGAGTTGGTGCACCAGGGAACTTGTCGCACGCACCTTGATAATGTCGAACAAGAGGTTCTTGGTTGGCTCAGTCAGCCCTCGAATGTTGAGTTCTGGTGTGATTCCGAAGTACCATTCGGAGGAGACGTCACGCTGATGTCTTGGGAGGGGTTCTCTCCACTTCAGGGCCTCGATAAGGTGTCTTCTTGTCTCTCTATCGAGAGTAGCCCAAAGATCTCCGAGAGCGGGCCCCTTCTCTTCGTAATATTTCATCAGCCTTGCGTGTCTCTCCTTGCACAAAGGGCCGAGTTGATCAAGTGATTCGCCGGTTTCGGGAGGCATTTTGGAATTGGGTCGGTCGTTGTGGCTGAAGGAATCGAGGTTGGCGGGGATCACCATGATGAAAATCTTGGAATCGTGTCTATTTATCCAGATACAGAGGCTCGGGAACAAAGGCTGCTACTGTGTTGAAACTGAACTGGGTCGACAAAGGGTGCAGTGTGGAGTGTGTGTACAGATACATAGACTGATAGGACCTCGGCTTGAGGGGAGACACATTTCAGGGAGTTGATGAAAGGGCATTGATCAAACTCGAGAGTTTTAAGAGATCCGGCCGTTTTTTTTTTTTTTTTTTTTTTTTTTTTTTTTTTTTTTTTTGGGCAGCTTCAAACAAAGCCATAACAGCATGATTTTTCACACACTATTGTCAAGAGCAGTTCGGTCAATTAGAAGTAGAACCACTTTCAAGAAACTATACTTGGCGAGTTTCTATTGATCACGCACGATTGTTAAGTTGACAAAGCCGTCCATGACTCTGTAGGGCACCATCCTGCAGCAGTATCCATCCATCATGTATCGCCGGAAGTCGGCCTGCGCGCGGGCGTACTCGAAGGCGCAAACGTTAGCCAGCTCCTCGAGCAGCACGGCCTGGTACTGGGCATGCGGAGTGATGCTGAGCTGCTCGAGGAGCAGCTCGATGATCTTCCACAGTGCCATGCCCCTCAGCTCCTCGCGGACGGAGTCAATGTAGGCGATGTTGGCGTAGCTATCGCTGGCGCAGCAGCACGTGCCCTTGCTCCGGAGGCCACCCCTACATACTTGGTCGTGACAGGCATTGCGGATCTCGCATCGCTCGACAGTGAAGTCTGATCCGCACATGAGAAGCTCGAGGCGATCTACGTAGCCGGTCCCTCTCCCTGGTGTAGGTTGCCCCAGCCTCAAAGCAGAGGCGACGGTTCACCACGTCCAGATCCGCCCACATGTACTCGATAATCCCCCGGTGCAGGCGGAACAATCGGTTCAGGCTTCGATCCGGTTCGATCAATTGGACTCTGGTGTATTAGTATCCTTCGAGCAACTTGTCGCAACCGGCGGAATTGTGGCGTCAGAGGCATCCATGATGCTTGAGATGTCGAGTTGGATGATTGACTCTGACATTCTGGCAATCTTCGGTGGTGGGTGGGAGCGGCAAGCAGGTCAAGCCTCTGTGGGAAGGTCGACATGCAAGGCTGATGGCTGTCTGGGATGGAAAACGCAGCCACGTCCGACGTCGTTGAGATATTTGAACACTAAGAACCTGAACAGACGTCAGACTCACGTCAGTACAGGCCTTCAGTCTCAGACCGAGCAGAACCCAACTCAAGGGATAGTTACCGGTTATTATTTCACAGCTTGTAGATGTCTTGTGTGCTGTTGAGTCTTGACAAGCCAGATGCCACGTTGAGGTCGCGCTGGAAAGATGGAGATGATGGGTGTCAGAGGAGACAGTCAAAGAAAGGCAAGGCAGGCCTGACGCGTCTGCCAAAGGAGGGAAATACAGAAGAAGGGCGATGAGGAGACAACACCTCCGAGAATCTTCTCACTACTGTGACTGTTTAAACGAGATTGTCATTCGCCTGTTCTTTGAGTCTTGACATTCACGACAGAACACGATAATTCAAATTCACTTTTCTGATAGCCTAGACGACGGGGATTTTCGTCCTAAAAATTATTTCAAGTCTTGGGAGTCCCGCTGGCATACCTGTGATACAGCGCAACGGATACTAGAGGGCATTCCCATTGTTATATGCCAAGGTATTGGCTCCCACACACTGTGGGAGAGCATGTAGGATTGAGGGCGCAAGAAGTAATGCATTAATTTCAACATTCCTGATTTGTCTGCCACCATGTAAGTTCGCAGCTTGGTCAATTGTGGCTTCATAGTAAAACATATATTTTCGCAAACATGAGAAAAGCTACCTCCCTGTTGACCCCAAGCAACAGTCTGAATAAGATCCCAAACAAGGCGAAATAACCGTCTCCACAAAGCAGATTCCCATCAACAGAACTCAAGAAGTCTCGAATGTGTTTTCGTCCCAGCCAAAGACATGCCTCAGCCGGCTTGCATAGTATGAGAGCAGGGTGCCCTCGATTTTCGACTGGTGGGGACGATGAATGGTCAAAGACCGCTGTGCATTCATGGCCTTAGGAGGCAGGAATGCATAGACGGAGCCCATTTTGGGAATGATCGAGAATCGGAGCTCTGCCATGGACGCTATGAAGTCAGCCCAGGTAATGCTTCCCTTGGCAGCAGACGACTTGTCAAGCAGAGTTGCAAACACCTCCTTTGTCGAAGCCGTCACTGTAAAGTGTGGTACCTCTGCCGAGGCCGCATCATCGGCAATAGGCGGAGCATCCTCGGGTGTTCTGGCCAAGTCGTAGATTGATGAATGAGCAGGACGCGTCTTCTCCTTAAGTCTGCGCTGCTCCACAAGTTCCTGACGGGCCTCTTCGTCCCCTCCCTGGAAAGCTGACAACCAAAGAGACTGGTCCTGCTCCTTCTCTTGCTGTGCCTTTGCCTCTCTACACCGGCGATCAAGGTCTGCCAAGGACTCCTCGATCAAGTCCTGGTAAAGATGGCTGAACTTTGCGCCAGCCTTCTCCAGCATGAACGAGTCGAGTGCGTCTGTCGCTGCGACAGCCACGCCAGGCTCGGTGATGCATTCGAGGGGAGACAGAAAGTCAACAAGATCGATCTCCGTCTTCAGCAAGTTCATCTCCTTGTCCAGCTGCTCCAGGCGGCGGGAGAAATGCCGTCCTTTTCTTGTCGAGGGGTTGGGAAGCTGAGGAATCGCCTCGGAGATTCCATCCAGCATGATGACGGCGCTGATCATAGAGAAGTACGAGTCCATCTCGTATGTGGTCCAGTCCAGATCACTGTCAGGCTTCAGACTCCAGTCTGATGTCTTATCGTGATACTGCAGTGCTTTCGTGATGGTGATCCCAGGAGAGCACATGCGAAGCAGGTGGTGCTTGAACTGAAGAGGTTCCGGTAGCTTGTCTGGCTCCGTCTCCGTGACAATGCAGGGCTCTCCAGACTTGGTGGTCTTGGTCGTCAAGCGTCTGAAGAGCCCGGCCCCAGTAAGCGTTTGGAACATGCGCTGAAAGTTGGCTTGGTAGCACTCAAAGACGAGTGCGCAAATGTTGGAGATCTCTTGGAGGAGAATCTCGCAGTAGGCCGGGTCGTCTAGGTGCGACGCGTACCTCTCAAGCACACAGGTGAGATAGTTCCAGACTGTGATCTTTGTCATGTCAGATTGGAAAAGCTCGACAAGGGCGACACTGTTGTGCTTGTCGGAGATCAAGAGCATGCTCTCGCCATGCTTGTCGGGGACGCGTCCTGCGCTGGAGAGCCGGAAGGCTCTGATCGCCTCGAACAGTGTTGCCGGATTCGCCACGACCTGTGAGGATGCGCATTTGAGCATGACCGCGAATGCATCGATGATGGCTGGCAGCTCAGCAATGCCAACGACTGCTGAGTCGCGGTCTCGAGCGACATCATGAAACTTGGTTTTGCTTTGACTGCCAAGCTGTTCAATGTCGGTGTCGAGGCTGGGCCATACTGGGTTGTCCTCCTTCAGAATCAAGGCAATCAGCAGGCCAAGTTCCTCAGCCAGATGCGCCTGTCTCTCCAGAACAAACATCCCAACAATGCCCGGAACACAGCTAGGGGGGCCGTCACCAAGGGGCTCGTCTGATATGGGCTGATCGCCATCCCCCTTCCACTCTTCCTGGACCACATAAGGAGTTCCTTCTGTGAAAGTTGTGTAAATCATCCCAGGGCAGTTCACCGTCGAGATCCCCTCTGGGAGCACAAGCACCTCCATAACCTTCGAGTAATCCGTTGCCTTGTACAGTTCAAAGAGAGACTTAGTGGCACGCTCTTCGAGAAGGTTGAGAAGGTAATCAACATCTGCGCAGATGCGCAGGGGATGCAGCTCCGGGGCAAGAGCTGAGAAGGTTGGCACGTTCTCCGCGTCAGCCGACATGAGCTGGGAAGCATGGATGACGAGCTTAGCGTCGACAGGTTCCCGCAAGTTGTACTTGGAAAACAACCGCCTGCAGAGATGGGCGCGTTGGTTCTTTGTAAATGATCGCCACTTCTCCGCAACAGTTGATCGGTGGGTTCTGTATCTCCGCTCAAGGTTGAAATGCTCGTCTTGGGGGATCTGGATGGCGATATCAGGAAAGTCATCAAGAACAGCCATGGTTCCGGGCTGGGTTTGACGTTGGAACGAGCGTGGAGGAGGGAATCGAGATTCTTGAAGTGATTGTAAAGGCAGTTGTACCAGGTTTGCTCGGTGTGGAAGGATAAGGTGCGAGACTAAAAAACGTGTCTTGAGGATGAATCAGATTTGTTTCTTTGGGAAGATGGTCTGTTAGATTTGACTTGAGGTGAACGGGAAATGAGCTGAGAGCCTGCCTTTTATAGGTTTCCAAGAGCTGCCGAAGATAACTCAACAAAGCAATTGGTCCTGGTTCTGGTCTTGGTAAGCACTCCTGGCTGCCAGTGCAAGTCACAGTCACAGACCTGTCATAGTCTTGGGGAACGTGCGCTCTTGTTCACTGCGTGCCATATCGGATTCACTGCTCGGTGATGGACCCTCTTAACTTCTTGTGCATCAACTGTGCTGTAAAGAACGAAATGTCGGTTCTTCTCTTTGTAATGCGATCAATCAGTATATACCAGTGATTCCCGTGCCAACGAAGACAACTTGTAATCGTAATCAGGGAAATGAGAAAGTAAGGAGTTTTGAGGAACTGACATATGGAAGTAATGAATGGGAAAATATGGCATCTTTGGACCAACAAATCAGTATGAGACAGCACAACCTGGGCTCTTCGCCCGGTTAATATGTGAAGCAAGTTGCAAAGAAGTGACGCAACATCCAAGAAGCAGTTCATAAAGGCTAGTGAAAGGAAGATGTATTTGCAAGCGAAGAGAAGCGTTCATGTCATTCATTGAGGGGTATCGTTAGTTAATCATACAAGCATGCCACGCCTGCCAGCTGCATTTCCAGAATGCCCGGACACGAGCCATCACCCTCCTTTCTTTTCTTGGCCCAAACCACAATGGCAAGGCCTTCTCTTTTGATCGAGCAGCTGAGAAAGCTGGGTGTTCTTGCCATGCCTTGACAAAGATTAATATAGTTCCCGTGTTCTCCGACCACGAGTAGAGCACCCTAGGAATGTTTGTCAGTTGTCATTCTGTGCTCGTGGCAAAGGAGCCAAGAGACAGGCAGTTTGGAAGCTTACAGTCACACTGATTGAGGGAGGGAGAGTCAGTCACGGACCCCAAACAAAGCCACCGGATAATGAATCATGGATACTCACCAAGGTCTTTGTGGAACCCTCGTTATGGATAAGGCAGTATCCTCCGCCACAGCATCTGCACAGTCGCTGGGTTTGCGCGATGCAATCCTGGCACTGCACAACGATGGTGTCAGCTTTCCAAGCCGTTGTGAAAGTGGTTGTGGCACAAAAAAGACTCACATTCATCCCACACTCCCAGCAGCTCTTTGATACCAATGCCTAATTGCAAAAGATGAGCGGTCAGCACGCAAAGGGTCGTTTGGCAAACCCAACCATTGGATGTGACAGAAAGCGGACTAAGGTAATGTTGACTCAACAAACCAAAAGCATCACAGTTGCCGAGGAACAAGGAGAGGTTACAAACTTTCGAGCACACATTGCATGGATGGTCAGGGAGGGCTGCTCAATAAGGAGAGGAATCGCTGGCCAGCCGGAGGTGATGGAGGTCCCGTGATGCTTTTTACACATTCGCCTTGTTCGCCCAGCATTCCCCACAGGTCCCGTCTGCTCGTACCTTGAGATCAGAGTTTATCATCGGGGGCGCCGGCTCGGGCGGGCCCGGGTAGCAGTCCTCGCACCACCACTTGTGGCAGCTCCAGCAGTACCTGTCGCGAACGCAGTCGTAGCACCGGGCGATGAACCGGGAGGGCTTCGTCTTGCTCCACGAACCGTGGTATCGTGAGGGGTTGAGGCTCTGCCCGGAGGGGCACATGGCCACCCGCACATTGCTGGAATGCAGGGGCGGCGGCGCCAGGAGCGGGAAGGCCCCGAGCTCGCCGCCTTGGTCCTCGTCCACCGTTTCTCCCCAGGTCGTCCAGCCCTCGGGAGCGGTGCCACAGCCCTCGCAGCCGCTGAGGGAGTAGACCGCCGCAGCATATCTATGGGTGCCGGGAGCGAAGGGGCTCTTGATCCGACCCAGATCGATCTTGCCCAGGGCGGGGCTGTTGTAGTGCCACGGCCCCTTGCAGAGCACGGCGTCGAAGGCGATGATGCCCCTGCAGTCGAGCATGGTGGCGGCCCAGTCCTCGCTGATGGTCCTCGTCACCATCTTCCCGCGGCGGGCGTACCAAGCGTCGCCCTGCCCGACGTTGTCGCCCGCCACGAGGCTGGTGAGCACGGCCTGCGAGCGCTCGTTCCACGTCGTGCCGATCGCCGCTGCGTTGCTCGGCTCTGGGGCCGCCGCCGTTCCCTGCTGCTCAATTATCGTTGACGATGCTATCTTTTGTTCGCTGGGGCCGAAGATGTAGAGCGCCTTGAGCCGCGGGGTGCCCGGCGGTCTGCCACGGCGGCAGGCGGTGCTGAGGGCGCCGCAGAGGCTGCGCTCGTTGAGGTGTTTCACGTCGCGCAAGGAGAGCACACGGACATTGTAGGACGGGTCGATGATGATGTCGTGTACTAGCTCGGCTGTGACGGCGAGACCGTCGAGTACGAGTGTTTGTACTTGCTTCAGGATGTCGGCGCGGTTGAGGCTGGAGAAGATGCCTCGCAAGGGGCCCGAGTAGAAGCTGCGCATCAGAGGTCAGCTTGATCAACACGAGAGAGCCAGAGAAGAGGGACTCACTCGTCTTCGGTTAGGTTCTCGTCCACCTGGACGTTCCTCCACGTCTCGCCGCCATGGTCGATGCCGTCGATCTCGAACTGTGCCGTCTTGACCTCCGTCAGGTCGAGATGGCGGAAGAGGGACGGAGTCTCGAGGGTCAGCTCGCGGAAGGACCGGGATGTCGCAGAGAGGTTAAGCAGGGCTGATATAGAGAGATACGGCACTGTGTGGTTTAGAATCAGATTGTTTGACAGGAGAGAGAGCAGAGCTCCTTGTTGTATCGGTCCGTTATGCGCGTCGAAGCCATACTCCAACGGCGCCATGCCTCGGACAGCCTGTCCACTGCTGACTCTTTATCTCAGGGCAGTATTTGAATCTGCTTTGGCATGCCCCTCGCCGAGAATAAAGCGTGATCAGTTGTAGCGAGCGAGTCGTGGTAAGCAGAAGCAGGCCTTTGTTGTTCAACAGTTCACGCGCGAAGGTCAAGGGATGTGCAGGAGATAAGGTGTCTTCACATGGTGGAGAGGGCGGCACACGAGAGTAGAAAGGACAATGATATAGAAACCCCCAGCCTCATGTAATTCGGCCGCGAGATATAAAAAGACTGAGTCACAATGTGTCAAAGGTGCAGCAAGTTGTCGCAAATCTGACACGAGGAGAAGAGCTGCTTCGAGGTGGAGGGGTCTGATCGCCAACAGGGCAGCTCTGAGGGCTGTCGCATGACGCAAAATAGCCGGGTCTAGCGCTGGTTGACCGCTAAAGACCCCCACTGGAATTGCGTAAGATTGGGGGTTAACAGTGCTAATCAGCAGCTATGGGAGAGTCCAGTTAGTGTGAATGGATTGGCGCGTTCTGTGCTCGATCAATGTTCCAAACCCGTTATCTTATCGTTATCGCCTGTCTTATCAGTTCCGTCCCCGCGGTTCTGCGGCGCGCGACTCGACATCCCGAAGGCGGGTAGCTCGTCATCTGTGGAAGCCTCAAGAATCACAAGCAGCTGCTGACTGATATGATGCAGCGGCGATATCCGGCCAACCTTCAGTGAATACTCAACACTGTCTTCCCTCGTCTGACCTACCTACTTTTCACGCCTCTCCTGAACAGTAGATACCCATTGTCCTTTGTCCAGGACACCATACATCCATTCAGCGCCATCCATCAGCGCTCCCTCAAAGGCACTCCAAGTGGCCTGCGACCAACTCCAACATCTTACCCTACGAATGCATCAAACAACTTCATAACACACAAGATGGACGGGCAACCAGCAGACCTCAACTGGTCAGGGACCTTTGCTATATCGAGGCCGAACCGAGACCTCAAAGGCGACAAGATCCTCCTCCCCCAATCCGCCCTCGAACAGCTCCTCGCCGCCTCCCCTCGAGTCGCCGCGCCCACGACACACTCCTTCACCGCCTTCGACCCTTTCAACCCATACTCTGTCGCCGCCGCCCAGCGAGAGAGGTCGCAGTATCAAGAGACCCAGCAGCAGTTACCACACCCGTTGATGTTCCGCGTCGTCAACCAGAGCAATGGCAACGCGGTCTACGCCGGCATTCGAGAGTTCTCCGCGCAGGAGGGCGAGGTCGCACTCAGCTCTTACCTGCTCGAGTCGCTGGGGATTCAGGAGTCCGATTTCAAGGCTGGTGACTCGGAAGCAATGGCCATTGACCTGACCTCCGACGACACGAATGGCGAGGGACCGGCACCGAGCGGCCCGCAGGTGACGATACATGCGAAGCAGTTGCCCAAGGGCACCTTTGTCCGTCTCCGACCGCTCGAGGCAGGCTACAACCCGGACGACTGGAAATCTCTGCTTGAGCGACAGCTTCGGGAGAGCTTTACCACTCTTACTAAGGGCGCCATCTTCTCAGTGCGCGGCGTCAAGGCCGAGGCGTTCCGGTTCTTGGTGGACGAGTTCAAGCCCGAGGGCGATGGCATCTGCGTGGTCGATACAGATCTCGAGGTCGATATCGAGGCACTAAACGAAGAGCAAGCGCGCGAAACGCTGAAACAGATCATGGAAAAGGCACAGCGTGCACCGGGGGCTGCTGGCGGCAGCTCCCTAGGTGGCAAGATTGACACATGGAAAGCGGTGGAGGGGCAGGTCATACCAGGAGACTACGTCGACTTTGAGCTGCCCTCATGGGACCGGTCACGGTCCCTCTCCATAGAGCTGTCGGGTCTCGATGACAGCGAGGACGTGGACCTGTTTGTCAGCCCAAAGTCAAGCCGGCAACGAGCTTTACCTCGCGAGTCCGAACACGTCTTTTCCAGGTTCAGCCCTGGGAAGGGCGGTTCGCTCAGCATCAACATTCAACCTACCAATATCGAGCTCGAGAACGCCGACAGCCTCTTGATCTCTGTCCACGGATGGCAGTCACAAGGCTCAACCTCCAGCGACACATCACCCCGTCCCTTCTCGTTGCGAGTGCGCACAGTGCTGGAAGATCCGATGGCGCAGAACGAACCTGCTACAAACGGTACACACACACAGGGAGGGGAGGATGAAGTCCAATGCAAAAACTGTCTGCAATGGGTGCCGAAGCGGACACTCGTGCTGCACGAGAACTTTTGCCTGCGCAACAACATTGCCTGCCCGCACTGCAAGCAGGTCTTTCAGAAACGGTCCCCAGAATGGCAAGACCATTGGCACTGCGAGTTCGACGACGGCGGCTTCGGCAACACGCCCTCGAGCAAGGCCAAGCACGACTTCATCTTCCACACCGAGCACGCGTGCCCCTCCGAGACGTGCCACGGCGTCGTCGGCCCGTTCCCCTCACTCCCGGACCTCGCCCGCCACCGCACGAGCACGTGCCCGGGCAAGGTCATCCTCTGCCAGTTCTGCCACCTCGAGGTCCCGCAGGAGGGCGACCCCACGGACCCCTCGGTCGAGGCGGAGACGGTGCTGACGGGCCTGACGCCGCACGAGCGCGCCGACGGCGCCCGCACGACGGACTGCCACCTCTGCGGCGCCATCGTGCGCCTGCGCGACATGGCCGCGCACCTCAAGCACCACGAGCTCGACAAGCAAGGGCGCGCGAAGCCCGAGATCTGCCGCGACGAGCTCTGCGGGCGGACGCTGCACGGCGTCGGGCCCCGTGGGCAAGTAGGTGCCGGCACGCGCATGGGCCAGGGCCCCGGGAACGACCTCGGCCTGTGCTCGATCTGCTTCGGACCCCTGTACGTTAGCATGCACGACCCGGAGGGCAAGGCGCTGCGGCGGCGCATCGAGAGGCGGTACCTCTCGCAGCTGCTGACGGGCTGCGGGAAGCGGTGGTGCGGCAACGAGTGGTGCAAGACGGGGCGGGCGAACATGGGGCTCGAGGCCAGGGCGGCGTCGGGCGGGACGGCGGCGATGCTGCCGCTCGTGAAGCCGCTGCTGGCGGAGGTCGGCGACTGGACCAAGGCGATGCACTTTTGCGTGGACGAGGGCGCGCAGAAGAGGAGGAAAGTGGCGGAGATGCTGGCTGCTGAGGGAGGCTGGGAGGTGGAGTGGTGCGTCGCGGCGTGCGAGGCGGAGGGCGCGAGCGCGGAGAAGGCGCGGGAGTGGCTTGTCAATTGGGCGCCGGCGAGGAGGTCGATGTAGATTGCGTCCTTGGAGGGTGAAGGGGTTGGCATTGGGTTGAGATGAGCACTTTTCAGCGTGGAGTTCCGATAGAGCGCTTATTCAAGGAGTTTGATGTCGAGGACGGGGGTTTGCATCAATGTCTTGGATGCATGGAAGTATGGATCAGGGGAAACGTGTATAGATATACCCGTCATGCAATAGTAGCAGACAATATGATCATATCAGTGTGCTCAGGAACGAATGTATTTGATGAATGCCTGCCTCGGTCACATCTAGTAATACAGTGATAAAAGGAGAGAACATGACGATCGTCCCCGTGTCAGGGTTCGGTATTACATTGCTACTGCACTCCACACACCCTCAACGCCACCAGCTTGAATCCACGGCATTCATCGTTGCTCCAGTCCGTCCCTCGCCGTTCGGCCAGCTGCTGTTCACTGTGTTCTAGTGGGTCTGTTAGGTGATGCCGTGTTAGCACCGGAGGCTGGTAGAGAGGCAGGGAGAGAGAGTTGCCATACGCAGCAGCTGCAGCCGGAGCAGGTCTTGCAGTCGCACGAGGCGCAGCCACACTCAGCGGGACCCATGGTTGGTTAGGTTGTTGGTTGTGTTGACGTTGGTTGGGAGATATATGTGTGTGTGTGTGGTGTTGGGGGTTGCAATGTTGTTGTATTGTAGCAAGCAGTACCGTGAAAACAAACTCGTTGAGCTGAAGAAGAAACGAAAGAAAGAAAGAAGAAGGGAGTTCAGGAAACGTTTAGTGCGGAAGCTTGTCTTCCCTTATATGCCCGCCCATCCGTCCAAACCGGTCAGCTCACGCAAGCTTCTGGGCACGGTCTTGACCACCACATCAACTCATGGCGCCAAGGGACCATACACCCTACCAAAGTTCAGCAGGGCTTCTTGGTCTGTTATCGGGGCCCTATCAATCCTGGTGATCGGCGGGTTACCCCATCCGGTCAGGAAAGGGGGTGGTGGGCGAGAACCTACCAAGAAGGTAGACCGAGTCTGCTTCAGTGTCTGCTTCTGCACTTCTACGTAGCAGAAATGGGGAGCTAGGGGGGAGCACGACATCAATGTGCAGTAGGCGTTGGGATCCGAGGCTTACGGACCAGTCAGATGAAGCAACCCCGCCGCCGTGGTGGTTGTCGCGATGCGGGGACGAACCCTCGGTTGGGGGTCGCTCAGCGTTGTCGTCTTTCTACAGGCCTTGACGAGTCCTGGGCTGGGTTGTCTGACCAGATGGCGCCGGTCGGGAGTCAATACATGCCCAAGGTCGATGGTGCCCGAGAGAAGAGGAGAGATTGAGTAGGAGGGCATCCTTCACTCTGCTTCGGGTGATTGGAGACAGTCATTTGGGGGTTCATTCACTTCTGCACCTAGCACACTGTCTTGAGCGTCAGTGAAGAAAAGTGTAGTCGGGTAGGGGTCCTTTAGTGTCGTCTGGTCGGCTGGTGTCATAATCTCATGATTGTGCATGATGAATTGGATGGATGACTGAGTACCACAGTGCTAGTTGGGAGGATAGTTTCTCGCGTGAAGTCCAATCAGATGACATGTCAAGCAAGCTGACATCGCTAGCTAATTACCCATCTCAATGCTCTCAGGTTTGAAGGCAGAGGGGATTGATCGTAATCATGCTCGGGCATAGTATTTGCCCACAGGTCGTGATATTGGTCTATGTCGTCTATCTCTAGTAGAAAGTGCCGAGAGATCTAATCCAGCTCATCTCTCCAAAATCAAATGGTATCTCTTTTTGTCCAAAGCGTCATGAAATCTTCCCAAATGCGTAAACTTACGCCTCGTCGGCCCACACGTCGTGCCCAAAGGTGTCCTTCATGTTGACGAACCGGAAGTGCTTGCCGCGCGCGACCTCCTCGATGGCGGCAAAGTCCTCCTCCGCCAGCTCGGGCACCTGGAAGTTGCTCTCGATGCGCGACGGGGTCGAGCTCTTGGGCAGCACGACGTAGCCGCGGCGCAGGCCCCAGGCGAGCAGGACCTGCGCGAGGGTGTGGCCGGTCCGGTCGGCGACGGCGTTGAGGCCCGGGTCGTCGCGCACGCGCATGCCCGTGGTGGGCACCTGGTCCTGCGAGCCGAGGGGCGAGTAGGCGACGGGCATGACGCCGTGGCGCAGGCAGAAGTCGACGAGCGCGGCGTTGGGCAGGTACGGGTGGATCTCGACCTGGTTGACGACGGGCTTGACGCGCGCGTAGCCGAGAAGCGCCGTGAGGTGCGCGGCCGTGAAGTTGGACACGCCGAGCGACCGGACGAGCCCCTCGTCGACGAGCTTCTCCATGGCGCGCCACGTGGGCTGCAGGTCGGCCGTGAGGTCCTCCTTGATGACGTAGCGGCCGTCGGGGCCGAGCTTGACCGAGTAGTCGTCGTTGCGCTCCGAGGCGATGGGCCAGTGCATGAGGTACAGGTCGACGTAGTCGACGCCGAGGCTGCGGAGGGAGTCCCGCGCGCTCCAGGCGACGTCCTCGGGCTCGTGCAGGTGGTTCCAGACCTTTGTGCAGATGAAGATGTCGGCGCGCTTGACGTCCGGGCGGGCGGCGAGGAAGTCGCGCAGGGCGTCGCCGACCTCGCCCTCGTTCTGGTAGAACCAGGCGCAGTCGAGGTGGCGGTAGCCGACCTCGAGGGCCTTGGTGACGGCGGCGTAGGTCTGGCCCTTGGCGCCCTCGTTGGCAAAGGTGCCGAAGCCGAGCGCGGGGATCTTGGTGCCGTCGGCGAGGGTGTACGTCTTGGAGGCCATGATGTCTGGTTGGTGTGGTGGTGGGAAGTGCCGCGATAGCTATAGAGAGAGAGAGAGAGGATGTGCGAAGCAGGGAGGATGCTTGATGATGTTGATGGTCAAGGTCAAGGTGAGGAGTGGCGCTAGAACAGTGGTCTAGGGGTCTTTTCTTCGACGGCCAAGGTAACACAGCGTAACACGGAGCGGTGATGTGTTGGCGTCTCTCTCGTTTACTTTTGCTATCACTGTTTGTTCTCAGAGACAGACTGGAGTGAATCCTCCGAGTACCTCGTTCCCGTTCCCGATAGATCCCCCTTTTTTTTAATAAAACACCGCCTTTGCCGCCTGCAAAATTCTGATTTTTTCTCTCTTCCCAACAGAGAAGCACGGAGCAGCTGCAGCAGTCATCTACGTGTTTCGAAGCTGAGGTACGGCATTGTTTCCGTGGAGCAGGATGAGGTCATCATTGGACGGACGGGGTGGGCGGGTGAAAACTCGTTCATCTTAGTCCGCGACTCAAGACAGCCGAGAGAGAAAAACCGGGGCCCGGGCACCACGTTTTTTTTATCGCGATAGTCAGGGACAGATTGCCGTGTACGGTGTTTATGCCGCACATGCCGGGATAGCCGTTTGGGAAGAAAGGAGCTGCATGCCAGGAACAGGCCAAGTGGCAGAGATTTTAGGATCTAGGTCCATCTCAGTCCATGTACTCGAAAAGGCCGCGTCTTGGCGGTGTGAAGAGACAGAAAGGACAGAAAGAGATAGGCAGATACATGATGCTGAATAGAGTTTCGATGGTGTTTTGAGAAAACGGATGCCTCTGAATGGCACGAATTTGCCCATTCTCTCCACAAAAAGCCACAAAAAGGTTCCCAGCACGGTGGAGATACGGTGGAGTCAGGAGAGTGAGGATGACGTGAAGGGCAAACGTGGAAGTACCGGACGTTGATCTCGTGAATTTCTACGGCAATCCGGCCACCAAGAAAAAGGCTTGACTTTTGAGCCGCATGCACATCACCACGAGTGACATGCCCATCCGCTGGCATCCTCCCCCTCTCACCAAGTACACCCTCCACCACACCGTCTTCACAAGCCAAGATAGATAACCGATACCAGAGCAGAAAAACTCGGACGGTTCCCCACCACCATCACCCACCTACACTCGTTGGCGGACCCTTCCCAAGAGCCAACCTTCCCTACCGTCCAACGCCGTTCCCTGGCGGCGGAGTAGGGGTCCATCCCCGTTTCCACGCCGCCCACTTGTTCCCTCCCTACTTGTACTTCGAACAAGATGCTCCAGCTCGTCCGGGCAGAGAGAAGATACCTGCATACGAATCATGACGGTGCCGCCTAGCGTGTTTGAGGCTGACATCCAGGGTCCTCCTTACCGCATCCCACGGCACCTTTCCCCCTTCGAGACTGGCACGATTGGCCACCAGCAACGTCCTTTATCGCACACCGCGTTCCGGACTCATCTCGGCGTGTCCATCCTCGGTCCCCGTCGTCCCCGCTATGATGTAAGGCGCTGCAGAGATGTCCAGTCGACGACTTGTACATGTCCATCTGAGGTGTACGGCGTGTACATCACCACCGGCAGCAAGAAGATCCTGCACACGTGTACCTGTCCTGATTCACAGCATCCATCTTTCACATGTATGTAGACTAGACTGACTATCCTGCGGGAATTCACGGATAGAGCCCTGATAAGAGATTTTGCATCAACGTTCAAACATCTCTGGTGGTTGTTGGCCTCTCGGCATCTTGGCCCCGGCCAGCAGCCTCATGGCAGTGATATAAAAGCTGCTGGCCCGTCCTTTATCTCATCCTATCTTAGTCCTATCTCATCTCATCTTGTTCATCCATCCTTTCATTCCCTCTTCCTTCGTCCATACGTGCCTACTCTCACATCCACATACACATCACACACAAGAGTCCAACCTTCACCAACATGGCACCTTACGTCGACTCAGACTTTGGCGTCGACGCCCCTCTGTCGCCACCCCTCCACCAGGTGACCAGCAACGGCTCCGGCACGGGCTTCATGCCCATCCCTACCTCCCCAACCCAGGGCCACCCGGGCTCGATCGAGGTCCCCGCCTCGCGCTCGTCACACGCCGACGTCTCGGCCTACATGCACAACCTCTCCATGTCGCCCTCGATGCGGGACCGCCGGCCGTCGCGCAACTCCTTCGGCACGTCGCTGCCCATCCCCAAGTCCAAGCGCCAGTCCCGCCTCAGCTCCGTCACGCGGCCCAACGACGACGACGGCGACGCCCAGACGAGGCCCGGCCTGGCCAAGATCCAGTCCACGCGCGACCTGCTCGTCTCGCAGGTCCAGGACATGTCGGGCGGCAAGGTCAAGGCCGCCAAGGACATGGCCTTTGTCTTTGACATTGACGGCGTGCTGGTCCACGGCGACCGCCTGATCCCCGAGGGCCGCCGCGCGCTCGAGATCCTCAACGGCGACAACGAGCTCGGCATCAAGATCCCGCACATCTTCCTCACCAACGGCTCCGGCAAGCCCGAGGCCGCCCGCGTCCGGCAGCTCGAGGGCATCCTCGGCCAGCCCATCTCCACCGACCAGTTCATCCAGTCGCACACGCCCATGCGCGCCCTGGCCGAGTACTACGGCACCGTGCTCGTCGTCGGCGGCGAGGGGTACCGCTGCCGCGAGGTCGCCGAGCAGTACGGCTTCCGGGACATCGTCGTGCCCAACGACATCGTCGCCTCGGACCCCACCATCGCGCCCTACCGCGTCTTCACCGACGAGGAGCGCGCGTCCTCGCGCCCGCGCGATTTTACAAAGGTCAACATCGAGGCCATCATGGTCTTCTCGGACAGCCGCGACTACGCGACCGACATGCAGATCATCATGGACCTGCTGCGCAGCGAGGACGGCCGTCTCGGCACCGTCGCCAAGGACCCCGTCTCGCAGCGCATCCCCATCTACTTCTCGCAGGGCGACATGCTCTGCCCCACCGAGCACCCCATCCCGCGCATGTCGCAGGGCGCCTTCCGCATCGGCCTCGAGGCCATGTACAAGTCCCTGACGGGCGTCGAGCTCGAGCGCGTCGTCTACGGCAAGCCCGAGCTCGCGACCTACAAGTACGCCGACGAGGTCATGGCCTCGTGGATGGACCAGCTGCACGGCGACGAGCGCGTGCCGCGCAACATCTACATGGTCGGCGACAACCCGGCCTCGGACATCATCGGCGGCAACATGTACGGCTGGAACACCTGCCTCGTCCGCACGGGAGTCTTCCAGGGCGGCGATAACGACGACGAGAACCCGGCCAACTTTGGCGTCTTCAAGAACGTCCTCGAGGCCGTGCAGACGGCCATCCGCAAGGAGCTCGGCAAGGGCTTCAACTTCAAGTGGGACGAGCGCGTCAACCCCATCAAGCATGATGCCACTATCGCTTCTGCCATTGAGGTCTGAGCGGGTGGTTTCGATATTTGCATTTTCCAGCAAAGCATTTCCTCTTTTCTCGTTTTGGGCATAATCTTGGTCTTTTTTCACAAACGGCGTTTTTCTACGGGCCTTTCTTTTTTGTTCGAAACAACAAGGATCCCTACGCATCACGATATGAAACGATGAAATAGACTAGAAACTGGTTGCGCGGCGGTCAGAGTGTTGATGCGCTCCTGCCCGGACCATGTTTAGACTCTTTGATACCTCATAGACATAGACACGCGTGGCTGCTTGGACAGCCTGTGGAATTGGAAAGAAACAAGACTTCATCCATCTTTTTACTCATTATTCATAAGTGACATTATCCCTTTCGTCGTTTTATCGTGAGCATGAGCCATATGTCGATCAACTCGACTCTTATGGTTGTGACCCTCAAACTGTGCACCTTCAGTCCACAACTCACGATTCCAATATCGCCATTCTAAACGCCCTGTTGACATCTCCCGGGCGCCAGCCAGGTGTGCGCCCGAGGCAGATGACACGTCCCGCCAGTTCTGTCGACAAGGTATCAGTTTACTCGTTCATTAAGTTGTCCGTCAGGTGGACCAACTTACCCCTGACAAACAGGTTGACATCCAGGATAACCACCCTCTTTATCCCCTGAGCATGCCTCGGCGCCGTGCCAGGCACTGCACCATCGTTGCCAGCGCCGAGCGGATTGGGTATGGTAAACATCTCGGCAAACCCTTCGTCAATGTCCAACGACGTCGCCGGGAGCATCATGTCGATCATGGAGCTGTCGACACTCAACATGTTTGACGCTTCCATTCCGCCCGCGAACTGATGACTAGGATCCAGTGGCGCCGCGCATGTACCAGAAAAGCTAGGTCCAGAAGGCATGGCGTTGCCCGAGCTCATGTCAGACACGCCCAGTTCCACAACCTGATCGGGAACGTCGCCAAACAGCGACAAGTCGACCTCGACCCGCACAAAGTCCTGCGACGGGTTGATGTACACACCGCGCCGCAGCAGCGACAGCTCGACCTCGTCGCTGTCGAAAAAGTCGCCCTGGAAGCCTGGGACGGTGATGTGCATCCGCCCGTCGAGGTGCTTCTCCCGCGCCTCCTCGGCAGCACGCGTGAACGGCCCGACGCCGAACCCGGACGAGGCGTTGACGTGCTTGAAGCTCTCGACCGTGCCGTGGTTGCCGATCCTGCGCCCGGGGCCGCCGCCGCCGCCGCCGCCGCCGCCAAAGACCGTGGCCGCCACCGCCTTGGTGACGGGCGGCGTCGTCGTCGCGCTGAAGCCCGGGAAGTGCGCGCCCGAGCCGCCGAGCCGCAGGAAGGGGTGCTGCCAGTGGTACAGGCTCTCCTCCTGCGTCTTGCGCAGGCTGGCCCGCAGCCGCGCCTCGATGTCCTCGACCGTCTCGAAGAGCATGCAGAAGCCGAAGACCTTGGCGAACTGCTCGCGCGGCATGTTGGGCATGTTGACGAGCGCGATGCCCGTCTCGAGCGCGACGCGGTGCAGGCGCCGCCCGAAGGTGGTCTCGCGGTGCGCGTAGGAGGAGCAGGCGCCTGGGGCCGAGAGCAGGGACTCTTGGAGGGGGTGCCAGGCTCTGGCGGGGAAGAGGTTGGCCCAGCTGGCGGATGGGTCGAGGCTGAAGGGCAGCACCGTTGGGTCCTGAGGGGGGAAGTTTGGCGGAAGCTGGTGGCTTGACGGAGGGTTGAGGGATGTCATAACACTGTTATTGTTATTCCCGGCCTGCTGCTGAGGAGGAGTGACATGATGGCCGGATGGTAGCTCTCTGCAGGCGATGAACTGCTCATTGGCAGTTGGCGGGCAGGCATCCGGGGTAGGCTGCACGTCGTCACTCGGCGTCGCATTCTGGACCAGCAAGCCGTTGCTCACAGCGAGGTCTCGAAGTTTCGTAAAAGCACTGCAGAGCTGCTCATTCGTTTCCACCAGAGACTGGACTCGCTTCTCCAGCGTGTGGATCGTCTCATCCTTCCTGTCCCTGTAGGCCTTTTGGGCCGATCGGATCTGGGCTCGGCGACGCTACCACCACCCACATTAGCACGCATCTCGGGAGTAGGTTGGTTGGACCGGTGGAATTAGGGCAAAGTAGACAGACACCCTCTGCAATGCAAGATGGAGGCGCGGTGTGACAGAAACGAAAAAGAAGATGAGACAGCCATACGTCAATTGCACTGTTGTCCTTCGGGCCCTTCCTCGGGCGGCCCCTAGGTCGCTTCTTCGCCCCGTTCTGCGGGTCTGCGGCAGTCGATGCCGTGCCCTGTGGCGTCCCCTCTACCGTACCGCCGGGATCGTAGCCAGGGAGCGTCGACACCGCGGCGTTGCCATCCTGTACGAAGTGGATACTGATGTCTGGTTTGACCGCGACGGTGTGCGACTGCATTCGTGCGGGCGGCTGTCCGGCAGATACGATACGTCTACAGAGATTCTCGCAAGATTATAATCAGGAGATAACAGTCTAACGCTTGGCTGGGGGGAGGGACGGGAACGGATGGAGTTGGCATTGGCAACGACGGTCTGCCTGCTCTGTTCAGCAGCATCAAAAGCTGTGAGGGGCATCAGCTCGAGTGCCGGCAACAACGGATTCGGGAGCGTGAGTAAGCCCCCAAGCTGTGTCAGCTGGGAGACGTCCTGGTCGGGGCCAGGATGATCAGTAATCTCCGAAATGCTGATTCGCCGGCGTCTCCCTGACCAGCTCCACTGCCAGTCGACCAGCAGAGGGGACCATAACCCCGGCACTCTTTGGAGTTGTTGGCGGGAACCATATCGGAATCCTCTGGATGGACGAAGCTTCATTATTGATGTTATGCATGAGTTACGTGTCTGGAAACGATATCCCTGGAACTCGTTCTTTAAAGGAGGCCAGTGTAGCTCGCCGTTATACCAACAGACTATCAAACGCTGGATATCATTTCTGTGAATGCAAAGACTATTGACCTGTCGAAACAGCGAATGGCGCGGGTGTTCAAGAAACGGCTGATGCTACACGGCGAAGTGCGGAATGCACTGACTTGATCAGAACATCCTCTCCCAGCACCTTCGCGCAAAGGACATCTGTGCCAGCCTTTTCTTCTCCACCTCTTCGATACCTCCTTCTTCCCACTGCTTGCATTCCTCATCAACCTCTGCTTTGCCAGAAACAAGATCGGCCTCCGCGGGCTTGACGAACTTGGTGCGCTTTACGACCTTCCAGAGCAAGAACATGAAGATGGCAAAGACGAGGGCAAAGTAGTTCGTGACAAGCCCGCGCACGTCGAAGGGGTTGAACACATCCCATCCCACAAACAGCAGCATCGTAGCACCCAGGAAGAGGCCCAAGTAAGCGCTGTAGGGCGTCCACGGGGCGCGGTACGGCAGCGTTGCCGGGTCCATATTCTGCGCTCTGCGCGCGTAGTAGAAGCCCAGGAAGGCCGCCAGCATCATGGTGTACGTCGCGACGAGTGCAGTCGTCGTGAGGTCAACGAACCAGAAGAAGACCTGGACAGCGCTGTTGGACGATACGAGGAAAGTGATGCACGAGATGAGCGAGACTGCCAAGACGCAGTTGAGTGGCACGCCTGATCTCGTGCACTTGAGAAATATCTTGGGCGCCTGGCCGTCTGTTGTGTTTGAGTACCATGTTAGTTGCTGGGACTTGGTTTATCCATAGACACGCAATCAAGGGGAAAGGAGAGTTAGTTGACGGTGGCTCACCCTTGGCCAATCCATACAATGTCCGGCTCGACGAGTACAGGTATGCGTTGCCACAGCTCCAGCCGCTGAGAAGAATGAATGCGTTGATGAGGTCAGGCAGCCCCTTGATGCCCAGATTCTTGATGCCGATGACCCAAGGGCTCGCCGCAGCGCTGCTCTCGCCCGCTTTGATGGCCCCAAGGAGGTTCTCATCACGCGACGAGCAGATTATCCCCACGCAAAGCACGCCGACTACGTAGAACCCGACGAGGCGGTAGAAGATTAGCTTGGCAACGCGTGGGATCGTCCGGCGTGGGTTCTGGATTTCTCCGGCGGCGAGACAGATCATCTGTAATCAATATCAGCAACGCGGTTCGGCATCACTCCATGTGCTCCGGGTCAATCTGACATCAGGTCCGGCGATGGTGAACGCAGCGTAGACGACCACCTCCCACCAGCCAAGGAAACGACCGGTTGCGCCCTCTGTGTAGTAAGCGTGAATCGCATTGCCATTGCCGCAGTTGCTAAAGCCGTATGCATCGTGTCGCGGGTTGCCTCCGCTCATTGTGATGAGCGTGAGGAAGCAGAGGCCAAAGAGCAGAATGACTTTAGTAGACGCCATGATAAACTCGGATTCGCCGTAATACCTATCGCGATCAGTTCGTTGTACGAATCAGAGGTTATGTCGTGTTGCTAGTAAAGAGGAAGAGCATACTTTACCGCGAGTACGTTAATCCCTACACAGACGACCATAGCCATCGCGACCCAGACACCGGGGTTGACGCTGTTGTTCCAGTACTGCATCACAGTGGCCACTGCCGAGTACTCGACACAGACCAGCATGAGACCGGCGAGGAAGTAAGTCCAGCCCATCGCAAAGCCGAGGGCCGGGTCGACAAAGCGCGAAGCGAGCTCAAAGATGGAGCCGCGGACCGGGAGGTATGCGCACATCTCGGCCACGCACAGGTCGAGGGGCCAGACGTACAGCAGACCCCAGAAGAGGTAGCCTAGGACCAGGGAGAGCGGTCCCGACTTGCTCAGGACGCCACCGATGCCGACCTTTGTCGCATCCCAGGGTTAGATTCGCTTCCGTAGTCGCACAAACAGCCACGAACTCACCCATAACCCAGTACCAATCGAGCCTCCGATAGCCATGAGCTGGACGTGACGAGGACTCAAGCCCCTTTTCGTCTCCACGAGTTCGCTCTCTCCAGCCTTGCTAAGGCCAGCAGCTGGGGGCTGCCCAGCCGACATAAACCCAGGTTCTAGTTTGTCCATTGCTAGTCAATTCCCAGATGCGCCTTGGATGGTAATACGAGGCTGAAGGAGAATCGCATCGGGATGAATCAAGAGTGGTACGTTCAAGCAAGTGCCGGTGCCAGCTATAAGATATGCTGCGTCTATGCTAGCAGGAGTACTAGTCGATCGAGTGAGGCCACGAGCCGTGGGCCCAGCATAATCTTCTGTTGCATTGGCAATGGGGAGGGAGATAAGGACAGGGCACCTGGCGATAGTCGGAAAGTCTCACGACCAATGATTCCTTTCCCTTCCTGGGCAGATCCCACGCTGACCTTATCATGGTTGCATCGTGGCCATATGCGGGGGAGGACGATCTTCACTCTTCTCGGCCAGATGGGCGAACAATGATAGGCACATAGCACCGTAGAATCTGAATCCGGTAGGCGTCAGCGACTGCCACCATAATTCGGTATTTGGAAAGAGTTGGCGGTTTAATGAGGCTTTCCGTGAGATGCGAAGTAGTCCAGGAGATCCAGGGTCACAAGGTGATGGGGACAGAGTAGAATGGCGGAAGCTCCAAGGCTCCTAAGTCACCCGAAGTCTAGATGTTCGAGACACATCACAGATTTGCCCGCAGGATACTGCGCAGGAGCGGTCGCACATGATGCAGACATCATGTACACAAGCCTCTAATATCTATCCCCTCCACTTCAGCACAAGCCGATCAACCACCCCATGCTCTACCACCTCCCCTCCAGGCAAGAGACTATCCACACTAATCGCCCTGTCAAGCACAAACCTCACCTCCTTCTCCCCGCCCTCGGTAGCCCTCCACGACACAGCAGCCACATTATCCCTCCCGAGCGCTACCTTGGCGTCGACAGCCTCGCTCAGCCCCAGCCGCGGCCGGAACAGAATCCTGCTCGCCCCGGGGGCGACGACCTGGACGCCCGCCACCTCGGTCAGGTACTCGTGTATCGGCACGCTGCCCCAGGCGTGGCAGTCCGACCGCTGCCGCACGTCGTCCTCCTGCCACGTCGTCAGGTTGTTCCGCAGCATCGCGCGCCACGGGTCCCAGACCCGGGCCCACATCTCATCGTAGACACCCGCGAGCGCAAAGGCCCGCAGGGCGTAGAACACCATGACGTACGAGCACTTGGAGAAGGCCGGGTCGGCGAACGCGCGCCTCAGCATCTCCGCGCCGCGGTCGGGCTCGGCGTCGGCGGCGCCGCAGAGCACGGCGAAGACCTGGCAGTGCTGGGAGTAGGCCCCCTTGTCGCCGGCCGCCACGTCGGCCGTCGAGTCGGTGAACAACTGCCCGTCGAAGCAGTGGGCGCGCACGGCGGCCACGACCGAGGCGGCGCGGTCCTCGTACTCAGGCGCATTGCCGGGGCGGCCGGTGTCGCGGAGGAGGCCGGCAGCCTTGCGGAGAACGTAGGCGTAGAGCATGCTGAAGTAGGTGTGGCGGTTGGACCTGCGGCCCGAGGTCGGAACGCCCTTGTCCGGGTGGTCGTCTGTGGCACCCCAAGTCGTGACCCAGTCGACGTACTGCCACACGTCCTCCGGCAGTCCGCTAACCAGGCCCAGCGAGTCGATGTGCGCGTCGAAGAAGTCGAGCACGCCGTCGATGCGCGGGATGAAGGAGCGGGCGTAGGCGGTGTCGCCGAAGTAGAGGTGGTGGTCGCAGACTTGGAGGATCCAGAAGAGCGGGAACGCCGCGATGAGCTGGGGCACGTGTGACGGGAAGCGAGACTGGGTCAGGCCCTCGGGCGTGACGGAGGTGGCAAAGTTGGAGATGGCCTGGCGCATGAGCCGGTCGTCGCCAGATAGGAGGTAGTGAAATAGGCCGACGGAGCGCGAGTCTCCGGCATACTGGAGCTGTTCGTAGAAGGGACAGTCGGAGTATCCGTCAAACATACAGTTGCGGAGCGTCCTGATTGACACATCCCAGATCTGGGAGGCGTCCTTGTCTCCTGCCTGCCCCCAGCTTGCCTTGACAGCCATGGGGTAGTTGACCTGGGTAGCTTCGAAGGATGTCAGCTCAATGTCAGCCCCAGAGGGTACTGATATCTCCCAGCGCATGATGCGAAAGGTTCGAAACCAAAACGGCTCGTAGACATGGGTCTTAGATGGTGGTATGGTCAATGTCACTTCATCAAATGGGCCAATGATCCTGCCGTTCTGGGCGTCTAGACGATCGGTCTTTGTCCGGAAGAACGGGTAGGAGCGCGGCTCATGTTCGTATCCTTCCGAGTAGATGACTTTGAGTCTGATCTGGGTTTCTTTCGTTGCCTTGAAGGCCCAACGCAGGAATGCTGTAGAGTGCACGGGAGCCTGGAGCTCCAGCACGTGTTTTGAGTCGCCAGGAAGGGCCAGCGGGCTATTGCCAGAGAGAAACGCTGTCCAGGCGTCGACTGGGGCACTGCTTTGACATAGCCGCACCGTATTGACGGCTAGCGGTGCATGCTCGGGCATGGGAATCACGCGTGAGCGCAGCCGCCAGGGCGCGAGATCGCCGTTGAGGGTTCGGATGTTGTACGCGACAGGAGTGATGGTTTCGCCTTTGACATCGAGTGCGGTTCGCTCGTTAATATGGAGAAAGACATCGTCAACAAGACCGGTAGGGAACAATATACTCTCGTCCACCTCCGCCTGCCACCCCCCGGACGAGTCTAGCGGGATGGTGTCGGCCTCTGTCTCGATATTGCCAACCACCGTCAACCCGGGGAACGAGGTGCGCTCAAAGGGCATCCCGCCCCGGGAGCTGGCAAAGTACCGGATGACGACAAAGGAGATCTCATTGTCGCCTGTTTGGAGGCGTGGAGCAATGTCGCTCGAGTCGTAGTACCAGATCAGGGGACTGCCCCTTGAAGGTCCGACGGCGACGCGAGCTCCATTCACAAAGAGCTTGTATCGCGTATCTGCCGAGAAGTGCAGGAGAGCACGCTTTGGCTTGGTGGCGAGTTTGACCTGGCGGCTGAACCGGACGATGCGGGCAGCTGTGTTTTGGGGCGAGGAGTCGACCCAATTTGGGATCCAAACCCAATTTGCTTGCAGTCTGTTGATGGTCTGAGCCACTAGGTTAGCAAGCCATTTCTCTTGGAACGATTCGCTGTTCTCGAAGTGCTACCTGCTGTTCTTGTGTTGTTGTTGCCATGTTGACTAACCAAGACAACAAACCATAGAGAGATGGCACGAATTGTCAGGACGAGGATGTTCCGGATGGTTCCCACTTGGAGGTAAGAGTCAGCGCAGACAGGAGTGACAAGCCCAGGTCGGGTCGATTTCTACCGAGACCGCAACGCGGGTGGCGGGCTAGCTTTCGACCGGGACATAAAAATATGCCGGCATTGGATGGTGAAATATCGAGATGGACAGACAGCTAAGCCCGGAGTGGGACATGCAGAGATAGGGCAAAGAAAACTCATCATAACTTTGGAGATATTATTGTCAGACTACTTGTGCTGCAGACGCAAAGAAATGTCCTCATGGGTAATTTCCGCACATAGCACTCATCCCACCCCGCGTCCATCTCTAAGTGGAGTGTATCCCCGCACGTCTCGGCTCCGGGGCTCCGTGGCAGTTTGAGTCAGCTCAGTTTCGGTCAGATGTATATGCACATGGAGCGAGATCCCTCTTAGCAGGAGGCTCTGCCTCGGGAGAGATGTCAAAGTCAAAGATGTCCATGGGGAGGCCGAGGGTGGTACAGGCATTGGGGACGTCTACGATACCCGCGATGATGCCCTTGATCGGGGCGCACGACAAGAGGAGATATGCTTGTTCTCCCGAGTACCCTGTGTGTAGATGCAGTCAGTAGTGCAACCGGAGAGAAACAGCAACTGGTCTATCCTCGTACCGAAACGCTTCAAGTACTCGATGGCTCGTAGGCATGCTTGGCGGTAGGCGACGGTGGCGTCGAGGAAATGCTGGTTGCCATGCTCGTCCACCGAGAAGCCCTCGAAGGTCAAGTAGCGCGATGGCCCGTATTGAGCTGCGACCTCTCCAGGGAGGTACATAGGGCTCTTGAGCGCGAGCTTCTCGACGCCTCCCTTGATCAGGTCGAATCGGATTGTGATAATTCCAGCCTGCCAGTCACAGGGGGTTAGAGGTCAGTTAAGTTAAATAGCACGCAATGCCAAAGTCAAAGCAGGCCTTACCATTTCAATTGCGCCACAGAAACTAATCTCTCCGTCACCCTGGCTGAAATGCAGATCCCCTACAGAGAACTTGGCTCCCGCCACGTGCACAGGCAAATACGTCTTGGAACCCCGCGAGAGGGCGTTGATGTCGCAGTTACCGCCGTGCTCCGGACGGCCGGGGATCGTCCGCGCCCCCTCGCGCGCCACGCGGTCCCGCACCTCCCCGGCCGCCAGCCCGGCGTGCGCGTTCGTCACGTTGGGCGGCTGCGCGACGACCTGCTCCGGGTGCGTGTCCCTGCAGCGCACGACGAGGTCGGCCTCGCGGCGGTTCCACTCGGCGAGGACCTCGGGCGAGGGCGCGCAGCCGAGGATGCCCGGGTGCACGAGCCCCGGGAAGCGCACGCCGGGGACGTGCCGGCTGGAGCAGTAGATGCCGTCAAAGTCCCAGATGGCCTTGGCTGCGCGCGGGTAGTGCCGGTCGAGGAAGCCGCCGCCGTTGTCACGCGCGAAGACGCCCGTGAAGCCCCAGGGCTGGTGCTCGAAGGGCTGCACGTCGGTGATGTTGACGACGAGGGCGTCGCCCGGCTCGGCGCCGGCGATGTCAAAGGGCCCCGTCAGGTAGTGGACCTTGGTCAGGTCGACATCGCGCACGTCGTCAGCGCTGTCGTTGTTGCCGATCTGGCCGCCCGTCCAGTCGAGGCATTCGATCTTGACGGTCTCGCCCGGCTGGATGGACCCTATGGCCGGGACTTTGCAGATGGAGAGAAAGGAGAGATTTGGTCAGAAAAGGATCATTCTATGGAAGAGAATGTGCGGCATACTTTCTGGGTGCCAGCGGTTGTGGAGGTACGGTTGCTCCGCCGCCGGGACGTCGAAGGAGACGGACTGAGCGGTACGGGTCGGGCGCGACATCACGGACTCTTGGGATCGATGAGATTAAGACTACTCTGCACCTTGATGACGATTCTTGAACACTTGGATCGCAAGATGTCTGTCAATTGATGAAACTCAAGTCTAGATGCGGGGTAAGCCAAAGCATAATTATATCGATCCGGTCCCCCATTGCCCATTGAGGGAACTGGAGATAAGAAGCATTCATGCACGCCATGACAAATGCCGAGCTTTCTCCCACCAGCCAGAGATAAGGGACGACACACGAATGCTGTTGGCCGGTCTTGACACAAGGATCTGCACTCTTGACTCTGCGACCCCATTCTGGCATCTGATTGTGTTCCCATAAATAGCCATTGCAGCTCTGTCTTTGCTCTACAGCGTGATGAGCAGCGCCTCCGAAGCCTGCAGCGTAAACGTCGCCCGCCCGCCGTCATCCACGGCCGTCGTCTCGACCGCCGCCGCGCCCTGCATCTCGCACGTGCCGTCTCGAAACGTCTGCCCGCCGAACGTCGGGCTCTGGCCCTGGTCGACTCTGGCCGTGGCCGACGCGGCGGTCAGGCGCCGGGCCGTCACGCTCGATGCACCGCTCAGGCCGACGAGCGTGAAGGCCTGCGAGGATCGCCGGCCGCTGGTGTAGTAGTCCGAGTTGTACAGCAGGACGCGGATGGGCCTGCCGTCCTTGTACACGGCATAGCCGGCGTAGCTGGTGGTCTTGCTGTCTAGGGCCGCGATCTTGTCGGCGCCGGCGAGGGTGGCCGTGGCGAGGTAGGCGCCGAAGTAGGGCGCGCCCATGGAGTATCTCCCCCACCAGCAGTATTGGCCTGGTCATGGTGTCGTTGTCACGATCGATCAGGCTCGCTTTCCGTGTGAAGACATGAGTGAATGGATGTGTGGGCTGAGATCTACTTACAGTTGCCGATGGTGCCTTGATGGAAGTAAAGAGCCTGCGAGCCCATGAGGACGGTCTGCATGATGTAGTCAAGAACCCACAGGGCGGCGCCGTAAGTCGGGCTGATGCCCCCTCCTCCCTGCGTAGCTAGAGAGATGTGTTAGCTGCTGGAAAGATACTCGAGTCCCCGCCTGTGGCAGCCGGCTTACCCGAGTTCGTCTCGCCAAAGATGTGTGGCTTGCCCTTGGCCCTGGCCGCCGCGACGTCGCCGGCAAAGCCGCTGATTTGCGAGGCGATCTCTCCGTGATGCATCAGCCGGGTGAGGTTGTACGTGCCGCTCCACTGCGGGTAGTTGTGCGAGCAGTACTCCTTGACGAAGCGGTTGGCGCTGCCCTCGACGGCCGCGAGGCCGGCGATGCTCATCGGGCTGGTGCCAAAGTAGACTCCCGCCGAGATGATGCCCTCGGCCGAGAGGTTGCCGCAGACGGCGTTCTGCCAGGCGACCTGCGACGCGTAGTCGGCGGCCGCGTTCCAGGTGCGCCTCTGAGCGATGGGGTCGCTGTTGGAGAAAACTTGGTCTGTTAGCTGTATTTTCTCATCCGGGAGATGATTGCGACATACAGTTGGGCTCATTGCCGAGCTCGATAGAGTCCAAGTTGGGCATCTTCGACTTGGCGAGGACCGCGGCGGCAACGGTGTTGGAGAGGTTGTTGAGGCGGCGGTTGAGTCCAAGGATGACCTTGCCACCGTACTGAGAAGCCAGAGTGATGAATGAAGGGCCATAGGTCAGAGAGGCCGGAGCGTCTGCTGGCGAGGCGACCGTGTAAGTGACCGCATTGGGGGATGACGCATCGTAGGTAGCGCGGTCCCTGAGGGTTCAAGTCAGTAAGGCTGCCCGAGAATAGACTGTAGCAAAGAGTCGACTTACTGAGTTGTTCCTCCTATCCGGATAGGAGGCCAGACACCTGTCAAGTCCTTCAAGTTTTGCAGGCACTGCTTGGTTGAGGCAACGTCGTTCATGTAGCCCGGGAACGTGAAGAACTCAAAGCTTTGTGAGGTTAGCTCGGAGGTATGCTTTACAACAATGGACAGGATGCGTGCACTCACGACACTCCGACCGGGGCGGCGGCGAGCTGAGTGCTGGCATTCGCGGGCGGCGCGGAAGGGATGTTGAAGGTCACGCCGTACACGGCCGCAGCTTGGCTGCACAGCCAAAGAACAGAGAGGCGAGCCATCGCGAACATGGGACAATTCCACAGCCAGTGGGAGAGGCGATGTGCTATGAAAGTTCAGCACGCTCAGTTTGTGACAGCCTGACAGGGCAGCCCAATATATCTTGCTATCCCGCCAAGCGGAATAGATTGCATTGCTCCAGGGGCCATCAAGCGTATGCTTGGCACCGCGCATAATCCATTACCACGATTCCGGGTATGTGCCCATTTCCCCTCGATTTCTCCTGGACAGGTCCTTGAACTTCCCATGGACAATCATTGGGAGCCATCCAGGTACCTACATTACCGAGAAGCCCACGTGTAGCACCCGCTCCCAAGAAGGCCGTTTCCTTCGCCTCGAGTGGTAGGTATGCCCAGCAGGGCAGAACAGGGCTAAAATACAGCTTGCTCGTTGGCAGAGCGGGACCTTTTCACCAAGACGGGGAAGCCGGACCGAGGCCTTATGGGCTGGTCCGTGGGATTATGGGCAGGGATTTATTTGCATTGCGACGCTGTGGAATCTGCAGGATGCAGAATGGCAATGTCTTCGGAGTGAGCTCCAGCGAAACCGAAGGCTCGTGATGCCGAGAGTGTTGTCGAGATTCACGCAGCAGAGCATCCACGTATCAAGGTCTCTCGGCCCCGGCCCCTTGAGCAAGTATCTCTGCCTCGGCGAATACATGTAGTTGCTGCTGTCCAGCCCGATTGAATTTAGTATCTACACAGTACGGAAATCTCTAGCTTTTCCATCCCAGCCACCATCCAGGGTGCGCTTAAAAACAAAACCATTACAGCCCAAAGCACATAACGACGCCCATGCATGTATTCACCAGTGCATGTGTTATGAGAACGTGTCACCGCCATTGGCAAGATACTCCTCCTCCTCGGGCGTGGGGTCCCGCCCCAGCGCCGCGTTGCGGTGCGGGTACCGGCCGAACCGCTCGATGATGACGCGGTGCTTGACCTCGAACTCGCGCGACCGGGCCATGTACGCGTCGACGGCCTCGCCGCCGGCGACGAGCAGCTCCCGGCACCGCCTCAGGTCCGGGTTGCCCTTACTCCTCTCGTCGTCGTCGCCCCCGTCCCTGAGCGCGCGCACCTCGGCGGCCATGGCGTCGTGCTGCGCGAGCGCGAGGTCGTGCAGGGCCAGGTCCTCGGCGTGCATGAGGGGCATGTAGAACCAGGTGCGGCGGGCGGGCTGGTAGCGCACGCGCGGGTCCGCCCGCGGGACGCCCCGGTCGATGGCGCGGCGGGCGACCTCGCGGGCGATGGGGTCGAAGACGTCGAAGGCGACGCGCGAGTCGGCGCCGCGGTAGAGGTTGCGCGGCACCTGGTCGAGGAGGATGACGAGGCTCATCCAGTCGAGGGCCGAGTCGAGGGGCGCGATGGCCGAGAGGACGTCGTCGGCGGTGGCCTGGGCGGCGCGGATGGCGTGGATGGGTTGGCCGAACTGGGCGCTGTGGTTTGTGCGTGGACGGAGGAGATCAGCGGTGGGCTACGGAGATGGTGCGTAGGGATGGACGACGGGGGGTGTGAATGTCGTGCATGTGAAAGTCTAGTAGGGTGGATACTGCGATCTGATCTGGCGCAGGACAGGGTAGGGTAGGGGTAATGAGGGAAGATTCCTCGGTCCTTTCGTCATTGATGAAAAAGTGCGGCATAACTACAGCAATACTCACAGACAAGCCTGGTCGAACTCGTCGGTGCGCTGGAACCACCGCAGGGCGGCCTCCATGCGCGGCGCGACAAAGTCCTCGTCCTGGAAGTCCTGGAACCAGAACCGGCGCAGGTCCTCGAGCACGATGGGCGTGAGGGCAGCGCGCAGCTGGGCCTGCTTCTCCTGGCTGGTGGGCATGCTGGCGGTGGTGGTATTTGTGTCTGTGGTGGTGGTGGCGGTGGTGGTGGTGGAGTAAGCTCTGGGAGAGCTGCGTAAGCTCACGGCCGGACACGTCGGGAGCGCGGCGGCAGGGACGGGACAGGTGGGAAGTGCCGCTCTGCTGGCGTGGAGGAGCAGGCTCAGAGAGAGGAGCCTCGCCGGGCCGCTGATGCTGCTGCTACTACTGGAGAAGAACCGGGGTCGTCGACGGAGCACGGTGTGTCTGGTGGCGGTGGTCGAAGAGGCCGCAGAGGGCAGCAGGGCGAGTGGGTGACGCAACAGCTTCATCAGCGAAGGGAAGAGGGAGATCGGAAGAGAGAGAGATCGGGAGAAGAGAGACAGTGCGAGCGAGGGAAGAAGAAGCTTTTGTGGATAGTTCCTAGCCTGGGTGGTCTGTTCCCGTCTCTGTGGTGCTGAGTGTGCGTGCATTAGGTAGATTAGATTTCCCTCATCAGGCACCCATCCGGGTCAGCGAGCGTGAGATTAGATGCGTGTGAAGTAACGAGACGGAGAGCGAGCTGGACCGGGCTATGCAGCCCGCAGCTCCGCACGAGATGGGGCGGGCGGGGATGCTCGACAGAGAGAGGGAATTCAAGGTTTACAGGTAAAACGGCGCTAGGGGGGAGACGAGTACGCAGGCGTGGGCAGGCTCATGAATAAGGGAGCGAGATCCAGGACGATCCAGAACGCGAGGAATCAGCCCAGTCGACAAATACGAACCCACCGCGCGCCGCCGATGGAGCTGAACGAAACCGAACCTGACTAGCCAGCCAAACTAGCTTTTTAGCCCTGGAGACGGGGGCGCCCAAGTGGCCCGTGCCAGCACCGCTAAGGCCCGTTTCACGTCTTGTTGTTTCTAAAAACGACGTCTTGGCATGCAGGGCCGCCTGGAATGTTCCGGGACGGGGAAGGGAAGAGATAAGAAGAGGGCTGGCTGGGCTGGAGCTGGAGCTGGAGCTGGAGCGGGCTGTGGTCCCGGCCGGGCTGTAGCCTAACACGGTAGTTGGTTGATTGATTGTGAGTCTGTGATAGAAGGGCTAGTACATGTACGAAGAGTATGCAATGTCTTTCTTACATCAAATCGAAAGAGGAGGTAAAAGGAAGAAAAAAAGGAACAGGAAGAACAGGAAGAACAGGAAGAACAGGAAGAACAGGAAGAACAGGAAGAAACAATACAAAGACGATGTTACCGACAGACTACTCGCCTCCATCGAACCAACTCTCAACCCAACTGCATCCCCAACACCGTCTTCCCCAGGTCCATCACATCACCATCATTATCAACCTCCCTGAGCATCAACTCCAGGCCCCGCCGCCGTCTGGCGCTCTCGACAAACTCGGCCGCAATATAGTTGTACCCCTCCAAGCCCTCAAAGTGGTCAAAGTACAGCTCCATCAGATCCCGGAACGCTTCCCCCGCCTCACTGAGCGCGGCCAGCAGGTCCAAGTAGCCCTGCCACGCCTCCTGCGTCAGAGCCGCCTGGCCGTCTACACCTGCACCGCCAGGAGCAGCCTCTTGGGGCCTCCGCATCCAGTCTGCCGCCCTCTGCCGCGCCGCCAGCAGCCGCCGGCCCGCCGCGAACAGCTTGCTCCGGAACTGTATAAAGTCGGGCGACTCGCCGGGAGCGATCCCGTACAACGCCAACGCGTCCCGGTCGAGGATCTGATGCGGCAAGGGGGCGAGCAGGGGGTTGTCTGGCTGCAGCTGCCTGTACTCCGAGTACAGCACATAGTGGGGGCACGCCTCGGCCGAGGGCGTATCGGGGCAGCAAAGGCAGCGGTACCACACCACCGTCAGCCGGCAGCACTGGTGGTCAGGGCACGCGATGCTCCTGTTGCCGGCGTCGTCGACGATGACGTCTCCGGGGGCAGAGACCACTGCTTCAGTACCGCGGCCGGGGCAGCGCGCGGGGTCGCACGGAGGCGGCTTTGCGTACGGGTCGAGGATCAGGCTCGTGGACGCCGGGTCCGGGTCGTCGGTGATGTAGGGCCGGCCCGTGCCACAGACCGTGGTATGCGTGACCTCGCATTGACACATGTTGGTGAGTGGAATATCTCTGTGACTTGCTTGAGACCTGTGAAGCGGATGACGGTGATCAGTGATGTGAGGTCGTGTGCTGTATATACCTTTCTAGCCACGACCACGACTTCTTGCTTTACGATCTTGCTGCTTCGAGTGATGCTGCAAACCACAGAGACAGATGATTTATACAGTCTCGTGCATCTTCAAACAAAGAAGACTATTTCAAGACAGGATGTGTCTTTGTAAAACACATTGTCTGGGGTGTTCTGGAGAAAAGGACAATGTCTCTTTGTTTACTTGAATCCATGTCTTTGAAGGAACAAGGAGACGCTTGCTGCCTTGCCTATTGTTTATTTACATGAATCTAACATCTCTGATACTTTCAAGTCTCACATTGTATTCTATCAATGCATCTAACTCAACTCAAAATAACTCAAAGATAGAAACATATACTGCACAGGCGCCCATCTTACACCCTCTTTGTCGCCGACCAGAACTGCGTGACTGCCCATCACATCAGCAACAGCGCTCCCTCACTACTCGCAGGGCCATGGCAGGTACTCACCGTAAGTGAACTTGAGCAACGTCTCCGGCTGCTCGGCATAGAGACTGTCGATGCTCCTCCGCGACGTATGGTCGACATCGAACCCGATCATGTCTGCCAGCTCGAGCACTTCCTCCGCGGAGAGCTGGAGGGCGGTGTGGGTACCCCATTTGAGCGCTATGTAGACAGTGAGCTAAAGCCGGCTGCGAATCGATCATGTATGTGAAGAGTAGTACATACGTCCGAGGTTGATCCACACGCCACCAGGCTTCAACAGCCGATGAATCTCCGTCAAGAAGTCAACCACGTTATTTCCGATGTCGATGAAGAACAGCGAGACGACGGCGTCGAACTCGCCCTCCTGCGGGAACATCTCCAAGAAGTCGCCCTCGACGAGCTTGACGGCCTTATTGGGCCAGTGGTCTGGCACCGTCAGCGCTGAGTACCGCGAGGAGGGGTTGGCCTGATGCGTCCACTTGGTGACAAAGGGTTGCAGCTTGTGCTGGTGCAGCGAGCTCGTGTGGTTCGCCAGAAAGTGATAGGTCAAGATGGAGCTGTAGTCCAGCTCATTGGCCGTGACATCGTACCCTGCGCCAAGTGTGAGTTCGCAGCTCCTTCATCTAACAGAGTAAGATGTAGATGGAACATACCTAGATCAGCGATATCGCTGGCTAACCTGCCCATGCCGATTCCGGGCACAAGCACCCTGTTGCCTCTCCCCTTCCCGCCAAAGTGTTGCTCAAGCGCAGCCATAACAGGCGGGAACACGGCCTGTCGCTCCTTGGCACCCTGCGAGCTCCAGTCTCGCGAAAGGTGCCCGAATGCGAGGTCCACTACCCCAAACTCGGCATCATCTTCGTCCTCCAGCCTTCGCGAGCCGGTGTGGTAACTGACCCTTGCAGCCTGGGCGATCTGCTCCGCGAACCGGGAGTTCACCTCGATCCCATCCCTCGCCTTCTCAAAATGAGCAGGATAACCAAGCTTGTCGCCTACCGCCTTCTGGGCCGGCGTCTGCTTGGCGTACCGCGCATGCTTCCGCTGGAGCACTTGCTCGGCGAGGAAGGGATATTGCTCGAAGGAGTTGATGCAGTGTGCGAGTCCATCTGGTAGAGAAGGATATCTCTTCCTTCTGCCGTCTTGGACTGACCGTCGCACTTCTTTAGCAGGCTCAGCAGCAGCCTCGAAGGCTTGGGGGGTTGGGGCGATAGGGCCAGCGACAGGGGATGCGAGAGTCAACCTAATGGACTCAACACGCTCTGAGAGGGACGAGAGGACAAAGGAGATGTCGGACAATGATGCTGGCCCACGGAGAGCGAGGTACAGGGGGAGAAGGACACAGAGGAGGACGGCGAGCAAGTGGGAGGGATAGCTAGACTTGCCCATGGTGAATTCTGTCTAAGCAAAGCTCAAGAAGGTTACTCCTCAGAATCAGGACCTCAGAGGGAAGGGAAATGCAGAACGGGAATATGGTACAGCAGGCACTGTGGAAACGGGGGAAGTTAGGACCAGTTCGTGTTAACTACTGAAGTCATCTAGTCTAAGAAAGCGACAACTCAGTCACGAGTCGCCCCATGAGGTGTCGATCCAAATGGCGGACGAATATTTGGGAGCATGCAATGCCCATTATAAGCTTGCGGGAGGGGTGCTCTCAGAGAAGATGCCAAGTCTGACAGGCACCTTCTCAGGGAACAAGCTTTTGTGACATCAGCGCGGGATGGGATAGTCGCGATTGGACAGTCTCATCCCAGCCGGGAAAGGATCGCTTACACGTTGGCCCGCCTAGACATCGCCCAGGGGTCTTCACCCATCATGCACAGTAAGCTGACTATTTATATGAACCTTCAGTAGATGCGGTGAGTATGACCCTTGAGATATCAACCTCATCACTATCTCTGCTCCAAGTCTGCTTCCTGTTCCATTCTAGACTAAAACATAGCCATGGCTCGTTCAATTCTTTTCCTCTTCGCGCTCGCCATTCTCACCGCACTCTCTCACGCCCAACGCTCATATGCACGCGAGGAGAGTGGCCAGAGACAACCACAAAAGTGCGGCAAGCTGTTAATACGCAAAGAATGGCGGACGTTGACGAATAGCGAGAAGTCGGAGTGGGTCGGAGCCGTCAAGGTACGCCCCGTTCTTCCCCATACCCAAGTTACGCGTACGGCATTGAAGTTGCTGACACATATGCGGAGTAGTGCTTGGGCAGTGTACGACACGAAAGGCTATCACTGACGCAAGACAAGACGATCCTTGAGGGGAAGAGGAGTCTATACGACGACTTTTCTTATTCGCATGCCGCAGTAAGGCACAGCGCGCATAGGAATGCCTACTTCTTGCCGTGGCGTGCGTCCATCCCGGTCCCCCCTTTTCTATACTGTCCAAGCTCGTCACATACTTACACGAGCGCAGATCGTTGGTTCACCTACCTCTTCGACACCTCGCTCCGCCGCAATTGTGGATATAGGGGTCCAACGCCATACTGGGACTGGTCGCGCGATCACGCAGATCTGTTCGACTCGCCAGTGTTCGAAGACTCACCCGAGCACGGCCTGGGCGGCACGGGGGACTGCGATCCCTCCTCCCCCGAGGCAGACTGCACCGTCGCCACTGGCGCTTTCGCCCTGTCCAACGGAGGCTTCGAGCTCGCGTGGCCGATCCCCCACCCGCTGCGGAGGAACCTGACGCTCATCACCGGCTGGTTCGCCCACGAGCTGCCCCAGAACCGGACCCTCGGCCCGGCCTCGGTGCGCAACGCCACCGAGCGGACCACGGGCGACTTCTTCAGCTTCCAGCGGGCCATGGCGCTAATGCACAACCACGTACACAACTTTGTCGGTGGCGACCTGGCCGGCGACTGCCCCAAGGCCCTGCGGGAGCAGGACTGCCCGGGCATGGCGGATAGCTTCACGCCCAATGACCCGCTCTTCTGGCTGCATCACGCACAACTCGACCGGTTGTGGAATGAGGTGCGTTCTTTCTCCCGTCTCGACCCATTCGTCCCCAGAGACCCACGATATCCCTTATCCCATATCCGTATAGTGTCAGCAGTATAATGTCAGCATGCGGTACGACGTTGCTGACGTTGATGAGGTGTATAGTGGCAGCGCCGCCACCCGTCCAACTTCGCGGCATTTTCCGGCATGCCTCTGACCCCGCACAATATGACCAGCTCCAGCTACGATCTTCACGCACATGCAGATCATCTGATGCCCTTTGACGTCCAGAGCGTGCCCGTGGCGCCGAGGATGGTGTTTGATATCGAGGCTTGGCCGTTGTGCTATCGGTATGCAGATGAGGAATGACCAGGTATCATGGGCTTTTAGTCACACTATAGTCGGAACAATAAGTTAAGGGCAGCAATATAGAGCTTAAACCTCCTCTGAGAGCTGTACAGCAATCCTCTAAGCTTTTGTGTGGAACTACATGTAACTCGCAAACAATACTACTTAGACTCTGGAGTGAGCGTGACTAGCCTCATGAATCCTCTCGTGCATCTCCGGCGTCCACCCCTCGTAGTTCTTCCCCATCCAGTCATGCACCTGCTTCCAGTCCCGGCAGACGTGCACGTCTCCCACGCCCGTGGCGACCTTGTCCCCGCTGGGCAGCTCCATGATCGTGCCTCCAGGCTCCAGCGTCGTGTCGGCAGCACAGAGGATGCCCTGCCGTAGGTAGTGGAAGCAGTGCGCCGTATGGTCCGACCCGTCATCCCCGTTGACGAGCACGGCGCGTATGTGGTTCAGGCAGTGCATCTGGTGCCACATCGACACGCCGAAGGCGTAGTACTCCTCCCCTAGGAAGATGAAGCCTTTGCCTGGAGGACGGATCTCGTTCCACTCAGCCGTAGCCCTGCTTCCTTCCATCCCGTAGTAGTCGGGGTCATCGTGGAAGGCGGCTTGTATGGTCCCAACACTTATTGGGAGCTCACGAGGGCGGTCGCCCGGGAGGTAGGCTGTTGGTGTGTGTCAGTCATGAGTGTGTAGGTGAGGGAGAGGTTGAAGGTAGAGCGCACTGTACTCCCGCGGTCCGCGGGTCAGAATGCAGAGGGAGAAGAGGAGGGCGCCCACGTTCAGGACGAGGCCTATGCTCAGCGCTGCCAGAAGGGCGAGGGAGGGGCCGCGTACCTGCAATACCAGGGACTTAGGGAGGAACATTTTCTGTGTGCTGGTATAATTTGTGTGATGAGTCTAGGTAGCAGAGGGAGACGAAGATTCTGTTCAATCTCAGACCTCAGGAGCTGGCTAAAAGTGTTTAACACATCCCCTTGGTGGGCAAGTGCAGGTACTGCCGAGGAGCAGTGAGGAGGAGAAAACGCAATTGCCAAAATGATTCACTTCGTATCATCCCAGGTCCTTGTTTGAAGATCTCGTCAATCATGTGGAGAGGTCAGTAAGCAGAGAAGCTGATACTCTCGCACCTACGAAGGCCAACTCGAATGATTCTTCTATGACTCCACAGCTTGCATATACGCGGTGCACATCGCGGCCCACAGAGTGCCACCCCCCTCATACAGAGTGTATTCGCAACGGTGTGGCAAGAAACTGCATCGCTCATGACTTGAGAGGTCTCGAAGATGCACTGTTACAAATGATCCTCTAGGCGAGATCGGCGTCTTGGAGGTTGTTGCTCCCTGCCCTTCGCCATCTTGATCGACAGGCGGCCGCTCCATGAAGCGCAAGGAAGCTTGCGTAATAGGCTATTGTGACCGTTTGGCGGTCAGTACCAAAGAGGTAGGTGACACATGTATGGGGCAAGCGGCGGATGTCGTCAAAAGAAGCTCGGTTAACCCGGGTTCAAGTCCCGGCATTAATGGGGACCCTTGAGAAATTAAGACCAAAGATGTAAGCAGTGAGAAATAAGAAATGAAGGCTAAGAAAGCTTGGCTGTCGTTAATCTAGATCCCCAAGAATGGTGGGTGGTACAGTGAAGATCAAGGGACCAAAGAAGTAGGTGGTGGGCGTAAGGGGTGAGAAACAAGCGTCGGGAGACACCCGGCCACTGCCGATCTATGATGATTTGCGTCAGCTTACGATGCTCATCTCGCCTCAATATCGTCAACTATCAGGCAGATTGCGCAACTTCGTATATGCAATACAACTAATCTATGCATTTACTTCTCCACCTCGAGCTATGATGGCCGGCTCAGTGAGACCGAGATTCGAGTCGGCACTTGCATCGACTTCTAGATCAACGCCCCTGATTGGGATCGTAACTGCATTGGTTAGGAAGTCTCCAGTCAAGTTGGAGTCTGAGTCACGAAGAGCATAGCAGACGATGATCATCGTATGTGTCTCTCTTCTATGTGCTTCTCTAAGCCGTTGCTCTCCTTTAGATCACGAAATGCATAAAGTGCAAAGGGCAAGACGCTCACTGAAAACATCTGATCATCAGACCATTCTCTTTATCCCCTCATAACAATAGTACCTGAAAGCACCCGCTCACCACACTCTCACAATGCAATTCGCCGTTACCCTCCTGAGCCTCGTGGCCAGCCTTGGTCTGGAAGTCGTCCCCGTCCAGGCCGCAGCAGTTCCCGCCGCTGGTTTGGTTCGCGCCGCCGGCGAGTCGCCCAACCATGTCTATCGCTCCAGCATGGTTGCCAAGCGCCACACCTACGGAGTGGATGCTGATGAGGTCGCCCATGAGAAGCGTCATGACTATGGCATTGACGCTGACGAGGTCGAGAAGCGTCACGTCTACGGCGTAGATGCCGACGAAGTCTCGCACGAGAAGCGTCATACCTACGGTGTTGACGCTGACGAGGTTTCTCACGAGAAGCGCCACGACTACGGTATCGATGCTGATGAAGTAACGCATGAAAAGCGCCATAACTATGGCATCGACGCCGACGAGGTCGCACATGAGAAGCGGCACACGTATGGCGTCGACGCGGACGAAGTCACACATGAGAAGCGTCACGATTATGGCGTCGATGCTGATGAGGTTGCTCATGAGAAGCGGCACACTTATGGCGTTGATGCCGACGAGGTCGTCCACGAGAAGCGTCACACCTACGGCGTGGATGCCGATGAAGTCTCCCACGAGAAGCGCCACACCTACGGCGTGGATGCTGATGAGGTTTCTCACGAGAAGCGTCACACATATGGTGTGGGTGCTGACGAAGTTTCTCACGAGAAACGCCATGACTACGGTATCGACGCCGATGAGGTCGCACACCAGAAGCGTCACACCTACGGTGTGGATGAGGACGAGTCCAACTGAACACAGGAGGAAGAACCATGAGAGCCATTCATCCGGCTAGGAAAGGCTGAAGGCTTGGTTTGTACCAGTTTCATGGACATCTACAGTGTGTTGCACGGGTGGGCGCTGCAATGCGCTACTTTATCGCGCTCTTTGGGGGACTTGCTTTCCATACGCTCGTTACATAGCAACAAACATATGCGTCTTGATACTTGCTCCGTTACCTGTATCACGTCTAGTCCGTGTAAATCTTGCAGCGTGTGCTGGAGTTGATGCAGGCAGGCCCGTACCTTGGCTTGATTTTAGCAATTCAACTCTAGGATAGGAGTCTGAATATGTATCCGTTGTTTAACGCGGGTTTCAGTGAGGCAACCTTAAGATGAGCTAGCAAAAACCTCTCGAAGGTCCAGTTGTTCGTTGGTCGTGAAGTAATCATTCACAGATACTATCGATATCGGTGGCACAATAACGATTATTCTGGATCTGGCAGGGAAAAGAATATGAGGGACAACAAGGAGAATATCCAATTCATTCCTAGGTAAATTGTGTTTCTTTTCGTCAACCTATTGTACCAAGATGACAAATGGCTTAGAGTTGCGTCCTTGGCAGTAAAAATTGCAGAACACCGAAGTTCTCCATTCTGCTCTACAGGTACTCATCCGGCATCGGGATAAGAGTCTCATTGTTTCCCGCGCACATTGCCGGATGTTCCTCGGGAAGGGCCTCTTTATCAGCCATCCTGACGTCGGAGCACTGCCATTACGTTAGTATCATCTCTGTTTGCAAATCGGGGAAACTGACATGGTATTCCACATTGCCTGTATGCGGATCCTTTCCCTCGAAATACATGACTCCCATCTCGTTGACCTCTGTCTGAAACGGGATCGTGACGTTCACACACAGCTGGCCTGAAGGCTGTATGGGTACATCCTGAAGGATGATGTGGGGAAAGTCATCTCTCTTCTTCGGCGCCCTGTTTCTGGTATATAGGACCGTTACGATATCCCCCGGATGTCCTGAGAACGACAGGAAGGTGCGCGAGAGACGAGGGTAGCCTTGAGGGTTATGTATGATATCTCCTTCTCTGTGTCAGACTACACTACTAGTGGACGGGAGATGAAGAGGAACATACCGCAGAAAGGGTCATACACCTCTATCTCTGGGCGAGTCTTGGGGTTTGGGCCACGGGAGCTCCATGGGAACTGGACGTGGAAGCCGGCGTGTGCAGCGGAGCTAAAGTTGACGTTGATGCTGAGGGCAAAGAGGGAGGGAATTGCGGTGAGGAGGGAAAGCATGTTGGAATGAATTCAGAGGAAGTACGGTGTAGGGGGACAGGGCGTGGTTGACAGAGGCCAAGTACAGCACGGTAAGTGAAGAGATCGAGGCGAGAAGTAGCTCGCACAGTCTGACAACCTCGGGACTTCTTGCTGCTCTCTCGAAAGAGACTACACAATCACAACCCTACAATGGCTGGTAATACAAGCTGGGTGGCGTCAGATTGTGGATTTCGAGGTTGCACCGGTCGATCTGTAGATGCCGATCCATCCCCACCTCCTGTGCCGTGGACGGACGTTTTCGTGTACGCTGTATGCTGACATGCATGCGGGCTGATAGCTGCACGGAGGGGTAGAGATCTATTTGTCTGACATGCAGAAGAGCCGAAACCCCGAGCCACTGTGACTCTACTCTCTCTGGCGATCAATTACGGTGAGCGATAATCAATGGCTCACTATGCGTCATGCGGTCCGGCTTTCCAGGCGGGTATCTGGAGTTCTTGCCAAAGCCAGCTTTAATGTTGAAACTGGCCTTCGCACATGGCGAATTCTACTCTCTTCCATCTCACTCGACCTTCTTTGACAACTCCTCAGAATGTTCCCCAAGGAAAAATTCAGCTCCCCTCAGTATGAGCCCCTTGCGCTCCATGAGGATGGCGAGGGCTCCAGCTCAACTCCTGAGAAGCGCTCCTCGTCTGAGGACGATGACTCTGGACCTTTGCTGAGAGGCTCAGACGATCTCCCGCCAATTAAGCTGTCCAAGCCCTCCCAGCTACCAACTCTCATCATCTACTTGTCCTTCGCTTTGGCACTACTGTCAACTGTGAACGTTGCCCTGCTTCCCAGCACATTTTCAAAGTTCAAAGCGTACCCTTTCTCCGAGTCTGAACTCGAGGACCTCCCTTATGGAAATGCGAGGCTAGGACTGGACAGAGCAGCGAAGGTGCTGCCCATTCCGAAAGCCTACCACCGCTCTTGGCCGGATAGAATTGCACGGGTGAGCCGTAAGTTGAAGGACGCCGTTTGGGGTCAGGGAGTGCAGGTCTATGTTACTGTTGAGGTTCGTCTCTGTGTCCTTTCTTTCCTCTTCTAGCCTTAGATATTCCTTGTGTTTAGGAAATAAGAGTGCTGACACAAGAGAAAGGACTCGACGGTCATGCGCTTCCCCATCCCCTCCCACGGTGCCAATACCTGCGCTCTCTCTTGGCGATCGCCGCCCGAATTCAGTGCTCGGACCAAGGACATCACAACCAAGGGTGACATAACTGAGATCGAAGTCTGGCAGCTGATCGCACCGTCAAGAACCACCCCGGCATCCAGCGTCTCTTCCAGTCTGGACGAGCTCGACTATGATACCTTGTCGTATTCGGCACTTCCCGTACGCGGAGAGCTACTCGGCGTGTTGGACCTCACAGACCAGCTGAACAGCACAACGGTGGAGTTTGCCTGTCCTGGAGAAGCAGATAGTCTAGTGGTGGAGATGAGGTGCCAGCGCGTGGCGTGTCATGTGAGCTTCAAGCAGATTGATATGCTGCCGAGGTTTGGGTTTGAGTTGCTGAGGAGAAGAGAATGAACTAGGCAGCGCGTGTATAATCCCTATTATGTTGCTTTCAGTCGGTATCGTCGTTCTCGTTGTTCACCTACCTAGCTTAGAATAGAGAATGGAAGCCCCGTCTCGGCGACTCAGTCCTTGCCACTTGTACCGCCAACCCTCTCACCTACTCAGCGATGTACTACTCTGAGGAATTACAGCACACAGAACCAGCTTGACCCTACATTCTGAACACAAATGAGAGAGAGATCTAGAGAAAGAGCGCACATCATGATCCAGCGCCTCGGGGTTAATCTAAAAGGCGGTGTGGTTAGGCAGTAGCTTACTCCCATACTGGTACTACAGGAGGGGTGACTCAAATCCGTACACTTTGATACTCAATTGTCAAATGTCCCCATCCGCATCTCTTCAATCGCGTACTATAAAGCTTATAGCCCCAAGATCCGTCACCTAGCCACTCAGATATCGCTCAGTTACCCAAATTTGCCCAATTACTATCGCGTACAACATGTCGTCCACTCAACTCGACGCCGAAGCTATCGCCCGGCTCTCCCTGCACGCCCCCGCTCACTTCGGCATTCAGCACTCTCAAACTATCCACCGCTTGGAACTCCTGCAGCGCTGGAACATCCCATTGGGGTCCAAGGTATTGGAGCTAGGATGCGGGCAGGGGGACTGCACGACTGTCCTTGCCTCTGCTGTAGGTGAGGAGGGCAGCGTGGTGGCTGTCGACCCGGCGGATTTGGATTATGGTGAGTCATCTCGCCCTTCTAATCATGCAGAAGAGGAAAGCAGCCAACTGATGACCCGTGCAGGTTCTCCGTTTACTCTCGGCCAGGCACAGGGCCACATCTCGCAAGGCCCACTGGGTGGGCGGATCACTTGGGTCCAACAATCACCGCACGACTACCTCTCCTCTCTTCCCTCCCCCAGTGACAGCGACAGCAAGGCATTTGACGTAGCAGTGCTTGCTCACTCCCTGTGGTACTTCGCTTCACCCTCGCTCATCGTCTCCACCTTCCACGCCCTCAAGCAGCACAGCAAGCGTCTCCTGCTCGCCGAGTGGTCGCTGGTAGCGACGCACCCCTCCGCCCAGCCTCATGTACTAGCTGTGCTCACCCAGGCGGCCCTAGAGTGCCGCAAACCTCAAGGCAGCAGCAAGTCGAATGTTCGTACAGTGCTAAGTCCAAAGAGGCTTGCTGAGCTGGCGCTGGAAGCAGGATGGCAGTTGCAGAGCGAGACCCGTGTGCAATGTGGGGAGGGATTGTTCGACGGACAATGGGAAGTCTATGCTTGTCTCGATCCCTCTTTTACAAAGCAAGTGGAGGAGCTGGTGACTGATGAGAGGGAGCGGGCGGTGGTCTTCGCAACGCGGGATGCGTGCGAGGCGAGCTTGGAGGGCGTTCAAGGAGGTCGGAAAGGAGTTCGCTCCATGGATGTGTGGGTTTCTAGTTTCGTCTGAACTGGAGAGCGGAGTTTATACGAGTACTCTTCTGAACACGACCACTGGCTCTGCCCCTGCTCAAATAGCTCGAAATATCATTGACATTATGACTTGGATGCTACGAGTCTAGTCGGGACTAAAGCAGTCGCGCCGTACATATTGACCTCAAGGTCTAATCAATTATCTACAAATTAGAAGTGAATCCCATACTCATTCGTTTTAAAGCGCAAAGGCGAAAGCAAAAAGGAAAATGGAATAGGTTTTCATCAACATCAAAAGTCCCGCCTAATCTATCTACTTCGTCCGAAATCACCCAATCATCCCCTGCCAAGCCGACCCTCTAAAAGGTAAAAGGGTTGGGCATAACCTCGAGCGTATTCCTCATCTGCTCCATCTCGATGAGGTGGTCAAACGAAGGCGAGCCGGCGACGCGCGGGTTGAACGGCGCAAAGTCCCACAGGTAGCCCAGCGTGCGCAGGATCGACGTGGCGCTGTACGACACCGGCTTGCCCTGGCCGTCGGTGCCGAGCCTCTCGACGTGGCCCCGGCGCACCCAGGGGGAGATGATCCAGGTCGGCACGCGGCCGCCGAGGCGGTCGAAGTTGAGCGTGTAGGTGCTGCCGTCGGGCGTCGTCTCGGTGTAGGTCTGGTTGTCCGGGCGCGGGGCCAGCGGGGGCGGGACGTGGTCGTGGAACCCGCCGGTCTCGTCAAAGGTGACGATGAAGAGCGTCTCCTTCCACTGCGGGCCGTTGCGCAGCGCGTCGTAGATCTGCTTGAGGACGACCTCGCCGTCCGAGATCAGGCCCGAGGGGTGCATCGACGTGGTGCCCACGCCGCAGCAGGTCGGGTTGATGAAGGTGAACTCGGGCAGGCGGCCGAGGTAGGCGTCCTGGAAGAAGCTCTCAAAGGGCTTGATGTAGTTGGCGTTGTTCTTGCCCGAGGCGATGGTCCAGGAGAAGTACTGCGCGTCGGAGCCGCCGGCGGTGTAGCCGGCCCAGGTGTGGTTGGTCTCGCTCAGCTGCTGGAAGATGGAGCGCTGGGGCAGCTGGTGGTTGCTGAAGCCCTTGTCGTTGGTGCCGTGGCCCCACGACGTGCCGGACAGGATGGAGGCGCGGTTGGGGTTGGTGGGCTGCACACGTAGAGTCAGTATTGCAGTGTGCTGCTAATAGGACAGGTCACTCACACCGGGGACACCGCTGTGCCAGTTGTTGAAGGTGACAAAGTTGTGCGACATGGCGGTGATGACGGGGACCTGGTCCTCGGTGTAGTAGTTCATGACCTGCTTGGCCAGAACAGCGGGGTCATCCTGGCCGCCGTGGACGCGGAGCTGCTCGTGGACGAAGCCCTGCTGGTTGGGAGTAAGGGAGCCGTTGCTAATGGCCGCATTGTCGGGCGAGAAGCTGCCATAGAACTCCAGGTTGTTGCCGTGGACGGAGTGATCAGGGTCATCCAGGATGGAGTCGAAGTCCTTGGCCTCGGTGCAGACCTTACCCTGGGAAGGGTCGGTCAAGTTGCGGGGGTTGCAGAAGGGGCCCTTGCTGATGGGGTTGTCCAGGTTGTGGAGCTGCTGGCCGCCGAGGAGGTTGTCCACAGAGCGGTTCTCCATGACGATGAGGACGACGTTCTTGATCTTGTCCTTGAGGTTCTTGATGGACTCGGGCGAGCCGGCGACCAGGTTGAGGTCGCGCTTCTGGGCAGGGGTGGCGGCGACCATGCCGGCCACGGCGGCCGTGAGGCCGAGATAGGCGAGTTGGACCATTGGACACGCTTTGGCAACAATAGCAGCTTCCAAGCAATGGGTTAGATGGCTATGTGGTTGCGCGTGAGTAACCAGCACCAGATCTTCACAACGCAGGGGATCACGTCCACGTTTTATACCTCGTATTCGATAAGACTCCTCCCAGAAGGGACCTCTCCTGAACCCTCGGCCATCGGATAGTCGGCTGCCTCGACTGCCTTCTACTGGGCCAATAGCTTTCCGAGCATATGATCTTATTTTCCCACTATCTCTTGCATCTAATCTCTCCTGCATCACACGTGCTCCACGTGGGTGCACCTTCCGTACTCTACGCCAGACGCACAGAGCTTTCGGAGCTGCATGGAAACAATGAGATCTTCCTCTCTCTGCCTAGATTGGGTATGCGACTAGACTAGCAGCTTAGACCGTCCTGCCGCCGGTTGACACAAGCTTAATTGTTATACAGGGGTCCATCCACCATTCCAGGAGAAGCCTTGACAAGCTTTGCTAAGCTTTAGTTGACAGAACCCTTCTCGAAGACAACGTGGGCCGATCCAGTGGCCAAGACAGAGCCAAGGATCCACCCCCTGAGTGGGGAAAGAACCAGGAACCGGGGACTAATGCTGCAGCTCCGTTGACAATAGTCTGATGCAAACACCTCTTTGAAGGGAACGAATAATAATGTTGCCATTAATCACACATTCCTAGCCGGGTGAACCGAGCCCCGAAAACGGCCGGCCCAAGAGCCACAAAGGATGCGGGTGTTTGCCGTGTCATAACCAGCCCATTGGATGTCTCAGAAGCTGGCACGGGCCGGGAAAGGGAACAATAAAAAGAGTGTCATCCATCAAAGATAAGCGTCGTGTGCATCTACGTTCGGAAGTCGACGCGAGATACGGACCTCTCACACTTCTTGAGCAGGCTAGTAGGCCATTTTCAGATGCTTACGCTGCCCTTCCCTGACCTGTCCCCTGGGCCTTCCTGAGCCTCGCCTGAGCCTCCCTGGGCTCTCTAATCTCATACAATAGCGTAAACATCCATTACAGACCTTCTTTAGTCTTATCTTAAGCTACCATAGTTTTAACCGTAAATATAAAAGACCTACCTTTGACACAAGTGGTTTAGACCATCTTGACAGCCAACGACCACTTATTCATCCCACACCTTCTTCTAGGCACCGTCCACAGCCGGTGAAGGGGGCAGAAGTACTACACGTGGACTTTCCGTAGTCAACCTTTTCGTCGTAGGCGTAGTCTCGACGGTGCCTTTAGGCTTTGTCACTACCTTCGTAGTAGTTGTTGTGGTGCACCTAGTCGTGGAGCGAATGTCAACGAGTATCTCTACTGGCTTTTGCAACGATCAAGGGGCAACTCGAGGAAGCAGTACCTACACCATAAGCCGAATGGGAAAGACTAGGGAGCCAAGGTGCTGGGAATGCAGAGTAGGTGTATTCAAATCTGGAGTAAAGACCAAACGCGAGCGATGCCAGTGGAATGATGTAAGAGAAGTAAGAGAAGAGCAGATAGCATTTCGGGGAGACACTTGAAAGCTTGCCTCGAGCTTTAAATAGGCCGTTCTACTGAGCGTTCACTGAGCATTTGTTGGGCATCAAAGATCATGCATATAACTCTGCAGTTGCGTCTACCTACCCCGCTTTGTCAATCCCCGCTTCCATGCATTGATTGATTGGCTTGTAGCATCTCGATGAGAACCAGGCATCTCCTTGGCCACGACTCCGCCCTGCCTGCAATACTCTGGCACCTAGTCATCCGCCATTTCTGGCTGTTACCTCGTGACTTGGCTGACAGCTACGTATTGCTGACCGACACCTGTGAGCTGCTCTTGGCTTTCCCATGTTTGTTTCCCACACACGGTAAATTTACGGCTGGTTACTAAGCTCGGCGGCTCTACAGTACATCACAAGCTGGGAATCAGTTGGTGGTTGGTTATCACCAAACCCCAACATCGGCATCCGGTTCAATTTTCACCTGCAGCTCTCTAGGCTATTGAACCGTCGGGACTGTAACCGGCTCGCCGATGACATGTCATCTTCACGAGGCAACAATCTGGACGTTGCGCCTGTATCGCAGACAGTGGAGACACATGGAGAGCCCCCCACCATCTCATCCCTTCAAGACTTGACGATTGTGGAAGCATGGGACCTGGACACGAATTCGTCCAAGTACATCACTTTCTACCTGGTCACTGCTGAGGAAGTGGTGTACTTTGGCGAGTCAACAAAGAACAAAAAAGACATGACCCTCGAAGAGTACAGCTCTGCACTGAAGCTCGTCCCGGACAGCGAAATCTACCCGGAAACTCCGAAAGATGTCCAGTTGACACTCGCCCCTGAGAGCCTAGCCGAAGATACAGCCTACTTTAAGCGTCCCGGTCTCACCTCCTACGAGACTTTGAGGGACACGGGTTATGTCCCCAAGGCAGTACTGGATGAGACTCTTATCATGGAGCAGATCTCGAAATCACCTCATGCGAACATCGTTGGCTATTACGGCTGCCGGGTTAGGCGCTGCCGGATTACTGCCATTGTCTTGGAACGGCTTGATCAGACCTTGGAGCAGCGTGCTTCAACCTCGGGCGTTCAGGACCTTGACCATGATCGGTTGCTCGCGGAGCTTGAGTCGGCGGTGGACCACCTCCATTCGCTGGGGCTTGCACATAACGACATCAAGCCCGAAAATATCATGATAAGGAACGGGGTTCCAGTTTTAATCGACTTTGGTTCTTGTCAGCCATTTGGAAAACCCCTGCAGTCTCTCGGGACCGACGGGTGGTGCGAGGAGGTCTTCTTCACGTCGGAGAGGAAACACGACCTGTACTCTCTAGCAAAGTTGCGGGACTGGCTACATACACAGAATAGCAAGGGAGATAGTGGCGAAATGCAGTAGTGTCGTTCACATGATAATCATTCTTGAAAGTCCCATGCCGAGTGCATGTTTCTTGTCAAGTTTCAGTGCTAGCCGGCATTTTATACGAGATAAGCAACGAACTGAACTTCGTTGAAAAGCCTAGTGGGCATCTTATTGCGATTTTGGCGGAGCGAGGCTCTACTGGAAGTGAGCTCAGATGAGGTCCAGGTGTGGCTCAGCTAGAACAGACAGTTATTTAGGTCTAAAGATCAAAAGGGCCTTTGGAGGGGTTCATATCAGACTTTGACTATGTTGGAAATTGACCAACTTTAGTATATTTGGCTGGATGAGAGCGACTTTAGATATCCACGGGGGCTGAGTCCACCAGGAATGAAGTTGGACTCGCTGGTGAAGAATGGCAAAACAGCCGGTGTCTCCAGTACACATGTATTGGTGCCCTAATTCAAGCTTCTCTGCAAATACCGGTGTAGTCTTCTCGTTGCTCAGAACCATCCCAGGAGACGTAAATCACTCGATCCGCAGTTGCACACTCGACGACAAACTTCTGGCAAGTTGGCGACTACGTGGATACCCTCGGGGCTGGCTTCACCAGCTGCGCAGTTACTGGAGGAGAGAGAGCCCCTTATAAAAGAGGCTGGCGTCGAGGGTTCAGGAATGATTGACTTTCATGAGCTGTGTATATTACCTTATCCTGTATCCATTTCCGCTCCTAAAATCAATGTCGGACATGAGTACTTTCCTGAATGCTGGCGCAGCTGTGTCTGCGTTCAGTCCAACACGATCATTCAGTATGTCCCTCAATGCGCAATTTCAAATCAGAGGATCTCGATCCATCTCTCATCTTCACCACCAGGTCAACATTGCCGTTCAAGGGCAATATTATGGTACCCGTTTCCAAGCTATCGTGCAAAATCATGTCCTCAGTCAAGTTTTGAATCAACATCAACCCCAACTTTCTGCTAAATAACTCCTCGCGGATATAGAAATGTTGAACACCGTAGAGCAATGACCCCACCTGGGACGTTACTTGGAGACAGAAAGAAGGCCAGAGAGGGTTGTCAGCAGGCCGCCAGAAGATTACCCAAGCAGTTCCATCCTCCATAGTCTCGAGAAAGGGCCCCATCGGGATGAAGCCCGGTGTACATTCGGACAGGGGCCAATCCGGAGCAGAATATCCGGTTGTATGAATGATATATCCTTTGGCTTCTATCTCCTTCGTGAGAAGATTGACAAGTCTCGGAAGCCACCAACGACCTCCGAACCTTGGAAGTTTGACAGTCATGGGTGCAGAAATTGAGCGACTTGTCCAGATTCCTCTGTTGTCACCAGCGATACAGAAACATCTCCACGACGTCAGATCTGAAGTATATTCATGATCGCATGTGCTGTTCTGTAAGAATAGGCCCAGCTGGCCCTCCGGTCGACGGCATTTCAGCAGCAATAGAATGCCTTGACGCTCATCATACGTCACTCGTACTTCGTGGCTGACCCGACCCGAGAGCTCGACCCGACGCAGATACACTCCGTCTGGGTTCGATTGCACCTCCGTGTGAAGACAGATATTCCTACGGGATATCTCAAAGGACTCGCCTGAACGGGAAAGCGATGTGACCTGTCCACAACCTTCGAAAAACTTCGGAAATGGTGACAATAGCCCTAGCTGGTGAGATGAATACATCACTGGCTCTACTGGCACAGGGTTCCACGCGAATATTGAACAGTCGTCTGATTTCGCGAGGATCTCTTGTTGAAGCCTATAGAAGGCCTTGTAGCCCTCCCCGTAGATGAGTGGCATATGGATATCAAAGAGACCCAGAAGGCAGTAAGCCTCATCTTCAAGCCTGGTGGTGACCCTGTTCGCAACCCACGACATTCGACTGGCGACGCTGAAGGTACCCAGAACCTTCCGGATATCCTCACGACCGTGTAAGACCTCCCTTGGGATCCGAGTGATCTCCGAGATGCAGCGCATGAGCGTAATGCGCGTGCCAATCTCCCTCCACGAGCTGTTGAAGAAGACCACTTTATCTGGGGCGATGAGCTCTTGCAGCGTCCAGCCTCTACTGAACCATGCGCTAGTATGGAAGGCCGAGTCTGAGGTCTCTGGGTCATCGTCCAGCACATCGCACAGGTAGGCGTATCAGACGTCAGACTCTTCGTATCACTGGAATATGGAGTTGATGGCCTCGGATAGCTCAGCGCTAGAAGACTTGTCGATGCAGCAAGTGTCGATCCAGACAAGTCTGTAGCCATCATTCGTAGCAACTTGACAGCACTTTTTGATCTTCTCGAAACCTTTCTTGTCTTGGTAGGTTCCATTCTGAAAGTCTCGAAAAGTAACCTCCTCTTCTTCCCAGCGATGGGAGAGAATGGCATATGGTGGAGGTCAGCCGATGCATTCTGCAATAGCCCACGTATCTGTGTTGAGAAAATACATCTTCTCCAGTAATATGTCTTAGTCAACAACGTACGCAGCGAGAGGATCGTAGTACTGGGCTCGGATGGTCTGGGGCTGGGTCGATTACGGAGGCCCATAGGGCAGACTGTGACAAAACCACTTTTCCAGCTAACCCTACCCCATACTGATTTTGAAATACACTCCCAGTCAATTTAGGACCCCACCTATACAGGTAAAAGATACTTATAGGTACCTGCAAGATCCCTCTATATATTTCTATAATTACAGAAGGGCCCTCATATCTAAGGCCCTTCTGTAAATATAGGGCCCTTATATCTGGGGCCCTTCTGTAAATATAGGGCCCTCACATCTGGGGCCCTTCTGTAAATATAGGGCCCTCATATCTGGGGCCCTTCTGTAAATATAGGGCCCTCACATCTAGAGCCCTTCTGTAAATATAGAGCTCTCACATCTAGAGCCCTTCTATAAATATAGGGCTCTTATACCTAGAGCTCTTCTATAAATATAGAGCTCTTATATCTAGAGCCCTTCTATAAATATAGAGCTCTTATATCTAGGGTCCTTCTAGAAATATAGAGCTCTTATATCTAGGGTCCTTCTAGAAATATAGAGCTCTTATATCTAGGGTCCTTCTAGAAATATAGAGCTCTTATAACTAGGGTTCTTCTATAAATATAGAGCTCTTATAACTAGAGCTCTTTTATAAATTAAATAAATATATTTATAAAAATTTAATCTTTATTTTTATAGAAGAGGTCTAGCTAGCTATAAGAGCCCTGTCTTAATTTTACAGAAGGGGCCTGGCTGTAAGAGCCCCGTCTTGATTTTTAAAGAAGGCCCTTTAGAAGTAGATAGGTATATTACTAGCTAGGAGAGAAATAGACTAAGATAAGAGATAAGAAGACACTAATCCTAATCTGACTTAGTGGTGGTGTGAAATCTGAAAATAAAATGACATTAGGGTGGACCTAAACATCAAAAAGTGGTTTTGTCACAGTCTGCCCTATGGGCCTCCGTAGTCGATGGATGATCCATGGATGCCTTGCGAAATTTTCCTTGACATCCCCCACTGATCTAGTACTGCCTCACATGACCTGGCCTGAGCTGAATCTGCAGGTTTCAGGCGGCAAGGTGAGGGAGTCAACGCACCAATCAACCGATAGACTCGGACCGGCAGAAGTCACCGTAGCTGCGCAACCGTCCACACGAGGACATGGTGATGTACTGGAATCCTCGATCAGAAACTCAAGCAAGATCCAAATCACTCTGTCGCCACATGCTGACTTTGATTTGATATCTGACTACAATAGTGGTGCGGAGCTGAGAGTCTCAACCGATCCCAGCTACGTGTAACAGGGGCATCAGCGTGCATCGGAAATATACTAGGCAGAACAGTAACTCACTTGGCAGCTTACTTCAGAGGGTTTTACAGAGCCCAGAGGGTAGGGCTTAGGCCCTGTCAGAATACTAACTTGCAGCAGTGCCACTTTGGAATATCGGCGTTAAGGCCATCCTCAATCAGAAGCTCGATGATTCAGCACATCTTATTGGATGCTTTAGACGCTGTTGACACAGCCCCCAAGAGTAGGCAGTGCTTGATCGTAACGCTGCCTCGGGTCCTGCCACGCGACACAAGTCCCTGGCATTAGACCTGTTCACCCGAATTAGATTTTGACTCTGTTTTGTCCATGCCATCATCAATAGGGACATAGTTCAGTACCGCTAGGCGGCGATGGTGAGGCGTATCGGAATAGCAACACCAGCCCTGCTAAATGTAGCTAAAGCCATCATCACCAACGGCCATTTGCAAGATATATAAGAAGGGCCTGGTTATCACTGGAATTGGAGATAGAAGAGAGAATTATCAAGACAGTCCTCGCTCAGAAATCATCACACTTCAATTCCATCCGCTACAGTACATCAACCCAGAAACTATCAAATTCCATCAACTCAGAATAGGATAGTCATCATGCGCGCCGCAATTTCTCATACCATCACAGTGCTGAGTCTGTCGGCTATCCTTCCACTGGCTCTAGCCGACGAGCCCAGACCTGCCATGGTTCCCGGCGTCCCTGGATGCGCGGCTAACGGCCACGGCGATGCCAAGCACATCTGGGAAAGTGACGCCGGTGACTGCAATAACGCCGTCTATGCAATGTATGCAGCTGGCGCCCAGACATATAAAGCGCCGAGCAACGGCTGCAACAGCAGTATGTCAAGTCGCCTAGCAAGCGGCCCAGTGTCCCCTATTTGCTCATCTACTAACGAAATCGTCAACAGTCACCAAGCAGGGCAACTGCGAGATCTTTCTGTGCGGCATGGGCAATGGCGACTCAACCATATCTGCTGGCGCCATCTCCCTCGCTGCTCTAGATATCCACGCTTACTGCAGGCTAAACGGCCGAGTCGGCGGTCGCACCGTTGTCTACACCCAGGAGGGTGATGGCAAGAAAGGCAGCACCATGGTCCAGCTCGGTGAGATCCACAAGGACGAGCTGAAGCGGCGCGACGAAGATGAACCGGAGAGCGACTTTGCTATCCAACTCGAGACGCGTGAGGAGGAACCTTCGCCCGTCGAGTTCCTTGGCGCTCGAGACCTCGACGTCGAGCCTGAGCTCCGCCACCGCCGCCGCCAGCTTGGTAAGAGGGCAAACCCGGACCCAGAAGACCCCAACGAGGTCATCGACAACGCCAGCGCCGTCAACGAGGGCGAGCAGCACGACATCTCCATCTTCAACCAGCTGATGCTCCAGAACGAGTTCATCACCGACATCCGCCAGACCATGGCCAACCCAAACCCCAACTGGCGCAACACGGCCATGGCGAGCCGCCGCTTCCACGACCAGCACCGCGACCGCCAGGTTGAGGTCACCATCGCCTTCCTCGGCGAGAACATGCACGACGTCAACGAATTCCGGCACATCGCCCGCGACAACCGCCTGCAGACGCTCATCAGCACCATCATTGGCCAGTGGCACCAGGGCGGCTTCCGCACCCTCTTCTCCAACCACATCTACCGCCGGTACACCAACAGCAATGCGCGCGTGAACATAGGCCAGATCGCCATCACCGTTGAGGACATCATTGAGGGGCCCGCTCCACCAGTCGCGATTCTGCCTGGTGGCTCTCGCTTCTAATGCTAAGTGCCATAACTTTCACCGACTTTCAAACACGGGCTTGTTGGGGTTTTTAATACTTTAGCATAGAGTGGGTGGAAGTGAAAGACTTGAGCATAGCAAGTGGGCGCAAGGTGTTTAGGGAATACATTAGTTTTGCATTGTCATAGCTCATCTCGTTGTTGAATTCGACTTTTCTTTCATCCTTGCATTTGGAAAGAGACCAACCGTTTGCCTTGCAATACCCGAACCTCCAATATTCTTGATACTTTTGTGTGCCCCTTGTAAGTCCACTGTTGATATTCGATAATGAAATAGAACCTCGACCAGAGGCATATGATCATGATGGTTTAGACTTCAGCCTTGGTCACTTTCAAGAAGTAGTCGTCGTCAACGAATACCAAGTACGACCGTGAGGACCATGGCTTTCCGGGATTGGCAAGCTGGAAGTCGAAGTTGCGGAATAACTGTGTAAATGAGCGTTAGGGTTGAACCTAATCGGAGAGAAGGGACGAGCGATTACCTCAAAGAAAGTCTTGTATAGCTCCATGAACGCGATTGGCTTGCCTGCACACATCCACCTATTTCCGTGGAATGATTAGCATGAGTAACGTCCAAAGAGAGATCGACCGCATGCGCGGATCAACATACCTGCCGCTGCCAAACATCATCTCGACTGTCCGCTCCATCTCCACCTTCTGTGCCTCATCGACTTCCAGGAATCTCTCCGGCCGGAATGTGTCTACATCGGACCCAAACGCGCCGGTCAACTTCAAGATGGACGGGACGTTCATCCCCACCGAGGTTCCACCCGGGATATACGTCCCGTTGATTGTTTCTCCTGCCGGAGGGACAATCTTGGGAAACTGGCCGGGCGTTCCAGGTCGCATCCTCAAGCCTTCATAGATGACAGCCTGTACTCTTATGAGCTTAACCCTGAGGCAAGACAGGTGATCAGGTAGCCTGGGCGGTTGCGTCTGACTTACTCGGAGATAAGGAATATCTTTACACTCTGCGAATGTGATGGGCTGGGATACCCCGTGCTCATCAATTGCTTGCTTCACGGTCTCTTTAAGTTTGCGATAGGCGGTAGGTGATGAGAGCAGCGATAGCATGGTAATGCGCATGACCGAAGCTGTAGTCTCTGATCCTGCGACTAACGCAAGCAGGCCATCTGACTCGCACTCTAATTGGTTCAGGCCATGCTGCATCCAGGAGCTCTATTCTCATATATCAGATGTCTGTGATTCGAGGGTAGCGAGGGAGGAATGATAATTACTTACTAGCATGTCCTTTCTCTTGGCGGATTTGGGATCTTCGAACCGCTCCCGCACCCTATCGACCACAGCTCTGTTCGGTCACAATTAGTGATAAGTCTGCACATATGCCCATGGTAGAACTTACGACATCAACTTGCCATATCCAGTCTTGTCCGTAGTCTTGGGCCCAAAGAGGCCCAGGTACGTCCTGGAGAAGAGAAGGCGTCGAAGAACCGGCCATTCTGCAACCGTGGAGACCCTCGGCCAACCTTCACGTACTGCGGTGAGGAATCCAGTGATGTCGGAGTCAGTCTTGAGGTGGCCAAACTCCTCGCCAAAGACGGCGCGAGTGATCACATCCATGGTGAGATACACAGAAAGGTTGCTGAAGTCGAGAAGTGGGACTTGCCCACTTGCCTTTCCCGGCTCAACGGCGTACTTGTCGTCCAACAGGCGGATCATTTCGAGCACTTGCTCATCTACGGTGGGCTCAATCAGATCGACCTCCCGTCCGCTGGTGTTGTACGCGATGGCAATCTTGGCCTTCTGCCGGTCGTGGATCCCATGCTCTTTGATGGTCACGGTGTTATCCGTGTACGGCTGCCAGCGGATGGCATAGTACCAGTCGCTCTTGTCGTACGTGCCGCGGACGGCGCTCGATCGTCGGAGCAGCTCAACGTCACTCGTGAGGATGTCGTTGGGGCCGATGCGTACCAGCGGTCCGTACTTCTTGGAGAGATTCTCGAAGATGCTCGCCACTTAGAGCTGCGACTGGTCGCGATAAGCCACGCATAGGAGACGGAAGCTAGCCATGGACCTGGGATGTGACTGAGGCGGTACCAGGTGAGGAACGTCGACACCGCATACCAAGAGAGGAAAGCCAGCCCTCCGTAGAGTAAGGGGTTCGTGAGGACGAGGTCCTTGGTACTTTCGTAGATTCTCTCCATCTTGGCTCGGGGAGTCTCTGCTGGGAACCTAAAACGAGATACCGTGGGAGAGAAGACAGAGCCTGATTGATATATGCCCCTCCTCCTTGCCGATGTATAGGGTTGCATTGAACGGGGGTGCCTCATGCCGGCAATGTGCAGCTTCTGCACGGGATGTGTCATGGAGCATCCATGGTCCACGCGAAAAGGACCAATCGCGATGAGTAAATTACACAATATTGCACAAGTGCCATGCAACATTGCAACATTGCAGCAGATAACAGAGTGTGGCCAGACGTGGTAGGCCGCCATTGACGTGATCAGTAAGCCACATTGAGCATGGAACATCATGGTCAAGGCAGTCGTATCGATGATCAATATTTGTGATGTTCGGCATATCGCAAGAAAGCAGGGAAGGGATACGGGCTGTCAAACTAGAAGCTACATCATATTGGACACTGACGTCGATATTCCATACACACGGCGTGGAGATAGCCTGCTTCACGGCCCCGATGAGTTCAACAATGAATTGAACACGGACGGCTGAAGGGTGTCAAGATCCAAAACATCCTGAATCTCCTGATCCAGGCTCTCTAAAAACCGATTCTGGTCCCATTTGGGTTGCCAGCCAAGCTTGGGTCCGTTGATGGCGATCATATCCCCGCTAAAAGGCTCCGTCAGAGGCGTAGCAGTTGCGGAGAATGCGAGGGGTAGACTCACGTGGAAGCACCCATAGCCCGTACATACCTTGCCGGGAATTTCAAACAATCAGCGGCCATCTCGTATGTCGGCCAGGTGCGAGGCGTAGGCTCATTGACTAGTCCACGCCGGTGCATCTGCTGTGCGAGCAAATCGATCGTGCGCCACCACGGGACTTTATGAGCGATGGCAAAGTAGTATCCCTTGTCGCCGCTGGGGATCTTTTCTTGTCGCAGGATGTGCTCTACAATGACGGCGTAGAGCTCGGTCAGGTCCGCGATGTGTATGCCGGGCGGATTCTAGCTTAAGATTTAGTCCACAACCTACAGACTGGGCAGTCAAGGCTTTGCTTGACGTGCAACTTACACCATCTTCAGGGAACTTGTGGATGATGCGATGCTTCATGCCGATTCGGACATAGGCGGGAATTCTGACTGACAGCTTCCTCACGGCACCAGTGCCTCTCCCATCTGAGGAGGATTTGGTAAGTTGCAGTACCTTGCTTGATAGTGAGAACAGCACTCACAGACAGTAGGCAGTGGCACATTGAAAGCCTCAACACCAAGTTCTTTCGCTGTCTCAATCACTGCGATATTAGTCTGTTGAAGGTCAGTGGACATGATCTCAGTAGCATTTCGTCCCTTGCCAAAAGGCATCATACCGTGCGAACTGGATGGTGCTCAGGAGCTAACTCCTTTTCCCTTGTGAACAAAGGTCCGTCATCTCTGGCCTCTCCGTAGGGCCAGCCTGCCTCTTCTGCGAATACTGTAATCACAGATGACTAATAACAGGTTAGCTCTTTGCCGTGAGAATTAACAAGTGAGACTTACGTGAATAAAGTATGTCTGTTGTCCACTGACCTCACGTCGCTTGCCGAGAGCTTTGATGAGGTTCAGCGCCAGGGATGTGACAATAGAGCTTGCCGCATGAATGACAATATCGACTTGAGGTTTGTTAGTCCGCACATGGTTATCTGTGTGAATATGGGGAACGAACTCTGATAGTTTAGGATGGTGTCCATGACAGTGTGCTCGTCCGAAAGATCCAAGCGGATGGAGTTGCCCAGTTTTGAGACGGGCTGAACTTGGTCCGCAGCCCGCACTGCGCCATAGATGTTCGCTGTTCTAACAGGGCCGTCTTCCCGAGACAAGAAGTCTGCGAACACAGAGCCTCCACTACTACTCTGTTAGTCAGCCGTGCGACATGGACGGAATAGATCTGACTTACACATAGCCGGCTGCCCCGGTAACGAGTATATTGTGAGCCATGGAAAGATATGAGTAGCGAGGAGATGCTTTCACGAGCATCATTTATCTCCTGAATCCCGATCAGGATATTCCTCTATCTTTTATACCCTTTGCCCCTGTTTCCCTAACTTATACTGAGAATCATCTCGCCCTCCACAGGTCCTCATCCGGGTGGGGCGCTGGCCGGAATGCCGCGCGGATCCGCAGGGCGGGTGATTTGTCATCCCTCCCCTTCAACTTCAACCTGTTGAACAACATCGTGATGCAATCCTCCACACGGCGAAGTGAAGAGTCAACAGTCAAAACTACAGCCTCTGGTCATGGAATCCCGCGGAGAAGCATGCAAACCACAGCCACCGGCCCGGCCGGCGATCGCACGCCGTTCTGTGAGTAAGCAAGGAGCCATCAGTCCCAGCAGGTAGCTGACAGATTGCAATACAGTGCGACCATTGTCGCGCTCGAAAGGTGGGACATAGGGTGTTACTCGTGTGTTTACCATGATATGTTGCGGGCTAACTGGAGGAGAAGGTTGCTTGCGATCGAGGATCTCCATGCTCAAACTGTGTCTCGGCCAGACTTGACTGTACACACAGCACTGTCGCGGTGAAACAGGGCAGTCCCAGGCAGAGGGTGAACATCACAGCACAGTAGTGAGTACACCGTGCCGCATTATGATCCGATCTTCAGCTTGTCAGATGCTCATATACTTTCCTCTACACAGCGAGCGCAAGATCGATGACATTGCGAAAAACGTCGATAGCATCAAACAGTTCCTACAAACTCTGAGTTTGACTGCGCCCACGACCCAACAGCAGCCTCTCTTAGCGTTTTCTAGTAGAGCCAATAGAGGAGAGGATTCCGTACTCACACCCGTCGCCGAGGCAGAATGGGACTATTCTGGAAACATCGTGGACTTCATCAAAGTGGTTGTAAATCAATCAACCACGATGAGACCCGGAGTAGAGAAAAGCCCCACTGTAGTGTCCCTTGAACGACTTCTAGATGCGATAGAAGACAGGGAATCGGGCTTTCAACCATCGTTCGTTAGATATGCGGAAGCAAAAGATCCAGTCAACATAACCATGCCTCCCATGGAAGTTGCTGTCACCGCACTACGCTGGGCCAATGGCGAGTACCTCTTAGTTTTGAGCCCTTCGGAAATGAATTGTCCTGACGCGAAGACAACTTAGCGCACAAAGAGCAGCTTCGGATGGCTTGGATATCTCGTGTACTTCCACTCGACACATTTTCTGGGATCTGCAGAAGGGTGTACTTTGCCGTCGAAGATTACTCCGAAATCGACTTCATCCTCACTAATGGTTATCTCCAATATGTCTTTTCTGAATACACTTCCGCCACTGGTCTACACCTTTACCTAGAGCACCATCAAACGTGTCAGAGGAATCTTCAGACTGCATGTGCTAGGCTGCCTATTCTCCTCACTCCTTCGATGGAAGTCATAGCAGCATTGACGCTTGGAGTGAGGAATATTACACTTATTAAACTCCTCGTGCCCCTCGCTGACTAGCTCGATAGGCTTTTGATGCAGTGGAGAGCTTCAATGTGTCTTCAGCCTGGAGCTTAATCTCAATTGCTGCCAATGTCTGCCAGACTCTTGGATACCACCTTGCTCGATCGGGCAGCAGGGCTGATGAAGCAACACAAGCTACGGAGACACGCCTATTCTGGACGGTATACAGGATGGAGAAGGGTCTATCGCTTCGGCTTGGGCGGTCCTCCAACATCCGGGACATTGACGTCACAGTCCCCTTTGATCCACAAGGTGAGCGGTACAGTAGATTTGGGCAGATTCAGAGTAAAGTCTGGGATCATCTGTACAGCCCAGCAAGTCTAGCTCACTCAGACGGGGGTACCAGAACTCAACAGGCGGAGCAACTTGCCAATGAACTACGGGCACTTATGGACAGCACACGTTTTGAATCTGATGTTGGTTCCCATCCCGACCTACAGAGGCGTGGCTGCTAATTTGTTTATAATAGAAGAGCCCTTTACACCAAAAGGAGGATAGACATGAGGCATCACAGGATGGCTACCTGCAAGCTGAAACTATCTGTCAGACCTCACTATTGGCTCTAATCTTACGGGCAACTACTCCCACGCCAGGTTGTCCCGGGGATGTGCCTGATGAATGCATCACAGTAGCACGAAATGTCCTGGATCTACATCAGCGTTGTGTAAGGAGCATACGCGATTCTACCTTCGATCCATTTATGCTGGATAGGTATCTGAGCTGGTAAGGACGGTTATTCCGCGTGTTGTTTAACTACTGTGTAGACCCTTCGACAAGAGCCTCATGAGACATGCTAACCCATTCCGTCCGTAGGTCTGTGGTACACCACCCTTTTGTTCCCTTCAGTATCCTGTTTACTCGGGTATTTGAGTCTATGGACGTCGAAGATCTCGAAAGACTGGAGCGTTTCGCAGCGTCATTGACGACCGAGCATTCTCCTACGAAACTACCCGCCAATTTCCAGCGGTTATACGACTTACTCTGCCAAGCTGCGAGACTTCATCTCGAGGCAAACCCTCCTCCTCATCCAACCCAAGACCAAGTATTACTCGGTCATTCCGTCCTGTCTTCAAATAACAGTACCGATCTGGGTATTCTTACAAATGGATGTGACCTTGTGGATCAGAACCTGGAGTTCGTCAATGCCGAGTCTAACGAGCTCAGTGAATGGTACTTTGGAAACCAGCAGCTCGTAAATCTCTTGGACGAGGACATTATCATTTGACGTATCGAAAGCAGTTTAGTCTATAATTATGATACCATCAACGCTTATTCCGGCCCCAAAGGTCAAGTGGTCATCTCAGCCACGTGAAAAGGTCAATACCTGTCCGTGTTGGCCGGTCTTGTCTCGTCTTACCTACCACTCTCGAGCGTGTTCTTCTTCTCACTATTACAACTCCCAATTATCTGGAACAACAGGCCCCCGGTATCCCCTTCTCGCACCGACGAACCACCACGTGGCGACGCAAACAGACAGTCCAGACCAAATGACACTCGAGTAGTTCATGTTCTGCGCGGTTGCGGGTAGCGAATAAGGCAGGCAGAACACCACGAACGCGAGGAACATGAAACCGCATGCAAAGGTATTCATGAAATAACCGACTCTTGTCGGCATGTGAAAGAACCCATGTTGGGTAGCTCGGCGGCCGCGCAGCAAGTTTGGAAGGATGGCCGCCATGTAGGAGCTTATGAACATGAGGATCACACCGCTCAGGAAAGCATTGAAGGCTGTCGTGCTGCCGAGATAGAGTAGACCTAGCGCACTGACGAGGACCGCTGTGGTGACTGTAGATGCCAAGGGCATCTGCAAGGAAGGATGTATACTGCCGAGGACAGACGAGAAAGGAGTCGCGCCGTCGCGTGCCAGCGTCCACAGTACCCGACCAGAGGTAATATACAGACCGATAACGCAGAGGAAGATGCAGAGGAATATCAGCAAAAGAAGCAGTATCGCTCCGGTGTTTGAGCTGGTGCCTTGGCGATAGATTTCGGCGATTGTGTACGACGATGCGAAAAGGGCGTCAAAATCGCTGATGGCGTAGAGGATGACGACGAGATAGCAGAAACCGGTGACGAAGCCGATGGCGACCTGCAGCCCGAGGGCGATGGGGATGTTGCGAGATGGGTGCGGGATTTCCTCCGCGAGATGCGTGACTGCGTCGAGGGCGCCCACGCTGTAGGCCCCGTTGAGCATCCCATTCACGAATACAAAGAAATTTGGATACCCAATGTTGGCTCGCCACTCTGTCCAGACAAAAGACGAAGTCGCATGAGGCGGTCTGCCACCCGTGCCTGGCATGGCGGCCATGGTGATCGCGGTGATGAGAAACCCGATCAGGACAGCACCAATACCAATCTTGTTTAGAAAAGGCATTGCGCTATTGGCCAGGCAGACGGCTGCAGTAGAGATCCACGTGGCAAGGAGGTATACCACCAACACATGCCAGGGCTTGGGCTCGAAGCCAGAGTTGTTCAAGGCGTACATCTGGACAGTGGTGTTGCCGAGTATGGCACACATGCTAGCCGCTCCCAGAGTCCAGGCAAAGTAATTCCACCAGCCGGCGAAGAAGCCCACCACAGGACCCAGCCGGCGGCCGGGCGTCACAGTTGCCCATAGATAGACACCGGAGGACGATGGCATCGAGCTGGCCAGCTCTGCGATGCTGGCCGCTACTGTCCAGTAGCAGACTGAGACCGCGACGAACTCATAAAGAACGCCCGGAGGACCTCCATTGAAGATGGCGACCAATATCGACCCTCCGATAGCTGGCCAGACGGTCCCGACGAGGAGGCCGATGCCAGCCAGCGAGACCAAGCTGTAGGACCTGGGCGGGGCATTTCTGAGCTCCTGCGACACGCCTTTCTCTGCATGATCACGATTGACTGGAACTATACCTTTCGGCTCCTCGATGGCATCTTCGTTCGGCGTGACGGACTTCATTTGTACGAAGAAATGTAGCTTTACTGTTGAAATGGCTATGAGCTTCTCATCTTACAAAGACGAGCACAATCGAACAGCTGAGCTGGGGAGACTTTGAAGGCATATGGCCCCCTCAAGCCGACGATCACGCCCCTCCTCGGTTATCTGTCTCGGCAAGATGCTGTTATGTGGGATGTGTGCTACAGAGACGCGCTTCGGTCTCATCTTGATCTGCAGTACATTCACGCTAATGCTTATCTCGCCACCGGATAGAGATAGGGGGCTTAGCAGCGTTGCATCCAACACCAAACAGGGTCTCTTTTCCGATATGGCGGGGTCTGGTCTGGAACAGACTTGGCCTACACTGTTCTATCAGTAAGGTTTGGAGATCGACATGAGTATGATCCGGGCATAAAAGATAATTTACGAGCTTCGAGTACACGCAGTTGTCATAGCCATGCGAAATAAGTTCATCAGGCGAAGTTTATTGATCAGACAGTAGCCAGAAGAGCAGCAGCTAGTGATAATGTTCAAACTCGGAGTATATGTTAGTGAGTCCTCTACCTTATCTTGAGAGCACATCAGTGCCTAAGAAGTTATGTCTTTCCACATATGAAATCATGGCAGACCTTAGTCCTATTTCACAAATGCCGAGATTACATATAAGAACTACCGCCCAAGGGCCGGCAAATCTTTCCTTTCCAGGCTAGTGGCCTTAACTCCACACTGAAGAGGCACAGGGGGGTTCAGCTTTGCACACTTGATTCTAATCATGCTGTCAACGCCTCGACAGGTGTGTAGAACGGCTCTGCTCATTCTCAGTTGACATGCTAATGAAGGTTCCCCTGTTAATCCTTGCTCTTCTAGAGGATACACACACTGCATCAACAAGTATTTACGTCGTGTACTTGAACCCCTTGTACTCCTTATCCGTCAGGTCCAGCCAGTCTTGCGTAGCGACCGTCTGGTCGTCGGCCTCGGCGCCACGTCGCCGGTTCTCGAGCTTGCAGAGTGCTCCATACGCAAGGACACAGATCATAGCGACGACGTAACAGACAATCATGGCGATAGTGCCGCCAGTGTAAGCGGGCGCCTGCTCCTGACGAAACGTCTGGGGTCCAACGATGTTGCCGGTGGCCCAGGCGACATAGAACCAGGCGTACAGGGTGACCTTCTTGGTATGCCCGGCAATGTTGGCTTGGTAGACGGAGACAAGAGTGACATAAGGCGCCCAGTAGGTGTAGAGAATGCTGTCAAAGGCGTTAGTTCCCGGTGGTGCTCTATGAGGATGCGGGCTAGTACTTACTAGAGACCAACAAGTTGACCAGCGAGATTGTTACGCGGCAGGCAATAGCATAGCAAAGCTCCCAGGAGGGGCAGCAAAATCGAGCCAGCCACAATTGGAGTTCTGAATCGTCGTGTGGTAGAGGCGATGTACGAAAGCACGATACCGGAGATGGTACTCATCGCACCTGGAGGCATGGCCAGAAGAGAGGTCTGGAGCGGGTTGAAGCCCAGCCCGGAAATGATAAGCGTGTTAAAGGTAGTGAGACCTCCATTGGGCACCTGAAGCGCGATGATGGCAAACCAGATAAGCCAGGTCTTGAGGTCCAGGAACGCCTCCTTGACCTGTGCAGGCTTGAACACCTTGTTCTCGATGCCGGTGTTGTCCGAGGCCTTGCGCTGGATGATGATGTACCTCTCTCTGGGAGTGAGCCGTTTCGCCTCGAGAGGGTTGCTAGGCAGGAAGAAGTAGATGACGGCGGACCAGGCAATGGTCACGCAGCCGACTAGGAGGAAGACAATTTTCCACTTGGCGTATGAGCCGTTATAGTAGCCGACCACCCAGGCAACAAAGCCGTTGATGATGGGAGCGACGACGTTCAGAATGATACTGTTCCGGCGGGGCTGCTCCTCTGGACGGTACCACATGGACGTGATGAGAGTCACAGCCGGGATCAGCAGAGCTTCGAAGCCGCCGAGGAGGAAGCGGCACGCGAAGAGAGACCCAAAGTTGTGGCAAGCGGCCATGCAGCAGGCAAGGACGCCCCAGCAGAGAACGGCGAAGGAGAAGTATACGACAGCTGAGAGCCTGACAGCAAACGTAGATAAGTATCAAGTAGAGGATAACAGGTGTAGTTACGTACTTTTGAATGAAGTAGGCAGAGGGTCCCATGAATAGGAGACCACCAAAGAACGGGGCCGAGCCGACCCATGAGAATTCGGGCCCTGTGAGTTTCAAGTCCGTTCGGATGCCGTAGATAGCGGCAGCCGAGATGGCGGTCTTGTCCAGGCCGGAGAGTGTCGCACACACAAAGAGCTATAAATTGTCAGTGGGCTGTAGTAGTGTGCAAAAGGCAATAGACAACTCACAATTGGGACAATCATCCAGTCCACCTTGCGGATCAGCCGTTTCTCCTCCTCAGGCGTCCAGCTTCTGTCGAACTCGTCGCCATACTCGGCAATGATTTGGGCGGCGATGTCGACATCCTTGCCCTGGCCGTTCTCGACAGCTTTGACTGCAGACTTGGCAGCGAGAACTTGTCCGTCTGCCATGTCAACAGGGGTCGAGGGTGCTTCGGCTTTTGCCGAGATTGAATCGTTCTGGCTACCCATTACTGCTAGCCAGTCGATTTATCGTACGATGAATGATGATGTCTAAGAATAATGGGCAGATGGTTGTGTCGGCTGAGCAGTGTTGGGGAAGAGGTCCGGGGCGTTTTATGAGATGGAGATGGCACTATCAGGGCTCAGCACAATCTCCCAATGGGTCTGTAGACTCATGATACCATGCCTTCAATTATCTGAGAAAGACTCCCATATCACCCATTAGTAGAGTAACTTCGGAGTGGATTAGCACACCGCGTCCATGTCTCTGGGGAAGACCCCGGAATCTGGCACTTGCAACATACTAGGTCTAATAGTTGAGATAAGTTTGGCCGCGATAAGGTCTTCCCCGGCTTGCGATGACCACAGGAATTGATAAGTCATTATTGTTGGCCGCACTATCACGGCGGCCAACTTTAAATCGCGGCCAGTACTAAGAGTTGACCGGCGCCATCTAAGTGGAACCGCGGGGAAGAGCAGGGCAGCGGCGCAACCGTCCGCATCTCCTGTAGATGTGCTGCTAGATAAAAAGAGGACAAGTCAAGTTAACGACGTGGAATAGTTGATTTGATTAGATAAAAGGTTTCAGGCCAGACTTATTCAAAGACAAGCCAACTTGGAAGCAACTGTCTTCTTAGCACGGACAACTGTAATCGAGTGTTCACGATGACTGCCCAGGAGGAGTCCACCATTGAGGTCAAGGCCAACGGCAAAGGCGGTCCCCTTTATCCCGACTACTTGCGTGAGTTACCTTGTCAAGGAATGGACTATATGGGGAAAAGGAAATAGTTACTAATACGTTTTTCAGCACACTATGACCCGCTTGAGCAGGTAGAGCCTGTTGGCTCGTTCGAGCATGATGATCCAGGCTTTCGTGCCGATCCCAAGATGCCCAACTTGCTCCGGGAAGGTGTCGAAGCTATCGAGCTGTCTCCTCACTGCGGCACGGAACTGAGGAACATTCAGATCGTAAGACTCGGTTCTCATCTGAAGGCCAAAAGTCGCACACTAACAAGACGCGTACAGTCCGAGCTCTCAAACGCAGGCCTCGACGAGCTAGCACTCCTATGCGCCCAGAGGGGATGCCTGGTATTCCTCAATCAAGACTTCACCAACCTAGGCTTCGAGAAGCAAAAGGAGATAGCATCGTATTTTGGTCCGCTCCACAAGCATGGCTGGATGCCGCATCCCAAGAACGGGCCCGAAGAGTTTGTCATCGTGTACGACAGCAAAGACGACCTGCGCATCCGCAAGTCGTGGTCGCGCAAGAGTCCCGTGCAATTCCACGTGGATCAGTCGCCTGAGGTCCAGCCTCCCGGAGCGACCTTCTTCTGCATGCTTGAGTCTCCTCCCGGAGCGGGTGGTGATACAATCATCTCCAGCGTATGTGGCCAAAGAAGTTCTGCCAGGGTAAATACAACCTGTACTTGAGATACAAGTGAGCTGACACTCTCCCCGTTCCAGACTGTCCGTGCATTCGAGCGCCTATCCCCATCCTTCCGTAAACGCCTCGAAGGTCTGCAGGCCATCCACACGACCGCCAACCCCATCGCGCGCGAGATCCGCGACAACGGCGACGCCGCCGTTCTCCGCCGCCCCATTACAAAGTCCATCCACCCCGTGGTCACGGTGCACCCCGTCACCGGCCAGAAGAACCTCTTCGTCAACTCTTCATACACGCAGCGAATTGTCGGTTGGGACGACGAAGAGTCGGACTACCTGCTCAAGTTCCTCTTCGACCACATCAACCGCGGCCACGACTTCTGCTGCCGTGTGCGGTACGAGCCCGGCACGGTTGTCATCTGGGACCAGCGCGTGACGCAGCACTCGCAGACACTGGACTACCAGGCCGGAGCGAGGAGGCATGCATTCCGCCTGACACCCTTGGCTAATGTGCCGATCCCAAGCAAGGTGGAGGAAGACGATGGCGAGTGTCAAAAGGATGAGGGAAGGATGTTGTTGAACCTTTGTTAGATAATGAGTAAAATTGAGAGTTCTGTACGGTTCATCCAATAGAAATTGCCGCATTCCGTGATCATTATTCACCCTTCGCCAGCAAACGTGCCAACATGATCTCAACTCTCAACAACCCCAGGTTCGCCAACCCCTTTGCCCCTGCTGCCCCAGTGGCGCTGGCCCGGCTCGCGGTCCTCCATCTCCCGATCCAGACCCTCAACTCTTGGTCTTCACTAGCGAACCCCATGTCTCCCTCTATATGACTAGAAGCCGACGTGATGTGGAGCAGATGCACCATGAACGATCCACCGATGGCAAAGTTCTGCCGGCTCCAGCTGTGCCAAAAGCCATTCCACTGTGCAGCTGTCATGTTCTCCAGCATCTCGACGAATTCTTTGACGCACAAGATGGAGCCCCTGATCACCGCTTTGGCCGCGCTGAAGAGATCCTCGCCTGGAATACTTGAAGGTGACCGAGGATCTATGGCAGGCGACTTATCGAGCGGGCGGAGCAGTGCACGAAACAGAGTCATGTGAGTGATGATGTATGATAGATACACGGCGCCGATGCCGTTCATGATTCCGTCATCATGATCCTGCACCCCGCGACCAGCCACCGGTGAGCTGGGGGCGAATAGCTGCGACGCTGGCGGGAGTTGGTCGCGCCATTGTTTAAGTCTCGCTCGAGCTGAGCGGGCGAGGTCCAGAGAATGCTGAAGATCGTGCGCTGTCCTACCTATGGCACGCGTTGTGTAGTACGTCTGGTGGATGTCGGCCATGATCCTGGTCACCTGAACCAGCTCGCAGATGTGTACTTTGTTCTGGGTGGGTCGAGACAGTGTATCTTCAATGTCATCTGGTGTCAACTCCGAGACGTCGAAGTCATCGTCGTGAATATGACTGGGCATCCCTCTTGTCAAAGACACCTACTTCTCCATTGTCCACACAACCCACCAAAGCCGCCTTCTGAGCATCCTTTCCCACTGTGGTATAGACTCCCATGGGCTGGGGTCGCGATGGAGACCGATTGTCTGTGCGACGGATACGGCGCTCGATATAAGCGTCCAAGAGAAAGCCGTGTCAGACAAGTAAGGGTTCGTGGGCAGCCTCTGTTGTAGCAAGAGGCAGGCTTGTAACGTCGTGAGTGTTGGAGAGTGAAATTGTTGCGAAATATCGAGCCAACAAAGCCTGTACAGGCGCTGACTTGATGGTGGATGGAGCAGTAGAGCGTAAAGACTCTCATCGTGCATGACAAAGGGTAGCGCCGATGCGCAAAGGGCTGCCAGGAGACCCAGCGGCATATTGCAGAGCTCATCAGGATTTGATGGCAGCTGTTGAGATGCAATGATCGGAAAGCATGGCTCAATGAAGCGACTGAAGAGTTGGATGAGTCGCCATGCTGTATGGGGTTCGAAGATATCCCAAAGTTCGTTCCAAGCGTCTTCAATGACTGAGACTTCAACTCTGGGCTCTGTGTTGGCTAGGAGCTTTTGATCGGTGATCCCAAAGATGACAGGTATGTCCGGTTCAATTGTCGTTTTCAGACGACGGTAGCGGAGGCCGCTCAGACGTGGACGCGCTACCTCATCCCCGTCATATTGCTCGCGGCTCAAGAGATGAATATCAGCCGCCCCTGTAGGGCCAATGTAGAAGCTGAAAGCCCCGGAAAGGTTCTCAAGAGAATGGCATGGCCTTTGACCAGCCTCGTTAGTGGCAGGCACAGCTGTAGTGCTTCTGTGATACTCATTGAGGTGGTATGGATGCTGGCTTGATGGAGGTGAAGTGAGCGGAGAGCGCTGCCCCTGATGTGCAGGTTGGGAAGAAACGCCCGGGGTAGCGAGCAGCGGATCTATCCCAGGGAAGACAAAGTTCTGAAAGTCTTGGAATCCATCAACAAGGAATCCATCTTCTGCGTGTTCAAAGAAGCTCTGGATTGGTAAACTATGGTGAGACTCGTCCCACATACTATGTGTGTCGAACAATCAGCGCAGATTTCGAGAGTGGGCATGGTCTTTCTCACCCGGTCGCTCCTGTTGGATCCTCAGAAGCAAACGATAATCTCTTCCTCTTCCTCTCGCCTGGCCCCTGCACGAAGGTGCAGGGCAAGTCACGGGTGGAACAGCGGCGGCATGGTGGACCCTTTGGCATGTCACAAACGACCTTTCTCTTACGACAGCAGTCGCAGGGGCGAGACTTCCGGGACTTGTAGAAGCGGCCAGGAATCGGCCGCGGAGAGACAGCCACTTCCGTAGCCTCCACGCTGTTGAGCACAGTTGTTGGTGATGCGGCCATCTTAACAAAAGCGGGTAAGGATCGGAGGGGCGCGGCCAAGTGCCCTGAGATAATAGCAGCGAAGAGATGAAACGGACCAAGGTAGTACGGCGCAGGAGGAATCTGGGGAAATGCTCGTCTCGGTGAGTTCCGGGTTAGTGTTCGTGAGGGGAATGATCATGTTGATAACATTTAAGGGTTCACTGATACGTTATCGGCCTATCTTGAGGGCATGACCAATCGCGGGCAACTCTTTCAAAGCAAAAGCGCCGAATGGGGTTCAGTCCTCCAATCAACTGCGCCGATTTGAAGACACACGCCGGCCCGGGAACGGATTTCCGGCAAGCGGAGCTTAACCAACTACGGCGGCCTAGTGCCTACAAGTAGAGTGTCTGCTCTAAGCGTAGTAATTTCTGGAGGTATGGGTCTCCAAACATCTTATCCGCATCACTCTCGTCCATCAATGGCAGCGGGCGCCGGGAAACGGCGCTGTAGCCGAACTGCCTGTGCAGTAGCATCTTCATCCCGTGTATCTGGCAACAGTTCGTTATCATCGATCGTCACAGGAGACAAAAGAAAGAAGGATTCTTACACCCATTTTCAGCTGCACGCGATCTGCTAGTGAAACCAGATTCTGCATCTCCAATGCGTCTTTGGCCGTGTCGGGTGACTGGCACAGTTCCCATAGCTTCACACAGACTTTCTATTCTAAATGATTAGCATAGGGTCAATGGGAACAATTCACTTCACATACCGGAGCGACATTCGGCAGACCACTGATGGCACCACCTGCCCCGACTGCTACCGAAGGCAGCAGAAAGTCAATGAACCCGTCAATGGCCGTGAATTCGAGACCGGGGTGGCGCCGAGGATATGCAAGTCTGAACTCTGGGCTTCCAGTCTCTGCCAGGATCCTCGTCAACTTGCCAACATTGGCACAGGTAAGCTTGATGCCGCAGACGTTGGGTGACGCTTTGACGATGTCGACGACGAGATCGCTATCCATGTCGATGCCACCAGAGACTGCTGGGAAGTTGTAGATGATTCTGTACGAGTAGGAGTCAACTTCTGAGTTCTTGCGATGCCCAGCCGAACAAACAATTCTAGCGGTGGCAAGACTCACATGGGAAGTTCCGATGACTCGGCTATATCGACAAAGAAGTCCCTCAGACACTGGCGATTGGCCGCCAGAGCGCCGGCATAATATCCCGGAGGAATGACCATTCCATAGTCTGCACCGGCCTCAGCCGCATCGCGGGCGAGTTTGATGGACTCGCGCGTGCTTGCGGCGCCCACACCGGCGATGATGGGAACAGACGGGAGGCCGATGCTGTCAAGAGTCGCGCGAGCAGTCTTGATCAACAGGACTTTTTCTTCGTGGTCCTAGCGAGGCATTGTTAATACCCAGAAGAACCACTGAGTGGGAACGGAACGAACCAGATGAACAGCCTCACCGGCACTCCCTGAGATGACTGGCGTTGTCCCGGCCTGTGCGACAACTGATCACAGTCAGTCAGAAATCTGAATACGGTGGTACCAATGGCCAAAGCCGCACTGACATGTGAGATGGGATACAAACGCGTCCAAGTCTGGAGGCACTGTATCAGCATTGCTAGAAATAACACCCTCATGTACTGGCAGAGGCCTGACCTAGGTCCTCATTCTCGTGGAAGAAACACGGGAGTGGCGTGTAGATTCCTCGTGGAAGCGGGCGCATGGTCACTTTCGATTCGTGCTACCAACTCTAGACAGAATCGGTTGCTGCATTGCTTGCTACCCAAACTCTCGCTTGCCATGTTTATCTGGCACGAACAGTCGCCACAAGGCCTTTACAATCATCCCACACGCACGGCATGTGACGCTGGCCGACATTGCCCATCGAAATTGGCCGGCGTCACAACAAGCGGTCAGCCCCGCTTCCGTGCTATGGCAGCGGCCAAAGATAAGCCAAGATAGGTGCCCCATTCTTGTCGCCTCTTCTCGAATCTTGGCTATTGTGTATCACAGAGTTTGTATCTCTTACTCTGTCCCGCCTGCTACTACATAGACTCGGGTGGAATAGGCGCTGCCTGTCCGCCATGGATGCCCACTTTATCAGTCTTGTCGGAGAGAAGTGGTCATCTAAAAATGGAAATTGTAGGACAGCCCACCTTTCCACGCATATTGGGGGATGCCAATCAAACCTTGCGGTGAGAAAGAAACGACAAGTACTTCTCCTCAGTGTATGGGCTCTGAATGCCGAAGGACCCATGCAAACCGCCGCAGCTTGTGTCAGGGCTCAAGATCGCATCCTGCCCAACCCTTAATGAGTACGAGGGGCTCGAGGTTAATACAATGTATTACGCTTGTACGCGCTGGAAATACCTCAAGACTTTACGAAAGCTCAGGCATGCATTCCACTATCATTTAAATCGCGAAACGCCGAAGTATTAAACCAAGTCCAAGGGATATTTATTGCGTCGATACATGGGGTGCGCCGGTGTGGAGAGTTATCCTTACATCGAGTAGCTCTCTAAATGTCAAGGTGTGATATCGGAGTGTTCTTCTCAGGACTCTTCTGAAATCAAGTCGACAAGCATCTTTTTCGATCAAAACCAAACTTCTCATTTGACTTTTCACAAGATGACTACTCACAGCCCGAGCAGGACTTGGGGAGCTGAAATGTTGCAGCTGGTGAGAGAGTTGAGAGAGAATGCGGAAAAGCAGACACAGCACTTAGAGCGATTTGCACATTCCCTAGAGGCCGCCATTCGTGGTTATGATGATAACATTGGACGAACCCCCAGCGAAATCTTCATTATGGACTATGGGGATGATCATACCTTAGGTGGCGGCATAATTCACTACGTGATTCCAGAAGGTGAATGTCGAATTACACCGATGCAAAGAGCTGAGCATTATCCCTCCACGAAATACGCCAACACCACTCCCAAGATTGACTCTGTCCAAGTGCTACATTTGGACTGGCATTATTGTGAGTAAGGTATCTCGCATTTCATCTTAACCGTTGATAACATTAGTTCAGGGCGCGGTGTGCAGTTTATCAGGGAAGAATTTCCCTGGGTCGTGTCCCCTAGTCCGAATGTGGTCCTAAAATGGGCTGGTCGCGGTCGCCCGGATATGGTTCCTGTTTGGGAGCTCTTGAAGGAAGGCGATGGCCTCTGGTACCATATTGACGATGGGCAAAAGAAGTTTCCCATTCACGACGACTTGGAGCACGATTCGGGAGAGAGCCAACTCGTGCCATACGCTCTATCTCCGCCACCACATGGAGAGCGGATTTCTCGATTTGGTCTACACCATAAAATGGATGACATCATCATGTCTTTAGGAGAGCTCTATTCAGTCCCGCCAGACTCGAGAGTCACTCTGAGGTTTGAAAAGAACCAGTTACGACTTGCTGCCCAAGGCGGTCAACTGGATCTATACCTGTCGCAGATTCGAGGGCTTTTCGACGCGCTGGAAGCAGTAGGTGGATCCTTTCGCGTGACAGATTTGGACGACCTCATGAACTATTCCTCTTATGAGTCTACGGGAAGTGGTTCACCGACACGAGGACAGGTAGACTCACAAGGATTTCTCTCAAGCCCAGCGCTAGAGAAGGAGCATTGTGAATTAAACATCCTACCCATCTCCTACCCGGTACACAGGATCCTATCAGTTCAAGCTCCTCTCCGAAAAAGACCATGGCACCGCATCATTCATTGCCACGGCTTCGCCTCCGTCGGGGCCTTCAACATCATGCGCGATGGGAGAAATGATGCGGATCGGTCGAAGTTGTCAGATATATGGAAGATCTTGTTTCGAGATACGGATGACATTCTTGTGAGGGATTCCAGTCGCCTTCCGTGGCGCATCTTGTCCGAGACATTCAGTTTGCATATGCTATGCAGTCACGATCTAGATACCTTCGGAGCGGGTGCGAAACGGCGATTGAAACCGTTCCACATAACTTGGTATCGCGTCGTAGAGAATGCCGCACCCTCGACCTGGAGAACAGGGAGCTTATATCCTGCTGGCGACAAAATAGGACCAGAAACGAAAATACAGCAGGCAGCCTTTACGCTTGGTGTGTACCAGCAGCGACAAATGAGCAATATTATAATGCCTCCGGACGACGATGAGGACAGAGTGGCTGACTATCACTGGACATGCATCCTCTTGACCCCTCTCGACTTCGACAAACCGATCTTGACCGCGTCTTGTAATAGATGGACTCCAGAGGCCACACCTGAGGTTGTAGTCTTAGTTTTGATTGCTTATGCCTTGGAAATGGCAGCCGACTCGTGGCAGGAGATTGAATCCAGAATCAGGGAAATCATGGGTGTAGAGTACAATGCAGTTCTGGACCCAGACAAGCATGACTCTCTCCTATTTGATGACGCTTATTTCTCAAGGTCTCGGCTCTTGTTCTGGGCATCCGATATCTTGAACCTGTTCCTGCTCGACTTGAAACATTCTATTGAACAATGGCAATCCTGGTGGGAAGCTTGGGAGTCCACTCTGAGAAAGTCCCACTTTTCTTTTGGTCTTCAGATGGAAAAGCGCATGGAACAGGAAGAAGGTCTCAATACTGATTGTCTTCGAAAGCTTGACCCAGCTCGACTCAATGTGGAGGGACAGATTCGCCGATTAATGCGCCAGCACTATATCTTCAAAGAGTTGTTGGACGATACGGACAGACTAAGACAATCAGTAATCGCCCCTCCCCATATCTCGGGCGCAGTTTCAGGGTAGAATCGATTATTGACATCCCATACAGCTCTTCACAGCCAGTTCCGTCATCGAGAGCAGAGCAGCATCCGAACTCGGTCGAAACGTCAAGCTGCTCACCTATGTGAGCATCTTCTACCTGCCCCTTGGGGTGTGTGCAGGGATGTTCAGCATCAACGAGAGCTACAGCTTCAGCTCGTTCATTATTTCGTCCGCCCTGGTAGCCGCGGGAACGTACGTCCTGGTTGCCAATATCGAACGCATAGTTCGCGCATTCTGGAGAGGCTACCGGGCCTTTCAACAACCAATACTCGACGCGATGGCCAGGGATCCGCGTTGGGTTGACACGTCTAGAAGGTTTCGAAAGTTCCCCCCGGAGAGAGAAGATTTTCCCTCTTCAAAGTGGCTCGTTGTGTGGTATGCCATCGTTCGCGGATGGCGAGCTCTGGTGTCAAAATTGCCAAACAGGAATCGGTTACCACAATCGGTACTGCGAGAACACACGAATGCAATGGACTCTGGGGACAGGACAATAGGGGGTGGTGTTGTGTGATTGAGATGGTAGTGTAGTTATATCGCTTTCATGATGCTCAACGCTAGTTTTGAACTTGAGCTGAAGCTCGGAGAATAAATAACCAGTGATTCCATTTCTCAACTCCAAAGCAGCATATCGAGGAACCCAAACACCGCGAGTGCCCAGAGCGCAAGATCGATCCCAGCAGGCTTGCCCGACTTGAATCTGATGGGGAGCCCGAAGCTGTGGAAGAGAGAGCTCAGGCCGGCGCCAACGAGTCTCGTTCTCGGAAAGACGAGGAGGGTGCCGACGAACAGGTCGATAAAAGGCACGATCCTGGTCGATTCGTCATCCGGGGCGCGGTCGAGCTGGTAGCGGTAGAAGGACGGGGTGTAGCGGCCATGGGTGAGACGGCTGAAGGCTCCGTAGAACAAGATGCCCGTTGTGAGGGCAACGGCGGCTTGGCCGAGAGGCGACATCGTAGAAGGGTAGTGTGAGAGATTTGTATGCTTGAAGCGGGCGTGGTCGAGAATGTCGGGAACGACCCAGCGGAAAGGAAAACAGAACCAACTTCAGGTCATGGGGCTCATGAAAACATCACGGAAGATGAAACAACTTTCGTTGGAGCCGACTTTCCCATTTTCGGCCAGAAAGTAAGCACGATTCCTAGCCGAGATTTTGTTGGAATCCCACAGCTCCATCGTTGATTAGACGAGCAGCGCAGTTCTGATTGGTCAGATTCCAACATCTTGGGAGAGTGTCTCTGATGCGAAACATGCCGTGGACATCCATCTCGACCACTTTCCAGCAGTGCCGAGAGTTAATACTCCTTCAAAGGCTCGTATCTGTTTCGACCGGACTTAGTGAACGTCGCTTTCGTCACATGTTGACTTTGCCGTGGAGGACAATCTCTCCAGAGCAGATCGTTATCGTGACGTCATATTCAAGCTTCCAAAACCTGATATCGGTCCAGCATAGCACAATTCTTATGTAAACATCAACCGTCCAGGAATATGGCATCTGACACAATACCAATCATTTGGTCACCGACCAAAGTTCTTATTCATTCCCATTGCAGCGATGAATGCCAACGTTTCGGACCTGATCAAAGCAGCCATGGGTGACGATGCAAAAGGGAAAAACGTCCAGGTCATCTCGGACAACATGACGGGCAACAATTACAGGGACCCGGGCTTTCTGTCGGACGATTTCCCAAGGGGTCCACCAAAGCTGTATTTCACAGCCGAGAGCGAGGACTTTGACCAACTGACGCTGAGAGAATGGGCGGACGAGGGTTTCAACGTGGAGTACATCCCCATGGGCGATGACCTAAACGAGTACCAAGAGCGGCTGGAGAGGTTGAGCAGGCAGAAGCGCGGACCGTGTGAGACCTTTGGGATCGTAGGTGAGTCAGACTAGAGAAGCACTCGCCCTCTGTGCCACGGAATTGTCGCACTGACACGCCATCAAGCATACGGTGACGCGGCAGCATGCTGTCTCGAGCACTACCACATCATGGACAACAATCCAGAGTACAAGCTCGGTCTGCTCATCGCGTACTACCCTACATCTATCCCAGACCCCAAAGGCCGCTTCCCATCAAGCATCAAGACGCTTGTGCACCTGGCCGGTGAGGATGTCGGTGTGGTCAAGCAGAGCCAGATGATCGGCATTCAAGGCAAGCGAAGGGTGACACGACGCAGATTGGAGCGCGGCCTGGGGACAGGCGAGACGCTGAGGCTAGCATACCCCAGCTACACCTACAGTGCAGAGCCGGGTTTCGCCGAGCACGATCTTGACATCTACAAGCGAGTTCCCGCCGAACTGGCGTTCAGCAGGAGTCTAGCTGTAGCGAGGGATGCGTTCAAACAGCACGTCGACCTGGAGTTGGCGCTGGACACCAATGTCCAAGGTGAGGAGATACGAGTGACGCTCCGTGTGACGTCGTGACTGACGGCGGTGACAGGCAAATTCTTCACCCGAAATGTGCAAGACACGCTCTCCACCTACACAACCCACAAGGAACCGCACGTCACCTACGTGCCCACTTTGACGGGCGGCATCGGCGCCGCCGAGCTAGAGCGCTTCTACAGCGAATTCTTCATCTCCAGCAATCCGCCCTCCACAAAGCTCACTCTCCTTTCCCGCACCATCGGCGCCGACCGCGTCGTCGACGAGCTGCACGTGCGCTTCCGCCACACGCAGGAGATGCCCTGGATCCTCCCCGGAGTACCGCCGACCAACAAGCGTGTCGCGATCATCGTCATCAGTATCGTGACGCTGCGCGGCGGTAAGCTGTATCATGAGCACGTCTACTGGGACCAGGCGAGTGTGCTTGTCCAAGTCGGACTGCTCGACCCGAATCTGGTGCCAGACAAGGCGCGAAAGGAGCTCGGTGTGGAAAAACTGCCGGTTGTTGGGGGCGAGGCAGCAAAGAAGATCCTGATAGGACGGGACGGGCCTGATGAGGGAGAGGCTGACAATGCGCTGATTCCGGAGTGGGATGATGGGTATGACGAAGAGGCGGTCCTGTCTACAGGGGATGGAGATGGCAAGGAGAAATCGAACAAGGCAGAGGAAGGCCAGCCCGGGAAGGCCGAAGAAGCGGCCCGGAAGGAGAAGCAAAAGCCACCGGAAATGACAGTGAAGGAACCCAAACAACCCGGAGAGGGCTCTGAAAGCAAGACACAGGAGCTCTCTCATCGAGAGAAGGGAGATGAGAAGGCCTCGAAGTCAGATACGAGATCGTCGTCTTAGGTGAGATGATTCGGTTCGATATCAACTACAAGGGCTCGTGGTTTAATAGACTCGAACTGAAGAGCAAAATGTTGCAAACCCTTTCATTTAAGTACAAAACACATCAAGCCCCCAATTAATATCCCATGCCCCAATCCCTATCCCTGTGCCTCAACACTCCACCGATACCTTGAAGCCTCCAGGAACAAGTTTCTGGAAGACCTCCTCCGGGTCGTAAGTCTTGGCCACCCTCTTGAGAAACGCTGCATTCTCCTTGCCATAGCTACAGAAAGGTTTCTGCTGAGGGGTCGCAAAGTTGACGTAGACGAACGGATCTAGGGACCCGATCTTCAGAAGTGCGTCGTTACATCTGTCCACCCAAGTCTGGGCAGCCGCGTACATGGCTTCGTCGTGGGAGGCGTTTGTCCATCTGGGTGTAAGGAAAGCCACTTTTGAGACGATGCGTCAGTGAGTATGCGATTCGGCATGGTTCGGGACATCAGCACACTTACCAATCTGGTCATGGTCAACATTTTCAAGTCCTAGAACATTGCCGCCGCGCTTGCTGGTGTGGGTTGCAATCACCCTCGGCTGAGGGGCGTAGTTGACAATAAACTCCAGGTCCGTCATCTCCGTAGCTAAGGCTCTTTGCACCACGTCGCTCACAGCATGCACGGCCTTGATGGCCTCGAGGGTGTTGGCAAAGGTAACGGTTGCGCCGAGGACACTTTTCATGTCATTGTTAGCTCTGTAACGAAAGCAAAGAAGGGGATTCCCACTGCACTTACCGATACCCTGGAGGCTGCGTGGCGTCGGCCTCCGCGACAAAGCTGCTCAAGCTCCGCTTACTCATCGTGTTAAGTACATGAGGCTGCAGGGAGGTGAATCCTTGAAGCACAGGCGGGTTTTCCACCCCGCTTGCCATCGCCAAGTCAATCAGCGCGGTGCCGTTGCTGGGGTACGAGAAGATGATCTGGATGCCAGCGTGCACGTCCTGATTGTTCCGCCCGGTGAAGTTCACAGCGGCCTCGAGGACCTTGGACGTCGCATCTGCGGACACCGGCACGACGATCTGGCCCGCCCACATGTCTCGGAAGTTGAACGTCGCGACATCCACCTTGGTGACGACCCCAAAGTTGGAGCCGCCGCCCTTGAGGGCTTTGTACAAGTCCGGGTTGGAGTCGGCACTGGCTGTGACGATCTGGCCGGAGGCGAGGACGACCTCGTAGCTGAGAATGTTGTCAACGACCCACCCCTGGCTGGGCTGGAAGAAGGACTGCCCGCCACCAATGGAGAGGCCGCCGACGCCAGTGCCGCCGCAGAAGCCGCCCGTGAAGGCGAGTCCGTCCTTGACAAGATTTGCGTACGCGTGGCTCCACGTGCCGCCGGCCCCGAGAGTGACGTACGACTTATCCGCAGAGAGCGTTGTCTCGTCAAGGTGGGCGAGGTCCATCACCACGCCGCCCTGGATGTTGTTGGCACCGGGGATGGGCATGTGCCCGCCGGCCTTGATGGCGAACTTGCAGGCACCTCCCTCCAGGCCAGAGTCGGTCAACAGCTGCAGGCCGGCAGCGACCTGTTCTGCTGACGCTGGGAGGAAGATGCAGCTGGGCGCCAGGATCGCGGTGTCAGACCACCGGCCATTGAGCGATGCATACGTCCCCGCGGTATCATTCGGGCGGACGATAGAGTCTGGCAGTGCTTGCCTCAACCTGTCGCACTAAGAGGAGGAGTGACTTAGCGACATAGTTAGCTCCAAGGCATGACAGGTCGACTTACACATGACTGTGCAGCCGCGAGGCCAGACAGAGCTACCAACAGCGCAGCGGCTCGTGCAGACTTTGAAGGACTCATTCTGGCCTACAATCGAGGTGCTTCCTGTTCTTTCGAAAAAAGAGAAGAAGTGTGGAAAACGATCAGGTCCAACTGAAAAGTCTCTGGGGAATGAGTCCGGAAGGCCACACTCTATATACACTTTGGCGCTTTCGAGATGGTGGGGAGCACTACGGGAGTCGACAGCTCTTTGAAACATGCGCGGCCCCTAACGAGCGCGTTTTTCTTCTTCCCGTTCTAGATGGGGTCTACATGTAGGCATGCATCTGGCAGGGCAGATTGCGGATAGTTGCCGCTTCGCCCCCAGGGAATAGAGTGAGGGCAGTTGGTGTTGGGGGCACGGCACATTAGGGTCAGGCCACACCCCGGCGAGGATCATGGGTTTGTCCGCCGCCATACGCCCGCAATGGCACTCTCGTACCGGGGCAGGCCAGGGATATGTCCAGGGAATCCTACATTTGCACATTAGAATGTGACCGTGCTGGAGAGGACTGGCACGACCGGATGCGGCACAGGTGGCGGGTTTACCCGGTAAATCCGTGGACCAACAGACTATTGGAGCCAGGGTGGTGATAGCAACGGTATTCCTTGTCTTAGCAGCCTGGGGTATTACTCTAAATAGTCGCGAGTGGTGCGGCTACGTGTACGAGGAGGATCGATGCCTTTTCTTTCCCCCCAACGGCACAATGCTACTCGTAGATCTTCTGCCGGCATCTTGCTCGGAAACAGTGCGGCCCAGCAGATGCAGGATCATTTAAGGTGTGGCGCAGACCGGGAACGAGGATGATAATTCACGTGGCACGAAGATGTACCCAAGCGCAGCTGGGTGGCTTGGGAAATTGACGGATGGAACATCCGCCTGAGGCACACTGGCAGAAGAGAAACTCTAACACCAGGGTGGTCGTTGTACTTTATAAGCCCTATACCGCTGACAGAAATCATCCATGCTATGCTTGACTGGGATGTGTGCTGCTGGCTACCCACGACGGTTTCTCCTCAATGTGACCTTCCCTTCGCTCGGGATGCGAGTCCCTAGATACCCGATAGATCTCGGCGAGATCGGAAACCTCGGGACCGGGTCCCGAATCTATGTGGGAGCGTAATCACTAAGCTTTCTCAGGTACAGAGTCGTGCAGTGCCATGCCGTATCTATCTTTTCACGATTCAGCCCCCGCCCTTGTTCCGGCCCAGTCCTCCATGCTCCCCGCCCGCAGAAACTCCATCCACCCCGCATCGTCCCCCATGACGACGTCGGCCGCCTCAAGCGGCGGCACGTTGGGCCACATCATGCTGAACACGTTGTTGACCTGCGTCTGCGGGCTCTCCCCGACGGGCTGCACTGCCGCCGGCCATCCGTCGTTGAGGCCGTCGCCCGAGTCCTCCGTGACGCCAGGCGTTGCCGCCGCCGTCTCCTCCTGGCGGAGCTGTCCGGCGGCATCGCTTGCCGCAGGGTGAGCGGCAGCATCGAGCTGCTGCGGGCGCGGGATGTCAAGATACCTGCCGCAGAGATCGTAGACGATTTGGTAGGACAGTGCCGAGCTCGCGTTTACAGGGGCAATGGCGCTGATCGTGTGCAGCGTGCTGGTGAGCTGCGCTCGCCAGTCGGGAGCGGCTTCGGCGGACGGGTCGTTCCGGAGGCAGATGCAGGGGATCAGTGCAGCCTGGAAAAGGAAGTATCTTAACACCGTAGGATTCAGTCGCGAAGCTTCAGACCTTACAAGTAAAGCCGATACTTACAAAGCATACCACGCTGTGAGCCGATTGTGCTCGTGCCGACCCCAGAACTCGGAGATGCCCTCGATCGTCGACTTGGCGTCGGCGAGACACCGGTTGTACGCCTCAGTGCTCGCCTCATCCGAGTCCGCGCGCCGCCTTAGGGCCCGCCGGATGACAAAGGGGCGGTACATGATGATGCGCAAGTTGCGCAGCCGCCAGGACATGACGGCGTGTGCGTGGGCGTACTTTTCGGGCACGCTGGTGCTCTCAGAGAAGTAGGCTGGCAGACCAGCCTGCCAGGTCTGGATGCACTCTTTGTCCAGGCGGAGAAGTTCCTCAGCTGAGGGTAAGGGTTTGGAGATGACTCTCTCGTAGCACTGGTGCGTTGCGATGTGGAACCGGGCTTGGGTAGCAACGGCGGTGTAGGGCGTGATTTGGTTGCTCTCTAGAGGGTATGATGTCGAGGCAGCCGTCAATTCCTTTGAGACAATGTCAGTCAGCAATTTGGTATGGTATTCGATGCGTGACATACCCTGTCATTCACATTGAGAGGGAAAGACACCTCCACGCCTCGATACGGCCACACATCTGGCCGACTGAACGTAATCGTCGCCCCAACATCAAACACGCACAACGACCACCACACACGCCGGCGGATCTCCATGTTGAGCGGAGAGATATTCCAACCCTGGAACTCCTTGTGTAGACCCAAGCCCATGGCCATCCGCACAGCCAACCCGAGGTAGTTGTATCCGGAATTCGGCTTGTCCCGCTTCTGCTGGTAATTGGATGCCAGCGTCAGAGCCTGTACGAGTGTGATGTTTCCCATTTCCAGAAAGTCAAAGCCCAGCACCGAGCGCGCCTGCGCAAAGAGTGCCATGTCGAGCGTGTCGGCGGACGAGGTAGCCGAGGTCCACACACCAATGGCGGCGACGACATAAGCCAGCACGGTCCAGCAGGCGCCGCCTGGCCGCGGGATGACCTCGCTATACTGCGCGCGGAAGGTCGGCTCGTGGATGATGGGGTAGCTGACGTGATAGAGCCGGAAGTAGGCGTCAATCATGGACTCGGCGATGTGTCGGTTCGGGTTGGGCTGAGGAGTCAAGCGCGTGAAGGCCGACGACGACCACGGGGCGGAGGTCGGGTACTGTGCCGAGCGGGAAGGAGCTCGGCGCCGAGAGGCCCTGGGTTCGAGGATGCGCAGGAGGGCGGCGCCGGAGGCGATGCCCAGGTACCCTGCTTCTTTCTCGTTGACCGTCAAGGAAGCCATGCCGTCTGACACGTGGCTGTCTTCACCGGGAATGTCGCCGACGGCGGTACCATCTGGGGAGAGGCCTGTTGGGTGGACGGCCTCAAGCTCGCACCACTCAAAGTCGTCATCGTGCGGCGCTCTCTCGAGCAAACGCTGGTTCTCGGCTTCGGCGGGGCGCGGGACGGAGCAGCTGGATTCCGCCGACTTGGCCGGCATAGAAGGATCAGCGGGGCTCACGGCCGGAGCACTATCCGTAGGATCGGGGCAGGTGGTCTTTGTTGTCACGTCGGCCCCGTTCGGTTGTGAGGGCGCTTGTGAGAAGTCAAGAGGTTGTTGGTCCGACTGCTCTTGCAACACTGATGTGTGCTTCGCGTTGCCTGACTCCCACCTGCGTAGATGCTGTGGGACCAATGTCCGCATGCGTCTCAACTGAGCTTCAGCCCGTTCCAGACGAGTCTCGACCTCGGTCAAGTGCCTAGGACATAAGATCAACAGTCAGCTTGTGACATTACCAGGCAGCGGACGGAGAGATCCGGCACCTACTTGCGCGTCAAAGGTGTCCGGGCGTGCTTTTCATAAAGACAATGACGTCGGTACTTGACGCATAGGTCACATGTTGGCAGCGCCCGATTGCAGCGGGCTTTTCTCCTGCGACACTCCTTGCATGCCTGGTCGGACGAGCCGATCGATGAGTGCATCTCGTCAAGGAACGGGTCGAAGCTATCCATTGATTCTACATCAAACCCGTGGGGAACATGGATTTCAGAATGCATAGCGGGATCTGAATCCATGTCGAGCTGTTGGGGTGTGTAGCGAAGTCAAATCGAGGTTGACTGTCGCCCTTGATGGCATGGTGATCGCCACCACTAGTGCGCTTCGTGATCTGTGGAGGTGCGGAGGAGGCTCTCTCGCCCCAGCCAATCATGTCATGGTCCACGCCCTACTCAAGGGCATGCCGGAGCTTATGCGGTAATTACAGGCAGGTTTAGTGAAGCAGCGCGACGAGACAGCCAGTAGAGATGCTGTACCATAGAGAGAGCTTCTCTTCAAGAGGTGCGTTTGGAGTCTTGGCTATTTTGGATACATATAACTACGTAAAGGCCAATACTCTAAAGAGAACCTTCAAACCTCTTCATGGTGGCTGATCGCATGACCACCAGTCTCGTGAGAGATCTCCTGCCCCTTGCCCCGAACAATGGCCTCGTTCATCACATCCTCCCCATCGAAAATCTTGGCAATCTCCTCGAGGCTGTATCCTTTGGTCTCTGGGAAGAGAAACCAGGTAATGACCAAGAAGATGAGCAGGAAAATACAGAACACAATATAGAATTTCCACGCAATATTATCCATGCCGATTGGGTTGGTGAAGGCGGCAATGATGAGGGATCCGTAGATAGCAAACAGCTCCACTGCTATGCCCTTCGAGCGTAGAGAGTACGGGAAGATCTCCGTCGGGTAGCCGAACAGGAGAGGTGTCCAGGCAATATCGTAATGAAAGTAGTAAATAAAGAGGCAGACAACTACAACAATGCCGGCCGACTTGTTGCCCGTGTTGGCATTGACGGCAGAGCAGGCCGTCCAGACGATGTATGAGACCAGCATGCCCACTCCCGACCACAGGAAGAGAGTCCGCCGGCCGAGGCGGTCTACCAGAAATGCGGCACTCAAAGCGGCACCGAAGTTGAAGATTTGGAGGAGGCCGTTGATCAAGGTCTGGTCAAAGGTGTCGGTAATGCCGATGCTGTCCAAGACAAGCGTGAGGTAGTATGACACGATGCCGATGCCGTTCCACTGGGCAAATGCACCAGTACACACCGCGATCAGGGTCCGCTTGCGGTTTCCCGGTGTGCTGACGAGAGCTGACCAGCCGGTACTCTCAGCCAACTTCTCATTCTGAATGCTCTGCACGATCTCGGCCAGCTCCCTGCTAACGAGTGGGCTGTTCTCGGTATCTGGGTCGTGATATCGGTTGAGTGTATCAGATGCCTCGCGCAAGCGGTCTTGAGCCACTAGCCATCGAGGTGATTCGGGCAGCCAGTAAAAGAATATCAGTTGTACTAGCGGGAAGCCAGCCTGCAGAGCTGAGGGGATCCTCCACGAGATGTCGCTGTTGTGAGCCTGCGTGCCGAAAGTCGTCCACGATGCCAAAATGGCTCCAAGGTAGTAAAGTGTCCAGAAGGCAGAGGTGTACTTGCCCCGGTGTGTTGGGTATGCGAGCTCGGCTATCAGCATGGGACTCGGCTGGACCACAAACATGCCTCCAAAACCGACGATGGCACGAGAAACAACGAACATGGGATAGTTGACGGACGCGGCCTGGATGGCGGAGGCGATGCAGATGAGAATGATGCCGGTAAGTAGGATCGGCTTTCGGCCGAACTTGTCGGAGAGGTTTCCGACGAAGGGTAGCGCCAAGACGGAGCCTATTGACTGTGCGGCATTGACAAGGCCGAGGACCGCGCCGGCAGGATTTCCGAAGTAGTCTCGCCATTGGTGTAAAGATTGCAGCCCGTTCATCAAGGAACCTGGATGTAAAGGTTGGAAGATTAGCATGATCCAAGAATGGCCCGACCAAGAAGTACATACCATCGTATCCTGAAACGGAACTGGACAACAGGGGAATGAGGAGGAGCAGGTTCAAGCGCATGAGATGAGGCTGCTGAAACCAGTACTTCTCCGTCTGAGGCAAGACCTCAGCGAGGGTCTCGCCAACAATCTTTGCATCCTTCTGCCTTTGTGGCGACATGACTTGGTGAGGACGAAGACACCAAAGATCCCAGGAACGGCTCAAGCCAACGAAGTAGGAGTGATGTGTGCCAAATGCTTGATAGCGGAACACAAGAATCGGAAGTAGGTGTGAGGATCCAGCCTCTGCAAATATTTATATACAGCTGATCCGAGCAGCTTTCAGGGAGTGCATGCAGGAAGCGCAAGACGAGCATCCCCCGGACTTGATCCCCCAGTCTTTGGGGTATTTGTGTGTGGGGAGCGTCGGTTTTGTCCGGGGCAGGCTTCAGGTGCATTTTCTTCATCATATGCGCGCTAGTTGGCACTACCAAGCGGAGGCCTGAAAACGGCTCAGGGCGACTGTCAACCTCAAACCTGATTCGCAGATCCTTGCAAGTTTAGCGGGCTCACTGTTGACGTGGGCCTCTTGGGTGGTCTCCATCGCCGATGTCGTGTGCTTGATCGTCTCAAGACTCATAGTCCGTTGTTTCGGGATGGAGTTGCCATTGAAGAAGATAGTGATGTAACTGCTAATGACTGCTCTCAGCCGAGTAGATACTTTCCTTTCCTGTCTGGATGTTGATGAACTTTGGCGAAATGGTCGTGAAGTGCCAGCAAGACCATTGTTGTTTATGGTCAATTAAACTTTGGCAAGATGTATTTTATTGCATGAGGAAGAGCAGTACGCAGGTAGTTGACTTCAGTGATTGATTAAGAGTCTAAGTCTGTGGCTAAGCTGCGTATGAGAGAGGAGTCTTAGGTAGGCTCTGTAGAGCGGATAAACGTCGGAGCGAACGCTAACGCTATGTTCAACATATTTCTGGGTTCAGACCACACATCCAGCAGCAGATGTCTTTGCAGGCTATCAGTCCCAAGACTATGCCGTGCTCTTGGCCTCTCACCAGTCTCATGGTCTGAGTAAGCACGATGTGTACGCCCGAAAAGAAATTGCTTTTCAGTTGTAGTGTTTCGTGATAGTCTATCGATACATCAACTCTACCTAGCGGTATAACCCCCGTCAACAATAAAGTCGGCACCCGTCGTGTATGAGCTAGCATCACTAGCCAAGTATAGATAAATGCCCTTCAGCTCCCTCGGGTCCGCGTCCCGCATCATGGGCGTCAAGCCGAACCATTGCTCCTTGACCTCGAAGGCACAGTCTCCGGAGATGGCAGTGTCAACGTACCCGGGGCTCACGGAATTGATCCTGCCTCCCCATTTTGCCCACTCGACCGCCAAGCTCTTGGCCAGGTGGATGCAGCCCGCCTTGCACGCGTTGTAACAGCTCTGTTCCTGCGGCACGTTGGCCGCGTGACCGCTCATGCTTGCCGTAATAATAGCAACGCCGCGTTTCTGCTCGCGGAAGACGAGGCCTGCGGCTCGTACACAGTGGTACACACCATCAAAGTCGGTGGCGCGGACGTTGTTCCAGGCATCAATGGGATCGTCGAGGCCGCCGGCCTTGGTGGGGATGCCGGCGTTGGCGATCATGACGTCCAGGCGGCCGAAGTTCTGGACAACCTGAGCGACGGCTGCCTCGACCTCGGCGTAGCTGCGGACGTCAACCTTGTAGGTCCGGACCTTGACGCCAAAGTCGGCGGCAAGCTTGCTTGAGAGCTTGGCTGCATTGGGTGATGTGTGATACCACAAGGCGAGCTAGGAATCGGGTCAGTTCGAGTCCCGGGCTTTGAATTGGAGTTGTTACGTGCGTTGGCGCCGGCTTCGGCAAGGCCTCGTGAGACTTCATAACCGATTCCGCCGCAGCCACCGGTGACAATAACAGTTCGGCCATCCAGCCTTAGAGAATCGAAGACACTGTCTTTGATGGGCGGGTTGGGCCTGCGGATAGACTGTTGAGGTACAGTCATGATGAAGTCTCTGTTTGTTGTATGTGGATGATGGAGTAATGCTTTGTACGGAAGAGCTTGCGTTGGAGATCGTAAGTGAATGCAAGGGGATGGCGTTCTGGATGTGAACGCTCAAATAGAATCCCTTATACACATGGATTGACGAATCGACATACACGCGGCAGTAGTGCCTTCACCCTGGATGCACTGCTAGCACCTGCTTCAGACACGCGGGAGCCTGTCACCCCGCGAACTGGGCATCGGGGGTCCTTTACGCACTTGAGGATTAACCGGCCTTGGGGTTTTAGAGACCGGCCTGATCTCCAAAGCTATCAGATCTACAGGAACGGTCATACCTAACACATCACGGCTAACATCAGTTACTGTTCCCATGTGTGCACAAATTGAGCTCCGTACCTCGGCTCCTCGCTACATGGTCTACGTAAAAGCGACTCCTATAACACTACAGGGTTATCAATGTGAGTTGTATGTTTTTTTTTTGAAACCACCCATGAAGAAAAATCGAGCTTTGCTTATACATGTCTATTAAGATACTGTTGTAAAAAAGCTCAACCCTCACTGACCATTCTCCTCCTCTACGCTCTCTATCAATAGATCATATCGCCCGTGACTGTGCTCCATCACATACTCCCCATTGACCATATCGTTGTCCTCCGCACGCTTCAGTGCCTTGTCCATGGTGACCTCAATCCCGGCCTTCAAATGCCGCGCGGCAACACGGTCCCTTGCCAGTGTAGGGTCCACCTTCACCAACCACCGATCGTCCACGATCCCGGCGATCTCATCCCACGGCCCTTTATCGCTAAGCAAGTAGTTGCCCTCGAGTATGCACACCTCAACATCAGGTCCCACAGTCAGCCCATCTGTGACGGGGTCCTTGAGTGCGTGATCGAACGTCGGGGCCGTGACGGCCTGGTGCCCCGCCCCGGCACGGAGCCTGCGCACTAACTCGGCCGCTGCAGCGCCGTCAAAGGTCCAGGGTGCCCCTCTCCGTGACAACGCCTCCGCAGAGTTGGGCAAGGCCCGCAGCGCCGCCAGCGGGAGGTGGAAGCCGTCTGCGGAGATGGCGACGATGTTGGGGCCGCTGGGGCCCATGGCGGCGACCTGATCGGCGACGTGTTTGGCGATGGTCGTCTTGCCGGATCCTGGCGCCCCGGCTAGTGCGATGAGGAGGCGCTTTTGGCCCTGGGACTGCGCTTCGGCCCACTTGCTCTTCACGCGGCGGGCTAGATCTTGATATGTGGCGTCCATGTCGGCCTGAGTGATTTTGACTATGCTTGATCACAACTATGCGGCATCGTGCTTGCTTTCATGTCGCTGCATATATCTCCGGAGTCGAGCTGATTCTGTTGGAGATGTGGGGAATCCGGGCGGGCATTTGTCCACCTCTGATCTGCGCTCGCTTTGGCTGTCTCCCCGCCACGACAGGGAACCACGCACAATAACTACGAACGCAATCGTCCATCCATACCTCCGTCTTTTGCCAGGAGAACCTCAAGACACCAAGGTGCCCAACCATCCATAATGGCCGAAGTAGTAAGCCACACCGGATCCGCCATCTGATATCACCATACACTAACACTTGCTCCCAAGAACCGCGCTTTCGTCCTCCAGTCCATCAAGAATGTCTCATTCGAAGATCGCAAGGTACCGCGGCTGCGCGACGAGCACGATGTGCGCATCCACGTCGAGCAGACGGGCATCTGCGGCAGCGACGTGCACTACTGGCAGCGCGGGCGCATCGGCGACTTCATCCTCGAGAGCCCCATCGTCCTCGGACACGAGAGCGCCGGCACCGTCGTCGAGGTTGGCGCCAAGGTAAAGAACGTCGAGGTCGGCGACCGCGTCGCCATCGAGCCCGGCGTGCCCTGCCGGAGGTGCGACTTCTGCCGCTCGGGCGCGTACAACCTTTGCGCCGACACGGTATTTGCGGCGACCCCGCCTCACGATGGCACGCTGCAGAAGTATTACACTGTCGCGTCGGACTTCGTCTACCCGATCCCCGACCACATGTCGTATGAGGACGGTGCCCTGGTCGAGCCCGTTGCCGTTGCCGTACAGATCTGCAAGGTAGCCGATCTCCGCTCTGGCCAGACGGTCCTTGTCTTTGGCTGTGGCCCGATCGGTGTTCTGTGCCAGGCCGTTGCCAAGGCCGCGGGTGCTGCCAAGGTCATTGGAGTTGACATCTCGGAGTCGAGAGCGCAGTTTGCCTGCGAGTTTGCGGCAGATGGCGTCTACGTCAACAAGACCAAGGCGCTTGAAGGCACAGATCCTGTGGAGGCAGCCCGCGCGGTAGGTGAGAAGATCATCGCCGAGTTTGGGTTGGGTGAAGGCGCGGACGTCGTTCTCGAATGCACTGGTGCGGAACAGTGTATCCAGGCTGGTATCTTCGCCGCTAAGAAAGGGGGCACCTACGTCCAGGCAGGTATGGGGAAGGAGAATGTGGTGTTCCCCATCACGACAGCGTGCATCAGGGCGCTGCACGTCAAGGGCTCCATTCGTTACTCTACCGGATGTTACCCCCAGGCTGTTCAGCTTATTGCTAGCGGCAAGGTACAGCCGAGCAAGCTCATTACGCACCGATTCAAGTTTGAGCAGGCCGAAGAGGCGTTCGAGTTGGTCAAGCAAGCACAAGAAAATACGCTCAAGGTAGTCATTGAAGGAGTTCAAAAGCGATAGGCTCAAGAGAACCAACGAAAATTATTCCATGTCTACAACATCATCAGTTGTCATGGGCGGCTGTTCAACGAGTCGTCTGCCTGGTACTCGTGTGTCTCCACGATTTCGTGCAATTCCTTCTTCTATTGAGCACTATTGTTCCAAATAAGCATTGTTTAAGCTTGTAAGAATACGACCAAACTCTCCATCTAAACCTCAACAGATAATCTCCATTATTTGTGAGACCTAGGATCTCATTACGCGTAGTCAATGACCCGATGTTGTGGGGAAGTCTTGCCAGGGTGACTGTCACCCGTGTGGAGGGACTGGTTCCGTAGATGGGGACCGCCTCGATCAGGATCGACACGGATCGTGAGCCAAATGCGGGCAACTTTAGGTAACGAATGATTGACTCTCTATGCTATCCTCGTGAGCTAATAGACAGCAGTGATCTTACGATCAACGTTCACACTGGTTGACTTCTCGAGTATTGTTTCTTCGAAACAACCAATCCAGTATGGTTCTCGCCGCACATCCCAACCCTAACGCACCAGTGCTCTCGCACTTCTCCCTTGAAGGCAGGACGGCCCTCGTTACTGGCGGTTCACGTGGCATCGGACTGCAGGTCGTGACAGGCTTGCTCGAGGCCGGTGCCTCAGTCGCATACACATACTCAACAACATCTACAGAAGAGGTTAAAGCCCTGACCAAATCGCTCTCCGAAGCCAACCAGGGCCGCACAGTCAAGGCGTACCAGTGCAATGTGGCAGACAAGGCATCGATAGTGTCCGTCGCGGAACAGGCCGCCAAGGACCTCGGCGGCCTCGACGTCGTGGTCGCCAACGCGGGGATCGCCGATCACATTCCCGCGGTGGACTACCCGGAGGACAAGTGGCGCAAGTTGATCGACGTCAACTTCAATGGCGCCTTCTGGACAGCGCAGGCCGCCGCAAACATTATGAAGGGAAGCAAGAAGCGGGGCAGCATCATCTTCACCGCCAGCGTCAGTGGCATCCTCGTCAACGTGCCACAGACCCAGGCTGCGTATAATGCCAGCAAGGCTGGAGTCATCCATCTCGCCAAGAGCTTAGCTGTAGAGTGGACTGACTTTGCGCGGGTCAATTGCGTATCACCAGTGAGTCTATGTGGCCCTTGAGATGGGTCTTAGATGTACTGGTATTGACAGGTTGACAGGGATTCATTGCGACGGAGATGCTTGATGTGCATCCTAAGGAGTGGAAGGAAAAGTGGTTCAGCATGATCCCTGGTGCTAGGCTCTGCGAAGCTGCCGAGCTGAAAGGATCCTACGTGTACCTTGCTAGCGATGCGAGTAGCTACATGACTGGTAAGCTTTGAAGAAATCTTCCGCGGCCTCGGGACTAATCTCAATTGTTTGTTCAGGTGCGAACCTGGTGTTTGATGGTGGATATACGTTGCCGTAGACCTCAAAAACGCATAGAATTGAGACGAATGAGGCTCTTCATATAGTGTCAATCCTAGTTGACATGATTGGCTAGTTAAGCAGAGAAAATGAATGTGCTACAGTACCAGTTATTCAATTACTATACCAAGACACAGAGACATGCGTATACATGAAGAGGAAAGGTCCATAACTCTTCATTGAAGGTCACGGTTTGCGACTTGGTCTAGACTTCAAATTGCACTGGGTTCAATCTGTACTGGCCAGGTTTTCCCCAAACATTGTTGTGTCCTGCAAGTTAGTTCACAATATACTAAAACCCCGAATCTGAGCCGCCTACAAGCTGTGCCGTAACATCGATCTAGGTGCACTCAGGGAAGAGTGAAACCTCCATCAATGACCATGTTACCCCCTGTTATGTTCCATAAGGTCAGCTTGCCTGTCTTGAGCTTCTTCCAATCTAGGAATTCACGTACCAGTCATATAGCTGCTAGCATCACTAGCCAGAAAGACGTACGCGCCCTTCAACTCGGCTGGTTCACAGAAGCGCCCGCCCGGTAGCCTAGACAACCAATGCTCTCTCCATTCAAGAGGAAGCTTATTAATCATCTTAGTGGCGATCACGCCCTGCATCCCTGATGTCAGTCTATGTCTAGATCCTGAGAGCTACACCTAGTTCATGAGGACAGGTATGAGATACACACCGGAGAAATGCAGTTCACTCTGGCGAAGTCCACCCACTCGACTGCCAGACTCCTAGAAAGTTGCAACACGGCAGCTTTGCTTGCATTATAGGCTGATTGATGCTGCGGAATATTGACGAGCGTGGCGCTGATGCTGCAAGTGAAGATGATGCTCCCGCTATGAAAGTCCGGAGTTCCCTTCATAATCTGCGCAGCTCGTTGGGCCGTCCAAAAAGCGCCACTGACGTTGACATCGAATATCTTCCTGAACTTGTCCTCAGGGTAGTCCTCGGCTGGACAGTCTTCACCATAGCCGGCATTGACCACCACTATGTCCAGTCTGCCGCCGAAGTTTTCAGCCGCGCTGTTGACGGCTGTGAAGACGGAATCCCGGTCCTCGGCGACGCAGTGGTATGCCTTGACTGTGGCTCTAGGTCCCGCAGACACTGCCAGGCCGTCAATCAGAGCTTCGACTTGATCCAGCGGCGTTGAGGCGTACGTGATGGCGACCGATGCTCCGGCTTCCAACAGCCCTCTCGCGACTTCCAAGCCGATGCCTTTAGATCCCCCGGTGACGATCGCATTTTTGCCCTTCAACGAAAAGTGGGCCAGCACTGGGGATGCGGCATCTGGATGGCTGGCAAGCACCATGGCGACGGAAAGTGAAAGGCCGGAAGCTGAGGAAGGGTTGCTTGATTCGTTCTGTTTAGTCAAAATCCGGGGGACTTCACAGGTGCCTGGCTATCGACGCAAGATCAAGACGTAAGATTAAGAATTACAGGGTCTTTTCTCATCTCTTTCTTGGAGATCAGCGATGGGAAGTCCTTCGAACGCGGCATCGGGCGACGCCGGTTCCGTTTGAGACGTTGGAGTGGCACTGGCCTGCATGTCCACCCGGCACTCCAAGACGTCGTGCCACCCACGGGATCCGAACAAAGTTTCACAACAGGCAGACCGGTGTCTGGCTTGTCGATGGCTGGACTTCGAACCAGAGCTTGTTGGTTCGCGTGATCAAAAATCGTAACACCCGATTTGTCGGAGCTGCGGTGGGGGAACCGGGTAATTTGGGTGTGCTGCTGAGCTGCGGGCCGTCCCCATCTTGATCTCGCTCATTCTCGATCATGTTTCACTGGTCCTCCCCCAGCAGCCGTTATTGTTTCACCTCCATGAGAAGAAGCTTTGACATGGACTGAGTGACCCCGGAGCAGCTAAGAAAGTAAAATATTAGAGCACTGATAGTTCATGCGCTCGCTCGCCCAAGACGGCACGGGGAGGCACGGGGAAGCACGGGGCATACCTGGCCCCGGTGGTGCATTCGGCTTCGTGGAATCCCAGGCGGGATACGTTGTGCCATGCTAATGCTGGCCTATGATCTACGAAATTGTCTGTTGTAAAGTTGATCCCACTTCTGTTTCCAAGCTGTTTTGCGAGAGCCTAGGCCTGCGTGGGGGCTTGGGAGGGGGACGTGCATGCGGCTGGAGGATGCAGTGTGCAGTGTAACACAATGTGAAGTTCACGAGATCGAGGAGCTCCGTATTAGGAAATAACAGTCACCGGTCTAGTTCAACGTGTCACTTGAATGAGCAGCTCAGCGCCCGGCCTCTGGAGCATATTCTTGAAGGTGACTGAGACGCGGCAGAAGCATTTGAGCCGAGTGCGCGATCGTGGATACATTTCAACTCGCGAGCACAACTTCTATCAGGCGCCGCCTTCGAGAACCGGAGGCCAGGCTTGGGCTCACGGCTCTTTCTATTCTACCGGAATCAATCTCGGTGTAAGCCAAGAATAGTTCTTCTTCACCTTGAACTCAATTTGGACATATGTGGTTTTCATGTCACCCGCCATCTTTGTTTGACGTTTACGGCGCTCGAGCGGCTTCTGCAGAGCTAACAATTGTTGTGAGGTATAGCCCGTCCTGGGGAATGACAGTAGATTGCTTACACACGAATTTCGTCTTTCGCTCTCCGCCCATTGTGAAATAGCGGATGGCAGGTTAGATGCTGACGTGGAACTTGTAAGTTAAGCATTGATGATCGAGTTCGACCTGAATGTATCCAAGCGACTCTCACAATGAGCAGAATCTGACAAATAATTGCTTCCAGTGCCATTACCTAATCCAGTAGATCTCACCGACAGGATGAGGATCCTCGCCTCTCGATGTAATAACAACTGGTTAGCGTCTGTTCATCGGGCGCTCGGTGTGGACCTTTCTGATCACATTATGCAGGGTTTCACGTTGAACAGCAGTAGAATCTTGGCGCTCAAATAAATAGAGATTAAAATCTCACCCTTTGCCTGTCCCCATTCTCATTTATACTTACTCACAGTCATCTTCGAAGTAATCATCGAACATCGTCACTTTAAACCCCGCACCCAAGAACCCATTGTCAACATTCAATCTCCAAACAGTCAAGATGAACTCAACCGAGGCATCCAAGGAGGCTCAGCAGCGCTACTGGTTGATCAGCACTCCACGAACGGCGTCAACCATGCTCGTCAAGATCCTCAATCTTGACGAGCAAGGCGTGCGGAAAGCCATGAATGGCGGATACTTCTTCCTCCCCTCCATACGCACACGATTCACTCTGCACGCCAAGCCCGCGACTGAGTGGACCGATGAGGACAAGAAGAACCTCAACGAGACGATGCAGCAATGCTTTGATAACCTGCAGGATTACCTCAAGAACGCGGAAGCACAGAAACAGCACATCTTTGTGAAAGAGCATGCTCTCCTGGTGGCCCATCCTCTTCACGAGAACGAATTCGTGTTTGGGGCGGGAGCCGCAGGTGGCGAGATCAAGTCCATGTTCCAGACAGGCTCGCGCTCAGAGCACAACAAGACAGTCCACACGGACGAGTTTCTCAAGACGTGGAAGCCGACTTTCGTCATCCGCCACCCTGCGATGATATTCTCGTCCATGTACCGGATGAGCCGCATGGAGGCCTTCAGCTTCACGGGCGGCGAGCCCCACCAGATTCAGGCGACGCTGCACTGGGCGCGTTGCCTGTACAACTTCTACGAGGACTACTACAAGGAGGACAGCCAGTGGCCGCTGGTGCTAGACGCAGACGACGTCATGCAGCACCCGGAGATCGTGGCCAAGTACGCCCGGCTCGCCGGGCTGAACCCGGACAACCTGCTCTTCTCGTGGGGCAAGATGTCGCAGGAGGAGCTCGACAAGATTTCCAAGATGGAGCAGAGCGCACAGAGCTTCCTGTATTCGAGCAACAAGGTGGATCTGAGCAAGGTGGCGGGAGATATCGATATTGATGCCGAGGCTGTCAAGTGGAAGGAGGAGTTCGGGGAGAAGCATGGTGCTAACCTGGAGCGCCTAGTGCGTGCGAACTTGGACGACTACGAGTACATGCGGGCCAGGAGGCTCACGCTGGACTGAAATAACCACTGGTAGTGTAGGGTGCGGGCAGCATCGGGGCCAAGACTGACAATTTCCTTTTCGCGGGAGGTTTCACCCGTCTTTTCACTGTGATTCTGCTTAATTCATCCCGGGTTTACTTGAACCTTAACCCCGGCCGTGTTGTTCTCGGTTCGTATCGGGGGCTAGGCCTAAACAGGCATATAATATCAACGGCATTTACTCCACTTCACTTCCCGGTTAGTCATGTTCTTCCCGGTGCTTCCTGTTGAACTCGGGCTTCGTTTATATCATGCTTGCGCGTCCAGATATATATACATGCGCAGAAAATCGAGGTTATAATAGCTTAGACCCTATGTATTCTTCTCTTCCTTCTCCAACATAGCAGACCTTTCAGCCTTGCCAAAATGTCTTTCCCGTACAAAAGATGCCTCCTGGTCGGCGCTACATCGGGCATTGGTGCCGCCATGGCGGACAAATTGATCGAGGAGGGCGTCAAGGTCATTGCAGCTGGCCGTCGCCAGGAACGCCTCGATGCTTTTGTACAGAAGCACGGTTCGGAGAAGGCCAGCGGTGTCAAGTTCGACATCACTGACAAGGGGAACATGGACGCCTTTGTAAGCCAGTAAGTGCTAGGGACGTTCCAAAAATGCTAAAGCAGGGGCTCACATGCCATCTCAGAATTGTTGAGGATTTCCCTGACCTCGACTGCGTCTTCCTAAATGCGGGCACGCAGGCCCAGCATAGGCTCTCACGGCCCGCCGAGGTTGTCCTCGAAGGCTTCCACGCCGAGTTCAACACAAACTTCACCAGCATCGTTGATCTGTCGCTCAAATTCCTCCCGCATCTCCAGGCTAAGGAGCAGCCCACGTCGCTTATCTTTACTGGGTCTAATCTGGCCATCGTCCCCGCGGCCACCTTGCCCGCCTACAGTGCCTCCAAGGCGGCGCTGAATGCGTATGTCTGTTGTCTGCGTGCGCAGAACCACAGGTTTGGGACCAAGATCATCGAGATATGGCCTCCTGTTGTCCAGAGTAAGTCGTCTGGCCAAATTCCCATAATCCTTGACTATAAATAACCAGCGTGCGCAGGTGAGCTGCACGACTACGTGGGCAAGGAGAGAGGTCGGTCATATGGCATGCCCGCCGATCAATTCGCCAATCAGGTATACGTCAAGCTGGCCGCCGGCGAGGAAGAGGTCATTATTGGCACGGTGGGAAGGCCTGATATGGAGCCTTTGTTCCGCGAGGTTGCACATGGGAGAAAGAGGCTGACTGATGAGTTGAGTCAACTAATGCTCTCCCACTTCGAGCTCTAGGCGTCTCTGCCACTCTCGTCAAAGCTTCTCAAACCTTCCCTTGATCGAAAGGAAGAGGTCCCAGAATCATCTAGCTAACACTTGAAAGGTTGCATCTTCCACATTTTGAGCTGGCTGAGACAGTATTTGCGGTTTAAACCAAGCTTCAGCGACTTGAAAAGCGATGAGATCTAACCTAGTCTAAGAGTCCATCCGGGATGTAGATATCAAGAAAGAGCCCACGATTTTCCAAATGTGCCAATAACTCATGCAGTTAATAACCTTCTAGGCGATTGCTTGACTAGATGCTTTGTACTTCTGCCGCAGGCTATCTCTGACGTCCTGCCTAAGATTCACGTTGAACCTATTGTGGCTGATGCCGTGCCACAGCGCCTTTGCGTCGACCGTCCCAAAGCCCCCAAACTTCTCGAGATCAATGGTCCCCTTGCTCGTAGCCCTCAGCGCAAACACCATGCTATCTCTGCCGGCCTCTGTCCCGACGACGCGATGCATGCCGGCCGTGATGCGGTTGCCGCTGAGGACGCGCAGCGAATCTCCGGCCAGCAAGGCACTAGCCCCCGCGTCTTTCCAGAACCGTGCCCGCTCTGCCTCGATGAACGCCGCCTTTTCCTCCTCGCTCATGCTGCTTAGTTCCGCGTCCGTCTTGGCGAGCACGACGTCCCGGTCCCAGACCTGCAGTCCTCTGCCGCGGCAGACGCACAGCGTCAAGAGCCCGAGGTCGCGGTGCGGGTCTGCGATGCCGGTCTCGGGCTCATACCTGAAGAGGCGCATCATCGACGGCGAAGAGTCCTCTTTGCTCGACGGCAGCACCCGGCTGTCGATGATCTGATCCTCCCACGCCGTCGGCGAGATGCCCAGGAGGTCGCTGATGTCGCCGAGCACGCGGTTGAGGAACGCGACTGTCTCGCGCCACACCTCGGACACGGTCTTGTTCAGCGGCGACGAGGCATCCGACACGGGGCCGTAGAGGTGGCGAAGCGTGATGTACTGCTTCTCGCCCTCGAGGCGGCAGTACCCTTGCTCCGCGGGGCTCGGCGCGGTGCACGGGTACGGCCGCGCCTTTTCCTCGTCGGGCTGGCGGAAGAACTCGTCGCAGAGGGCGAATAGCCGGTCGTACAGGTCTTGCAGATGGGGCGGCAGGTGGACATTCAGATGGCCCTGGTGGGCGAGGTACGCCGCATCGTGAGGCCTCAGGAACGGCGGCGGGCGGGGCGGGGGCGCGATGTCGTCACCACCGGCCGGATCTGGCGGAATCTGTTGCCTGTCCATCAGAGAATCCGCCGAGCAGACACAAATTGTTGGCAGCGCGGTAGTATGTGTGCATGAAATGTGTGCACGCCACGCAGGTGATCGACAGGTTCCGGACACGGTGCCAAGGCTTTTGCGGCTGGAGGCGTGCGGTAAAGAGCTGAATGCGGGGGAAGTTGGAGGGGCTGATCAACGCACTCAGCCCTGGAGAACTCGCTAAAAATATCCGGTCATAAAACGACTTGCCAAAAGGACCCCGTATTGCTCGTCCTGCAATGTGCTTTCAACTCCAGAGCCCCGCTCTCTAGAAGATAGTGCTCAATCCTTCCCTCCACGCCGGTCTCAAAATCCTCCTTCTCGTTGTCCTCCTCCTCGTCGTCGTCCTCCTCTTGAAGCCAGGCCGGCACTTCAGTCATGGCTTCCATGTTATACAAGATGTAAAGAGGGCTCAATCCATGCAAGTGATCGAACAAAGCCAAGAATGAGCCTTGTTCGGAAAGCATCGCGGTACACTCTCCAGTCGCATTCGGGTCGGCTCCAGCACGAAGGAAAAGCTTGACTGCAGTTGGGTCCCGTCTTGCAACTGCCATCTGCAATGGAGTGACGGCTGTATCTCCAGGCAGAGCTTTTGCATGTATAACAAGCTTCTCAAAATCATGGCAAATGTCGTTGGGATGACCTCCGATTTCTGTGCAGTGTCTAGAACTGTGCCGTCCTGTAGCAATTCGGACCATTGTAGTCAGATCGGCATAGGAAGGGATGAGTGACATCCAATCTCCAACTGGGGCATAGCAGCCGCCGAAGACATGATAAGCATGGATGTCGAGAATAGTCCCGGACACCTTCGCCCAGGGGCCAGAGGGACCTTTTTCGGGGTATCGCAGAGGCAGAAGTATTTCAACCGGAGCACTAAAGACGCCAATGTCGTCCGTATGGTTTGGAAAGAATAGAGTCCAAGGGGGGAACGAGTCGTCTATGCAATTGTAGAAGGCCAGCAAATTGTAGAACGTCAAAAGTTCAAGTGACCCTGAAATATATCGATATATGCAACATTCAAATGACAATTCGAGGCGGGATTTGTAGTGCGTATGCATGTGGTCTATGAACCTCTCCAACGGTGATCCAGAAGCGTCAAGAAATTCGCCAATAAGTTGTGCTGAAAGTTTGTTCCGGTCTGAATCCGCTGAGTATGGCAAGAAGTGACGCACCATCAGAAAGGCACCCTCAAAATAAAGGGCACACCAATCGTAAAGGGAGACAAAGTTGCGTTGAGATGCATTTCCCACGTCATGCCTGGCTGGAACATGATCAACAGCCGGGTTGTCATCAGTCAAAACTGCCAGAATAAAGTTCCACCATTCCACAGTTGCCGTTTCCTCATCCACGTAGAAACTTTTCGCGCGAGCTTCGAGAATACGAGGAGAAACAACGTACTCCCAAACTGTGTAGTGTGCTATGGAAACTTTGCTCGTGGAATCATCACCGGGATGCACCGTGACCAGACAACCGCAAAGGTCGATAATGGCTTCGGTTGTATATAGACAAGGAAAAGTTTCCTTTCCCGGTCGGTGGCTGCTGTAGCATAGGATTTGGTCGAGGCGTGACCAGGGGAGTTCCCCTGCACAGAAGATAGACTTTAGTACAAGAAGCACAGAAGAAATTGCGTCCCGTGGTATGGCACAGAATACTCGTTCATACGTCTCGTCGAGTGTTTGTGGCAGGCTGGACAGTGCGCTTTTGATAATGCCAGCATCACACCTGAGTCGACACAACACGTCGAGCTGGCAGACGACCCATCGGAACCTGTGTGTGCTTGTCAGACAAGCAGGTGGGATTGAATAAATACAGAGTCACTCACATTCCTTGGGCTTTTTTGGACAACGTATGGTAAATATCAGTCTGAATCTGGGCTGGCCAATGTTGGAGGACCGGGTGGCTCGAAAGCTTTGCTCGGATGTATAGGTTGATGTCATCGTCGAGGAGATGGTTCTTCATTGATATCTTTAGGGAGATTTCGCTCATGACATCTTCAATTTCGACGTACTCGCGACTAGATGCCAAGAGAAAGACCTTGTGGAAGCGTGCGTCCGTTACGAGGTCACGTACGACTCGAAGCAGGTTGGTCCGAGGCGTGCTTTCGTCAAGAGCATCCAAATAGATGTCAAGTCTGCGGACATCGCGAAGAATCCCTTCCACAACTTCCAGCAACTCGGATATGGACGGCTGTCTGCCCCGTCGGTAAAGTTCGAACACAGCTCGGGGCATCGTGGTGGTGCGGCAGACTTGCGAGATGATCCATTTGAGGAAAGGCGCTGCCTCGTCTTTATCGTGACCAAAATAGCAGTAGTAGTACACACATATGTGCTGTGAGGCTCTCTGTCGATTATGTTTCTCCGCCTCGTCATACAAGTGGGAGAGAAGAATAGTCTTGCCGGCGCCAGGGATTCCGTGAATCCATATGCATCGGGATTTTCCAGAAGTCCAGGTACCAAATGCGTCCGACCGCAAGATCCAATTGCCTGTGCCTTGCTCGTACTGGCTACATGCCTTATGATGTAGAGAGGTAGGATCGATGTCGCGCAGCCACTCATACACCGCGTTTTCTTGGAGTTCTGTCCGGACCACCAAGTTCTTAGCATATGAGGATCAGTAACGTGAGAGTTAATTCATACCTGTCAACCCACCCTCGATCCGGTGGGCTGTCTCTTTCACATCCTTCAGGTCGCGCCTGTAAGGGTTCGATAAGTACTTGCCTAGATTTCCATGTCATGTGGTCGTCACTCACGTAAGCTCAATCGTGAGAGCTGTGTTGATGGTGCTTTTGTACTCTGACAACTCCTGAAGGAGCCTTCGCGCCTTGTTCTGCCGCAGAGGCCAGGCGATTGTCTTAAGTGCCGCTTCTACTTTGGTCTTCTTGCGCTGGGGACCAGCGTCAGTAGCAGGCCGTCGTGGAAGTAACGCCTCCAATTCGGAGACTGCTTTACGACACCCTTGGATCGGTCCTTGGGCGCCGTCAAGATCTGTCAACGTCCCAGGGGCATGGCCGCTTTCTTTCAAGAACCGAATATTGTCGAGTATTGTCCGAACAGCAGATGCCTCAAGCAGGATCAGACGAAGGTCTGAGGGCGCATCGTGAATACTGCCAAGGTAGTATCTGCACAAGTCGATGACGCGATCCGCAATCTGTATGATCGCCACAATGTTGGCGGCGACGCTGAGTGCTTCCATGATGCTCTGATTGTGGTGCCCAGAAGCTGTCTGGTTGATGGAGGGTTGAGGAGCAAGAGGTTTCCCCGCCGCAGCTGTACGGGGAGAAATGCAAGGGTCCAAGACTCCCAAGGCTGAGAGCGCCCAACAGAACGCCTCCGAGGGAGCCCAAAATGACTTGAGCGAATTGGATCGGGGTTTCATACTCTCGTTGGTCTGTCAGCGAATAGCAGCCTCTGTAGCGGGCCGTAGCTGGTGCAGGTGAATCAGATCTAGCCAGTTCATAGGTGTTCAGGCTTGTTACATGTGGGGTTTTATGCACGAAGACGCTCAGCTCAGATAAGTGTCACACCCGAAACTTCCCCCTAGCAATGTCATTCATTGTGCAGAAGAGTGAGATGAGATGGTCTTAGACTGAGCTCAGCCTGATTCGAGCCTATCCTATCTGACTGGCTGCGCTAGAGGCCGTACCGCGCTATACCAGTTTACCAGGCAAGACCTCTTGGCTTCATGGGAAGATGCAACAAACGCAGGCCGGCTTGCGTGGGACTCGGCATCCGACCTCCTCGAATATTGATTTGCAAGGACTGGTGGAGCAGCCTCGGCTCCGCCAACTGCATGTCCCGTGCTGTGCGTAATGCCACAAAGTCCTCTTCTGAAATGCCGTCCGAAATATGTTTATTCTGTTCCCGATGCTCAGCGACAGTCAAGAAAGGCACAGGATCACCACGCCCTTCGGGAGGATAGTCGTGTCCGGCCCAGATCTTGACGTGTGGGGGAAGCTCGAGCAGCCTCCGGCTAGATTGGTAGAGAGTGTTGGCGCTACCCCCCGGGAAGTCACATCTAGCTGTGCCTATATCGGAGTGGAAGATCGAATCACCACAGAAAACATTGTCTAGTGTTTAAACCTTTTGTTAAGTCATTCCTTTTCCTCTGAACTAATGAGTGACAGGTCTTACCTCCAATCTTATACCCCAAGTGATCAGGAGTATGCCCTGGAAGATGCATAGCTATGCCCTCCAATTCTCCAATGTCAAACGCCTCGTCGTCCTCGAAGAGTGTGTCAAACACTTTCTCGTACTCCTCTGGAGAAATTCCATACTTCTGTCCAAACAAAGTTTGCACCTGCGTGATGCGTTTGCCAATTCCGATCAAAGGCTTTTGCTCTTGTTGCTTAGCAAGGCGGCTCTGGAGGTATGATGCTGCCGTTAAATGATCGGCGTGGGCATGCGTTTCCAGGATGCGAGCAATGTGGTAGTTCATCTCGTTGATTAGAGCCAATAACGAGTCCGCCGATGTGGTCGTGACCATTTGAGTGGCTGGGTCGTAATCCAAGACCGGATCTATGATGACAGCCTCCAATGTAACTGGATCGGCGACGACATACTGCCAAGTGCCCGTCACAGGCTCGAAGCTGGTGTGGATCCTTGGTCGTCTGGCCACTGGGCGCTTGTCAAGGAGTCTGCCTTTGTCGACTGAACGAGCTGGAAGTGTGTGCTGTGCACGAATACTTGACACTGGAGCTCCTGGATTCGCTGTGCGGATAATTGGCTTCCTATTTGAGCAGCCTTTGGCGGATGATGAATACCAGCAAGCCCGTTGTTGCATAGCATGAGTTCGCTTTGGTTTGGCCACGATGGGTGAAACTGCTCGCCCAATCGCTGATGCCGCTGGGAGCCATGTTTGTGTAGACGGCTGCCGACAAGAAAGATGGCGTTGAAACGACTTCATGGTGATATACGAAGGCCGTTCTGCGAATGAAAAAGGATGGCTATGAGGACGAGCGCGGTGGCTGGAATAGAGGGATGAGCAACGTACCCTTTACATAGCTCCAGTTGCTATAACAGGACTGTGCGATAACACGCGTACGGTCAATCGGCGACCTCCCTGGCCGAGTGCCAGAGCGGCTGCCCTCGAGCCGGGGTAGTCGCCGAAGCATGGGCCGCTTACTCAGCCCGCCTCGGAATCTCCAGGGACGCAACCTCATATATATCGTATGTTCCGGCAAACGAGCTGCGGCGAGCCGTATTTCATTTGTTTCCGGATATCGGTACCGGCTGATGGTTGCAGGTTCGTTTTGATGGAGCAAAGAATGGTTGTATTTGCATATCCTTAATTCGCCCCTTTTCCTCTGACCCGCGCAACCAGCTTCGACGTTTTGTCCTTTTGATGAAAGGCCCTCGCTCTCTCGGTTCCCTCAAATTCATCGCTCTTTTATGATCAAAGATTTCTGTTCTTTATCCTTGCTTTTCATCCGTTTAGTCTTTCCTTTTCACTAGACCTGATCATGCTTTCAAGGCGCGCATTGCGATCAAGCCGCCTGGCGGCCGGCATGCTCGGTTATACGCCGGCCGCTTCCAACAGAGCCCCCATCGGCATCGGGCGGTCATTCGCCACCGAAGCAGTCATTCCGCCAATGCACCGAACTTCGCCAAGCCATAAAATAGTCATTGTCGGCGGCGGCACGGCCGGCCTCGCTGTCAGCCATCAACTTCTGCGGTCTGGTCGGTTTGCGACAGACGATATTGCCGTGGTCGATCCGGCTACATGGCATCACTATCAGCCTGGCTGGACACTCGTCGGTGGAGGCCTGAAGAAGAAGGAAGATCTGCGCTCTGCTCTGGATACGCTGGTTGACAAGGAAATTAAGCTGTACAACGACTCAGTCGCGACTTTCAACCCCGAGGACAACTTGATCACTTTGAGCAACGGTCATCAGATCGGCTACAATCACCTCGTTGTAGTCCCGGGCATCACTATGAAATATGACCAGATCAAGGGCCTTTCAGAGGCTCTCGCTGATCCTCATTCTCCGGTTTCTACTATATACAGCTACCAGACCTGCGACAAGGTGGATCGAACTATCGCCAAGTTCCGTAAAGGAAATGCGATTTTCTCCCAGCCCGCTGGCATTGTGAAATGTGCCGGTGCTCCGCAGAAGATCCTGTGGATGGCTGTGGATAAATGGACACAGGCAGGCCTGTTCCGACCACTCGACCCAGGCGCCTCGCCGATCAAGATTAGCTTTGCCACGGGCCTTCCGGTCATGTTCGGCGTCCCCAAGTATAGCAAGAAGCTGGACAAGCTTCGCACGGAGCGCGGTGTGGAAGGCCTCTTCCAGCATGATCTCGTTGAGATCAACGGCGACAAAGCGATCTTCACACTGCCTGACGGCGAAAAGGTCACGCGACAGTTTGACCTCCTCCACGCAGTCCCTAAAATGGGACCACACTCATTCATTGCTGAGAGTACGCTGGCGAATGAGGTCGGGCTGGTCGATGTCGACGAGCATACGACACGCCACAAGAGGTTCTCAAACGTCTGGTCGATTGGAGATGCTTCCGCCTTGCCTACATCTAAGACAGCGGCTGCAATTACTTCTCAGGCCCCAGTCTTGGTCTCGAACATCTTGCGGACTCTTGACGGAAAGGAACTGGACGCTTCCTACGACGGATATACTTCCTGCCCTCTGATAACCGAGTACGGCAAGGTGATGCTGACAGAGTTCAGATATGGAGCAGAGGTCAAGGAGACTTTTGGCGATCTCTTCGGCATCGATCAGAGTGTTCCTCGTCGGGTATTTTATCAGCTCAAGAAGCACTTCTTCCCCTGGATCTACTACAAGTCCATGGTTAAGGGCACCTGGGCCGGCCCGAAGGGCTTCATCAGATAGCTTACCAGAAACAATGCAGAACATGAATTTTAGGAAAATGGCTGTCGTCCAGCTCAGCCAATGCATAGGCCTCAAAGTAAAAGAAAAGGATCAAGATCAAGTCTCATTATTGAAATACACCTGGAAGAATTTGCTCAATGGTGAAATGGTGGAACTAAAGTTACTTCTGTCTTTCCAAAAGTCGTATATACCACTACAAAACGGTGATGCACCATCCCGTTCGGCATAGGACATATCAAGGGTGCGAAGCGATCTGCGCTACATTCGAACACTCCCGCACAAGCTCACTCACTATAATGATTCCAGGAAGGGTGGGGCAATGACATGGCTGTCTTTACCAACCCAATGGTTTTGAGCAAATGAACAGCCAGGGGTCATGCTGATGTCGAATGGTGTCGACTCGGGTTCGAGATCACTGTGCATCGGCTCCCGACAGCCGCATGCTAACCCTTGCTCCCTCGGCATGAGATCTGGGAGTTAGATTTAGTTCCCGCTGAGTGGACACTGTCCGGTAGCCAATCAAAACTGCATACGGTAATTCCCGTTCAGCCCGGCTGGGCATGCTGCTTTCGACAAGCTTCTCGATATCTGTGAGATGTACCTAATGGACAATCCTTTCTACAATCGCCGCATTCAAGCGTGAGAGTTGCGGTTCTCCTTCCAGTGTCACATTCGGCATTTTCAGAAGCTCAACAAAGGCATTAGAGCGGATTCCTGGAGACATGCACATCGTGCAGAATCGTCCGTAAAGAACGCTGAAGCGTAAGGGGAACGTCCGTCCTTAGCTTCAGCGTCCACAATACGCTAAAACGCGGGAGTGAAAAACATGAAGCAGGGGTTTTTTGGAGCCAACGAATGCGGTGGGCACCACCTGGTATGATGGTCAAATGGGTCGACGGTCAGCCAGGATAGATAAGACTACCTCGGCAAATACGAAATGGGTCCAATAAGTCGTTCATAGACATTGCGTCCCTGAAACAAGCATTCGGCTGGCGATACACTAGCAAGGGTCTAGTCTCGATGTGGATATCAACTGCGCAACGGGGGTTCCGAGTCGGCGATACAGCAATCGGCGACCATGTGGAAAGATGGGGTTACGCACTCGTCGACCGATTCTAGACCACCCACCGGGATTTAACTCTCGATATAATTCCGCAGAGGAGGCTCTCGGCCGTGGGAGTGCCACCGACATCCGGAGTTGAAAATCTGGCTCCTAGTCAACTACCTGCACACGGATGCACATCCTGGGTGATAACGTATATGTCTGATTATATCTAGCTTGATGTCACGCTATGTCAATCCTAAAATAGCCTGCTGTGGCAATTCGTTCTTGACAGCAAGCCGAAATACCATGGGGGCCCGACTCAACACCCTCAGAGAGTACCTGCAGGATTCTGTTCAAGATGGCGAAGAGGAGAGAGTTTTTGTCGATATTGAGCTTCTGGCATTGTCCTTTGCTACGGGCATCCAGGATGCCATAAGCTACCCAGACTACCACTGCTTTGCATCCAACCAAACGGGCAACACTGTCCTACTTGCTCTCGCGGCAGCCGACGTGGGGACCGATCTGTTCAACACGGCGAACACGTGTTTGAGCCTGGGCGTCTTCCTAGGCGGCTGTTTCACTATGGGTCAGATAGGAAACGCTGTAGGAGCACGTAAGAGGTGGTGGCTTGTTCTGACAAACCTTTTCTCTACGGCCCTCATGTTTGTGGCGGCTGGGATACAGTACGCCATGCCCGTAGACGTCTCCGGCCCCCGCGCGCTTGGGGTGATCACCCTACTAGCATTCTCCTCTGCCGCCCAGGTAGCCATGGCCAGGCCTCTGAACGTACCTCAAATCACAACTGTGAGTAGAGAATGAAAGAAACAGCCCGGAATTTGTGGTGCTGGAGAGCTGACTCTAATCGGTATGAACAGGCAATGGCTACTGCAGCTTGGGTGGATCTGTTGGTTGACCCTAGGTTCACGAAGCTAGAAAACCATCAGCGCAACCGGCGATTGCTATTTCTCGCTATGCTTACCCTGGGGAGTTTTGTTGGTGCATTCACGAGGGCTAAAGTCAACTCACCCCTTGCCTTATTATTATGTTCTATTTTGAAATTGGTTGTTACGGGCCTTTTCTTCCTCAATCCTGCTACAACAGAACCATGTAAATAGAACGAAACGCATCATTTCCTTTCTATCTGGGCTGTCAATATGGGAGGTCAGTGATTTGTAGACTTTTAGACTAATTTTGTCCTTGTTTCCCATTTTATAGAGACTTTCCTGAGGATAAAAGCGATGAGGTCGGGAGCAATAATCACCTCGACTTCGTCCTTGCTGGGATCAATTTCCAACAATCGCCGTACTATCAGATATATAGCTATAGTCTGCTCTGCAACATCCTTTTTAGCGTGTGCTCATTTCTTAGTGCCATCCACGTATAATAGCCTTATCTTTCAAGGTGGCAAGGAGCTCAAAAACGCATTATGCTCATGGATATATTGATAACGTACGCTTTTGACTTGCGATACACTCGCCGACCCCGAGGCCATGGTCAACGATGAATACATCACCGCAATCTGGTCCCCAGAAATCCCTTCTGTGGAGCATTCTTCGCCCCTCTTTGAGTTGGAGTCCTCTCACTGGAGTGCTAGTCTCCAGTCGATCACACGGATTCGATATCATCGATGATCTACCAGAGCATTCTATCTAAATAGTACCGTCCAGTCTCGCTTCACATTTCGTTAACATCTTAGATCGAGAAGCCCCCCCTATCCAAAACCATGGCCACCCTTCCTACATGCCTCTTTACGCCATCTCCTGCGCGATCCTCTCCACCCTCACCTCGAGCCCGTTCGGCCGCATGGCAAAGCCCGGGTTCTCAATAGTGAACGGCTTGTCGACGGCGGAGAAGCGGAATCGAGGCACCATCTCCATGAGCACGACCTTGATCTCGAGCATGGCATAGCTCTTGCCGATGCACATGCGCGACCCGTTGGCGAAGGCCTGGAACGCGTACGGAGACAGCTGGTCGCCCGCGAGCCTGTCCCAGCGCGTCGGGTCCGGCGTGTCGGCGTCGTCGCCCCAGATGGTCGGGTTGAGCATGGTGACGGAGGGGACGATGTCGACGGTCGTGCCCTTGGGGATGAAGACGCCGTTTATCTTCATGTCTGTGCTGGCTTCGCGGTGGTGCGAGGTTGCTGAACAGTAGAAGTCAGTGGGCTGTGGTCTGTGCGAATAGATGGGACGGAAATGACTTACATGGAGCGTAGATGCGGAGGGCTTCCTTGATGAAGCCTTCCATGTACGAGCAGGCGTTGATGTCGTTGTAGCTCGGGCTGGGAGTCTTGGCCAGCATGTCGTTGATCTCGGCGCGTAGCTTGTCTTGGATATCGGGCCTGGTGGCCATGATATAGACGCACCAGGTGATAGTGTCGGCGCTGGTGGCGTGTCCGGCAACCATGAATTGCATGAGCTGTGGCACAAAGCCGTCGTCAGTATTACACCATTTAGTCACTAAACACGCAGCACTTACATGGCCAAGGAAGTGGTCCTCGCTCAGTCCCTCCGCCGGATGGCCGGGCATGCTCTCCTCCACAATGAACGTAAGCAAGTCGCGCGACGCCGTCTCGGCCTGCTGCTTCTTCTCATCCGCCAGCGACCTCTTGACCTCGGCCCGACGGTCGTGGATCATCTTGAGCAGGATCCTGCGCACCCAGTCGTTGCAGAATTTCCAGTCGCGGTTCGCCTGGATGGGGATCCACCGCACAGGCACGATACCGTTGGCAAACAACAGGATCTTGCCAATCATGCTCTGCGCAAAGACAATCTCGTACGCATCATGGAAGCTGTACTCGCTCTTGCCCTTGTCGGCCACGCTACCGGCCTTGGCGGCGAAGGTCTCGGAAGTCAGGTTGTCCAGCTCGAGGCCCAGGACCGTGGCGCCGATGATGTCCAGCGTGGCCTTGGTGAAGATCTCGGTGCAGTCGATGTTGCCGTTGCCCGATGAGATGGCGGCGTCGAGGACGCCGCACAGGGCGCGCGACTTGGCCTGGAAGATAGGCTGGAGCTTGCGGATGTTGGGCACCGACAAGGGACCTGCGAGCATGCGCCGGTGGATGCGGTGCTCCTCCCCCTCGAGCAGAAGGACGCCGTTGCCCGCGAACTCCTTGACGATTTTGCGGAAGCTGGCGGGCTTGACAAAGTTGTAGCATTGCGTCTGCTGGACTTCCTTGTGGGAGCTGATGCTGTTGGCGACCTTGTTGCGGTCAGTTGTCTGGGTTGGTGAACGAATGTGTTGTGTGCATCGGGTTGGTCGCCAACTTACAATGACCTCCTGGTTACCAAAGGTGAGATACCGGATAAAGGGAGCCTCGGGCCACTGCTTCATCCACTTGACATACAGTTCAATTGGAGAGCTGGCCTGCATGAACTTGATGGACTGTCCGAAGAGGAAATGGTTGTCCTGCGGTCCATCTCACTACATTAGGTATGACTCCTTCATAGCTGAGGGAGGTCCTATCACAGAAAAGGGGCTGCGTACCGTGGGGCCGGGCAAATGGCGGAAGGGCGAGAAGTACTTGTGGTAGAGGAACACGCGGTAGTAGGTCAGAGCCACATACTGCAGGAACAAGCAGATGCCCGCAGTTTGGGTGAAGGTCAAGCCATAGGGGTAGTCGATGCCTGTTAGGGACAAGGCAAAGGCTTCGATGATGCCGAGCCCGGCGCAGATGGCGATGTCCATGACTTCTCCTGTCACTCTATCGTCCCTCTACGGAGTAGGTGAGCGCTTCTGTGTCTGTGTGTGTGCGGCTCCGGCAAAGTGTGTCAGAGCAAAGCAAAAGCAATGCCGAAGCGAGGGAAAGGACCCAAGGGAGCGGACCGGTACTGAGGGCGGGGGAACAGTCTGACCACCTCCTTTAAAAAGCACTGCCTCTCATTCGACCAAGCACAGTAAGGCACGGCGCCTATCACGGCCGTTGCATAACTGGACGTTTGATCATTTTGCCCAGTAGGCACCGTTCAGCTTAACCCCATGAGTGATGGTGCAATGCACTACCCCCGAGGCGCGATTGGATGCATGGTCAATCCCTGCTTTAGTCTCTCTTCAGCCCTTTATTAGAGTGGTGGATTGTGTGACTTTCACCCACGCTATTTCTCTTCCCCGGTCGTGCAATAACGCTGATCTCCCCGCAGCTTACTGAAGCTGTACAAGGGTCCGGCCGCATGTCATGATCGTTATCTGACAATGGAGGCAAATTAACGATACTAGGCCCTCTACAAGTATTAGACCACACTAACAAACTCTGCCCCTGGCCATTTAACCCATGAGGATTGCGCCAACGAACACTAGGTTCCTGGGCGTCTTGGCCGCCCAGGGTTTTCTTCATCGGGTCTGAGACTACGGATTCCCAACAACGCCCAAGACCGGGATCACACAAGAATTTGCCCGCCACGCCCTTCATTGCCCTGCGTCTTAGTGTCGATGCCGTGATGAACAATGGGCGGAACAGGGCTGTAGTGTCGGATACTTTCCCTCTTCGGGGAGCCCACCTCAGCCGCGAAGGTTTCACGCGGCCGGCAACGGTCAAAGTGATCGGCGTCGAGAGAAAATCCAATACGATAGCGACGACCCAACCGACAAGGGCGTGATTCCTATCTGTTTTTGCTTTTTGCAAGGTAGTTCTTGCTCATGTTCTTCGTATCACGGCAGTTGTAAACCGTTCGAGTCTCTTACTATCTCAGCCGTATATAGCTGGACATGCGTCGCCCCATTTCTTCAACGCCCGTTTTCCCTCTGTCTCTTCGCGGCCCGCCCCGTCCGTCTCGTGTCTGTGTGTCTTTGCCCCTTTGCCTTCTTCCAGCCTAGCCATTGGGACTAGTTTAACGGCCCGGCAGCCACGCTACTCGTTTTCGTTCAAGCAAGCACTCAATCACGCCCACACGCACGAGACCACCACCAGCTGCTCCTTATTCATCACACAGACACTCTGCGAGCAAGTCTGGCCCAGTCGAGCCATGGATCTCTCTGACCCGAACCTCGACCTGGGCAAGCTGGCTTACGCCCAGCCGCCCATAGTGCCGACGGGCGATGCGAGAATCTTGGTGGCTGTCTCGATCCTGTTCGCCGTTTTAGGGTTTATCGTTGTGGTCGCCCGAGTCATCTTCCGGTGGTGGCTCCGCGCCTCGAGGACCGAGAGAACGGCGTGGGGATGGGACGACGTGCTCGCTGCCATTGCACTGGTAAGCCAAAGGAAGTTTCCTTGGTCATGACAGGATTCTTTGCTCTTTCTTGTTTCCTCCCGGACAAAAAGCAAAAGGACTTGTATCTCATTGTTTCTTTTATCTACCCCTAGGTCCCCTTCGAGATCCAGTGCGTCTGGTCCTGCCTCGGCGCCTACTACGGCCTCGGCATGCGCGACGACGACCTCGGCGGCAACAAGCTCGTCATGATGCGCGCGGCCGAGTACATCGCCTACTTCCAGATCTGCCACGCACTCTGCGTGCCCTTCATCAAGGCCTCCATCGCCGTCGCCCTCATGCGCATCACCGACGCCCGCAAGTACCGCTACCCGCTCTACTTTGTCATCCTCGCCTCGACGGTCCTGTGCCTGGCCGGCTGGATCTCGCTCGTATCGCTGTGCAAGCCCACGGCCGCGCTGTGGAACCCGACGCTGGGCAAGTGCGGCAACTACGACCCCATCGTCAAGATCAGCTACGTCGTGTCGATCGTGACCATCATCACGGACTGGACGTGCGCCATCATCCCCTTCTTCGTCCTGCGCAAGCTGCAGGTGTCGATGCGCACAAAGTTCCTCCTGCTGGGCGTCCTGGGCATGGGTATCTTTGCCAGCGTCGCGGCTATCGTCCGGTACCCGTGGCTCAAGTACTACTCCGCGCCCAAGGACCAGCTCTGTGAGTCACCCCTGCCCTCGCTTTCCATTGAGTTTGCATTCTGCTAACACGTCCTGCCAAGGGTACACTTCCCACATTATCCTCTGGTGCATCGTCGAGTCGGGCCTGGGTCTCCTTGCCGGCTCCCTGCCGCCGCTGCACAAGCTACGCACCGTGCTCGCGCGGCGCAGGGCAACCCGCACGGCCCAGTCGGGCAACATCTCCAACTCGCTCGAAGGCAGCCAGAACGGCGCCGTCGTCATGGACCGCATCAGCAAGGGCACCAAGCACAACCGCCACGGCACCAAGACGGGCCACTCTACCTTCGTGGCCGGTGGGGAGTGGGACCGGCTCAGCGACGACGCGGCGAGTGGGAAGCACATCATTCACAGCCGGTCGGTGCAGGTGCACGTGGATACGGATAGCATGGAGAGCAGCAGGGAGAACAAGTCTGTTTCGATGGTGTAAAATGGGGACCAATCCATGTTGGCCCTTTGCGTCGTTCTATTCTACGTTTCAAAGACGAGCACCAACATTGCATGTTATGCATAGCGAAGCGTTTGCACAACGTGTTTGTATTTTAGACACCAGAAAAAAGGATACCTACTGTCGCTATCGGCTACTGGCACTCATACCTGTATTATGATTCAAACGGGCAACTTGTGCTGCTGTAATTGAGTCCGGAACATCACTTACCTCCTCTGAGGTGGTATAGCCTAAGTCGGGTAATATCCGCAAAGCGCACGACGCTCTCGGGCGAAAGGGGCTCAGTGTAGAAGTGGGGAAGAATTGAAATCGACGGACAAAGGTCGGAACCTTTCAATCAACAATGCCATACCGACGACAGTGATCCCCGGTGTATCTCGAGCCAAACGACCAACAATGCTAGTTCTCGATCCCACCAAGGCCTGGCTCCCGCTCTGGGGCCTGCTCCTCACGACTATCTGGGTGCAGGGCGCACCAGTGGATGTACGTTGTGGACACGGGCTCCATAAAGCCTAGAGCTGCGAAGCTGACATAGAATCATCTAGGGTCTAGTCACTAGTCCTCAGTGTGATAATCTCAATGACGCGATTCAGAATATCGAGCAGGTACAGGCGTACCTCCAGGGTATGCTGTTCGGCGGCCTCCCCCTCTCCGCATCGGACGCGCACGACATGGTCTCCCAGATCTTCGAGGCGCTCGAGAAGCCTGTCGCAGAGGTGAAGGCACTGAGGGATACGACCTGCCAGCTGCAGCTGTTCAGAAGGACACATCTGGTGGAGGTAAGCTTCGGATATCAGCCTTGGGCTGGGCAATGCAACAGCTTGCGCTGACACATATCGAAATATTCAGCGACAGGACTCGACGCCGGTATGCAAGATCATCGACCAGGTCCACGACGAGCTGGTGCAAGTGGACGGCATGGCGGATAAACTGGCGGCACTCCCGGGTGGTGATCTTCTAGACACGCCGGGGATCAAGGAGCAGTTGGCGAATGCCGAGGCCAACCTCAAGACGGCGCAGCGGCTATTTCGAGATGCTGGGTCTTGTCCTGGGGAATGAATGAGGAATACTGCGAATGGTTTCGTACAGAAAATAAATGTTTAGCTACTTTTGAGCTTGGCACAATGCCGGATGAGAACAAAACTGCTCCCAAGTCGAGTGATGCTGTAGAACTCGCTAGCCAGTCTTTGTGCCTCAGATCGATGGAAGAGTACAAAACAGGTCGCCAACAGGTGGAACTCCGTGTTTGACGGCCATGACTCAAACTCTCGACAACTCGCCTTTGGGGATACTCAGTCAAGGCAGATGTCATCGATGTCAATGGAAGAAAAGCTGGAGAATCATTGTGCAACTCCTGAGAATGCCGAAAAGGTTTCGGTCTAAGTCCAGGAATAACAAAAGGTCCTTCTCATTTCGAAATGACCAATTCAAACAAGCTTTACAAGGGATATCCCGCTCTGCGCTCTAAATATAATGTTTCGCAAACCGAACCTGGCCGCGGCAAGTTCCATGATGAGGCCTTTTGGCATTTTGATGGTCACGTTACATTTCTCACCAGCAGGTGCCTCTGTGAAAGGAGCTGCACTCCCTCGTTTCAGTAGGTTGGGAGAAAGTTTGGGGAGGACAGGGGTCTGAGGGAGCGATCAAACGCCATCTCCTGGTGGCTGTGACAGGCCTCGGACAGGGGTTGCTTTAAGCACAACTCTAAGGTTGTCAGCCGCATCATCTGCATACGTAAGGCACCCAACTACTGGGAGGCCACATTGTGGTAGTGACAGCTTTGCCACGGTGCATCAAGGCCAATTCTCGAGGCGCACCGGCGCCGGAAGTGTGTATTGTTTCGATGCTGCACAACCCCGCCCAGTCACCATGATTGACTGCTTGGGCCGGACCGAACTTGTCGTCTAAACTAGTCATAAAACAAATCTGGTGCAAGCTGTCTAGAATGCTCAGTCCCACCTTCGTAGCTAGCGTGATACTGGCGCCTACTCATGCTAGGAAGCTGAGCATCCGGAACAACACCACCACAGTGAGACCGAATCATGACAATGGATCGGACTCGGGTCAACAATCGAGCCTCCAAAAGGACCGTTACTTGACGTGCATGTCCTTGTCGTCCGGGAGCGCTGAATAGAGAAGCCCTTGAATTTAGTCTGACATCGGTGAATGCGACCCCTGGTACACCCTGGCTGAGCCACACGGGGCAAGGTGTTCGCGACGTCAACCGCTTCGGATCGCGAGCCCGGGGGTCCCACACCAGCATGTTTGCCCAGCGCAGCACAGACGTTGCGGGAATATTGTGGCTACAACCTCCACGATGATGAACATGAGATGAGAGGGAGATCTTCAGGCAGTGCAGGGAGATCGGTTCATGTGGCGACTTCCGAGGACAGGACGCACTGCATATAAACCCCGGGTCCCATCTCTTCGCTTTGCCTCGAGACGGTTTTGTTTCTTCATGCACACAGACTGAGCCAAGAGCCAGAGTTCCATTTTCGTTGTTCCCTTTCGTTTGCGATATCTCTCGCTCCTTTTCGCCTATACTTCCTCTTTCACTCCTTCACTTCTTCTCCCCGGATCAGCGACCAGGTGTTGTTTGATCGGACGGCCCCTCTGCAACTTCAACTTGGACCTTGTCTCGACGTGCCTCATCTTTTGGTTGACCAGGCGCAGTGCGCGTCGCTAATTCCATTCCTCAAGATCTTCACTTTACACTCTTCTTCTTTTTCTATCTCTCATCAGTAGAGAATTATCAAGATGGTTCGCTTCACTGTCGCTTCCATCCTGGCATGTAAGCAAAGCATCCCAAATCTGGCCCCGGCACTCCTCCGACCCCTGGTTTCGGCATCCCTCCATCATGAAACACCACTAACACCAAATGCCCCCCCCAAAAACAGTCGCTGCCACCACAGCCCTCGCTGCCCCTCAACCCATCGAAGTCGACCCCAACGGCGCAAAGAACCTCGGCAACGGCGCGGGAACCCAATTCATCACTGGCGCATGTCTCAGCAATGCCGACTGCGCCTCCGGGTGCTGCGCGTCCATCGTAGGCGGTAGCAGCGCGAATGGCATCTGCTCCGGGCCCGCGGTAGGCAACGTCGCCGGCAAGGGCGGCTGCGGCTTCTCTGCTGCTGGGGGCGGCGCGGCTGCCGCCCCTCCTTCTTCTCCTCCCCCTCCCGCCACGAGCGCCGGAAGTGGGACCACGCCCCCGCCTACCACCGGCGGTGCGGCGGCGGCCAAGCCCATCCAGGTCGACTCTAGCGGCGCCAAGAACGTGGGCAACGGCGCGGGCAAGCAGTTCATCACGGGCGCGTGCCTGAGCAACGCCGACTGCAACTCCGGCTGCTGCGCGTCGATCATCGGCGGTAACGGTGCCAACGGGATCTGCTCCGGCACGGCGGTGGGGAACGTCGCTGGCAAAGGCGGATGTGGCTTCTCTGCCGCTGGCGGTGCTGGCGCCGGTGCTGCTACGCCGCCCCCGGCTACGGCTAACCCGGCGAAGCCTGGCACAAACAACAACGCTTCGGCCGGCAGCGGCACGTGCGCGGCTGTGAACGCCAGCGCTGCTGGGAGCGCCAACGTCGGCAAGGGCAACGGGCAGCAGTTCATCACGGGCCAGTGCCAGAGCGCCGCCGACTGTGCCTCGGGTTGCTGCGCAAAGCAGGCCGATGGGTCGGCTCAGTGCAAGGCGCGCCTGGTCACGGAGCAGGCGGGCGGGAGCTGCGACTTTAGCTGCACTGCCGCCTAGACGGATGGCGGACGTGAGATGGCATGTAAGATCTATTTGTGGAAAGAAAAAGCAGACCCTGGGATGAAAATCACATTGCATTCTGGGATCTATTAAGGAGATGGCTTTCGGGACAGGGCTTTATCATTTAGGAGGGACTTCATTTCTACATGGCTTCTTGGTTCATGGCATTGTTGGGATAGATGGATTCGTCCCGGCATTTCTAGTCAATACAGTATGTGCATGCTGGTTGAATCATTATGCCCATGGCCGGTGCGCTCACGATGGACCGATGTCAATCTCCGCAGGGCTGCCGCCGAGAGGAACTTCCCACCCTTGCCGCGATTGTTTGAGGCCCGGTGTACGCACTGCGAAATTCCCTTCGACCCACACGATCGCCGACTTGGCTTTGGGACCTGAGCTGAGTTGCGATAACGTGACCTTGACACTCTTGGAGCTCGCGTTGTAAGTGAATTCTTGGATGATCCCCGCGTCCACCGACACTGTCAGGGCTAGAGGTCCAACGAAGATCTTTCTCCGCACCGCATCAGTCGTCACAACCTTTGCTTCACCTTCTGTCCCTGTTAAGATGCCGCCGTAGGCTGCCAAGCTCCCCAACTCCGCATCGTCGACAAGGTACGTGGCGGAGCCAAGGACGAGACCCAGGAACCCAGGGCCATAATCTCCACTGTACCCGTCCCATTGTAGCGTTTCCGGCCATGAATGGAACGACGCGGCTGCAAAACCATCGTCATGAATATTGGACAGCGGGCCATTCATCCCGCCGTACCCGATCCGCAAGAGGTATGAGTCGGAGGGATTGCTGCGGTACGCGGACAGGGCAACCAGTGCGTTGAGGCCGGAGCCGTAGTGATGAATCTGGCGCTCGATGCGGCGGAGTTTGCCACCGTAACTAGTCGGGCCTGTGTTAGTACAGTCAAAATACAAGAAGATATCACGGACTTACACGTTATCCCAGTACCGTCGGGCGTTCCCGTTCCACCCCCAGTGGGCTACCGTCGGCGAGAATCCGAGCACAGTCCCGACAGCCTTGCTTGCCGTGCTCGTATCGCCAAAGTAATTGGCCCAGTAGTACACGCCCTCCTGGCCAGTAGAGTCCCACGCCATCTCACTCCCGAAGGGCACAGCCATCCCTTTCCACCGGTCAGCACGCTTGCGCATCTTCGACGACAGGGCGTCGGCCTTGTCATGCTGTCCCTCACGCTTCAGATCTGTCAACAGCTCGCCAAAGACAGTCTCCCCCATCAAACCCTCGGTAGCATACCCGACAATCAAGTTGCCTTGGCTATCTGTCTGCATGCACCTCATCACAGTCTGATATGCCTGGTTAAGATACCAGTCCCATGCATGAGCCTTGGTGAGATCGGGGTACGCCCTAGCCACGCGGTACAAAGCCCAGTACGTCGCCGTGACGTGGACGTAGTCATATGCGCGATCGATAGCGTATGCATTCTGCCTGTTCCACGACCACCATCCCGTCCAGTCGATATCGCCCCTGTAAGGGTACCCAGAGACGACACTGGGCTCATAAAAGAAGATGCTCTTGCGCACGGCGTAGTCGGACGTCTGAATCGTCTTCCAGAGGACCCCGTCGACAAAGGCCTCGAGCTTGGCGATCTCGTCTGCGGCGGGCAGGGCGGCTTGCTTCATCGCGGCAGCGAGGAAGGACCCCGCGCCGCCTTCGTCGCTCAAGCCGGCGATCCAGACGCGGTTGTCCTGGGTGACTATCTGCCCCACGTCGTGGTCGTAGGTCAGGACAGAGGGCGCACGCCCGAAGGGATCCGAGGCGTCGGTGAAGTATTGCGCCGTAGTAAGGAAGTGTCCCAGGTCAGAGAGGGCTTTGGTCGCTGGCTTGGTGATGAAGTAGTGGACTGCTTGGGTGCGCCTGTCCGAGTAGGTGATTGTCAGGCGTGCGCGGCCCCATGCTGAAGGCGAAGGATTGATCTGAAAAAGGCCGGGTGAGATTTGCGTAGCTGTCAGGGCTGATGCCGGGTCAGAGGTGATGGACGCGACTTGTACGTCACTCCTGAGCAACAGTTGCGCCTGGCCATCTTGAGGGATGATATAACCCGGAACCCCAACCGCTACAGGCGTGCCTGTGTCTTGGACTGCTTTGTCGATGCCCCGAACTCCATCTCTGGCGAGGGAGAACCTTAGCCCGAATTTGGTTGACTCTCCTTTTCTAATGATGCGAGACGATGGCGGGTTCCAGGGCTGCGAGGTCTTCCATTCCTTCTCGGCCCACGCTTTACTCAGAACCTGCCACTCGTAGAACCCTTCAAAGGTCTGACTGCCATAGTACGTCCCCGCATAGCTCCCCTCGACGAGGTTACGGTAGGCCTCGAGCGGGGTGTCCGCAATGGGAGTGACCACAAGGGCCGGGCCGACACCGCTGACAGGTGCGACTCGGATGTATCCGGCGTCCATGCCGATGTATGGGTCTGACAGGGAGCATTTGGCTTGGATGTCCTCGGCCGAGCGATCGGTAAAGATGCTGTTGAATTCGGCCGGAAACCCGAGGCTACCAATCTCAAGGTCGTCGGTTCCAACGTTGGATATAGTGAAGTGCAAGCCCAGGTCACCATCGACGTCAATCCACTCTCTCGTGACATTCAACGGCGCGCCACTTGGCAGCGTCGGCCCCAGCAATGCGCCCGCCAAGACATCCGATGCTCCACTGCGGGTGCCCGTCACGGGCTTCCGTGCCGCGGACGAGTCGCCATCGGTCCATGCTCCGGAGCTGCTCCCAGCTTGTCGGTACCGGTACGTGATGTCGCCCCAGTGGTACTGCCCGTTTCGGGCGCGCCGGTTGAGATAGTCGAACGGCAAGAAGTCGAATGAGCTGCCAGATGGTTTGAGGGACGCTAAGATCTGTGAGTCGCTGCCGAGCTGGATGTCAAAGTTGCGCGTTTTGAATGTCAGATAGCCGTTTCCGAGCCCGAGGGCATCGTCTTGTCCGACCGCGAACGGCAGCAGTGCCACCAGCCAGGTTGCCGGACCCAGCATTTTGGATGATGGAGGTGCGGCCGAGAGAAGCGTTCAACCCATGTTGAGGGCACTTGTCATGTCCCGCACTTATATGCACCTTATCTTTGGCCTGTTACCATGGTATACGAATCCACCAGCTCGATGGGACTGTTGCATTCAGGCCGTATCTGTGCCCTTGCATCTGTTCCCAACTTGGCCATTAGCCACACAATTCTTTAAACCGATTCCCGAGATCTAGCCAGGGCACCAGCACTCCTGATAGGTACGGCTAATACAAACGACGAGGGTTCCCACCATGCCCTTCCCCGCAATCCTGTGATCAACAACCCGGTTCCGTCAATGAGGAGTCGGCGCCCACCGAAAGTCGAAGGGCCGCACTTGTCAATCGTATCATCTCATTCGCAAAGGTATCACATAGATACTCATGTCGATTGGGATGTTTCTGGCGAGGCCGACTGTGACTCCTCGTGGAGCTTGATTGACGCGGCCGGTATGGCGTTCGTGGGTTGGGCACAAGCTCCGCCGCGATGGTCTGGGCTCATCTCACCGTTCAACCTTCAAAATGATGAATATCCCAATCAGACCTGGTCCGGTTTCAAATTGTGCCTATCACTGGGCGGGTAATGCTCAGTCTGATCGAGTCATTGCAATTGCTCAATCTGCTCCCCTAGAACCCCCGGCGAAGCACATATACCCAACTGCCGACGGAGACAATACTTCATGGGCAAGTGACTAAACACCTTCCCAAAGCGGAAATTGGGCTAGACTGGTTTAACGCACCCAGTTTCGCAACTCATCCCCCGAGTGCTTTGCGTAGCCACTTTTCGGACCGAGTTGGATACAGCCAAATCCACACGACTGGTAAAGCAGGTAGAAGATCATCGTCTTTGGGAGCAGACAGGGGCCAGGCTGGTTGACGAAATTTCATCTGAAGATACCTCAAGGCCAATAATACATCTTTGTTCTAAAGATACAATCCCACTATCTAAAGCCGATTGAGTTGATAGACGGTCAAGTTTACCAAGTTCTCAACCAATCCGACCTTCACCTGAAGAACATATTAGTATCTCCCCACACAGATCACATGCTCGCTCGCATTCAATTTTGTCTTTTCGCAAGGATGCGGGCGCGGAGAATGTAACAAACCACCGCTTTGACTAGCACGTAACTAGTCGACTTAGGCCACTGTGCAGCCATTCAGGCTATTGGGACACTTTGAGAGAGGACTATATGACATGTTGTTTACTAACATATATGATAATCCATTACCACTGACCCGATTCATACGCCAGCCGCAACGACAGAGTGAAAACACTGGAACGTACGTATAAAAGCCTTGTATTCCAAAATATCATCACCGTCCTTTCCAAAATTACCGAGTGAGACAGCCAGTGATCACGGCATGGACGCATCCAGGTGAGGGCTTGGTATTGGCACTACCGCTAAGAGGGGAGAAAATGATTAGTTGTATTCAACGAACGGGACCGAGGCGTTCTGATCAATTCTATCCACAGCACGGCACGCGCCCTGACCGGCATTGTGGTATATCCAAGCAAGAACACTATCCGACTCATTCCTGTGTCTCTGTAACATATATATGGCCATGTTGGTATAAACGTCAGATATTCTTCAGATGTGTTAATAGATACAAACACAAGACCCAGTATGAAGGGGAAAAAAAGAAAATTCATCACAGATTCTGATATAAGGTGCCAACTCAAGATAATCAGTCATCACAAATTCCCTCTCTCAGAGCCATCATAGTACATTCGGTTTTGTGTTGACTAGAAGTTGTCCATATATCACAAGTGAACAAAGATCTAGAACATGAGAAGGAAGCGACCGGGTTATGCTGTGGAATTGTGAGCCTTCATCTGAGCGAATGTACTAGACAAGAACCGCAAACTGATATAAGCATATTCAATATCCAGAACAGCACCTTCAAAATGCTAAAGTTGTTTAGCACTATCACACAATACCGACTGGAGAGTTTGCATACGAGGCTGTGTGGAGACGGGTATCAAAAAGGAAAAAGAGAAAACAAAAAGAAAACAAAAAAAGGAATGAAAAGATAAAGGGGAAGAAATAAAGAAAGAAAGGAGACATAAAATGAAAGTAAAGAAAAAAAAGACAAAGCAGATAGGAAAAAAGACAAAATGTATTGATTCTGCAAGGATGCATCAAGTAATGAGCTTTGGCGGCTGAACTTTCTCTGACCAACAGAAAGTGGATCTATCTCTCAATGCCATGGAACTGTCTAGCATTATGCTAGAGATATGAGGCATTTGGTCTGGAATCGGTGTTGCGCTTCTTTTTTGCGGCGTTGAATATACTGCTTGTAAACGTATCTTGAGATAATAAAGAGACGACAGGTGGCAGAAGGTAGTCAATAAACGTATGATGAACATTTGGAGGGCTGTGGCTCGGAAGAGATTCATCTTTCACTCTCTCCAACTCTGTCGTTGGCTCGAGTGATGCTGCCGGTGAACATGCTGTTGATGTACCCAGTTGCGGGCTTGGTGTCAATGATATCACTAAAGTGTATGTGCGCATGTCAGTCTCTGAGTGTGGGAGTTATGGTCAGGATGCTATACCACTCGTAAGGTGCCCCCTTTCCCAGGTCATCAAGGTACTCGAGACGACGCTTGCCATGCTCATCGTCGCCAAATCGTATGAATTGCACCATGACATGGTCGCGACCGAAGGGGCTGTCCTTCACCGCCTTCACGAGCCTTATAAACGGGTCCTCCACCCCAGCTGCCTTTGGCTCTACATTTGTCAGATCCCAGCATCCGTCGGTGAAGATGAAGATGCTGATCGGATGCTTCTTGGAGCTTGAGAGCCAAGAGGCGCGTCGACTACCGTCGCCGTTGAGCTTGAGAAGTATTCTCTGGACCAAACAACCCATGCTTCTTTCTGTGTATTCCACATCCTGATCGTAGTTGCACTTCAGTAAAGCCCGGAGTAGAGGTGTGGCGTGCTTTTCTTCGTAGACACGTGGAGGCGCACCTTTGCCAAAGTCGGAGGCGAACGCAAGCTCAACTCCACCCTCTGGGTCCATGCGCTTGGCGATGTGCGCGAGGGTGTAGAATAGATGATCGACCTCGGCTTTGTACTGGCACATGGTCTCGGTGTCATCGATGAAGAAGAGGTAATTTCGATGTGATACCGTCTCGAAGATCTTGTGAACCGCTCTGTCAGTGTCCGAGTTGACCGACAGCTGCCCGCGGCTTTTCTTTGCTTTGATCCAATCCCTAGCCTGCCTAACAGTAATATTGGAAGGGGTCCTCTCCACTGACGGCCGACGTGCTCTTTCGGTTGGAGAGGAGACCTCGAAGAATCTCCTCTGCGGAGAAGTTTGTTCCGGCATGGACATTGGGGCTTGGGGGTTGCGATCTGGGAATGAGAAGGATTCACTTGGGGTAACTTGTATTCTCGGCGTTGATGGCGCCACCGGTAGTAAGGTTATTGACGAAGGGCTTGGGTATGGCCCGGCCTGTTGTGCAGATGAAGGTTGGTCTGTGGCACCTGTCGAATGGATCGACCTGAACGGAAGCTCCATACAAGGAGCACTCTGCCGACGAGGGTACCCATCGATGGGCAGGTCAGCCGACAGAGAGCCTCCGGTATCAAGTGACAGATGGGGAACGGGTCTGGTGACAGGCGGCAGCGTGTTGTCAGAAGGTGGCGTGGAAAGATGGAAGATGTTGTAAAATTTCTCGTAGATAGACTTAGGGTCGTCCCGCTTTCTCTTGTCGACGAGCATATCCTCCTCTACAACTTGCAAAAGACGCGGGGTGATGGTGTCGTTGAACGAGTTACAGTAAGCAATAACTCGATCGTGCATCTGGCCCACTGCTGGAAGACGGTCCACACCGTTGTGGAAGCAACCTCTGAGACCTTTCTTTCCAGGGTCAAGGTCTGATTGGCCATGGACTCGGAGGTCGTGGTACTCTCGTATTCCATCATTGCCGAATGCTAGCCACACAGCGCACACGCTGAAGATACACCCCAGAGAAAAGATGTCGGCTTTGTGAGTGTACCACCTATCATCAGTGTGGAATGCGCGATGATGGCTTGCTTCAGGGGCACCTGGACTCATGAAAGTTAGCAAGGCTGGACATAAGGAAAGACGTTTATGATAAGTGGACTGACTCCAGTACTGGTTGCCGTGAAGATCTCGAATCATTTGCGTGCCATCATGGGCTTCAACAAGCTGAACATCACTCAATCCGAAGTCGGCCAGCTTGGCAATGAATTCATAGTCTGAAGCTGATGATTTCTTGCTAAGCAGGATGTTGTCGGGTTTGATGTCTTCGTGGGCACTGGTGAGAACTTTTGATCAGCTTATGAAAAAGACAGGATATATCAAAAACGATGGTAAAGATGCGGTAAACCTACCCGCTATATTTGCTTTCTTCGTGGTTGCCATCAGAAATGCTGATCTGATGGACCCCTTGTAGACCAATCAAAAGGCCAGACATGCTGACCCAGAACAGTTGAATCTCAGCCAGGTTGGCAGGTCGACGAACCTTAGCCAGGTAGTCGGCCAGGCTGTGAAAATTGGCCAATTCCAGCATAAGATTGTACGTGTCATTCTGTTGGAACGACCCGTAGTACCCAATTATATGTTCGTTGGTCTTGTTCTGCTCTTTCAATAGTATGAAGAGCTTTCGTTCATTCAGGTAGTAGGACCGTTTCGTGTAGGTTTTGATCACCATATGACGGGGAATACCGTTTGCCTAGAGAGCATGAGCATCAGCGAATAGAGCAACCTTATGATGGCTCAGTACCATCCCATATATATACACTCACATTGCAAGGATCATAACTGTCTGGATCAACCGTGACCCTGAAGATCTTGGTGCCTTCATTTTTGTTCTCTTTCAACAGCCGCTTCGAACCTCCTTCGAAAGGCCATATCTTTTGGGGCTGGAGCTCGGTGTCGGAAAAGGTGTCGTGATTCGGGCGCACTGGAAAGAACAGCCACTGACTACTCCTCAGCATATTGCAGAAGTCGCTGTGTCCTTTCGTATCAAAAGGAGCTGGTAGGACAGGTGATGAGAACGGAAAGTAGTGTTCACGAATGTTATGTGCGACAAGTTGGTGGTAATAGGCGACCACTTGCTTGTAGACAAGCATGGAGAAGAGCGCGATGTCCTCCTCGACAACTGTTGTCTCCACTGATATCCCGTGCTTTTGCAACACTTTGCTAATCTCGTTTCGGGTCCAGTACTTCCTGAGCAGAACGTAGGGGATGTAGCGGCATTGTTGACCTAGACCATTGATGCCGGGATAGTTGCGAGAATGACTGTCGACGTAATTGATGAATTTTACCGTTGATGTTGACGACTGCACGTCCAGACTCGCCTGCATGGCCTGCGTCGCCATATCCCGAGATGATTTGGTTGCTCGTGCGAGATGAGGGTCCACTGGAAGGTGGAAACCGACGCTGATTCCGGCTTGCTGAATTGCATCCTGCTACGGACGCATGAGTGTCTGGCCGTACAAGATGCTATGTGCTGACCAGGCTTTAGTATTCTGACCAGCGTGGATCGTCTGAACCACGGGAAATGTCAAGAATTGTCAGGATGTCTGGAGGAAGATGGTGACGAGAAGCCCGTCGGCCGTCGTTTTATCTGCGCTGAAGGAGGGGAGAAGCACAGTGATGTAGCAGGAAACCGAAATGGGAGGCGTAAGGTGGGGTAAGAAACCAGAGGGGATGGAGGAGGTAGTTAATGTGTATGGCATAGATGTACAGCCCTCAAAAGTACCTGAGGTGGCCATGGAGGCCTTCTGATACTTATGTACCTAGCTTTGGGGGGCGGCCGAGGAATTGTCCACAGAGCTCATCAGCCCGGCCTGCTGGGTCGCGGACTGGTTCGCGACCCAGGTCCATTACTTTTGCTCCTTCTCAGTCTGGGTACCATCAGCCGCGCTCAGCCTCCGAAGGGGCATTCTCATGGGCTGCCCATGCCTGTGCCACAGTCCACAGGCCTGGGATGCTGGGTTGGAGACTTGTAAGGCATATGAGGGGTTCAGGCCCACCACCCCTGTTAGGATGCGTGATTTGTTCTGAGTGACGTGCTTCTTGTGTGTCTTACGCCGCTAAGGCCGTTCATCAAATGCAGATCTTCGATATTGACGTGCCGCCGCAGTGCCTGCCTTCTATCACCTCTCATGTGGTTGGCTCGCAGAACCTTGAAACTAAGTGGTGCGACGACTGGTGCCTGCCACGATGCGCTACAGCGGGTTACACATTGGCAAATGTTGATTGACGGGTAGTTGTATAAAGAAGATAACCAAAGCTATATAATAGGACAATCTATCTACCTAGAGTACAATGAGCACGCGCTACGTTTTCTTAGAATTATCCCTGGACAGGGCGGTAGCTTGCTCCGGATCACCTCGCCCTCGACGTTGCTTGGCAGCCCTGGACCACAGCAGCCAGCTCGTCAAAGTGACAACCGTCATGGGGATGCAGATAACGAAGAAGAGCTTCAGTCCAGAGGTGTTTGTGGTCCACTCGTTCCAACCGCCCTTACTGTCTTTGAAGTCAAGGATGTTGCTGCTGAAGAATGCCTGGCTTTTTGTCAGAACAGACATGTCCAGTCGGCGCAGAAAGGGCATGCCGTAGTATCTCACTGCAACGAAAGTGGGGGGCAAGAAGACCAATGTCAGAATCGTGATTGCATGCATGGAAACCGTCTCCTTTTTGGTGTCAATCGCAAGTTCGTGCATCCTCTCCGTCCACGCTTCCATTTCGCGCGCAGACTTCTGGGCCGATGCAGCAAAGTATTCGCCCGTTTGCATACTTTGGTACTGCAGGATGCCGTTGAACTGAATGTTGATGACGATTAGCACAGATCCCAACGAGGAGATGCGATATCCCTACCATGTTCTCGTCTTTCTCCAATTTGTGAAGCAATGTGAGCACTCTCGAGGTGTAGTTTTCTAAATCGCTTGTAACGTTCCGGACTTGCTGGAAGAAGTACAGGACCTCTTGCTCGCAGCTTGCTAGGTCAAGGTGTTTCTTCAAACCATTGGAACATATCAAGTCCTTGTAGGTTGATGTTAGCTCTGACAGGACCCTTTTGTTTTGCTCGAAGACCATCGTTGTTTTCTCTACGTCTGAAGCCAATGCATGGAGCTTTTTGAGTTCTTCATAAGTGAAAATATCCTCAAGCTTCACATCTCTGATCCTGGTCGCCTCTGGCTTTGGTTGTTGTACCGGCTGTGTATCATTTCTAATTCGGAAACTCTGAGAAAAGCTGCTGAATCTTCGCTTTAATGTCTGTAAGGGCGAGTGTTGAGCTGGGTTTTGTGAGATGCCTGTGCCCCGTCTTGAACTTGGTCCGTTCTGGTTTTCGAGAACCTTCTCCCTAATCAGAGGGATCTGGGTGACTACATCATCAACAGACAAGACCCTCACTTTCTTTGTCAAGGTTGCTGCCCGAGACTCGAGTGACTCGATATACTTCCCGAGAGACTCCGTGCAGTATTCCACAAGCATGGTGAGTATCCTCAAAGACTCAACAAACGCACTCTCTGCCGCTTCCTGGGTCTGATTCCAGGTCTCTTGTGAAGATTCCATTGCACTTCTGACGCGTTTTTCCATCATGTTATTTGCCTTTACGATTATCCAGGCCGTGGTACCAGTCTTGATATTCAGCGAATGACAGACTGTAACATGTCGCAACTCCCATGACTCTGGACCTTTTCTTTGCGCGAACTCAAAGCCGAGTAGGTTGAATGCATGCTGGTACTGAACACCAGAACGAGCTGAATCACAAATCAGGTCTGTAGCTTTGTGATTCACCAGAAAATGCTCGTGGCGAAACCGAGTGCTATTGAGGGGATCTTCTCGTTGCTTCAACTCAAAGAAAAGATCCAAGGCGGATGGTATAATTTGATGACACGACATGATATAGCCGAATTGCTCTCTTGAACAACGCAGCGGGCCGCGAGATGTGTCTGTTCGCAGACAACTAGCACATTTATCAGCTATTATACAAAGTCTCACGGAATAGTGGAATGGAAATTTTACATAAATTGTTGTTGTGGGCATGGTGCCATAGGTCCCATGCACTGCTTCAGCTGATTGAGATCCGAGTCTTCGATCCTTACTTCTGTCGGGGGACCTAGTCGACAACATGTGAGCAATCTTGTCTGCGGGCGTGTCACTGACTCCAAACAAACCATTGTTGCCATTCTGGACTGTCAATATGGTTATGAGTCGTCTATATGAATGGAATATCTCGGCCTCGAGGAGGGTATCATGGTATTGTCTCAATGCGTCTCTGAATTTGTGCGTCCGCAACAGATTCTCCGGGTACGACTCGAAGTCTCGGCAGGATCTTTCGATTGCCGCGGTCTGGTCATTGTCGATGGACATGGGACAAGCAAATGGTGTGGGCCCAGTGTGTGGGGATGGTGGACGCATCTGGCCAGGATTCGAGATGTGTGGCAGCGATTCTGCAGGTCTAGGTCGCTGTTCGGAGCGAATGTCCGTCGGCTGTAGAAATGTTCATTGAAAAGTTGAGCAGAAAACGTGCACATATACTTCCTCACTGCTCGCCACAGGCCTGTGATAGCTGTGATAGAGCGAGACGCCTCACTGACTGCCGAAGGCTTCGCGTTGTTTCGTGTACCGTCACAGCTGGGATCAAAGGTGCTAGGGGTAGCGCCCAGGTGTCGTGCACTTCGACACGAGTATCCCACACCGAGACGGTACCCGTGTTGTGAGAGGCCTCCCCCTGGTTTCTTACCGAAATATCTTTGAGCAGGGCAGATATGCCATGACCCCTTAAGAAATACTGGGAAAAAGAAGAATGCCTTCTGGCTGCCTTGACCTTAAAAGGGCGCCTTGGGTCCCGGACGGTGGGTGGCGTCACATCTCGCCACATATCGAGGCCGATGCGGGTGAGAGTGAGGCGGAGTCCTCGTCACACCCGGGACTGGGTGTCATGGCTTCACTACGGAATTGCACGCGACCTCCATTTACGGTTGAAAACGGCTTGGCTATTCGAATCGTGATACAGTCTTAGCTAAATGACCTGTTTTGCCCTCCAAAGAAACCTCCTTCCATCTGATCCACCACCTTTGAAATCAAACCTTGGTACGTATATCCTCCTAAGACGAGACATCACAGTCATCAGATCATTCGCACAAGCATATTGCTCTTGGTCCCTCAATCATCATCTGCAGTTCTATACCGAACCTTCTCGTAGAGCTCTCTTTTCTCCCTCTATCCAGAAAATAGCATCGTCAATGTCAGCAAGCAGTACATGCCGGGCGCTCGAGAGTTTAAGAGTGCTTACATCAGTGAGCTCTCTGGGGATAGTCAACCCCCAGCTGTCGTCGGGCAGTCGCTATAAATATGTTCTTAGCTGTCAAGGACTGTCGTGGGTCGTGTGTACCTTGGAGTCCGCCCCTGAAAGGGTGGCTGCCAAGGCAGATTGCCCAGAGTGACTAACCCGAACCTCAATCTGCGACCTTTCGGGATCGTTATAAAATAGCTCATTTTTGAGGTACTTTTCAAGGTCATCGCATAAGATGCGATACCCTGAGACTGAATCACTTTTCATTTTCGGGGGTTCGAGGCGACTGTGGGCTTGAAGCTAATCTCATTGAGGCACTCAATCGTGGCGATACCTCACAGAGTCAGCTGGCAGTGGGGACTACGCCCGACTGAGGTGGGAGGCGATGCAAGACACACGCTAAAAGGCTCTCGTGTAGGAGCACGGGATGGACCCATGGAGGGTACAAATCCCATTATATAGAGCGGTGACTCCGAGAAGAATCTCATTACATCATGCAATGTTCCCGGAGGGTTGAGGCTCCTCGAGATCCACGGACATTCTTCACGGCCCGGCGCGACAGCCGTAGGGACAGACCACCAGGGGAGACTCAGTGCCAGAAGGACTGAACATGATCAGCAGAATCGAACTGGGAGGGGTAGTTTTGAGCCTCATCAGAGTCAAGCTAGACACCCTCTTCAAGGCCATGCCTATCCACGAGGACACCACTCCGCCCGCTTATTGGTGAACAGGGTGTGCCAGCAGGATAACTCATGCAAGAGCGGGACGCGGTCGCCCAATCGTATCGAGCCCAGCCTTGTTACTCGACGGTACTGGTCGAGTCTTCGGTTAAAGTGCAGAAATGCTGCACGTCCTGCCAATGGGAGCGCCCTGGTGCGACAAGCGAGCACGCCCCTCGACGCCGATGGGGGCGCTTCTCGCCCTACTTTGGCGGGACTGATTAGGGACCAAAGAACCGCAGGGCGTGACACCCAATAAACACGTTCATCAGCAGGGGGGGTGTGTTGTGTAGGTAGAGATCTGAGACCGGTGAGTGCCAGTTGTCCTTGGTGGCACCAGGCTGACAAGTGAGCTAACAGAAGTACTTGTCTACCCATCAAGCCCATCGGATTTAGGTAGTGGGATAACCCTTCCGAGTTCTAGGGCAAGGATGTGACAAGGATATTGATTGTTAAGATCGAGGTAGCTCCTGATGAACTTCCGTCAACTATTCAGACGCCCACTTGGCTAAGTACCCATCCACCCGCTGATGCGATAGTTATCACTCCCAATAAAAATGCATCCCCAGTGACGTTGCATCGCCAATGCCAGGGCAGGGCCGGGGGCGCGGCTGGCCAGGCTCTACTTGGACAGTATATGCTTAGCCCAGCATGGGTCCCCTTGGAGAACCGACCCCCCTCGAGTCCCCAGTCATCAAACAGGTGGCTTTGTTCAGAAGGCCTCGGAAATCATATATTCACTTGTGTTCTACCTGGCAGGGGAGGCATATTTTGCAGCAGTCTATCTATTGGAGCTTAGATACATTTGAGTTTGTGTATACAGAGATTGGTTCATCATTGCCAGGATGGCACCTGAGGTGACATGGTGAGGGGGGAAAAAAGAGAAGGAGAAGAAAAGAGAAGAAGAAGAAAAGACAAATGAAAAATAAAGGGGAACAGGAGAAAAGGAGGGCTTTCTACGCTACCAAAAGAACTTCCGGGACTCCTGTTAAGGGCGGCCCAGCCAGGCAGTCCTGAGCCACCTCAGTTGAGCCAGGGTACTAATGCAATGCGTCCAAATGATCAACCTGTGTCCATGGATGAATCAGATAGTCAGGAGGTTCTGGAGGGCGCCGAGGATTCCTTGTCATCGCTCTACCACTCCAAATAAAGAGCGGTGCTGCGACAATTAGAGAAGTTTCCATTGAAGCGCAACCACGGTCGAGTTAAACGCCAAGTCACATTGGAACACGCTGGCAAGTAGTAGCAATATATTGACCAATCTTCAAAAATCATTCTTTGCATTCTTTCTTCTTCCCTTTCGTCATGATGAACACCAAATTGCTGTGAGAGAACGCGATACATCCCACTGATATCATGTGCGCCTGGATGCGCAAGGTCGCGACCAAAGCAAATCGCAAGATCGAGCATCTCCGTCATCGCCCTCCGTCACAAGCGCCTCGGGAAACACCCAGAACTCCATTCAAGCCGCCGAACACATGGAGAGGGCACACAAGCCACCCGCGGCAATGTTCCTGCATGTTTGGCGACACAGCCGCAGAGAAAATGGATCCTCTCATCCTTGCCGCCCACCACAACCTCACTGCAAGTCGCCTCTGCCGCCTTCCAGAGGAACTCTTGTTGGAGATAATGTGTCTTCTCTTTGACTCGGATCGGTCAAGCCTTCAATGTCTCCGACGAACATGCCGTCTTTTCCTTCGCCTGTATCACTCTCCCGAGTTCAGCAGTTGCCATGATGTCCAAGACCGGGACCGTGACGACTCATTGTCAATCAAAACATTTGTACCATGGTACGGACCAGAGCCACAGTGCAGACCTCAGGAGCCTCTCGATGTGTATCTCGAGAGGGATCTAGAGCAATACTGTCAAGATTGCCGCCTCGCTCGCACGGACCCTACGTGGAGCGTAAGGATTGCATCCCTGACGGAGGAAGTGATGCATTGCTCGGGGTGCGGGTACGACCACCCACGAATCCTTTTCTCCGCCAGGCAGCGCAAGACGCCAGCCCAAAAGCGGATCTGCATCGGCCGAGAAGGTTCCATGAGAATATGCGAGCACAAGTTCATTGAATGGCATGATGTGTCTAAGATGGTTTCCAGCATCGAACGATCCAAAAGTGACCGGTTTGTCGAAATCAGACTGCACGGATGCAACCATGTCAGCCATCATCCAAGACACCACGAGTGGCGGTCACCAGAAACTCTCAATCAGCCATTCTGCCTCAGAGCTGTTGTGACCGGAAGTGAGAAGACCTGGATTGATCTTCGTGTAAAGTGGCACGGGCATATGGACATGTCAAATTTCCCGTATTCCTACACAGGAGATGCAAGAGCAGCGACACCGACGGCCCTTTGTGCAAGGCTTCGAGAGTTCCGGAAGTGGGCACCTCGCTATATTGCACCCGAGTTGCCTCCAGGTGTTTTGCCCGAGATGAACTTGCTCGATCCGAATTGCTGCGCCTGCCTACATTACGAGGGAGCCGGGCGATTACCACCTGGATGGGTACTTACACCAGTACACGAACTATACTGGCTGGCTTGTCGAACGGATCCTAGGCATCGTTTACAACCTCTGCGTCAAGAGCAAACAGGTCAAGAGAACGTCTCCAAGAAGCCTCTTACCTCGGCCCACATGACATCGTTACGATACCTAAGCTCTGGAAATCGGGTGCTTTCCAAACTCGAGCTAGGTATTGAGGGATGCCAGGGCGGCGGTCAGTGTCTGCAGATCCAGTATGAGAGGCATATTTTGCTCGAAGCTTTAGAATCCGATGGTCACCGAGACGGTTGTCCGACCTTGGCATGGTGTCAAGCTCTTGATCCGGACTCGTACAATCTGACTGATGACGCAGAGAGCTTCGGGGTAGTCTGGTGCAAGCAGGTCGGATGCCGAAACTATTATCGCTATCTTAGAAAGCCGGCGGTGGGCCTCAAGTCAGTGAACCAGGAGTGTCGAAAAGCTTGTCCAAGCTAGGCGTTCGGTAGGGGAATACAGGTACAAAGAGCGCTCTTGGTCTTAGAAGTGAATTGTATTGCAGATTCTGCTGAAGATGCACCCCAAAAAATATTTAACACAACACAGAAGGCTCTGATGCATGGCCTCTCCGAGACACGCCCGACGACTGACCTCGCTCGAAGCCTGAAGATTGGCCAGTGCCACCGCTGCCCGGGGCCCCGGTCCAGACAGGAATGCTACTGCCGCTGCCACTGTCACTGGTCATGGCCTTAGGATTGCCCATGTCCTTGCCCTTGCCTTTGCCGTTGTCCCTGACCTGGCCCTCGTTCTCGGGAACAGGCGACTCTTGTGCTGCTGTTGCTGTTGCTGGCGCTGGCGCTGGTGCTGGTGCTGCCTGGCCCTTGGACATAGAGCCCTTGGCGAGGCCTTCGGCATAGCCCTGGTGGTTTCCGCCCCGGTGACCAAACCAGAATGCTATCAAGCAGGCACCCATGCTGATGGCGAAGGCGACACTGACGAATTGGGCCACAGCATAAGCTGTGGGAGACTCTGGGCAGGTCGGGCACGTCGGGCAGGATGGGCAGGATGGGCAGGATGGGCAGGATGGGCACGTCGGGCAGGTTGGGCAGGCTTGGCAGGTCGGACAAGCACGGAGGATCTCGGTGCCAACGTGAATGGCGGAGAGCAGGCTCTCGTCGTGCGGAGTGGTGGTGGCGGGGGCGATGGTGGAGACGGAGGCGATGGCGGACGAGGGGCCAGAGGAAGAGGCGGCGACAACGGTGGGAGAAGGCGGCGGGATCGGAGGCGGCGCAGCCGAGACTTGGGTAGCGGCCACAAAGGTGGCGATGACGATGGCCACGAGGGCCAGGAAGGAGAAGGGACGCCTGCGTGTTTTAGAAGATACTCTCGTCCACAGGAAGTCATCATACTTACATCTCTGTTGTTGCTGCTGCTTCTGCTGCTGCTGCTGCTGCTGCTGCTGCTGCTGCTGCTGCTGCTGATCGTGATGGTAAAACTTGAGGGTTTGGTAGTTGAAGAACTTGGGTATTTAACCTACGCGTTGGTGGCCTGCAGGGGCACATCGCACTTGCCCTTTGAATAAGACGCGTTAGCATTGTGCTTCTCGCGCCTGACTTATCAATGACTTATCAATTGAAACGGGCAGGAACAATTGACTTGTCAATAACTTTCCAATTGAAACGAGCAGCAACAATAGCATGTAATCGGGCTCATAGGTCAATCCACTAAACAACATTCTGTCGTAACTTGTTCAGATTGCAGTGATTCTCCTCTCAAGTCTAGCATGACCGTGTCCATTGATCCCAGTTGACTGGGTGTTGTAGATGCAGCACGGTGGCCAACAGACATTCTCCCACAGGAGCCTGTTCGGCCACTACCTTGTTCATGGGCTGGAGCACGATGAACGGGGGATGTATCATAGCCGTAGTCATCACGTTCCTCATTCTTCATGTCCGTGCTCTTAACATCGTGGTGTTTTGTGCTCTCCCTAGGTAACTAGGCTGCAGGCATCATCATGGTGCCTGCGTAAGCTTCCAGTTCATGTTTCAAAGGCGGCGCGGTCACTCATCATTTCTATGCCACCAAGAGAAGCACCGACAGTCTTGTGAAGCGCGACAGCGAGTTAGCCCTCAGTCCGCTCCTATAGGCCAGGGGACTCAACGATATCTCTACCAGTTTTGCTGTCTGCATCTGCTCAAAGGCCTTTGGAAACGAACCTTGGATCTGACATATTGAAATGTTCATATGCAAGACTGCCCTGTATGATGTTTGTAGCAACATCGCCCTAGATTTGTTGATCGCAAGGAAGTCAAATCAATCAATTCAAGTTACGACTTTTCAACTAGAAACGTGATAATCTCAAGACCCAACGCCTCACCTTCCAGGTATATCGGGACTGCTTTCCCTCAGTTATGTTGACTGTAAACGACTACACTGAGAGAAAGTTGCTCTTTAGCTAATGACTTGAAGCATAAACAGTGGAATAAGAGCTGATATTGCAACCTCCGTTGGACGTAGGGTTTTGCTGAGAACAGAAGGGTAGATGCATGGGCTTTGTGTAGTTTGCATGGCACGATTCTTCTCCTCATTACCTTTCTCAGCTCTCTGAATTGCAGCTCAAACCCATGTCAGCACACTATCTGCTAGTGCCATGGTGATGAGGGTTTACAGTAGTCAATCTAGTACAGTGCTTGCATACATATATCAAGTAAATACCAACCCCAAAAGTTCCCTTCAGCAATTTCCTCCCCCGTGCATAAGAATGAGCTGATACGGTCTTAAGCTGAGCCTGAGCCTGCCTGAGCTGGCGTAATCCTGAGTCCTGGCTAGGATTCCTTGGGGCATTCCAAAACCCCCGACTGACTCATGGACACATTATGGTGGTAAGGCTGAGGCTTCTGAGTTGATCATTAATTAAGTTTCTGGACCCTGGAGGCATCCATGGAAAACATCAAGTTTGCGATGCTATTTTGAAGGACTCACCTCTATTAAAACCCAAGTAACCTCCAGCCTTGCCCATCCAATGTCTTCAATGCAGCTTGTAAGTCAGTATCTGGATTTCCAAACTACCCATTCTCTCATACAGGATATTTCGGCGTTATGGGAGCAGAATTTCAGTTTGAGACACCCAGGCAGCTGTGACAGCTCCTGTGGGCTCTGCCTTGGATGGATATTCCGGGAGACAGTGGCCTCTCAGCTACGCAGTTGCAGTGTCTACTCACTGTCGCCCAGCCATAACTGGACCCCCGCTACATTCTAACATACTTTGCATATCTTCCACATGAAGTTGAACTACTAGCCCTGCAGAAGATGGCCACATTATTTGACAGGCTGTTAGCAGAAGTACCCGACTATCTATCAAAAGCCATGGTTCTAGCTAATGGGTAGCTCTTGTGAGTTCCTGATCCGCATGCACAAGAGGGATATCACAAAAGAACACTTACTGCGCGGATTGCCATGGCCATAACCATGAGCCCCGATTACTCGCTTCGTATCCAAATTAGGGAGGTCGCCATCCCACTGCCTAGTTAAGGAAGGTGTTCATATTAACCAGTTATTTACAGGGTTGTTATGCAGGCACTCCAGGCACGTAACCTGGTCCCACTTCCATTGCGCACGTACAGGGATGCTTCAATATTTTCACCAACCTCAAATGCAAACAAGACTTGATCTTGTACTTTGAAATTTATTGTTGTCCTCCGCCTCAACAATTGTCTGTTTGCTAGCCGCCCTGCTAATATGAAGCCTCGATCACTATTCGCAGCATGCTCCCTGGCTGGATTAGCTATGGGCCAATGTGGCTCCGAAAAGCCTGCGCCCGAGGCTCTTGTTGCAGCACGTAGGCTCCATGCTGAGCATGAAGCGGCCCAGAACGCCGGCTTGAGCAAGCGAGCTGATGACGGTTTGCTAATTTCGACATACCTTCACGTCGTTGAAACGCAGGCCGAGGCAGGCTATGTCACCGATGCGATGCTGGAGGACCAAGTAAGCTTTCGGACAGCAGACAAGTTCAACTGAAACGCCATTTTAATGCAAAAGGCAGATGAGAGTGCTGAACGAGACCTTTTTGCCACACAAGATCCAATTTGTCGTCAAGAATGTTACCCATACTGTCAATGACAAGTGGGCCGCCACAACTAGGTTGAGAGAGAAGGATCTGGCCCTTCGCCAGGGGGGTTACGATGAGTTGAATATTTACTTCGAGACCGGTCTGATGAGGAACGGATCTGCAACAGGCATCTGCGGCTTCCCTGTGGAGGATCCCCTCAACGATGGCATCAATGGCACTTCTTGGTCCATCTACGATGGATGCCACGTTAGCCCTGGTACGATGCCTGGCGGCAGTGGCACCTACTTTAATCCGCACGATAACAAGGGCAAGACAGCCACGCATGAGGTCGGGCACTGGTTCGGCCTCTTTCATACATTTGAAGGGTTTTCGTGCGCGGGTGAAGGCGACTTTATCGACGACACGCCCTTTCAGATCACCGCCACTGTCGGCTGCCCCGACTCTCTCGACACCTGCCCAGACCAGCCGGGTTTGGACCCTATCCACAACTACATGGACTATAGCAGCCATGATTGGTATGTCGGAGAGTATGTCAAAGAACCATTATTGATGTAGCTACTGACCGAATGTCAGTTTACACGAGTTTACCCCGCTTCAGGAAGCACGGATGCATAGGTCGTTCAACACGCTGAGACGAGGGAGATCGTTCCCGAAGCCGCCTAGTTAAGAGTGGCTCTGGAGCAGGACTGAGGACCAGGGGCGTTGTACCGAGGGCGAGGCTTATCTGAGAGTCGTAGCTACAGTCACTCGCACACATGCACTGCTTCTGAACTTACAATCAATTGCAATCTGTCCTCCCAGGATTCGCAAACAGGCTAGCCAGGCCGAATTCCATGGTTGAAGGAAAGCTGGGCCGTTTCCGACGGATGTCACATCCATTCATGGGAAATGTGCTCTTTCCTGTGTACTAAAGCCTGGCTTTGCGCCACTTTCCGACCAAAATATCGACCCTTGCTCTTGCCCTGCGATGAAATGGTGAGATGCTCCGCCTGACCTTCAAAGCGCTCCCTTTCATCACGATTAGTTTTCCATCCCATTCGTACTGACAGCATTCGCGGCCTGACTTCCTACCATCAAGAGGATTACGCCTATGGATGCCACGCGGGACGGCGATGTGCCGTCAAACAACTTCTTGGAAAGGCTATGTATGGCGTTTATCTCCCTTCCTCCTGGTCAGTACAGTGGTCAGTACAGTGGACTGCAATGGGAGTTGAGAAAACCGGCTGCAGAACCCGAGGAGCATGAAGAGTATGAAGGAACCGAAGAGGCCAAAGCGCACGAGGAGCCAGAATCTCTGCCAAACGACGACAGCCCCAACGAATGCGCACAAGAAAATGAGGATAGCAAACGACACGAGTCGGAACTGGACGCGCTGCGAAATCCCTGGAACGAAGCATACACCAGAAACCTGAACGAGTCCCGCTTCTGTGCACTTCCACCCGAGCTTATCCGAAGGGTTGCTCTCCATATGACGCCCAGCTCAATCTATTTCTTTCGCCAAACTTGCCGTCTCTTTCTCTCGCATGTTGAAGAAAGGACGTTCCGTAACTCCATTAGAAGCGTCCACTCCGACCAACAGGGTAGCATCTGGCACAGATTGTGGCTGAACATTCCTCGATACGAGACAGTGTCGGAGGAGACGCAAATCCGGGATATCACCCAGCGCATGCTTCTGTGCAAACCATGTCGGGATTTCAGGACTTCGGGGGAAAGAGACCTCGTGCGAGGGAATTTTCAACGGACAAAGTTGTACTGCCACGGGTGTCAAAAGGAGCACCCCAGGATATTCTTTTCAAAGGAACAAAGGGAGCACAGTAGCCCGCAATGCTTGGGCAGAGAAGGCGTTGTTCGCCTCTGCACACATTTGGCGGTATCCTGGCACGATCTTGAAATGCATCACAGATATGACGATCCAAAGGTGTTCCAATGCACTGATAAGTCGCACCACCTCAGCCCCAGGCAGCAGACCGAGGTAGGACAGATCTCGTCAGACTGGGCCGAAAACAAATACTTCCCCACCATCGCAGCGACTTTCAGAGGCAACAAGGGACGGCAGCACAGTCCCCGGGACGTTCATCTGAGCTGGCAAGTCATTCCATTTGAATTGCCCCTCATCCCCAAGTTCCCCACAAGTCTACACGCATTTCACCGAAAGGTTCAAGAGTCAATGGGGGCCTCGACAGTCTCGCTCTGCCCCCACAAGACCTATGAGGACACCTCTATGCTATGTGCATTCGACCCGAATCACTGCGTATGTTTCGGGAGACAGATGGTCAACGACCACATCATCCCGCGGTGTTGCTATTACAATACCTGCTGTGCAAAGCACCTCGAAGCTCATGAGTGCCGGAATCCCCTGGAGGTGCTTCCAGTTGCCAACCCATGCAACGGAGACAGGTGCTGGACCATACAGCATCGCACTCAAGTCCAGCATCGCTCGATCTGTCGCGATTGTATGACCGAGTATTCTTGGTCACGGCAAGGCGAACAGATCAAGCTGCGAAGGACCTCGGACTTCACTGCCAAGACGCCATTGGATCCAGAATGGCTGTGTCTCTTGGACCCAGGCTCGATCGACTTTCAAGACCCGGAGACGGAGCATTTTCTGTGGTGCCGCGACGGCGATTGCGCCATCTCGAAGAGGGACAAGACCTGGCTAAGAGCGCTCACCGACACGGTCGACAAGGAGCACGAGCTTCGCGAACCCTATCTTGACCGCCTCTATTCCACTTTCTACCAGACGCTGCGTCTCTCGCGGCAGAAGCATGATGCATCGGGTAAACTCGTCTTCAAGTCGTCGACAAGTATAGGTGATATCGAGTACTCATAAGGGAAATGAAAGATAAGCTGAGGTTCAAGTTCAGTTTGGGAGTTTCTTCGTCATAATATAATTGCAAACTCGCTTGCTGTTGTTGAGTGACCAAGCAACGTCTGTTGGAAGCTAAAAGTATGTTTATTATCTCTGTGCTTAGGTCTAGTCAATACCTGTAAATATTGTTAGAAATTCTCTGTTGCCTTTACGCCACCTGGGGATGTCGGCTCTGTTGAGAGAAATCTGCACTGTGTGCAATCTTTCGGCTTGCAATAATGACACGAATCAAGTAGAGGTGAGGGACCGTCCAACCCAGGAGATCCCTGCTCGTTTAATCATTCCAAAAGGCTATTACTTGCCAGAACCCATGTTCTTTCAACGCAGGTGACGGTACCTGGTGAGATTCGACCCACCAAAAGTCGCCTAGCGTCATGCTGGTAACTGAGTAATCTGGGAGAGGCTTCGGTATCTAGCAAATGAGAGAGCTGGGCAGGAGTAAGGTGCCTGATGATCCATGCATAAATACCTAATCGGAACCCCTATAGCGGGCTGGGCCGATGTAACCAATCGTGCTCAATAAGCTACAGCACGCCACAAATGCAACAAATCTGATGGCCGACGGAATGAGGGGTCAGGATCAAGGCCACGAGAAGGCTCTGCCGTAGGATCGTCCGTCGACGAAGTATAACATATAAATGGCAAGATCCATCCCGGTATCAAATCATGCTGGGAAACTTAGTGCAAGCTATCCGGCAGACCAGTGCCCTTTGATTATTTGTCAGTCTTCACACCAGGATGAAGGACTTTACTATCCTCACCATCTTTGTGGGCTTGGTGTGGGCTACACCCATGCCAGAAGTACACAATGAGGCTTCACAGGCTTTATCTTCACGCCAGTCTACTAGTTTTTGGTACCCCAATATGGACCATACTGGGCAGTTTCGTGGATTTGCCCCTGACCTTGATGGGGACTTCAACTACCCTGTTTTCAAAGCTGTAAACCCTGGTGACGGCGCTTCTATCCAGGCCGCGATCAACTCCGGAACAGGAAGTGCAACTAGGCACCCGAAATGGCTTGCATCTCAGCCAAGAGTAAGCAACTCACCAGGCCCGGGTTTTGAAAGGGGGTACTAACTACAGGGTTGATAGGTCGTTTACATCCCACCGGGTACCTATACAATAAGCAAGACAATCTATATGAATACAGACACTATCCTCATGGGTGATGCAACAAATGTCAGTGTACACTTGGAAATAGGCAGAATTATTGGTTGACAGTTTTCTCAAGCCTCCGATCATCAAAGCTGCGGCCGGGTTTTCCGGAGAGCAGACATTGATCAATGGTAATTTGATGTCCTAGCACACTTTAGTATTTTCTCAAACAATGTGCTGATCCTCTCGTAGGTCGAGACCCGGCAACGAATGGCAATGGTGAAGAGTCCTTTGCGGTTGGGCTGAAGAACCTGATCCTCGACACTACTGCAATCCCAGGAGGCAAGTTCACGCGTCGCCTCATACGACAATCATAGACCATAGTGCTAAATGTAAACAGGCAACGACTTCATTGCGCTCGGATGGGGGGTTGCTCAGGTGGCACAGCTTCAGAACATCAAGATCACAATGGCTTTCTCCGTCAATGGCCGTGGACACACCGGCATCCACCTCGATCGCGGGTCAACCCTTGGCCTCGCCGATGTCCGAATTGAGCGCGGTCAGGTGAGTCATCGCATCAAAGCCTTGTAAAAACTCTCAACTTATCCTAACACGGCTCCCAGAACGGTATCTGGCACGATGGCCACCAGCAAGCGCTGTACAAGAGCATTTACTTCTTCCAAAACACAGTGGGAATCCTCATTAGTGGTGGCAGCACGATCAGCATCATCAACCCAACGTTTGATACCTGCGGGACTGGCGTTCGCAACACTGGCGGGGCCCCCTGGATTGCCCTGATTGATGCCAAATCCGTCAACTCCGGTGTCACATTTGTCACCACGGGCTTCCCATCCTTCCTGATCGAGAACCTCAGCAAGGACACCAACTCGGACATTGCTCAAGTTCCCAGCGGCACCGTCCTTGGCCCCCAGAGCCATGTCGACACCTTCTCATACGCCAACACGGTCGGCCGCAACCCGATCTACGGCCCCACGACTTCGACCAACTCCCGGCCCGCGGCGCTGGCACCAGGCGGTAGATATCCCGCCATCCCGGCGCCCAACTACGCCACGAACCCAGTCTCGGACTTTATCAACGTCAAGGACCCAGCCCAAAATGGCGGGCACACCGTTTTGGGTGACCACACGATCGACGAAGCAGGCGTCCTGAACCAAGTCCTGCAGTTCGCCGCCAGCAACAACAAGATCGCCTACTTCCCTTTCGGCAAGTACCGCGTCGACTCGACCCTCCTCATCCCGAAGGGATCGCGTATCGTTGGAGAGGCCTGGGCCACCATCACCGGCAACGGTGCCTTCTTCAAGGACTCGTCCAACCCGAAGCCCGTCGTCGCCGTCGGCAACGCGGGTGACGTCGGCACTGCTCAGATCCAGGATATGCGCTTCACCGTGTCCGACGTGCTGCCCGGCGCCATTATCGTGCAGGTCAACATGGCCGGCTCCGCTCCGGGGCAGGTCGCCATCTGGAACTCGCTCATCACCGTCGGCGGCACGCGTGGTGCCTCGGCCCTGACCAACGCGTGCCGCAGCGGTACCAACGAGTGCCGCGCCGCCTTCATCGGCCTGCACCTGGCGCCGAGCTCGTCGGCATACGTCGAGAACCTATGGAACTGGGTCGCTGATCACATCACTGAGCAGTTCGACGGCGGGAACAACATCGCGGGCAAGGGCGGCGTGCTGGTCGAGGCGACCAAGGGTACTTGGCTGCACGCCCTCGGCAGCGAGCACTGGTGGCTGTACCAGCTGAACTTCCGGCGCGCGAGCAACGTGCTTGTTTCGCTGCTGCAGAGCGAGACGAACTACGACCAGGGTGATCTGGTGCAGCAGACGCCGCCTGCTCCCTGGACGGCGGACGTGACAAATTGGGGCGACCCGGACTTCTCGTGGTGCGGCGGAGGTGATACTCGTTGCCGTATGGGGTTCGCGAACTACATCAATGGCGGCTCCAATATCTACACTTACGCCTCGGCTTCCTGGGTGTTCTTCAAGGGCCAAGGGCAGCTTTGTACCGGGTCATTTGAGTGCCAGAGTGAGTTCACCCATGGTCTTGCTGCGTTCAAAGCTAACATGACAAAAAGATTTCATGCACTGGATTTCTCAGACACCGAGCAACCTGCAGGCATTCGGTCTCTGCTCCAAGGATACTTGGACAACGCTACGCCTGGCGGACGGGACGAACATCGTCACGCAGAATGGTTTCACGGGCTCCTGGTCTCCGAACGGTGGTGACGTTGGCCGGTATACGCCTTAGTTATGACTGACCAAGCCAGGGTGCAGTTGGCCTTGCTAAACATACCTTCTTGGGGAAGTGGTTGGACTTGCAGGCTTAGAACTGGTTCGGGGAATTTCGTCGTCAATCACTTCAATTCCGACACTCCTTTGACCTCACAGCAAGGTATTCTTGACTTGTGAGTTGCCCCTTCGACACCACTCTCAAGTGTTCTATAGGTAAAAGCTTGGTTAAAAGCTTGGTTAAAAGATATCAATTAGAAGAATATTCTGTTGGTCCTGTCGGGAATTTCAACTGATATGTAATCACGATTTCATGTGGAAACACAAGGACATCGTATTAACTCACAGCCCTAATTCAAGCGAGTTGCTGTTCCCGTATATAGAGCCGATCATCATTACCAGCGTCCCCAAGTCACCTGCATCTGCAAGCCACTTATCCCACTCCATTGGACTGAACCGTATGTCACTTTCAATCTTGTCGATCTCTGTCAGATCGCCCGTGTTTGCAAGTGCATGCACGGCAGTGTCAGCCCGGTAAAGGCTAAATTCATTGTTCCATGCCTCGATACTTCGTGCGTTCCAGAGAGTCGTCCGATTTGGGAGCGGGAAGAGCACAAGTCCGTAGCCAGCATAGGCCGGGTATAGGGAGATGGAGGTTGTCGTCTCTACCAAAAGGGCAAGGATTTGGAAGACAAGTGCAGTGCTATCATGGGCAATTTAGCACAGGCAACAGTGGAATACATACTTACCGCCTAGCTGACTCGATATATATCCATGTTTTCCAGCCCTCTCTCGGGTCCTGAAGTATGCCGCCACAGCAAAGCCTTACTACTTCCGTGCCCGATGTATCAGTAATTGCCTTTTCAAAGTTAGCGCATCCCTTCATGTTTGTAGAAATATGTAGCAGATCTCTTTACGTTGACAGTGTCCAGGAGTGAGTTATCAAGGACTGCTCGCCCAACCGGAGCATCTCGGAGTCTGAGTAAGCAGTAGACTAGCAGCGCCTGAAACGCCGCTAATAATTCCCAACGGTCGTATTGCCGGTACTGACTTGTGTCAATGGTAACTCTCGCATTGTAGGGAGACGTCGTACTCGCCTCTGCTAGGATCTTTTCCTGCTGAAAGCTCACTAGTCTCCAAAGCTCAGTCACGTCTCCCTATTTTTGGGTACTGAACAGGTTAACCAAAACGACGCAATCACGTATCGCCTGAACAGCGTGTCAATATTTGGTAGTGAGTACTGGGAAAATAGGGGAACAACTTACGCATTGCGGTGGTTCTCGCTGGGCCTCGGCTCGTTCGAAGAGTATTGGATTGACGAACGGAGGCGGCATTCCTTTTCGCAGCATCATGAATGGGTATGATCGCAGTGTTCTCAAGGCCATACACACCATCGGGCTCTGGCTCGTAGTTGTGAATGTATGTGTGTCAAAAGGAGAGGGCCCCGGCAGCTGAAGCAGCCCTAAGGGCGACAACGACCCACAACTAATAGCATCATCTCTTGTCTGACCAAACTGACTGAAGGCGTTGTCGCTGCCGCCAAAATGTCTTGTGCGTTGATCGTGTAGTGTCATAGGGCCCAAGTCGTTAAGCAAGATACCCAACGGCTTGTCTGTGGGGATCTCAAGATCTCCCACGCCTTCCTCTCGATCGACTACCGACAGGGGCTGTGAGGTCATGCTAGAGCTCTGGCTATGATAATGACCTGGTGAGAGCATCCGGTCTGTGTCCGCAGAGACCTGTATCCCTGTCAGAGCAGGGCATGGCTCGTGGCCAAGATCGGCTACGGAAGCAATCTGGTATTGGTTGGCTGCTCTGATATGGTCACACTGTAAGCCACGCTCATCACACCGGGCGCATCTTTCCGTGCTCGTCTCCATACCCCAAACGCAACGGGTCTTGGCTCGCACACAGGCAGCACAGGATCGCCTTCGGGAGGTTTTTGAGTCGGGAGGCTTGGACCGACAATAGTAATAATGTCGCTTCCAAGTTGATTCTGCCGGAGAGTTAGTGACAGGTGCACTTTAATTTCTGCAAGTAAGGCGAGTCTCATCACCTTTCACAAAAATTCTCTGACACAACGGACAAATGCGGTCGCGATCTCCTTCCATCCCCTCGCTGTGTTGCTCCTGGTCAGACATGACGACAAGGCAGAACGACTAGAGTAGTCCCAATGGAATAAGTTGCTCGATGGTAACCTTCTCAATCCCACTGTCTGCGAATTTGCTTTCCCGTATGGGTAGAAGGAGAATGGTGCTAGATGAGGGTTATGTGGTGTGTTCACGAATTACCGTGAATAGCGTGGAAGCTTAATATACAAGTCAAGAGGGCTAAGTAACTCCATTAGTCCAAGTATTGAAACGTGGATATTTGGGCCTAAATAATATTATAGTACCTAGCTATCAGTCTAAACTTATGCTGCCGACAGTCTGTGGGGACTTTGGATGGATCACCCAGTCGGCACCAATATGATCTCCTGTGATGTTCGTTCTTGATTCGGGAAGCTACCTTAATTTTCAGGAAGAAGATCCAGTTTCCCCCTATCTGCCGGTCCTGCGATGCATACTACACTAATTCGCTCCGCCGCTGATCGAAATCCACTGTGAGGTGATCCATCGGCTCTTCTCCGATACGAGCAATAACGTGGCATCCGCAACGTCATCTACGGCCCCGAAACGGGTCTCAGCGCGCGCCATCGACATGAGAGCCTCTGCTGGCGCGCTTATGGTTCCATCCGGGTTTCGAATGAAGGATAAAGACATGCCTGCCTCTATCAATCCGGGGGCCAACGTATTGACCGTGATCCCGTGGCTTCGGCCGAGCTAGGGAGGGTGAGCAGTGAGACCTGACCGGGCGAGAAGAAGATGGTGACCTTCTACATCGGCCCATGACTTGGTCATACAATCTTGGGCGGCTTTGGAAGCGGCATAGATTCCGTTGTAAGCAGCGGCGAGCTTGGACCCAGCAGATCCGATGTTGATGATGCGGCCTCCCTTGGGCATTTTGCCAACCTTGACAGCAGCCTGAATCATGTAGACAGTGTCGAAGACATTGGCTGAGAATTGCGATTCAAGCTGCTCCGGCGTAGCATCTAGAAGAGACTGCGGCCCAGTCCCTCCAGCATTGTTGACTACCAAGACAAGACCGGGTCAGTCTGATTACTGCCTTCCCCAACGCGAAGAAGACAGAAATGTTGCACTCACTCAGAATATCAAGGTAATCTGCGCCAAGGCCTTTCAGTGCTTGCTCGACCATAGCCGTGGTAGCATTTTGGTCCTGCACTGCTCCTTGCACGACAGCAGTCCTGACCCCAAAGTCCTTAGCAAGCTCGGAAGCTATCTTCTGTGCACTCTCGCGAGACTCATTTGAGACGTGATGGATCGCCACAGACGCGCCATTCTTAGCCAGCGCTCGAGCGATGCCGGCACCGATACCTCCTTCACGGCCAGAGCCAGTGACCAATGCGGTCTTGCCGGTAAGTGAAAGCGTGTCTGCGGTCATGTTTATCAGGCTTAGAAAAGATGAGATGGTAAGCACAAAGTTTTCACTATTAAATCTCCGCGCAGATTGGGGCTATTTATGCTTGAGATAAAGTAAAGTGATTATAAATACAAGTCGAATTGTCGTCAGGTTTACACGGACTTCCGCGAAGTCTGCCGACTCTTCACGGAGCACCGTGAACTTTGGAGCCGCATGCGGATCGGATCGGACTCACCTGGGTCGGCGTGCGATCCAGATTCCTGGTGAAGTCGACGCCACTTATGAATCCTTCCAAATGCTTTTTTTTGGCCTTCAACCCGAGTAAATTCCAGCCCCTTTGAAGCCACATAGCCTCGTCTGAGGGCCTTGATCTTCCAACCCATCGCACGCAGCTTATACGAAACAATGAACACAAAACGTGTATTCCAAAGACACAATGACAGTTCCCGCTAGTATGAAGTACGGCTATGCTATATTGACTACCTCGCGCCGGTGCCGCAAGGGCTCGAACGCACACTTCATACCAGCATAATCTGTCTACTCAGATAGGGGTCGCTAGCTATATGATACGTATGGCAAGTGTCCCAAGCTCCGACCTAGGAGTCCTCCTTACCGCCTTCAAGACTTCAAGCCATACCAGGCTCCCAATGCTATAGTTGTGGCAATGACCGAGCCTACTATTTTCATACGATTCATTGCTTTCTCGATCAGAGGGTCGCAGAGACTGTCGATGAACGCTTGGAACGCCTCGAGCTGATTCTTGTCCGGCCAAGGTTGGTCTGGAATATCCTTGTCCAGAAACTGGCAAATATCTTGCCATCCGAACCCCTTTTCCAAGTTCAAAACCAGCAGGTTCTCGGGCGGAATGGTGGCTTTGACGTTCGCAACACTATGTGCGAGCAGCGTTAGGGATGCGCATCCATGAAAGAGGTCCGTCACACTTACTAGTCGATGTAGTACTGTCGTGAATGTTCGAGTCCTTCTGCAGTCAGGAATCTTCCGCCCGTCCACTGGTCCAACATTCTCTCAAGAACCAGGTGGGATTCATTGAGATGAGAATTGAAGACCCGAAACAAGAACAGAGGCAGCTTCCGCCCAAGTAGCAGCCGTTGACCCAGCGTGTCTCGCCAGGAGCGCACCCACTTGTCTGGATCTCGCTCGGTCAGGATATACTTCGCCTCGGGGTATGCGGCGTAAATGTCTTCAAACATAAGGCCGGGCATCTCCACCACCGACTGCGTGATACGGGACTTTAGCAGTTTTTGATTAAATAGAAAGCACTTATATATTTATCACTCACATCATAGTTTCCCAATAGCTTGTCAAAATCTTGCCGAGTGTAGTGTCCACCTTTCTCGTAGACGACAGCATCAAGAGCTTCTCCTACAAGCTTGGCGTCTGGCGGTCCATTTTTCATCATGACAGACAGATGGTATGTGTTGAATCCCAGGGTGTCCAAGGCATTCAGCAAATTCACTGTGCCCGATCTGCAGATGTCATGAGCCTCTCATGAACTAATGTGTTGAGGTGCACAAGTATCACAATACCTGCTTAATCCAAGCCCGATGACTCGCATCGGTTGCGGACTCGCCATTGGCGGTATTCGATCGATTGACCGCGACATCACTTGAGAGTTGGCTGTTCTTCTTGAGTATATGAGAGCCAAATCTGCATCGTTATTAAAGTGAAAAGGGCGTAGGAATGTTCCTTGTTATATAAGGTCCCCATCAACACCGTGGCTATCGTACATTTATGTTTAGTCAGCGCTTCGACATCCGTCTCCGATCTGCCTCGGAGAATACTTTCGGGCCTGTGCCGCTGAATGGATTGGAATCCCAGCCAAAACATACCCGAGTCAACCCTACATGCAAGCCCTTCCGGCATTGTCTTCCTTTACAATACGTGCCTGCCGGCCCTACAACGACTGATATCCAGCCTTCTCCTGCTTCACGTACGGAGGCCTATAACAAACGGTAAGCCCCCCTGCCGGGTCCATCTCGGATTCAATATTCACCTGATCCAATTCTTTGCGCCGACAATGGCCGCCGTGCCTACGGCATACGCTCCGAGCAACCTGCTCCAACCCTGGTTCCCGTATATCCCCTGCCCCACCGCCAGCGCCACAAGATCGTACACAAGGCACCCGCCAAAGATCCAGTCGCTGCACGAGGCCACCACGCCGAACCCGACACCTGTGAGTACCTTGACCAGCGTGGACGGGCCGGTGGTCTGGTGGTCGAAGTAGGCGACCGAGGAGTTGTGCAGCAGGTCGAGCACGCCGATGCCCGCAAAGGTCTTGGCCACGACGTGGGTGAGCACTGACGTGCGCGAGCGCAGGTTCATGGGCGGCAGGCGGGCAAAGACAAAGTAGAGCTGAGCGAGGGAGTTGACTGTGACGAAGATGTTGGCGGTCTTGAGCTCGGACTGGTTCCAGAAGATCATCCACGCTATGGAGCAAGGTTAGCGATTTCGTGAAGTGGGAGGAGCGCGGAGGCGGGCTTACTGGCGATGCAGATATTCCCAAGTGAGTAGAATGGCGCAAAGTCCACCATGGTCGCGACATCGCTGTCAGTGGCTTCGGCTCCGTTGGGAGTCTTGTACAGCTTCCACAGCCAGGCGAGCTGGAAGAGCTGCTGCGGGAAGAAGAAGCCTGCGATGAAGAATGGCTGAGGCGAGAAGAACGATAGGTGGGCGTCGTGGACATCCTTCATGTTGGGGCTGCTGAGCATGCCATAGTTCTGCGCGGCAAAGTCGATCAGAAAGCTTGCTGGCGCAAGCCACCTGGCTGTCGAAAGAGAAACACCCATGTTTGTATGAGAAGGTAGAGGGCTTCCTGCGTAGATGATGTGAAAAGGGCGCGGCTTTGCGCATTCATCTGTTCAGATAAATAAACTCTTGTGTAGTATCGGCTGGTTCAAGACGAATAATCAGAACATTGATCCTGCATTAATGCAGTCAGAGGTGCGGCGAAGTGGTGATGTCAACTGTTTGCTTGAGCACTAGCGTCGGCCAACCACCGCGTCATGGATTTCTGAGACATCGACTGGACGATCCCCCTTCATAGGTACACTGCCCTCATTTTCAATTCGCTTATCTGATTGATCTAAGTCATGGCCAGCCCGAATTTACACTCGTATATGGGACATGCCTGGCCAACATATGTATTGAATCCTGATTCTAATGTTGGAAATTTGCTATTGAGAAGGATGCGATGGTGAATGAGGGCTTACACTCTACTAGGTGTGAGATGTGATCACAGTGATAATTGCATGAGAACCCTGTTCCAGTGGACTTGTTGCAGTACACTCCATACTGCAGACCACGTCAGATTAATATACTTGACTCTTAGATCTGAACTGGCATTTTCAGTTCTGCCAACTAGGCAGCACTTGAGAATAGCCTTCAATGCATCACGAACCATGTTCGGACTCCGATTTCATGTTAGCGTTGTTCTCACAGACTAAAGGCACGGCCAGATCATCGAATACTCTTTCGGAGTGAGATTGCTTGTCGTGCCGGGATGAGCTTCGTGAATGACGCCGAGTACCTTGCCGCCTCTGCATGGATATATGTAGCTTATGGCCGTGCGCGATCAACTCTCCAATCGGGCTTCAGGAACGACTGTCCGAGGCAGTTATGTCTGGAGGCGGCTTTGGTCATGCTCCGGATGAGATCCGCGAGTCACTAGTTCTCACTCGGTACCTGAATTTGAACAGCCTCACGATGTTCAGCCCGGCTTCAGTGATGTCGGGGGTGTCAGCTTACTCCACCTACCTCGCACTCCAGACTTGGCGATAGCTACAGTTGGAAGGTGGAAGAGCGTATCGGCTTTAAGTTTTCGTTTTGAGAATCAAAGCTCAAGAAGAGCTTTGACCGGGACAGGCCGGAATGTCTATATAAGCCTGCTTCGGCGATGCTTCATGAGAAACACAGGGCTATTGTCGATAACACTGAACACCAACATCCGAAGCCGCGCAACTTACCACTACTTTTCCTCAAGAAATCTCTAGGTTCAAAATGAAGTCTATCCTAGCCCTCACACCCGTCTTCCTGTCCGCAGTGTCGGCCGCTGCCATCGAGAAGCGCCAGGTCACCCAGTTCGACGTGACCAACTTTGTCGCAGGCTGTACCACTGCCGGGACCTGCTCGTAAGTGTGCTTTTGATCTTTATAAAGGCTACAAATCAGGAAACGAGGAAAACAAGAAAAAGAAATCCTACCCAACATTGCTTGGAAACATACTTACTCCATCTCGAAACAGCTGGTCCTTTGAATTCGCCGAGACTCCCGGTGGTCCCTCGTTCAGCTGCGCCGGCACCGCACCCGCCGCGCAGCCGGGCAACATCTTCCCCACGACGTCGGGGACGCACGCGTGCAGCGACCCGGCCGTCAACTTCTTCTTCCAGCACATTGCGCCGCTGAGCTCGTACCGCATCGTCGTCAACGACGTGCGAACGGTCCCAGGGATCGGCGGGTCGCACGCCTTTGCGGCCAGCGAGTTCTCGTCTGCCTCGGGCGCGGAGCAGTACGTCGGCACTGGGTCGTTTACAATCGTGCTTCCCAATCCTTAAGGATGGCTCCGGTAGCGTGGGAGCTGTGTTGGTCTCGTCCAGTCTGGGGCGGTTCGTCTCGAGCCAAAACAAAAGTTGTCGGCCCGAGGCTAAGCTCTGTCAAAGAGAATGTGGTTCAATGGTGGTCTGTTCCTGGATGCTCATTTCGTGAGGCGTTAGCTAGTCAGTTTAATCCAGAGAATTCTCATGCATCAAGGGTCTTCTGTCTCCAAATGCTAGGCACCCCAAGGGCGACCAGTAATGAGGAGGATGGATGTCAGCAGTCCTAACGCCACGTCCGTGGTCGAGAGCATTGCTAGCCCAAGAGAAGCGTAGTGTAGAGGAGTCCGGCGTCGGCATTTTCGTCGGTACCCTCCCCGTAGTTCAACCTGGGCTCATTCGCTCCAAGCCACTGCCCGCATCGCCAAGCCGCCGGCGCTGTAGCCATGACGCTGGTGGATCCGTTTTCTCACTGTGAGAAAGGACGAGAACTGAAGCACAGGCTTGGGCGAGCTTGGCAGGCCGCTTCCAAGCCTTTTCCAAGAAAATTGCCGTCAAGCCGCAATGCTTGTCTTGATCTGCTCGTTTTGACAGATTCGACTGTCGTTTCAGTCAACAACGGAAACAACAGATTATAGATTCGAGCCCTAGAGATATCTTACAATCAAAAGAGACCCAGTGTCCCTGTCGGCGGAACGTGGGGGTCATTCTTCGCAAATACCGCCGCCGCTAGCTGACTTCTGCCCTCGACGCGCGACAAAGTGCCCGCCTTGAAACGTAAGAATTTCAACTGGAGAGGGATGGGAGGATAAAGGATTATCCACCGTCTTGGCATCTAGACCGTCGCCCTTTTGCTCGCGGTCTCCTTCACGGTGGCTGTCGGCGTCCGCCCGTAACTGCGTCTGCGGGCGAGAACTCCGCCATCCATTGCGACGGGGTGCCCGTCGCAAAAGGGCAAAAGGACTGTACACTACCCCGCGGTGTGTTTGCCAAGAGGTGATCGTCACATATCCTGGAGAACAATGTGCAAGCTTGGGGCCTTGGGGCCGTTCTGTCCCTCACTCGCCCCGGGAAATTCTCTGCATCCCATGGGGCACGAGACCTCCGCATGGCACCTCCAACCTCTCTGCCCTCTCTCCAATAGTGTGGACACTGGAGGAGGTGTGATGAGGGGTCCAGGCCAATCGCGCCGAATCAGACCAGTCTAGCATGAGAGATGAGCCCATCAAGACTGGGGATCTGCACGATTGTACGACGGACCTAGCGTGCCAGTGTGTCGAGTAGCTCGTGCCCGAGAACAGTCTGAACAGAGTTGAGCTCCACGTTCTCCATTCCTAGATCCGTAGCTAGTCGGGCATGCCGCCGGGCCTATCCTACTAACCCTTCTTTGGCAGGTCATCCTGTCTTGCTCGACGGCGCGCCCATTGGCCACCCAGTAGTGCCGGGATTTGTTGATGGGAGCGGAGCCCAGCGCCGTGTAATTAGGCTTCCCCGTGGAGCATGGAACGTGGAGAAAGCCGTCTCCAGTTTGGCTCCCTGCTTTGACTCTCGGTGTGGGAGATTAGGAAAGGTGTGTGATGCTGAAAAGCTAGACAGAGAACCATCCCGCGGGAAGGATTTGGGGTATGTGCTGCGGGCGCCGTTCATTCGCTCGCTGGCTCTCAACTCGCTCAGTCGAGGGATCGATCGCCCCCAACCCAGTCCCGGGTTTTTGTCTTGAATAAGGATAACAATACGCTCTGCCTGCCCCTCCCTGGTCTTGTCTTGGCACACGCTCGTCCATCGTCATAAAAGAGCGCCTCGTCCCCCGGTCGTCGGCGAGGTTTTCTGGAGTAGTTCAGTGTCCATCTCGTCGGAGTGCTTGCCGGACGTCGACCCTTCAACACCCCTTCTCACTGACTGCTTCCCGTGCTGCACAAAAGATCAGTCACCATGGCACCCGGCGGCAAGAAACCCGTCAACGTCTTCAAGCTGCACAACCTGGGCGTGCCCAGCAATGTGTTCAACTGGCGCCTCTGGTTCGCCGTCTTTTCCTTTGGCCTCCTCGGCGCCGCCCGCGGTGTCGACGAGGGCCTGATCTCGGGCGCCTTCAACAGCAAGGACTTCCAGAGCACCATCCACTACAGCCAGTACGATGATGTCACAAAGGCAAACATCAAGGCCAACGTGTCGGCCATGGTCCAGATTGGTTCCGTCGCCGGCGCTCTCTTGTAAGCCCATCGCTCACCACTCATCATCGCCAATCAGCAAGCACGCGAAGAAACGAACCCTGTTTACTGACAACATGCCCCTTCGCACAGCTCCTTCTTGATCTGCGACCGCATCGGCCGTATCTGGGCCGTCCGCCAGCTCTGCGTCCTCTGGATCATCGGCATCGCCATCTTCATGGGCGCCAACGGCAACCTGGGCGCCATCTACGCCGGCCGCTTCATCGCCGGCCTCGGTGTCGGCCAGACCCCCGTCGTCGGCCCCGTCTACATCGCCGAGATCGCGCCCGCGCCTATCCGTGGCCTCTGCACGTGCATCTTCACCGGCTTCGTGTACCTGGGCATCGTGCTCGCCTACTTCACCAACTACGGCTGCCAGGTGCACCTCGGCGACACCTCGCACGCGCGCTGGCTCGTGCCCACCAGCCTGCACATCATGTTCGCGGGCATCATCTTCCTCCTCACCTTCCTGCAGTACGAGTCGCCGCGCTACCTCATCAAGAACGGCCAGCACGAGAAGGCCGTCGAGACCATGGCCCGCCTGCGCCACCTGCCCGCCGACGACCCCTACGTCACGCACGAGATCGCCGCCATCCACATGTCCCACCAGGAGGAGCTCGAGGCCACCAAGGGCGCCGGCGCCTGGGGCATCCTCAAGGAGGCCTTCACCGTCCCGAGCAACCTGTACCGCATCTACCTCACCATCTTCGCCCAGGTCATGTCGCAGTGGTCCGGCGCCGGCTCCATCACCGTCTACGCCCCCGACCTGTTCTCCCTGCTCGGCATCAAGGGCACCGAGACCTCGCTGCTGGTCACGGGCGTCTTCGGCATCGTCAAGCTCATCGCCGCCGTCATCTGCGCCCTCTTCCTCGTCGACGTCATCGGCCGCAAGCGCTCCCTGCTCGCCGGCATCACCCTGCAGGCCATCTCCATGATCTACATCGCCGGCTTCCTGACCGCCGTGCCCCAGCTGGGCGTGCAGAAGGGCTACCAGCTCGACGCCTCCGAGAAGGGCCCCTCCCGGGGCGCAATCTTCATGATCTACCTGTCGGGTGCCGGCTGGGCCCTGGGCTGGAACAGCATGCAGTACCTGCTCACGGCCGAGCTGTTCCCGCTGCGCATCCGCGCCCTGTCCACCTCGCTGGCCATGTGCTTCCACTTCGCCAACCAGTACGGCAACACGCGCGCCGTGCCCAATATGCTGCTGCCGGCCTCGGACGGCGGCCTGTCGCCCAAGGGCACCTTCTGGTGCTTCGCGGCCGTGACCATCCTCGGCGGCTTCTGGGTCTGGTTCTTCGTGCCCGAGACGGCCGGCCGCAGCCTCGAGAGCATGGACCGGCTGTTCGCGCTGCCCTGGTACCGCATCGGCCGCCACGGCAACGAGGACGCCGAGCTGCAGGACGAGGTGTACGAGAGCAAGGTGCGCCAGGCGGAGCAGACCGAGTTTGCCCACCTCGAGAAGAACAACGAGGCTGTTGCTCCTGCTGCTGCCCCGCGGACGATAGAGGAGGTCGGGGAGACGAGGGCTTGAATGCTGTGAGCGGTATATTGGGGGAGAGTTTAAAGATGGGAGGAGTGGCAGGAGCTGTGAGGGTCCTGTGGCATTGTTGGCGACAGACTGCCATCACTGTACCTGGAATCTACTTTGTTCACAAAATTGTTCAAATAAATAATTCAACCCAATAATGCAACTCAAATCAGAGCTGCTGAGATCGTATTGCAGGGACGAAGCGAGTGTGTAATTCAACCGGAGTGTACATAGCTTGGAAAACATGCATGAGAAACGAGCGAACATGCACCACGTGCCAAAGGATCAATACCATCATCCAAAATTCAAAAGCAATGGACCCTGTACCACGCATGGTTCTCGTGATTCCAACCGTACTTCTGATCTTGATTCTCCGCGTTGACGCGCATCGTCGCCATGGACACAGCCTCGTCGACGTCCTCGCGGCAGTCTCTCTTCCGAGGGTAAAAGTCGATATAGCAAGTACCAACATCGTTCGCCTCTGTCCGTCAAGTCTCCAACATCAGTATGAGAACAACAGGTAGTTATGTCGACGAGGTCTAAAGTAACGACTGACCAAAAGCATTGATGCTCTCCACGTGCTCCGATCTAACCTTCCTGCACCCGACAGACCCGTGTGCACCAGCGGCCTCGACAATATGGTTACCGACATACCACGTCAAGTGCCATCCATGCACAGACGGTGCGGCGGCAAGGGCCAGCATCATCACATCGGTCAACTTCATGGTGGTTACTTGGCCTTGGACTTTGCTTGCTGCTCTTCTTCGCTGTCAGGCTCAGATGCCGGATCTGTGATCCAATGAATCTCGGATGGCTTTGGCTTGGGATACTGCGCGGCCTTGATTTTGAGGTTCTGGTCCTCGAAAAAGGGAAGACCGTCTGCGGTGCGTGCGAGGTCGATGCGGAAGCCGCCGAGAGACTTGAGAAAGTCGGTGAGAGTGATCCTGTGCTTGACCTCGTACGAGAGGTCTTGCTTCCAGTGGTTGGAGTACAGGATGTAGGTCAGGGGGAAGACGATGGTGTCGTCTTGAGAGTCTTTCTCGTACTGAGTGCGGAGACGGTCGAACCAGGTCTGATTGAGGATTTTCGTAGTCATGCTGAGCTGCTCAGGTTTCTCTGGAAGGCGATGCTCAAGTTTCTTGGCTTCTTATACCTAAGATGAAGAAGTCTTGAAAACTGTGAGCTCGTTCTTTTATCGTTTCTGTCGTCGTGATAATCTCGCTTGCTGTCTTTCCTGATCTAGGATGAAGTTATTTTTGTGCTCAGTCGATGATCGCAAGATCCTATGAATAGCTTCAAACACTGAGACGGCGCTATTCGGGCACACTAGTCGCGAGCACGAGAGCATTACGTCCAAGGTCGAGAAGATCAAAAGTCATGGACCCTGGATTGGTATCTACGCCGCACGGCGTGCCCCTCGATCGACCTCTTCAAAAATACCAAGCTTTGCTGCGCCTTGCGAACCACGGCGCTGTGCCGCATGTGTGCCTCTTCTCATTGGAGCTTGCTCATCAAATTCCCGCAATCAAGCTTCCCAGCTCCACGCGATCGACGGTGAGGTGTGACCTCGAAAACACAAGCTTTTTAGCGTTCCGTGGCTTCCGAGAGGTATCATCTGCATCGTCAGTCGCGTGCCAGGTGCGTTCTGGATCGGCGTGATGACTACCTGGTATTCTCCCCTGCATGCAAGCCATGGCGAAAAGATGTTCAGGAGGCGGCGCTGCTTCAACTAGATTACAAACTGATATTCCGGGAGAGGTAATTAGCAGATCGCCTCCTCAAGATCGACTCTGGTGGATGGTCTGATGTTCGATTTGGGTGCTAGATCTTGAAACAGATCCTAGGTTGACGCTCTTAGCTTCTTCTCTTCACAACTTGGGCGGCTCGGCTAGGCTCCAAATTTAGCCAGTCATGTCCATCCTTCCCCAAGCTGGTATTTCCCTCGGCTACATGGGCTCTGTGGCGCCTTGAGGACAGACAACCCTGGTGCAGATCAGCCTTACTTGATGATACATTGCCCTAGGCTGTATGAAGACGTACAAGGTCCATATTTTTTTGGGTTTTCTGACCATCCAGTCCATACCAAGTTTCCAGGTTGATCATTTGCTATTGATAGATCGTGGGCCTTCCGATTGCTCCGGTCTTTCGAGCATGTGCTTCGATCAGCACCTGTGTCACTTCCTGAGAAGGAAAGACCTTTTGGATCAGCACCATTTCACATGGTCGAGTTTCTAAAGAAGATTTTCAACAATGAGTTGCAACTATCCTGAGCTCGATCGCCTCGTTCTCGAATTAGACATTTTTTGATGATCTTACTGGATACTCTACATGTCCAATTATAGAATCCAATAGGCCAAGCAACATGGAAAGATGAAATAATCAGGGGAAAAGACAAAATATACTGCAACTCGACGAAAGGTTCCCCGAAGTCGATGGGAAGAAAAGTATAAATATCTGTTGAATGCCGCCTTTGGAATTCCAAGTCTTGTTTCTCGACATCACCATCCACAACCACCAAACTGAATAAACGAAGCAATATCACCACTTTCCATTTCCCATTCTGACTGTCAACAACACATCCTGTTTAAAAAAAAAAAACAATCAAAATGCACTGTAAGTATCTCGCTCGGCTCCATGCCCTAACACCCTATCACCTAACGCTCTTGTCAGTTTCTATCCCGACCATCCTCGCCGTCGCCCCTCTCCTTCTGGGCGTCGCCTCAGCCGCCCCGGCAGTGCCCGAGAATCATGAGCACCACCTGGTCGAGATGATCACCGACCTCGACAAGCAGGGCCACATCGAGTGGCAGCAGGCCGAGGGAGGACGCTACGGCTTCATCCCCGAAGAGAAGGTGGCGGCCTACTCGAAGCAGAAGCAGAAGCAGAGCCGGGACCTCGGCGAGCCCGACATCGAGGCTGACGTGTTTGCGCGCAACTCGGCCGATCTTGAGGTAGACGGGCAGGGCGCGCATGTGAACTGCAAGCACGGCGGGCGCAAGGTGTGGGTCGACGACATCATGAAGGTCAGCTCGTCGGCGTGCACGCAGCTCGTCAACCGGTCCGCCGCGGGCCAGGCATTGAACAAAGGGTGGAATATATTCCAGCAGTTTGGCATGCCGGATAAGAAGGGGAAGCTCGGCAAGCTTACCATTGGCTGGTGAGGATATCCTCCCCAAACTTCAGAGCTCACAGCACAGAGAGAAGCAAGCATGAAAAGCAGCTGACGATGGTTTGGCAGGCAATGGCTCCACAAGTACTCTACCCAGGGGCTGACGGCCGGCCTGTGCGAGGACTTGATGAAGGCCGTCTTCCCCAAGGGCAAGCCCTGCGGCGAGAAGGGCGACACCCACGGGGCCAAGATCACCTGGGACGACCAGATCAAGTTTGAGGTTGACGCCTGGAAGGCCGAATAGGCTCAGTGCCCGCTCTCGGAGTTGCCTGCAGCTCGCTTCGTCTGGTCTCGCATCGGGATTGGGTTGCTTCAAGTGTTTGCCTGTCTGTCGTGCAATGGATGTTTCGGAGTGTACATAGCTGGCACAGTCGCTCGTTTCTCTGCGGTTACATGTTTGTCAATTGAAATTCAAGTTCACCCAGTGAATTCAGAAATATGCTTGTCGAGTTCTGCCATGACAAGCATCTGATGATCAAGTCAATGAAGGTTGAGCTGAAGCCGGAGCGGAGCAGCTGGCTCTTGACAGCAGGGCCTTCCTCCTCCGCCAGAAACTGAAAGTCGCGTCCAGACGACGCGAGCCTTCCTGTAAGCGCGACGCGCATCCCGAGTCCGGTGTATCTGCTGCCTACTTAACGTCAATAATCACAGCACACTTCCGGGCGTTCACCGCTCATTTTCCCTACTTCAGATGAACCACCGCTGGCGCAGACTAAAGATCTCTTCTACGGCCCAGCTATTCCCTAGCACTCACGCCGCTCTGCCTCTCCCCGGCTGAGCCCAAACTCATCAAGCTTCCGAACGCCTCCAGACCCATGCGCCCATCATGGCCGCGGTCCCAACCCATCCGAAGCTTTTCCAGCTACCCGCGGAGTTGCTACACATGATCTTCCAGCACCTCGACTCCTCTGACTTCCGAAGACAGCCCACCCTCCTTCGCCTGTCGAAAGAGTGGTACTCGCTCGTCCAGCCCGTACTCTACCGAGATGTGTCCGTCAACCTATCCACCATCTTGCGCATCGGCCGCGGCCGCGCTCGTTTTCTCAAGACACTCCCCGAGCTTATGCAGCAGTACACTGTTAATCTCAGCCTCATTATCTATGTTCCCGACTTCAGATACGATTTTGGCAGGCTCGCCTCTCTATCCTGGATCTCCCCTGATGTCAACCCGTTCAAACAGTACGAGGACATGATTAGCAAAGGCATGTCTCGACTTGTTAGGATGCTCAAGACATCCCTGAAGCTGCGACAGGTCACATTCGAGATGCAGCCAGAATACTCGGTGGGGCCATTTCCCGAAGAAGAGTTTTCCATTGTGACGGTCTGGCCTTTTCTCCACCTGCCACTCTTTCTGAATCTCTCGACTCTGTATATTGATACGGTCGCATCCACCTTCCACAACTTCCACGGCCCGGACGGCCTTCCGGAGGGCTGCCACCCGTGTTCGGTGATTGGCCAAATCTTACCTCGCCTTAAGAGCCTCCGTTGCAGGTTTCGCGAGATCTGTCCCGACGTTCTAAAACCTCCTCTTGATGCTGGCAATCTTGACCTTGAGGAGGTCATCATCAACCTGAGCATCGTTCCTGACGTGGAGTTGGGGGATGGTGAGGAGTCTAGTCTCTGCAAGCCTTTCCGAGACGCAAATCCGGGGGCTCACTTGCACGTTGGATTGTATGATGCGGCAAGCCGTCTTGCTCGACGCATGAAGCAACCCAGTATGCTGAGGATCGTAGAAAGCAGCTTCACTGGGTATGACATTCTCTTCAGGAAGCCAATTTATTTCGGAGGTCATTCCAATATTGGCATTCAGGATTGGGATAGGATGCTCGTGGAAGTCAGCGAAAGCGACGAGGATACTGACCGAGGAGGCCTCATGACCGAGGAAGAGGAGGCCTTCGGCACAGAACTATGGGAAGATGAAGAATCTTTGGAGGACGGTGATGAGATTGATACCAGCGTTCCAGGGGGTGCTGCTGGTGGGCACGGCAAAGACTGATGAGCGATCATGCTGGCATGTGGGAATGGTGAATCACGAGCTGGCACCGTTGCTCAAGTTTTACTGTATGGCTGACGTATCAGCCAAAAAAAGGCACTCTTTTCTGCGAGACTGTTTGGCATGAGTTGAAGGGCGTGTGAGGAGGGTACACCTCTAATTATCTTCGAATTCTTTTTGACATCCCTGCCAGACCGTGGCATCTAATGTCCGCGAACTACATTCTTCGGGCTTCAGAGGCGCATGTACTTCGAGGAAGCAACGTTGATAATAATAATCGCTCGTATTCTATTCCTGTCGAGTCTAGCATACTGCAGCCTTCGTGGGAGGGCAAATACGCTTTGTTTGCCGTGGATGAGTGGCCCTGAATTGGACCCCTTCGCATGTCCTAAGGCACCTGTATCCAGCATCTCGCCAATAAGATATAGAGATTCTCCATAGGCATCGCAGTTGAGATCAGCTGCCAGGACGGAGTCGTGTCAGACTTGCTTTTGTGGTTGAGAGAGATGTTGAGGAACAGGAACGTTCCGCCTGCAAGGGCGTCACTCAATAATTCTCGCTTTCTCCAAGGCATGCCCTTTCGCGACTGTAGCCCGTGCTTGAAGACTGCTCGAAGCTGCGCCAAGTCGTCTTCAAAACAGACATACGTATCTTGGAATATCCATTCCCGAATCTCTTGTCTTTTCAGAACCTTTCGATTCTGCATATCGATATGTCTGAAACAATTGTCAATGGCTTGGAGTAGCGCGCACCCACATACAACCTCTACTCAATGGTTGGCGAGCTGCTGCCTCGTCTTCGAAGTCTCCGCTGAAGATTGCAGAGCGTCTGCCACCAGCTTTTCAACCTTCCCAAGAGGTCTCGGTAGCTGAACCTCGAAGAGGTTATCATAAGTCTCTCCGACCCCGTCACCGGGTTTGCTTGCTCAACGGCCTACAACAACATCCAGACCTTTTACGGGGGAGCTATTTGCGGGAGATCTGCTTGCAGATCTTGCGGCTCCAGCGATTCAGCTCAAGAAATGCATGGAGAAGGCCACAACGTCCAGGACCCTATACTTGGGAAGGTGCAAGCCCACGAGTATCATGTATGGGTTCGATATGCTCGCCGAAAAGACTTTCGTCCTTCAGCATCCTCCCAATGTGGGTGAGATTCAAACTTGGGGCATCGAAACCGAGTACCTCGATCAACTCTATGATTGGGGAGAACTGTGGCTTGCACTGAAGGAGCTTATTCGGAGCTAGAAAGAGGCATTCGCAACTCAGACAACAACCATCCACGCTACCAACAAACAGCTATGGTAATGTCAAGGGGAGGGACCGGCCCAAAAGATAAGCTCGGCCATAGCTAGGTATTGAGCCCCTACAGACAGGAAGCACAGAGTAGACGACTCTCCAGGCATTCTGTTAGACATAATTAATTCACACAGCATAACATCGAAGGTTCGCATTGTCGTACTCCTCCGCCTGACACACGTTCTCCATCTGCACCGTCCCCGGTTTGGGCTGCTCCATGTACACGATCTCGGCTCCGTCGATACCAAAGCTCTGCCCGTTCTGCGTGCGCACCTCGCACTGCTGAAACCAGACGTCGCTGAACTTGGCCAGCGTTACCTGCCCTTGTGAGCCGTAGAATGCCTCCATGATCCAGCTTCCTTCGGCACGGCACATGGGTGCCCCGTCCTTGAAGGTCATGAGAAGGACGTTGCCGTTGTTGTAGTTCTTGACCTCTCTGCGATAGAGTCAGCCTGGGACTCAGTCACCTACCGCCCGGTACTAGGGTACCCGAGAACTTACATGATTGCTTCCGTAGTATTAACTGCTGTGATGTTGATTTCCTATCATGTTTGACAGCACTTGTCAGTAACTGGCGTCCCACATACATCCCACTCAGTAGACCTCGAACAACAAAAAAAACGGAGAAGACTCACCAGCCAGTTCCCGGGGTCAACCACAAAGGGCACAAAGTTGTACGCCGCGTCGGGCCACCACTGCATCCACACCCACGCGAACTGGTACCCGTCATCGTACAGCTGCACCGACACGCCCGCCTGCACCAGCGCGGACCGGCACCGTCCGCCGTCGATGCCGACCCAGGCCGCCGCGAACTGCGGACGCGGGTAGTCCGGCCGGTGGGTCAGGTCCGGCACGGAGAAGATGGAGTGCACCCAGGACACCGGCCCCGCGGCGGAGGGGACGTGCTGCTCGGCGCCGCACCAGTTGGACGTCGTGCTGTGCGTGCCGTCGCGGGGATCGAGGTCGGCGCGGCGGCGGGCATGGCCCTCCTTGCGGGAAGAGGTCAGGGACGTGGGCGGTGCGGAGGGGATGGTGGAGCCGGTGCTGCCGTTGCGGGGCCCGACGCCGAGGGGCACGCGCTCCAGCTTAATTTCAGAAGGATCGAGTTGCTTGTTGTCAATGGTGGCGGAGAGGACTGTGTATGACAGGGCTGCGGAGGCGAGGGGGGATGCCAAAAGGAGGTGGGCCAGGGTTGACAGGAGGCTGAGGGGCTTCATGGTGCAAGTTTGAGATAAGATGTGTTTAAATTAACAGTTATTAAATGTTGAACTTGAAACGAGCACTTCGAGAGATACAATGAAGAAGAGATGAGGGAACTTTATACGTTGTTTTCCCAGCGGCACATGGGCATCCTCAACACCCCAGGCTTCTTTCTGCAAAATGGAACCCCTGTTCATCTTCTGGAAGACCGCGAGTCCTTCGCCGTGTCTGCCTTGACACCCTCTTGGTCATTTAGATCACCCGACCTACCCGACTGAGGTGAACCTTGCCATTCTCGTCAAGCGAGCTGAAACTGAACCACAACCACCTCTGGATTAGGCACCGACTTGGCAGACTCGGAAAGCAGTTTCTTCCCCAAGGCGGGTTACTTGCCCTTATCAAGCAAGTCCGGGAATCCCAACAACCAATAGTGCATGTCGTTGGCATCTGATACTAGGCAGTTGGTTGGCCACTCAGCTCGAGGTGACCCCATTGCCATGCATTCTCTGCATGCCAGACACCTTACACATGGGGAATGTAGCATTTCCTCGCCGCGCCAACGGCCAGACACCCGCATACCCGCATCCCCATCTCACAAGTCGAACTCGAGACTGCCCATGGTTCGGTCCGATGCGCCCGACCTACCTACACAAGTAGTTGGGGGCCTCTGCAGGACCTCCTCAGCTACCCGACCTCTTCCGAAAAGGTGTGCGTACACAAGAATCAGAACCACGTTTCAGAGAAACCACGCAAAGAGGGCATGGCACGAAGATGTGAGTAAAGTCGGACTGCTTCGGGCCCTTGCAGCCAGCCTGCAGCATTATTGGCCGCCGTACCCGCCTGGGAAAAATTTAGACGAGAGTCCGTCCCCGTCCGGAGCCATCAGTCAGCCCCCAACGAGTCGGCCAAGACAAATGCTGTGCGGTTGGTGGCGCGGGTCACCAGACGAACAGGAGCAGGACAAGCTGCAAAGCTGCAGAGCGGTAGACGCGGTTGGCCGCAAGTTGCGCATGCGTCTAGGGTTACATCACAGGCGGCAGCTGAGCCGCGGCAGTGGGTCGGGGGAGGCTGTGCGTGGCGATACGATGTGACACGAGTGTGGCTGTTGGCCTTGCTGCTGAAAGCACATCAGTGGGATGGGATGGAGGTAAATTGTTCATGATTTGAGGAGAGATCTGGTGCGTGCAGATGTGGGTGTAACGGCACCGGCGCCGTAGGCAATGACGAGATATTCGACTCCGTCCTTTCCGAAACCCCTCCGCAACCTAAACTCATGACTGTGTCCAAACATTGATACGAACCCAACAGGTGTATGGTGGAGGTATCTTTGTGCTGTTTGAAACGGTAGCTGCCTGGTTGGGTCTCGCTGGACATACGGGTTCGTCATATTCTTGACATCGAGCTGCCGGCAGAAAGACCATATCCGAGTCTCATGGGTATGGGATTGATACCTTCATTCTTCGTCGCGGATATCTCTACGTCTACCTGTTCCGGCTGGGGAAATGGACGGCGTGCGGGCTCGACATATGTTTGTCCGCATATGAAGCCCTCGGAACACGGCAGCTCCATTTCCGGAGTCTCCAGCTTGGGGTAATGCATATCCACCCGGATCTGTTCGATATACCTAGCGACGACAGGAGGCTAGAAGTAGAGAGTGTCATATTAATCACCCTTGATACTGTAACCATGAAAGCGGAGACATACACTGATTGGTTGGGCATTAGGACTTTTATTATCAATATTCATCTCGAATGAGGAAAGAGAGAGTAAATCAAGACGAAAAGTGTACGTGTACACTGGCTATGGCTAGGCCGGTGGCCATGGGGTCGGTTCGTTACCCAGTCTATCGTTCCAAAGTCAAGAGCCTTCCTCCCCGGTTTTGTGAAGTGTGTTGAAGAGTTGCCGTGACTTCGATCTCGACATCCGTTGATCCCGGCAGCTCCTTTACTGCCACGCAAGTACGGGCCTAGACGTACCGGTTAGAAAGGCCAAGGCATCATCCGCGGCATTGCATGTCTTACCAGCTTGACCCCTTGGCTTATGACTTGACTGTACGCCTCATTCATCAGGCTGTAGTCGCACATGCTGGTCAGGAAGATATTCACCCTGACCTGTTCTGCAAAATCAGCCGTCTGGTCCGTAATTGGCAATTGAACGTGTACTCACCACCTTGTCGAGGCTACTGCCAGCATCGGAGAGTATGCGTGAAATGTTCTTGAATATCTGTGCCTAGGAGATCATTAATAACCTATTCATATGGGCAAAGCAACAGCGTTGGGGTCCCACCGTTCGGTCTGCCACTGTGCCGGACACCAGCAACCCTGTCGCGGGATCTACCCCTGTGACACCAGACAGGAAGACCAAATTCCCGGCGACGACTGCTTGAGAGGACGAAGGACTGGGAGCGGCATCCCTGGACTGCATGATGTCCCATTCACGCGTCGACATTGTGAGGATTGACACATATCTCCCACCGCTGAGAGTCGCGAGCACTCAAGTTGTTCTCCAGGATCCAGCCTTGAAAGATGGAAGACCACGGACTCTAAGGGGTCGTATGACAGCCCAGGCACCCATCCATTCCAGGCAAAGGTGTCAAGGTTTGGCCGGATCTAGAACCCAGTACCGGGTCCAATTCCCGCGCGACTATGCCGAGTTGGTATAACCGAATGGCCTCGTGTCGGGAGCGCCCACGGGGGCCGTGGCCCTGGCGGCAGTGCTGAAGCTTCTAGCAAAATCTCATTTCACACCGCGATGTCAAGCCGCCCGCGTTCCGCGCACGACGCGGGCTCAGAGGGTCGATAGGCATCCGTGCGCTAACCACAGATGCAACCAGGTCCAGATTGACTTTCCCGGTGCATTGGCGCGACAGCTAGGGGGTTCCCGGCTGTGTCTAATCTCCAGATTCGACGGGGTGGCTTTGGAGAGTCAGGAAATGGCCAACAGGCTTGTTTGACGAGTCAGCAATGACCGAGTTAAGCACGTTGTGGTATTTCACCGAGGCAGTTAGCAGTGATATTTCAAACCCCCTTCCCTACGATAGCTATGGGTTCTCTTTCGCACTCCTACCTTCGCTATTCAATTTTCTGACTTTCGCAAGAGACCATATTTTGGGGAACGTGTTCTCTCGCGAATGTTAGCGAGGGTAAGAATGGTGAAATTAGTCATTCTCGAATATCAGAGGGCAAAGGTGAATGGCATCTCCGCAAGGCAAGCAATCGTCGAGCCTTTCACCTCATTAACAGGTATGGATTTGTCAACAGAAGGCTGGATTGCCGCAGTGAATAGGCACTGGAGATGGTGAACATGTTGTCGGCGACCATAACACGGGTTTTTGCAACCCACGAGATATCCCCGCGCAATGCAGGGGAGGGGCGTTTGGATTGATGCCTTGGCCCCTGAGCTGATTCTGGTTGTTGCGCTGTCAATCTGAAACATCCTTGCCGTTGGGAACCCCAACAGTCACTGTCCACTAAGACTCAGTTCCCTCCCATCACGAGCTAAATACCAGCCTTGCACGATGTCCGGCCTTGAAGCTCTCGGCATTGTCAGCAACATTTTCCAGGTCATCAGCTTCGCTTGCGAGACTCTTGCCCTCTGCAAAGTGGTGTACCGTGGTCGGTCCCCGGATGAGTGGCTCGGTAGCTGCGCCAATTCGCTCACGACACTTTCGGAGGATATACAGAAGCACTGTCAAGGGAAACAAGTCCGAGGATCTACCGAGCATGACCTGACGTCGCTGGCAGCACAGTGTGGCATTGCTGCCAGAGCACTCACAGAGGAGGCCGCTTTTCTCACTAGTCATCACGCCAAGGGCAGCTTAAGAGGAACACTGCAACTGGCCGTCAAGGTCAACTGGCGGAAGAAGCGCCTGGAACGGTTGGAGGGGTGCTTGGGGAGTTATCAGAAGACAATCGAGGCTCACTTACTTGGGAGCATTTGGTGAGCTCCTATGTACTTGCACTGCCGAACGAACAGCTAGAGCTAAGACCTGCGTAGCAAACAAAGCGATGCCATTGAGCTTGTTCAGAGGGAGAGGTTTGAGAAGCTTGACCAGCGGTTGCAGTACTTCGTGTCCCAATATGCTTCTGGACACACGACACTGTCCGAGCTTCTAGAGGCAGAGAACTGCTCCACCAGAGCCCATATAGCCAGAGACACATCGAGAACCGGGAAGGCAGTTCAGTCGCATATCACGTCGGAAGTCAACGCAAGCCGAGTTTCAATCATCGGCCATGTAGACCAAAAGATGGAGCAGACCACTCGCCAGATCACCAATGACATGGAACGACTGAACACCGAGGTAATCACCCAGGCTCAACGAGACCGGTTGTTAGCGAGTCTCAAATTCCCGGCTATAAATGAGCGTCGCAACCAAATCGTCGAATGCCAAGAAGGGACATTTAGATGGGTTCTTGGGCAACGGTCTGTGACCCCTGACAGCGATAATGACACTAAAAGCGGGAGCGACAACAGCGACAGCAACAGCGACAGCGACGGCGGAAAAAAAACTAGATCTTTCATGAGCACCGATGTTGCCGATGATGAAGATCTCTAGGACGACTTCGTGAACTGGCTGAGGTCAGAGGACACGCTCTACTAGACCAGTGGCAAACCGGGGTCAGGCAAGAGCACATTGGTCAAGTTTCTCCTCAGCAACCCACTGACGACGGAGGCCTTGGATATTTAGAGAACCGATACCATGGTCATATCGCACTTCTTTTGGAGGCCTGGGATAATCATGCGGGGGGGCATCAAGGGGCTCTTCTGCGGCCTGCTCCATCAGATCCTTTCAGAGAATCGGAAACCTCTCGATGCCTTGCTTGCGAGCACTCCATCTCTAGCGGCTAATGATGCAGTGGCAGACTGGTCGTTGAAGGAGCTACAAGTTGAAACACTTCAGGGCGGTATCAAGCGGAATACTCAAAGGTTGATGAGCAATTGAAGTTGAGGGGCCAAGAAACATTGAATTCTGTGCTCCGCGTCGCAGCTCTACGATATTCGGATCCACCAGACCGCTCAGGATATTGTTCGAACTATATGGGGGAAGTCTTCCGTCCACTCGATCACGAGGGCTCCCCTGGTCTACTGGGACTGATCGGTCTTCTTCAAAGGTGGCTAGGAGTCTGACACTACTGAGGCTCTAGAGGAGGCCATTTGGTACCAATACTCGTGTATAGTACAGGAGATTGAAATGGGAATAGGGGCCTTTGAGAAGGAGTCGTATGCTTTACTAGAGAAACACCTTATGGGTGAAGGGTACGGGCACATATGTAAAGTGGTTCCAGGACTGGAGAACCTACAGCGGTATGGTGAGGAATCGGATGGCGCTGACCGGGATAACAAGGACTCGAATGGCGAGTAGTGTTGACCAGTTCAACGTTCTACTATACTGCAATTCCTCTTCCTTCAGTCATCCGGATATCCTCACGCCGAGACTTTCACATTTCCACCTGACGTTGTCCAGACCGATGGCCAGCTCTATCGCCGCGTGGTGGCGAGCACCAAATTGTGCTGTTTGACACTTCAACATCAATAGCGGCCCAAACATTGCTATTGTAGCTAGCTGCATCTTGCTGGGATTGGTTGTTCGATTGTGGGGACTGCTGTCTTTAACTCTCGTCATGTCTCATCGAATGCGTAAGGACTGCCATGTTTGCTCAAAGAATGGTATATCTGTGGACTGGTTCTAGCGCTGACCTGGTCACATAATTCATATCATGCTATGACCACTACCTAACAGGTTCTGCCACTTGGGTGACAGTTGCGTCGGTAAACTACATGTAGTAGCGACGGCAGCGAGGGCTGGAAAGTTCCTCAATACCCCCCAAACTCCAGGCAACACCCATTCCCATATGTTCCCCCTCTGTTTTCCAGTTCCGTGATCGTCTTCAACTGCTCTGAAGCAGGCTACCGAGCTGCTCTGCTCTTGGAGATGCAAAATAGCTTGCAAGTCGGGGAAGTGGATCTTCAACTCCCATCCACTCCCACGAGTGTTTTTCCTCGTCATCCGTCTCTTGCAGGCAGCTCCGTGTCATCTCGCGAAACAAAAGCACTATATCATCATTTCTATCCCCGGGGGAGTGGAGGTACTCTTGGCAGATCGCCAGTCGCTCCAGTGGAACTGCCTCAGCATGTCTCCACCCAAGCACGCCAGTGATGTTACACTCATCATCAAACAGGATATTTTGGTGATGCAACTCCATGTGGCAGAGGGGGAATGGCCCGTGGACCCGGTCTCCGATGAGGCTTGCTAACAGCAATCCCTTTGGATCGAACGGATGATAGGGTTCTTCAATGTCGTCCTCCTCGTCCTCCTCGTCATTCTCGTCCTCCTCGTCTGTTGACATCTTGACTTCTATTCCTGTGGCGATGCTGAACCAATCGACTGAGTTCTTGGGAGGAAATGGAGCACTGTTGGCGTGCAGGATGACGGGAATTACCATGGGCGGATCGCTGGGTCGACGTCCACACCAAAGACGGCCAGGCTCGTCAAAGATAACATTCTGCAGCTGGGAAAGAATGTGCGCCATCTGTTTGGCAATGTGCAGCAGATGGGTTTCCGGTACATGGGTAGCGACAGCACCGCTCAACGTTGAGCCAGGCAGCCAGCTCATCAGCGTGAATGGGAAGCCGAAGCGAGAACCGTTGATGACAGCCAGGTCCTGGCCAAATATCTGCGGGACTGGGATGAAAGTCCTGCGTCGGAGTGTCTCCAGGGCTGCCTTTTCTGTGGTCATCTCGACGAGGTATTGATGCAGCTTGGTGCCGTTAAGTGGTGTGTATGGGACACGAGCGACCCAGATCTTGCCGTCAGAAAACACGAGCTTGAACACAACATGCGTGCTGCCCCAAGTCAAATCATCGGTAGTCGTGGTGCAGGTGACTCCTGCGAGGATCTTTCTAGCGTCCAGTTGCTTCTCATGCTCAATTCTCTTGGCCAGCGCGAACTCTTCGAGGTACTGAAAATCTGCGGTGTCGATGACATTGCAGATTTGCTGTGCTGTGGTGTCGTCCTCTGCACTAAGGTAAACCACACCTTTCCAGGTCGTGAAGTTGTCCATAGTTTTGACGAGACAATTCGATGGCGAGCCTGTAGCTGATATTGCGAAACAACGAGTTGAAGAGGCGAATGATCGTATGGAAAAGACTTGATCCTATATGTCTTGTCTCCAACTCAGTTGCTTTCATTCGGTTGAAGTTCAGGAAGGCCGATTCTTGGACAATCGTGGATAGCTAGAGATAAGACTTGCCCGCTCGCATGAGTCAACAACAAACTCAGATTCCAGTCACAGATACTCTGAAAAACGATTCACTCCCAATTCGTTTCTAAAATAATAAGTTACTCCGAGCATTAGCCGGAGTCCTTTTTGAGATCGTGAGTTGCTCCGAGCATTAACCGGCTTAATCTGGTCACTCAGTTCTATTTAAGAAGCATGTTTTGCCCGCTTCTCTCAAAATCATCGTTCCTTTACCACCCAGGAACAGCTTTGAACAACAACTCACCCCATGCTTTTGCACCTCACTCATCTCTCAGAAATCCTTCCTTATTGCCTACGATGTTCTCAAACCCGCAACCAGCCCCAGCCGGTTCCAAAGACATCACGAAAGGGTTCCTCTGATGCACCCCCGCACATCCCATTCTCACTTTCCGCACCACAAAACCCTTGGACCTTGATGCCAATACATCGTACGTCCCTGTTCACTTCTTAACTTACCTGCTCCCCCCTTCCAGGACGCCTTGAGCAACCCACTCTCAAACTTCAACTTCTTTGTACACTGACACAAAGCTTGTAGATGTTGTTCTGTCTCTGATCCCTGATGTTGCTCCCATCAAGAAGGTCAGACAAGGACTGCCCGATCAGACTTGCATCCCAGCTCTTTGACTTGAAAGAGAGTAACGACAGCGATAAAAGATCACACCCTTTTCACAACTGCAAATACCGAAAGTAACAAAACATTGACCCGGGTACGCGGCAAGGAATTACTCGCTCGTCACTGCCTATTTACAACTACCGTCCTCGTCTTTTGCATCGAGCGCCACCTTCACCCAGCTTGGTGACACTTTAGCTGTTTCACTACTCGGCTGGAGACATGCCAAGGCAGTCACACTGGAGTGGATGGCATCAATTCTGTTCTTTTCTCCTTGTGCTCTTTCCTTTTCCTTTTTCTTTTCTATATATACTCAACTTCTCAAACAAATCATGGCCGAAACGACTCCCACATACTACAGAAGGATCGAGAACGACGTCTCTCGCGCTTCGTGCGCCAAGAAGCGTGGTTCCTAGCCGCCGCCCAGGCTCATGTCTCCGCCGAGGCCTTGCCTGCAGCGAGTCCCCATTCAACGACCGCCCAGGCTACCGCTAAGGCCCGGCCTGCTACCGCTGCTACCTCCAATGAGGAGGACCCCGGAACGATCTGAACACAGACAGATTTGTTTCAGGGAACTGGAGTCAGCCTATGCGATGTTCAAGAGCTTCAGGATAGCTTCAAGTCTAAATACGGCCCAGAAGATACCCTCGTCACAACTTGGCCACCAACACCTTAGCCCGGGTAGGCATTGCCGGAGCCACTTGTATATATACATATATATATATTTACCATTTTCAACAACCTGTACAAAACCCAACCACCGCCGAAGTTGAGCCGACAGCCCGAGCCATTTCAAGATGGCCACTTCGACTCTACCCCAGGTCCTTGAAAAGGGAAGCCGGCTCCCTTCTCCTCAAGGCGTGGAATTCACGTATCTCAAATCCTTCAACTTCGCGACAATGGACGAAGCCCGGGCCAAAGAGGAGCGAGGCATCACCAGCGAAGCTGACGCCCGCGCCCATGACAAAGTCAGCCTCGGCCCCTCACCCAGAATCGTTCATCAAGGATGGTACTGGAACCCCGACGGCCAAGCGATTCGTGGCGCGTGCACGCTACAGGGGTTAGCGGGACTGTCCCGAAAGAACAGTGTCAAGCCCCGGTGCTGGCGTCTTTTCCAAACTTCCAGCTGACTGGCAATACTTGTTCATGAGTGGGAAAGCTACAGCCATGGGAACAGCTTGCTTGAAGAGTAGATAGCCGAAAAACTGACATCTGAATTGTCTAAACAACGAGACTTCTCCTCGGCGTTTCCAAGTGACTGATTTTGCTCAAGTGCAGACTTGATGCCAGGGAAGAGGCGTAATGAATAGATTATCACCATGTAGAAGATGGACATGTGGCTTCTCGACCAAGACTATCCACGGTTGACTGAGGGCTAATTGCTCTTTTTAATCTCCCCCTGGAACTTGAGTACCCAGTCAGTGAAGCCGTCCTTTTGCCCATCCCAAGGCTTTGCTAATAGTTCCGAGGCGGCAAATGCATCAAAAAAGCACTGGTCCATATGGTTGTCAATCTGCCCTGGAGACAAATCGTAGAATGCAGCCGCCAGGTCGCCAAATCGTTCCGTCATTTTCCTCAATATGGGCATGATCTCGTTGAGGCGAGAGGGCACGTTGCTGTCAGGACCAGCCGGGAGGGCGGGCAAAGTCTTCAGGCGCCGCTTGATGATCGCCTGATATAGCAGTGTGGTAAGCCGTAATCTCTTGAGGCAAGAGTCGAGGCGGTCCCTAATCTTGTCCGGGTCATCGCTCGGTATGTGTCGGTGTGAACTCATCAGATCGTCGAGCATGGCCTGCGCCGAGAGGTGGCTGGAAGCCATGTCGCCCGCAAGGTCGTCCACGTCATCCCCGTCGTCGAAGACCTCATCGTCATCGTCCTCGTCCGTCTCTTCGCCCCACTCCTTCAGCTCCTCCAATACATCGTCCAGCGTCTCCTTGTACTGCTCGACCTTTTGGGCCAGGTGCCCATCCACACCGAGCTTGGCGAAGCGCGTCACCTCATCGCAGGCGGCCCAGAGTACACCTGTCGCAGCCACGCTCCCCTTATCGCCGTTGCCCCCGTTCTTCTTCTCTGCCTGCAGGATCTTGCCGTCACGAGGGATCCTCTCCAATAGCCCGCGCAGCTGGAGAAATACTTGGTTGCAACGCAGCGCAAGGTCGTGGCGGATAACATTGGTGTATCTCGTGCCCGCACAGAGCTCGACGGCCGAGGCAAGGCCAGGTATGGGGCTGGCAATCAGCTCGCGCAAGTTTCTCGATATGACGGATGGGGTGAAAGGCTCGTTGATGATGAAGAGGGAGATTTGGGTCGAGTAAGCTCTTATGAGGGACACGGAGTCGGAGGCGAGTGCTAGTGCATCGACAGGTTTCGCCGAAGAACCGGTCTCGGGATTCGTGGCACCAGAGGTGGTTTGCGAAGAAGACTCGGCTTCTTGCTTCTTGACCTTGTTGGTGGTGATTTGGGTGATGACTGTCTGGAGCTGCTTCACGAGCTGGATCGATGTGTCGACGAGGGCGTTGAGAGCCTCGAGCTCGCTTTCTCTTGCGGATTCAGACGAAGAAGCCATCTTGTTTGGTGTTGCGCAGACAATCAAGAACAAGAGTTGAGATGTGCAAACATTGATGCTCCAGATCTTGTCAAAATCGTCGCGGGGCACTTTTTTTTCCCCATCCCAATTTGGAGTGTTGGAGGGGCCGCTTTTGCTGTGTTGGTGGAATTCGGCTCGATCACTGGGCTGCACTGGGCGGCGCGGAGTGTTCCGCCTTTAGCCTGGAGGCTGTTTGGCGCCTCAAACCGTCCCCTACGCAGTGAGACCAGGTGGGCTCCACGTGACGGTGGTACCTGAAGCAACACCCGCGCCCCCTGTAAATGCCACCTACTGGCCAGGTTGTCAACGGCACTAGTTGTTTTGGACTGGGCTGGTCGGAGCTCCCGTAGGTTGATGATTGTTGGATAGCTGTCCTTGTTAGTAGCACAAGCTCCAACTTGCATCTCGTCTGCTCTCTCTCCCTGCTCTTCCTCCTCCACCCACATCTCGATCACCATCAAGCAGGTCTTGTTGCCATCTTGATGCAGGAATAGCATACACACACACACACCATGCGACAATCAAATGCCCTGGTGCTCTTCAGCACCTTTGCTAGCACAAGCCTTGTCGCTGCCAAAGCGCCCTCTGCCATTCGAGGTGTTGGCCCAGAGTGTAAGTATCCTTCCAAGCTGTCCTGTTTCGCCAACCAATTGCTCGGTCCACGGACGCAGCACCGTTAGGGTCCCGTTTCTTCTCTGTTTGTAATGTCCTGACGTCGTCCTTGTTCATCAGTCGTCCACTTCTACGAGTCCAAGGATGCCTTCAAGTGCATTGGCCACCCGACCATCGTCCTCAAGCCCTCCCAGGTCAACGACAACAGCTGCGACTGCCCTGATGGCTCGGACGAGCCTGGCACCGCCGCCTGCGCGCACCTCGACCCTCTGTCTCCGGAGCAGCCTCTCGTCGGCTCTCTGAGCGGCACCACAAACACCACCAACGTCCTCCCCGGATTCTGGTGCGCCAACGACGGCCACGTCGGAGCCTACGTCCCTTTCATGTACGTCAACGACGGCGTTTGCGACTACGACCTGTGCTGCGACGGCAGCGAGGAATACGGCAAGGTCGGCGGCGTCAAGTGTGAGAACCGTTGCGGGCCCATCGGCAAGGAGTACCGCCGCATTGAGGAGGAGCGCAAGCAGGGCAAGGAGCGTGCGGCCAAGCGGCGCCGAACCCTGGTCAAGGAGGCCAAGGAGTCTCGCCGCCAGGTCGAGGCTCGGGTGACCAAGACCAAGGAGGAGATTGCGCAGCTCGAGGTCAAGCTTGCCGATCTGCAGCAGAAGTTGGAGGAGGTCCAGAGGTCCGAGAAGGGCAAGGTCGTCAGGCCTGAGGGTCAGGGGGGCAAGCTCGGCGTCTTGGTCGGGCTAGCCAAGGCTCGCGTCAATGAGCTGCGGGACGCCTTGGACAAGGTTCTGGACCAGCGCGATGATCTTCAGGACAAGGTCACTGAGCTTGAGGGCATCCTGAGCAAGTTCAAGGAGGAGTACAACCCCAACTTCAATGACGAGGGTGTTAAGGCTGCTGTCAAGGCATGGGAAGACTATGCTGCCAAGCTGGCCGACGAGAAGAAGACCGAGGTTGTCGACAATGACGTTCTCGAGATCCTGAAGGAGGATAACGAGGAGCGTGGCGTCAACTGGGCCGAGTTTGAGGAGGGTGAGGGAAGCGACACCGACATCCGTAAGTAATTGCCATGATACGGTCAGTGGTCTACGTACGGTGGTCTAACCTGGTAACAGTGTACAACTTTGAGGCATACCTGCCTGCCTTCGCACGCACCTTCATCCGCCTCAAGGTTGACGCCCTCCGCATTTGGCTCATCGAGAACGGCATCCTGGCCGACAACCCTTCGTCTGGCAGTCACGAGTCCCGTCTCGTGACCGCCGCCCGTGACGCCGTCAACGTGGTCGAGAGCGACCTGAGCAACAAGCGTCTCAAGATGGCCGAGGACGAGGCCGATTTGGAGAAGGACTACGGCGCCGATGGCATCTTCCGTGCGCTCAAGGGCAAGTGCGTCAGCACCGAGGCGGGAGAGTACGAGTACGAGCTGTGCTGGATGGACCGCACGATGCAAAAGTCAAACCGCGGGCACGGCCACACCAACATGGGCAACTTTGTCGGCATGGAGATCCGCACGGCCGACGACGAGGAGCGTCAGGACGGCAAGGGGCTAGGCAAGGGGCCGAGACTGGTCATGCAGTATGAGAACGGGCAGGGCTGCTGGAACGGGCCCAACAGGAAGACCGATGTCTGGCTGGCTTGCGCCGAGACGGAAGAGCTGTGGCGCGTGTCCGAGTCGGAGAAGTGTGTGTACAAAATGGAGGTTGGCACGCCGGCTGCTTGTGAGGATGTCCACGAGCCAGGAATCCCGACCAAGGACGAGTTGTGATATTAGCTGGTGTTGTTCCTTCAAATTATAGATGGCGGCGCTGTGTTTGTAAATCTGCAGCGAGAACGGCGGTCGGAGTACAAAAGAATGCCAACGGAAAATGCATTTTGCTACCATGGTATCATGCTGAATGTCTATCAAATGCTATGGACCAGAACCTGACGCCTCGAACAACACTCTTCCGACAAAATACAGTCTACCTAGCTTGCCGCTGCCAATTTCCTCCTTTTATTCCTCTCGTCCTGCTCAGCAAGGACTTTGGCTGTCAAGGATGCCGTCATGGGGTTGTTGATCCCGCTCAGCCGTACATCGCCGTTGTTCTTCTTGGTCTCCTTGGGCAGCGCAGCGCCATTTTCGCCCTTGGCCGCATCGTCTGCACTGCGCTTCTTCTTTTTCTTGTCGCCGTTCTTGTCCTTCTTGAGGCTATGCGTCTGGCCCTTGGCCTTGAGCCCTTCTATCCTCCTCTCCAACCTCTCTTTCTCCACCTTGTCGGTAGGTAAGATGGGAATGACATTGTCGGCCTCGAACGCCTCACTGCACTCGGGGCAAATGTGCTCATTATCCGAGATCTCCTTGATCGCAATCTCGGCAAAGACATGCCCGCAGGGCACGATGTATACAGACTTGGTGTTGGGGCCCAGCTCCTTCATCGAAACGGGGCACACCCATACGTCGTCCCGGTGCCCATTCCCATTGCCTCCGCTCTTGCCCGCGGCGCGCTTGAACTTGAGCTTGACCACGTCGCGCAAGGATCTAATACCGGTCGATGCGAACGATATCTGTGCAGCCCCGGCGTGGCTCTTCTCTGCGGTGTCATCGTCGCCGCTGCCGGGCATGAGGCCCTTGAGCACGGACTCGTAGGCGTAGAGGCGGCCGCGCCAATCTGACACGGCGTTGTCGAGGTCGAGGGGTTCGGCGGAGAGGGGGCACGTGGACCAGGCATGTGTCTGGGACTCGAGGGCCGTGGCCTTGAGCTCCGAGACGGTGGGCGCGCGTTTCCCTTCCTTGACGAGCTCGCGGCGGGTCGGGATGGAGCCGCCGTCGTTGCCCATTGTTCCTTGGGTTCTGGTGGTGCGGTAGCGGTTGAGGGGATTGTTTGTGCTGAGAAGAGGGAAAGTAAAGAAAAGAGGTAGGCGGGCCCTTGTTGAATTTAGTTGCTGTGAGAGAGAGCTTGTCGATAGTGTGCAAAACGAAAAAAAGGTTGGATGTGAAGTTGAGTGAGTAAGGTCGCGAGTGGCGGTTGGCCACAGAGTCGCATGTCGTACACTGTCGCAAGTTGCAGTAGTACCTGCCTTTTCCCCCAACAAGAGGCAAAATGCGGGACACTAGAGAGAGTGCTGCCAATGAGACAATTCCAAATGCACAAAGTCTGGTCACATGAGGGGTTTCTGATAAGATAAGTAGGCTGATAAGCCCGATAAGTAAATACATGTAACTACAAGTAGACGCAACACTAGCATAGGTGGCTGAGGCGGGACCAGACTGGAAGGAGCAGCTGACATTGATTTGAAGCTTGAGCCACCTCATGTGCTGTGCTGGCTCGCTGGGCATTTAGTGCACGGTCCACTGGAGCAACTCTCCTCTCCAGTGTTAGCTCCCACTCACTCCACAGTAGCACCCACTGTAGCGAGCGCGTGCCGCACTCTGGCTTTGGTGGACCTGTCGTCGACCTTCGCTCACTTCAACTTCAACTTCGGCTGGACTGGACTCTGTTCCAAAATAATTCACCTCGGACTACCTCTTCCCCTTCTTTCCTCAATTCTCTCCCTCGCCTCTCCTCCGCGTCTTCTCCACACTCATCGCGAATACTAGAGAGTCGAGAGAGAGCTCCCGCCTAACCGTCTCTTCGCTATCCGTCTGCCGGCGACTCCTGAACGACTCGAGGTGCGGCAACGCATCGCAGCTTTCCAAACCTCCCTCCCTCGTTCATCCCCCGCAAACTCGCGCATCAGGACGACCTCGAGAACGCGACCTTAAAGAACACGAATATCCTTCCTCCCTGCCATTTCCGATTTCCCCTCAGTACCCTCCCCGACCATCTGTCAACTCGATGATGCGATAACCCTCATACATGGCCCGTTGACTTGGTGGACACTGTCCCTGCTGACTCTAGGGCGACAATCATGGCGTCCCAACAGACTGCCGATGGGGCAGCTGAAGCCCTCATCAAGGATCTCAAGTCAAGGTATGTGCAGGCTTTTCTACGTTCCAGACTACAGTCACAACCCCTCTGCAAGAGATCCAAAAAGCACCCCAAAGTGGCCGCTGTCTTTCTCTTCTTTCTCCCAAACGAACACCCAACCTGCCTCGACCTCCTTGACGAGCCTTTCCCCAAGGACAAAAAGATGAAAAAAGGACGCAGAACTGAATTTTGTCACAACTGCAGAACGATCACCGAAGATGCCAGACGACGCGTTGCCCAACAGCTCCGGGAGACTGTCGCTATAGCGCAGCGAGGTAGGTCATTTTTGCTCCCTGGGCATCGCCGACTGAAGCTCCAATCTAATCCACACCCCCTCGCAGACTTCAACCCCGAGCAGTTCCAGACCTTCTGGGCGCTGGTGCAGGCTAAGATCAGCACCTTACTCCAGAGCGACAGCACCTACGAGAAGCTGGGTGGCATCTACGCCATCGACGTCTTCGTGGACTTTGAGGGCATCGACACCACTGCGAAATACACCCGTTTCGCCTCCGCCCTCCGGCGGCTGATGTCTGGCAAAGACATCAACTGCATGCAGCCCGCTGCTATGGTCATCGGAAAGCTCTGCCGACCCGGAGGCTCCCTTTCTTCTTCCCTCGTCGAGACCGATGTCCAGATGGGACTTGAATTCCTGCAAGATGGAACGAGCGAGGAGCGGCGCTATAGTGCTGCGCTTCTTCTTAGAGAGATAGCCCGCAACGCGCCAACGCTCATGTACAGCAAGGTCAATCAGATCTTTGAGTGGATATGGGTCGGCCTCCGAGATCAGCGTCACCTCATCCGAGTCACCTCCGCCGAGGCTGTTAGCGCCTGCTTCAAGATCATCAGGGAGCGTGACCAGGAGATGCGCCAGTCCAACATGGACAAGATGAAGAAGGAGGCAATCAATGGCCTGAAGATTGGAACCGTAGAGTCGGTTCACGGCTCTCTGCTTGTCTTCAAAGAGTTGCTTGAGCAGGGTGGTATGTACATGCAGGCTCACTACACTGAAGCGTGCGACATTGTGTTCCGATACAAGGACCACCGAGACGCCACTATCCGCAAGACCATCGTCTTCCTCATCCCAGATTTGGCCAACTACGCCCCGACCGAGTTCGCCTCAAATCACCTGCACAAATTCATGATCTACCTTTCCGCCATGCTGAAGAAGGAGAAGGAGCGCAACGATGCCTTCCTCGCTATCGGCAACATCGCCAATGCTGTCAAGAGCGCCATAGCGCCGTATCTCGATAGCGTCATCACCTACATTCGAGATGGTCTCAGTCTTCAGGCGCGGAAGCGCGGATCCGTCGACCCCGTCTTCGACTGCATTAGTCGTCTAGCCGTTGCCGTGGGTCAGACGCTGAGCAAATACATGGAGGCGCTGCTCTCGCCCATCTTCCAGTGCGAGCTCACGCCCAAGTTGACCCAGGCACTAGTCGACATGGCTTTCTACATCCCTCCCGTTAAGGCCGTTATCCAGGAGAGATTGCTTGACATGCTCAGCAAAGTGCTCTGCGGCGAGCCCTTCAGACCTCTCGGCGCACCTCACCCCAACACGTTGTCATCCGTCCCCGTCATCGCCAAAGACCCCAAGGATCCGCAGGCCTACGAGCATCGCAAGGCTGAAGTCAAGTTGGCGCTTAACACGTTGGGCAGCTTCGACTTCTCCGGTCACGTTCTTAATGAGTTTGTGCGCGATGTCGCTATCAAGTATGTCGAAGACGACGATCCTGAGATCCGTGAGGCAGCCGCTCTCACCTGCTGTCAGCTCTACGTCCGGGATCCTATCGTGAACCAGACCAGCTACCATGCTCTTCAGGTCGTCGGCGATGTCATTGAGAAATTACTCACGGTCGGTGTCTCCGACCCGGAGCCGAGCATCCGACGGACCGTGCTTGCCGCCCTCGATGAAAGGTTTGATCCTCATCTCGCCCAGGCTGAAAACATTAGGACTCTTTTCTTTGCCTTGAACGACGAGTACTTCCCCATCCGCGAAGTTTCCGTCGAGATCATTGGCCGTCTCGCCCGGTACAACCCGGCATACGTCATCCCTTCTCTCCGCAAGACCCTCATCCAGATGCTCACCGAGCTCGAATTCTCGGACGTCGCCCGTAACAAGGAGGAGAGTGCCAAGCTACTGAGCCTTTTGGTCCAGAACGCGCAGTCCCTTATCCGACCCTACGTCGACCCCATGATCAAGGTTCTGTTGCCCAAGGCAAGCGATCCAACACCCTCGGTCGCGGCCACCATTCTCAAGGCCATCGGTGAGCTCTGTACGGTTGGGGGTGAAGACATGCTGTTGTACAAGGATCAGCTCATGCCGATCATCATCGATGCGCTGCAAGACCAGTCATCAGCAGCCAAGCGAGAGGCCGCACTGCACACTCTCGGCCAGTTGGCGAGCAACTCTGGCTACGTCATTGCTCCCTATCTCGAATATCCCCAACTCTTGGACCTGCTCCAGAACATCATCCGGGGTGAACCTCAGCATGGTGCCCTCCGCCAGGAGACCATCAAGCTGCTGGGTATCCTCGGTGCTCTGGACCCGTATAGACACCAGGTACGAGACCAAACTTCACCAAGCACATCTGATAATGCTTCTATCTGTTTACCCCTTGGCTTCTGCACTGCATTGTGTGAGGTGTGTCTGCTGACAATCATTCCCTTCTGCAGCAAGTCGAAGAGCGCAGCCCCGAGATCCAGCGGCGGGTGGAAAACACCCAGACCACTGACATCTCCCTTATGATGACAGGGTTGACACCCTCCAACAAAGAATACTTTCCTACAGTCGTTATCAACGCACTGCTCGGTATCCTTCGGGACCACTCTCTTGTCCAGTATCACCAGGATGTCATTGGCGCTATCATGGCCATCTTCCGTACTCTCGGACTCGAATGTGTCCCTTTCCTTGACCGGATCATCCCGGCTTTCCTGCAAGTCATCCGCAGTTCGTCCACCACTAAGATCGAGGCCTACTTCAGCCAGCTTGCCGCGCTCGTCAGCATCGTCCGCCAGCACATTCGGAATTATTTGCCCGACCTGGTTGAGATCATGCAAGAGTACTGGAACACCTCGCCCGCTCTTCAGTCCACGATCCTGTCTCTGGTAGAGGCTATCTCTCGCTCGCTGGAGGGCGAGTTCAAGATCTACCTCGCGGGGTTGCTCCCCCTCATGCTAGGCATTCTCGAGAAAGACGGTTCGGCTAGACGGCAACCGTCGGAGAAGGTCCTGCACGCGTTCCTGGTGTTTGGCTCCAGTAGTGAAGAGTACATGCACCTCATCATCCCGGTTATTGTCCGGACGTTCGAGAAGCCTAACACGCCTCCTTTCCTCCGGAAGTCCGCAATCGAGACCATCGGCAAAATCTCCCGCCAAGTCAACCTGAACGATTTTGCTGCCAAGATTATTCACCCGCTCACTCGCGTACTTGCAAGCGGTGACCCTACCCTACGCGCTGCCTCGCTTGATACACTCTGTGCATTGATACAACAGCTGGGCAAAGACTACCTTCATTTCATGGGGACAGTGAATAAGGTTCTGACTCTCCACGGAATCCAGCACCAGAACTACGAGCTTCTCGTCAGCAAGCTCCAAAAGGGCGAAGTCCTTCCTCAGGACCTGAGTTCCGAGACTAGATTTGTTGACCAGGCAGATGATATGCCGTTCGCCGACCTCGGCGTCAAGAAGCTGGAGATGAACGCCGTTCACCTCAAGGCTGCGTGGGATACCAAGGGCAAGTCCACGAAGGAGGACTGGCAAGAGTGGCTGCGAGGCTTCAGCACAACTCTCCTTAACGAGTCGCCGAACCATGCTCTGCGTGCTTGTGCCGCTCTGGGCAATCTCTACCCTCCGCTCGCTCGGGAGCTCTTCAACTCGGCCTTTGTGTCGTGCTGGAGCGAGCTGTACGAGCAATTCCAAGATGAGCTGATCTGGAACATTGAGAATGCGATAAAATCGGAGAATGTTCCACCAGATCTATTGGGTCTCCTTCTCAACCTGGCCGAATTCATGGAGCACGACGACAAGGCCCTTCCCATTGATATCCGCATCCTCGGTCGTGAGGCGGCACGCTGCCACGCTTATGCCAAAGCTCTGCACTACAAAGAGCTCGAGTTTCTCCAAGACCAGAGCAGCACTGCTGTTGAGGCGCTAATCGTCATCAACAACCAGCTCCAGCAATCTGACGCAGCCATAGGAATTCTGCGCAAGGCTCAGCTGTACAAGGACGGTATCCAGCTCAGGGAGACCTGGTTCGAGAAGCTCGAGCGCTGGGAGGAAGCACTCGCGTTCTACAACAAGCGCGAGAGGGAGATTCCCGATGACCAAACAGTTCCCGTCGAGATCGTCATGGGTAAGATGCGTTGCCTGCACGCCCTGGGCGAATGGGAGGCTCTCGCGCAGCTTGCCGGCCACACCTGGTCTAACTCGTCGCCTGAAGTCCAGCGGCGTATTGCACCGCTCGCGACCACTGCCGCGTGGGGCATGGGCAAATGGGACTCGATGGATAACTACCTGCAGTCCATGAAGCGGCACTCGCCCGATCGCGCATTCTTCGGCGCCATCCTCGCTCTCCATCGCAACCAGTTCCGCGAGGCCGCTCTGTGCATCGACCAAGCACGCGAAGGCCTCGATACTGAGCTTAGCGCCCTCATTAGCGAGTCCTACACCCGTGCTTACACAGTCATTGTCCGTGTGCAGATGCTCGCCGAGCTTGAAGAGATCATCACCTACAAGCAGACCGATGCCAAACAGCAGGAGACGCTCCGCCGCACCTGGGAGACTCGTGTCAAAGGTTGTCAGCGGAACTCGGAAGTCTGGCAGCGAATGCTTCGGCTTCGAAGTCTCATCATGCAGCCCATGGAGAATATGTCCATGTGGATCAAGTTTGCCAATCTTTGCCGCAAATCGGGTCGCATGGGCCTGGCAGAAAAGACCCTAAAGCAGCTTATCGGCACGGACGATCAGCTCGAAGCCATGATTCCCAACTGGCAAGAGCGAGAGCGAGGAGGTACGAACCTTGTGCGCACGATCCCGTCGCAAGTCACCTATGCTGTTCTCAAGTACCAGTGGGATCTCGGTCAGCAACCAGGAGCACGCCAGTCCGGCATCTCTGAGAAGACGCTCTACTGCCTGCGTAAGTTTACTAATGACAGCGCTTACCGGCTTGAGTCCGCCAAGCAGCAGCTTACGTCGCACACTGTGAATGGCATCGACCTTCCCAACAACTTCGCCTTTGCCGAGCTTCGCGACACGCCTCTGAACCCGGACGCACAGCGGGTGCTGCACGAGCAAACAACACTCCTGGCCAAGTGTTACCTGCGGCTAGGCGAGTGGCAAATCGCTCTCAACAGCGACGATTGGCAATACACTCAGGTGTCGGACATCCTGATGTGCTATGCTCAGGCCACCAAGTACAACCCCAAGTGGTACAAGGCCTGGCACGCCTGGGCCCTGGCCAACTTCGAGGTCGTCCAGGCACACATGACCCGAAACGAGGGCCAGCTTTCCCGTGCCGACCACGGCATGATTGTTGAGCATGTTGTTCCGGCGGTCCGAGGCTTCTTTGAGTCCATCGCCCTCTCTCAGGGCAGTTCGTTGCAGGATACCTTGCGTCTGCTGACTCTCTGGCTCACACACGGTGGTCACTCCGAGGTCAACGCTGCTGTCACTGAGGGCTTCACTCGGGTCAGCGTCGACACCTGGCTGGAGGTCATTCCCCAGCTCATTGCACGCATCAACCAGTCCAACAAGCGCGTCCAGCAGTCGGTGCATAACTTGCTCGCCGATGTTGGCCGTGCCCACCCGCAGGCGCTGGTGTACCCTCTGACCGTGGCGATGAAGTCCTGGCAGAACACGAGACGATCCCGCTCTGCCGCCCAGATCATGGACAGCATGCGCCAGCACAGTGCCAAGTTGGTCGAGCAAGCCGACATTGTTAGCCACGAACTTATTCGGGTCGCGGTTCTTTGGCACGAGCTCTGGCACGAGGGCTTGGAGGAGGCTTCTCGCCTCTACTTTGGCGACCACAACATCGAGGGCATGCTGGCTGTTCTCGAGCCACTACATGAGCAGCTGGAGAGGGGTCCAGAGACGCTTCGCGAGATTTCGTTTGCGCAGACCTTCGGCCGTGACCTTACTGAGGCCCGGGAATGGTGCAGGCAATACGAAGTCAGCCATGATGTGAACGATCTTAATCAAGCGTGGGATCTTTACTATCAGGTTTTCCGTCGCATAACACGCCAGTTACCGCAGATGACCAGCTTGGAACTCACATACTGTTGCCCCAACCTCCTCAACGCCAAGGACCTCGAGCTCGCCGTGCCTGGTACCTACAAGAGTGGCCAGCCTGTTGTGCGCATCATGTCTTTCGAGACCACTTTCAGCGTCATCAGCTCGAAGCAGCGGCCGCGTAAGCTCAACATTAATGGTAGCGACGGCATCGGCTACACCTTCTTACTCAAGGGTCACGAAGATATCCGTCAAGATGAGCGTGTCATGCAGCTGTTTGGCCTCTGTAACACGCTGCTTTCCAACGACTCCGAGTGCTACAAGCGCCATCTCAATATTCAGCGATACCCTGCTATCCCGCTGTCTCAAAACTCTGGACTGCTGGGATGGGTGCCAAACAGTGACACGATCCACGTTCTCATCCGCGAGTACCGTGACAGCCGCAAGATACTTCTTAACATTGAGCATCGCATCATGCTGCAGATGGCCCCTGACTACGACAATCTCACGCTCATGCAGAAAGTCGAGGTCTTTGGCTACGCCCTCGACAACACTACCGGCCAAGATCTTTACCGAGTGCTGTGGCTCAAGAGCAAGAGCTCCGAGGCCTGGCTCGAGCGGCGCACCAACTATACCCGCTCTCTCGGTGTCATGTCGATGGTGGGCTACATTCTGGGCCTCGGCGATCGTCACCCGTCCAACTTGATGCTCGACCGCATAACAGGCAAGATCATCCATATCGACTTTGGTGACTGTTTCGAGGTCGCCATGAAGCGCGAGAAGTACCCGGAGCGCGTGCCTTTCCGCCTCACGCGCATGCTCACATACGCCATGGAGGTCAGCAACATTGAGGGCAGCTTCCGCATCACTTGCGAGCACGTCATGAGGGTCCTGCGGGACAACAAGGAGAGTGTCATGGCAGTGCTGGAAGCCGTAAGTTTTCTAATTCCCAACATTCTCTGAGGGCCTGTGCTAATTCATTCTCAATAGTTCATCCACGACCCTCTTCTGACGTGGCGGCTGACCAATGCCCAATCACCCGCTGGTCCCAACTTCCAATCCGAGCGCGAGGCGGCTATCGCCGGCGCCGGTGCTGGCGGCGCGCGCGCCCGACGACCTTCCATCCTCGACTCAGACGAGCGACCACAGTTCGGCGATCCGGCCATCGGCGGACCCCGCGGCAGGGCCCGAACCAACAGCTCTGCTGTGCCGCCCGATGCGGCTGGTGGCAGCAGCCTCATCAACGGTGGCGGCGGCGCTGGCCAGCAGGACCCGGCCGAGATCCAGAACGCGCGGGCGCTCGAGGTGCTGGACCGAGTGCAGCAGAAGCTGACGGGCAGGGACTTCAAGCCCGGCGAGGAGCTGGACGTCATCGGGCAGGTGAACAAGCTGATAATGGAGGCGACCAAGCTCGAGAACTTGTGCCAGCACTATATCGGATGGTGCAGCTTCTGGTAGAGCGGCTGGATGATGGTAGAGCAATGTGTGGCGGCGGGGTTCTTTGATGCTCGTACGCATGGGTGGATCCAAGAAGTGGCATTGGCGTCGGCATTGTTTCTGTGTCCGTACTCGGCCAGGGCTGACTAGGTATTCTGAGGCGTTGGGGGAGTTTTGTCTTGTTGACCTTTCTTGATACCATGAGCAGGGATGCATGCAGAGGAGGAAAGAGGCACTCTTGGGAGTGCGAAAGACTCGATGCCCTCTGTCTCATTATTTGAGTTCTTCGCTTACGGCCTCTGCAACGACATAAAAAGATGATGTTCTTTTGCTACGGACGAAGGGACGGCTAGCTATAGATGATTACTAGTCCTTTTTTTTTCCGATTTCTTGACCTGGCTCCGGGATGTCTTGGTGCGATGTCCGGCTGCCAAGGTTAGAGAAGCACAAGTAGCTATCGGTGTAGTAATGGGATGTGGATATTTGACTTTGCAGTGCTATTCTATCTCAAAGTGTGATTGTCATTATAGGGCGATGCAGTTGCGGCAGGCTGTCCCAGACTGGTGTACTCGCCCGCCCGCCGGCTTCAAGATTTGTGAAGCTGCACAGGTATTTCCCGTTTGACCATGCAGCTGTTGTCCTCTCAGGAACAAATCAAGACTCTCTGCATCGTCGATGCGGTGTCAAGGACTCGACCTGAGATGTGATAAGGCGGTGTCAAATACCTGCCAAGACAACCATCGCTGCGGTGGTCTAGCGGTCAGCGAATCGTGATACTGTCGCACCACGACAGGGTTGATGCTTTGAACAGTCATGCGGGGCCACGATGCCCCAAACAGATGCTCATTGGCGCAACTGCTCAAGATATACGAAAGTGGAGATTTGGTGTTGATGATCATCAACGGCTGACGGGGCGCGGGGCTTAGAGCTGGGCAGGCATAAGCCCGATTTCCCAGGTGGCACGGCATCTCTCAAGAGATTGTGCGATTGGTGATTCGGTCAAGGTTCTCGTAAAGCGACTCTTCGCCGTCGTCTTGTCCGGATTCCCTACATCTTGCCTCCGAGACTCGCACCGAGCACTGGAGCTCTGATCGCAGCCAGGGTCCTGATTCTGCCATGCCAGGCACAGAGCAAGCCCTTGCCGGCGGCGAGCTCCCTAAAAGACGGCGTGCACACCACAAGAAGGTTAGGACGGGATGTAAAACATGCAAGTGAGTTAGACGACCTACCTTTTAACACACCATGCACTCAGCAGACCCGCTGATCATTTCTTGACAATCACCCTTGTGCAGAGCGAGAAGAATCCGATGTGACGAAACCCGACCAGTGTGTGTCAGATGCACCACCAGCAAGCGGGAGTGTACCTACGCAAGCAACCACCGCACTCCGGGTCCTCCCGCTTCTCGGGACATCCTTGGTCATACGGGTATTCCGGGGAAGATGCTCATGCCTCGGCAGAACCCAAACGAGATCCGAAGTTACCAGTATTTCGTCGAAGTCACAGCGTGCTCGCTGGCCGGCTCGTTTGATACTGACTTCTGGTGTCGGGAGCTGCCAAAGATTTGTGTCGCTGATCCCGCGCTTTGGCATGCGGTTGTAGCGCTCGGAGCGGTCCACGAGATTGGCTCTTCTGCAGGCACCGCTGCGAGCCCCCCTGCTTCTAAGGAGAGGCAGTCATTCGCGCTGCAGCAATACAATGCCGCTATCCGAAGCCTGAGAGAGTCCGGCCCGCCGCGCTACACCAATGGCTGGAGAGCTGCCATCGTCTGTGCCATCTTCACGTGCATCTGCATCATACAGGGACTGTACAAGCAGGCACTGACAGTCCATGTGGTCGCGGGCTGCAAGCTGATACGAGAGCTACAGGCCGAAGAGCAGGCCTCGCTCTCTCAGCCCCTGACCTTCACTTTGCATGACGCGCTGAGTACACAACCAATCGATATCCGCCCTGTGCGGAACCTGCTCTTCCACGTGGAGAATGTTGCCCACTCCCTTACCACTGGCGGTTATGCCGACCCCAGCACCCTCCCGGGCCTCACTCAGAGTGACAAGTACGGCCTGTGGTGCTTCTACAAATCTCCTGGCACTCTTTTGGGCTGCACTCGGCACTTGATCGCGTCGCATATCGTCAAGGCGCTTCGAGCTGCCGAATCTCTACAGAACGGTCTCAATCTCTGGTGGCAGGAGAACAGACACCAGACCAACTTGCTATATGGTGATACAGGAAGGACAGAGATCTACACTACGCTGATCACACGACAAGCGGCTTATGCCCGATGCTACAAAGCGCTCCAAAGGACCGTCAAGAGGTTGCAAGCCGACATTCCGCCTCGCGACCTCGCCAATTTTGACAACGAGATGGCGTTACTTCAACTAGCACAGGCCACGAATAACTTATATCTTCTGGCTGACCCAGAGGAGCCAGACCCGGTTGCCAGATATAAAAAGATGCCGGGCTTGGCACGGCGCATCGTCGAGCTGAGTGAACAAATCGTCAGGTCAAAGGGGCTTGAGCGAGTGTCAGCCTCGACTAAATTAGGTCTGTCTCCTGATCTCGTGACGAGCAACCCGTTGTTCCTGGTCGCCCACGCCGGCCACTCGATCTCGACACGCGCGCGGGCCTATGGGCTACTAAAGCAACCTCGCCTCGAGGGTCTGTGGGAGACGCCGATGATGGCGAGCCTTGCCAAGGCCATGTGGACTACGGAGAAGGAGACACAGGACGCGTGGCAGAGGTCTCAGCCCACTTCTGCCAACGTGCAGATGGAAGCAGAGGTGTCGAGCCCGTACGGAAGCGATAACATAGCTCTCCCATTTCGTGTCTACAGCGCCAGTCTTCAGTTCTCGGATGTCAAAGGCGAGGCGATAGCTAGCATGGTAACGCACATGGGCCAGGAGCAGGGCACGCCTCCCGTGAAGAGAGTGATCCACTGGTAATGCGTAGGTCATGAGTGGAGAATTAATATCTAAGAGACTTGGTGGTTCACAGCTACTAATGGTTTTGTCGGGTCATATCCTCCCTCAGCTGAAAGTGAAGTTCTCAGTGACTCTGTCGAATACGCTCCGCGATCCAACAACTGTTTAGAGTTATCGAGGCATCACAGTTTGATCTTGCGGCTCAGTCTGATCTTCTCTCCATAAAGGAAAAAGACCCATGGGATCGGCAGCATTGCCACTGCTAAGAATCCCAACAAACTGTTCCCCCAACCGAGGCCGAGCGAGCGATACAAAGGGGGTCCGGCCAGAGGCAGGAAAGCACCGCCTATGGAGCGCAAAAGAGTATTCGCTGCCAGAGCAGAAGCGGCAGCCTCCGCACCAAAACAATCGACGAGGTACAGCATAGACGGTGTCTGATGGGCATGACATTAGCTTCAACAGGGGCAGAAAGACAGGGTAAACGGAGAACGTACGAGGAAGAAAGTGATACCAATGCCAACAGGAAAGGTACCGATGATGGGCACTATCCAGTGCGCCTGCTTGTAAGTTGACCACCCGTACCAAAACATTCCGATAGGTATGGCCGGGGCAGTGACTGCCATAAGGGGGAGCCGATCCTCGGGCTTAGTCCGCCCATTCCGCGCCTCGAGCCACCTCATCATCCTGTCTCCCACGACCGCCTGTACAGCTAGCCCACTGATCATGCCCAGGCCCACGCCGATATACGACAGGCCCGACACCTCGACGGACCACGCGTACTGTCCCATGAAAACGGCAGAGAACGTCGTAAAGAGAAGGAGAAGCAAGCCAAAGCAGAATGCACCGTACAGGGAGATGGCGAAGACGATCGGCGAGAGGAATAGCAGCTTCAGTGGGCGCACGATGCATCTGCGAAATTCACCCCCAACGGTGGGTGCCGCAACGGCCTTGGCTTCTCCTCTCTCCTTGCGCCGGCGGGCCTCTCTGCGACGAAGGATGACAGGAGCGTAGGTCTCGCGGAGGAGAAACACGCCGCCGGCTGAGAGGACACCAATCTGCGATGGGTACAGGTCAGGAGACAGACTGGAGATGATATAGAGGAGGGCTCTTGGACTTACCGCGATAGACATAACGCGGAACACCCACCGCCAACCAGCTCGCTGCGCAATGAAGCCACCCATAATTGGGCCGATGGTTGGTCCTATGAGTGGCCCCAACACAAAGAGGGCCATCCACCTGCCTCTCTGGCTGATCGGGATGACATCTGCCAGGGTGCCGCCACTCATAGCCAGTCCAGCAGCTCCGGCAGAGCCGCTGATAAAGCGGAAGGCCATGAACTCACCCAGGTTCGTCGCAAACGCGCTTCCTAGGATGAAAGCAAGGAACACGGCGGTTGAGACGGCATAAATGGGCAGGCGGCCGTAGAGTTCCGACAAGGGTGCCCACAGGAGCGGGCCAATTGCAAAGCCGAGCACGAAGACGGACACGGTGAGCGAGGCCACAACTTCGCTATCGAAATCGAATTCCTTCATGACGAGGGAAGTGCCCGGGGCATACATCGTCGCGCAAAGATTGCTGTTTCGTTTGGTGTCAGCCACTTGCGGCATTGGCAGCGGGTGGGATCTGAAAGGGCACAAACACAGTGAGAAGGAGCGCGGCGACGAGAAGGACCTGGCCTTGTCGCATAGCCGCCGACCAGTTCATGGGATTATCGGGGTCGTCTGGGCCATCCCATTGCAAACCTCCGGCTGCAGTGTTCCCTGGAGATGTGGTCGTCGCCTTCTCTACATCGAGTCCTACATTCGCAGAACTGCCGGCCTGAGGATCGCTATGCGCTCCCACGTTTGTTACTGTCATGGAAGCTGTGTCATTGTCGCTCGGTACTTCCGAGACGGTTTTCTTCTCAGACGCCATAACTGCTAGAACAGGACTGAGAGGCTTCGAACATTGAATACGAACCAAAACAGACACAAATTGCCAAGGCTTTTGTTTGCTTTTAATGGTACTCAATCCATCGGCGTTAAGGCACCATAGCCAGGATACATTTTTCGGCGATGGTAGGGCGCCGGAGAGGGTCATTTGTTACCCCCGCGCATACGGAATTTGCATCTTAATTCCGTAATTAAGGGTTGGTGTCTGGAATAATGTTTCTGAAACTAATACATCATGTTCACCGCGTCGTTCTGGATGTGTCAAGAGCACAGAGTAGGTATGATTCGGCGTTGATCTACCCAAGTCCCGTTTGAAGCTTACATGTTGGGCAACGGAATAGGTTCTGGATCTCCGCGTATGACCCAGGCCAACATTTCAACACTTCGTACTCTCTGGTCTCTACATGGAATCGTCAAATGAGATGCTCGATACAGGTCACCATCCTCATCTGTGTGCTGAATAGCATCTGGACTTAAGCATCCAATCTGACTAGTACAAAGTTCATTAGCTGGAAGATATCCCTCATCTCATGTGTTCAACACCTTATGGGGAGTTATCTCAATACATCCAATTTCTCGCATGTCGATCACGATATCTATATTATCTAGAGCGACTTGATCACAACTGTATGTGGATTTGCCCCGAAGAATATCCACAAGGGTCGTTCTTGGACACACCTTTACGAGACCAGTCATGGCCCCGGTAGCCACTGCATGCTTGCTCAACATCTCGTCATGTATCGGACTAAGTCGAATAGAATGCCGTTTGGCTAATCAATCAACAATGTAAAACATTGGCGCAACAAGAGCCAAATGCTCGCATGGATTCAGTCCATGGTTGGTCACAAGCCACACAACAATCCGAGAGATAGCACCAGCGCAATGAGCAGGTTGACAGGCACAGAGCCTCATTTGCAACTTGCGGCTTCTGCCTCCGGTAAGATGATTCAATGTTGGCTGCTCTGAGCCTCGATTGCCCCGCTACATCGCGGTCTGACATCAAGGCATTGCGGCCTGCCGGTTATCAGAACGCCCAAAACAGCCCTTTTAGTACCAAGACCACATTTTTTCGGGTTGAGGGTGCCTGGTGGCGTTTTTTTATTGGACCACAGCACTGAACGCCACATGCAGGCATTCATGCAGCTGTTGTTGCTTTGGGGTCGTGATTGGTCGATTATGTCTGCCCCAGGCACACCTGCGTGAAGGCCATCGGGGGCTGAAATCACAAGGCTCGATCGGAGTAAGATGATGAAAGAAGAAAAACCTCAGGGGGACTCGAGAGATGCTTCGTCATCTCGCGCTGCCAGATCTGCAAATGCTGGCCGTGCTCACTGCATGTTTATAGAAGGGGAATGAACACTAGCAATGAATTCATCTACCACGATCTCGGAGCTGAGAGCGCAGTGGTCGAGTCCTGTCGACACATCCAGCATCCTCCTCGTCATCGGTGGGGACGTGGTGCAGCAGGCCTTCGCGCAGGGAACAGGAAAGTTCTATACGCCGGTGTGCTTCTCATTCGGTTGCGTCGCCTATGCCTTCATCGCCCTGGTCAACGTTATCGGCGATGGCAGACTCCTGCCAAAGCCAGATTATCCGGTCAAAGTCATCAACCTGGACTCTGGATACGCCCGCGAGAACAAGAACTGGGTCGTGGGCCGGATGTTGCGTGATATCGAATCGACGCTGGCGCGTGACACCCCTCTCGACGATGATGGTATCCGAATTACCGTCCACGAGGCTCTGTGGAATTCAAACAGATACACGCAGTTCTCATGGAGATGGTCTCATCTCATTGGGCTCACCTGTACACTGGTTCAAATCGCACTGGCTGCTCTCCCATACGGGCTCTATGGAGAATGGAGCATTCTGCTCATCACCCTGGCCGGCACGGTCTTGGTCCAGGTGACTGGACTGCTCCCGCAGTGGAAAGCGGAAAAGCTGCCAAATAGACAGAGATCAAACGCGGTCTATGCGCTTACCTCTGGTAACGGATCTAGAGATATCGTCGTCATCATCGGCAGGGGGAACTGCCTCGACCTCGAAGAGCTCTCTGCATCGCAGTCTCCGCGGATAGGTCGCCCATGGGAAAAGTTCAGATGGCTTGCGGTCCCCAAGGTTGGACCTGACAAGAAGCCTCTGCCGATGAGGCGAGATACGATGCAGATGAAATCCCGAACTTCGGCCGGTTTTCCCATCGGCTTTTGGATCACCAGTATCGTTTCAGTCATTCTGTCCATCCTTTGGCTACTGCTGTTGGTCAATGTCGCCGCGCCCAAGAACCATACCTGGTTTCTGCTGGCTGTCGGAGGGATTGGCATGTTTCAGAATGCCTGGCTGGCCGCCAAAGAGACGTCGCCTAGGCTACGGAACATGCCGATGAAACGCATCGACACGATCAAGACACGGAAAGTGATGGACGGTCTGATGGACTTTGAGGCTACGTATCAACGCGGTACCCCGCTGCTCAAAGAGTTCTTCCCCGGACGACTGCGTGACGAAGAGAAGAAATGGTGGGCGGGCGACACTGAAGAGTATGAGAAGAAGCGGGAACAGGATAGGAAAATGAGGGGCATTTCTCGCCGACGGGAGCCCGTCTTTGCTCCCTCGCCTGTCCTTCTAGAATGGCGGCCATCTCATCCTTCCCGGGACTATGACGATGATTCTGAGTACGCGTCTCCAGTGAAGGAAAAGAGAACATACGAGCCGCGGAACTCGCCAGTTTTTGAGGAAGACCAAGATCCATCTCCCTATCAAAGTGAATATGGTCTCGAGAGCCGAGCGAAGCCTGCTGCTTTGTCCACAGCTCGAACGTCGGAAATCCGGGCAAGTGCTCGGGCTTCTGATCCAGGGCTGAGAAGCTCGATCTATCGCCAGACTTTGACTGAAGTTGGGCAAGAGGATAGCACGAGTGACTCCCGGCACCTGGACCTACAATACAGCCCGCGGAGCATAACCCAGGTGCGGTCAGAATCCCCTTCGATACGAAGTCTCAATATCGCTAGAAGAGCCACAGAGACGCCAGGATGGGCAATGTGATCTGATGTTGGATCTTCGGAGGATTCGTTTTCTTATATCTCATATCAAGTTCACGGCTTGGATGAGCCCTTCAAGAAACGTATTTGGAGGCTTTCTGATTATCTCTTATTCAACAACAGGTTCATATCCTATGAACGTGTTTGACATGCTATTATGCCCATTAAGTATTATTCATATAATTTAGAGAAGCTATCACCATCGAGGTATCTTTTTCAATGCCCCTTTGCTAGCGTGGCTATCCTGTTAAACTGGCCAGTGACAGTGCCAGTAAGACTCCTCGCCATTTTCCCAAAAGGGGTGTTCTCTTCATGAACCGAAGAAGGCCCTGCAGGGCCCGTACTGGACGACGTTTCGCGCCTGACGGGCACTGCTAGTTCTTTTCCCTTTCCACCACCGCCGCTCATCTCAGCTAGTCTGGGTGATGCTGGAATTGCCAAAGGAGCTTGGCCTGTTAAAGAGAGTATACCCTGCATTCCACGGGCAAGAATGCTCTTATCGTCACCCTTACGACTAGCGAGCTTGGCTGCCCTTTTCAATGCTTGAGCGTTTCTCGACTTCTCGTCCTCCTCTGCACGAATGCGATCCCTACACGGTTTGTAATCGTCTACGCACCAATGCTGATCAACCGATGTAAGCTCCCCAATGAGTCTGTCGTCTGTCAGCCCGTTGAAGAAGTTGGGCCGGCTTCTTCGGATATGGAATCTGTCGATGATGCGGCAAAAGTAGATCTCGTGGTCCTGGCTTTCGCCCTCGTTCTGTCGCCGTGCAACATTGTATACCTCGACAAGCAGCCCAATCTCATCAGGCCTCTCTCTTGGCTGCGGGCGTGACAGAATGATTGCAAACCAAAGAGTCTGCTTTGCTTCTGTGATCTCAGTCGCGTCCGGCTCTACGCGTTCAAAGTGCTTGCCGACAGTGTACCACTCATTGAATCCCCTGTCGACCGGAAAGTCAAAGGTGAATCCTTCTTCCTTCTGTGCAAGGAATGTCTCTGGCCGAGTGCAGTGTAGAATGATCCCGGGGTATCGAACGACTAATCCCTCGGGAAGGAGCTCCGTGGGGTACTTCATCTGGGATAAAGGGTATGGATAGGACTCGGGCTCGATATCGGTGGTGCTGCTCATCCAGGATCTCGGGGACCATCCAAAGCCGGGGAATGTCAGCCGATCCAGAGGGAGGAAAATCATTCCTGCGGGTATTGATCCTTTATAGCGCCGATCAATCAGTGTCCAAAAGTCTCTCATCATACCATCCCGCTGCTTGGCTGCGTCTGGCTTGTCTAGTCCTTGAACAACACCTCCAGCCTGTGAAATGGTCGTGTCGCGATAGCTCAGATGCAATAAGGTGGCCAGAGCCAGAGTCTCATCCTCTAGCCGTGAGGTTGTCTTAATCGTAAGTTAGTAAGTAATGTTCGATGGGGCGTTTCGGATACACTCTAAGCTTACCCTCCACCGAACAGATCGCCATGCGCTTGCGATTAAAGTTGAGCCCTTTTGCGGTACAGAAACATCTGCAAGATTCCGCGACTGCCTCTCCTTACCCATGAGATTTTCAAGCAGCTGCTGCCTCAGAATGCCCGCCATTGCCGCCTGCAGCGTCTTTTCTTCATCATGATTCCCATTGAGCTGCTGGAGAAGGATATCAAAGTCCCAACCAGGGTGAGGGATCTCATTCGGATTGTCACTGGTACGGTGAATATCCAAGCGTGATTCAAAGCTGATGCATATCGTCTTGCTGAGAAAAGCCTCCTGGAGAGTCCAAAGTCGTCGCATCCAAGTGCTAGTCAAGAGCTTCATCGACGCCTCGATAGGCTTGCCCATAACACGCTGCTGGCAAAGATCTTTGTCGATGACAATGGCGTGCGTAGATGCTTCAAACACGTCGTATATTTGACGTATAGAAAGCTGCTTCAGCTCGTTGAAATCGTCTGGCGAGATAGTGGCGTTGGCCTCGCCCCGAGAGCCATTGGCCCGACCTTGTAGAGTCTTGCACCTTACAGGGATAGCAAAAGTATCCAACCAGAACGGCGCACTGAGAGTCGTAGAGTCGGAAGGCACTCCAACGGCCTCGAGGAGCTTGCGTATGAACCTCAGCTGGCATTCGTGCACGGTGTTCTCTTCCTTGTTCCCAAGGCCCTGAGACCAGACGTGGGATATGGTGGCGAATGGCAACTTATTCCCGCTCTTGCGCCACGTGTGAATTTGGATGCTCAATGCACCATCCGATTCTTTGATTCTGAACAGCGGGAATTCGAATCCCTCGTCCCCCCCAGAACGCTTCACAATCCTGAGAATGTCATAGATCCTGTCCATGTCTGGTCCAACTTTGCAGCACTGCCCCGTCTGGCATCTCGTAGCGAAGTTTCCGCCATCTTCTGGGTGGCATTGAGGGATGTAGCGTGAATCGGCAGTTGCGAGTTGGGTGTTCTTTGCCCAAGGCTGCTGATGCAGATATTGACATCCATCCATATTGCAAAGATCCCCATGGTCCTTTGCGCCAGCATGGTGCTTCAACGCCGCGAGCAGCAGAGTTGCATTGGTCCCCATCTGGATGCTGAGCACTTTCCTTGCGTGGGGACAAAACCTTTTCTCTTCCATCCTGGAGAACACGTACTCCGGAGGACCCCAGCCTTCCTGGTCCTCGGCATGCCAGCCGCGGACTGCAGCACGGACAGATTCGGTTATCTTCTTTTTGACAGCTGAGAGAGTTTCTCCAAGAATCATGATAGAAATCGAGATCACAGAGTCTACCTTGAAGTCGTGAGGCGCACCCTTAGCGAGATTCGTCCTGACAACTTGCCGAGCGAGCTCGAGGATTAGGTCTGCTTGAACGAGTCTCAGTTTCGCCGTCGAGCGGTTGACACGCTCAGACCGATGCCATTCGTCCAGCTCAGTCTGCAAATTGGCCGTGTCGATGAGTCCATTCATGTTGCGTGTCCTAGGCCCCTGCTGAAATGATCTAGTGAGGTCCGAAAACTTCAACAGCGGATGCCCATCCTTTTTCACAATGCATGAGATGAGAGCAAAAAAGAGCCAGGCCTGTATAAAAGCATCCCTTGATTTAATGGGCACCACCTCCAGCGCTTTGGGCCCATGCTGTCTCGATTCTTCGTATGCCCTTCGCTCTTCCAGGGTTAACAAACGGAGTGAATAGTTCTCCTCATCCAGTTTCCAGCCGTGCATGGCGGGAAACTCGAGGAAGTCGGCATACTCGTAGCCATGGCCAAAGAAATCGGTTTGACGACAACATGAAACCGTGGATACCACACAGGGAACTTCTATATCGAATTCGCCGTAGCAGTCAAAGAGGTGTTGCATCTTGGCATCTACAATCCACGCTGACCGTTGGAATAGGCTGGCTTGGGAGGTGGGAGAGGGAGCCTGAGCAGCGCATAATGTGATCTCAAACGTGGCCCCGGACTAGAGGCAGAAACCGCCCACGAGGGCAGGCTGAAATACGGGCTCTCAAGGGCCGACCCGATGAGGCTCAAGGCTGAGAAACTTTGGTACTTCCGTCTCGCAAGCGCCGAAGGAAGGGTTCGGCATGGTGGTGGGTCGGCCTGCATGTCGCCATGCCAATGACAACGCATCTCCACCCTCCATGCTGCACAATCAGTTACATTATGGCTTGGACGAGTGTTCAGCAGCACGCGGGAACTACCAATGGCAGCGTTGCCGTGGTCTAGGGTTATCGTAATGGGACGGTGATCGAGCCCTCTTTCAGCACACCTTCCGCTCTCGCCCATTTTTGGCCCCCGCCACGGCCGGTTCTAAGGTGCATAAGATGGGATTCTCGGTACCTAAGCTCGCGACCGTGTGACTTTGTTTTCCAGCTCCTGACGCCGTGGCTTCAGCACGGTATTGAGTGAATACGGCTACCTGAAGGGCTGGCGATAACTCTGCGACAAATTAGCCCCCCTTACATCCAAAAGAAGCATAGTACTAGACAAGGGACGGGAGACTCGACTAGCAGCTGAGCAGCGGACACATGATGGCGCCAACTGATCCGAGGATGGGAAATTCCAGTCAGACCATACCCCCCTTCAAGTCTCCCTCGAGTCCTACGAAGCAGGTCATTGCCACCTTGCTTCCGACCAAAAAAGCAATGGTGGGGGCCTGACGTGAGAGGTGCCTTAGTTTGCTGCATCTGTGGCATTTCCAAGTCCCAAGGACTCGTGGCAAAGTTTTGTCATTTGTGTGTTGGCATCGGACAGGTTGATGTGTGTCGGATACGTCCAAACAAAGAGGCCACGACAAGAGAAGACATGCCTTGGGGAAAAGAATGAGCCAGGGTCAGTTTGAGAAATGGCCAAGGTGGCAGTGATAAATGCTCGCTAATCCATCCACACAATTCTGCATTTTTCCCAACTGCCTGGCTGAGAGCTGAGACACACTCAGCCACCGGAATCTGCCTCGTGTCTGGAGGCAGCACCCACCAACCAAGCACGCAAGCGTGTAGTGTCCATCCTGGTCTTCCCGGTCACGCTTGCAGGTTCTCCATATCTCTGGATCTCTAGCAGATCCCTGTTCCTGGGTTTCCACACGTCATCTCATGCTTCAAATCTCGCATTGTCCACGTAGATCGAGTCTCAAGACTCGATTCAGGAGGACTTCACGTATAAGAGCAAGAGGATGAATAAAGTCAAAGTAAGATACTCTTACAAACACCCTACAATGATGGATTTCGTACCTGACAAAGATGCACGTTCGACAGATACACAGTTGGCGATTAGTGCGCGACGACCGTGGTAACACGGATAGTGTCGAGTAAGTGTACAATTCGTTCCCTTCAATAAGCGATACGCCCTGACCCTTCTCTAGAGTTATTGTAGCGCATGCGCTTAAGAACTATCGCAATGCCGGAAAAGGTATTGAAAGGCTGGTTCAGTCGGTGCACGAGAAGCTGCCCTCGTCGGGCAGGATACGCGTGTTTACGTGCGATGTGGACGACGTGATTATACGTGGAGAAAAGGGATTCGACGCTGCTTATCAAGTATTCCTCGATGTTATGGCTGAAGCCTTGGTAGGACGACTCGTTTCGATTTCTTTCCACTCTTACAAAATCAACGTAACTCATGAGACCAAACAGGTTAAAATCGGGTCAACACGCCAGATGCTCTTCATATGCCATGACATTGCATCTTGGCTTGTAATCCGATTTCTTGCCGAGTACCTTCCCAAGCATCTCGAATATTCACAACGAGTAGCTGGCGCTATTCTTCTGGGCATTGATGCACCGGCATGGGACGCAAACTTCAGGCATAAAGACCAGCTTGAAGGATGGAGAGAGCGTATAGTTGAGCGGTTACGAAACAACTCGAATATCATAGAGAGAAAGAAGTACAAGAGGGTACCTCCAGCTAACGAGCTAAGCGTCCGATTGAGATGGCTAGAAGCCTGCTTCATTGATTCGACTAGAAACTCGCCTGAGGTGAAACGCATCAGAGAACGCATCTTTGCGCTACCACTTACCAAAGATGCTCGTGTCTCGGAAATCGTACGCCTTTGCTATATTGGCCGCAGCCCTTTCTATGCTTGCTGACTTGAATAACAGCCTCCTATGGAAAACCCTCGACGTAGCAGCTCCACGCTCTTCAACATGAACCTGGGTAAAGAACCACCGCCACCGACTGAGTACGATATGAGACTGGACCAACTGAGCCAACCTCTGCTCGATATAATCCGGTATCTCGAGAACGACCATCCCGACACAGATAAGGTGCATTTTAGTCAGGCGTGCCAGTATTTTCGAAGCATGCTTGCGATTCCGGACAACGGAGACAAGACAGGGACAGACAAGGCAGAGAAGGAAGAGAAGGCTGAGAAAGCAGGGCCCGACACAATACAGAGGAAGTTCCGAGGCCCAGAAAGTGTGCAGCCACCACCCACTTTGAGTCCTCTGCGGTTTGAGGAGAGCACCCCACACACTATCCCGATCCCTATACTACGATCATCCCCGCCACCACCGAGTCCCCAGAGCGACTGGGAGGACAGCTTTCGGCGTGCCCAGGACTACTTCCTTCGCTGTGAGCTCCACGATGCAGACATACTCTATGACGAGTGTGGAAATGCAGTTAACCAGGATCTCTTTGCCGGCACTGATATTCCACTGCGGAGTATGTTCCAACGCGCTGTCATATTGATTATGAAGGGCAAGTACGATCGCGCGAGAAACAGGCTGGAACGAATAGAGGAGGAGTGTGACGAATGGATCAGAATACTGGACAAGGAGTCTCAAGGCATGAGAGTGACGTTTAACCACGCAGTATCAGCCGAGCCCATGGGACCGCCTCCCAAAAGAGTGTCGGATCTTGGGGGCGTATCGTCTACCAGAGTGCGATGGACGAGGGAGAAGGACGATTTGTTCCGCAACCTAAAGGTTCTTCGGCAGAGGGCCGGGTTTCAAATTGCTGTCACCTTCACAAGGCAAGGCGATCTTTCAAAGGCGTCAGACCTAGTGGTTGCGCTACACAAATTGTATGAAGGCCTTCGTGAACAGCTCTTTGCCGGGGAGATCGAGTCCGTCCAGAGCCAGGCTGGGGTCGCGGGCCCTCAACTCAAGCTTGTCGTTGCTGTGAGCAGGCTTTTAGGCCTCATCAATGGATATCTCGGCCGGTACAACAAGGCGGGAGCCCTCCTGGACGAGGCAGAGAGGATATGTCACGCCGTACAGAACAACAAGGCCCCTGAGAAGAGCCGACCCGGATTACCAGCGTCAACTCACGATATAGAATCATTGCCCCCGACAACGTACGGATATGGCCTGGAAGCCGCCGAGGAAGGCATCGACACCGTGGACACAATTCTGGCCGCAGTAAAGCTCAGCAAGGCCAAGGTACTGATGATGCGAGGTCTCTACAAGGAAGGCCTCGTAACCATCGAGGAAGCCCTTCAGACAATGGAAGAGGTCCTAGGCCTCTCGCACCTCCTATCTCTCGAAGCCCGCTACATCAAGTCAATGCTCCTTGCGCTCAGCTGTCGGCTCAGACACGCTCACGCATTCAGCCAAGAGACCATCAAAATCATGAACAAGCACGTCTCCCGAGAACATCCTCTGTCTCTGGAAATGACGAACACGCTTGTTACCATTTACAAGCTTCAGGCCCGGCCTCTCGAGGCACTGAGTATCTGTCAAACCTTGTCTACAATTGCCAAACGTACATTAGGAGCGCGCAACCAGCAGACGCTGCGGTACATGTTTCAAGAGGCCTCTCTCAATCGATGGATAGGCAACTATGAAGATGCAAAGAGCCTGCTACAGGCCATACGGATGGAAGCCAAGGAAAAGTGGGAGCAGACGCATCAGTTGGACCAACATCCGTGGACGATGCAGTGCGTTGCCGAGTTGGCATACTCGTACGCTCTGACCGGTGACTACACATCAGCAGAGGAGGCAATCTCTCACGTCCTGCAATCTCAAAGAGTGCTTTATGGACCCACTGAGATGAATCAATCGACGGACTCTAACAACGCCAAAGGGCTCAGGGCCGAGCAAGGCAAAGAACTGAAAACAATTGTCTCCGAACTCGTTGCGGAAATCCCAAGGTGGCGATCATATTCCTCAGCGATATCAGATCAGAAGTCGTCAGAACCGGCAACTCTGTCAAGCATACTGGGCAGCGGTGGCCCCCATCACGATCTCTTGACAACTCTCGAGATTTGGGCCAAGATTGAGATTTCCAGGCCCGACGCGGATCGGTCATTAGTCATCGTGGTACAGCGTTTGGTTTATGACTGCCGCAAAGCTTCATGCGGACCGGACCACGCCACCACTCTCAATGCTGCAGTCGACATAGCCAACACCCTCCGCGAGGACTCGATCCCTGAGCATGTTGAGGCAGCTGCTAAGTACTACAGTGAAATCACTATAGATAAGAACGATTGTAGGGACTGGTTGGATACTGAACATCCTTTGAAGCTCGCCGCGAGACAGGGCGAGGCTCTGGTCAAGATGCATACTGGGTTGCAAGAATTCGAAGGACTTGAAGAAATTGCCAGTTATTTTGGTTCCATCGCTGAGCAGCAAACTCTCCGCCTAGGGCGACAACATCCTGAGACTCTGCGGTCGCTATTGACAACTTTCGTTGTCGTCTCTCTTCTCGACAACGAGAAAGGCATCAAGATTTCCAACGACATTCGCGAGCGCCTGCGAGCCCAAAATGTCCGGAAACAACGGCGTCAAGAGAGCGTCCTCCTCCGGGAAAGGCTGGGCTTTTTGCATTACGTCAGGGCAAATATAGAACAAGCGCTCCAAATTTTTTCAGAGCTAGTACATGAGCTCAAGATAGGCGATCTACCAGCGGATTCCGATGGTCTATACGACAGGAATGACATAGAGCGCAGAATACGACAGCAAGAGAAGGTTGTACGGGATGCAGCCAAGGAGACCTATGAAGAGACAGTCGCCGAAGCACGGGCGGAGGAAGGTAAGAGGTTCCACCATGATGCGGAGCCCAAGTACTACTCGGCATGGAATCTCGCCATTGTGTTATACGGGAGAGATTCCTCGGAGGCCGAGATGATACAGTACGAATGGGCAAGATCCCTCTGGAACTGTGGCGGCTCCTGTCGGAGGAGAAGTACACCCGGTATCGTCGATGAGCGTCCGCCGCATGAGCCGGTGGATCCGGCTCAGCACCAAATGGCAGCCTTCAGCGTCGTCAAGTCACTTGCGCTGGGGAAATCACACGACGATGTCTTTGCTCTGACATTGAGACAGACTTTAGAGCAATGGTCGCATGAACTTGGAATGCTTGAAACTGTAGAGAAAGCAGACCAGGCGACGCCGAAGCATCGCTCTTCCGAATCAGAGGAGCGATGAATGAGATACGGGAAATCATCTAGTCCTCTAGCAAAATTTGGTCTTGAATAACCCGTGATATTGGAGCAATATGAAACTTGCTGAGACGCCTGTCCATATAGGACTGCAACCCAGCATTAAGATCCCACAACAATTCCTGTGCTTGCCAATCAAAACTAAGCTCCCGAGAGAATGATATCTGAAAAGACAGGCTTTCGGCTTGCTCCATCTCTGACATTGAAACGATAGTAGTTGAAGACCAGGTTGCTTCTAGGCACCCGGTTAGTGTATAGAGAGAATTATGACACCGAAGATGTAACAGTCGTCTCATATTATCTATATTCGAACGTCTTTTGGCCGCGAGAAATGGTCAATTGTTGATTGTTACATTGGGTTAACCCTATACTATCTTCCGGTGTAGTTTGAGTGGAGATACGTGCCATATCATTGCCCACCAAACACCTCCAACAAAGGTCTGATACAGATCAGGAGTAATTGGCAAACACCTTGTCCAACCAGTCATGGGTAGTCTTAAAGGCTACAGGAGCTGTGTAGTGTAGGCTGAGGCAGTGTCCTGCGTCGGGCACAACAAAGAAATCGTAGCGCGAAGACTTGGGGAACACGTCCGTTCCCGTCTTAGCAAGTGTGGCAGGGCATTCGGCCACGCCGCTGGGACAGAAAATACCGTCTTGGTCGCCCGTTACAACGAGCACTGGGCCAGTGTAAGGCGTGTGGGATGCTGGTAGGATAGCAGGCGTCAAGAACTCTCCGAGCGTGACTGCGTCTCGGTGTTCAAAGTCCCACTGTCCCATGGCGGGATCGAAGCCGCCGGCGAAGAAACCCGCGATACGTCCAGCTGCTGTGGTTGAGGTAACGTAGCCGAGCGGGAGATCCTTGAAGCGGGGTGAGGTAACAGCGGCCGACTGGAGGTCATTCAATGTTGCCAGAGGGAAAGATAGATTGCTCGAAAACCCGGTAAGAACGAAGGCGTCGACAGCAGAAGGATATTCTGCGGCAAGATGACTTGCAGTCAAGGAGCCATAGGAGTGTCCGACCCAGGCGATACGATGGTATTTTCCTCCAGGAACACTAGAGAAGGAACCATCTTTGAGGCCCTTGACAATGTTGTGCATAAGCTCGATCTGGATTTGCCCCTGGACGATGGCCAAGGGCTCTGGATGCTGGGGGTTCTCGCCGTGACCCAGGCGGTCGATGGCTAGGGTGTGGTAGCCGCGTGAGGTGGCAAAGAGCTGCCAGTCATAAGTGTCCTGACCGAAGCCTAGGCCATCCCAGAGACTTTTGTTGTACGTCGCTCCGTGAACAAGGAACTGCAGCACACCTTTGTGCTTGACTCCAGCTGGGGGCTCGCAGAATGTTGCCTTGATGGTATATGTGTCGCTAATAATAGCCGTTCCAGTAGCGGGCGCACCAGTCTGGATATTTGCAAGAAGGTAGTTCCGTATATCAGTGGCGTTGTTGGGGTCTGGGGAGGGATTGATGACGAGGTTCTCGGCCTTGACTGGCACCGAGAAAGAGACTGGCTTGCAAGACGCACCTGCTGTGGCAGATCCAGCCAGTAGGCTGCTGACAGCAATAATTGTCGGCTTCATTATGACTAGCTCGGAGGGTTCAGTAGCCTATGATCTTGAGCCAGGAAAAAGAGTTTTTGTGAAATGAGTCCGAAGGCTGGCATTTATAGACAATCCAGGGGCAGAAAATCTCGTGAAAAAGGCCCAGTGATCTCTTGTAGATACTCATCAGTTGCCGTCATTTTTTCCCCTCTTTCCCCCAACGACCCCCGAGGTGGTGAACGCGAGTTCTGGACGAGTGAACCCTTTCAGACCCATCACGGCCTGCTCATGGGATTACTGGCACTAGCCTAGTCAAGTCAACATAGCGTTTTTGGAGGCATCACCTCGTGTTGACGCTGACCAAAACCCTGTCAGGTGGCCGAGATTGTGTAAGCTGTAATTATGGAGTACCATGATGCTGGCCTGAATCGACCACACCCGGCCACGCTGCTGTCCTGGCAATCAAGGCTTCTGGTCTTAGTGATACAGCCCAGAGGATGGTCAGAGCGAGTGGAAGGAGGTACATCGAAAATACAATAGCGGTTCTAGCCTCAAGTCCAAGGATAAGCAATGGATGAGTATCTATGATTTACTGGCAATGATAACGCATTCCTACATGTACAGATCATATTCCAGATAGAGAGAAATCACCGCTGATAATAAGAAACGCTTCTCATGACCTAGAATACCGTTGGAACCCAAATACCTGAATAGATTAGCCACCAAGTTCCATCGCTTGCCCAAAAAGCACGTTAATCAAGGTCCCAAGACCTTTGCGGAACGGAAGGAGAAGGTCTATTCCGATAGAAGTCCCTCGGGGAAATCAAGAGCGTAATCAACACTCTTACACGGACAACTCCCGGAAGCTGGTCCGGCCACTAGGAACCTGTGACAGAAGTGCCATGTGCCGACATCAACCGGTGAGGCTCATTCTGGCATTAGGGCTGACTGTCAGCACACACACACATACACACACACACAAGTTCATCCCAGGGCGATTGCTAATACGGTGGGAAAGAACGGATTGATCTGGTGGTCCAGGTTTTTTGACACAAGTCCTATGACAATGGAGTTATCGGAGATGAAATTCCTATTCCCAACCCCGAAGATGGCCAGGTTGTGGCGGGATGATCAAGGTTGGCGACAAGAACCTTCCAAGCGCCCAAAGCACGATCTCTGTTTGAATGCATTTTGACTTCTTTGTGGTCTATCTAGGTATCCTACAAATATAGTGGAGTTAATAGAGCTCGTGACCCTTCCTTCTCTAGAGAGCTCCTGCGAGGACTAGTAGGCCATCAGCCCCAGCAATCATACCCCTCTCCCTTTGAATCCCTTATATTCCATCACATCCTTTTGCTTGCCAAGATCAAGTAGAAGCCTAGATCAAGAAAAGTAGGCTTCTACGGCCAAGCACGCCGCCATGGCTGCCAAGCCAAACAAGTAACCACGCGCCTTGACTGTAAGTATTAGCTGGGCCAATGAGTAGCTGGCACAGTAAGCAACAGGTAATTACGCGTGGTATTGGGGGCGAAGTCAGACACGGAGTAAGGCAAACCTTTCAAGTGGTACCCTAACATCGATGATGTGGCAGATTTCTCGGTGAACTCCGAAGAATTCGGCTGGGGGTTACAGCACCGCGCAAATGCCAGACGAAACTGATGGAAAATCCGACCATGTAGCAGCAGTAGCTCGTGAACTCATCTCGAAATAGCGAACAAACCTCTCCTTCCTTTCCTTCAGCTTACCTCGATCTATCGCACACTATCCATCCTCCTGTGTCTCTCAGTAAAGTAAGCTCTATTCTCTATGGCTGGGCAACGTCCCCTTTTGCTAAGTCTCATTGCGATCTCCATCGGTGGGGTTACTTTTTCGCTCACTGTCGCAACGCTAGGTTTGCTGCTTAAGTGCACCCAGATCACATACCCTATTGGGTATGCCATGGTAAGACATTCGTTCCTCTCGACGGCTTGTGATGTTGCAGGAATATTGGATTCACCCTGGATTTGTAGGTCGCTTGGTCAATTGTATATGAAGCTTACAAGATATCCTACCAAGTCGTCAATGGAAAGCCACTTCTGCGACTCGTTTGGCTCTTGATGGCTTTCCTTGACTTTTGTTCGGGGGGTGTTCTGCGCTCTTGCTGATGTAATGATTGCTTTGGTCAATCTCGGAGCGTCTTCACATGCCAGCAACATTCATTAACACTACGAGGCAGACCCGTGCAGGCTCTACGCAGTTTTTCTCCTATGGGCCGTAGCGGAAGCTTTCCGAAAAGTTAAATTTAATCTAAGAGATACTAAAAAAGTCTGTAGAGGCCTTCATGTGGTTGACAGGTTGCTGAGTTGCATATCTTGCTGCAGGGTCTCACGCAACTAGGACTGTCCGAGGGACCTTTGCGGTCGACAAAGTTATCACAGGATGGCTTAGATGGTATGAAGGCTGAAAAAACCGAGCTTTATCTGGATATATCTTCTACCAACTCGGGGGAGGTCCCTTCGATCTCCCTCACAAATATTATCAAGCCGCGATCATTGCTATTGAAGAATAGCGAACATGATGTTTGATTCATGGAGCTCCGACTATCTTGATAAGAATGTCCTGTGACTTGTTTACAGATGGCCTATAGCTCTCTGTCGCATATGCCGGGTCAGTTGCGTTGGCCTGGACCGCAAAACGACACCGTGCTCGGCGCAAGAGATGATGGTATTCTTCTTGACACTGGCTGATGCATCTTTTCCATCATCGGTGGTGCTCTCAATGTCGTCGAGGAGCACGATGTAGTTGACTATGCTGTTCGTGTGCGTCGCGAGCACCAAGACGGTGCTTCCGGCCGTTAGAATCATCCATCCGTTGCAATTGTCGGTACTAAATTGTCTCATCAAGTTAAATTTAGTATTATGATGGGCCCACGTCAAGGGACGGGTCCCACAATCGCCTCGATTGTCCTTCCCTCAGCAACTAACTCGAACAAGAAAACACAACTCAATCTCCTATGCCGCGATGCCTTCCACCTTCTCGATGTCTTCTTTGGTCGGGCACCACTTATTCTGCAACTCCCTGTCTAGGGCCAGGCTATACACATCCTTAGGCCACCACTCACCCCAGCTCGTCAGGAAGATCCTCTCCGGATCCTCCGGGAGATCATCCCTTGTGAAAGCTGCCAGGATGCTCCGTGCCCCATCTGGAACGCTCTTAGCGTCTGGGTGGTTCGGAGACGGGTACGGCTGGCCTGGCTTCGCGAAGCGGCCAATTCCAGTACCGGGAATCAGACCGGGAGATGTAGCGACCACTGTGCACTTGCCCATGAGCTCACGGCGCCACCAGTGTGCGCCGAGGAGCTGGATGAACTTGGTGGTCGGGTAGAGGCCTGTTTCTGTACAAGCACCGGCCTTGAGCTGATCTTCCAAACCACCTAGGAGAAGACATCAGCAAGGAGCAGGGGGTTTGGTATTGCAGGACAAGTTTCGACTTACTAGTCTCCTTGACCCTCCTAATTGCCCCAGAAGAAACCACGACGATGCGAGAATGAGAAAACTCGAGTTTCGCCCTCAGTAAGTGTATCAGATAGTGCTGGGCTTGAGGTTCGTCAGCAATCAACAGCTGCAAAAGGCACACCGGCGGAGGACACTCGGGGCACTGACACAAGTGATTAATGATATAGGAGTCGCACCATTGCGAACCGTTGGGGCCGGGTCTGTCGTCGGCATCGCGAGCAATGCCTGCGTTGAGTAGTAGGTAGTCAATAGGGCGCTGTCCTAGCGTCTCCAGCGTCTGGTGCGCAAACGACTTGACAGTCTGCAGATCGGAGAGCTCCACAGGCAGAATGGTCACAGTGTGCTTGCTGTCATACTGGATCTTGTCGTAGGCGGCCTGGGCCGTGTTGATGTCTCGCGCCCCTAGGATAAAATGATACGGCTGGGCTTCTGCAAGGAGCTGCTTGACAAGCTCGAAGCCCTGTGGAGGGTTAGTCCTGGACCAACGCTGAATCGAGAGTGAAGGCCCACTCACCAAGCCCGACGTGCACCCGGTTGCAACAATTGTCTTCGCTGCCGGCACCGCCATCGTGATCCTGTGATGTATATTGTTCAGGGGTTGACCGAGATTGAGGATACGATGAGGCAAGATTGGGAAAGGAAGAATTGCAGGCAAAGGGCAGCGTTCGAGACGGAATGCCAGCCACACATCTGACTAATGCCCCCCAAGGCGGTTAAACTTTCCGTAGAACCAAACTCGAGCTAATAAACAGCCGAGTGTGGGCCATGACACCGACGTTCGGGGATTGGAAATGATATACCCGTTGTCCGAGTCTGCTTATCGATGAACGGTCAAATGCTTCAGTATGATCCATGAAGATATCCATGTCGTAGCTTCTTCGGACAAGTGTCCAAACGAAGATCAATGGCAAGCATACATCATTTGCTTCATCAATCATTCCTACCAACGAATCCGCCTCATCAGCATGCTCTATTTACCACCATCTCCTGGCTCCATCAGCCTCAATCCGGGTCAGCTGCTTGTGTCTAGGAGGCATGAGTAAGTAGGTTCCTTGCATGAGCGCTGTGGTATTGGCAGACTTCTATCTATCTGGCAAATACTTACAAATAGTTACTCATCAAAAACGGTATTGGAAACGCGTGGGTTCCACTCATGGTTGGTGGACCAAGCAGATGGCCTTTGGTCTGATGAATGCCTTTTCGACCTCGGTAGCAATTCCATCGATACTATCAGCTCATATCTGAGAGGTGAGAGTGAGCAGTAGGTCGGCCAAGCGCCCGGACGCCGGGCAGAGATGGTTGCTAGCAAGTAAACGATTTTGAGCTCGGATTCATCATAAACTCGCCCCGCAAGATGATCCAACAGCCGTAGGACATCCAAATCTTAGGGCAGATGGGTTATTTTGACGATGTTGCCCTATAGAAGGCTGTCAAGACACAACAGGGAGAAGCGAGCAATAAATTACGATTGTCAGGTTTGGACCGACCCGAATATATTGTCAATTGCAACATATATTCAACAATTACTCGTGGTTCCTCTTTAAAACTGGCCCACACTGGCTGTCCAAAAGACCCCATCCCGGCCATACCGATCTGTAAGTGGCTGCACGTTCTCTTTAGAACATCCTTGCGATACTGGAGTACCCTCGAACCTCTCGGCAATCCATGCCAAGATATCCCCCTTGGCAGCCTCCAAGACCTGCCCGTGGGCCATTTCAGGATACAGCCTCGCATGAACACGGCTCTCCGGGTAGGTCGAGCATGTCAAGTCAAAGTCCGCCATGGTCAGGTTAGCTGGGGTCGTGGTGTCAGCCATCCCCTGGATCACCAACATTGGCGCAGCTAGTGGGTGCGGCCCTTGTCCATTGTATCTCACCGCCCAGTCGTCTGTTGCTGGGTGGGTAAGCCAGCCCAGATTCTTGTACAGCTGAGTTGGTGTAAAGTTGCCGACTGCTGCAGAGCCGGTTATGATGCAAGATTGGTCCAGGACTCCCAGGCGCTGCAACGGGAGATCGCCCAGGTAGTCTGAAATCTTGATCTGATCCGGGTATAACTTGGACAGGGACTGCAAAAAGTATACCGAGAACGGGTCGTTAGCCGGCCCGTTGCCTGCTCGCTTCATGGAATCCGGGATCAGCTTCTGCGGCCGTAGTGCGGGAGCTGCAGCCACGGAGCCGACGAGCTCTCCAGCCTGTTTCAGCGCTTCCTGATTCGCCATAGCCATCCGCTCGTTGGTCCGCCATGCACTCATGCCACCCTCGCTGTGACCAAACACAACCCATTTTTCGCCGAGGAGGGTTCCGAGAGCTTTCTTGGCAGCCACGACAGAGTACGCTGCATCAGCAGCGTGAAGAAACCCCGCCTCGTACATGAAGCCCTGGGGAATATCAGAGCCCTGGCCTGAGTAGTCGGGGGCGATGACCGCGTAGCCCATCTCAGCAAGGACGAACGGGGCTTGCCAGTCGTAGTAGAGGCCCCTGTTATTCGTCGGCGCGCATTGTCGGCTGCGGCCGGCTGTGCCATGAGTCCAGACCACAGTTCGAAGTTTCTTGCCGCAACCGTCTCCGGTGGCCGTGAATGGGAGAAGCACCCACGCCGAAGCGGGTATGGGCTTGCGGTCCACGTCTTCCGTCACGTACATGAATCGTGACAGAGACAGACTTGCGGGAATGGTCCAGTTGTTGGCGAGCTGTGAAGAAGGGATATCTTGCCAGCGAATCAGGTCCCCCGGTGTAGCGGAGGATGTATTAGTCGTCACAAAGAAGGGATCGGTCAGGACATCCCCAACCCAAGAACGAGATTCGGCTTCATATGCTCCTCGGATGGCAGCTTGGCAGGCAGCATCACATCCCTTCTGGCACTCGGTGTCGCATAGTGTCTTTTGGCCGACAACACCCAGCAGGGGTAAGCAAGCAATAGCAAAGAGGAGGCCAGGCGAGTACATTTTGGAGGCAGGAGGCAGATGAGAAAGACTCTGCCAAGACAACTCGTGCCTGATCAAATCGGCCAGGGATGGCTCTTTATATACACCGTTTCTGAAGGTTACAGCATGCGAACTCATCACTCAACTGGTATTCTGTCGGTCGCAGAGGTTGAACGACTACCGCATCTTGATCCGGGCCTTGATGTCAACGTGGGGTAAGGCTCACAAGATGGGTCCGGGGCCCCGGTCTCGTTGGCATTGGAACCTCATCCCCGCCCGGCAGTTGCCAGTTAGCCAATGGAGTCGCGAATTCTTGCCATGCATGTCCCAAAGAGGCAGCTGCATGCGCCGCTATCTCGTGAAGAAGCTCATCTTCGCACGGCCTTTGTTCATTAATATTCGCGGGGACTTGGGCATTGCAGATCTCGTCATTGGAATCTTGTGACTTATTGGCCGCATCGTAAAGTAGGCGAAATTAGAGGAGCACTAGGCTGGATGTTCTATACTAGTGCTAGTTTAACTAGCCGAGAAGGCCGGAGTTTGCCTTTGATATTTTCCCTATTGACCAGAGTCTTTTGACATCCTGGGATAAGTCAGGAGCGCAGGAAGAGAACGCTAGGGCTTCGAAAGTGTAGAGGATGTAGAAACGGACTAGAAGAAAAAAAGTGTCTCGAGACGGGTGTTCTTCTGCGCTGACTTATCGGACTTGTTGGGTTCGACTAAGCATGGAAATGGCAGTATCAAGCGTGGACTGTGCGAAAAGCCACTTCAGACAAAGTCTAGTAACGAGAACTCGAAGTGATTAGTTAGAAGCAAAGACTGCAAGTGTTGATGCTCATAATGAAGAAGCGATCGAGCAAACTTGAGAGTAGCGGCAATAGTATCAGAATCATACAAGTTTTGTGCTGAAGACTGTGTTGAATTTTGGCAGCTGCCACAGGGCATCACCGAGCCTGTCGTGCCGAGAGTTGGTCTTGTCGAGCAAACGAGGTTTGACTTGTCGACGATCAATGCTGGCCCTTATAACTGACTTTGATCTTCGTGTTGCGTCTTGACAAGTGTCTAGGTGGCGGGTAATCAAGAGTGCGAGGCACAATTAGCAAATGCTTGGCACGGTTTCATATTTGCCATGGCCATGGGCCGCACTGATATTCAGCTGAGGTCCGATCAATTAGGATGACTTACCCTTGACTGGCAAATGCACGCCAGAACTGATTTCTTGACCTCCTTGTGGGGTCTTCTGATCAGGCACGGGATAGCTATTGGATGAGACAAGGTGTTCCATTCGGTCGGTCTGAGCCTGTCGGATCTCACGTAGTAAGCACTGCTGAAGCGTGTAACGGCCGTTCCGTTGCAAGGTCTTTGCACGGGTGTCTGATACTTGGCTTAAGACAAGGCTTTTGAATGTCCTCATGGTCGCTGTGCGAGCTGAGTCTCCTCAGGCTCTCTTGTTCCTAGCAACAATTAACCCTGAAGAGAAATAAAGACGTGGACATGGATATTTATACCTTCCATCTTTACATCGAAGATAGGTGCTCTGCTCAGAGACAACGTCATTCCCATCTTGCTGTATACAAGCTTCCAACATGCTAGAGCCGGTTCTAGGTAGATCTGAGCGTGGAGCGCACAGCAGTGCTCAGGGAATCGAAAGAGTACGCGTTGACTTTGGCTGTCGATGAGTCTTGCCTGATTTCATCACGTTACTTTTATAGTAGTGGAACGACGACTTATCGACATGTTTTGGAAACAAAACACGAATGCATATCAGTATATGTTGGCCGTTCCGATTACTCACTCATATGTCTATTAACCCGACAAGATGCGCCCCAACTCAGCCAAGGTCTTCCGCCGTACGGGATTCCTAACTCGGTAGTCCGGTCATTGGAATAGTTAGTGCGTGGAGGCAAGTCTCCATTACACAGCAGAAGAGCTAGCGAGACGAGGCCTTTCCCTCCACTTCTCCTCATTTGACCCCGCACCCGAGCTCCCTTAACTGTGAGTGTGTAGCTCATCTGACCAGCGCTAAAACCTCATCTGACCACAATAGGGGTAAAAGTGGAGAAGTTTTAAGTTCATCTGCCCTCATCACTATTTTCAATTTCTTTTCCGACTAGGTCAGATGAGCTCTTATCAAGAGATAATAGATAAGAGAAGAGAGTATGTTATCTAAGATACCTAGTGTATAATTAGTTATTAATTAATTATAAGTAAGAAATTTCTCTATATTATCTAGAATATCTATTATATTATTATATAAAATATTATATAAATTTAAATAAAAGGAGAAGAAATAGATATATTATATTAGATATTTATAAAAGAGAAGAATATTTTAAATAGAATAATAGAATTATAAAATAGATATTTATATATAGATATAAGATAATATATATAAGATAATATAATATTTATATAAGAATATAAAAATATTCCTATAGCTTTATCTAAAAAATAAATCTAATTATTTTATTATTTAAAGAATATTTAAATAATAGAAGAAGAGATATATAAAGATATAGATATTAAAGATAAGAAAAGATATATAGTTAGTAAAAAATAAGTTAGAAATTAGTTTATAATTAATTAAGCTTATAGTATTATAATCTAATTTAATACCTAGAGGATTAAAGAGTATATATAATAATAGTAAAGTAATATAATAGTAAGAAAAAAGAATTAATATAGAAAAAACTAATTACTAAAGAATTGATAAATCTTCTAAGAATAAGACTTAATATCTATAGTAGGGTCTTAATAGAGGTACTAGACAGTATAATCTAGATTATACTAGATAGAAGGATAGGAGCCTAGAATTAATTAGAAAGAAGTTAAAAAGAACTTAGTAATTAATTATAACTTATATTTATACTTATAAATATAGGAAGCACACCTCTAGATATTACTATTAGACTTATATAGGCAGAAACTAGCAGCCTAGGCTATCTTATTAGTCTAGAACTTATTACTCTAGAAGTAGAGAGCATAAGAGAACAACTTCTAAAGCCTCTATTAGTAAATTAATTGCTAAGCTATTACTATATAATTACTAAATAATTATACTTACAGTCTCTAGGCTAATAGTGTAAGAAGGGCCTGCTATAGTATAGATATTAGCTATAGAGGCAGGGGGTGAAGTAGGGGGGTCTAAGGTAGAGAGGGAAGAGAGAGGGAGAGTCTGATCATACTCCTTCTAAGGTTAATAGATCATCTAGTTTATAACTAATTATAAACTAATTAGTTGTAAACTAGGTATCCTACTATCTATATTCTTATATTTAGTAACTAATTACTAAATGATTATAGATATAGGTCTTAGCTAGTTTATATAGATATTAAGTAAGAAAGCTATCTTATTATCTTTAGAACTATAGCTATTATTATAGTATAAGAGAGTATTACCTATAAGTTATAAGCATATTAGTAATTAATTAGTAAATACTAGATAAAGGCTTAATAATTAATTCTACTTATAGCTTTCTAAAGCTTATTAGTAGTCTTATCTAGATAGTTGAAGTTTTAGATAGAGGAGGACAGAAGAGGTAAGCCTTTACTAAGAGCTATAAAGTTATTATTATCCTTCTACTAATAGTTAGTACCTAACTATAAGTAATTAAAAATTAATTTAATATACTAAGAAGATTAATAAGTCATCCTCTTATTAATAGTTAGTATCTAGCTATAAGTAATTAAAAATTGATTTAATATACTAAGAAGCTTAACTTAACAGAACCTAAGCTATTAAGGGCTGAGCTATTAAAGGCTATAAGGCCATCATCCTCCTACTAATAGTTAGTACCTAGCTATAAGTAATTAAAAATTAATTTAATATATCTTAGTAGTAGAGGTATTAGAGAAGATAGTAGGGGCTAAGCTATTAGAGGCTAAGCTAGCTAGAGATAGAAGGGCATCCTCCTCCTACTAATAATTAGTATCTAGCTATAAGCAATTAAAAATTAATTTAATATACCTTAGCAGTAGAGGCACTAGAGAAGATAATAGAGGCTGAGCTATTAAGAGCTAAGCCAGCTAGAGATAAAGAGGCATCCTCCTATTAATAGTTAATATCTAGCTATAAGCAATTAAAAATTAATTTAATATATCTTAATAATAGAGGCACTAGAGAAGATAGTAGAGGCATCTAGTATATCCTAAGGAAATATTAATTCTCTAGCCTATAACTAATAAGTAATTAATTATTATATCTAGTCAGTAATATCACTAGTATCTAGACTATAGTTCTTATTATTATTATTATTATTATTATTATTATTATCAATATCTATCTATAATCAGTTAGTAAATTAATTACTAAGTGATTAATATAGGGAGATTTCCTTATAGAAATAGAGGAGGGGGGAGGAGTCTAGTCTTAAGAGGCTGGATTATAGGGGAAGTTATAGTTCATCCTACCTACTATAATATCTACATACTAGACTGTATTAATTGCTAATTAGTAAATAAAGTATTTACTAATTAGTTATATCTATACTAGCTGTCTTACAGTCAATTATAATAGATATAATATCTAACTTATTCTTCTCAACCTATATACTATAGGTAAGGCTATAGTAAGCTCTTAGATTATACATCTTAAGAAATAGTTACTCCTAGAATTAATTAGTAAGGCATTATCTAGTAATTAGCAATTAGTTGTACTTATATAGATATAGAGCTGGCCCTTATCATCTATATAACAGCAGAACATCTTATCTAGTATAATCATCATCTTATTATATATATTATGCTTAAGAGAGGGGAGGTTAGCCAGGCATATTACTAAGTATGTCTAATAGTCAGAAGAAGTCTTATATAGTATTATAATAATTAATTACTAGAAATAGAAATATTTAATAAATAATTCTAGGAGAGAGAGATTATAGATATTTATATAATAGATTGGTAAATAATTATAATTAGAGGAGGGTAGATAGATAGAAAAAACTAGGTTTTTTTCTAATATATAAACAATTAGTAATTAATAATAAATATATATAACACTAAAATCCTTTAGTAATTATTTA